ACATCTTGTCTGCCTTTCTTTGATGAGCACCCTGAAGCTTATTTTAATTATTCTTATTGGGCATGGATTCTTTTGTTTTCTTTTTGTTTTCTTTCTTATTAATCTTGTATTATCTGTTATCTTTTCCTGCATGATCTGAAGCGTATAATAGAGTTAATATACCCGACAGCATATCGCATTCTCCAGCATTTGTTTTGATACTACTGATAATGAGATCATCACTTCATACATGCACTATTATCTCTTTGTTGTATTACTATCTCCACTGTAGACAATATGATTCGTACAAGCATGCTAGACTTGGCATTCAATTTACTACCAAGGTCATGATATATCATGATGATGATGATGATGATGATGATGGCGCAACAATGATTTACTTGAGCCAAGTCATAATTCACTCAATATTAAACAAAGCAAGGATTTTGGTTTGATAGTATCCAAGTAATATCTGTACTTTCTTGCTTAGTGGACTCCTCTCTCATCCTTAGGCTTCCGGGGCAGTGCCTGGCAGTGACCTTTTTTTTTTTTTTTTCTTCTTTTTTTTTTGTATGGAATCCCTCGGTACGCTACCTATGAGAGGAGGGTCCGGTTTGCCTGTCTGTCTCCATTCGCCGGCTGGACAGGCTTATCCTCATCCTCTACCTATTTTTTTTTTCTTTTGATTTTAGATTAATAATGATGATTTCATGACTGCGTACCTACCTGGGTCTGTTTCTCTTCACTTGCCCCAGTCAGTGTTTTTTTTTTTTTTTTTTTTTTTCCCACCATTCCCCCTTTCGGCCGGTAAAAACCAAATCGTTGCAATTTACCCGGCTCAGTTTTCATGGTTTCCCTTTTAGAACCCATGTGCGTCGGCTGGGGGAGCGCTACTGTAGTACTTGCGCTGTATGCAGGTATGTATGTATGTTAGGTATGTACGTAATTTGACGATATCTACCTGCATGTATATGACATGACATGCCACCTCGTTTTCCTTGGCTATATGACAGGATGTGAAGATATACTCGCAAGTACTATAGTAGTAGTAGGTACCTACTACTGTAGTTACGGAGTACTGCTAGTATCAGACGGAAACTCGTACTAGCCAATCTCAAAAGAATAGAATCAAGATGATGACGACAAGGATTAAATAATTGTCAAGAATAATCACATAAACATGACGATAAAAAAAAAAATAATATGATACCACCTAGTTATTTACTTCTGCTATAAGACTAAAGTAGTGCATAGTGGCGGTGACTCCAAGTTGTATTCAGGCCCCCCCGAGTCATGAATATGAATGAATCCCCCCCCCTCGGCCGGACTTCCCTCTCATGGCTTGATTTCAGCTCCAAATAAGGTTCTCCATGGGATCCTGATTGCAGGTCAACTGACTGCGCATGGATAAAAACCACTTGTAACCTTGTTTTCATTGTCCCTTTTTCTTTACTTTTTGTTTGTGTTTCACAAAAAGATTTCAATTTTCAGGTTGCGAGAGAGAGAGTCTCAGAGTACTCCGCACGGAGCACTGTTCACTGTTCCCTCGTCCGTCATCAGCAAGAGTAAACTACAAGATCCTTAGGTAATCTTGCTATGCCATGTGCTGGCTTGGGTGGTCCGAGGTGATCCCTGTACCCGTTGCTCTGGGGTAACTAAGTGGACTGGAAACAAAAACACGAAAGGACAGCACAGGGCAAGGACGGACGGAAAACGCTCGCGGAGCCATGGAACGTGTGCATATCATTGGGGGCTAATGTGTCTCTTATCGGAAGCCTAAATCCCCCCATACCAGCCATCCAGGTGGTTGACTAGTCACTATACGTACCGCTCACCGCGTGGCCCCCGGTACGGAGTACTGCTGACGAGTTATTTGCAGCTTTCAGTGGACTATAGGGATGCAATGCGGCTCTACTATCCCTATTCTCAGGATTACACCACTGGCCCGCCGTATGGCTTAGTGTACTACTCGGAGGAGAAGATAGTTACGCTTTGACTGGGGTGCAGCAGTTTGATAACGCCATCGCTGGGCAGCTAATCTATATACTTGAGGAAGAAGTCTGACGTCAGATCTAAGAAGGGAAAGAAAAGATATGGATATTTTTATCCTCTCCAATTAATATTGGTTTCATATTTCATATTTCATCAATTAACCGAACCCTCCGACTAAGTCTCCGGGATCGCGCGTAGCGCGATCCCAGCAGCTCAACAAGTAGGTCGGCTCAACACGCACTTCTTTAAATAATCCTATACCATACTTTAATACGTCACTATTCAATCATAACATGGTGAATAATTATTTTGAAATTAAAGACTAAATCTAGAAGGCTATTAATACCTTAAATTACTAAGAAAAACCAAATATCTCCTAAATTATATAAGATTTTAATATTCCAAGACATTATCTTAGTATATGCTTCAAGGGACAAGCAAGTCAATCTATAAGATAACTAATAAATTTAAAGCTATCCCCAGCTCAAGATCTTGCTTTTAGACGCTATATTAATATTCTAGATAAATTAGGGGTTCCCCCACGACCAATAATACTTATAAATTGTGCTAATTCTATTTTATAATCCGCCCATAGTAGCCTACCAGGCAAACTACTATAAGTCAGTAAAAGTTAATTAAAATGCTAGCTAAATTAGAATCCTACCTATAATCAAAAGTATATACAAGCTATTAAAGTAGATTAGAAGAAAGTAGAAAGTCATGCTACTATTTAGGCATGGTTCTAGTCACTATACTAGATTATTTAAAACTATAGGATTACAAGCAAAGATATATAGAATTTTGATAAAACTAGCTTCTAAATTAGTATTAGAAGGGATTATTAGATTATTACACGGGATTAATAATATAAAAGGGCCTATATTAGGATTAATACTAACTAGGAATATATGACTTTAGTAAAAGCTATTAATACTAGTAGATATACTGCAGAATTACTAGTAATTCTAGGTGCTAAATTAATCTTAAAAGGTTAGTTTGAGTATCTAGAAAAGAGATATTATATAGGGGTATTTAAGACTAGATATATGACTAATAAGCTTACTTATTAATGAATTTAGATCTTTAATACTTCTACCAAGTACTATACCAAAGACAAAAAATGGCTACTTATTTATAATAGCTTTAGATCCTATTGTCACGGCGTGCACTAGGTGCACTGGTGCCAAGGCAATGATTACTAGGGTATATAAGGTGGGATTCGGGCAGATCAGACATCAGGTCTGATCATAGTGACCTTTTGGTCCAATGGTTTAGACATGTTGCCCGAATCGCATGCTCTTACAAGTATGATCAGACCTGATGGGTAGATGGCTGTGGTTCGAATCCGGCTGGTGTCATTGTGCGACAATGATAATTAAGTCCTAGGGTTGGGTAGTCCCGCTAGACCTAAAATGGGTGCTAGGGCTGGGTTGAGTCCCACTAGGCTGAATAGGTGCTAGGGCTGGGTTGAGTCCCGCTAGACCTGAATAGGTGCTAGGGCTGGGTTGAGTCCCGCTAGACCTGAATGGGTGCTAGGGCTGGGTTGAGTCCCGCTAGACCTGGTTGCGCTACCAGATTTGAACCACGCCTACCTGCTCACAGCCCTTAGCTTAGCCTAGCTGGCTTAGGGCTGGGGGTCCCTACTGAATATATGCTAGTCGGCTTGCGGTCAAGCCTTATCTCAAGGAAGGAGATAGTTGTCACGGCGTGCACTAGGTGCACTGGTGCCAAGGCAATGATTACTAGGGTATATAAGGTGGGATTCGGGCAGATCAGACATCAGGTCTGATCATAGTGACCTTTTGGTCCAATGGTTTAGACATGTTGCCCGAATCGCATGCTCTTACACCTATATAATTTATAAATTTATATTATTTTATAAGCAAAATAATATTATTTTATTTTTATTACTACTATATTCAAGCCATCTTTTTTAACCACTTAATATAGGTGTCTTCCATGCCTATAAGTATTAGTATACTAAAGTGGTTGTAAATGCAACCTATATAAGTAGTAGAAAATTTATAAAAGTTAAATTTCTAGTAGTACTTGCTAGAATTTACTAAAAAATCTTTAAAAAGTACATGATATAATATAGCTTTTAATATACTAGAATAGTACCTTTTAATCCTAATAAGGTATTTAATAAACTACCTATTAATTACCTAGAGATACCTAAAGAAGCTGGAAGTAATAATTCTTTTAGATTCTTTAGAAGCACCCTAAAAATAGTCTAATACTTTAGATTCTATAAGAATTAGTTATCTTTTACTAGAGATCTAGGGCATAGTTTTCATGATACTTTAGAATTACTAGTTAAAGGTAGTATTATACAAATATATCTAGTAGAGGTACTTACACAGGAATTAGATAGCTATATTCAGGCAGATAGTGCCTGCTGTAAGCAAGTAAGGTCTTCTAGATCCTAAATATAGATAGGAGGCATATTATCAAGTATCTAGATATAAAAAATAAAGCAATCTGAGAAGAAATATAATAAGTAGAAGGAAAGATTATAGCTTTAGAAGTAATAAAAAAAGGTTATGAAGGAGCTTGTTAATCATGCTATTAAATAGGGAATTATTATAAAATAGTTGTGAGTATCTAGAAAGAAGAACTAGATAATAGGCTTTATTTTGGTTTATAAATTATAATAATATCCTTTAATTTGGTAGTACTAGAATATTTTGAAATTGAAGTATTTGAATAGGTGCGTGTTAAGCCGACCTGCTCGTTGAGCTGCTGGGATCGCGCTACGCGCGATCCTGGAGACTTAGTCGGAGGGTTCGGTTAATCGCTGGATTCAGCACGGAGGAGTCGAGAAGTTGGAAGTGGGTCACGAGTGACTTGGATGCCTGAGGATCACCATTCCTGGGGATGATCCACGTGATCCCTTTGCTCCGGGTCTCTTCTCTTTCGCGTCATCTTGTGTTTTGGTTTTGGTTTTGGTTTGGAGATTTCTGCTTTCCCCTTAGTGACCAGAAAGGGGTAAACCTAGTCCGAAATTACCCCTTCACCACGAAAAGACAATGGTCCTCGAACTTCATGTCTGGGGCCCGGGGTTCTCTTTGCCTTCAATAGAGGCCCAATGTCTCGCAACCATTGCCTATTTTTCGCAAGTTGTCCCCAAGGACACGTGGGTGTTAATCGCCAGCAGTGATCCTACCGTCTCTCCTACCCGTATGTTGAGTTCTACCCTACATACGTACTTGGTTTAATCTGGCTGAAACGGTTCTTGTTTTGTTCTTCTATCTACCCCGCAGACGAGCTACCCGCCCTGAGGAATGGCTCGACCTGGGTGAGTCGGTTTCGAAACATCGTGGATTACCTGCGCCAGTACTCCAATGGGGCGTGGGATTTAGATCGGGACCTGAGCGGCCTATCCAGAGCCGATAGCATAGCGTATGTGATTCTTGATTTCGATTCGATGCGCCGCTCTCGGATTTTTTTGCTCTTTGAGCGGCGCGGGAAATGAGAAGACCACACGACTAACGATCCGGTAATAACTACATACAACATAGCTTCTCCTCCTTTGTGGAATCTCGTGCCCAATCCCTCGTCGACCTGTCCCTTTATGTTACAAGCCGAAACTACTACAACACCACCTCCCCCGCCTACGGCGCAATCCTCCAATGGCCAAACCAATGGATCCTTCCTCCGAAACTGCACGCTGCCGCCAAAACCCGGACTGGGTCTCTAGGCCTCTCATCGCTAGACCTGCAAGAGATCCAGGAGCACCAGAAACGCGAGCATTCCGCTGCCGTCGCGGCCGGGCACATCCCGCAGAACTTCATCCGGAAACCCCGGGAGACGGTCTCTAGTCTTTTAGGCAAGACGTCGCAGCAGAACCAATTCCGCCTGGAGGCGCTCACAGCTGAGCTGTTTGAGCCGCTAGAGGAGTTGTTGGGCGATAAGGCGTATCTACTTTCGGGTCGGGCGCCGTCCAGCCTAGACTGCCTTGCAGTAGGCTACCTCAGCCTAGCACTAGTTCCGGATCTACCCTATCAGTGGCTTCGCGATGCAATGGAACGCAAAGCCCCGCGACTGTCACGTTATACGGACCGCATCCGGCGAGAGCTCTACGGGATCGTGGAAGTGTCTGATGCCTTTAGTCCTAGCAGCAGCAGCAGCTCGTCTTTACTTCCTTGGCAGGCCCCCGAACGAGCCAATCTAGCTGCGGTTGGAAGTACACTCCTCAATACCCTGGCAGATGCAACACCGATCCTCAAGGATGTCCGCACAAGCACCCGATTACGCGAGGCCGCGGAGTCATCGGACTCGGGACTCTCCGCGGTCGAAAGCCAGGCACTGTCCGCCTACGCCCGGGGCCAGAAGAAAGACACTTTCCTTTCAATCGCGGCTGTGGCGGGTGGCTTGGTGGCGATGCTAGGGTACATGGCCCACATTGGGGTATTTGCGATTGAAGAGGAAGAGGTCGAGGAGGAAGAGGAGGAAGAGGAACCGGAGATAATGCTCCCCGAGTCACTTTCCGCGGGGGATTTCCTCGGGTTGTAATGCCAGCTCCGCGATACTTGTTTCATTTCACAGTTGTATTATTATATTACTTTCATTGTCTGTTTGCTCTATTCAGGTGCGGACCTCATATTGATAGATTAGGTTATCCACAAAGATACTTCTACCGGTACTACCACCCGTATGGCTTGGAAAAGCAAGTGAGGAAAGTACACTTGCAGAAGCCAGGATCCTGCGTATTGATTTGGTGAGGTCTTTTACACTCAAAGAACGAAAGCGTCTTCATCATCCGCCATAAGCCTCTCTTAACTATTGTGGTTTAGCTCCATCGATTAGGAATCCACCCCAAGCTTCCAACTCTGTTGTTTACTTCTTCACATAAGACCCGAGCGCAACCACGCCTAATCGGTTCAAGCACTCCCGATGGCACCCAAAGACACGCTGCTGTCCCTTGATCTGGGGCTTCAGGATTGCTTGTACAGAATACGCCGTGACGACAAAGGCAACAGAAGGGTTATCTATGTTACGGTTAAGGACCTGGATATCATTCCAGAGGAATCGCGAACATACGGCCCCGGGAGGAATACGGGAATTATCCCAGCTCGCCATGGAGATATCAACAGGGACAACATATTTATCACCAACGACGGAGTCAGGTTCATTGATTTCGAGGAATCTTGTGTCAACTCTGCCGGGAGCAATGAAGGCTGGGATAGGACGAAGAGCGAGGAAATGCAGAGCCTAGCTGAGAACTTATCGGACAGTTCTGGCAAGGGGCGCCCGTGGACGACCATCAACAGCCTCCCAAGTTGCTCAAATCCTTAAAAACTTGGCCTATCGAAGCAAAAAAAACCCAATGATCGGGGCTATCATTGATCAAGAACCAGATCAAGGTAATAATATGTCAAACTTGACCGATAGACCAAAGAGGTGTCTAGACGATTATTACGTTCCTGATACAGCATAATGTTTGGTCAACATAATACTATTCAATAGTGAGTAGTACCTGATATTTGAATGGATCGATCGCTTCGTGAAATCACTCTTCTTCTAATCCAGATCCTCCTCCAGGCAGTCAAAATGCCCGATTGGCGCCCAGACAACACCGCTCCCCACTCTAGCATTTCAGGGGGTCCCAATGTTGCTCCAAGGAATGGCGAAGCAAGACCAGTTTCTTCTAGAGTACTCCATATTATCCTGAGCAATGACGAAAACGCGCCGTCTCCTTCATGAGGAAATCACATTTTCTCTTGCGAAGGAGCGGGAGGTTAATGTTCTTCATCAACTAGATTACCATGACAAGCAGACACGCTTCTTCTCCCTTCTCAGCAGCAGACGTGCCTGGTCAGCGAAGCAGAATGATATAAAGTTGCGGGAGAACCTCTTTCGAGACCTTTCGCGGATCTTGCTGAGAATCAGCCGAATACCTCTGCCACGAATCGGCTCATTCATCATAGACAGTGATGGATTCTTGTGTCTTAGCAATCGCCCGCTTTCAATCGAGATCGAGAACCTGGAAAACGAGAAAATACCCACCGACATACCCTGTTGCTACACATATTCGACTGTTGACTCTTACGTGGCAGATATGCTAAGAGTTCATGACAGCCGTCTCCGGCACCAACCCAACGCAGTGAACAATCTACAGGACTGCGCCTATCAGATGTCCGCCCTAGCAGCAATGAGAGCGACAGCCGTGTTGTTTTTCCGCGGAGATTTTCGCCGGGGGCCGTTTGTTTTCACACTAACCGATCTGCATCAAAGCAATATTTTCGTCGATGAGAATTGGCATATCACATGTCTTGTGGATTTGGAATGGGCTTGCTCTCGCCCAATTGAAATGGTTGAACCTCCTTACTGGCTAACAGATAAAGGTGTAGACGAGATTACCGCCACGGAGTACAATCCGCTTCGCAGGGAATTGATGGCCATCCTGGCAAACGAAGAGTCGAAACTACCCGGCTGCATTGGCCCAGTAGATGCTGACGCAAGGATGCCACGATTGTCCGAAGTCATGGAGGGAGTCTTGGATGAACGGCACCTTCTGGTTGGTATACACTGGCTCTCTCCAGTCCTACGGGTCTCTTTCGGATATTCTCTGAGCATATCCAACCCTTGCTATCCGAGCATGGCTCGGAGGAGATAGGCGAGGTTATGCCCTTTTACTGGGTGAAAGATGTGGGCAAGTTTGTCGCGAACAAAGTGTCTGATAAGAAGAAGTATGACCAAGATCTGCAACTGGCTTTTGAGGACTCCCAACTTGATGTACCAGTGGGATGCAGCTCCTTAACTGCGATGAAAACGTAGCCCAACTAATCCGCTGTACTGATATCATTTCGCATTCATGTGTATAACTAACTATATTTGAGTTGCAGGGCTCGACCTGACCAGGTTGTATATAGACTAAGCTGGCGGGGTCAGGAGGAAGCAATTTATAATATGACCAAAGATAACTAGTTCTAGTTCTAGCCCTAGTGCTCCAATGGGTATTTTTCATAACTACTCGAGTGAGAGCTGCATAACGTAAGAAGAATTCTTGCCCATGTGGAGGTAGTAGGTAGGTCTCCATGGACGACCCCTTGAAACAAACGTCCAGCTGGGGTCATGCCAGGAAAACGGATTACAAAATGTCCAAGTATATAATCACTTCGGATGTACACAACAACGTTATAATATCAACTAGAATGCAGTAGTGGTATATACTATGTACAGGCAGAAAGAAAGCTTTTGCATCTGGTAAGGGGAACTGCTAGCAAGGGCTAGACATGTCCCTTGCTTACTTTTTGGATCAACACCCACCGCACAAATTTAAGACGAAAAAAAAGACAGAGAGAACGAGAGTGGAAAAACAAACGCTAGAATCCAAAGACAATTTATGCACTGTAGTCAATGGCAACAACCAGACGGACAGGGCCAGGGCCAATAGAACCACCAATGCCATCAACACCCTCCTCAGCGGCGGTGTAGGCGTTGTCTACCTTGGTAGCCAGGTTGGTGATCGAGGAGCAGCGGCCGCCAAGGTTGTCGCAGATCTTCATGCCCTGGACCTCCTGGTTGGCGACTTGAGCCTGGATAGCAGAGACATCCCAGCCAGACCAGTTGTTGTTGCCCTGGTTGGAAAAGTCGAATTCACCCCAGGTGCAAGAGTAACCACCGTACTGGTCGGTGGGCAGAGAGTCACCCTTGGCAGCACCCCAAGCACCCTGAGAGTCGTCATCGAAAGCGACATACTTGGTCTCACCAGCTTGGAGGGAGAGTTTGAGAGCAGAGTTGCCGTACCAGCCGGTCAGCTTGCCATCGGGACCCATCTTGTTCCAGAAGACGAGGGTCCAGGGGTCCTTCTCCGAACCGTCAATACGGATAACATGCTTATACTGGCAAGCCTTGTCCGCAGCGACCTCGATGATGTTGCTGCCCCAGGGGCTTCCGACGTTGCCCTTGTACCAGATGTACTCGAGTAAGTTGGCAACGGTCTTTTCGCCGAACCCGTCACGACTATAGTCGTCATCAGAAGAGGTGTCATCCCAGGCAGAGCAGGATCCTGCCGCGGATGAAACCACAACGGAGGTGGCAGTGGCCGTAGCGTGGGCCGCAGAAGCGACAGTGGTCTCCGCAGCGACGACAGCAGCAGCAGCAGCCGCCTTGTCAGCGGCAGCGGTAGCGGTTGCAGTTGCAGTTGCAGTCGCGGCACCAGCGCCGGCGTATTCGTTGATCCAGGAAACCGCCTTTCCGTCGATGGTGGCGACGACCACATCGCCTACGGCACGCTTGGCCTCATGGGCCTCGTGGGCAGCAGCATGGCGGCGCTGGTGACCGTGAGTACGGGCAACAGCAGACCCAGCCGTCAAGGCCGTCAACAAAAGCACGGAATTCTTGAGTTGCATGATGAGGATGATGAGGATGAACTTTCAAATCAAGAGTTGATGCAGGGTTTTATCTTCGAATACTGTATAAAGGAAAGCGATCCTTTGAGAGGCAGAGACGAGTCACACAAAGAACGAGGGAATGTAAGCGATAATGAATGACAGAGTAGCAGCACCAGCGATGCCCTCGAAACCCGAAAACGAAAGGAAAGGACAGTGACCGTCAGCAAGACAGAGAGGGGAAGAGATGGGGAGAAGAGGAAGAGGAAGAGGAAGAGGAAGAGGAGCGAAAGATGAGAGACGGGGAACACCAGTCAAGTTTTATGCAGGTCAGCCAAGTGAGAAGAGAAGAGAACGAGTGTTGCTAGTAGGACTAGTCCTGTATGGTAATTTTGGAAAATCCTGAAACAAAAGTCAATTAAATGAAAAGGGGGGGGGCCGATCAGGGGACAGTTCAGCAACAGGTAAATTTGATTGGTGGATAGACAGGGAATGTTCCTGATCCCTAATTGATACTAATTATGATTGGCTCTTAGCTCGGACACGAGACCCCACCCACTAGTCAGTTCCGGACTCTAGACCCTGGGCGTTACCTGTAATTACCGAAAACCCTGGTCTGGGCTAATAATAATAATATATTAAGGGTTTGAGGGACTTCTTTCAGAAGTACCTACTACCACCTGGTTCCTGCAGCAATAATGAACAGGACTTTTATTGTCTTTTGACTCTTTACCTTGGAATGGGAATGCTGCCTGACATCAGGCAATAATATGTCACTCCGTTACCTTCCGACCATAAAACCCTTGCACGTCAGGACAACAAAATACTGATCCTTTACATGGTTTAAGATAAGTGAAATGAAGTCCAACAGCTCATTTTATGCCTTACCTTGGGTTCCAGGTTTGCTGTGGTGTGCATAATTTTCCCCAGCTCACCGCTACATCTGTCCAGTTACAGAACTGCAAATACCAGCTGAGGCAATGGATTCGAGCCCATAACTGAACCACTAGTCGTGATCAGTCTATACAGGCTCAAGGAGAAATCCCCTGCATAAAGAAGATCTGAGTTAATCTACTTAGAAGAGTACTGTATTAATTACATGTGGCGTGAATGGAATCAAGATTTCCTAACTGATCAGTCACATGGCCAGCATGTCTCTTTGTTAACTTGAGAACTACAGAGGAATTATATTTACAAATAAAATACAATTCTATGTCTAGAATGAATGTAACTATAGTAGACTTAGAGAGCCCGGCCTTGAGGAACTGACATGTAATCGTTCACTCTTTACCTTCACGTACCGAGGGCGACATCGGTTGATTAGATAAGCGCGGGGCCTCGGGGGGTTTTTGGAGATCGCCTCAATTCTTCAACAAGATCCTTCTTCTCCCAAAGAATCAAATCTGACTCCCTTTCCCCCTCTCCCCCCTCTCCCCCCAAAATCCCCCCCAATCGTCCTCTCTCATGCCCCGATCCGCCATTGTTCAAGAGTACAACCCGACTCCAACCCTCACGGTCGACCGCAAAACCGCCGAGCATCAACATGAAGGCATCATCGCGCGTCCCTCGGGGTATCGAGTGTCCTGGCACGCCAACCCAGCAGTAGAACCCCACCACTTCGGCCAGTCGCACCCCATGAAACCATGGCGACTCACCCTCACCAAGCAACTGGTGCTCGCGTACGGCATGCACCACGCAATGGACCTATACCATGCGCGCGCAGCCACGACCGAGGAACTCGCCGACTTCCATACGTCCGACTACCTGGACTTTCTCCAACGAGTCGTCCCCGGCGATATGGAGAAACCCGAGCTCGGCGAGAAAGTCGCGCGCTTCAACTTCGGCGACGACTGTCCCATCTTCGACGGCCTGTACCAGTACTGCTGCCTGTACGCGGGGGGGTCGATCGACGCCGCGCGCAAGCTCTGCAACAACCAAGCAGACATCGCAATTAACTGGTCGGGCGGCCTGCACCACGCCAAAAAGGCCGAAGCCAGCGGCTTCTGCTACGTCAACGACATTGTGCTGGCCATCCTGCAGCTCCTCCGCCTCCACCCGCGCGTCATGTACATCGACATCGACGTCCACCACGGCGACGGCGTCGAGCAGGCCTTCTGGTCCTCCGACCGCGTCCTCACCGTGTCCTTCCACAAATACGACAAGGAGAACTTCTTCCCGGGCACGGGGCCCCTCGACAGCACCGGCCCCACGCACCCGCTCAACCCCGGCGCCCACCACGCCGTCAACGTGCCCCTCCACGACGGCATCGACGACGACTCTTACGTGCAGCTCTTCCACGAGGTCATCGGCACCTGCGTCGAAGTGTACCGCCCCGCCGCCATCGTGCTGCAATGCGGCGCCGACTCCCTGGGCTGCGACCGCCTCGGATGCTTCAACCTCAACGTCTCCGCGCACGGGGCCTGCGTCGCCTTCGTGAAAACCTTCAAGCTGCCCCTCCTGGTCGTCGGCGGCGGCGGCTACACCCCGCGCAACGTCTCCCGCGCCTGGGCCCACGAAACCTCCATCCTCATCGACGCCCAGGACGTCATCGACCCCGTGATCCCCCAATCCGTCGCCTTCCGCAACCACTTTGGCCCCGATTTCTCCCTCTTCCCGCCGCTGTCCGAGATGCGCAAGCTCGAAAATAAAAACTCCCGCGCGTACTTGGCCCATGTGCTCCAGACCGTCCGCGAGCAGCTCCGATATGTCCAATCGGCCCCCAGTGTGCAGATGTCCATGATTCCGCCGGATTTGTTGGGTCTGAGAGAGGATACAGAGGACGAGATCAAGGAGGAGATTGCTCGCTTGGAAGAGGAGCGCGACGACCAGGGAGGTGGTGGTTCCATGGGGAAATCTTCTCGACGACGTGATGCCGAGAAGGGCAGTGGTCAGCGCGGGGAACTATATTCTTGATTTTTTTTTTTTTTCCATGTTTATATTTGTTTTTTTTTTTTTTTTTTTTTTTTGGTGTTTGGTGGGGAAATATAGGTCCAATGGCGTTAAGGGCGGGCGAGGGGGGGGGGTTTACTTGGTTGCTTGCTTGATTGCTTGGTTGCTTGGTTGAGTACCTTTTTTTTTTCTTTTCTTCTCTTGGTGGTTTCATCCAATAAACTTTCTCTCATGTTGAAAGGCGATAGAGGAGTCGATACAGTGGAACCTGAATACATCCATTTTATCCATCACAATACCACTGAACACATCAAAGTGGCTTTGATTTATGATTACAACCTTCAGAGACAGTGAGATACATATATCCGTTGGAGAAAAAAAAAAAAGGGAATAAAAAAACAAATGTATAATATTATTATATATTGCCCGTACCGCTCTACTCCCTCTCACGTACGTACCTATAAGTCATAGGACTTTTTTTTTAGTCTTGTTATATGAATCTCTTTTTCACTTTAAATCGCCTGATTTTATTATTTGCATAAACAAAAATGCAAATCGGGTATCCAGTACAAGTTGATGACGTTTGGCAGAGACTAGGTGTTGAAATCCAAACCTCAAAAGCTCCGCAGGTTGAAGTCGAGTCGACCTCGCCTCCGGCCAGCTCTTAACAGGGTATGTGGGTGACGGTTCTATAGGGCAGCTCAATTACGTCAGGACCCACGGCGATCCACCCATTCCAGGTTCAGCATTGAATCGGCCGGAAAACTGGTTAGGATCATAGCGGGTGGCGTCCGGCGGGAGGGTAAAGTAAAGGCATGGATGTTGTTGTTCAAGGTAAAGGAGAATCCGATGCATCCACGTACGCATCGACATCCGATGTTCGAGAGTCCTTCCTCTCGACGGCTTCTGGAGCTCCCGTTGTGGTTGACTTGGTGTCGGTGTCGGTGCCGTTCAGAGTAGCGGCCTTACGTTCCGGGATTTCAAAGTTATCCCATGTCTGTCCCTCCAGGACCGGCGCAATAGCAAGAATCTGCTTAGTGGCTAGCTCGGGATTATGAGGGTCACTAGCACAAGAAAATTAGCTTAGCTTGGCAATGGTTTCCATATAAGCAAGAAACCTACACGTGGGCATTGATGATCCAGTCGAGGCCCTCCTCCCCCTCTTCCGAGCCACCGGGCCCGCCTTGGACCGCTCGGAAGAGCCGGGGTTTCCAGTCAACTCCCTGCTGAGCCCGTTTGGCTGCTTCGTCTCGTTGGCGGTCTTCAATTTTGGTCTTCTCATCCGTGGCAGCCTCATGATCCCGGGCGATAATAGCTTTCACTGTGTTCTTCCATAATCGCTGGGACTCACGTTCGCCCTGCTGTTCCATTGATCGGGTTGTAGGGAAGGTTGGCTTGGATTTTTTAGCGTTGAAGAGGAGTTCTTTCTCGTTGGACTGCGCGAGTTAGCCAGGTTTGGGAGAAAATATAGAGTCAGCGCAAAACAAAACCAAAGAAACATACATGGACGTTCTTGATATACATTTCGCCATTCCAAAAACCCGACAGCTCGTAGTATACCTCTCCAGTCTTCTCGTTCTTGATCGTTCCACCGATCGCATTGTAAGTGCCGGAAAAGTAGCCCTTGGTTTTGAATTCGAGATCGGCCACGAGATTATGCTCGGGACATCTCACAAAGCTGTGGTCACCGAGCTCATACTTCATCTTTCCGAATAGAATACCTCTAGCGTACATGTTCGGCTGTGTCAGGATGCTAGTTGCTTTTGTTAGCAAACGTGCTTTCTGTCATCCACGAGCCCACCTACTATCGCTCTCCTCGGACCTTGTCCGCTCCACGGTTCAAGAACCGTAAAATCGCGATTCCTTCCATCATACTGGCGGCGGAGTTGCCGAGAAACCTACTCCGAGGCTTGAGCGTACCGTCGATCCGGATATTGTGTTCGGGGGCCATGAAAAAATAGCTTGACTTGGGAGGGTGGTGGGATGTCTGTTCGGAAATATAATAGCCACGAGTGCCGTCCGGATACTCCCAGGAGCAGGTATAGGTTTCTCCTAGGATAGGGTTCAACGGCTTCTTGACTCCTCTATTGCCTGGTCGTCAGCGGATGCGCCCGGTGAGTTTGAGACAGGGAAAAGGCAAGGAATTAAGACGTACGGCGGTTTGATATGCCAGCCGCTCAGGTAGAACTTGACAACGGATACGAAGCGCTCGAGAGGATCATCGACCTCGGACATGGGGAGTAGGGTTTCTGGGTGAGCCATGAAACTGGAAGATGGTCGTTGTTAGCTATGATATCGCAGAAGAACATTCAAGGAGCATTAAACTACACATAGATCGATAAACAATGCTTGGTACATACTTCGTGATCCGCTCTAGCATGGATCGGGGTTCGAGAATGAAAGTGGGCAGGACAACCCGACTAAGGTCCGCTCCCGGTCGGAGCTGGGAGATGATGTGGGTGAGAACTGTGATCGAGAAGCAGATCCGGGGTTAGTACTAGATGTATTCGATCCTATGTTGCACGGTAAAAAGGTGCGTAAAAGAGAAGGGAAATCAGTACATAACTACATACCATTACCCTGGTCGGGCTCGACAATCTCATCTTCCCCGCTGCCGGAATCATGCTTGGATTCATCGACAGAGGAACGATTACCTGACGCATTGAAAAAGGAACCCCAGTCAGCGGACATGATGGCGGGGGAAGGGGGGAAAGGAAATAAAACGGGGGAAAGCCGGGAAAATCAGATGTAACAGATGAGAAATATAGGAAGGATGAAGAAGCGAAATTTAATTGATTAGATTCTTGATGAACTGGAGGGAGAAGAAGAAGAGAAGAAGTTGTGAAGGGGAGAAGTTTGGAGGAGGAAAAGAAAGAGGGGAAAGAAAGGCAGCAAGAAAATGACGTGGGGAGCGACAATGACGACGGCAACAACTTACTGACTGCACTCATGAGCGACGACCGGCGGCGGATATGCGAAACTGAGATCATGGGCATGGCTACAATTATATCTCGTTCTTGAGAAAGAGTCGCGTTGGCAAAGTCTTCTAGAGGAGGGAATTTATTTCATTCTAGTCACCATTCTTTTTTGGTTTTAATATCAAGGAGGAAAAGAGAGAGGGAGGGAGAGAGAGACAGAGAGACAGAGAGAGACAGAGAGAGACGGAGAGACAGAGAGACAGAGAGACAGAGAGAGAGAAAGAGAGAAAAAGAGAGAAAAAGGTAGAGGAGCTGAAGTTATTCGCTGTTTGGGGAGTGTTCGAGCTTTTTATACGCTTTTTTTTTGTTTCACTCGACGATCCCCCGCCAACTATTTAGGGATTTGCTGCTAACAGACAAATGAGGGTTAAGGGCTTTTTTTTTTTTTTTTTCTCTTTTCTTCTTCTCTCCTTCTGACTCTTCCCTAGAGAGGGAAAAATAAATTAATAATTTTGGAGTTTGTTGTTCACCGATCATCGTCAGGCAAAAGGAGCCACATAGCTTGGCGGGTGGGGTGTGTGTACAGGAGAATCCGAGAAAATCTGTAGAGAATTGGAGCAAAAAAAGGCATGACAATGATCCTTCGAGAAAAGAGGGGCGGGAAATTATTACAAAAGAGGATATAGAACATGAGACAAGACGCCGCTTCCCCAAGGGTATAAAGAATCCAATCCAAGCCTGCAACCGAAGAAAGAACAATAATGCTTGAAAATATAGGGCCAGGAAGAATATCAACCCACTTGTGCTATGAGTGGAACATCTCCGCCAGTGATCTCCTGAATAAATGCCGGATCTGGGTCACGCAGCATGACATGGAAGTGTTCGATGGCATGGACCGACTTGAGAGACTTCCAGTTCTTGAACCAGATGACCTAGTTAGTAGCCAGTCAAGTCAGTGGGAAAATGCTTTGGCTCCTAGGTGAGACCCGTTAGTTCAGCACGTACCTGGTTCGGTGGCATCCGCGTACAAAATGTCCGTTGCACATACTCATCAATCTCTTGTCTCGCGTGCGGCGTCAAATCATCCGTTGCCGGGTCATCTTCCAGTTCGAATTTTGTCCAGACCACCAAGTGAACGATGCCGCTAGCTAGCCCATATGGCCAGTCATTGTATAGGATTCGGATGTCTTCTGCTTCCGTGCAACTCCACCATTAGCCCCGTCTGCTTCCGACCTAGGCCGCCATTGGGTTCAAGGGTATATATAACAAACCATTAAACTCGAACGGTCTGCCTTTGGGCATTAAATCCTCAGGTCTTCCCTCCCCCCATTGAAGTCTTTCCCTGACCACAAAGCGCATCACCGATCCATGCTCTGCGATGATTCGTTCCTTATACTCCAGGTATTTCCTCAGGTCACTCGGTAGCCGCTGGAATCGATCAATCTGGTTGCTTTCTATGACACCATGAGCGGGATCCCGCGCCTAAGAGTGAGAAGAGTGGACCAGGGCGCTACCACTTACCAACGATTTGTTTCGCCAGTTTCCAGCCTTGTCTCTGATACTGTTCATCGGGTGTGGAGAGGATGCTGATATTCTTTGCGGACAAGTTTCGCAGAAAGCTAGGGCACTCGATCGTCCACTTCGTTGGATGCACATTAACCATCCAGTAAGGGAGGCTCATCGCAGGTTGAAAAAAGGTAGAGATAGGTACAGCTCCAGGAGCCTCAAGCTTTTCATCAACGGCAGTGAGGGTGGCGACAGCGTTGGCCATGATTGTCAGTGAACTTCTCCTAAAGCATCCGATGTAGGTGCTTCGTATAGTGATCGGAGAGAGAAGGCGTAAGGGAGCTGAAAGGGGGGAGAGGAAAGCACCAATACTCCTGGAAAAACAAGAAGAAAAAGAAAGGGGAAGCAGCAACGCCTCTCCGGGGACTGAAAGATGACTATTGTATCCAGGGAGCCGAGCAGATGAGGCATCATAAAGGGCAATTAATACTACTACCATTTTAACCCTTCATTTCAACGGGCGGGACACATTGCTGGGATCCACCCCAGACAATTCCAGAAGGGATTGCCGCGAGCTTGAGCATCCTAGAAGGGTCCCAATATAGCCTGGTGGAGTTGCGGTCATCTCCTGGAAGGAAACACTAACGGGGAAATCCTAGAGATTGCGAGGAATTTTCACATTTGTTCTGTCGAGATGTAGTGGTGGGAGGGAGGGAGAGAGAGAGTAGGGGGAAGGAGTTGCTTTTGTATGAGAGCTCCAATGTACCTGACTGGAGTTGACTATTGACCAGCTTGTATATGTATTGCCAATGTGGCGTCGCCTGCATTAGTAGACCACCTTATCTACATTAAGGGACGATCTTCAAGACATTCTGCAGCCGGTCTTGTCTCTGTATGTTGATCTATGTTGATCTGGGGGTTTATATAAGGAGGTGATGTTACTACTATAAAGTCACGGACGCAGGACAACTGGAAATCTTGATAGGGAAAATCAAAAAAAAAATAATAATAATAATATAGAGATCAACCATGAAGCCGAATCAAACAAGACCAGCAATTTCAGGACCATCGGACCGAACAATTGATACCCCAGCTGTCGTTAACTCTTGCTTTGTCTGCTCCCATCCGGGTCCGGGTACAACACACGCGGTCGCATCCTCTATAACATGGCTCTGAAATCCTGCTTTGGCAGCGTCCAGCGCTGTGAATTTAACGCAAACATCCCCCGCCACTCCAACAACAAATACATCTGTGACATCCCTGTCATTTAGAAACGAGCGGAGATTGGCATCAACAGACCGCGACACTAGTGCAGGATCTTGGTTGCCAAACGCATCCGCAAATACGGAGTACATCTCGACGCCGGGATGCATGCCTTTCTTAATAATCAACTCGATATTGCTCGTGTCGATTTCGGGAATAATATTGGCCCCCGGAGTTTCCTGGACACAATGTACCGGCCAGAGTATCTGCTGCTTCGTCTCGGACTCCTTTTCGGGAGCGGGATTGGTCATCTCGACACTGCATTCAAAGGGGCGGTTGTTAGGCGCGGGATGGTTTGGTGCAAAGGAGATATGATCTGGTGGATGGTAGTCCTGCGACGCAACGCGAACTACAAATCCAGGATGGGCTAGGAGTGAGTTTATCGTGCGAGTCAGATCCCGGGCTCCTTTTACAGCGAGGGACCCATTCTACATCAGACAGAGAAGCAGCGAATCAGTAGGTCTTACTTTTGAGAAGAGGGGCAATAATTGTATGAAGTTATGAACCAACCGGCGGACAGAAGTCCTCCTGCATATCAACGACGATCAGAGCTGCCTTCATCTTGAATAGCTAATCCAAGGGCAGCACGAGAAAGAAAAAAAAGATGAGGGTCTGTTAGGAAACGCGGGCATCTTCAGGAGCTCCCAAAGGCAACAGTCTCCAAAGATAAGGAAGAATCTGTCCTCCTCAGTCCGACTGACCACCAGCAGGCAGATAGACCATTAGTATTGCTGGGATTGCTTTAGACTCGAAGTTTGTTGAACAGTTGAACTCCGTACTAAGAGAGAAACGAACTACCTCGTCGGTAGACCCAATTGGGAATGGCTTGAACTCGATGCTGACGATGCTGACTCAGCCATCACGACACAAAACTCCCACCGCCGCTAAACTTCCACAACTTCCTCTTCTTCATTCGCTCTCATCGGGGCTGCGGCCCTTCATCTTTGACCAACTCGCGTAGTATTTGCTCTTCTCTATAATGATAGTCTTCTCCAAGGTAGGCATTTCCACCCTATTTCCCTCTCCTAGCCCCAATTGCATGATGAGCTTTTATTATTGGAGCTGTCCTAGCTCACGATGCGGACAACCTTATTACATACGCTTTTATATCTGAACCTTTGCAACCCAGTCTATCTGTGCTGAATTTTTTTCTCATTCAATTGTACTGGAGTATTCATGCTAATAATCTGTAGTCTTCCCAGGGACCACCAAGACAACGTACCTTCTAGCCCTCCTGAATCAATCGGGCAGAGTTTTTTTTTTTTTACCACCCACCATCCAACACTTTCACCCTCACCTACACCCCATTTGTCCCTCTTTAACCCCCACACACACCTCCTTTGGCAAGATGGCCTATGATCCACGGTTATCCAGTGCGGGCACTGCGACTCCAGATCCTCCACCTCCCCCTCCTCCCCCTCTAGAGACAACCACTACTTCCACTCCCACAGTCGCGGCAACCAATGCCAGCGCAAACTCTTCAGAGCGCACAGACTCTCACAAGCTTCGCTTCTGCACAGTATGTGCATCCAATCAGAACCGCTCGATGGAGGCTCACCTCCGTCTATCTACCGCCACCTCTCCCTTCCCGGTAATCTCCTTCGGAACCGGCTCCCTAGTCCGACTCCCAGGGCCATCTATCACACAACCTAATGTCTATAATTTCAACACAACATCCTACTCACAGATGTTTGACGAGCTCTTTGCCAAGGACGAGCGTCTCTACCGCAACAACGGTATCCTGAACATGCTTGATCGCAACCGAAACGTAAAATGGGGGCCCGAGCGCTTCCAAGATTGGGTTCCGGGCTTGCCACGGCTTGACCATGTTTCGAAGGGCGACAAGGGTGCGTTAGGAACCGAAGGCGGCGTCGTTGATGTGATCATCACCTGCGAAGAACGATGTTGGGATGCTGTTGTGGATGATCTCATGAACAAAGGCTCGCCGCTGAATCGGCCCGTACATGTCTTCAACGTCGATATCAAGGATAACCATGAAGAGGCTCTGGTCGGCGGAAAGGCTATTCTGGATTTAGCCACGCGACTCGATGAAGCTGCTACCCAGGAGCAAAAGGCCCTGGGCGGGGAGGGCTGGGAGAACGGGACTGGCGAAGCTCGGAAGGGCTTCGATGAAAAGGTTCCAGATATCCTGGCGTCATGGCAAGAGAAATGGCCTAACTTGCCGGCACTATGGACCTTGGCTTGGTTGTAGACTTTTTTTCCCAGTCTGCGACGATGCGGGGCAGCTTACTTAGCAGTAGATTTATTGTTTACGATTATTATAAGCATATTAATGAAATATTGATGACCCGTATTCTGACCGGAATAAGATAATGAATGACACATGACCGCTATTAACCATCGTAAATCGTAAACCACTTTCCATAATCGTACAGATCGATCGCACATTGCCCATCATCGTCCGATGATAACGAAACAGCTCACTCATGCCGACAAACCCTCATCAGATTGCTCATCAGAACCCTCATCGGAACCCTCAAGCAAAACCCTTCGTCTTTCCTGATACCATTTCTCAAGATACGCCCGTCTCTGCGCCTGCGTCATGCTTTCCACGACAAGAGCAAACTCAGTCGCATTCGGAAACCCAAACCACCGCGCCATACTGCAAAACTGGCGTTTCATAACCTCCCCCGGAGGATGGTACTTGAACCTCACGACACGCCCATTCCTCTGCAGAAAGGCCGACGCGACGGTGCCGCGTCGGTCACTCTGGGGGCACCCTCCGAAAACCTGATGGTTTGCCATGTTATCGCCGGCGAGCTCTGCGCGCCGACTCAGATGTTCTTCGACTTTGGAGGACCCGACAACCTCGTTGTTTAGGTGGGAGTATTCTACGCCCGCGCCGGCGAGGATGGCTTGGATGGGGTCGTGTTTTCCCGGCGGGGAGGCGCTGGTTTTGGAGACGGAGGCGGAGGCGTCCTGGTCGCCGCGGATCATGGCTGCGAGTTGGCTCATTACTTCGTCGTTGTCTTTGGGGGCCTGCGTCTTGACTTTGGATGATGCGTCTGGCGTGGGGGCCAGTGGTGGTAGCGGGGTGTCTGCGTCTGCGTCTGCGTCGAGGTCAATGCCTATAACTTGTACGCCGGCTTTGCTTTCTGCGATGTTGGTCTTGTTGACGATGTCGCGGAGGACGATGTTGTTGTTCTGGTATTCGAAGATATTGGCGAGGCCGAAAATCTCGCCCTTTTGGTCCTTCTTCTCCTGCACGCCTTTGAAGTATCTGCGTTCGGAACTGGCGTTGTAGCCGATGTTGGCCTGTTGTTGCTTGTAGATCTGCCTTGCATACACGATCTCTTCAATCGTTCCGGCCGAGATCAGTCGGAACACTTCAACGTCGCGCGACTGGCCGATGCGGTAGGCGCGGTCCTGGGCCTGGAGATCATGCGAGGGGTTCCAGTTGGGGTCGACAATGACGACTTTGTTCGCTGAAGTGATGTTCAACCCAACGCCACCGGACCGCGTGGAGATGAGAAAGACAAACTGCCGCGGATCCGCGTTGAAATCGTCGACGACTTTGGTGCGGTCCTCGTAGCTCATTGACCCGTCCAGATAGCTAACGTTATAGCTGGTGTAATGGAAGAGCATCTGCAGCATTTTCAAGAGCCGGACGCTGTGGGAGAAAACCAACACTTTGTCCCCGTTTGAGTGCCACCACTTAAGAAGTCGGCGTAGCACTTTCCACTTGCCACAGAATTCGGGGTTAGCGTAGTTGACGATCGAGTCCCTGGTCCGGTAGAGATTCTCCCATTGTCCGGGGACTGCAATCTCTAGCATTTCTTTGTCCTTCTCCTGCTTCTCATAGGAGTCTCCTCCCTGAGGGATCAGAATGGCGAGGTGATTGCTGAGTTTCTGTAGCACAGCAATAGCCGGAAATACATAGCTCTGCCAAAGCGCCCCCGAAGGCAATTTTCGTTGACAGCACCAGCCAGCCTTCTTCCCTGATCCACAGTCGCATCTTTCGGAGGATGTTTTGATGTACCTTATGATGTCACTGTTGAGAAAGTTCTCGTATGCTTCTGCCTGCGTTTCGGTCAGAGCACAGAAAACAACCCGGTCAACCTTTTTCGGGAGTTGGTCGGCAATCAAGGTTTTCATTCGTCGAAGGAAGAATTGCGGAAGAAGATTTTCGACCAATTTCTTGGCTGTTATTCGAGCCCTTCGTAGCTGATATATAGTAGCATCGTGAGACTGACCAACCCTAAGCGGTTCCGAGATGGTCCTCTTCCAGGTCGTTACTGGGCCGAGTTTCCCAGGGTTTGTCCAGTTTAACAGCGTCCATAATTCCTCGTACTTGTTCTGAAGGGCCGTCCCAGTCAAGCCGATGCGGCAAAGTGCGTTGATATCGTTCATCGCTTTGGTAGTCTCGGAAGTTCGTTCTTTGATTGCATGACACTCATCTGCAATGACACAATCCCAGTCAACCATGTTCACGGAATCCTTATTATGCAGGTAGGTGCTGTATGTGGTGATCAGAATTTCCACCCGTCCAGATTTCGCGGCATGTAGAGCAAGGTCCTTGTTATCCCCGTGATACGTATCGATATGCCACCAGCCCCAGCGGGAGAGCTCTGACATCCAGTTCTGGATGAGGGTACCAGGGCAAATGATGAGAGTCCGAGGATACCACTTTTCCCGCTCATTCCTACGCATTTTCCTCATCCTCTTTGCGTCTCGTTCGTCTCCTGTTTTCCCATATGCCGCAGTAAGAAAGGCAATCACCTGGACGGTCTTTCCTAACCCCATATCATCTCCGAGAATCCCACCCCTCTGGTAGACGAATAGCTCGTGAAGAAAGGCAGCGCCATCCACCTGGTATTGGCGAAGCCATTGGGCGACAGGAGCGGGGATCAACCCCAAGGAGAAAGGAAGTAAGATATCTTTGTACTCGTTACAAGGAGAAATCTCCTTGAACGCCGGCTTTTCCTGCAAAAACTCCAGCCGCTCATCATCGGAGAAGTCGACCTGGTCGTAGTCCGGAGGTAGCTTCAGACCAGCCTGCGTGAGTTGTTCGACTCGACGGTCAAATAGAAGCCGACGTTTCTGTAGATAGTCGGGGAGCGTGAATTCCATCAACTCATCCTCGGACTGTACATCTTCCCTATACTCGCGAGATCGTCTTGGGCGGGAAGCCTTTGATTCCTGCTTTGGGATTCGACCGACAATCGAGTTTGGGGTTGCCACTTTGGTCGCTTTATTATTCTTGCCCACATTTACTGAGCTTCGCTTGCGCTTGCGCGATTTTCGGTTCTTAAATTCCTGATACACGGCTTCGCCTTCGTTCATAGACCCATCGTCGCTGCTACTTTCTCCCGTGGTTTTCTGATCCGGAGAGGGTTGTTTGACAGCGACATCTGGTGGAGGTGTGGAGGAGCGTATCGGAGGCGAGATCTTTTCAAACTTAACAGCATCGCCTGAAACCGGGTTACGCCTCATGGTTAGTTAATCCCTCGGGGGAAAATACGTTGGGGAGAATACGTACGATGCGGCGTCGTGGTAGGAGTCGTCGGATGCGCAGAAACCGACTTGGTTATCGGACGCGTAAAATCGAGGTCATCGTCATCATCAGAGTCGATTGTAATCGCGTCTACCGCATCCAAGTCCTGTCGTGAGCCCATATCCAGGCTGGAATGAGATGATCATTCAATGAAGAGGGAAGAAAGCAGAAGATGCGATGCGATGCGATGCGGAGACGCGATGAAGTCAAGAGGCGGATTTCCCGACTGGGCAAAAGAGCTTGCTGAGATAAATTTTGTCGGCGAAAAGTCGAACCTCCGAAAGTCTTCATCTCCCTCTTCACCCTCACTTTTATTCCACTCCTCCCCACTATTATCTGCGCTTGACCAGTGTACTGATATTGAAGTCGCAATATTTTCCCTATAAGGATCTTTTTCAACTGAATCGCGTGTAAAACGCCCATCGACCGTGCGGGGAGAGGAATCCCATCACTCAGCACCAATTACCCATTGATTGATCGACTACACTCTACTACCTAATTATTCGCATACAATCGGGGAAAACCAAAGCGAACCAAAAAAATGCCTCTCGATACCTCTACCACATATCCTCTCACGAAGCTCCGCCTCGACGGCCGACGATGGAACGAACTCCGTTTGATCCAGGCCCAAATCTCGACGAACCCCGCCAGCTCCGGGTCATCTTACCTGGCAATGGGAAACACAGCTCTCCTGTGCTCTGTACACGGGCCTGCAGAGGGACGCCGGAGCGATGCAACAGGCGGTGCTGCAGGCTCGTCAGAGGCCGTTGTCGAAGTCGACGTCAATATTGCCGGGTTCGCTAGTGTTGACCTCAAAAGAAGAGCGGGCGGCAGTGACAGGTATGCCCAAAATGCTTTTCTCTAGTGGATAGAATTCCAACAGTGTGGTTTTTTTTTTTTTTTTTTTTTTTTTTTTTTAACTGACTGAGCTGGGTTCCGCTAGACAATCCGGGCGCATCGCATCGACCTTGCGTGCTGCCTTCCAGTCCCATCTGCACACATATCTCTACCCGCACAGCACAATCAGCATCCACGTCTCCGTGTTATCGGCCGATGGGTCTGTCCTAGCGGCGGCGATCAACGCCTGCACGCTTGCCCTTGTAGACGCCGGCGTTCCGATGCCCGGTCTGCTGTGTGGCTGCACAGCTGGAATGAGCGGGAGTGCTTCGACCCCACGAGATCCGCAGAACGACTTCCTCGACCCTCTCTTGGACGTCTCTCTCCCCGAGGAGCAGGAACTCCCCTTCCTCACCGTTGGAACAACGACCTCGATCCCTGTCGGGGAGAATGCCGCCGACGACGACAACGACAACGACAACGCAGCAGACATGAAGGTTTCCATGTTGACCATGGACTCCAAGGTCCACCACACCTACGTGGAAACAATGCTAGCCGTGGGAGTTGACGGCTGCAGACAAATCCGGGAAATCCTAGAGGGTGTAATCAAGGGCTCATCATCGTCAACCCACCGGTGATGCGAGCGGATCTTTCCCCCTTTCCTCCTCTATATTTACCTGATCTACGAGTGGTTAAAAGAAAAGCATGGAAGCGAGGTTTTGTTTATCCGCAATGGTTATGAATAAGGGAGGTGTTAGGAGTTGAATCCCATTCCGTACCGAATCTTTACTAAGTACTACTAACTACTACTAACTACTACTACTACTACTACTACTACTACTACTACTAATAATAATAGTTAGTAGTTAGTTAGTAAGTTTATCGCCTGCTTAGTGTACATCCTGGGCAGACACCAACACTTTACATACATAGTACAAGACCGACCACCGGATTTAGAGAAACCTCTCCGTTATCAAGTTGGATACCTGGATACCCAGGCATCAGATAAAAAGTAATCCTACGCAGCTTAATGCGCTCTTCGTAAAGAAAGGAAAAGGAAAAGAATAATCTGTACATATGCAGGACACTCGCCCTGCGACTTACCCAGCCACGGTGCATTAGGGCTGACTCGTGAACCAGGATGTCACAGGCTACAAAGACCGAAACCCCCCCACCATCCAAAGCGGGGTTCTTTGTATCGTGGCAGGCTGGCGGCTTTTTCTTCTTCTTCTTCTTCTTCTTCTTCTTCTTCTTCTTCTTCTTCTTCTTCTTGGTTCTTCTTATAACAATGGTTAGGCTACAGAGTCTACGTAAGGGTGGGAATTTCAACATGCAGCTTCTTATATCAACACTCTAGAGTACACCAGATAAGAAAAAGAGCTACACTGTATTTATCATTCATACGACAGGTACAGGTCGCCGCAATCCCTATCATCGAGCGCTAAGAGGTCCATACGGGCAAAAAAAACTTTTCGAACTTGGCCTCGTTGCATTGTTTACAGAACACCGCAGTCGACGATGGTAGGCTTGACGTTGGAGCGGACAGCACCAGAGCTGCTGCCAACAGCCTCGATCTCCTTGACAACCTTCATAGAGTCGGCATCGGCAACCTCACCGAAGACGACGTGCTTGCCGTCGAGCCAAGAGGTCACAACGGTGGTGATGAAGAACTGGGAGCCGTTGCTAAATTTAAAGGTTAGCATAACCGTCGCAAGAGTGGGGAGAAAGAGAAAAAAAAAAAAAACAAAAAAAAAAAAAAAAAAAAAAAAAAAGGGACAAACAAATGAGAGAGAATTCTATGCAACATACGTGTTAGGACCAGCGTTGGCCATGGAGAGGATACCAGGGGCGGTGTGCTTGAGCTTGAAGTTCTCATCGGGGAACTTATCACCGTAGATGGAACGGCCACCAGTGCCCTATAGGGTAAAATATCCCACGGTTAGACTCATGCAAAGCTGCCATGCTGCGCGGTAGAAACTCACGTTGCCACGGGTGAAGTCACCACCCTGGAGCATGAACTGGGGGATGATACGGTGGAAGCTGGAACCCTTGTAACCCTCACCCTGGGGCTTCAGGCACAGCTGACGGAAGTTCTCAGTAGTCTTGGGGACAACATCATCGAAGAGGTTGAAGACGATACGGCTAGTCTTAGCTATTATCATGGGCAAAGAGGGCGAATTAGTGATGATTCAGTTGCAATTGAGAAAAGACAATAATCTCCAGTCGGCGGTTGCCTTCTCCAGGAGGCAGGGAGGGGGGTAAAATGGGCATTTGCCATGGACCCCGGCTCAAAACGGTGGGAAGCACAAGAAACTTACGGGCGCTGGTGCCAACGGGGGCGTACTGGACGTCGAAGAAGACCTTGGAAGACATGGCGGCGGCGGTTTGGTGGAAAGGACGAAGAGAGAGGAAAGAGGATTGTTTGCAATTAACGACAGAGAAGAGAGGACGAGAAGAGAATGACGAGCAAGGTGGGGTTATTGTTGACTTCAGGCTTCGGGAGAACATTGTTGCTGGAGGGGCAGAACGTCGGAGGAATTCGGCCGCCGAGGGTGTCTGTTTTGGGTGATCCCGTGGCTACGTTAGTCCCAGTGCGCCAAACAGGCAGGTTTCTTTCATCGGATCCAGGAGCTTTGCTCACAGGGGGGAGAGCAGCACAATCCCACCCACAGACAGGGAAATAAAAGAGAGAAACGGATCCGGTGGAAATCATTGACAAGGGGTTCACTTACAATTGTATTAAACGAGATGGAAATGGATCAACACTTGATAACACAGGGAATGGCTGGAATAATCGCTTCAAGGAGCAGAGAAAATTTCCAGGCAATCTAGAACGAGTATGGTACAGAATGAAATGATTATATAAGAACGGTAAGTACTGGCAGTTCAAAATAAAAGTACACCCAAGATGCAGGAAAGTAGCGGGAAGATGTTTTGGTTTGGTTCCTATAGCTTGCTTTCCTTTCAAGTTCTTTTTCCGGCTTCGGGTTTCCGCTTGCTTTTTGTAGCTCCCATCCGTGGGGCGCACGTGATTTGGATACACAACATTTCCTGATGGAGTACAAAGTACTCCGTATAACCATATAGAATATAGAACTATATACCAATATGATGTGATATTTGCAAAATAAAAAAAAAAATCTAAAAAAAAAAAAAAGAAGAAGAAAAATACATGAAGAAGAAATAAGTGCCTCCGAGCATAACCCAGGAAGCAGAAATCTCCCCCAAAAGGAAGAATAAAGTATGTAAATCTAGATGCAAAAAAGAAGCGAAAGAAAATGGGTTCAAACAGGGTACCGTTATCCAGCCCAGGGTCAATATAGCACAAGGTAAGAAGAGAAGAATCCCAGGGAGGGAAAAGGTAAAGTGAAAACGCTAATCAAAGAGGAAGTTCCCGAGGGTAGCGAGAGTGGAACAATCCAGGAAGAATACAAGTCAAGAAGCTGAAGGGGAATAAAAACGAATGGAAAAAGGTCATGAAGCTCCACTAAATCCAACACTTCGTTCCACGTAGGTGCTCATGTTCATGCATGATGATAACTGCAAAAAGGCGAAAAACGCAAGATTGAGCAGTTAGGGTACCATCGAGTCAAATCAGTGTGCCTGGAAAAAAAAAAAAAAAAGAAAGGAAACAAGAAGAGGCAAAAAAAAAAAAAAAAAAAAAAAAAAAAGGAAGTGGGCGAAGAGATTAACAAAGGACATATCAATTATGATGGTTATACCCTGGTGGTATATTCACGTTTATCGAAAGTCGTCCATCTCAGGATCATCATAATCTGTGGCTTCTAAACGCTGCACAAGCTCCTTGAGCTCGCGCGCAATCTCAAAGGCAATAGGTGGCAGCTGGTTGGTAAATGCCCGGATCTGTTCAGGGTCAGAAACCCCTTCACCCTCGGCTGCGGTTCCGACCAGACGGCTCCTATGGTATTCAAGTGTTTCAATGGTGACCCCAGCACGTTGTCGAAGTGTTGGGTCAGCCTCGGGTTTGTGGATGGAATGTTCGGTAGAGGAAGAGACATTTGTAACGATGGACGCAATGGCAGATACATGGGTGCGGATCGTGGTCATGCCTTCCTCTGAGCGGATACTAGCAACCAGAGCTTGGATTGATTGGACTAGGCCATCTGCTTGGTCCTCGACGTAAAGCTGCAGGCGGAACAATTAACCATTACAGCACACATAAACAAATCATCTGGGGGTAGCTTACCTTCAGCTCCTGAAGCTCATGGTCTTCTGGTTGCATATAGGTATGGTTCATGCCTAAACCATTGGTAATATGCTCTGCGTCTGGGGGAGGACTCATAGCGCTGTAAACAGACCCGTTATTACTAAATCTGCTTTGGCTCGGGGCCACGCTAAAGTAATCGGGTGATTTCATTTGTGCCGGCTGCTCATCATCACCATCATCATCATCATCATCATCATTCAATTCGTCGGCGGGGGTGGGTCGGATTTTCACAAGGCGAATGAGGTCAATGACAGCAGTGGACAGGTGTGAGGCAGCAGCATCCAAAAGAGATAGGGGGGAGAGGCCACTTGAACTGGCAAAGTTTTTAGACGCCGTAATCAGGTTGTTTGCGGTCGCAGACACTTTGCGGGTAGCCCTGGTAAATGAGGCAGATGGCTCTTCAGAATGTTGAGCTATTTGAACGTCATGAAGAATATGGCGCACGGCAATTACAACAGGCTTGATCTGCTGCATAACAATTTGGTGGTCGTCCAACCGCGCAACACGAAGCAGCTCGTCGATCGAAATCTGAAACTTCGTCACATGAACATCTTTGATGAGACCATCATCCGTCAAGAACTCGTTCTCTTTAGCGAGGGTATTGCCATCGGGGCGCAACTCTGAGATACCAGCCGAGGATGCTCGCAGGTGGCGTAGCTGGGTCTTTGCTTTGGCATATCGACTCATCCAAAGTTTGAGCTCTTCTTCCAGTCGATGAACTTCGCCAGAGAGCCGTTCTTCGTCTTCGTATCTCGAGTGACTCTGTTCCGACAACGCCCTCATCTCCAGCAAGAAACCGGCTGCCTCTCTTCGAACTTCTTCTGTCACCTGCTGTTGCTCGCGGAGCTCAGCTTCCAGCCCTCTGTGCTTGAGTTGGAGGTCGGTGAACTGAGCCTGCAGTTCAATATCTCCAGTGCTCTGTCGAGAGGGGTTTTCAATTTGGCTCCGAAGATCCCTTTGTACAGCGTCGTGTTCTGTCCGGACCTTTTCGAGCTCCAGCTGCAGGGAGCCGTTGAGATCATCTGCTTTGGATATTTTACTTTCAAGCTCCAACTTGATGTCCTCCCAGTCTTGTCGTTCAATCTCGCTTATCTACGGTCAACCGGTTAGCAACTGAGGAGGAGAGAATATCCAAGGGGTACACATGCCTGGGATCTGTCCTGCTCTTCCTGATATCTCGAAATCTCCTCTTCCCTTGATTTTAAGAGCTCCTCGAGCTCGTCCACTTTTTGGTGGTCATCCTGGAACTTGGCAATCTCATCATCCTTGGATTTGAGCAGCTCCTCCAGCTGGCTCACCCTGTCCTGCAGCGTCGATACTTGTGTATGCGCCTCTGTCAAAGTTTTCCTCTCGTGGTCACCTAACGTTGTTGCGGTTCCGCGTCGACTCTGCAAAACTGCATCCAAGGCAAAAGCATCGCTTCGTGCATCATAATCATCTTCCAAGCCAGGACCATCATCATCATCATCCTCCACCATTGTACTCTTATTGGGGACGATTGTGTTACTCTGAAAGGATTTGGCGGTGGGGCCTTCTCCATTCATGCCCGGTGGTGGACCGCCTACAGATACATTGCGAGGAGAATAAGGACCCATGGGACTTCCTGGGGGGCCACCAGATGGGTAACCTCTTCCCATTCGAGGTGGACCTCGCGATTGTGAGCGATGACTGCCCGGGGGAGGAGGGTAGCCCCCAGGGCCATAGCCATTAGGAGGAGGGTACCCATTTGGCGGGTGTCCGCGAAGGCTGGGTGCGGGACTCGCGCGGCGAGACTCCTTCTCGGGGAACTGGGGGAATCGCCTCTCTAGCTCACAAAAGACATCATTGGCGAGATCTCTGAAACGTTGGTGCTGAAGCGACGCGAGTTTCTGGCGGGCCTGATTGCGCTTTTCGTGAAAATCCCCTCGGGGAGGAAGAAAGGGAGGGATGTCGGGGCGAGGTGGCCGATTGGGAGCTGGCATGGCCTGCTGTCGGCGGAGCAGTTCATCGTAAACATCGGTACTCAACTCGTGGAATTGGGTCGCGGACAACCGCAGGAGTTTGTCCTGGGCCTTGCTTGATTTTTTGGGATTCCGCTCATCGCGAAATGTGGCGTTCAGGAACCTCCTCAAGACTGAATAATGCTGTCCTAGAATCTCTTCTACTTGGCGATGGCGCCTGCTGCGGTGGTCCCCCAGCGTGCCATCGCTAGACCGCGCGGCCACCGAGCTAGGTGGGGACGGGTTTCCAGAGTCGCTTAACGGGGCAGAGGAGGTATCGGACGGTCCAGTACTGTTGGGGGCACCGGACGCACCGGAGGTCGGAGGGGTCGCCAGGTTGCTGCGGTTCGAAAATGTCGGGGAGAAGGGCGCATCCGGCTTCTGGTATTGATTTATTCCCGACCAGTCACTGCCGTCGATAGAGACAGGTGACATGGTCCCTGACGGAGCATTCATGGAGCCACGCGAAACGACAGCGGATTGTTAGAAAGTTTGGGTGCTAGTATGCATTCGAGGATCTGGGGGAGGTTGCGATCCGAAAGGTCATGGGCAGACCAGGACGGGGTTGTTGATTCGGTAGCGACGGAGGGAGAGTGTGGAGTTCGATCGCAGACAGCGGGAATGCGCGGGTTGGTCGACCAGCAATCAAAATCAACTCTGGAAGGGTCGGACGGTATACAATGAACCCTCCGTCTTCAATTCCAGGCAAGAGAAAGGGAGAAGTGTAACGGAGGAGTAAGGAGAGTAAGGAAGGGTAGGATAATAGTACCGAGACCAACCCAGTAGGTAAAAGAAAGAAAAGAAGAAGGGAATCAAGCAACCCTCGAAATAGAAAAAGAAGGGAAGAAAGAAAATAAAAGTCCGACCTAAGAAGCGGAGAGAAAGCCAGGACAAGGACAACCCGAAGTCCAAAGGAGTGGAGGACTATGGGATAGAGAGAGAGAGAGAGAGAGAGAGAGAGAGAGAGAGAGAGGAAGAAGAGGGAGGAGTGATGGTGTTTAGTTTGGGGGCAAAGTGACAGGGCCCGGAACGAGCCAACTTACTGTCAAGAGAGAGAGAAATTTCAACTACTGTACTCTGATTCTTCTTGTTATTATTATTATTTATTATTATCTAGCAAAGAAAAGGGATCAATTGTCTAGGAGTAGTTCAGTTCATACTAAAGTTAAGGGGGAACTGATGGATTTGGCCCAATTACCAGGACAAAAACCAAACCCTTACCGCAAGACTCTCAAGTACTCTTAAAATGTGCTTCTTTCTTATAATATATATCAAGTTTCAGGAACCGATTCTCGTTAGTGGTTATTAAGTCAGTCTCTCTCTGTATTGAGAGATACCTACTAAAAAATCGAATAAAAAGAACTGCGACTCCTATCCTCTAAGAAAATGATGTGCAACGCCCACTACCTACAGAGTATAGTCAAGTCAGTAAGTGGCCAGACTCGCCTGAACTGGGGACATAATAATATACTAATATAATTTTCAATTTCCAATGGACTGAGTCCGACTCCACTTTACTTTCAGGAGTTCTTTTTTTTTTTTTGGAGATGCCAGCTGGACTCTGGAGTATCTACAGAGTATATGAATAGGCAGCCTTTTTTTGTCCTTTTTTTTCTTGTTTACGAGGATGATTATATTATATTATATTCCTTCGTACTTGCTCACTGCTTCTACTCTCTATATCTCATTCGTCTTCGTAGTCCTGCATACAGCAGTGTACCTAAAGCATCCTTATTTTTCTACAGACCCCATAAAAAGGACACCCTGAACCGAATTAAAATCGTCATAAAAAAACACTTCATGATTCCATTACAATAGCTCTCCATATCTCCCGGACACAATCAACCGCGAATCTCTCCAATATACAAGTCTCCAGGGCACCCACCATTCCTCATTGCCTTTTTTTTTTTTTCCCCCAAGGACAACTCTGCTCGGATGTCTTGGAATCTCCAAAGGTGCCTTGGGGAATTTTTTTTTTTTTTATATCTCACTTTTTTGTTATCCATGTATTTCCAAGTTCCATCACTTCCAATCCTATCTTCTGCTTCCCGTTTTGGCAATTGCTGTGGCTTCAGTAGTTTCTATAATGCCCCCGACTCCAGTGAATTCACGCCCCAGAAAAAGACATTCAGTGACCCCTATTCTCGGAAGGATTGATCACCAAAGGGCCCATTTTTAATCAAAAGCCTATGAGTGCACCACACAAATGGGAAGACGTGAAGAGAATAGAGTGAGGGAACAGAGGGGGCCAGAAGGCTGCAGACGGTTCTCAGCCACCGTGAACCTGAGGGTATCGTTGAGACGGAAAGGCGCTCAAAGAATCAAAAAAACAAAAAAAAAAAAAAAAAAAAGGTAAATATCTCTGCGTTCTATCATGAGGTAAAATGTAAAGGGGGAAACAAATAATAAGATACGCCGCTCAGTCGGACAAAAATGTTGGGTGAACTTTTCAAGTTTACTTCGATGAGGTCATGCTAAGTCCCCGAGAAGCTCCAACAGCCGCTGACACCGGCGTTGCGGACCGAGTGGGAGCAGCGCTGCGGTTGTGTGCCATATGTGCGCGGACAAGGTGACCAGCCGCAAGGGCAGAGCATAGACTGAGCTCGCCTGCAAGCACCGCAGCTGCAACAATTCGTGCGAGTTGGCGAGCGTTGTCTCCGGGGTTGGTAGGGTGAGAGCCACGCACACCAAGAAGGTCGAGCATGGCAGATTGTGCTTCAAGGATTGTGCCACCACCGATGGTGCCAACTTCAATGGAAGGCATAGACACAGCAATCTGGAGATCGCCATTGGCACTGTAATCGCTTGTTAGCTGATCGGGTTCATTCAAGCGATAGTTCGTATCGGAATGGGTCACTTACTTTCTCATGGTCGTAATACAGCTGCTGCTCTCGACATTCTGGGCAGGATCCTGACCAGTCGCAAGAAAAACGGCGGTAACAATATTGGACGCATGTGCATTGAAGCCACCCAAGCTTCCCGCCATCGCACTACCAATCAAGTTCTTGCTAGTGTTCAACTCAACCAAGGCATCCACGTTGCTCTTGAGCACGTTGCGAACAACATCTCCAGGGATGATCGCCTCCGCCACCACCGACTTACCACGGCCATCAATCCAGTTGAGAGCAGCAGCTTTCTTGTCTGTACAGAAGTTACCTGAAACAGAGATCGTGGCCATGTCATCGAATCCACATTCAGTCGCCATAATATGGAGAGCCTTCTCAACACCCTTCGAAATCATGTTCATACCCATAGCGTCACCGGTAGTCGTCTTGAAGCGAATGTACAGATAAGTGCCAGCAAGCGCCGTTTTCATGTGCTGTAAGCGGGCAAAGCGACTAGTAGAGTTGAATGCAGTGGTCATGATATTGCGGCCCTCTTCAGAATCAAGCCAAACCTTGGCCTCGGCAGCACGAGCAAGGGTAGGGAATCCAACGCAAGGACCACGAGTCATACCGTCACCGGTCAAAACAGTCACTGCACCACCACCAGCATTGACAGCCTTAGCACCACGACTAGCGCTAGCGACCAGGACACCTTCAGTAGTAGCCATAGGAATGAAAAAGCTTTGTCCATCAATCACCAGAGGACCGGCAACTCCAAGAGGCAATGGCAAATGGCCAATGACATTCTCACAACAGGCGCCATGAACAAGAGAGTAGTTGTAGTGCTTGTAGGGAAGCTTTGATGTTTCCAGGGAGCTTGTAACCATGGAGGTTGCAGGGGTCCTGGCGACCACTGCCCTGCGAATCTTGACCGCTCGGGTAAACGCATCAACACGACTCATGAGCTCCTCATTTTCCAGAGTTTTTTCCAAAGCATATCCAGGAATTTTGCCGCGCAGAGAGAGCTCAATCAGCTCCTCATCCGAGAGATAAGCTGCTCGCTTTTCCTTGAGCATTGCTTCACATTCCTCTTGGCTTCTCTTGGGGCCAGGTGGATTCAAGTCAACCTTGGGGTAAACCTTGGGTTCAGGAACAATCTCCTTGGGGGTAGGGGTAGCCTCTGGTTCCTTAATGCTCCACCTTGCGGCATTGAAAAGATAGCCATTCAGGATGATACTCAGGGTCAACACGGCGATGATCCACTTGCTAATAACTGGGTCTTCGATGCTCTTGAGAACACCCTCGAGCACGCGCCCACCAACAGCATCCAGGAACTGATCGGTGTATTCGATGTCAAAAGACTGGCCCTCACCAAGTTTAGCGTAGTGCACCGAAGGGTACTCAAGCTTGTACTTGATGGGCGGAACAACTGTCACAATGGTCTCGGTCATCTGGCTCTTGGCGGAAACGTAGATGGTATCCAGACCATTCTCAGCGACTTTGAAGGGATCGATTGGTGTAGGCGCAAACACATTACAAATAGGGGACAGGCTAGTGGAGTTGCGGAACGGGATCGTAGACATGTTTACCACGTTAACCAGGACGAAACCGCCAACCATGAGAATCTTGAATCGGCGCACGTTGCTTGACTTGATCTGGCGGCCAAAGACGCTCGTATTCTCGGCCACGTCGTTCTCGGACGAGGCACCAGGCCAGTCGTTGCTCGAGGCTACCTTTTCGGCTACACGCTGAGTAATGCCATCCTCCTCAAGAGCCTTACGAAGAGCCACATGGCGCTTGATTCGAGTAATCTCCAGCTTTATGCAAAGAATGGTAGTATAGAAGGTGAAGAGCAACACGCAGTCGAAGAACAGGATCCATGCGGCGAGGAAGCAAAATTGGGTCAGACCACCTTGGACACCAGAAGCAGCGCCTGCGACGAGGATTGCGATTTCAATGCAGTAATCCCTGATAATTTCGAAGCCTTGTTCCTTAATCGCTGTTTGAATGGAGTCTTGAATGGATAGGGGGGTTGCTGGAGCGGGACCGTGGCTGGCACCCTGGCGCTTCTTATCCACGGATGCACTGAGGACAGCCTTGGTAAGGATAATTGGCTTTTCAAATCCGATTGTAACAACAAGGAATGGAAGACCTTCCGATAGAAGGAGTACGTTGATGGGGACGCCAAACTTTGTCGTAACCAGGAGACCAAATAAGAAAGCAAAGGCGCCCGAGAAGAGCACGGTAGTCGCCAGCCAGAACTTTGAGCCCAGACGCTGCATAGAGAAGAAAAGAGACGCGAAGCTAAGATGCATCAAAAAGTATCCCAGGGTCATAATAACAATGTCGATCGTTTCCGCGTGCTATCAAGAGGTTAGCATCGAGAGCGACATGCAAGTTCGCGAGACATATACCTTGACAAGATCCACAAATGAACTCCATGCATCTGCGAGCCAAAGCCGGACAGCTCCGTTAGATCCATAGATCGGACCGCGAGCAGCCCGCATAATCCACATTTTCTGCTCCTCTTCATCTTGTTCGACTGAGGAGTCCGGGATCTCCTGCACTGCTCTGAGGAATTGAGACAGCTGGTCGAAAGGAAGGGAGAAAACAAGAGACGAATCATGGGAGAAGGGAGAGAACAGGTTTGGAGTCGTGGGAACGCGTTGCGCAGAGGTATTGGCCGGGACAGGAACAGCGTCTGCGATGGGGGCAGTCGAAGCCGATTTAGAGACCGAGTCCGGGAAAACAAAGGTCGTCAAGGCCAGATGCTGAGCAGACTAAGAGCCATTAAACAATTAGAGCTGGAACCAGCAGCCTTCACGCCTAGGAGTATGTCTTACCTCGTAGTCCTCCTGGGTCAACGAGTCCTCAACCTGCCACTTCCAGGAAGTAGACTCTCCCAACCGGAGGCTCCTGCTTCCCAGAAGTAGAGAATCCACATCCACCTGACCAGCCACATTTTTGGGGTTCCTGAACGAGTCAAACAAACTTCCCTCGAGAAGTCCGACGTAGGTGGTACTCGCAAGAAGAGCGATCACGACGATTGTGTGAATTGGGTGGTGGCAGGCACGGCTAGAGATGGATTGCAGACAGCCGGTGACTTGACGCTTTAACCACGAAGGCTGTACGTCTTTATCCGCGTCTGCGGTTCGAAATTTCCGCGGAATCAATGTTGAAGCCATTGTAAGTAGGGGGGAGGGAGAAAGGAGGCGGTGTGGTGGTGGTGATGGTGGGAAATACGGTGATGCGGACGGATCACCGAGCGAGATCCCCCTCCGATTGCTGTCGTTGTTCACGCAAGCCGTGTTGGACAGTCAATTGAAGTACTATTAGACACACGTCTTCCGGGTGTTAATAACATAGAGTAAACGACGTTGAGGTCGATTTGATATGAAGGGAAGGATCCTAGAAATTTTGGCGGACTTGCGGTTAGTATTTCCCGCACCAGCCACAGAACGGGGTAGGATAAGGAGGCAGAGGCAAAAAGCAAAGACAACCCCAAAAAGAAAAGGGGAGGGGGGGAAAAAATGCAAAGAGCCTGCCTACCTTATTGATAAAAGATCCCGTGGTCTGCAGTGTGAAGGACCTGGAGAAGGTGAAAACCTGAAAAGCTCCAGTTCCCAACAAAATCGACTGCCGTTTCCTCTTGAAATTGCGGACAGAGACTCAAGTCTGGTCGTCGCCGCCCCCTGAGATGTGCACACAAACTGGGCCAGTGAAAGAGCTCGTGCCACCAGAGAGGACTTTTACTATTAAGTAAGCCCACGAATTTTACCACCTAAAAAGAGACCGCCGCAAGTTCTTTCGAGGTCAACCAAAGGATCGGTAGAAGTAGCGACTTGCTCATTTGGGGATGGCTGCAGTCGCTTGTCACGGGAGCCAATGAGACGCTGGTCTACTGGAGGAAGAGGATCCTGACTATTGAAGGGAGATGGGGGGCAAAGGACGATCTGGAATCCACTCCAAGAAACTGGATTTTCTACCGAAGAGAAGGAAAGGGGGGGGGGAGAAAGAAATGATGGAAATTGAAGGAGGAGGGGAGGGAATTTGGGAGAATAAAAAGAACAAACAGAAACAGAACAATAGGAATATTTGGCTTGGCTTGGGTGAGGGCCTACCGAGTACACACATACCTAGTGCTCTACGGTTCCACTTGAGCTAGAAGTACAACTCTCGAGATGTCAACTGTAGTATCCAGTAAGGTTTACTCCGGAATACACTTCATTTCCGTCTTTGACTAGGTAGAATATAATGTGGATCAGTTTGATTTTCTCGCTTTTTGTCCCTCCGCTGTACGGAGTATCAGTCTTACCCGAAGGTCCCGGTAGATTGCTGACGAGTTTATGTACCTATACTTGGGTAGTCGTAAAAGTATTAGGGATATTAATGTTGCCGTCTTCGTTTGTCTTGATTCTTTTATTAGACTCGTTAAGGGGAAAGTAATAGCCGATGAAAAACCACAACTCCGCCAAGAACCAGGTCAAATTTCGCCAACTTGCACAGCGTATATATATAGGTATATACTAAGCTGGAATCCCTTGCACCAATGGCAACGATGACCACAGGGAACTCAAGATATGCTAAGTAGAATTGCCGGTAGCCAAGATGCTTTGATCTTGAGGATGTCTTGACAGTCTTGGTCAGTTCTGCATCTTCCTCCGTTGAGTCGTCCTTGCTCGGGGCCTTGGTGGACTAAAAGGATCCAATAAAAACGGGCTCGACCCTTCCATGACGGACACCGATAGACCATAACGGATCCCGACAATTAGGTACTCCGTACAACAGCGTACAATCTGCAGTCAGAATGAGATGTTAAGCTTGATTAAGGAATCCGTGCTTGCACTGAAGTTGACTCTGGAAGATATGTATCTGCCCTACTCAAATTGACCAAAATCAATACAAGCAGATCATTCTCTGCAAGGAAAAATCATGGTCTGTCCCGTGAGATGTACATTATCCAAGACAAGACCCCACCTTCCCATCGCTGCATCGCATAATAATAATAATTGTTTTCCTGATATCCACACCACCAAGTTTTTCCTTTTTGGGTTTATTGGTGGAACAGTGGACGATGGGAGCCACTCCAGAGATAATCACACAATACCCACTTTTTTTTCATCTAATCAATCTGCATCTCTACCTAGGTACTAAATCGGAGAGGGCTGTCCGGGCTTCTCTTCTCGCTTCGAACTGCTTCTTCCCTAGATATTAGTTTTCCGGGCGAACAGAAATCGTGAATTGCCAAAGAAATGAGCACAGGGTCTTCAACATAGCGGTGAGGTTGCGATAACAAATGCCATGCCATGCAGGCAACGCAAGCATTGTTGCAGGAAGGAAGGGAGACATTATTTCCGAGCGTTGTGTAGCTCAATAATAGAAAAAGTGGAATAGACCCAGGGAATTGGAGCCCTGGATTGTATCCTGACCTACAGAAGCCAGAATTGACCACGTACTGTCCACCGGATATCGCTTCTTGTGGGGTCCTCCTCCAAAAGAGTGTGTGCGGTATACGGAGTAAGTAACAGCTCTAACTAGGACATTTAATTGCTCGAAGGTCGAGGCCAAATTGTGCTAAGACGGTACACCATCTGGCAGAACAAGGCATGTTTCTGTAGGTTAAACTCCCAATAAAAGAAAACGCACTGAGCTTGAGTACGTAGTGCGTGGCTCAGCGCAACTTGAGTCTTGATTACTCCTCGATGACCCCAAAATTTGCTCACTGAACACTCTGTACACGCACCTGGGCACTTACCCCACAGCCCAAAAAGCGGCACCAGGTCGGGCTGAATCTGGCAACCTGGAAATTTCCGCAGAAATCCTCCAAATACTACTACTTACTTACTACTCTACACTACAACAAGAAAGGATTTTTGGTCCCTTCTTGTTCTTAAGTATTCCTTGTCCTCCCATACGGCTAAAACTCAAGAGAGCAAAACAAGTCTCCTACCGGTTCCATTACTTGTTTCTATTCGCGCCCTGGCCCTGCAGCGGGATTTTATTTCCCTGGGCGCTTAGCTGCTAACTTGCTATGAGTGACTACGAGTAGGCCCTCACCACGATGCAGATTGATTTTCAACTCAAAATTACTTTAATCATAAGTTGCTTCAGTACGTTTGTCCCTGAATCTACTTCGAAGCTTCGATAAATTGCGCCAGGCACCCTTATTGGATTGAAGCGCTGGTTAGAATGCAAGCCCCAACTTGGCACGCTGTCAGGAATTCCAGAGGCAATGGCGTCGTCAATCCCCTATAAAATATCTCCATCCGAGACCACACTAATAAGCGCCATTGCTACCTATTTTGAGACCTGTTGCGCCGATGGAGATCCAATGGAGCTGCCCTAGGATATCAAAGCTTCTATCAATTGTCCTCCGACAGCCTATCATTCTGTAGATCCTACTGACTTGAGCTTCATCTTGACGGAGCTTGTCTCAGGAATCAGTCGCCCCTCCCATACTCCGTACAATTTAGCGCAAATTCACGTCTGGGGAAAGCATGCATGGCCTGTTATTGATTGGCTCCGGCTTACTCTTTCTCGGATGGATATTTTTTGACCTACGTCCCACGAGGCGCCTTGAAAGCGGATCAAAATGTCTCTTTTCACATTGCCTCTTGAATTGATTTGCCTGGTATTGTGTTTCAAGTTATTCATTCTTTTAGGCTCCGGGGTAGTCATGACCTCTTTATTTATTCATCAGTGTCCCAGGAAAGGAGAAGACAAAGGAAAAAGATCAGGCGAAGAATTCCTTGTTTCAACTACATAAGGCCTGATTTAAGTGAACTACCAATCTATTCAAAGCCTATCTAGGTACCTGATTTTCACCGTTTTCAACTATTCCAGTTTTCCCACAGTTTCCTTTGTTCTTTTGCCTTTCCCTCGAAGATATTAAGCAAGAAAGGATTGGACTGCCTGAGAGGATGGGCATATAAAAGGTTCGTGAATGGCAGAACCTTTTTGTGGTAACATTTCTTGATTCACTGACCCAAAAACAGTGTTATTCTCGTCCGACTCCTTTGACCAATATTCTCACTACCTCGCTAAATCTCTGCAGCGGAAAGAGAGACGAAGAAGCCCACCCCAAATCTGCGACCATGCATGACACCCACTACATAGAGCTGAGATTGATTCTCTTGGCTCTTCTCTGCGTGACGGCCCACGCTCACTCCTGGGTCGAAGAACTAATGGTCATTGCGCCGAATGGGACCTTTGTCGGATCTCCAGGTTATGCACGTGGGAATGCTCTCCGAACAGATCCCGGGTTTAGCGACGTCCTCATGACTTATTTGGTACCGCCGGACGGTAGACAAAATTCTAGCTTAATACTTCCGTCGGATCATCTGTGCAAGAGTAGCCAGCAAAACCCTGTGCAGACTAGAGGGAGCCCAAGATTACAGGCGAGCGCAGGCGCCGCCATCGCTCTTCGCTTCCAGGAGAACGGCCATGTAACCCTACCTCAAAATCAGATAGGAAAACCGCAAAATCGCGGAACAATATACGTCTACGGGACGACAGAACCAAAAGAGGATGAGAAGATGCTAGACGTTCATAAGGTGTGGAATGTGAATGGAACCGGTGGCGATAGGAGGGGCGTGCTTTTAGCGAAACGGAACTTCGATGATGGCCGTTGCTACCAGATCAATACTGGTAGTATTTCGGAGACTCGACAAGCCAAGTATCCGCACATTGCAGACCAGTTAATGGGGGCTGATTTGTGGTGTCAAGCAGACGTTGCAATCCCATATGATGCGCCCTCCGGCAAACCGTATACGCTCTACTGGGTTTGGGACTGGCCAACCGCGGCTGGGGCGGATCCTGCGCTCCCCAACGGCAAACAAGAAATCTATACGACCTGTATGGATGTGGATGTGGTTGATCGCCCGAAAGGCCGTATTGGGGTTAAGGAAGGGTATATGGGAACCCAGTCTTTGAACAGTGCTTCGATCCCGGATCAGTTTGCAGAGATTTTTGGTCATGGAGAGGAGGAGGACGAGGAGGAGGATCCTTCTCCTGTATCTGGTACTCCGTCAAGTACTTCAGTTGCGGCTCTGCCTGTAACTCCTGTGTCCAAGTCACCCGTGTCTGGCGAAACAGTTACAGTTACTTCATTTGTTACGTCGGTGAAGGTCATCCATCCGACTGGTTGCGTCTGAGATGATCTCAGCATTATCACAAGTTCTCTGCATTGAGAGAGAGAGAGAGAAAGTTCCCTTACATAGCACCGTTTGTACAGTCTCCTGGAAATGTGCTACTGTATATGTGTTATAGCCAGGCCGGCCTAGCTGACACCAAGCACTCTCCTTTCCGAGTCATTGTGTTGAGATTAAATAACTATCTGTATTCAATGTCGTTTGTGATAACATGCCCTGTAACGCCAAAAAGAAGAAAAAAAAAACGAATCAAAAGCATGAAACTATCAAGGCCAAGGGGTAAACTGAACTGCACTGTAACATAGCTAATTGAAATACTGGCGCAAGGATGCTGATCGACATTCCTATCTATCTATCTATATCTATGGCTTTATAGTCAACTATCTACTGTAGGCAAGGATTCAAGACCCTGTCCTAGGTAAAGAACAAGGTAAGGCACCCAGGCACCGACAGTTGAAACACGCTATTTCCGTGCGCATAATATCACGTGCAACATAGGGTCCAGAAACGGCAAGAAGCCAAAAACGGACGGAGATGTCAAGCAAGAGTCAAAGATCTGAGATCGATCGCTTTCTGACCTTGTTTTGACGTTTCCCTTTTGTCTTCTGTTTCCGATCTGGTAATCCTATGGGAATTGCTTGTCTGTTCATCTTCCTATCATCTCCCCCGCCCATTTTCTTCAAAGAAGCCCTGCATTCAACGTCCCTGCAGGACATATCAGCAGCAATTCCATTGGAACAAGCGAACTCTCCCAGCGGAGGCCGAACTCCACAATAATCCCAACTGCGCCTCGTCACTCGTGGATTCCTAAACGCTTCATCAGTTCGTCCTCAGTGTCGAGACCAAGCTGTGTGCAAGGAAAGGCCCTTTGACATACAGAGGACAACAGTGGGATAATCTCGAGTAAGTCCTCTCTCTCTTCTCTACCGGGCGGAAGGTACCTTTTGCCACCCTCCAGATCTCTTGTTCTCCATCTTTCTCCGATCGTTCTGCAGGTGGTGTGTCAATGGACGCAGGACACAACTTCCTAGCCTCTGGCGTGCAATTAGACGCCCATCCCCTCACTCCTCCATTTCCTTCCCTATCTCCCTTTTTTTTTTCCTGCTTCGTCCTCCTCTCCCCTTCGGGTGCAGATTGTTGTCTTGGTGATCATTGTCGCTGACAGTGGCGTTTCCCTGCGCTATATTTAGTATCGTGATTTATCCTTGACACTCAAGCACTCAACCGCGGAGGAAAACCCCTTCGAAACACCTCGTTGTAGCGAGCAAACCCACTAATCAATTATTGGCCCTCGCCACTCCGATCTGTCTGACCTCACTCAAGTTACCCGCCCGGAGGAATTCCCCTACTGTTGTCGTCGTTGTTGTTGTTGCGAAGACGATCCGTCACTTTTGACGACAAACCCCCCATATCTCGATCCTGCTCTGCGATCCATAGCCGCACCTGGGATCGTCCATCTTGCGATTTGTGTGCAAACGCCAATCCATTGAAAATTCGTCTTGTTTCTCTGGATATCTCGAATCATTTCACATTTGTCGAATCTCTCCGAAAAAATTTTGAGCTCTCTTGAGTTCAGCCTGCTGCAAATAAATACGAAGGAGGATTTGTGCCTATACGCAAGGAGTTCGCCCCTCCTCGCTGAATTGAATCGTGATTATCCACGCACTCCCACTTCTTCAACCTTTTACTTGAGCTCGATTAGTTGGTGAGGTGTTCTGCGCGACCTGCAGGACCCAGGTGCTTGGTACAATCTACAGGATAATTTTTAATTTTGTTGTGGGCGGGGCGATCGCGATGCGAATCTAGGGTGTAGAGTTCTTCTGAGAGATAACCCCAGCGACCACCATTCTAACGGATATTACCTCATCTACTTTCCTTGACACGCAATCATCGCCGGCGCTGCGTTCCTTTTCCCTTTCCTAGCAAACCCGATGGCTGCCACTATGACTACAACGACCTCCCCAAACCTTACGGTATTGCCTCCTCTCGTCACTGACACCCTGGCCAAACGGCCAGGTCGCCAGCGATCGTCCTCCTATGCCAAGGATCGCCTTTCTACACTGTCCAATATTTCCCTAGCTTCGCAGAACCGGTCGCGCCCCGGGTCACATGTTTTCCCCATCTTCCATTCGAGCTTGCCCTATGCTTTGGTGAGGGATTTCGCATATCCTCCTACACATCCGCTTCATTATGGCCCACTGCCACCTACTGTATCCGGGTTATCGAGTCCGGTAAGCGACCAACGGCGGCTATCTGACCCCCCTGCTCCATGGGATAGTTCACGTGGCCAATGGTCCGCGGGCCCTTGGAGCACTGATCATAGCTACGGGCACCAGCCTCTGCCTGCGATGTCTTTCGGTGATGGGCCACCATATAGCGAAGATGAGGACTTACATAGTCCTGTCTTCTCCGCACCACGCCATCGGAAGAACAAATCGACGGGCACAGACTTAAATGGTCGAAGGAGCAGGAACTCGGGTGTGGGTAGCCATCCTGGTCATATAAGCTTTGCCCGTGATAATGAGAGGGGGCTGCTTGTTGGAATGAATGCAGATGGCAGTGAAACATATTATGTGGACGATGAAGATGATATGGATGATGGACCGGGAGGCGATCTTGTCACGTATCCTGTGAATGAAAGCCGATACTCCCACACTGGCACGTATAATGATCGTCAGGAATATGACCCAGATCGCGGCTTCGAGTCAGAAGAAGATTATTCTGGATCTCATCGCTACTCGCGCGATTTCCAATTCGCCGTGGGATGTCCCGACGAGGAGATGCACGGGAAGGCGGTTGCACTTTTTGATTTCACACGGGAGCATGAAAATGAGCTGCCTCTGACCGAGGGCCAGGTGATTTTTGTCTCCTATCGGCACGGTCAAGGGTGGTTGGTGGCGGAGGATCCTCGAACGGGAGAGAGTGGACTGGTGCCGGAGGAATTCGTGCGACTGGTTCGTGATATCGAGGGAGGGCTAACCTCGCTGAACGGCGAGTCTGAAGCCGAGTACGATGAGGAGAACACATATCCCGACCCCGAGTATGCAGAGGAAACGATCAATGGGGACAGCCCGTCGACACCTACAGGTAACCACAAGCATCCGGAATCCGACACGACTCTCCTATCGCAGGAGCCACTTCCGGAAAAGAAAGTATAGCATTTGGTCCGCAGGATCCGCTTTGACTACCAAAGAAACGAAGTCGTGGAATGAAATATAGAAACGATATATAAACGACGAATAATACGGTTGACCAGGGCGGTCATAGACCGCGATGTGCAACATTTCCTTGCCATTTCGAAAGTTCCCGGGCTGGAACTGCAATAGCTGAGATACATGCATGCATGATGATAGAATTATCATGACAGAAAACGGAAGAGGGAGGACACTGTGATTATAGCATATTATTATTATATTCGGAGCTCGCCAGCTTGCGACAACCAACGCTTACGAGAGTGATGTGTGAGATTGTACATATTTTGTTTTTTATTATTTCTTGAGTACAGTTCAGCGTCAGCGCCGGCGTCATCATCAATATCAAGCATACCAAGCATACCAAGCATTCTATCCAAGTCAATTGGAGTATATAATTATTCGTAACAGAGAAAAACAACCCCATTATACATTGTAACCATCTTTCTCCTTTCTCTATCGACTTCATCTTCCCTACCCCCATCCCAGCAACAGAACAGGTAATTCCGAGATCGCCAACGACCAGGCAACTCAACACACCACCCTTCCCTAATAACATGATGATATAGCGTTTCACTGCCTGCCGTCATAGGAACAGTAAAAAGTAAAAGGATATCAAGTTTGACGAGAAAAGAGGAGACGAAAAGCACAGCAGTCCCTGGGACATATCACTCCACTCCGCGCCTTGTCTTGTTAGTAATAATAATAATAATAATAATAATAATAATAATAATAATACCCTTGTCTTGTTCCTTATTTCTTGCTATTCTGTGGGTTGCGTATGTGATTCTGGTTGTGTATGTGTGTATATTATATATATATATATATATATGCATGCTCAGAATAAAAATGTATAATGAGATCCGGGAAACATTTACTATCTCCTGGATCACTGTCCTTGTAGATGCTATTTGTGTTATTTTTATTTTTATATATTAATATACACACTAGTTCAGAGACTAGAGAGGTGAAGATGTCATTGTTTTTTTTTTTTTTTTATCCTAACAGAGTAAAGAGGGGAAAAAAGATGACGGTGTTTTCTGCCTAGAGCTTATTTACAGAATGTGATCCCTTTCCCGTATATAAGGGGCGATTTAGACGGACTACGGGCTCAGATAACCATGATGGAGGTTGGGAATATGAGGCTCAACTCGAGACCGAGGATATCTGTTGAGTCTCGTTCTCAGTCCCAGAGTCGGAAGATAGGAGGAGAAAGAAAGCCCGGAGTGGAGAAGACCAGCCTGCCCATGAATGGGCGTGGACTTGACTAGATCCAGTGGAGACAGGGTTGGCAGTAGTTACTCGGAAGTCTCGGTGCTTGTTTTCTTCAGTCTGGGATCGTCGATTAGGTATTGGTAGGAACAGCAAATGAACAAGGGAATTTTATTTTCCAGCAAACAGCAAAACGTAGACACACAGGGAAATCAGATTTACACAACAGGAGAAAACATTACCCAAGAAGGTGATAATCGAAAAAAAGGAAAAAATTGGAAATGTAAAGAATATAAGACGGCCGGGGCTAGCCCAGCAAATCGTCCAGCCCGGAACTACCCGTCTGTGCCCCTTGCTGTTGGTGTTGGTATGACTGGTTGGACGCGGCTGGTGTTCCCCAGATGCTTGCACTTGCCTTCTCTTTGGCCATGCTAGCAAGGTTGGGTCCTTTGTTGGTGCTTGTGGAGGTTTTCTGTATGCCGGCGCTGGCGCTGGCGCTCGACCATAGCGATCCGAAAGCGTCACCAGAGGGTTTGGAGGCCGCAGGCTTGCTGGCTAGGGAAGGAGCCGCTGCAGTTGGGGATGACAAAGAGGAAGTCGAGGGCATGCCTGGTCGGTGGCCGGCAGCGCCAGAAAGTGCCTGCGATGGCATTGTCGAAACTGAGGTGAAGTAGTTGGGAGTCGCTGCTTGGAATCCAGTAGGCTTTGGCTGGGCTGCTGGCCGCGAACCCTGCGAGGAAAGCGTGGGGGATGTAACGCCGCTGGATGTAGGGGTAGGAGGCATCGAGGTAAACCCGACAATGCCGTTAAGGTTCGACCCTTGTGTCACAGACACTGGACGAGGTGCTGCGAACTGGGTACTTGAGGTTGTGCTGACGGTTGATGCAGGAGCAGGGATGGAGAATGTGCTAGACGGTGCTGCCTGCGGGGCCGATTGGAAGTCATCAAAGTCGTCATCGTCAACCGGAGCCGGCTGAAGCATGTCCAAGCTATTGCTGCCGCCCACAGGTAGCTTGCCAGCAGCGACGGAGGTTGTTGAGGCGGGTGCAGGCGCCGAGGGGGTGTAATCGTCATCGAGAAAGTCAACAAGATCAGGGGCAGCTGCTTTCGCGGGCTCCGGCTGCTTTGTTTCGCGCTGGGTACGGGGAGGGCTGGACTTGTGCTGTCGCGATGGAGCAGCGTCCGCTTCATCATATTCGTCGTATTCTTCGAACCGATTAGAGCGCCGTGCGGTATCCTGGAACTCGCTAGTGTCGCCTCCAAATCCACCACCATCGCCGTAAACACCTCCGCTGTATCCGCCAAAAGAAAGGCTTTCACTGCCAAAGCCTCCATATCGGCTTCCGGAGCCACCTATGCCACCGCTGCCCATGCCACCGCTCATGCCCGAGCCACCCTCAAATCCGCGGAACTTGTTACGGTTGGTCTTGGCCTTCTTTCTCTCTGAGCGGATCATATCAACATCGCCCAGAAGCTTGACCAACTCCGCGGCACGGTTTCTGACATTGATCCCTTGGTCCTTCCCGTTGTTATCGATGAAATGGAATTGGCGGAGCATCCGGAGAAGCGACATATGAGATCTCGCATCGTCGACAACACGTTCCGACCCGTTCTTAACAAGAAATTCTAGCAGTTGTAGGGCCTAAAATTGGCAATCAATACCGGTCAACGGAAATCCAACATACTTCTGCTTATCGTCACTTCCGGGTATTCTCCTACCTTGTAAATCTGCCGCCATTCCTCCGCAGTCTTATCCGTAAATCGTTTGTAGATCATGGGCATAATCTCATTGAGTAATTGACTGTCAAACACCGGCCAGACCACATCAGCAACAATTTTGTGACCCTTTGCGACAGACGGTCGGCGCGAGGAGAGGAGGAGGGGGGGTTACTGACTAGCTGTGCGTTCCCGTGGCGATTTCCTGCATCAGCGTCGTGGAGGCACCCCAAGGCTCATTATTTGTAGCTTCTCGGACCTATTGCGCATCAACAACCACGTCCCAAAGTTATCCATCCCGTACTCGAAGCATTTGGAGTTCGGGGTGGGTGCAACGGGAGCTACGGGATAACAACAACTAACCTTGGCCTCCATTTCGGTGTAATTCATGACAGCTATAAACAATTAACAAACGACAAGCCGGCTTAAACGACGCATTACGCATCCAGAGCACTCGAATAAAGGCGAGTGGAAAGAAGAGGTGACAACTATGGCGTACCATTTTGGACCTTGCGCACTCCCGCTTTGAGATCGTACAAGGTCAGGTTGCTAACCTGGTTCTTGAGAGAATCGAAATCCATGGTGCATGGGATGTGGACCAGGGGAACTGGCACACGATCAAATAAACAGGAAGGAGGAATATATGATACAAAGGAAAGAAGAACGAAGGGTGAAGGGGAGATGCAGCCACAATGATGGAGGTTCAAGATGAGGCCCTTGTGTTCCAGCTGGCATTGCCGTTGGGCCCCAAGACGTCACGTGGCTGGCCCCCTGAACTTATGAAGAGTTACAGCTTATTCTTGTCCATCATTATCATTATAATATGCCATTCTTAATTAATACGTACACGTGCATACATACATTGTTTCATCTAAATCATCACAAAGAAATAAAAGGGGAATCGAGGGCGAATTGAAGTGGGTAGGGAGAAGGGTAGGGTAATCATATCAAAGTAACAAAGTAACTATATGGCCAGCATGCAGAGAAACGAAATCACAAGTAGGGAGGGTTGGTCGCTAACACAAACAAGCGAAAAAGAAACAGAAAGAAATAAAGAGAGGAAGCCAAATAAAATAGAAAAATCAAAGAGCGAGAAATTTGCTAGAGATGACTCTGAGCATGTGCTGCTTGGGCCACCATGTAGGAGGGGTGCTTTTGGCTTCGTGATATATCATGAAGGAAAATGGGGGGATATCATAATAAATAAATCAGAGAAATAGGGAAATAGGGAAATATGAAAGAAACATTATGCAGCAAAAAGAGTAGAAAACCTCACCAACCCTAAACCAGAACACCGAGTGACGGTCAATCATTCATTGTAGAACTTCCTCATGATTAGATGCAGGAATAGGTTGACATTGACTCGTAGGCTTCCTTCGAAAAAGTCGAGGAACTGCATGTTGTTGAACTGAGCTTGTAGCAAGTCATCTAATGGAACCTGGGCGTTGGCTCCGGGAACCATCATCGGGCCACTGCTTCCATCAAGGGTGAAGACTCCGACTTCATTACTCGAAATGGTCAGGTCGACTCGATCCCACTGGCGCTCTGTGTACCCCTTCCAATAGACTAGTACACCTTTGTCTGCCAGGTTGCGCGCCGAGTATTTGTACGAGCCAAACTTGAACACTTTGCCGGATTTTTGGAGCTCGCGTTGATGGTCCCATTGCTTGGTAAATGGCATCAGGAACCTCTTCTTTCCCTTCTTGTTTTGTAACGTGATCATTGCTTGCTCAATGTAGTCATTGTATGTCTTGAGCTGCTGATCCAACCATCCAGCTTGGTCATTGAGGCGTCCTAGTGTCTGCCGGGCACTCTCTAGTTCTCGCTGGCGCTGGATTCTGCGACGGTGCTTTGTTCGTATATCAATTGCGATAGCGTTCAAGAGATCCTGGTAGTGATTGTGGCGAGAAATCTTTCCAGTTCTTTCGAGCTGCAGGATATTCTCCAGTGCCGTACGCTTCAGTTCTGAGTAGCTCATGGATGCTATGTCCACTAAGGAATTGGCCTCGGAGTATGCACTTCGTTGCGTGTTATTGGTACTCAATTCATCACGCACAAAGGACATCCATTTTTCCTCGTCTTCCTCCATGGGAGGCGTAACCATGATCTCCATCAAATTGGCACCGGATTGTACGCGGATAATGTAGAGGACACATCTCTTTGTTTCCATGAACAAAGCTTTGACATTTGCTTCTGGATCTAATGGTGCATTTTAGTAAGAGTTCAAGTCCAACTAGAGCTGCCGGCGCGTCTTACCTTCTACTTGAGCAAGCTTGGGGTTCAGAGTGAGGTTAATTTCGGAAGAATTAACACTCATCAGCTCGTTCTCGTTCGATTTGACATTACCCAGGTCACGAATGACCTCCTTCAGAATATCATCTGGATTCGGGCAAATGAAGTTGATGTTTGAAGCAACGAGTTGGTGAATAGAGAATATATCGGACATCTTGATGTATAGAGTCGGCTTCGTTTTGGCATAGAGATCATTGAACTCATCGATGTCAAAATGAGCTTCGGCATCCTGGACAGAGATCACTGTCGCATGTGTGATTAGTATGTGAAAAAAAAAACTCTTTAGTTGGGTATGAGTACTCACTTTCGCCCCAAATCTGACCCAGGCGTTGAATAGACTCTCCGATGTAGGTATTCAGGGGTTGGAGATATACATTTTCTGCGCCAAACAGCCGCCCGGATGCTACCTGAGCGATCACTTTTGCAATCTCCGACAGGTTTCGTTTTTGTTCCTGGGTCAAGCCCCTGTCTACTACTCCGTACTTTTCGGGTTCCATGATCGCAGGCTGGAAGTAGTTCTTCCACACCCAATGGCCCACAGTTTGGAGAATAAATCCGGGATCCTCCCCAGGAAATCGGGCAAGCAGACTTTCGTACATCTGCTGAGCGATAAAGCGGATCCCAAAGGGCATGCGGTAAAGAAGCTCTTCCATCGCAGAGAAAAACTGGTCAGCAATATCTCTGAGATCTTGTAAATTTTGAATGAAAGTCCCCCGGGTCTCAGGATCACGGATAGCTTCCTCTCTCGGGATATCTAGTCGGCGTCTGCTTCGCTTTCCAGTGCGCAGCTCTTCATTGTTGATAGCAGAGCGGTAAATTTGGATAGGGTCACTCTCCAGGTCAAGCTCCGGGTTGTCAATAACGTTCTCCTTCACCACCGTATTGAGAACGTCGCGCATAAACTTCCGATCCCTTGGAGACTTAATGTAGGACGCGAAAAGTTTATTCCAGAACGAGTTGCAACGTAGATACTCGTGCAGGGAATCGAAGCTCTCGATCTCTTCGCGTGCAGAACGAGCGAGAAGCTTAATGAGGTAGTACTCCTCGCGCCTTTTCTGAGAATAGCCAAAGAGACCCATCATCAAGTGTCGAATCCTCTCATACTCTTTTTCTGGAGCGTTCACCTCGCGCAGCCTTCGGAAAAGCTTGGCGAGATATTGTGACTGCGTCTGCAGGAGGAAAAAGAGAACCTGATAGTGCTCTAGTTTTCTTCTGGAAGTCTTATTTAAAGCCTTCAGGTCGAACGGATCTTTTGACGATATCTCCGTATTCGGCAGAAGATTTCCCACATGGCCGCCAAAGTGTTTTTGGTGCTTGATAACTTCATCTAGCGTGATCTTATTTTTCACCAGAAGAGCAATCTTAATGTCGAGTTGACTGATGTATTGTTCGGCGAGTTCATTTTGCCGAACCTGCTGGACCACCGATTTTCTTGTCCGTTCAAACTCGACTTCCTCATCGAAGTCAAATTCGCTGTCGTTCAAAAGGTGCACAAATCCTTTCACGGTTCCAACCGGAGGGTTCTTGCCGGTAGTAAGGCTTTTATAAGCTTGACCCTGGATTCTGCCGCGAACGAAGCTCTGAGCTTTGATCACCTTCTCCATGTTCTCATTGTAGTAACGTCGCTTCTCCTCGAACTTAGCTCTAACCATGTGTCCTCTGATGAAAGCCTGAAGCTCGGTGACGATGTCATCTTCAGCTGCAAGCTCAGCGAGTGTCTGGCCGACCTCTACTCGAACGAGCATAGCTCTGATGTGCCCTTGGAGTTCACAAATTTCATCATCGCAATCGTCGAGGTCTTCTAGTATCCCACCGACGTGGATTCTCAAAATAGCGGCGCGGCTGAGAGCCTGGAGATCTGTGATAACTGATTCTTGCTGTCGTAGGACGGCTGTGTCTTCGTCCAGCCTCCTTCTCAGAATAACCGCTCGGGCTCTACTCTGGAGTTCAAGAATTGATTCGCTTTCATTGGCTAGTGCTGCTCTTTGAGACTGCACAAATGACCGTACAGCCTTAGCGCGGGCCAAGCTTTGAATCATGATGAATGAAGGGACGTGCTGCGCTAGTTCCTTGCGTACTTGTTCAAGTCTGTCTCTCACGGCAGCACCACGAATCATAGATTGCATAGTCATGAATCGACTTTCTGCCTTAGCAAGAGATTCCTTCAGCGCAGACTGGGAGCTCCTGACCGCCATAGCCCGAGCACACGACTGGATGAAAGTAATTACCGGAGTCTCTTGGCCAAGTAACCCCTGCTGGTGTACAATGGCTTGACGTAACAACATACCACGAATCGCTGCCTGCACAAGCTGCGCGTCGTTTCCAGATTCGGCAATCTCATCATGTTGGGCATTCATTCGATTGCGAAACATCGCGCCTCGAATAATGGCTTGGAGACCTTCCACATTGTTCTCAGCAGATCTCGTTGCCTCGTATTGTTTTGATAGCCGGGCACGCTGCAGAGCACCACGGATGCTAGCCTGTAGAGATCGGATTTGGTCTTCTGCGCCCTTGCTGTCATCATAGAGATCATAGACAGCTTTGCGTTGGAGTGCACCTCGAAGAGCGGCTTGGATCTGCTTAATACCAGATTCATGTTTTTGCATCTGGCTCTGCAGATAGTTGACCTCGGACCTTGTTTTCGAGGCTCTTATAATGCTCTGTAGCTGCAGAATGTCATATTCAAGAGCTTTGTGGTCTTGTTTGGTATTCCTTTGACGAGAGCGAACAATAAAGCCCCGGCAGATGGCTTGCAGATTGACAGCAAACATACGCATGTCCAAACGATACTGTACAATTTGGCGAGTCCAGTCTCCTCGTAGACGTGATTGAAGTTCGACCAACAGCGGCTCAAAATCCCATAGATCGTTCATGAGGTTGCCTAGCTTCAGTCGTAGTATGGCGCCTCTGATCTGAGATTGAAAATCCGTGATGGAGGTTTCATTCTCGTGTAATTCTCGCTGGATTCGATCTTCCTCAGACTCAGGTTCCGGTTCGGGCTCTGGTTCTGGTTCTGCCCCAAAATTGGCAGCCATGCCGCTGAAACTGGGCATACTGACTCCGGCCTTGTCGAGACCTTTTTGAGTCTGTTCAAGCTCGTGATGCTCAAACTCCAGCTGACCAACAAGGTTACCCATCCGGAAGTCGACGAGCCCTTTCTTAAACAGCAACCATGATAAGGCGTGGATGCAGTGGATGACCTTGGGGATGTTCTTCTTCTCATACAGATCGATAAGCTCAAATCTGAAGAGCTCGGGTAATTCCACCTCGTCCAAGAATCGAAAGAATAGTGCGATGTTATCTGAGTGTCGATACTGGAGCTTTGGGTGTCGAAAGATTCGGAATGTTCGGCTTGGGTACATTGCTTGGACGACCTCGCCTAGGGTGACTCCATCCCGTAGGGCTTCTTCGAGCTGCACGATGGGTGGAATTTGTTGTTGAATAACTTCTTCAATCCACTCTTTGGCTTCTCCGATATGGCAAAGATACTCGTAGGCTTGCAAAAACTGGCGTTGCTTGTCCATCCAGTTGCCAGCCGCCCATGCCGATGCAGGCTTTTTCTGCGCTTTCAAAACCTGATTTCCGGCTACGGAATCAGATCTTTTGAGCCGTCGTCGCCCATTTAATCCTACCACGGATGGTGTGTAACTATCAAGCTTAAATTCTTCGGTTCCTCCGGACTTGGCGAATCTTGACAGGGTTCGAAGGTGTCCCGTGGAAGATTTCTGGAATGTTTCGAGGTCTGGAGCTGTGAGGGCCGTTGTTAATGCCGGCGCTTGTGGACTTGACAAGCTATGAGAGTGGTGCGCCCTAACAACGGACTGCGTATGAGGGGAGCGCTGATGGGGCGAGCTGGGCGTTGGAGGGGAGTGAATGTTAGGCGACTGCTTCTCCCTTAGAGGCTCGACTTCTTGATGCTGCGCATAGCGTGCTTCAGGAGTGCGCGGTCGATTTTCTTTCCAATGCTGAGGATTGTCGATTGTTTGGCTTCTCGAGTGGCGAAACGCGACCTTTTTGACCGTTGTAGGAGAAGAGGCATTGGGAGCCTGAGGAAGCGGTCGCAGCGAACGACGGATATTTTCATATGTTGCGCCCGCGTTGGACCACTCTGAGCCACCTTTCGTCATGTTTTCGTGGATAGTTGGAGGGTTTACTTCGCTCTTGCCACGCCTATGGCCGATCCCGGATACGGAGGTCATGGAAGCATTCGAGGAGACTGTGCTGGTGCGGCTAGGAGCAAATGATCCCGAAGAAACAGAGTATATGGATGAGTTTGTTGACGCCGTTGAGCCATGGCGCAATGGACTTGATGTTTGGGTCGGAAAATCGGTCTGCACGCGGCGGAACGACGCTGAATGAGTTGACATCACTGGAAGGATCCCGAGGACAGGAATGCAGAGAGCAACAAATATAGGAAACTATCGACCTCAACGGGCCGCATACCTGCTTCACGAAACGAAGCAGTCCACAAGGAGAGAGGGATTGATGTGCACGGGCACAACTCGGTAGAGGGAGACTTTAGTTGGGATGGAATGCGCATTCAAGGGAGCAGCTGCATTGCTCTCTTTCTCTCTCTATGGTTACGGGAAGAACTCGGCGGGCGTAATCGGTTGGTATAGAAACGGGTGGTCTCCGTCCCGCAGAGAATCTAGAACACTACCTGGAGGGGGGGGAAATGAACGAAGAAACTAGAAGGAAAGAAACAAGGGATAAAATAGAAAGAGAAACGATAATGGTTAATTCCTCAATGGCCCCGTATCCCGATAAAAGACAGAGAGAAAATCAGGAGAAGATGGTGCTGATGGCGCGCAGCGGGGAAAGAGAGACAAAGCAAGAAAGAAGGAGGGGGGCAGGAAATGGGAAAGCAGGAGGCAGGAAAAACAAATCTCCAGATCAGGTATAGTTCGATTGATCAGCTGACTGCGCCACTCAGCTCTTGGCGATCCTCCAGCCACAATTAATCGGTTGGGCTGAAAGAAGTTATCGGATTTGGGATACGAGAAGAAGCATGGGGTACCTTCTCTAACGGCTTTTTTTTCACTGTATCCTGTAGTAATATGGCTAGGTCTAGGTAGTTATAATTCCATGGCATGAAGCCATGAAAGTAGTTGATTGAAGAGATCGTCCCAGGATTGATTCGATCGGGTGGCACAGCCGCAATCGAGATGCCTGACATTCTTCAGGGTACAGAGATAGATAGATAATGTTAATCTCTATAATTCTTGGCTATTATTTAACTAAAACCCCTCCCATGCTTATATGGGGAATAGTTTATTGGAAGCTAATACTAGGTACTTACTAGGGTCTCCTCCATATGTAAGTACGGAGTACGGAGCACGGAGTACCATCCCAATGCACCTGAACCAGGCCACAAACATCATCCCGCCTTGGCAACTGTCTATGTACTCCGTACCTACGTAGGCTCTCACTAAACTTACAAACACACACCTCCCAACCTCTCTCTCTCTCTTCCTCCTTCTTTCTCATCACCCATCTGGACCTTAATTCTCGCTCAGATCTCCAAGATGGCTGATAGTGAGCCCATCTATCTCTACAAGCTTATCCCGTCCACATCACCTGTGCGGGAACCTCTTCCCGAGCGCCTTCCGGTCAGTGAGATCGACCAGCAGTCGGGATTTGTTCACCTTTCCACATCATTACAGGTTCCCAATACTCTGAAAATTTTCTTCAAGGATGAGCCTCTTGTTTATATACTGAGGATACCATATGAGAATGTAGCCCAGGATATCCGATGGGAATCCCCCGAGGGCCACGTGTGTGGTTCACGACCAACGGAGGGGTTATTTCCGGTATGTTGCTACTCCAGTTCCGGCACATGGCATTGACCCCTTTTCTGGTTTCAATAGCTAACAAGGATAGCATTTATACAACGGCCTCAAGCTTGGTAGAGACGAGGTAGAGAGCATTGGTGTATGGACCAACGATCATGGATGGGAGAAATCCCTCGCTCAGGCAAAGCCATGGCTTCTATATTGACAAAATCTGTGCCTTTCACAGCTATTCAACTAAGCTGTGAATATGTATATATATTTCCGTTAGTTTCACCCTGTCTTTCGATACCTTCCACTAATTCATCAGAGTGTACACTGAGTACTGGTTATGCTACAAATATTCTTTTACTATTAGTGTCTCTTTCCGCCATCGTCATGGTGTTGCAATCCCCCATATCGAATGCACACTAGATCTGGAAGTAACCATACATACTAAGTTTCTCCCCCATGGTACAGGTTACAAACCAAATTTCAATTCTCTCTCTCGTTCCTGGGGTTTAGACGGGGTAGACTCTACTTCAACAGACATAGTAGTGTTAAGCCAAGGATAGTACTGAAATTGGGATGCTGGTCGCACGTGCGAAGTACCTGCAGTAAATTAAGCTCCAGCCTGCAGAGCAAAAACCAGGACAAGGACAAGACTTCTCATGATGGTTAGAATCAAACATTTGAACTACCCTAGCACCCCATATATTATGTAGAGAAATAGGGATTCTTCACTTCATAGGATTCGGAATTCTTCCGGCCAGGTACAATCACGAACTAACCGTTTCCGGTGCAGACATGATTGGTCATCAACTTCCCCTCCTTTCTCACCGCCTTCATCCATTCGTTTAAGCAGCCAATCATATTATCAGTGAATTTTGGACTACTCCCTTTCCGGAATAGTAACCACCCAGCAGCAAACCTTTTTCTTCTCAGCTTCGAAATTTTCTTCTTTTTCTTTTTTTCTTTTCTTTCTTTTCTTTGGGAAAGGAAGACTTTCTCCATCAACAGAACGTTTCTATCGTCGATCTGTTGATTCTTTTTTATTTCTCCTCCATCATATCTACGGGTTACGATAGAAGTCGTAGACTACCCCCTTTACACAATGCCAATTGCCAACGGTGACGCTCTGGGTCGTGCCATGACGGCCGAATTCCAGGATCACACGAAGGCTCTGGAGGTGCTGAAACAGTACACCACCAGAGATGGTCTGGATGTTGATACCCTGCTTGACTCTGACAAGCACGGTGCACTGACCTACAATGACTTCCTCATCCTGCCCGGATATATTGGTAAGCCATTGTGCTTGACTCTTGTCTTTTGTTCGATGACTGAACTTGATGGCAAGGCTTCCCTGCTTCGGATGTTACTCTCGACACACCTGTCACCAAGCGTGTCACATTGAAGGCTCCTCTCCTGTCTTCTCCCATGGACACCGTCACCGAGCACAACATGGCCATCCACATGGCTCTTCTCGGTGGTCTGGGTGTCATTCACCACAACTGCTCCCCTGAGCAGCAGGCCGAGATGGTCAGGAAGGTTAAGCGCTACGAGAACGGTTTCATTCTGGAACCCGTAGTGCTATCTCCTACTACCACCGTTCGGGAGGCAAAGGAACTGAAGGCCAAGTGGGGATTCGGTGGTTTCCCAGTTACTGGTAAGTTTGACTTGTCTTTTTTTTTCTGTCCATTTTTCGTCATTTTCTGCTTCATTTTATTATGATGATCTCCATCTTTTTTCTCAAATAACTTTCGTTCCACCGAAGCAACGAAAGTTGCAGTGTAGAGAAACAGATTTAATCTGATTCTTGACCATTCTACATTGATTTGTTGGCCTTCGTGAACAAACCGATTCTAACATGGCATTTGTTCATAGAAAACGGAACCCTCCGCTCCAAGCTCGTTGGTATGATTACCACCCGCGACATTCAGTTCCATCCCAACCTCGACGAACCCGTCACTGCCGTTATGGCCACTGACCTCGTCACCGCTCCTGCTGGCACAACTTTGGCTGAGGCCAACGATGTCCTCCGTAGCTCTAAGAAAGGAAAGCTGCCCATTGTGGATGAGAACGGAAACCTCGTCTCTCTGCTCTCCCGCAGTGATTTGATGAAGAACCTCCACTATCCTTTGGCTTCTAAGCTCCCCTCTTCCAAGCAGCTGATCTCTGCTGCTGCCATCGGTACTCGCGAAGAGGACAAGACCAGACTGAAGCTCCTTGTCGAGGCTGGCCTCGACATCGTTATCCTTGACAGCAGTCAGGGTAACAGCATGTACCAGATCGAGATGATCAAGTACGTCAAGAAGACCTACCCCGAAATTGATGTCATCGGTGGCAACGTCGTGACGCGGGAACAAGCCGCTGCTTTGATTGCTGCTGGTGTCGATGGCCTGAGAATTGGCATGGGCAGCGGTAGCGCCTGTATTACACAGGAAGTCATGGCTGTTGGCCGTCCCCAGGCTGTTTCTGTTCGCAGTGTCTCCTCTTTCGCCGCTCGTTTCGGTGTTCCTTGTATCGCCGACGGTGGTGTCCAGAACATTGGTCACATTGTCAAGGGTCTCGCTATGGGAGCCTCTACCGTCATGATGGGCGGTCTTCTGGCCGGTACCACTGAGTCCCCTGGTGAATACTTTGTCAGCAGCGAGGGTCAGCTTGTCAAGGCTTACCGTGGTATGGGCAGTATCGCCGCCATGGAGGACAAGAAGGCTGGTGGTGACAGCAAGGACAGCAAGGCCAGCAACGCTGGTACTGCCCGTTACTTCTCTGAGAAGGACCGTGTCCTTGTTGCTCAGGGTGTTGCCGGTTCTGTCCTTGATCGTGGTTCCGTCACCAAGTTCGTTCCCTACCTCGTTGCCGGTGTCCAGCACTCTCTGCAGGACATTGGTGTGCAGTCTCTTCAAGCTCTGCGCGACGGTGTGAACAACGGATCTGTTCGCTTTGAGATGAGAAGTGCCAGTGCTCAGGCTGAGGGTAACGTTCACGGTCTGCATAGCTACGACAAGAAGCTCTACTCCTAAGTGGTGAAAACTTAGTAGTTAGATAATAATTTTTTTTTCTTGTTTCTTGTGGATTTTTTTCCCCCACGTCGCCCTTTATTAACAGGGATTGGCCACATGATGATATGTTTTACAATGAAAATAAAAGTACGGGCATGAGGATTAGGAGTTGATTTGGCATGCAGACTTTATTAGATTTATGTTATCAGTATTTAAAATTCATACCAATAAACCACGTCCCAAATACTGAAGTTCATCGACGTAGATATGTACCTAGTTATTGAAGTATTATCATGACTATATATATTCCAAGGGCATATCTACTATGTATGTATGATGATATAAACACCCCATGAAAGAGCCTCGCCAAGTAATAATAATAATCTGTATTAAATGACTATAATGATGTAAATATAAATTACTAAATAATATAATCAATAACCCCTACCTACCTTACTCCCGCACAACCAACCAACCAACCCAGTCCGTCTCGCCTCTTCCTTTCCTCGCAGACCCAGCACTTCTCTCCAACATCGCACTCTCCAACACTACCTGTCCAATCTCCCATACATCAACCTCAAACGGACCCCTTCGTCTCTGGCGTCTCTTCCATGATCGAAAAAAAAAAATGTACGTTAACGGATCAAGAAGATGGCATCCTGTGCAGATTTGGGGCGTATTTCGGGAGGTAATTATGTAAATTGTCTTTGTGCTGGGCTTCGGGGAGACCTTGAGTTGGCGATGATGAGAATAAAGGGGACTGGTGGCTGTAAGGTAAAGTAGTTATATAGAGTTGGTGTTCTATCGTTACCTACGTGGTTCAAGTCTCTCCTGCTGGTTAGTTACTGGTTGTGTAATTGAATTGGTCTTGTTGTTTTTGTACTTGCGAGATCCCGTCCTATGACTAGGTAGGTAGGTATCCTTTGCTGGGGGGAGACCCTTTAGTTATGACGGTTACGAGTAGGAAGACTACCAAGGTAGAGAGAGAGAGAGAGAGAGAGAGAGAGGTATGTATGTTGATGGTCGTGTACTACGATGAGAAGTGATTTTGAGAAAGGATGGATGCATTGATCAACGATGCAAGTGGGTTTGACTATATACAGGAGTGTGCTTCCCAATCCTCTCAGATCCAACACCAGTCCAGCCCAGATTCCATGCCTTGGATGATATAATAGACATGTCGATCTTGGATAAGTTACTCATGAACAACATATTAGTAGCTATCCGTACCAAGGAGGGAAGGGAAGGAAGGAAGGAGTATCTGTGACTAACCTTTTTTTCTTAAGGGTCTTCGACTATATCCCAGGCCCGACCCAGCCACCCAACCAAGGCCCGGGGATTTTAAGAAAGATGGCGTTTGTGTTGTTGTAGATACCTAGGTATAATGCTGTCCCAGGCCCGCCCAGCCGCCCAACCAAGGCCCGGGAATGTTAAGAAAGGATGACGATGTTTTAGATATAATGTTAACCCAGGCCCGACCCAACCACCCCACCTTTGCCTGGCCTGGGTATAGCCCAGATAACAGGATGAGCCTGAGAGAAGATAGATGGAGAGGAGATAGAATGAGTAACCCAGGCCCGACCCAACCACCCCACCATTGCCCGGCCTGAGTCTAAGTCCCAGATACCAGGATGAGCCTGAGAGAGGATAGATGAAGAGGATATGAAATGAGTAACCCAGGCCCGACCCAACCACCCCACCTTTGCCTGGCCTGGGTATAGCCCAGATAACAGGATGAGCCTGAGAGAGGATAGATGGAGAGGAGATAGAATGAGTAACCCAGGCCCGACCCAACCACCCCACCTTTGCCCGGCCTGAGTCTAACTCTCAGATACCAGGATGAGCCTGATAGAAGATAGATGGAGAGGAGATAGAATGAGTAACCCAGGCCCGACCCAACCACCCCACCTTTGCCCGGCCCGAGTCTAACTCTCAGATTCCAGGATGAGCCGGAAAGAAGATAGGAGGAGAGGAGGAGAGGAGAAGAAGGATTGGTCCCAGGCCCGCCCTGCCACCCTACCAAGGCCTGGTGTCGACTGCATGGCAAAGACTGATATAGCCAGCCAACTGGTGTTATCTTGAGATCTAAGAAGTGATTAGAAGGAATTCTCGAGGAGACAGGAAGGGAAATAGCACGAAGCAAACCTACGAAGCTCAAAGTCACTTCCTAGAAACAAAGGTGGTGCAGTCCAAAACTTCTGATCAGCCAAGTGAGTTTTCATAGACTCTGTAGCCACTATTATCAGGGTAAGCAGTCGAAAATGATGAATGAATCAGATCTACTTACAGCCTTGGAAACATCTACTCAGCCCCACCATGTAGATGGCCAAGCTACAAGTGGGAGATGGGTCGCGATGGAGAGAAGAAGAAGAGAGGTGGAGGAGGGAAGAAGGAGAAGAGAGAGGGAGGAAGAGAGGGGGAGAGGTATACCCTGGAGATGAGAAAGTTCTGGCACGGCGATGACAACACAATTCGTTAATTGAGGAAATCTGAGCAAGACATTACGAGTTTTCCCTAGTAAAAATCATCAAGATGATTCAATTGGCAAAATTTCCTGCCATCATCATTCCTAGAAGTAGAGATATATTACGACAAAAAGGGTTATATCCAGTGTTGAGGAACAGAATTCCGACCCTGAAATGAGTCATAGAATAATCCCATCAGGTATACAATACAGTAAGTATGCAGAATAGACTAGAGTCAGATATACAAGAGTCAGGAAAGAAGCGTATATACTGCTATAACTACCAGCACCTGTAACTATTCGTGGTCTCTCACGGTCCCAAAATCCAGCAATACCATCTGTTCTTTCCTCAAAAGAATTCCCATATTGAGTTCCTGAGGACTAGGGATCCAGTATAGCTAATTATATAAAATGGTCTTTCGTCTGAGAGAAGCCATGACACCATGAAGAAACCACCTGGTAATGTTGAGGTTATCAGTGTATAGGTAGAGACGTCATTCTGATCTACCACACTGGAATATGTATACCGGGACTTCAGGCGTAATAACTGCAGTTGTAGTTCCTGGTAATAATTAAAGGAGGTACAACTAGTATATACTATGCGTACCTCTACATCCTAAACCTCCTCTGTATAACTTCAAATAATCCCTGGGTTCCACATGGCGGATCTAACCCGAACGCTTGATTCACGCGGGGTACCTAATAGTTATGGACATAGCCGACCGAGCCTAGGTTCCCGCAGGTGGCCAAGGTTAACTCACTTGTAACCTCTCCGCTCCGCGACAATAGAGAAGGTCCCCTTGATGCGCTTCGGATGCATCTGCTAAGAAGGTCATGATCCCAATTGCCCATGTGTCTTCCACATGGTTAATCCTCCAACCCCTTGGATACCAACCGCAGCTTGCCCGAGCTTTTGGAACTTTATCTTCTCCGATGACACGACAGCCTTCTTCCTTTCATCGGAATAATCGAGCAAGCTCGTCCCAAGTACAACCCCAGTCAACCTCTACGCCACGGAATATGTCACCCAAGCAGAAGTCGGCGCCAGCTGAGCCGAGGCCTAGTTCAAGGTGAGCTTTCCGGTTTAGAAGAGACCAGGCGCATGGGTTCCTAGTTGGAAATAGGAAATGCACAACGGGATCGATAAAGGTGAGGCTAACCCGACTCAGTGTGATCCTGGTATCGCCCAAGAACGAGGTTCTCCTTCTTCATCGCGTCAAGACCTCGACATCGTTCGCATCAGCGCATGTGTTCCCTGGAGGGAACCTCTCACTTCAGGATGGAAGGTGTCCTCCTCCTGGGGATCTGAAAAGACATGAGGATGCCCTGTGGTACCGCCACGCCGCTATTCGAGAGACGTTTGAAGAAAGCGGCATCCTTCTCGCGAAAGATCAGAACTCCGGAAAGATGCTTGCTGTCCGGGACGAAGAGCGCCAGAAAGGTCGACGACAAATTCACCAGCAGCAAATTACTTTTGCGGAGTGGCTGAGGAGACAGAATCCCGGCGCTGTACCCGACACAGGTTGGGCGCCATAATCTCCCTTGCGCTTGATTACGTCCAGCTAATCATATTATTTTGCAAATTCAAGATAGTCTAGTCCCCTTCACACGATGGATCACCCCTACGAATGTTCCCAAACGCTACACTACGCAGATGTACCTCTACTTTTTACCGCTTCCTCTCGAGCCGGAAAAGTCGATCTTGAATGAAATTCCTGCCGACGGCGAACGAGAGGAGATCCCAGTTCCAACAAGCGATGGAGGCGTTGAAATCACCGAAGCGTTATTCCTACCTGCGTCTGAATGGCTCCGTAAAGCTGGACAAGGAGAGATCATCCTGTTCCCACCGCAGTTTCTCCTGCTAAGCCTGGTATCACAATTTCTGGACAAAGAGCCTCAGGCTTCCATTTCCCCAGACACAATGCAGCAACGGCGTAAACAACTCGTAGACTTTGTGTATTCCGGCAACCCACCTTGGACGGAGAAGTGCATCTCCCCAAAGGTCGGGAAGATGACAGAGGACGGGCGAGCCGTCCTCAAACTTGACCATCCCGGACCTGAACTCCAGGGAACTGGGCGCAAGGGCGAATCTGACCGAGTCGTCATGGTACGATTCAAGGATGGAAGCGCTCGTGACCTCAATCTGGGGTGGAAGAAGGATATATTCCCTGGCAATAAAAGCCGCCTTTAAATTAAATTACCATCTGTATATAGTCTGTTAGTTATCATAATGCCATTTTTCATCCAAGCCTGACTTGGATTTGGCAATACATACCTACCTGCGCCACAGACACACCTGCCACATATACTGCACCGCCACGCCACACTGACCCACCAAACCCTCGACAAAAATCACATGACCCACACAACCCGCCCAGCAGCCGAATTCAATGAGCGCGAAAGCCAAAAGTCGACACGCCCGTCCAGTTCACCTCGCCAGCGCACCTCCGATACTTTACCGTTCGTCGTCGACCTCAGACAACTACAACCGCCAAAATGGAGAACGAGAAGGGAGAAATCGTCGATCTGTATGTATTCACTTTTATTATTTTTTTACCTGGGGGAATGGAAGAAAAAAGAAACACAAGAGGAGGAAGAACCGTCGACCTGGGGGACAGAAAAGAAAAAGAGACCGAATATCTCGACAAGAAGAAGAAGAGATAGAAAGAACCCTCGAAACGTTTTCTCTCACTTTCACCGCGCGATTTTTTCTACCCCTTCTCTCTTGCCCGAGATATTCGGTTCTTTCCCATTACAGGAAAAGCTACCGACATCAGAAAGGAGAGAAGATATTACATGAATCAAAACCAGGACAAAAAAAAAAAAAAAAGAACAAAATACTAACATCAACTCTTCTTCTCACTTACCAGTTACGTCCCCCGCAAGTGCAGCGCCACCAACCGCATCATCAAGGCCAACGACCACGCCTCCGTCCAGATCTCCATCGGCAAGGTTGACGAGAACGGCCGCTACACCGGCGAGAACCAGACCTACGCTCTGTGCGGCTTCATCCGTGCCCGTGGCGAGAGCGATGACTCCCTGAACCGTCTCACCCAGCGTGATGGATACATCCGCAACGTGTGGACCGCCAGCCGTCAGCGCTAAATTGCGACCCGAAACCCCTTTTGTTTTTGTTTTTTTTTTCCAAATTTAAACACGAAATAAACCAAGAGAGAGGGAAAGACAAAAAAAAAAAAAAGCAAATCGCTATGACACCGATGAACGATTCTAAGTTGAGCCGGCCGGAGGAAGGGGGTTGGGTTGGGTTGGATTTGGTTGGATTGGTAAGATAACCTTTTTTTCTTCTCTCCTTCTCTCTTTACCATGGGGATGGATGGAGTTCATTAAAACAACACTATAGACAAGAGCTAACCGTAATGAACAGGATGAGATGTTGATCCTACTACGCCTGATATGAAGTTCATCTTAGCAAAACCCAAAAACAATTCTTAATTGAATGAATATTACAGATCATCAATCAATCAATCAATCAATCAATCCATCCATTTCCTTACTCTTCATTTTTCTGCATTTCTCTGTCTCTTGATATTTTCTTGATCTTTGTTTCTTCTCTTGTTTTCGGATTCTCCTCGTTGTAGTCAGTCAGTCAGTCCGTCCGTCCGTCAATCGGCTCGAAATGCCTCCTCCTCTCCCGAGGATCAGATTGAATGTTTTAGGAACATGCATCTGCTCCTCTTCTCCATGAGCGAGAAGGTAACCTTCGTAGGATCTTTAACTGTCCATTTGCCGAAAGATTAATCGTTTCCTCCGCCTGCTGAAGAGCCACTGTTGCAGAGATTTGCGCTGGGGCACAGATCCGGGTGGGACATTTTCCTTCTGATTCTGATTCTGATTCTTAGATTAGATAGGATATGACACTCCCAGTACTCCGTACTCCGTGTGGAATGCAATGCAAAACTTTTTATTCTACTGTATCTGTGATCTGCATAATCTCATAATTTGATTGTATGGGTATATCATGATGATGATTTTTTTTTTCACGACTCTATTCAACCATGATAGGAATGCCAACGCGCTACATATCGGTCCCTTCTAACAAAGAAAGAAAGAAAATTTTTTTTTTTGTTTACTCCTTCTCTAATCTTACCGCGGGGTTGGTCTCGATGAAATTCAAGTCGACCTTGTGGCCCAGGAGTTCTCGAATATTGCTCACTCCGTACCTAGCAGGGATAAAAGATTAGACGGGGAGATGTTAACCTGGGGGGGGGGAAAAAAAAATGGACCACTTACTTGATCATGGTTGGGCGCTCAAGACTGAGACCCCATCCGTAAACCCTCATGTCTTTAGGAAGCCCCATTGGCTCCAACATCTCCGGTCGGAACATACCACTGTTTCCGATTTCCACCCACTTGCCGAGTCCCTCGTGGTAACCGAAGATCTCCATACTAGGCTCGGTGTAAGGGTTGTAAGCGGGCTTGAAGCGCAGTTGGTGAATGCCCATCTTAGCGAAGAAGACTTCCATGAAACCGATCAGACCACCAAGCGTCAGGCCAAAGTCGGCAATGACACCCTCGATCTGGTGGAATTCAGCCAAGTGAGTGGCATCGACAGCCTCGTTACGGAAGACACGATCGATACTGAAATATCTGGCGGGTCGGGGGTTGGCTGCCAGCTTGTGCAAAATGTACGTCGAGACCGAGGTGGTGTGTGTGCGGAGGACCAGGCGCAGCGCCTCATCTGCGCTCCATGGGTAGCGGTAACCAATGGAGCCGTACTTGCCGTCCTCGTGGACTTTCCGGACGTTGTCCCAGTATTCTTGGTAGTCGAGCTTCTTCTCGGGGGCAGAGGATTTGAACACGCTCTTGGGGCGATGAGGGTCCTCCGCGGGGTCCTCACGCGGAGGATCAGCCTTCACTGGATCTGAGATATAGAAGGTATCTTGGAGGTCACGAGCGGGATGTTGCTGAGGCACGTAAAGAGCGTCAAAGTTCCAGAAGCCGGTTTCCACGAAGCGGTTGGTCGGCATCTCCTCGAAACCCATCTCGAAGAAGATGTTTCGGAATTCCTGTCGGACCTTGTTGAGGGGGTGCAGGGCTCCGGAGGGAGTAGAGGCACCCTTCGCATTGAAGTTGTAGGGCTTAAAGTGGGTGTTCTTCCACGATCCATTCTGGAGCATTTCAACAGTCAAGTCTGTTTCCTCCTTGACAAATTCTTTGGCAAACTTGGGGCCCTTGGAGATCTTGAAAGTGATGACCTTTTGGAAAGTGACCAGCTTCCGTCGCTTCAAGTCCGTCAGAGCCTTCTGATCGGAGAGGGTCTGGGTTTGCTGGATGTTCAACAGCTGTGCCCTGGTCTCGTCGACGATGGTATCCGTGGTCACACGTAGAATGTCCTTATCCTTCTTAATCCAGCCTCGCTTAAAAGCATTACCCTGACCAATTTTGGCGTTCTCCTTTCCAACAATTCCGGGGAGATCTCCAATTTTCAGACCGTCCATGGCGGCGAGGACTGCCTCAAAGACCTTGGCTTCGTGGCTACCATTGTTGGCAATTTCCTCTCCTTCCTTTGACAGAGCAGCTACCTCTTTTTCAATTGTCTCATATTCAACCATCTGCCTCGAGGCTAGACGATCCAGCGCACTTTTGATATTCAATGAGGGGATGGAGGGGAAGGCTTCGCTGGAGATAATCGGGCCATCGGTGGCGGACAGGGCGCCCAGAATAGGGTTTGTCATATCGGACGCCATGGTTGCAATGGTCGACCACGGTGCGTTGACGGGAGAGGGATGAAGGGAATGCGCAGACGGTGTTGGGGGGGAGGGGAAGAGAAACTCAACTTGAAACTCGGATATTGACTCAATCCCGCCCACTTTCCAATTTGTGACTCTTTTCGGGCCCTCTTGTGATTACGGGGGGCGAGATGTGCCAAGGGCGCTCTCCCGTGACTTACCCCGCCATCTGTTGCTCGTTTTCCCCCCTGCACTGGTCAATACTAAGGAGATTGATTGATGGTTTATTGGTGATATTCGGTGCATCAGAACCATATCGATTTGACTTCTCATTTTGTTTCGACTGTGCATTGCCGGATCTGCCTGCCCTGCGAATTATGCTTGTTCGCCACCTGGGTAGCTTGAGGGTTATGTACTACTTCCTTGTCTACACTTTTTCTACTCCGTACATCTGACCAAAAACCATCGGGCTAATTCCCTCTTCAAGATGGGTATCGCCTGCAATTGAATTACTCGCAGAACCTTTCCGCCCTGTTTACCCCGTACATGGACCTTTTGGGGGTACTTGATCAAACTCAATGTTAAAAAAAAAACGTGCTATCAAGGGACAAACTGGATAATTTAGACCCTGGGCTGTCAACACCGCAAGGCCCAGGTCCGGTCATTTGGCTGTCTTGGCCAGTGAGAAAGGGGATCATCTGCAGCGGTCAGGACGCTAAGCATGCCAGCAGAAGATCTCTGGGAAGAAGAGCAATTTCAGCCGATGACGCGAATCCTCATCGTATTTCGAAGAATTCGCTTTCCCAGGTGTGTGTGAAACTTCATAGGTTTCGAATCCCCAGTAATCACAGAGCTGTACTCCCGCTGTCCAGGAAGGATTGGATTATCTCTGATGCTGATACGTTGACCTGTTATAAAGACTATTGCTATATCTTGACTAGCGGACGGAATCCTGGCCAGTTGAATCTGAACTTACTCCCTGAAGCATTAACTAACTTACTCAAGTCGAACAAGTAACTAACTAATTTCCAGGAGGAGGTTAATATAGACCCCTCCCTAGTAGCCGAAATGGAACAAATGGGTTGTGATTGATTTCAGCGATCCGCCTTACCTATGATCAACTAACTGCCTTGGTCTTTACCTGTGAGGCGCAGGCCGTACCGGGGAATAGCTTGGGTGTATATCCCAAGCATCCGCTGCTCACTATTGGCTCTCTTCGCCAGAAATGGTGGATACACGTAGCTAGGAGCAAAGATATACTCTAGGGCCGTTAAGTGATCTTGACTGATGATTCAGTTGATTTGCTTGCGTGCCTCGTCTGCACGGGCGGGGGACAGCACGGCCCTGACTGACGCCTCGCCTTGTAGGTATTTGGCACTGTTTCTTCTATTAGGAATTGATTCGAATGAATTTAATTAGGTCTCCTACCTCGGTACCAGAAATGGTATGTACTCCATAATTCATGAACCGAAGAAGTGCGTTTATGGCCACGCACTTTTTCTTTTCTTCTGTCTTACGGATACTGGAGAACTCATCCAGAATAGATAATAAGAATTGTATTGACAGAGATGGTCGTGTTAATCGGGTTATCATTGAAGTACTATACTATGTATATGTATGCAGGTAGGACTGTACCTACCTACTACTGACCTACCTATTTGAAATTAAGAGCATTCCCCTGTTAGTAGCATACTCAATTGAAAAAGAGGTGGTGTCAACATATATTATATTATACACATCACCATCCTTATTCCTTAGAATTTCCTTGCCTTTCTTTGTTTGAACAAAGGACTACGGAGTGCCTACCGCTAAAATCCACCAACACCTCAAACCCAATAGCAATCATCCATTCCGACCCCTCCCCATCCGCCTTTTTTTTCTCTTTCTCTGAAGATATTTCTCTCTCTCTCTCTCCCTCTCTCTCTTTCTCTTTCTGTATTAGAATTGAGTGAGTGAGTCTCGCAGCTGAGAGAGAGCCTCGCTGACTGATCCATTCTCTCCTCCTCCTCCTCCTCCTCCCCCCTTTCACTCTTTTTTTTCCCCTTGCAAATTTCCATCCTTCCTTTCCTCCCCGCCTCAAATCTCAACTTCTTCATATATCTCCTGCATTTTGTTCCTTGACTATCGATTCTCCCGAACTGAACTGCTACTCCGCCTCGTCTCCCATCATCCTTCTCACATTGGCCTATCTCTCTCTCTTCCCCAAGATTCGCCCCATGTCGTCCTAGCCAATTCACTCGATCATTCGTGTCAGTAACACGGCTTCCCGTCAGTAAGTTAGTTCACTTTTCTTCTCCTCTTTCCCCATCTTTTTTCTTTTCTTTTCTTTTCTTTCCTTTCCCGCGCCTTTTAAAACATCCCCTAGTTCCCTGGCCTCCGTACCCTCTTCTCTCTTCTCTCCTCGTCTTTTCCTATCTCCAATTACTGCCTCCCCGGGTTTCTTGATTTCTGCTTTCTATCCTATTCTTTTATACCCGATACTTTCAATAGGCTCTTTTATCCACTCCCCCATATTTTTTGCCTTGCTCTTCCTGCGTGACACCCCGGGTTCCATGAATCGATTCTCGTCGGTTACCTAATTTCCCCTCTCCTTTTCTTTCCAGATAAATTAGGCCGGGAAAGGAAAAAAAAACCAGAATTATTTTACGACCATCCATGCTTATGTCTGATTTTGATTAAATCGTCCAGGGCAAAATGGCTTGCGCGGATGATACCCTCGCGGCTGCTACTGCCATCCTCCAAGGTCTTGCGAGAGATGCCCCTTCATCCGGATCTCCCTCCTTCGACTTCAACTTCTCCGCAAATGGCTACGACGCGAAACTCGGAAAACTTCCCGGAGAGCCCAGTGTAGCCAAGGTCGCCTTCGAAAATGAGTTAGAAGCCTTGGTCCGTCGGGTTCATCGGCTAGAAGTCCAATCTGTCAGTAATAAAGCATCCCTCGGAACCCCAGTTCAGTTTTCTGAGTACTCTCTCGCCTCCAACGGGAGAGAACATGATGTTTTGTCGTCTTTTGGTCTTTCTCGTGTGTCACCCGATAACGCTTCTGACTCTTCTTGCACCTTGCAGCAACAAAACTCCGGCCGGAAAACCCATCACGGAAACAAGGCTTCCAAACCGGGAGAGCGCGACATCGACGATAGTGAGGATGAGGAAAGCGATGACGAGGATGCCGGATCAAGGACACGATTGGTACGCGAGGAAGATATCAGCTATCTACGGAATCATGTACAGAAACAGGCGGAGGAAATAAGTTTTCAGAAGGATATCATAACCCAGGTCCGTGAAGAGTTACAACAACAGGAAGAGCAAACGCGACGGGCCCTGACAAAGGTTGAGAATGAGGATGTGGTGCTCCTTGAACGAGAGCTGCGCAAACACCAGCAAGCCAACGAAGCGTTCCAGAAGGCTTTACGAGAAATCGGGGGCATTATCACCCAGGTCGCAAATGGAGACTTGTCCATGAAAGTGCAAATCCATCCCTTGGAGATGGACCCCGAAATCGCTACTTTCAAGCGAACAATCAACACCATGATGGACCAACTACAGGTTTTTGGTAGCGAGGTGTCGCGTGTCGCTCGTGAGGTCGGAACCGAAGGTATTCTTGGTGGCCAAGCCCAGATCACAGGGGTCCATGGTATCTGGAAAGAACTGACGGAGAACGTCAACATCATGGCCAAGAATCTGACCGATCAAGTGCGTGAAATCGCGGCGGTTACTACCGCGGTCGCCCATGGTGATCTTAGCCAAAAGATCGAGAGTCGGGCCCAAGGTGAAATTCTTGAGCTCCAGCAGACTATCAATACCATGGTGGACCAACTTCGTACATTTGCAACCGAGGTCACCCGTGTCGCGCGTGATGTCGGTACGGAGGGTGTTCTTGGGGGTCAGGCTCAGATTGAAGGTGTCCAGGGCATGTGGAATGAACTTACGGTTAATGTGAACGCTATGGCGAATAATTTGACAACCCAAGTGCGAGATATTGCGACCGTCACCAAAGCCGTCGCCAAGGGTGACCTGACCCAGAAGGTCCAGGCAAACTGCAAAGGAGAAATCGCAGAACTGAAGAATATCATCAATTCTATGGTTGACCAACTCCGCCAATTCGCCCAGGAAGTCACAAAGATTGCCAAGGAAGTCGGTACGGATGGTGTACTCGGAGGTCAAGCGACTGTGAATGATGTGGAAGGCACATGGAAGGATTTGACCGAGAATGTCAACCGCATGGCTAACAACCTGACCACCCAAGTCAGAGAAATTGCGGACGTTACCACCGCCGTCGCTAAAGGCGATTTGACCAAGAAAGTCACCGCGAACGTCCAGGGTGAGATTTTGGATCTTAAGAGCACCATCAACGGTATGGTGGACCGACTGAATACTTTCGCGTTTGAAGTCAGCAAGGTCGCCAGAGAGGTCGGAACTGATGGTACTCTGGGTGGTCAAGCCAAGGTAGACAACGTGGAAGGAAAGTGGAAGGATCTCACCGACAATGTGAACACTATGGCCCAGAATTTGACATCCCAAGTCCGAAGTATCTCGGACGTCACCCAAGCTATTGCCAAGGGTGACTTGAGCAAGAAGATTGAAGTGCATGCCCAGGGAGAGATTCTCACCCTTAAGGTCACAATCAATCACATGGTGGACCGACTCGCTAAATTTGCAACGGAACTGAAGAAGGTCGCACGGGATGTCGGCGTCGATGGCAAGATGGGTGGCCAGGCCAATGTAGAAGGCATCGCTGGAACTTGGAAGGAGATTACGGAGGACGTCAATACCATGGCAGAAAACTTGACATCGCAGGTGCGCGCTTTTGGTGAAATTACAGACGCGGCAACTGATGGTGATTTCACGAAACTCATCACCGTTAACGCCTCCGGTGAGATGGACGAATTGAAGCGGAAGATCAATAAGATGGTGTCGAACCTCCGTGATAGTATTCAGCGAAACACTGCTGCCAGGGAGGCCGCCGAGTTGGCGAACCGCACCAAGTCCGAGTTCCTGGCCAACATGAGTCACGAAATTCGAACTCCTATGAACGGTATTATCGGCATGACACAGTTGACTTTGGACACCGATGACCTCAAGCCTTATACTCGAGAGATGTTGAACGTCGTGCACAACTTGGCGAACAGTCTGCTAACGATCATTGACGATATTCTGGATATTTCGAAGATTGAAGCCAACCGAATGGTCATCGAAAGTATCCCCTTCACGGTGCGCGGCACTGTTTTCAATGCTCTCAAGACATTAGCGGTAAAGGCCAACGAGAAATTCCTCAGCCTGACATACCAGGTCGACAATACCGTTCCCGACTATGTCATCGGTGATCCCTTCCGTCTGCGACAGATTATCTTGAACTTGGTCGGCAACGCCATCAAGTTTACCGAACATGGTGAGGTCAAGTTGACGATCTGTAAATCGGACCGTGAGCAATGTGCTGCGAATGAATACGCCTTTGAGTTCTCCGTATCCGATACCGGTATCGGTATCGAGGAAGATAAGCTTGATTTGATTTTCGACACCTTCCAACAAGCCGATGGATCAACCACGCGCAGATTCGGTGGTACAGGCCTTGGTCTTTCTATTTCGAAGCGTCTTGTGAACTTGATGGGTGGTGATGTCTGGGTCACTTCCGAGTATGGCCATGGCAGCACATTCCACTTCACTTGTGTGGTGAAGCTTGCGGACCAATCTTTGAATGTCATTGCATCTCAGCTTCTGCCGTACAAGAACCACCGTGTTCTTTTCATTGACAAGGGAGAGAACGCTGGTGAGGCAGAGAATGTCTTGAAGATGCTCAAAGAGATTGAACTGGAACCGCTGGTCGTTGAGAATGAGGACCATGTCCCCCCACCAGAAATCCAAGACCCTTCCGGAAAGGAGTCCGGCCACGCCTACGATGTTATCATCGTCGACTCGGTATCTACCGCTCGATTACTCCGAACCTTTGATGACTTTAAATATGTTCCTATCGTTCTGGTCTGCCCATTGGTCTGTGTTAGCTTAAAGTCCGCACTCGACCTTGGAATCAGTTCCTATATGACGACACCCTGTCAACCGATTGATTTGGGCAACGGAATGCTCCCGGCTCTTGAGGGCCGCTCTACGCCAATCACTACGGATCATTCTCGCTCATTTGACATCCTTCTCGCCGAGGACAACGACGTTAACCAGAAACTCGCCGTGAAGATCCTGGAGAAGCATAACCATAATGTTTCTGTTGTGAGCAATGGGCTGGAAGCTGTGGAAGCCGTGAAGCAACGTCGTTATGATGTTATCCTCATGGATGTACAAATGCCGGTGATGGGTGGTTTCGAAGCCACTGGTAAGATCCGAGAGTATGAGAAAGAGAATGGTCTGAGCCGAACACCAATTATTGCCCTCACTGCCCATGCTATGTTAGGTGACCGCGAGAAGTGTATACAAGCCCAGATGGACGAGTACCTATCGAAACCTCTGAAGCAGAACCAGATGATGCAAACCATTCTGAAATGTGCCACTCTTGGCGGTTCGCTTTTGGAGAAGAGCAAGGAGTCTAGAATCTCGAGTAGCGGGGAAATGCACGCAGTTCACACGGGACCGGATGGCAAGGCACAGCGTCCGAACATGGAAACTCGATCCATCACATCATCCAGCGCCATACACCGCGGGAACCTGTCAAGCCCAAGCACCGAAAAAGGCGAGAACCTTGCGATGGAGAGGGTAAGATAATAATAACCCCCTCGAGAGGAAAATGTTTCCTTGGTTCTAATTTTGTCGGTAGGCCTTGCTGCGGTCTAATAGCTCGTGAGATGATGGGTTTAAGACATCTTTTTTTCACCTTTTTCTCTTGAACTTGACGAGTTGTTTCTTTCCAGGCCCTATATACCCCTTCTATTTTCGCACCCATAAGGAACTCATTTTGGGTTTTATGACACGTTGTACTGTCCTCTCACGCCCTTTTCGTACCTTGAATTTTTTTTTTTTTTTTTTTTTCCCCTACAGAAAGGAGACTTCCTCATCAACTCTCACCCTACCATTCCATCATCACTTCACCTCCCTCCGCCTCGACTCTCGGTCAATTACTCTTTGTTTTGCATATGTTGTCGCTGGTATCATTTTCGACAGTCTATCGTGATCTGTTCCATAGTATATTTGTGATTTCGGCTGTTACTTGCTGTGCCAGGTACTTCTGGTGTAAGGTGTTTGGCGCATGAAACATTGGCGGGCAATCTTTCTTTGAATAAGCTTACAGCATGAAATCAAGAGAAGGGGAAGGGCGAAATCTCAGCAACAGCCAAAGGAGCAAGCATCCTTTCGGGACAAAAAGTTGCCGACACTTGCAGATCGACGTCTCTCGCATATGTTCCATCCATCTATTTGCTCCTGATTTTTTCCCTTTTTATCTTTTTATCTTTTATATTCAAACTAAACTTCCTTTCTCCGTTTATTATAACGCTCGTCATTGCTGAGACTTGATCGCAAACACCCTTCTTTCGATTTCTATCTGTATTGTATTTAATCTTTCGCATAATCATATTAGCAGATGACCCTTTTGGGTTGGAGTCTGGAAAACGTCAAGTCGGTTGTTCTTCCATCTTCATCTGATCTCTCTCTCTTTTCATTATCTCCTCGATTACGGCCGATATCCAGAATCTCATATTCTCTCAAGTTGTGACTAAAATTACTTCACTTTATAAAAACAAAAACCAATCTATAGATTACTACTACCTTATAATAATAAGTAAAAAAAATACGTCTCCGGACACTCTCCTCTCCTTCCTCTTTAATCATTTTGTTTCTTCCTTTCAATCTCCACCTGCTCCTTCTCAGGAAAAGGCAACAAAAATTAATTCAACAACCAAAAAAAAAAAAAAAAAAAAAAATGACATGACATGACATGAATATACTATATGTCCCCTCTCAAGGCCGCTCGCGAATAGCAAAAATCAAGGTGGCCAAGGTCAATGTCAATGTCAAGACCAAAGAAATCCACATCGTGGGGAAGAGAGGGGTTAGGGGGGGGGAAATAGACAGATTTTTATCCCCGAACAATAGGTGAAGGGGGAGGATAAACCCTATCAGTATTCATGGGAATATTGAACCCCCAAAACCCTCCAGCGTCTCGCTTCCCTTGCTCATGAGTATGAGTACGTTCAATTGGCGTGGGATGCTCTGTTGTCTCAGGTCCAGGGGGTTCACTTCCTTGGGTGACGATAGGGGACGTTTCGCCTGGAGGGACTTCGGTGGTTGGCTGCGGTGTTTCAGCTTCTGTTTCGGTTGCTGTTTTTGTGGGCCGGGTGTGTGTGCGCGTGAAGCTGGGGGTAGAAGGTGAAGCGGGTGGTGGGACAGGATGGGTAGTCGTACCAGGCGTTGGGCGGGAGGGCGTTGTTGCTGGTGGTGATAGTGTTGGTCCCCCTCCGCCACCACCGCCAGGTCGTCCAGGTGTTGGGCTTGGCCCTGGCGCTCCACCCGCTCCTGTTGGTGGTGATAGGACTGTGGGACATCCGGGTGGAATGCCACCACCTCCTCCTCCCCCCCCTCCACCACCACCGCCGCCTCCGCCGCCTCCTCCACCCCCTGGGCCTCCACCACCTGCTCCTCCTCCACCGGGAATGCATGGACCGGCTCCTCCTCCTCCAGGTTGTCCAGGTCCACCAGGCTGCCCAGGTCCGCCGGGTTGTCCAGGTCCGCCAGGTTGTGATGGAGATGGGCATCCGGGTGGAATACCTGGTCCTCCACCACCGGGCTGACCACCAGCTCCGCCTGGACCACCTCCGCCACCTGGACCCCCTGCACCGCCTGGACCGCCTGCACCAGGCTGACCACCACCAGGCTGACCACCAGCTCCGCCTGGACCACCTCCGCCACCTGGACCCCCTGCACCGCCTGGACCTCCTGCACCAGGCTGACCACCAGCTCCGCCTGGACCACCTCCGCCACCTGGACCGCCTGCACCGCCTGGACCGCCTGCACCAGGCTGACCACCACCAGGCTGACCACCAGCTCCGCCTGGACCACCTCCGCCACCTGGGCCCCCTGCACCGCCTGGACCTCCTCCACCAGGTCCAGAGGGTCCACCACCACCAGGGACACCTGGAGTACCGCTTGGTCCGCTTGGTCCTGCTGGGCCTCCGCCTCCGGGAACCCCTCCACCAGGAGTACCGCCAGGGCCGCTAGGAATTCCCCCTCCAGGAGCACCACCGCCACCACCAGGTACCGTAGGACATATAGTGACAGTAATGGTACTCGTGATCGTTTGCTCAGGGGGACATGGGGGGCAAATCGTGGTATGAATGGGAGGGACACCAGGTGGAACGCCAGTTGGGACACCGGGAGAGACATGGGGGGGAGTGCCAGTCGGGACACCGGGAGATACGCCAGGAGGCACGCCAGTTGGGACACCGGGAGAGACATGGGGGGGAGTGCCAGTCGGGACACCGGGAGATACATGGGGGGGAGTGCCAGTCGGGACACCGGGAGATACATGGGGGGGAGTGCCAGTCGGGACACCGGGAGATACACCAGGAGGCACGCCAGTTGGGACACCAGGAGAGACATGGGGGGGAGTGCCAGTCGGGACACCGGGAGATACGCCAGGAGGCACGCCAGTTGGGACACCGGGAGAGACATGGGGGGGAGTGCCAGTCGGGACACCGGGAGATACATGGGGGGGAGTGCCAGTTGGGACACCGGGAGATACACCAGGAGGCACGCCAGTTGGGACACCGGGGGTTGGGACGCCAGGTGGAACGCCAGTCGGGACACCGGGAGATACACCAGGAGGCACGCCAGTTGGGACACCGGGGGTTGGGACGCCAGGTGGAACGCCAGTCGGGACACCAGGAGAGACATGGGGGGGAGTGCCAGTCGGGACACCGGGAGATACACCAGGAGGCACGCCAGTTGGGACACCGGGGGTTGGGACGCCAGGTGGAACCCCAGTCGGGATGCCAGGAGATACACCAGGAGGCACGCCAGTTGGGACACCAGGGGTTGGAACGCCAGGAGATACACCAGGGGGAACGCCAGTCGGGACACCGGGGGTAACACCAGGAGGCACGCCGGTTGTGACACCAGGAGGGACACCAGGTGGGACACCAGGTGGGCTGAGAGACGGCGACGACTCTGGTGGTCCGGCTGGGGGTACACTAGATGGGGGAATCTCTGGTGTGGAAACGGTGGTCTCTGTTGGTTTCTGCCCTCGCGGATATTGAGGGATAGCCTCTGCTTGGCGTAGAATCGCCCATAAGGTAACGATGAGGGCGAAGAGATTATGAAAGGGAAGCATCATGTATGTTGGTTGCTTCTGTCAAGGATAACAGGCTTAATGGAAAGCATCCAGACAGTTAGGGGGAAATGATTCATGGATGCCAAATAGAGATGAGGGAACGGTATATGTACCCCTTAGTGAGTGAGGGCTTATATATGTCATCAAGGTGCAAGTTTCGAAGCGAAAACTTTGATATCGAAGAGATCTTCTAGGAATTTCGGGTTCGTGATCTGGACCCGTCGGAAAAGGGATACTGTTACTTTTGTGCATCATCATCGTGACGATAAATTGCTGGAATATACGAACTGCGAGTCAGTTCCGAGACGTGAGGTCGGGACGGGTCTCCGAGCCTGGCATACATTTCATTGATGTTGAACTGCCAACAATAAGGCATGATCAAGTGTAGGGCAAGCTTCCAGAATGAATTAATATTAATCTAATTTGTTCTTGAGCAAGTGATATATCTGGGTTATTCACTGACTCCACTCCAGCTCACCTGCAACCGGACGTTGAAAATGCTCCCGAAATTATAACTGTAGAGTTTTAGGGTTCGTCAATGGTTGGGCTTTTGCGTAAAATTAAGGTCTGACTTTTTGGCGAGGGGGTTCCCAACAGTCGGAATGAGGCCCGGATTATGGTAATCAAGGACGAATTCCAAATGGTTTAGAGAAAAGTCGATACCATGCTGCTTTAGTAAACAACCCAGGGTCGGCGCCAGCCAACGTGGACCAGCTTTGCGGAGGTCACGCAGACAAGACCGACAGCATAGCAGCAGATTGTAAAGGTAATGAGGCCCCAGTAATTTCCATTGCAGCGGGAGAGGATGTCGCCTGCAATCGGCATGCCGGTCAATGTGCTACAACGTGACACAGGTTAGCTATGAATGGCATGGTAGTAAACAGCAAAGGAAGATTCTCAACATACCCAAAGCTTACAATGGTATATGCTGTGGCATAATATCTCCCGTAGTTCTCGATTTTGCAGAGCTGGGAGATGCAAACTGGGGTGAGACTGATGTTGCTTCCGCTTGCAAACCCGAATAAGACACAATATACGATGATAACAGGGAGGCTGCTACCGGCTGGAAGCCAAAGGCACGTGTTGCAGACAAGACAGAGGGCTACTGTCGCGATGAGGGCATTGAATCGACCTACGTAGTCTGCGATGAATCCCGCAATTGCTCTTCCTAGGACCGAGCCCACGTTAAGAAAGGCTAACACTTGATAAGATAGCTTTTCGGAGGCGCCATGGGCTAGGGCATAGGTTGAGATGTAGCTAACGGGGATAAATAGACCCCACTCAATGAAGAAAATACCAGCCGTAGTCAAAGCGAACCCAGGGTCTCGGAAGATTCGAAAATCGGGAAGTACATTCTCCTTGGAGGCAGGCTTTTTCGGCAGACGCGACTTGATCAACAAGCAGGAGATGATGAGAGAAACCAAGCAGACCAGCGCAACCACTCGAGTTGCCCATGCCCACCCAAGCCTCGGGAACAAGGTCTCCAGAATGAGCGGGAAAGCAATACCTCCCATGGAGCCACCTGTGGCCGCCACGCCGGTTGCGACTCCACGTCTTGCGTTGAAAAAGTGGCCAACAGCGGATATGGCGGGGGTGAAGATTAAGGACGTCCCGAGGCCTCCAGCGATGCCAATTGAAAGAATAAAGTGCCAGTACTGGGTGCAAAATCCCAGGGTAATTACCATAACCATTACCAAGGCGGAGCCCATAAGAACCAGAAGTCGAGGTCCTTTGGCGTCAAAAACAGGACCGATTTGGACCCCACCAAAGAAAGTGAGGAAGGCGAATATCCCAAAGATCCATGCTATACTTCCAGAGCTGTAGTTCTTTAATTGATTGGTCTGGAGGTATGCTTGAAAAGAGCCAATGGTGTTTATCAGGCCCAGCGAGGCGAAAAGCCCCATAAAGCTTCCTAGTACCACGAGCCATGCTTCGAGTCCTCCTTCGGGATAGGTGTTTCCGTCGGCATCGGTTGTCACACGACTGACAGGGACTCGGTGAACCGAGTCATGGGACGGAGGCTCTCCAGATGAAGGTCGGTAAAGACTTTGTTCAAGTGGTGGTTGGGCCTCATGTGGTAGGCTGGGGTCGTGTATTAGCGACAAGTCGGGGTTGATATAAACCACCCCGCAGTTAGGATCTGCACCATCAAGGGTGCTTTTCTCATCGACCCTATTCTGGCTTTGCTCCTCTGGTGACGGAATGGGCGTAGTACAGACGGAGACAAGCGGGGAAGGAGCCTTCTTTGATCCATGTTGCTCTTTGTTCCCGGGAGGGACGTCGTCAGAAAGAGGTCTGAGGTTTGGAGGCATGTTAGTATAACGCTGGACCGCGGTTGACCTTGTTTCCCTCCTCCACAAACATCGATCTCTCTCTCCCACGCCTTCTCGCCTCAAGCATTGATGAACGAGGAGATGGGATCGCACCTACAACACGGACTTTAGAGGCTCAGTGGGAAACAAGGACGCCACGTTCTTTTGGACTTGGATTCCGAGGGGATGCGTTCTCGGGTCTAGGATCCTAGTAGAGAGAATTTGATTGGTAATTCATCGACCGTTAGTTAACTAGAAGAAATTCGATTTGTGTTCGCTTGAGTTGCTTGTGTGCGGTGAGGATGGAGTGGGAGCAGCTCTGGCACTAGACGGGATCAGGAAGGTCATTGGACTACGGAGTATATGTACATTCATTCAACCCTTCTGGTCAAATATCTTAAAGACTACAAGTACGGAAGATAATAATGTGTTATTTCTCCCATATTAAACTAAGTAGTAGGTATTATCTAACGATCATTTGGATCGACCGTATAAGTTTGCAACTGCTGTAGACCGGATGCGGAAGCTCAAAGTAACCCCCCCCCCTCTCTCCTGTCTGAAGTTAGGAATCTTATTAGATTACATTCTATAGTTACTCTTTTAATGCTCTTTGCTTTTCATCCTGGCTTAGGACTATTCGGATCTTATTTCTTAGTGTGCTGGTCAAGGATTCCACAGATCAATATCCGAATAGCCCTCTGTGAACTCGTTGAATCATCCCTGATCTCTCTCTGGTTTCTCTCTCTCTGGTTTCTCTCTCTGCCAAGTTTAGATGTCTTAAGAATTGCAACCCAAGACCAATCAAGGAAGAATCTTTGGTGCGCAGAAATCGTTTCCGGCTGGTCGTTGGACCGCAATGACCCGCATTGGGGTCTGTCGTTGGAACCCCTTCAGAATACGGATTAACATTCTGGAGTATTTTCATATTTTTCATATTTTCCATTCTAGTTGGAAGTAGAAAGTTATCAGATTGGATTTGGGGGTTGAACGCACAGGGACTTCGAAGCTCATATCCCATATCAAATTCCCAAACTGAAATGAACTGAACGAACCCTAAGAGTCCATCATCGTCTCCCACGCTCAAATACCTTCACTGTTCAAATGAGGGAGTGTCGAACAAAGTGGACTCATCCGACGCATCCTGGTGTGGTAGTGCTACCTAGTAGTCTGTATTATAATTTTTGTTTTTTTTTTTTTTCTTTCCTCTACTATATATGCCATCCCAATTACCTCTGTGAAACCCCCCCCCCCCCACCCCCCGCATTCTTTAACATCGCATATCCTCGCCATCTCGCCCTGGACACACTCAACCTCTCCTAGAATTTGCCCTGAAGTCAGCCCGAGCAGCTCAGGATGCCGTTCGGAATCAACCCCTTCCACAAAAATGAGCATCAAGATTTATCCGGAGTCGTCGTGCCCCTCTCTAATGTGCCGGCGCCCTTACATCCCGCGCTAGAAAAGAGAGTACCCGCCGATGAGAAGACTGGCGGTAACAGCCAACATGGCCATCTAACCCTAGAAACTCTGCGTGTCGAGGTGGAGTCGGATATTGCTGCCTCTGGCCACGATAGTGCCTATGACCGTATGCCATGGTTCCCCTGATGCAAACGCTGAGATTCTATTTAATCCCAAATAGGTAGAGAGCTGCTGATTGGAGATCAGGCAAAGCGAAGGTGATCAACAGAGCGATTCAGGATATCGGCATGGGCCGTTACCAGTGGGAGCTGTTTGCTCTCTGCGGATTCGGCTGGTTAGCAGACAAGTATGTTGTTGAACCGTGGATGGATTTGTCTTCCATTTTGAAATCGTGGGCTAATCCGAAGGGAACACGTAGTCTATGGCTGCAGGTACGATTCAGCTGATTCCCGAGCGTCGAGTATGCTAATGCTAGTACTAATTTCGCATACATAGGGTGTGGCGCTCACATTGCCCCAACTGTCGCTCGAATTTGGGGTCTCGGATTCCCAGGTTCGTTTCACCACCTGTGCCTTGTTCTTGGGCCTTTGCATCGGGGCCTCATTCTGGGGGATTGCTTCCGATATCATCGGCCGTCGTCCAGCGTTCAACTTGACTCTATTCATCTGCGGTGTATTTGGCCTGGCCGCTGGCGGTAGCCCTAATTGGATCGGGTGCGTTTCTTTTTTTTTTTTTTTTTTTCTTTGGCCTACTACTTATATGCTCCGTATATAGCCTGACTTGCTAAACAACACATTTGCAGTACTTGTGCATTGTATGCCTGTCTGGGTCTTGGAGTCGGTGGAAACCTCCCCGTGGATGGAGCTCTCTTCCTCGAGTTTCTGCCTTTTGCGTCGGGAAGCCTCTTGACCATGCTTTCTGTATGGTGGCCAGTGGGTAATCTGATTGCTAGGTGAGTTTGACATCTCCACAGCTTGTCGCCTTTCCCTCCAGTGGATCTTGGAAATCTAACATTGTGTGGAGTTTGTTGGCATGGGCCTTCATCCCCAACTACACCTGCGCATCATCCGAGGGACCATGCACGAGAGAACAAAACATGGGCTGGAGATATCTCGTGCTCACGCTCGGCGCGCTGACCCTTGCCATGTTCATCTGCCGATTCTTCCTCTTCCATCTGTACGAATCGCCCAAGTTCCTGCTTTCCCGCGGACGCCAGGACGAAGCCATCGCCGCGGTCTACGGGATCGCCTGCAAGAACAAGACCCAGACGTGGCTCACGGCGGAAATCCTGAACGAAATCGGCGGGTATCCCGAGGAATCCCACGATCATCATCATCATCATCAACCGCTGAACGCCACGGAAAGAGTGTCGAGACACCTCGCCAAGTTCTCTCTGGAGCGCGTGCGGCCTCTCTTCGCAACCAAGAAGCTCGCTCTCACCAGTATGTCTGTCTCTTTCCTGACCTACTTAAGTTATCTATCTATCTATCTATCTAGTTCCTTCCGGGTAGTATCAGCCTAGGCCTAACCTCTCCTCTCCTCTTCCCCCCCCCCCCCCCCCAACAGCAACGATCCTCTGGTTCTGCTGGACCACCATCGGAATGGGCTACCCCCTCTTCAACGCCTTCCTCCCCCAGTACCTCAAGAACGCCGGCGGCTCAACCTCGCCGCAGCAGCCCGCCTCAACCGTGTACCGCAACTACGCCATCGCCGCGGCCGTCGGCGTCCCGGGCCCCCTGCTCGCCCGCTACACCGTCGACCTCAACCGGCCCCTCGGCGGCCGCAAGGGCACCCTGGCCCTCGCGACCCTGGCCACCGGCGTGCTGCTCTTCGGCTTCACGGCCGCCTCCCCGGCGGACCCCCGCGTCCAGCTGCTCTGCACCTGTCTCGAGGCCTTCTTCCAGAACGTCATGTACGGCGTCCTCTACGCTTATACCCCGGAGGTCTTCCCCGCCCCGAACCGCGGCACGGGCACCGGGATCGCGGGGTGTTTGAATCGCATCGCGGGGCTGTGTGCGCCGATTGTCGCGGTCTACAGTAGTGGTGGTGGTGGTGGTGGTAACCCCGATGCCCCGATCTATGCCTCTGGCGGCTTGATCCTGGCGGCGTTTCTTGCCATGTGTTTGCTTCCGATTGAGACGAGGGGGAAGCAAACTTTGTAGTTATTTGGGGGATGGAACTCTCTTCTTTTTTTTTTTTTTTTTTTTTTTTTTTCGGATATATATATATATATATATATACACTTTCTCAAGGTATTATTACTGTTATTAACTATATATTTGACATATTTCCCTCCCCCATGATTTACTGCATGGTGATAAGTGCAACAAGTCCATCCAGATATAGAAATACAGAGATCACGAGTTCATGGTCTCTGGTGAAAATATCTCCCTGACAAAAGATCCTTAAGTAGACGGATGTCTGTAAAACTTCAACCGTTAGTTGATGATGAACTGCCGAGTACAATGGCCCGAGGGTGAATACGACGGCGAATATTTATGATACAACGGAACAGTACTTTCTTGGTGACATCTTATCACAGTTAAACAATTCAAAGTTCATGTAAATTGCTTTGATCTTCAGCACAAGATAGTCCGTCCACACGTAGCCTGATTTGATTAAATATAATATCTATTTCCGTATCATTCCCCCAACCACAGGCTTTCATTCATCAAGGGTAATCCCACTTCCGCCCGTTCAACCACGGCGATTCCTATCGTCTTCGGGTGAAGTTTGGAGGAGCCACCCAAGACCGCGAAAATGTTCCCATCTGACTCGGTTTCCTCGCAAAGCATGGGATCGGTCCAGGATTGGTGCTTATCCGCCTGAGCCGGAGACGTGGGAACAAGTGTTGCAAGTCGAGCGCCAACGTCAGCTCAGAAAATTGACTAACACAGCTTGGCGGTTCAGAATGAGGGGGGAGGTAGAGGGCGGACGCCAGGCACCGGCTCGCGATTCTAAAGTTATGGGTGGAAAGGCCGTTTCTGGCGCCAGAAGATGTCATTTTTGGCGTCGATTTCACAGGTTCCCCCCATATTCTAGTGTTAACATCTAATGATTCACTTCCGAAGATAAAAAAAAAAACAAATTTTAGGCAGTTGATTGCTCTTGATGCCGTCTGCCGCGCCTTTCTAGCAGAGTTGCGTTATCGAGGCTGAGTTCAAAGGGTTGTCGGGCGCCGCGGGCGATACTCTGCTTCGCGGCCGCTGCAACAGCGGCGCTGTGTTGCCCGTAACCCTGTTGCTGACGAGGCTGGTGGGCTTGCCGCACTTGAGCCGCATGGCTGGTCACTCCAAGATTTGTACTTCGCATTTTAGCTTCCATGGCTGCAATCTCGGCGGCGTTCTGGGAAGACTTTTGAATCTTGGTGGGAGGGTACTCGGCCTCATTAATGGGCTGGTAAGTAATCTGTTCTTCTTCATCGCCGTAGTCCTCATTGAGCGGATTGAGTGCCGATTGGAATGCAGAGGCAGGGTTGGTGCCCCGGAATCCACGCCCGGCCTTGAGTCGCTTGCCCTCTTCTTCCTGCCGGTGGACGGCATAACCAACATCGAACACCTCGCGCAAGTTGATCGCGCCCGGGGACCGGAAATCCATGGGACGGTCCAAGCCGGCGGAGGGCTGGTCGAAAAGGCGAGCACTTGCAGGGGGGTAAGGGGCCAAGTCTGCTGCCACGGCATCTAATTGAGGGTTGCGGAGTTGGCGCGAAGCTAGCGGAGTTGCTAGAGGAGGAGCGTCGGCGGCTGCCTGTGTTTCTTCGTTGGTCTCGCGGATCCAAGGATGCGCTAGGAACTGCTTAATGGTGTATCGTTTTTCGGGGTCGACGGTCAGCAAATGAGAGATCAAATCCTGGGCGGACTTGGAGATATCATCCCACCACGGTGACAGGAAGGTGTACTGGCCGCGGGCAACCTTTTCTGTCAAGACTTGGATACTTTCGTCGTAGAAAGGAGGGAAGCCGCAGAGCAAAGTATAGAGCACGCAGCCCAAAGCCCACATATCTACGCTCTTGGAGTATCTCTCATCTTTCACGATTTCGGGGGCGGTATAGCCAACCGTTCCGCACGGGGTCATGGTCTGACTATCCCAAATAACCTTGGAAAGGCCAAAGTCGGCGATTTTGATGATGCCAATGCCGCCGGCACCTTTGCCAGGGAGAAATTCGCCTTCGTCCACTTTGTCTTCGTCGCCGGGCTGGCGCGGTTTGGGGGTTTTCGAGGGGATGAATTCGGTAGGGTAGAAAAGGAGATTCTCGGGTTTGATATCGCTAAGCCAAAGCCAGTATGGGTTAGCATTGAAATGGGATAACACCAACGATAAGAGAAGCAGCACAGAAGTGACGTACCGATGGACCACACCCGAAGTTTCATGTAGATATTCGATTGCCTTGGCGACCTGAATAATGACATGGCGACTAAGTTCTTCACTAAAGTATGTCAATCGGACGATTTGGTGGAATAGTTCACCGCCAGGACAGAGTTCGAGTACGATGTAGTAGTATTGACGGGATTCGGAAAAGCTAATCAATTTGACGACGTTGGGGTGGTCGATTTGTCGCATGATCTGAACTTCTTTCAGGATGTTGGCTCGCTACATAACGGGTCAGTGGATCAATCAGCTAGCCAGGGAGTTCTTTGAGGGACACAAAAAAAAAAAGAGAGAAAGGAGAATCTGTAGGCGACGAAACAGGATCTGGGATAGACTGGCGGCTGGATGGAACAAGGGACCTAAAAAAGAGATGGCGCACCTCTGCAGCTTTTGGTTTCCTTTTGAACTCGGGATGCAGATGGGCGTCGGACTAGATCAAAAACATTGGCGAAATGGCTCGATAGAGAGAGCGAGAGAGAGAGAGAGAGCCAGGAGAATAACGGCGGGAGGACGACCAAGATGGATGGAGGGTATTTGGGTAGTAGATGAGGAGGAAGAGAGAAAGAGTGAAGGAAAAAAAAAAAAAAAAAAAGAAGAAAAAGGTCATTATCCTACCTGTGTGCTGTTCATTTCATATTTTCGAACGACCTTGATAGCCACCTGGTCAAATTCGCCTGTGGTATCCTTGGCCCGGTAAACGTTGCTAAAGGCACCGTCGCCCATCTTCTCGACGAGGATCCAGCGTTCCAGACCTGGGTATTTGGGCAATTTGGACCGGGTGCTTTTCTCTTCGGCGATAATCTGCTCGATTTCGGCCTCCCGGACCCTCTTGACGGGGACATCGGGGGATTTCTGGGACTGCTGAGTGTGGCCGTTTCCCATTTTGCTGTCAATGGCATCTAAATTTCCCGCGGCGGGAGGGTAGGAACCATGAGGTTGACGCTGTTGCTCAGCATGGATGGTCGAGATGTTGGTGGTCGGCTCGGCATGAGGAGTGACTAAACGGGCTTGTTTGCCATGACGTATGAAATTCTTTAGACTTTGAATTGTACTCATTGTGAGGGAGGAGGAGTGAGGAAGAGAGAGAAAGAAAGGAATGAAGGGAGAAGGAGAAGAAGAGGAGGAGGGTGATAGGTATATTATTAAGGATGGAAAGAAGATGATGATGATGGTAGGAGAAAGAGAGAGGAGAGAAAGAGAGTCAAGAGACAAGAGGGAAGGAGGAAGAAGAAGAAGAAGAAGAAGAAGCTTGCGCTGGACAGCTGGGAAAGTGAGGAATGACGTGAAGCTGGATGAATGGAGGGCGTTTTTAGTGTTGAATAAAATTTCCCTTCTTTTTCTCTCCCTTAAGAGAGCCGAAAATGACGAAATTGGAGACTGACTTCGTCGAGTCAGAGAGGGAATCGGATTTCTTTTTTCCCCTACTTATTAGTTGTAGAGGGAGAAGACAGAGAAAGACAGGGAAAGACAGAGAGAAGACTTTAAAAGTAGTGGATGAGGGGCAGAAGAATCCCTAATAAGTGAATAACCCGGAGTAGTTGATCACTACAGCTTAGGAATCTATCAATAATAACTAACTACTAACTAGTTACTTAGGTAGTGGAATATCAACGTCATTTTATCCTTCCTTTCTTTTCTGTCTTTCTTTCTTCTTTTCTATAATTCATCATCAATTCTCCTTTTATGTCATCTTTTACGGATGACGTTGACATCTTGATCGATGTCAGGATGACTCAGCTCAGGATACCTAGAATTGTATAACTAGTTAATTAAAGACTTCAACTCCTCTATTCAACCGTAGGATGGTAGCATTTACCAAGTACTTGGTAAACTACCTAGGTATCTCTCCCGTTCTACTGAATTATCCAATCTCAATGTTGACAAAGAACTTAAGAGGACTTCTGGAAAATACTTGCATTATCATCACGTCCGGGTCCCGTGACTCGCATCTCGAAATACCTCATCCTGACAAGAGAAGTCGAGAACTCAGCTGTACATCAGATCAGATCCCTTCCCTCATCTTGGATCTCATCTCAGTCATCAGGAATTCTAGATCCAACCCGTTCCAGTGACCTTCTCTGGATCCTCTTCTCTATTTTCAGCCCCCTTGGTCTGGATCAAGAGTCTCTGCTGCGTCGTGAGATGCACCTTACCGACGGCTTCTGCTCCTATCAACGTCGTCCATCCTTGCGCCTCGCCTGGAAATCCCCATTCAGTGCCAAACACCCTAATTTCCCCTCCCTCCTGAAAAGAAGAAGAAAGAAAGAAAGAAACCAAGGAATTTGGTTTTTTTTTTCTTGGGAATTACAAAAAAAGAAAGACACTAACTACACATTCTTTGCCTTCGTCAACTTGCATCCTGGACCAATCTCATGTGAAACCACTTAGGTGTCATGATCCTTACCCCAATTAAACCCTCGTGATTATTTTTATTGTGACAGCATCAACCCAGCTGGCATTCTCTCTCAGCTTCATCTGCTTAGGCTCCCGGTGCGCGGTCGGGCGTCCTCGATAAAAAAAAAATGCCCGGGGTCGAGGTCGCTGGCACGTCTCCCGCCTCGCCAGAACATCCAGATCACCTTTTGTTCAAGTCCCACAAGTTGCTCCCTCGACGCTCAAATTCCATTCCAGATGCGCAGGTCGCTCAAATATCTCCCCTGGGCCAAAATGGCACCTCTTCAGACGGTCTTTCATTTACAACCGTGCTTGTTCTTCCTTTAACCCCTCCCGGTGTCGCTCAGGACGATTCTCCGACCGGGACCGCAATGCAAAAAGCGGCTGCTTCCTCGTCGTCTGTGGTTGCGATGCTCACGCCATCAAAGCCCTCACATCCCCCGACCCCGGAGACTACTCCCCCACGAGGGCTAGCTTCGAGTCGATCTGAGTTGAATCACTTTGGGTACATCTCGTCGTCCTCGCGGGCGGAATCGTTCCAGACAGCCTGTGAAATGATTTCCGATGCAGAAACAGAGACACCTCGTCGTTCCGTACCATCGCTATCGTGCTCGACGACGCAGATATCTATCCCAAGGAACGGCGGCCTGGAGCGTAGTGATACCGGATCAGGGGAGACCACACCCCGGAAAACCCAGCCTCCTAATTTTCCCCGAATATGCTCCCGCTCGGAAGTTTCAACGGAAAATTATGCGCAAGGGCACGAGGAAAATTCGCCTATCGCGATCGCCCGCAGACAAGTAGCTTCCAGCGGCTGCGGCCCAGGCCCCCGGGTTATTCAACCTATTCGCGACGCGTCTAAGCGGTCTCGCGATCTAAGTGATGTTGGTGCGCCTGATGATGAGGGTCCTACGCGTGGAAGAAAGGGTCTGCGAGAACGTGTTACCCAAGTGCAGGATTCGCAAGACAATTCAGCGATGGATCAATTTCGCAAGCAAATCGGCTGGCCCGATGATCGACCGGGACCAACAGGGCCCGAGGACATTCGACGGTTGTCGGGTGTGTCCACCACGTCTTCGACAGTTGAGGCTATAATTATCGATACTACTCCACGGCCAGCGAGGCGGGCTCTGCGACATACAGAAAAGAGACTGTCCTTGCGCTCCGTGAGCTCACCCATTACACGATCCGAACGGACATCTATTACGTCGCGTTCAGACCTGCAGCACCACCGCCTTATCCACAAAGCTGCTCGTATCACCGAGAACAACCGCAGGAGCATCGTCTCGGACATCTCCATTTCTGGGAGCTCAACTTTGGGTGCTCCGCAGCCGGCCGTGGACGTGGTCCCTGTGGTGGTAATTCCGCAGCGACGTTCGTCGCTCAAGGCCACCTCGAATTCGACCAGCACCGCTCCGGCCAAGTCCCGCCGCTCCCGTCTGTCCAGTCGACATGTGCCAACGCTCCCGAACAGCCGACGCGGATCCCTGGATCTTCCACGTCAGAGAAAACGTACCTTGTCTGACCCACTTGCCAGCATGACTCAGGTAGCAGCAGACCGTCGCGGCCGTAGCTTTGATCGACCATATATTCCTCCGCGAAGCTCATCGTTGTCCGCTCCGACAAGCCAGAATAATTCTGGGACTACCTCTCTGACCTCTGTAAGTCTCCGAAGCCATACCCTGGCCATCGAAATGGAGACCAAACGTCAACAACCTCCCGAGCCCGCACAACCCGCTGTGGTTCCCAATCCGCGTGGACGAGAGAGGCTTGATGCTGCAGAAAATTCGAAAACCCAATCGATTTTGATCGGCGTGGAAGATATGACCCATTTGCGCCCTCCGTCGGGGCCGTTCACGCAGTATTCCATCCCTTCGTCATCGCCGGGGCCATTTGAGATTGATGAGGCTAGGACAGTGGCGATTTTTCCACACAACAATGAATCTCTACTACTTGTTGACCCGCAAGTCCAGTCGAGCCTGCAAGGAAGGATGCATTTGATGGACCATCATCAGCCCAACCCAGCCCAACCACGCACCCCCGATCCTGCACAGCAACGCGAGCGTGACGTGGACTCTCCATTGAGGAATCCCCGACCACCACCACCGCTTCCTCCTGTTGCCATATTGCTTCCTCTGAAATATGAGCCAGACACGGATCTAGCTCTGAAAGCGGACGCGACTGATGGCGCTACCAGTAGACCTTCGTCTAAGCGACGGGGACGGATCGCTCGACCTCGGTCCGAGTCCTTCAACTCTTTTGTGCGGTCTCTTTCCCTGACATCGGCGAAAAACCCCAAGGCTGGAGAGGACATCGACGGTCGACTGCAGCCATTCTGGCGCCCGCGCCGATTCTGGCCTGAGACTCCTGAAGGCGGATCTCCCGCGGACGAAATGGGTCCTCAGCCCCAGAAAACTGAGCAGTCCGATCAGGTCATTAGCAACTCGTTGGGAATGCCTCATAAGCGGATTGTGTTTGAGGGGCCTCCCATTTCCCCTCACTTAGCTGCAACGCGGCGGTCCGATGGCTCAACGCTTTACCGTCATGCGAACAGAAGCACTCTGGTGGAGAGTCGGATCTTCAGCCCGGAAGCGCTGTATTCCCAGTCCTCTCTGCATCAGCGACAGTTCCCCGCAGTATCGTGGTGGCGGCGACGGGTCCGCTCTGGCATGCTCCGATCTCTCCGGCGACGCATGCGAAATTCTATGCAGCAACGCGCGGAGGCAAAACGTGAAGCTCGACGCGAAAAGCTCAAGCAAAGCATAGGCGAGGCTGTCTTGGTGAACTGCAGCACTCAAGTGCGCAGGGCGATTCAATGATGATCCCGAGAAATGATTTAAATTTTAGATTCTACATGTGTTGACACGATATTTGTTTGATGGCATTTGCGCGTTGCGATTTGGTTTTTTTTTTTTTTTTTTTTTATAACTCTGGGTTCTACTCTATTATTATAACGACTTTACGAAGGAAACGAGAACGAGAAACAGCAACACATCAAGAAAAGAAATGATGACCATAATGATGACCATGATGATGAAATCTATGTATCATATTAACAAGGCCTGCCTGATATAACTTTTTTTTTTTTTTTTTTTCCAGTTGATATGTGATCTCCTCTTGAACAGGTTTTTGAACAATGCTGTAATAATCCAATTAATTACCCTCCAACCAAATATTCTCCTACCCAGTAAGACAAGACAGACAAAAAAAAAAAAATCAACTATCGAATCCCCCCTCCAATCCTCCTCTTCACAGCCAACCCACCATATTCCTTCTCTTGCTCCTTCTCTTTCTCCCGCTCCCGCTCCCTTTTCCGCCCGGCCTCCGCCTCGCCCTTCCGCATCCGCTCCCAAAGCGCCGGATCCAGAAAGGGCTGCGGCGCCGCAGAGAAATCCACCTCGATGCGCCGTGGTTGCGTGTTCCGATCTTGGTCGGGAGATGCCCTGCGTTGTTCGGACTGCATCTGTCTTGTGGAGCGGAGGACAGGTTGCGCGGTTGTGGCTGTGGTGGTGGTGGTGATAGGGGCGTGGGAGGGAGACGAGAGAGGACGTTTACGTGGGATTAGGAGGTGGGATTTGGGTTTTGTGGATTGGAATGGCATTTTTCTTTTCTTTTCTTTTCTTTTCTTTTCTTTTCTAGGAGTGAGTGAGTGAGTGAGTGGTTTGTTCGTTAGATAGGGGAGGACGTACCTACCTAGGTACTTTGGGTTTGTGTGGGGATTCTCCTGTTCAGCTTCAGGTAGTAAGTACTCCGATACTCCGATAGATAGTTAAAACGGTTAAACCCATAATGGGTTATCTGTTTCTCATTATAATATTTTCGCTAATATACTGTACTAGCTCAGGATATGTCAGGAATGATTCGTCAATCATATAACTATATAACTACAGAATTCAAAAAGTTCAGCCAACACGCGCCTGGCGCCTAATCCGACCCAGTGGTGGTCGTATACATCCCGTTGGTATAGTGGTACAAAAATCACATCATCACCTTAATATGACGCCAAGAAAACATGAGAATAAAAAGGAAAGGTCTAGTACGATTTACGCGATCCCTGGTGCCTCCATCCCGGACAGAGAATATGAATAAGGCAGGTCCACCAGTCCGTCGAGGAGCCAGTTCAAGGGGTCAAACACTTCGTAATTCGGTTCCATGAATCCGCTCGGCAGTCCTGCGACTCCATTGCCCGATTGCACACCGAGATTTGCTTGCCCAAGTAAGGGAGCCGGCGCCAGGCTAGGATCTCCACCAGCGATGCCAGGGGACGTGCGCATCGGCCCCACGGACGATGAAGCAGAGGAGTCTGTGTTGGAATCCGGGTTGGTTGGGTTTTTAAGGTACGCTGTTCATCACCAGTCACTGACCTGCTTCATTCTTTTGTTCCGCGGGAACTTACCTTCAATGTTACGGCCCTTGGTTCGGGCATCCTCTCGCCATCGCCACACCGAGTCAAATAAGAGCGACATGCTCATACGACATCGCACCTTGAGCATCAGTGAGTCATCCATTTCAGCGCCATCAACCGGTGGCTGCGGAGACGGTGCGCCTCCCAGCCTCCACATCTGGGCCAAGACTTCGGCGAGCCGTTCAGGAAGATCATTGGATATCACAGATACGCCCCTAATGGCCCAGATAGTGCGATTAAAGAGGCCTTTGGTATAGTCCATATCGATATGCGCCGCAAAAAAGCTCTTACAAAGCTTCAGGAGCGTACAACCTCCGGCGACCATCATCTGATAGATGTAGTACGGGGTGTATGACAGAACCAATCCGACCTCGGTCTGCAGTTTCATGGCAGCTTCTAGGAATGAGGTCGTGGCAAGGTACAGAGAAAGAAGTCGCTCGCGATAGTCTTTTGCAGTTGGATCGTCGAAGAAAGCGGAAAGATGAAGGTGGAGATTAGATGCGCGTAGATACAAATCGGTGATGCCTGCGCCGAGTGAGTTACGAAACATAGAGTGGTTATTTGCAAAACGTACCGTCATTATGCGGCTTAAGATGATTCTCAAGTTCATCCAAGTCGCGGGAAAGAATGGAGATCAAGGTAGACCGTTCCTGGTCACTGCATAATCCAACGGGGTCTCGGCGGTTGGTGTAAAGCGCTTTGGTGACTTTGTCACAGAACTTTTCAATATCAAGCCGGTGCCTGATGCTATCCGGAAGCTTGAAGTTCGGGTCCATAGACTCATTAGATGATAGTGTCCAGTCGTACATCGTAGAGGACGGTTGCCCATATCCGGTTGCAACACTGGAACATAATCGCGTCAGCCGACAATCTCAAGGGCAGGAATGAAATGGAAGGCATATATACCGTTGCGCGACTATATTACAAATAGCCCATGTTCTGACCTTATCCTTAAGCTCTTCTTCAATAAGTTCCACCCTAAACTTGCTAAAGTCCTGGGAATGTGATGGGCGGTGCAGCCCGAGCTGCATGGCGACCTGTAGCATCATGCCACACAACATAAAGGTCGGGTCCGTGGAGGTGCTGCTGGTGGGAAATGGCCAGCTACAGAGCAAACAGAGAGCCTTGACAACATGATAGCTCTGGGGGATGTCTGCCAGCGTACTCCATACCAATCGCGAGACAGGGCCGGAGAGGGAATTGAGAAGGTTGGAATCGGTTCGATATCTTCGAGCACCAACACTAATGATAGTCCAGAATAGCAACGGAGATACGTTGTAATAATCCTCTGGCGACTGACCCCGATCCAGAAAAGGGAGGAACGGGTGATAGTATGTGAAGAACCTAGACCCGATTAGCATAAAAGGCGTTCCAGATTTCTATGCCATCGCCAGCAGACTTACAGATCAAACAGTTCTGTGACCCTCTCAGGTACCACTGCCACATCCTCAATCCGCTTGAAATGCTGGTTCCCATTCCTTATATAGTTTGACCCATCAAACCCAGAGCGCAGGTCAAGCAACGAGGCAACCGCCTCATGGGAGCCCATATATTGATCTGTAGACATGGCGGAAGGTGTTTGGTAAACTCCGGCCGGGCTAACCTGACTGGAAGAGCTCTCCTGCTTGGGAGTTGCTTGAGCCGTAGAAAGCGCCGATGGGGGTTGTGGGGGGCCCCCAGCGTGTGCGGTAGCGATCTGTTTCCTCAACTCAATGATCTCCCGTTCCATTTCCGCGTTCCGACTCCGCTTCCCAATCCGTTTGAAATTTGATTCGATTTTGCAATCAAGTTTGAGGCGACGACATCGAGAGCAATCTGCCCATGGATCTTGGATCACGTCGCATCGTAACTGCCAAAGGGTAAAAACCCAAGTCAGTCTCAGTCAAGCGAGGTACAACAGCATCGTGCCCAGTGACACGAGGATGCAAGCGCCTACTCACTTTCTGCTGTCGGCATTCATTGCAGGCCCGCTTCACAGGCTGCCTTTTCTTCTCCTCGCGACTCTCAACCTCTTCCACATCATCCACACTGCCGGGGGAACTATCCAGCCCCGCCATTCCAACATTGCGCTTCCTGGCTTGTCCCACGCCATCAGACCCGATGGCCGGTGAAACGGATGGACGACCGAGACCTCCCATTACGGGACTGGTGGCAGCAGAAGCATTATTCCGCGGACTTAGTTGAACGGCTTTTCCCTGCAACCCCCCGTCTCCGATGCCACTGGACGATCCTGAGAAAGGCGCCAGACTGAGTCGGATGGGAGATACGAAATAGGACCAATTAAGATCCGAATAACCTTGGTACCGATAAAAGCGATTGTTCAATTTTGTCGAGAATCCAACTGGAGGGTGAAGTTATACAAGAGAAAGAGAGAATGAGGGGAAGAAAAAAAGAAGAAAAAAAATGTACCCGGTGAGGCGAGTCACACGTTCACTAGCCGCAATGAGCAGAGACTTCAATCAGCACTTGGGATCCAAGCGACGTTGCAGGTTGCAACTCGGGAGTTCTCTTTCTCTATATGTATCGGAATGGGGTTTTAACCTTGTGTCCGACTCGTCAACTGGAATGTATAAGATGCTCTGGAACTGATGGCGGGGGCGCAAAGGAGCTGCTCTGGCCGAGTCACGTCACGTGGGAGGAACACGTGATGATAACCGTCCTCTCGCCGGTTTAAGAATCTCGGTCGCTGCTTTAGGAATCCGGAATCCGGAATATACTGTCACTCCGGGTCTTCTACTAGCCCGAGCCCACCAGTTCTTCTACTGTGAATATAACATTGTATCGCTATAATTTCAACTACCCAATTATATGCTCCTGCAGATCGTGCTGCGTCGTCCTCATGCTGTATCCACTGTCGCCCTTGTCCGATACCCGGTCATTCCGGAAAGCTTCCATGCCTTCTAGAAAATCGCTGAAGATCAGGATTCGCGCCTGACACTCCATCAACAGGAGAAACATGCCTGAAGATCGCTAGGCAGTTCCTCTGCATCCCTGACTTGTCTGACGGTGGTGTGACAGCGATAGAAGTTGCAAACTGGAGGGCTGGGGAGCAGCTCGGGGGCTGTGTTTTCCGTACCCCCACCTTTGCAGGCGCCGGGCTTATTATCCACATTATTTGGACAAGCAGAAGCTTAGCAGCACAGGAACAGGGCTTGGTACAGTAATACGAGCCGATGCCCCAGTGGCTGCGTTTTGCAAGGCGCGGCGCACAGGGTCTAACTTCATCAGGGACGGTCCCTCGTTCCGGGCACCAGTGTCTTGCCCGGTTGACGATGAAAGCTGAGAATTGATTTGCCTACGGCCCTCGTTTTCAATCCGTTGGCTTTTAAGAGGTGATCGCTTGCTCCATGAGGTCATTTCTATCCTCGTACTTCGTACACGCCGTAACATTATAAAGAAGCGGGAAACCCCCAGCTCCGCCAAAGCCGACCCGAGGGCATACGGAGTATTATGCATTCATGATCAGTTATTGCAATCATGGGTTTATCGAAAGATAACACAGATATCAAAACAGAGCGAAAGCTCTCTGGGGAAAACCCCCCAGAATACACCATCGCAGAGACAGCTCAGTTGCCGTGTATTCCTCCCTTAAATCTAACCCAAAATACGGGCCCTGCAGAGTATACGACAGTCACTCAGGATGAGTGCATTGCGCATCTTAAATTTCTAGCAGCACTCTCCGATCTACGCGATGCTATAACGAGTGTTCCAAACCAATTCAATATCTCGGACCCCGATCCACAAATATTTGGGTCCAAAATCAACGAGGCATGGGCTTTGGTAAAGGAAAAACGATGGGCTGTCTTTACAGCCAAGGCCGTGGAGCGTTATACCGTTTGGTGGAAGGACTGCTTGAAATCATCTCCACGCCCCACGGTAGATTTTCTTCGAACAAGTGCGTACAGCACAATAGCTTCCAACGCTCACCCTATTTTTTTACATCATGATACTTTACCTCCCTTGGGTAAGTCAAAGCTCACCCCCACTCAAGTCTCGGGTTGCTAATTGGCTGGGATTTCAGATGTGTTGATGGTATGGCATGCACATATGCTCAATCCTAGAGCTTTCCTAGAAGATTGTATACGACAGGGAAATATACAGTTCTGGTCCGGTGGATTCCCATGGGAAGCTATCAACGCTTCTATTAATGACCAAACTTTGAATTACGAGCCCGGAAGCAAAGCCACAATGCATTTTGAAGTGAAGACAGGCCACAAATGGGATAACCTACAGGACTTTCCTCGAAAGCCCTTAAGGTGTCCGGGATGCAACCGTTGGCTTTCGGTGCCTTGGACGGACGGGAAATTAACGCTTCCGCTTGACCAAGCCTTCGAGAGTTGGAATGGCTTCACAGACAAGAACTTCGTTGCCAATTGCCCTAAATGCGACTTCAAGGTCGATCATGGGATTTTGAGAGTTAAGAAGTTTCGTGATGATGCCAAAAAATTGTATAATTCCAAATTTCCGATGCCAGGAACGCTCTATGACATACGAGGCGTCCCCACATCATGGCACCAACCACAGCGGAAAAACAAGCAAGGAGACTTTCCCAATCGAATCATTCGCGCTGCTAGCCATGATCTATTGGAATACACCAAGCCCAAGCTCAAGATGTGCCCTAGTGTAGGGCATCTGCGCGACTACCTGGACACCTTACTCAAGGACAAAAAGATCATGTCTGAGGCCAACAGCGGCTCCTCCCAACTGTCTCTCTACAAAGGAGAGCGTATCGCCTTCCGCCGAATGATGTCTCGTTACTGGGACAATAGTTCCTTTTTCGCTCTCGATCTAGTCGGAGCTGTCGTCCGGCAGGGCACGTTCATCCAGAAAATGGACAATATCAACTGGCTCCGCTCCCCGGCTCTGAGAGAGACCATGCTCCGCCTCATCCGCAAGTACTCTGTCTTCTTCCAAATTATGTCTTCCAACCCGACACGTATGGCTGTCCCCACCCTCGACGTCGACCTAGCCTGGCACACCCACCAACTCGACCCCAAACGATACTACACATTTTCAACCTACCGGACCCAGAAGGACGCCGGGAAACGCGCCATCTTCATCGACCACGACGACAAAGTCAGCGAGGTCAAACTCTCCGATGGCTTTGAATGGACCAGCAAAATGTACCGCAAATACACCGGTGGCGGAATCTACAGCGAATGCACCTGCTGGTACTGCGAGGCCATTCGGGCTTCCGACCTCCGAAGCAGCCACATCTTCTCCATGTCCACACCTAAAGCCCGCAACGCGGCTTCCGATCTCCACGACCGCCCAGATGTCTCCTCCGACCCAAACAAAAACCCTCACATCTCCGCCCACAGCGCCGTCCGAACAAGGGAATTGCCCGCCGACGGCGTCGATCCGAACCAGGTCAAGTTCCTCAAGCTCCGCAGCGACTACGAGAGAGAGCGCCGCCGCCAGGAAAAACGCAATCGTAAGGACAGCAAGTCTACACCTGATCACGGAAGCTCGGGGGACCCCTTTGTTTCTTACCCGATGGTGTGGGGGTATCCGGTCTATGTCCCTTACTACGGCCCTTATACCTGTGACCCTGGCGTGCACCCGGATAGCTACGCTGCGGATCCAAGCTGCATGAGTCTCACCCCTGGATCGCATGGTAACTGCTGTACGGGAACCTGTGGGGGACAAGTTGCGGCTGGTGGCTGTGCTGGGAGGGGAGGAGCTTGTGGGGGAGGCTCTGCTGGTGGATGCTCAGGTGGCGGTGGATCTTGCGGGGGAGGAGGGGGATGCGGAGGGGGAGGAGGCGGTGGTGGTTGTGGTGGTGGTGGCGGCGGCAGCAGCGGAGGGTGCGGCGGCGGCGGAGGAGGATGCGGTGGTGGTGGTTGAAAGAACCGAAGGAGACAGACACCATTTGATGCATTCTTTGCCCTTTGTTGAGAAACAAGATATGATTGGTTTTGTTTTTCTTTTTCGTTTTATATTTCTGATAATACTCTATCCTATGAGGATGCGCAACAGTTCCATGTCATAGCTAGCATGTTATTCATTTTTTTGGTAATAATGAAATCTATTCCCAAATTGAGATCAAACAGTAAGGGCGAACAATGAGGGATCGCCAAATGGGTATCCGTAGACGCTAAGCGCTTGGTATCATTGCTATCCAACAGGTATGTCCATTGGGGTACATGCAACAGGAGGAAAGTATATTCCAAGGTCATATGTAATAAAAAGATTCAAGAAGCGAGAGAGAGAGAGAGAGAGAGAGAGAGAGAATGACGTATGCAACCCGAGAGGAAATGCCCTACATTATGATGCATTTACTTCTCCGCTTATTCCTCTCATAGATAGTCCTCTCATTCCAATCCTCAATCCGCCTCCGCCACTGGTCGGTGGTGACAGACTGCGAGCTAGAGTGGGTGGGATCAGTGGAAGCACGACGATGGCGAGGTGGCATTGTTGCCACAGGTGGCCTAATATCATGAGATTGTGAAGGGCGATCAATTGGTCGGATATAGTCATGGCGCATTGGGGGAATTCGCATTGCCTCTGGAACTACCAGTTGGGTATTTTCGGACTGAAGGTCAGGTGAGGATACAGAAAAGAGGTAGTTACCCATAATGAGAGGAGCTGTAGGAATCGACGGTAGATGGTGTTGCCAGCCTCCCAAATGGTCATTGCTGGAAGTTCGAGCATTCATAGGGCTGGCCCGAGCGGGAGACTCGGGACTATGTTGGATTGGAGGTGACCCCGTTTGAGCAGAAGGCGATATAAGGACTGCTGGGTTCGGTTCAACTGGTAGATCGGTGATATTTTGCACCATAAGGGGAGGGGTTACAGGAGGTTGGGGTTGTGGTAGAGGCACAGTCGGCTCGCTTATATCACTAAGAGTTTGGGGCTGACGAGTGGTGGAGTTGTCTCTCCTTTCGAGGAAGCTGGTTTGCCGTCGCGGGTTATCAAAATTTTCAGGAGAATCTCCTAAATGGCGTCCCATACGTGAGGCTATTCTTGGACCGGTGACCGTGTTCAGTCGGTATATGGAAGAGCGAGATGAAGAGTCTGCCATCATGTTTTCTATACGGGTAGAGAGTGATCTTCGGACAGACCCGGAGGCATTTCCGGTTCTGCGAGCTTGTGCTTGAGGGATCAAAGTCCTTCTGAGATACTCTGGGAGAGGCGCATCAGCTTCTCTAGAATAAGGAGGAGGTGGCGGGACCCAATTATCCGCGTCACTTTCATGGGGGATCTGAAACATTGTGGGAGGGGGCTGGCCATCAAATACACGGCGCGGTTCCTCGCGCAGCCTTTCTCGCCTGCGATTAGCTGCAGCCGCGGTAGCAGCACGCCGTAGGGTATCTTGAGATCGTGGTTGAGTGTTATCGTAGGGGCTTTCGGGAAACGCAGACACATCAGCCTCCCCAGGTTCACTTGAAGTGGCGGAAAAGTAAGCGCTATTCCTACGAGGACGCGCATGGGCGCTGGAACTGGCAGCTGGGTACGAGTCCCTGGTTCCTCTCGACGTCACACCGGTAGAACGTCCTCGAATGACTCGAGTTCTCCTTCTTTCCAGTTCAACCTCCGTGTCTAAACTAGAGCTTGGTTCAGGGAGGTTCATAGGCTCTGCCTCTCCAATCTCAATGTTGATTTCTGTTGTGGCTCCGTTCTTTGCTGATCGGGCAAAATCTAAAAGAAGGACGCGGCCGCCGTCAACAGGAACATCTTCCTCACCAATGGTGGAAGGGTCCACTCCTCCAGGAGCTACGGCCGCCAACCTCCGCTGACTGGCCCTAGAATGGCTCTGCCGTACCCAGCGGGCCGCAGTAATGCCTGGCATGTCCGTCATCTTGTGGCCTTGAATGAGAATTTTTGGTCGGGTAACCACGCGCTGTAGCCGATCAAGGGTCGTCCCCAAAGCCGACATTGTCGCTGCTTGACTTCGACTAGAATTTGATAGGGGCTGCATGTCCCCGGTGTTGCTCACCACAGGAGCAATATCCAGTCGATCGGGAACCCCATACACCCAAAGCCCAGAGTTCTGAAATCCCAGCGCAATGAGTTCACCCTGGTAGTCGGAGGTTGCTGGCATCATGGGGGCTTGTTCATAAAACCCGTCCTCGGACACTGGGCTCGTAAAGTATGCGGTACCAGAGTTTGCATTACTTATCCCAACAGCCCTGAATGCTCCAATCTGGTTGTCAAAGCCAAGAATCCAATTCCCCTCGCCCTCCGCATGTAATGGTAGCAAACAAGCATGACTGTAGCCCTGAACGATGTCGGGGAAAAGGATTTGAGTTGTCCACATCTGGATTTGAACCTCTTTGCCGGAGAAATCAGTCTCCTGCGCGCTATAAAACGGAATAGTTATGGTCACCAAACTGCCCGTCTCACAGTTAGCAGAGGAACCCAGCAGAATCACGCCATCGGAGGAGAACGAAATCGAATCGACACCAGCGCAACGTACGGCCCTTCGCTCAGTTGCGAGTAATCCTTCTCCGATAGCGTATACCTCAACCATATCATTATACGCAATTGCTAGAACCCCACCGTTAGGAGAGAGGGTTAAAGCGCGGGGGACATCGTTTAACTTCAGATTCTGGACGAGCTTCGCTTGTGCATTTGATAAGCTATATATATTAACTCTGTGGGTGGAAGAGGCAACCGCAAGGAGTGATCCATCATCCAAAATGGTCGCATGTAACGGTCGCCTCCAAGTCTTGAGCTCGTGTCTGACAGAAACTAGGTCCGAGGCAACATCGAGCACAACAATCCTAGACGAGCTGATGCAAAGAATGAGTTGAGCATTCTGCGAGAAGGAGAAACGGAATGCTTCGCCGTGTGGAAACGCGGTTGATGAGCTCATGGAAGTCGACATGAGTTTAATTAGAGTTCTGTGAGGTCGAAGAAAGACATCAAACCCATTGCGCCTTATCTCCGAGAAGAATGTATGTTTAAGGAGTGCCAGATCATCAGGCTGTGCCGGACCCGCGGTAGCCTTTTGCGATAGGGAAAAGGAGGGACATTGGGATAAGTGGTGGGAGTAGAGCAAAGATGAGTCGGAGATGCGCCGCCATTTTCGGTTCAGGAGGGACAGAGATGCAAAAGCACTTGCATCAACAACAAAGAGAATGCTGTAGGTCCAGTTAAAACAGCCCTTTTGCTTTGGGGAACGAATGGCACACGCAATGGCCCGAATTGACAGCAAATATCCTAGCTACCGCAGCAGCTGTAGGTTCTCCGAGGACGTCAAAAAAAAAAAAAATAACTTACTACTCAATGACTGTCCGAGGCAAACGGCCGAATGGAGTTGTCGCTGTCGCTGTCGTGGTCTGTCTAACAGGAGTAGCTGGATGCTTCTTCTTTGGCCCGTTTCGCTCGGGTTGTTGGGTTTGGATCGGATCAGGCTGGACAAGCTCGAGCCGCTCCCCACAAGGAAGACGCACATCCTCCTCCATGTTCATTCAAGCTACATCGAACTGAATAGATACATGTCCGAGATCAATCGCATACGATCATCATCGTCGTCGTCGTCATCGTCATCACTCCACAGAAACACCCAAAGAAAGATCTTGAAGGGACCCAGCACAGTTGTAAAAGACGGAGATGGTCGCTAGTGACTTGGGTCGGTGGCTGTGCCGTGCTGTAACATTGACCTTGTCCAAGCGCGTAAGAGAGAGGGAGAGTTATTGGTTGTCAAGGACTCAAGCTAAGCCTGGTTGTTGAGTGGAGCACAATGAGAGGATACCAAACAGCATCCCCGCAGAATCCCAAACTCGCTAAAGATAAACACGACACGATTCCGGGAAAAGACGGGAGACTAAGAAAAAGAAAGGCAGGAATATGATGATGAATGAGGGAGGAAGATGGAAGATGGAAGATGGAAGATGGAAGATGGATGTACAGTACTCCGGACGGAGTAATGAAGGAACATTTAAAAATAGAACGTGACCGGCAACACACGTGGTTGGCCAGGATGCTGACTCAGCAAACCCGCCGCCTTTTTGCGAATTTGCGAAATTGCGATAAGAGAGAGTCGAAGAATTCCAAAGCCGAAAGGAAACGCAATTGCGACCTCTTGTCAAACGATAGAGATCGAGCACGCTGGATGTTGGCTCGTGACAGCTAATCCAACAGAAATCCTAATCAGGAAACGAGCTCACCAGCTTCATCGCAACCCCTGCTCGTCCAGCGAAAAGAATGAATGCGACATTCTGATCAGTAACTCCGTACCGAAATTAGCTGCTTCCATGCCGCTCGATCGAACAACTACCCCAGGGTCTAAGAAGCTTAGGTCTCGGTTCTAGCCCGAAGGTTTAAAAAAAAAAAAAAAAAGAGAGAGAGATAAAGCAAGAAAGAAAATTGCTTCTAGCCCTTGCAGATCCTCTTCAGAGATCCCCGTCATACATCTCGTTCTTGTCTCTCCGTCTTTCGCCGTTCCCCGATACCTCGGGATCGGGGTTCATAACGCACAGGTCTCTTTATTAGAAACACCTTCATACTCATGCAGACTGTGTTGGACAATTGCGATAGCATCCTTGGGGCTCACCATGCCTCCTGCAGCTGTCAAGGCTAGTTCTACCCAGAAGCCTGCGTCTCCAGCGTTGAATGCGGGGGCAAGACCTTACAGGTCACACAAGGTGCGCGCCTGTGATTTGTGCCGGAAACGCAAGTCCCGATGTACTGTCGATATCCCTGGTCAATCGTGTCTTTTGTGTCGAGTTCAGGGGGCCGATTGCCATTACCAGGAGGAAAATCCGCCTGAGCTGCCCATTCCTCACGGCCCGGAGTCGAAAGGATGGCACTCCGAGGGAAGCTTCCACGCAGGTCAGAAACGCAAGCGTACTTCGGAAGCTGGTTCTCCATCACATTCTTCCCGTCACCGCGACGATACGTCCGATCTTCATCGCTCCGATTCAACAGGAGACAGCCGCGGAAGTGAGCCCAGACGCCATGGAGTTGAGGACCCTCATAATGAATCCGTGTTTATTGTCGGACCTGTCGTTGCCGATGACGCCCAGGTGATTGAGAAGTTCATGCCCCCGGAGCAGCCCAATAAGTCGGTGGTACCAAGAAGCCATCCGTATAATGTCTACTCAAGCGACCCAAGGAAGCCCATCCTTTACACCACAGTATCCCGGCGAAGACAGGGTATGCGTGTGGGAATCCCACCAGGAGAAAACCAGAAGGAAATCCTGGAGCAAATACTTGGACCCTTCAAGGACGATCTCGTCAGGCTGTACGCTGTCCCGTGCAATCCAGCTCGCAAGGTACCCCTAGCTAGATGCTAATTATCTCGAGGATTTCCAGGTTCATAGATCGATTCAATGCAGCATTCCCGATATTCGACGGGGAGAGCTTTTGGGAGGCTTATATTTCGGACTCGCCTACCGAACCACCAGCATCCCTTTTGTGCCAGGTCTACTCCATGTCTTTGGTCTACTGGAAACACACTCCGAAACTCGCCTGCCATCCCAAGCCAGATGTCAGATATGCCGTCAACCTTACAGTAGCCGCTCTTCACGAAGAGTTTTCCGCTCCCGGGCTCTCTACAATCAGTGCAGCTCTCATTGACTTGACCGGACGACCGATATTTTCCATGACCGGTAATGCCATTAGCTGTGGCCGAATGGTCTCCTTGGCCCACTGTCTTGGTTTGAATCGGGACCCAAGCCACTGGAAACTATCCCGCCTGGAGAAAAACCACCGTATCCGACTATGGTGGGCCGTTGTGATACACGATCGTTGGTAAGATTCCCCCGGGTTAACTAACTCCCTTTTCCTGATTGATTCTGACTTCCTTTGATGAAGGGGGAGTTTCGGACATGGAGTTCCTCCTCAGATTTCCAAAAATCAATACGACGTCCCTCTTCCCACAGTGGAAGTCCTAATATCACAAGCCTCCCGCACTCCCGAGCGAGTCAGAGCCGCTCATTGTCATATCGCGCTCTGCCGGTTGACTGAAATTCTGGGGGAGCTGTTGCCTCTCGTCTACGGCCTACAACAACGATTTCCTCGCGAAACCACCAAGAAGGCGAGACAAATCCGGACAGACCTAGATATTTGGGAGGATTCCCTCCCCGACTGGTTAAGAACACCTACGGACAGCTCGGAAGATCGCATATCAGGCATCAGCAGTCTCCACCTCGCGTTCCTAGCTGTGAAACTACTGGTCGGAAGAGTCGAACTGAATGTATGTTCCGATCTCAATCAATCTACCCAACATCTCTCCAATTCTAACCAACCTCTCCCCCTAAAAGGACGTCAACAATGCAGAAACAGACAACCCCGAAGCTCGTCGATACTTCCAAACGGAATGCCGGAAATCCGCTGAGGAAATCGTACAATTCATCTCATCCCTACGAAAGGAGAACTTCAAAGAGTTTTGGTTACCCTGTACATCCTTCTCATCCCCCCAACCCAGTTCACTCAAAGACTAACGCCTCCTCCAGATAGCGCATTCCATCTCACCTCAACCGCAACCCTCCTCGTCCGCTGCGCGTTCGAAACCTCTGACAACGAAGTCGCCCGCTCCTGTCTCGCCAACGTCGAAAACTTCCGCTCAATCCTCCGTCGCGTCCGAGAGGAATACGACTGGGACGTCGCCGACATGTGCCTCGACCACTGCGAACGGCTTCTCAACCGACTCACCGGCAGCGCCACCAACCTGGATACCCCAACTCTCGATGGAGTAATCGGACAACCAGATACCCGACTGGTCAACCCAGCGGCTATCTCCCTCCCCGAAACCCAGACGAACAACGATATCGTCGATGATATGATGTCCATCTCGGGAACTTTCGGAACGATGGATGGTTTCCCATTCGATATGACAGGTATCTGGGACGTTTCGGTGTTCCAGGATGTGAATCTGAGCTAGATTAGCTGGGTTGCGAGTCTCCATTTCAAAGCCAGTCCTCTCTCCTCGGGCCGGAAAGCGGAAAGGGAGGAGGAAAGATATATTATATATCTATCTATCTATCTATCTATCTATCTACATGGTTTGAAATATATCATTTAACATTTCTATATTTCCATATATATATACCCCAGAATTTCTTTTTTTTTTTTTATGAAGTGTATGCCTAGCTCATTAATTCAACATGAAATGATAAGGGGGGGAAAAAAAGAACTTGTCTCATTTTTTCTTCTCTATTCCTTTATACTTAGTTACAGAACAAATAAAGTCATAAATTGCCTAGAAAAGCCACACACACACACACATACACACATTCCAATTAAAATATCTGTGCAATTTATACAATGTCAATGATTAATCAAATGCTATTTTACAGTCACCCGTGATGCTTGGTAGCCAAAAAAAAAAGGAAGCCCTCTATTTAATACACATCCCCATTTGTCGTTAAGGAAAGAAAAAGAAGCATCTCAAGGCGCACATTAGGAACAAGAGAGAGAGAGAGAGAGAGAGAGAGTATACGAATATAAATGGAGTGACGAGTATCCTTCCCACTCAAAAGGGAAAAAAAAAAAAAAAAGGATTACTGGCTCTTGCCGCTAGCTCCAAACATACCTGTAAGAGAGCCCTTCATACTCTCCATCTGCTCTTGTCGGAGCTTCTCCTCTTCAGCAGCCATCTCGGCCAGCCATTTCTCGCCATTCTCACGGATCTCCTTCTCGATCATCTCGTAGTTCTTCTGACCACGCTCACGGATCTGATCCCAGAGCATCTTGCCCTCCTGCAGACCCTGGGAAGCAGTCTGTTCGCCATCAACAGAGCGGCCGGACTTCAGGCCCAGAGCAGAAGCAAGGTTACCCATTCCCCTCCTGGGGCGCTTTTTCTGCTCCTCTTCGAGTTCCTTTTCGAAACGCTCGCGCATGGCTTTCTCACGCTTGGCGAATTCAACGGGGATAGAGCCGCCTTCAAATGACTTCAGGACGGGGCGCACATCTTCCACACCCATACCGGCCATGTACTCCAGGAACGGGATCAGCGCAACCAAAGTCTTGTCTTTGGAATCACCGTTCCATTTGTCGAGAATGATTGCGTTTTCGGGTTGCAGACGGGCATGTTCCTCCTTGGTATCAATCAGAATGACCTTGGACAGATCACGGTTGAGGTACGAAAGATCCTAAGCATTCAAAGTTAGCGAATCTCCAAAAAAAAAAAGAAAGAAAAAGAAATAAATGTCCACAAGGGGCGCACCTTGACGTATTCTCCATCCCTGTATCTAGTAGCTTCCCTGAACAATGGCCAACGGATAATACGGTAGGGGTCCAGCTTGCGGAGAACCTGGTCGGCCATCATGCTGGGCACGCTGGTGAAGAGGACGAGCTCGTAGTACTGGTTAAGGTAGCGAAGGAAGTAGTCGACACCGGGTCGTTTAGCCACACGCCATCCGTGCTCACGGCTCCACTCGCTATGCACAAGCAAGTCTTCCAGACTAAGCACCAGGGTGTAGGGCTGGCGAAGGTTGGGATCTTCATCGGGAAGCAGCGTGGGGAAGGCAGGGTCCTTGTAATAACTGGTGATGTCGCCCATGCGAGCCTTAACGCGGTTGTACCACAACCCGAACCCCCAACCCGACGGGACACTAGCATGAAGCTTTTCCTCCTCTTCCGTATCCCAGTTACGTCCGAGGTAAGCCATTCCCCCAACACCTCCAAGCAAGAAAAGGGCGTACATCAGGTTGGCCATACGAGCGCGTTTACGATCGAGAGACGAAACATAGCCATCCTTGGGGATATCGCCACGGCCATCATCGCCGTATTCTTCGGAGCGAGATGGATCTTCCGTCAGGTTCAATGTCGTGGAGCCACGCTTCTTTGAACGAGCCTCCAATTCCGCAGCAAGGGTAGAGGGAATTCCCTGTGTTAGATCGGGGAGAGGTCTCTGGGGCAGTTCCTGTTCGGGAGTTGGCTGTGTAGGTTCCGGCTAGGGTATATTCCAGTTAGATAAACCTCATTTCTCATGTCCTAAATGTCAAAATCCATTTCAACTCACTGCATCGGAAGTTTGCGATCCTGTATTTGCCTGGGGATCCGCTTTTGTCTCGAACTCCGCCTGCTCCGACGTATATTGTTCTTGCTGGACGGGCTTGGTGGATTCAGGCTTAGAGGGCTTCACAGAATCGGGAAGCTTGTAAGGAGCCTTGGGCTTGGTGGTCTTCGCATACCATCGCGCATGAGAGGCCGGAACTGTTGATACACGAGGGGTGGAGAGGAGGATGTTGGGCCTCGTCAGAGGCAGGACGGCACGGCGAAGCATGGTGATGTGTGAAGTAAAAAGATCAAGGACAGAGAGAGGTATCGGGAAACAGTGCACTCATGCTCCGCACAATAAAATGGGCGTTTGCTGAGCCAAAGTGAACTCCGCTCCAGATAGCGAGTTCACTACGAAGGGGGAAATACAGGGGAATGCGTGTGTAGCCGTCGAGGCAAGATTATCAAGCACAGACGGCTTCGGGCTCGAGCGACGCGGAAAAAGTTGAGGTTCGATTCATCATCGGAACAAGTTGTACGGTGGGCCGAACGAAACCCAGTGCGCACTTTCCATCCATTTAAATTCTTCCCGCCTTCGCCCATTTTCTTCCTTGCTTCTTTTCTCTTTTTTTCTCCAATTTTGAAAGTTGCAACCCAGTCCACAAATTTGACCCTTCAGGCCTTTTTTCTTATATGCATGCCGGGTTGTATTAGCTGGGGAGACCAATGAAGCTTGTCTTCTATCCCACACCCAAGAGCCGCAGCGAAGAAATTCTGTGCAGTTGCAGCCCCGTTGGTGGGATATAAATCTCTTTCTCTCCATGATAAGTGGTGGGCTGGTGCTTGCTACCCCTTTAGAGAGCGTACTGTCCTAATAATCTTTCGATCTCTGTTCTAGTGCAATAATGGCATGATATAAACCAGAAAAGAAAAAAAAAAAAAAAGAAAATACAACGGTTTCAGCATCTACCTCTTTCGTATCATTCATTGAACGTATAAATATTCCTTAGGTCACAATTTCCCCCTCTTGTGACAACATGGCTACCCTCATAGACGCCTTGGAAAAAGTCCATCTTGAGGGCTTACCATCGAAGGCTGTTCAGCGGAAGCGACGGGGCATCGAGGACGAAGATGAGACCTGGGAGGAAGAAGAGGAGAAGGACCTTGGTCCAGTCGAACCATTCCGATTTTTCGATCTGCCCTCTGAGATCCGGCTGCGCGTTTATGGCTTTCTTCTGTTCAGTCCTCGCCGGAATAGACCACTGCAGACCAACGGCAATGTAGGCGCTTCGTCAAAGAATCCACTTCGTTCCCCGTTGGCCCATCGGATCGCTCTTTTTCTTGTTTCGCGGCGAATGCATAATGAAGCCGCTGATTTCTTCTACGCCACACAAGCCTTTCGCATCTTCCCCGTCCAAGACTATTCCCGGATGCCAACAATCAGGTCAATACCAACCAACTATCGCTCTGCGATCGGCACTATTGAGCTGATCCTGGGATCCAGCTGGACGGCCCCTCCTTCCTCATGGAAAGTCAATCGTGGGCTAGGTCTGGAGGAAATGACACGTATCCGCCTGCTTAAGGTGTTTATTGAATGTGACCCTTCCCACCCGGTGTTTGAAGGGTTTCGTATCTCCGAGGACTTTTATTCCGGCTTTGCAGGGAGGCTGTTGCAGCAGATTCTGGAGAGGCTACCGAGTCTAACCTATGTGGAATTTGACGGGTTCCCATCTGTCAGTAAAACCGGAGCGCTGATGAAGCGTCTACTACAAGAGGCAAGGGCAGCTGGTAAAACCATCGTATGGGGGCCTCAGCGAGGATGGACCGATTACGATACGGAAGATATGATTGCCGAGAATGTCGTTTACGGACTTACGAGTACGATGCGAACCCTTCAAGTAACTGATGTTCCAACCCGAAGAAGCTCTTCCGTGGTTGAAGAAGTGAAGTGATCTTGCGTCCATGAGTTATTGACATGACCTTACATGTGTTAGATAACAATAGATGATTTGCTAGACTTGGAGAATTTATTTGACAATTCTTATCCATTATTTTTACCACCGCCCAAGGGAATAAAATGTCCCCCCCCAAACTACGTCCGAAAGGTCTTCGAGATACTACAGACTTCAAGGTCATGCATGACAAAAGGGTATTGAACTCGTTCTGAACATCAATTCTAGGAGTCAAGATATTTCGTTGCGATCTTGTTTAGGTGGTATTAATGCACAAACGGGCTATAGCTCTTCATCTACATCCATGCCTGTACCGTTTTGAGGGCCTTTTCCGTTCGAGAGTCGTGCCACAGAGGCTTCCTTGTCAATCATCTGCCGTGATACAGCAACGATGTTGTCTTCAATCAGCTGCTGGCTCATATCTTCGATGTCTATAAAAATATAATTAGCGATCAGGCCATGAGGGAGGGAGAATAAGTTAAAAAAAAAAAAAAAGAATATCGGGGAAACTTACGCTTCTTAGGATCGACCTTTCCGACGTATCTTGTCTTCAACTGCTCCTTAGTAAGCTCTGTCTCCTCCTTCACCCGTTTCTCGTAGCCTTCAGCAAGGCTAACGAGCTGCTTCATGCGGTCGACGTTATGCTGGCCTTCCTCGTGGAAATCCTGCATCTGCAATGCCTCAGTCCAAACGTGCTTGTGCAGGTTCATCAGCATATTCTCCTCAAGTCCGGTCTTGCGGTAGTTGATAGCAATGCTGTAGTAGTGTCTGTTTAGGCCGTGAATAAGGGATTGGATCGAGGGCTTGTTCAAATGACCCAAATTAGAGGTAGTTTGTCGGGGTTCTTGGCCCATGACGACGGTCTGAGGTTGGATAAGACGGAAGGCATCGATGACGACCTTGCCTTTTACGGACTGGATTGGGTCGACGACGACAGCAACAGCACGGGGGGTAAGCTGTTCGAATGACTGCTGAGTGTTGATATCGACGGATGAGAGCCAGCATCCGAATCCTGGATGGGAGTGGTACCAGCCGACCACCGTTTCCGGTCTGTATGCCGGCAAAATATTCTCAGTAAATTCTCAATATAACCGCTTTGTCGGACCTTACCGTCCAGTTTGGCGGAGCATGTCCATCATTCTAGTTTGGAAGACGGGATCAACGGCCTCGACACTAACACCGGTACCGCTCTGAGGCATCGCAAATACATCGACCACCCGCACCGTATATTCGTCAACAAATTCTCCGAGCATCAGACCCATAACCTCCATAGGCACACCGGCCCGACCATGCCTTAACATCTTCAGGAGTGCGAGGGATGAAATGTGTACAGTCTCGGAGTTATCAATTAGGTTAGGGGTATCCTATGCCATCAATTTATTAGCAACGGTTGTTGAAATATCGCGTTCCCGCAGGCATAAAGGCTCAACATCACTGGGCTTCTGAGGGTCCGATAGCTTGTGATGATAGCAAGGAGGGATGTGGGCATGTCAGATAAGATTTGGTGGACTCACACCACCAGGCGCGGCGCTCCCCATGCCCATGCCCTGTGCGGCCTGGAGCATTCGATTAAGCCTATCCATAGTTGATGATAATGTCTGAGTAACGGAGGTGTGGATAGAAGGACGAAGGACTACTTCCTAGAGGGAAGCTCCAAGTGGTCGGTGCGTAAGGTTGAGTAGCGTCTAAAGAAGAGTATGAAAAGATAAAGATGGAGAGGAAGTGGTAAACTTCCAGAAACACAGATCGAAGATGAGTGGAGGAGGCGAGGGAGGGAAAAGACGAAGATGGAGGAAGGGAATCGAATCGAGCGATGCCCAGGATGGACGACGACGAGTTGAGCTTCTCCTTCTCGTAGGCTGAGAGGCTGACGAAGGCGGTGAGGCTTTATGGACGCAGCTCTGGCGTTCTTTGCCGCCTTTCGCTCGGCTCCCCTTCGCTTTCCCTCCTCTAGAATCTCATCCTCTCCGCTCCATGAGGGACGTTTCCCACTCCAATTCCACAATCCGTCTGGTTTCGGCTCCCGAGTTCTTGGGTTTGACGGCTTCTCTTTATTCGTATAATTGCAGCTCCTTTTTATTTAATATTGTGTGTGTCGCCCTCTAAGTTCCGACCTCTGTCCGAATCTCCTCCCCCGAGAAAACGCCGCGCTTGAAAGACCCTACGACTCCTCGGTTTCAGTGAGGCTTGCCTCTGCACAGTTCTTTATAACAGCCTCCAAGATGGCTTCAGGGCCTCCTTTGGACCCCATTGTGAATGGGGCTGGAGATCGCGGCAAGAGAGTCGCCTACTTCTACGACTCGGATGTGGGAAACTATGCCTATGTGTCGGGACACCCAATGAAGCCTCATCGCATAAGGATGACACACAGTCTGGTGATGAACTATGGTCTTTACAAGAAGATGGAAATTTACGTGAGTTTTCTTCTCTTTGATTACCAGAGTCACCCGATATGAGGTAAGGTGCTAATTATCAACCCTTGCAGCGCGCGAAGCCCGCCTCCAAGTACGAGATGACACAATTCCACACGGACGAATATATCGACTTTCTTTCCAAGGTTACGCCCGATAATATGGACTCTTTTGCAAAGGAACAGAGCAAGTACAATGTCGGAGATGACTGTCCCGTCTTTGATGGTCTCTTCGAGTTCTGTGGTATCAGTGCTGGAGGTAGTATGGAGGGTGCGGCCCGGCTCAACCGTAACAAATGCGATATCGCCGTCAACTGGGCTGGGGGTCTTCATCATGCGAAAAAGAGCGAAGCCAGTGGTTTCTGTTATGTAAATGGTAAAAGCGCCCACGATGAACCTTTTTCTTTTTTTCATTCCCTACTAACAAGTGCGGTCAGACATTGTCCTAGGCATTCTCGAATTGTTGCGCTTTAAGCAAAGGGTTCTTTATATTGACATTGATGTTCACCACGGTGATGGTGTGGAGGAAGCGTTCTATACCACAGACCGTGTAATGACCGTTTCGTTCCATAAGTATGGCGAGTATTTCCCTGGAACCGGAGAACTGCGTGATATCGGTGTTGGGCAGGGCAAACATTATGCTGTTAACTTCCCGCTCCGGGATGGCATTGATGACATTTCGTACAAGAGCATTTTTGAGCCAGTCATCAGGAGCGTGATGGAGTGGTATCGACCAGAGGCTGTTGTTCTCCAGTGTGGCGGTGACAGTCTCTCCGGCGATCGCCTAGGATGCTTTAATCTTAGTATGCGCGGTCACGCGAACTGCGTCAACTTTGTCAAGAGCTTCAATCTACCGACCCTGATCCTTGGAGGAGGTGGATACACCATGCGTAACGTGGCACGAACCTGGGCATTCGAGACCGGCATACTTGTCGGGGAGACGCTCGGGTCAGATCTTCCTTATAACGATTACTACGAGGTGAGCACTTGTCTGAGCTCTTTTTGGGGGGGCCTGCGCTAACAGGGCACAGTACTTTGCTCCGGATTACGAACTAAATGTGCGCCCATCAAATATGGATAATGCCAACACAAAAGACTATCTTGATAAGATTCGCGCACAGGTTGTCGAGAATCTCAAGCGGACAGCCTTTGCGCCATCTGTGCAGATGACAGATGTTCCCCGCGAGTCTCTGGTGGAGGGAATGGACGACGAAGCAGAAGCCATCTTGGATGATCTAGATGAGGACGAGAATAAGGATAAGCGCTTCACACAACGGCGTTTCGACCAATACATCGAGAAGACGGGCGAACTCAGCGACAGCGAAGATGAAGACGAGAATGCTGCCAACGGGATCCACCGCAAACCGGCGCATCTGAAGCGAAGGAATCAGGCTAACTATCGGCTGGATGTGGGTGATTCCGGGGTTGAAAGTGGTATGGCCACTCCACAGGATGCTTCGTCGATTCCCGATGAGGAAATGGACACTGGCGGCGATGCAAAGATGACAGAAGCCCCCGAGCCCGAGAGCGAGGCCCAACAAACTCCGTCTGCTGTGGAGGCATCTTCCAAGGCTGAAGATCCATCTGTTCGAGAGGCCACAGATATGGCGGTGGATGAGAAAGAACCCGCCCCTACGTCTGCGCCCGCTTCGCGCTTGGAGTCTCCCAAACCGATAGATGAAGACACAACCATGGAAGATGCAGGCGATATCGCACCGGAGCCGGAGCAGGAGAAAGCGCCTGCTGTGAACGAAGCAAAAGAGGAAGGGAAGACGCCGGCCGAAGGCACGCCAGCGCCGGACAATTCTATGAGGGAAGCCACACCCCAAGACAAAGCTCCATCCGAGCCAAAGGAGAGTGATGATCAAAAGGGATCCGAGGGGGCAGCAAGCAAGGCCGAGCCAATTGAGGCAGAGAAGCCTGTCGCCACGGAGACAGTGCTGGCTGAGGAGCCCCGAGCGGAAGAAGCAGCGACGGTAAAAACGGAGCAGGAGGCACCGGAGACATCCAACGAGCCAAGCACGGAACCCCAGCCGGAAACAGCGGCGAAGAGCGAGGAATAGGCCGAGCAGTGACTGCAGCGGTGTTTTTTTCTCGGGTTCCTGGCGCAACGGGCTGGCAATGGTGTTTGGGCAGACGTATTGCTTTCGCAGGGAGGGGTCTCATTCTTTTTCTATAGTATTTTCGCTTTCAACCTGGATGGAAGGACGAGAATGATATACTATATTTATTTTTGATTCTGTATTATGTTGAGCATGCATATGATAATCTATTTACCTGTACATCAACCTCCATAACTGCCTAACTTAGTTAGTTATATATGCACTGCTGACAAATAATACAGCTTGCATAAAGATAGACTAATCCTAGAATGGCTAAGCCTTAGGGCACAGTCACCCACCCACCCTCAGCCAATGAAACGCCACCGCCAAGATTTTACACCACGACACACACTAAGCGAGAAGCACTGAGAAACCCCAAGTGGAAAGCAACCTCTTGTCTCGACCTTCTCGTCGCCTCCCTTTTGTCGCCCATCCCCAGTTATCCGACACCGTTTACGCTAATACCCAGCCAAGATGTCTAAGAGAGGGTGAGTTTTTTGCTTTCATGTTGAATGTTCAGAGCCAGATTGGATTGCGTTGAAGTGCAAGTTTGTGGAATCGAATATGTGATATCGGCAATATACATACCTCTTCTCTATGCGATTCGGCTCTCGACTCGACCATACACGACGAACTCGGATTCGAATTCAGTTTGGAGTCTGGAGCAACGAAGGAGTAGGATTCGTTTCGCATGGGAGGAGAGAGAAAGATAGACAGACACACGCACACGCACACACACAGAGAGAGAGAGAGAGAGAAGAGGAGGGAACTAGGACTTTACGATATCCGCTCAGAGATTTTTTTTTTTTTTCGACAGGAAACGGACACACGACATGCACATATCTGATTTCTGATTTCTGGCTCTGCACACTTGGAAAAGAAAACATGGCTAATTGATCTTTTTTTTTTTCCCCTTACAGTCGTGGTGGTCTTGCCGGCAACAAGCTGAAGATGACGCTCGGTCTGCCTTGGTACGTTTTTCTTTATTTCCTTTCAACCCATCTATCTATCAAAAAATTTCGATTCGAACCCCGGACCCGATTGATTCTCTTACACCAATTACTCTCCGAAAAGAGCGAGATCAAAGCTAATGGAATAAATAGCGGCGCCGTGCTCAACTGCTGCGACAACTCCGGTGCCCGAAACCTGTACATCATCTCGGTCAAGGGCATCGGTGCGCGTCTGAACCGTCTTCCCGCCGCCGGTGTCGGTGACATGATCATGGCCACCGTGAAGAAGGGAAAGCCCGAGCTGCGAAAGAAGGTCATGCCTGCCGTTGTTGTCCGCCAGAGCAAGCCCTGGCGCCGTCCCGATGGCATTTACCTCTACTTTGAGGACAATGCCGGTGTTGTACGTTTCCTTGTCTCTTCTTCCAAAGAGTTTTCTTTTTTTTTTTTTTTTTAGTGGACGGAAAGAAACTAACATATTTATTCCCTTATAGATCGTCAACGCCAAGGGTGAGATGAAGGGTTCTGCCATCACCGGTCCTGTCGGAAAGGAGGCTGCTGAGCTTTGGCCTGTATGTCCCCCCCCCCCCCCTTTCACATATTCAAGTGCTCATCTAATCTTCCAACACAGCGTATTGCCTCCAACTCCGGTGTTGTCATGTAAACAAGTTAATTCAGGATTGGATGCATGGGAAGGATATAGAAGGAATACCAGCGGGAATTTAAAAGAGAAAAAAAAAAACGACTACTCCTTTGGGTGGTGCATGGCCCATAACTATGAACAAAATGAAAACGAAATTCTTCTAACTATTCAAACCCTTGAACCTAGGATGGTTTTTTTTTTTTTCCTTTCGCTTAGAATTTACTTATCGGAGTTCTTTTTCTGATCGATGGTATATTATTTTTTTTTTTTTTTTTTTTTTTTTTTTTACTCCGCTAGGTACTTGGGACAGGTATAAAGCACTCTGTTTAGATTACAGAGTATGTAGCGAGTAAAGTAGAGTGCGTCCATTATAGGTAAACGGTCTATATCAAGTATACGGAGTATATACAGTATATATAACCCAACCGAACTGGTAGTGTATTATTATTATTATACATATATATATATATATATATATATATATGTACATGAAACTGAGTAAATATATGATCCCCTTTCAGTTCCCACTCTACTGAGTTTTCTTTTCCTTCTCAACACCGATAACAGTAGCTGGAGGAGTAGTCTGTCCAAATCCCAAAGCAGCAATATACACTCCTAGACCAACGACCGCCACAAGATCCACAATATGCACCGCCCACCAGATATGCTGCACGCCCGCCGGACACAAGGACATGGCGTATTTCCACTGCACAGCTTCGTAGTCAAACCAAAGCGACAGCAGGCCGGCGTTGCCCCCGTACTCGCCCATCATGGAGCGCAGGGTGATCTCGCGGATCGACGGCGTGGAGGCGGGCTGGCGGGATTCCGAGGCGGCAGCGTTGTAGCGTCGCGCGTTCCAGACCCAACCGGGAGTATTTTCTTTTTCCTTTTCTTCCTTGGAGGAGGAGGAGGAGGACTCCTCCTCCTCCTCCTCCTCGTCAGTGTCATTCTCTTTGCTTCGATCCACGTAGTGGACAACATCGCAGCCGGTATGGTCGTGGCCTGTGAGGATGAGCCCCCTCCGTCCCCATCCACCTGCGGGGGCATGTTCGTCACCACTCATGCCGTAAATGCCCTGGAGAATACCATTCGAGCTTGCATGCTCACTGAGATGGTTCTGCTCGCGGAGCCCACCGACCTTGAACTGTGGAGTCTCCTCTTCCTCTTCCTCTTCCTCTTCCTCCTTCTCCTCCCTGTCCTTGTCCTCTCCCTCCTCCTTCTCATCCGTCTCCTCCGTCTCCTCCTCAAAGAAGGTAAAATAGGGACCGTCCGTGCAGACACCATCCCGTTTGTACAACGGAACATGCGTCAAAAGGAGCGTAAAGCTCATGCGATCCTCAACGGGATACGAACGGTGCGAAATAACATCGTTGATGTACTGGTAACTCTGGGCCTGGATGTCCGGGTCAAACGGCGGTCCGTCAAGCGTCAAGCTATTCAGATTGATCACATGCAAGGTAGGCACTGCGCCCGTATAGACAGCAGTACTGGCATTCGCCGGCGGAGGATGCCTGAATCGAACATCCCAGTTCACGCGACCAAAGACCCGCTCGAAGCGCTGGATGCGGGCGTGGCTCGCATCCCCCGCATATCCAATATCGTGGTTGCCCACGACGTTGATAATGCGATTCGTCCAGGAGGAATTGAATCGGCGCAGTTCCTCCAGATCGTCCGCGGGGGTGGTGGTTTTCCAGGAATTGGCCGCGGCATCGTAGCCCACGGCGCCAGTTGCGGTGGTTTCATCGCTGATTCGTTCTCCGCCGGGGAAGACGCGCTCCCAGTATCGTTGGCCGCGGCGGTCGAACTCCTCGTCCGTCACCCACTGGCTGCCCAGGAGGTCGCCCAGCACGGTGACATGCGTGGGACGAGTCCACCAGTGCAGGGTTCGGTAGATATGCGCCAGGTAGAAGTCGTTGCCGAGGAGATCGACCCGTTTGCGGATCGCGCTCAGGGCCCGTGGGATATCTCCCGTGAGAAACTCGGACAGGGCCGTGGAGGCGGTCCTGCGCACCACGTCAAGATGTAGCGGGAACGAGGCGTTCCTTAGAGAGCCCACCGTGTCGTTCCAGTGTTTGCGGACTCGGAATCCAAATTCATATTCCGGGAGGGGCAGAGACGTGTCTCCTTCGAGCTGCGGGTCGGCGAGAACAAGGAGGCGGACGGTCGCTGGTTCCTGGGCGGACTCGGGGTCGAAGTGCTCGCGGAAGGCATTGAGAAAGGCGCTGCGTTGCGAGCCCTGGTCTGCGTCGTCTACGGGGAGAGGATGCGCGCAGCCATTGAAAACGGGGTAGAGGTAGAGGTAGGTGGTGCTGGTGATGGCGAGGGGAACCAGGATGAGGAGGACGCGGGAGAGGAGGTGGTGAAGGGACATTGAGAACCAAACTCAGGGGAGAAAGGAGGACGGGGAAATCGGGAATAGCAATATTGATCACTTTATCCCTTCATGTTGCGTGTTGGGATGTTGAAGCTCAAGGCAGCGTCTGTGCACTTCTGGTGGTGTGGTTTTGGTAGATTTTGTGTTGTCGATCAACACCCTCTCTTTTGGATATGGTTGGTTCCTGCTGGATTCGATTCTACATCTTAATTCTAGATCTACGAGAACGGAGTAGGACAAGTAAACCGAATGAGCCAAAAATATTCTAGGATTTCGTGGTAGCAAAAAAAAAAAACAAAACAAAAGAAAAGAAAATAAAAGGTCGTACACCAATTTCCGCGCTTCAATTCATCACAGCCGAAACAATTTCTACATCATCCGACCAGCCAAGTAGTCCGAAAAATAGCCCAAAAATAGAACAAAATATTATATAAGAGAAAGAAGAGAAAAGAAAAATTTTCCGAACAAGGGGTATATCACATTCAACGCCAGAAGAAAGAGAGGAAAAAAAAAAAAAAAAAAAGGAAGCCGAGCAAATGTACTGAAAAAAAAAGCAACGGATCAAAGCAAGTTATATCTATCACCCCGATCTGGGGAGAGAGTTCGGGAGCAAAGGTGAGGGCGCCCCTGTCAAGCAAGCTCACCCAAGGGAGTTGTTCTGGTTGTTCGTGTCCCCTATCTCCACAGGACTCTCGACTTGGTCGATATTGAGACCCTGGATCATTAAACCCCGTCCCTCAGCGTCATCCGTGGGGACTGGTTGGGCAGAGGAGTGGTCCGCTGCCGAGTCAGCCTCGGTCATGAGGGTGGGTGGCCGCTGGTTCATCAGCTGGGCTTCCTTGAGACTGATGGTTCGCTGTTTATTCGTGGTTTCGACGGGCAGGTCCATGTCCCGCTCAATGGTGGCCTTCATCAGTGCGGCCATCCATCGTCGGCCGTCTTGGATACCGTCCACCTGGAAATAGTGGATCGCAGGTTTGGTGAACTGCACCGTGCGAGAGGTACCCGTCTTGGGCGGCACCAGCTTGAAGAAAAATGATGACGACGACGATGATGATGATGATCCCTCCCCACTCGTCCGACCTCCCCGTTGGGATTCCGAAGTTGAGCCTTTGTCGGAAACCGAATCGCCGCCGACAGGTGAGGACGGCGAAACTGTGGCGCCGGTGATGGTGGCATGGAGGGCAACAATGGGATCGTTGTCCGCGCGGAGCACCCGATGGGCTGTGATGTCAATCAGGCCGCGTTCTTCAGTGTCGTTTTCGGAATAGTAGTAGGAAAGCCGACGCCCTCGCAAGACAAACAGGCGGGGCTTCCATGTCGTCATCAGGTTGGAGGACCGTTTCTTCATCCATCCGGAGAACTCGCATCCCGCCATCTGTTCCTGAGGCGACTTTTTCTCCAGTCCGCGCGTGTAGGCACTCGTGTCCTTCTTGGACTTCACCGCTGCCTTGAGGGAGGGTCGCGCGCGAGGCAAGGAAATGCCCCCCCCGCCTTCGACAGCCTTCCCGGACCCATCGGTGCTGTGTCTTTCGGAGCTCTTCGATGTCGAGGGAGTGGTGGATCCAGTGCGGATGGAGGAGGTACGGTCTCCCTCGTGCACAGGGGATGCTGGGACGGGCGGCGAGGGATCGTTCCCCTTGCCAATCACATCCGACATGGCGCGAAGGCCAACCGCACGTCGAAACTTGGGTGCAGCATTTTTGATCTGCTGCAGGGGTTGCGGGGTCGAGCGCGTCGCGCCGTCCGGGTCCGATTTTCCCACCAACGGAACCAAGGAAGCAAAAAATCCCGGTTTGGTGCGGGAGGAGGATTGTTGTGGACGGCGCTCAGTGACTCGGGTGCTCAGACTGCGCAACCGGCCCTTGGCTGCGGGAAGAGGGAAGGTGGCTGCGGGATTCCGCGCATTACTCGGTGGCGCATCATCGGGAATGGATTCCGCACTGCTCATCCGTGAATGCCGTGGGGTACCTCGAAGCTGCTGTTCATCGGTGATATTCGAGTGCAGGGAGTGGGCGCTGCTGTTTCCTGATGTTCGGATGGGGAGGAAACGGCGCTGCGTTCGCGTGTCCACTTCGGGGCCGGAGAAATATCCGCGATCCAACTCGTCTGCTAGGGCCATGGCTGACTCCAATCCCCGCACAGGTTGATGATGACTGAAGGATCCCGCCGTGGACGCGCCGAGAGCGGTGCCTGGACGGGGAGGTCCGCGCGGTTGTGCTCCACGCGACATGGTCCAGCCCCGATCAAACGAGCTCTTCTTGTGGTGATGCGGGACAACAAAGTGAGGGGAGCCGTCGCCCGCAATTGAATATCGACTGGTGGTGTCCAACGATGAATGGCGCCTGGAGTGATTGATCTCCCGGATTGACGCCGCCGATGGTCGTCGGGAATGATCCATAAAGGGGCCGGGTGGCGTCTGCGGGGTGAGGGGAGAATTAGGGTTGCTCTGCAGGTTGCTGCTCGGCATGCTGCTGCTGCTGCTGCTGATCAGTCGCGGATGCTGGGCACCACTGACCGATCCCCTGAGATTCGGCATTCGAGGCCGAAGGGGACCGGTTTGACCGGTACGACTGAGGGGACGTTGTTGCTCCTCTTTCAGGCCTTTAACCTCCTCCTGGAAGGCCTTGATCTTGTGCCAGGTTTTCAATCGCCGACCCATCACCCCAAAATCAAACTCCTTCATGAAGATGAAATCCTGGTTCATGTCCAAAAGCACGTCTCCGGCAATTTCCTGCTCTTCGAAGATCTCGCAGTGCTTTTCTTCGACCCCCACGTGCCGTAGGTGTTTCGCGGTTTCTACTGGAGTCCAATTCCGGACTTCCTCCTCCTCCGGAGGCGGGTTGCCCTCCTCGTCATGCTCCTCTTGCCCCCCTCCTCCTCCTCCTCCTCCTCATCGGTTTCATGACCGTTAATGTAAGACATGCGGTGATCCAGGTGACTGCTATATTCGCTAGCGGAATCATTTGCGATGGTTTTTTGGTCATGAGCGGTGACACTGTGGCGTGGAGTGCTGAGATCCGTGATATGCTCATCGATCACACTGAGGGTTTCATTCATGACGGGACTGTCTTGACCGTTGATATGGGGATCAAGGGTTTGTCGGATGGTCTGCTGTATATCGACTGCCATCTTGGCGCCCGGTAAAGGGGATGAACTAGATCGCTGCTGCTGTTTTGGCGAAAAGAACGGAGGGGCTCCCGGTTCTTCGATGTCGGGAGAGGCGCGAAGATCGCTCATGCTCGCGTGTCTCGACGCATGGGGCGTAGAATCTTCACTCCTGGGCGCGGACACTGAATCCTTGAAGTCCATTGATGACTTCTTCTCCGTACGAGGGTCTTCTTCTTCTTCTTCTTCTTCTGCTTCGCCATTCGACAGGAGAGAGTCCGAGTCTCCGACGTCAATGGGCGGTCGGACGGGAATGTTTGGCGCCTTTGTGGTGTAGACTGCGCGGCAGCAGAAATCCCATTAGTGGACTGATCGTGATAACTGGGTCCTGGATACCACATACCTCCTGGGAAGAGACCGGTAACGCCGGTATTCAGATCTTTGCCCAGATACCATCCATCTCCAAAGCCATCATCCAACTCGACTAAGAGAATTTTTTGACCGCGTTTGAGGGTGAGCTCGTCAGGACCGCGCGCGAGGAAGTCATCTAATTTTATGAACAAATCAGTCCAAGGGAGAGATAATGACGATTTTCAATCAGGAAGATGGAGTGAGACATTTCCTTTTTTAAAAGAGGGGGGGGGGGGGGATGACGGGAGTGGAGGTTCAGGGTGTATGTGTGTGGGGAGATCCTGCGACTTGAGGATAAGCAGGAAAATGGTTGAACTTACGAATAACTAAAAGATCATCCCCTTGATGAAATCCACGAGGTGTGGGGGGTAAGAGAGCCATGATGCTGACTTGCAGCGACCCCAAGGGAAGGATAGAGAGGAATGTAATCAGATTCAAGTGGAAGAGAGAGAGAGAGAGAGAGAGAGAGAGAGAGAGAGAGAAAGAAAGCAGGAGGGGAAAAGGAAGAAAGGAGATGAATTAGTGGTTAAAGGAGGAAGAAAGTGTACTGAACTGTACTGAACCTCTATGAAGAAGAGAATGAGAAGAAGAGAATAAGAAGAATAGAATAAGAAGAATGAGAACAAGAAGAAGAATAAGAAGAATGATGATAGAATGATGAGGCGCTAAAGAGGTCTAGACGATTTCTGATCAAAAAAAAGGGTTCGTCACTGCGGGAGCTTATTCCAGATTCCAGAGTCAACAGAAAAGAAGAGAGAAGAAGAGAAGAAGAAGAAGAGAAAGGAAGAGAAAGAATATAACCAGTTCAAGACTTGAAAAGGGTCATCAATCTAAGGGGAGGTGATTGGAGCCAACAGAGAAAACTTCATCATTGCCAACTGTCAGGGTTTTGGATTCATAGATTGAAAACGTCTTCCATCGGGGACATTCTTGAGTAGACTCTTTACTAGTCAGGGAATTGTGAATCAATTCTAAGAAAGGACGGTAAATAAATCTATTCTATTGCTTTCTTCTTCTCTTCTTTCTCTTCTTCTTTTCTCTTCTTCTTGTCGACTTCTAACCCCTCCTCCTCCTCCTCCTCCTCCTCAATATCCAAACATCCACCCTTCATCAACCATCCCAACTTCATACCTGGTATTGTGTTATTGAATTAAAATCAATCCTGGTGGATTCAGAATGACTCTCCACTCTCCTAATCCTCCCCCGGATTCTCCTACTAATCAAGTTAATCCGGTCGCTCGCGTCTTCCATAATTCCAACTCCACCGCCCACATTTTTCTAGGCGGCGCACGCAAGTCGTGGATGTTGAACAGGAATCTTCCCCTCAATAATCCTGCTGCAATTTCTGCTAATCTCCCAATTCATCGTCCAGCTGCGATGGTTCCTCTCTCTACACGTTCTGTCGATTCATCCTCCCCCGTCGTTGCTGCAGAACCACCGCAGCAGCAGCAGCAGAATCACCAACAGTCAGGCACATCATCACAGCCTTCTCCAAGAATCTACACTAGTCCGTCCACTGCCACTGCCACTGAGCGGAATGGAGTTGTTCGTGCCAGCCCCTCTGCAGTAACATTCCCATCCTCTCCGGTCAGGCAGGACAGTCCGTCTCAGAATAATCCGGTGGTTCCCGCATCGATTGCCTCACCAAGCAATACCCCCCAGGACCAGGTACCAGGAAGGGTGTGTCCACCACCCCTTTCCCACTCACATCATCCTGCTTCCGGGCCGGCTCCAACCCCCCCTCCGGCCCATCCATTGCCCCCAACAGCACCCGTCGCCCGTCCGCCATGGACCCCGGAATCCATGGACGAGGATTTCTTCATGCGAGCGAGGGGCAACTTGAACCAGTACATCGGAACCCACAGAAATGGCACCCGTTTCGCGGACTCGTTGGATTACCCGCGAATTCAACTCCTGTCCAAAGCCTGTATGGAACGGGATCTCACATACCTCTTCCTGCACCAGATCTACTGTCTCAATTCCTGTGCCCCGTCCCAGGTCCGCAAGTTACTGGTGATGACCCCCAGGCACACGGAGGGCTTGGCGACCCTTCGCCATCTTCTCGTGGATAACTCCCTCCTGTCAAAAGACTTCTTGAGGTGGTCGATTCACTTTCCATCTTCCCTGCACCCGATGATGCTCCTTCTCCCCGCGTACCAGCGCGCCCTCGACCAAGTAGGGAATTTGCTGTCCGACTTTGCCGACAAATGGTCCTGGTTTGAACAGAATGTGCTCGCCCGCGGGTACCCCCCCCTGGTGGATGATATGATCCGTGACTTGAATGTCAGGTCCCCGGTCCTGCAGTTGACCATTTTTCTTTCTCTCTCGAGACGAATTCCCGGAGCCAACGTGGAGGGCGGCCTACAACCAATTTTCGCCCAAAACCAGGCCAACGTTCAGCGTCGTTATGGACAGCAAATCTCTGACCACCAGATGCAACTTGAAAACAAGGCAATTGTCTCCAAGTATCTCGCCAGCATCGCCTCCCAGAAGAAGAAGGCTGGAAACTTGCCCCACCAAAATCCGGGGTTGGCTTCTCCGAATCTTCCCCCTCCACCGGCCCAGGTATCCTCCTCGGAGGCACCCCCTTTGAGGGCTATGCCGCCAACCTCGGTCAGTCGTCCGTTTGCGCCCTTGCTGTCCCGGCCCCCGCCGTCTTTACCACCGAATACAAGTCCAGTCGCACCCCCGATGGCAACTGCGGCCACCTCGTCGTACCCAGCCGGCCGCGAGATGTCCGCGCTACAGCAAGTCCAACACCCTTCTCAGGCCCCCCAACCGGACGGAATGAGCCATGCCAGAGCGGCACCGGCAGCGCAAGGCATGGTGGCCCATGGGGGTCAGCATTCTCACTCCTTACATCCTTCAAACACCCACCACCACCACCACCCGCAGCATCAGTCAACGCCGCTGCTACCACCCGCGGGGGCTGTTGTCGTAGCGAATCCCAATCCAATCCCTAACGAGGTCGCCCTTCACCAGGCTCATCTGCGGAATCCAGTGCGCCGCATCCTTGCACACACTCCGACGGGGGTGACGGAGACGAAGTCGCTTCTATACCCGGATTCCTTCAAAGTGCCTCCACAGCCGTTGGGCCCGAACCTCACGATATTCCGTTGGCAATTTTCGCTGTCCAAAGAAGAGACCGGACGGTTTCCGGCTCTTGAAAGCCTAGGCACCGGGAGGCGTATGCTGCAAACTGTGATGGAAGGTAACCAGATATATCGTTTTCGGTGTATTAAGATACCCCCCACAGCCATCAAAGTGGATGGACATTCTTGGTGCGTGGCGGAGACTGTATGGCCCACTGTGATATACGTGTTTATTAATGACGTGGAATTGTTTCCTCGCCGGAAAATCCACAACGGCCGGGATCTCCCACTGGACCTGACCCAGCATCTTCAGGAAGGTGTCAACCGTGTCACTGTCCACCTCATTCGGAGCCCCACTGAGGAGAACGAGCTCACGTATGCCGCCGCCGTCGAGGTTCTCACCTATTCTTCCCTTTCTCAGGCCAAGAATCTCGTTCAATCGTTGCCGGCCGCGGAGTCACGAGAGCAAATCCGCAGGCGACTGACTACTCGGCCCCCTGATAATGACGACGATGATTTGAAAATCGTCAGTGATTATCTTGTGGTTTCGCTTGTGGATCCATTTACGGCCCGCCTCTTCACCGTACCGGTCCGGGGTCGTCACTGCGAGCATCGGGAATGTTTCGACCACGAGACCTTTCTGCAGACCCGCGCCCTCAAATCGGGCGATCGCTCCGTAGAAACCGACTGGCGATGCCCCATCTGCCGCCGGGATGCCCGACCTCACAATCTCATTATGGATGGGTTCCTGGCGGCGGTGCGTTCTGAGGTGGAGCGCATGAACCGAAGCGACGATGCACGCGCTGTTCAGATCAAAGCCGATGGGTCTTGGGAGCTGAAGACCGACGACGCAGACCACCTCCCATCCTCCGCGCAAGAAACCCCTCTTTTGTCGAAACGGAAGTCAGCAGCTTTGGACCGCCCCTTTTCTCCTCCTCCTCTTCCTCCCTCCTATCGACTAAACATTGATTTGCCCGAGAAGTTAAACCCACTCATTGTTCTGGACTAAGCATCGATGACCTAGGTTCCGGGTGTTCTTTTCTTTTCCATCTTCATCATCATTTTTTCGTAATTTCTTTTTTCTTCTTTTTTCTTTTTTTTTTTTTTCCTCTGCGGGTTTGCAAGGCGCTTTTGGTTTTGTTCTATGAGATACCCCCATCCAATTGCATTTTTTTTTTGTTACCTATTCGTTTCATTTCTTCATTTCATTTAGCATTTACGCTCTTGCCGGACAGGCACAGCCGCTACGCGTTTCAAGGTGACTATTCTCCAACTTATCCAGTGTATGTGTATCGAACAACTTAAAACCCTGTTTCAACAGCTACAGAAAATATACACTGTGAAATATTCAAACTCAAATTATCTACCTGGTTATCTAGTGAGAATCTATTCATGGTAGTTAGTATGTAAGTAGGTAGGTAGTGTACCTAGCTAGGTAGGGTAGTTAAGCTCTTCATATCAAATCAAGTAAGAAAAAAAAAAAAATACAATACAATACAATATATAGATGAGAGAAACACTCAAGAAGAGTACTAACTACTACGAGTAGTACTGTAGTTATAGATTATGACTGGGTGATTAGGTATAATTAATTCCTTATAAATTTCAAAGCCAAAGCCCCAGAAATCTCAAGGCAGGACGAGAAGAAAGAAGAAAGGGGTAAAAAAAAAAATAAAAAAATTAATTTCGTTATTATTAGATCTGGATTATTTTATCATTTCATTTCCTTACACGTCGAGCATGGTTGACCAGGTTTTCGATCACCCCTTCAAAGGCTTCCTTTTCGCTTACTAGTCCGTCGCGCAGTTTTAGCCAGAACTCGAGGACGGCGCTGGCCCGGAGCGTGACCTGCTCTAATTCTTTGACGTGAGATTTGAGTTCCGAGACCGAAAAGCCGTCGAGGGCCGCGTCTGTGGTTGCGCAGAGTCGTTGGACGGCTGTGAGGTCGAGTTCCGGTGGGGCGGAGGGTTCGCGGCGGCGGGATGTTCGTTGGCGCGCGGTGGTGCTGGAGGTGCGCGGACTGTTTGGTCCGCTTTGGGGGTCCTTCAGGGCTTCGCTGTGGGTGCGGCAGTGTGGGCCTGCGGCAGTGGAATCTGGGCCGCCCAAGTTGATGGAAGGGAGGATTAATTTCTTTTGTTTAGACGCTGGGAGGATCTCATCGAGGTCGACGGGGACCCCTAGGGATACGAGGAAGAGACGGCGAATTCGAGACTTGACCCAGTTTTGGGGCTGGAGCGGGGGTGGGGCGACCAGTTGAGACCAGAGGGAGAGAGAGCGTTCGGTGTTGAAAATGGCGGAGGAGTTCGAGATGGGTTCGATTTCGGGTGTGTTGGATAGTGCGTCTTTGGAGGCAGGGAAGAGTCTGTCAAGGGGTTCGTCTAGGGTAGTGTACAGGTCCGAGAGCGATTGAATGGTGTGGAATTCTATTAGTGGTGGCTAGAGAAATATACAACATCAATATCCAATTTATTTGAACGCAAGTTGCAGATACTTACAACCGAAGGGGGTGTAGTGGGCTGAGCGGGTTGTATATTGATGGGTTCCTGTTCGGAAAGGTCCTCGTCTGGCTCTTGAAAACCATCATCAAAGTCTCCAAAGTCGTCATCTTGCCCTTCCTCGAAGTCATCAAAGTCATCTCCGCCTGCTGGTTGGGAGAAGTCGTCCTCTGTTAGGGTTGATTTTCGCTGAACGTGACTTGAATTCGTGGGGCTATTCGGTACAGAAGGTGCGAGATCTGAATTGGTCAATCGTTCCTGAAGCTTCGTGCCCAATAGGGGAAAAAAAAAACCCAGAAATGCTTACCGTGAGCATCTGTGATTATTTCTGTTGCATCTGGTGCAGCATCACTCAGCCGTCTCCGGTGAGCATGTGGCCCTGACAGCGTGGTCTCCTCTTCTAGTGCAGAGCCTACTTGAGAGACTAGCGTTTCTGGCACAGGAATATTGGTGGTATTGGTCTCGCTAGACCTGCTGGGAGATACTGCTCGACTCCCGGCCTCGGGAGTCCTTGTGACAATATCAGGAACCGCATCTGCTTTTCGATTTTCGTATGCTTCTGTCCCAGGGACATCGCCGTAACTTGGCTCATCCGGATCAACCTTCTCTATCATGGTCCGGGGGATGGACGAGCCCCCCGGACCTAACGACCGGCGCTGCCCCGCGATAGAAGTGCTTCGACTGCGTGATCCTTCGGGGATCACCTCAATTTCATCCGGTACAGCATCCTGCTCTCTTTTCTCGTAGGCAGAGGTCCCTGGTACGTCGCCGTGTGAAGGAGTATCGTCGACTTTCTCCACCCTAGTCCGGGGGACAGGAGACGCACGACCAGACACTGGGCGGGAACACGAACGCGAATTTCCCTCGCTAGCGTCTGAAAAATGTTCGTCATCACTATTAGAGACTGATAGGAAATTAGTTCTTAAATTTTTTTTGAACCGTAGGAATGAAGAGGTTGTGGGAGCCCTACCACAGTCAGGAGCTCCAGGGTCTTCGAGCTCCACGCTCTTCCTCGGTGGCTCCAAGTATGAGTTGGACGGAGGAGAGGAGCGTTCCGACATCAGGGGTAAATATGGTTCTAAACTTTGAGGAAACTCATGTAGACGTGGGGTACGTCCAACGGAGTGTAGGAGCCGGAGGGAGCAGTGGGAAAAAAAAAGGAGAGACACTGGTGCAGGAGGAGACGAAGCCTGGAATGATCCAGATCGTCTGGTGACGGATTCGAGAGCCTGGAGATGGGAGGGGGCCTGAGCGCCTGAGGCGGCGTCGGGAGCCATTCTGTATGCCTGAGGTGTCTGTTTATATCCGCCTGCCGCGATAAGCGCGTTTCCGCCTTTAGCGTGGATTATTGGTTGCTGGGCCGCGACAAACTTCCTCTGGCACGACGATTATTCGGGGTTGTTTAGTGATTCTTCGCCTGGAGCTTCACAATTGTTTGCCAGAGCATTAACAGATTTTCTGTCTCTGGGCGCAGTAAGTGGCTTTTGCTCTCGTCTTTTCTCTCCCGCCCTATCTTCCACAGTCCGACCCGAATTAGACTGACGCTTCTATTTATCTCCTCTTTTTTTTTTACCTTCCTCAGGGTTGCCCCGTCGATTAATTCCTGTCCTTTCGTCCTCTAACGCACATCAAATATGTTCAACTTTAAAGCTCCGGCCTCTTCTGGGGCATCTGGTAATAACATGTTCGGATCTGCTGGTGCTACTTCGAATACTGGATCGAATGGTGGTGGTGGTCTTTTTGGGAACGTAGGAGCAACCACAAGCAGTGGCACTACTACGCCTACCCTTTTCGGAACCAGCTCTGCAACGGGTCAGGGCCCTTCGCCTTTTGGCGCTGGTAGCAGCACTCCTTCGTTTAGCTTTGGAGACCAGAGCAAAACCGGACCTTCTACTGCGCAGCCATCATCCCTGTTTGGTGCTGCATCGCAAACCCCCAAACAGTCGACAGAAGCTCCCGCCTCCGGCCAGACTGCCACCAGCGGGCTGTTTGGTAGCGCAGCAAAGCCTGCAGGTACTCTTTTTGGCAACACTACAACCACTCCTGCGCAATCCGGTACAACCACTCTGTTCGGTAGCCAGCCATCAACCACCCCCGCTGGCCCTCCTCCACAGGGAGGTGCTCCGGCGCAAGGACAGTCACTCTTTGGACAAGCGGCGCAAGCACAGAAGCCGGGCGGCATTTTCGGATCAGCTACACTTTCGACTACAACCCAGCCTGCGGCTACGTCCACGGCGACTTCCACACCCTCGCTCTTTGGAGGAGCCGCGGCGCCCACTGGCGGCGGTTTTTTCAAACCGGGTGCGGCTACAGAGAAGACACCAGCTTTCGGAACAACACCATCTTCGACTCCTGCTCTTGGTAGCGGCTTATTTGGCGATGCTGGCGCCAGCAAACCAGCTGAATCGACGACACCGGCGACAACCGCAGCCAGCACTACAAAAGCCCTGTTTGGGAATGCCCCGGCTGCTGGCGCACAACCGTCTTCGCTTTTTGGCACTCTAGGTTCTGGTGCTGCTACCGCGACGAAGCCTGCATTCCCATCCCTTACAGGTACCACAACCGCTCAGACCCTAGCTTCGCCTGCCGCATCCTCCGCCACCCCTCAGAAGTCCCTCTTCCCTACACTTGGTGGAACGACATCGTCCGCTACCCCGTCATCAACACCCGCCGCAGCTGCTCCTTCTGGAGGCCTCTTTGGAGGACTCGGCGCTTCCAAGCCTGCGGAAACCCCGACCACGCAGCCTGCACCCGCTGCAGGTGGACTGTTTAACAAGCCTGCGGGGGCTACATCTTCTGCTACACCAGCCCCCAGCACAGCTACGGGTGCCACGACCACCACAGCAGCTAAGCCTTCCCTGGCCACAACAACGGGACCTGCGACTTTGACTCCTACCGCGACCGCAGGCACTGCGCCAGCGGCAGCGCCTACTGCGGCTGGCGGCGCGACTCTCGGCGCGTCCACGGCTGGTCCTACCCCTCCAGCCCAGTCACGCCTGAAGAACAAGACCATGGATGAGATCATCACGCGATGGGCCACAGATCTGACGAAATATCAGAAGGAATTCCGAGAACAGGCCGAGAAGGTGGCTGAATGGGATCGGATGCTAGTCGAGAATGGTACTAAGGTTCAGAAGCTCTATGGAAGCACGGTAGATGCCGAACGTGCCACTCAAGAGATTGAACGCCAGCTTGCGTCCGTTGAGGGCCAGCAGGAAGAGCTGAGCTCGTGGCTGGACCGCTACGAACGCGAGGTTGATGAGATGATGTCTAAGCAAGTTGGACCTGGCGAGAGTCTACAGGGGCCTGATCAGGAACGTGAACGAACGTACGTAACACCGCTCACAGATAATATTTCTATCGATCAAAGTCCATCCACATACTAATTGCAAAACAGCTACAAACTGGCCGAGAAGCTCTCCGAACGCCTCGATGACATGGGCAAAGACCTCTCAAGCATGATTGAAGAAGTTAATAGTGCCTCGGCAACATTAAGCAAGACCAGTAAGGCCGATGAGCCGGTGAGTCCCCCCCTTGGTAAAGAAGAAGAAAAAAAAAAAAAACCGTCCCTTAACCCAATTTTGCCTAGATCTCTCAAATCGTGCGTATCCTCAATTCGCATCTCTCCCAGCTCCAGGCCATCGATCAAGGCACCACGGAGCTCCAGACCAAGGTTAGCACTGCGCAGAAAGCAGGACGGACCCTGTCGTCGCGTTTTGGACATGGGTTCAGCACCTCGGGGATGGGTAATGGGAGCGCTGCGGATGACTTTTACCGATCTTATATGGGGCGCCGGTAATTAGGAAGGAAGGACGAAGTAAAAATGAATGGACCGGTCCTGTGCATTTCGTCTTAAGAGAGCGATAGGATAATATGGGAGGGTTTGCGCATTACCACCAGCCACGGAATGATATGTATTGTTGTACTTGATTTGATCGCCACTGGTTTTTTTTTTTTTTTTTTTTTTTTTCCTCCCCTCTTGCATTCTGGACTGCCGTTGGGATTCTGATCTCATGATAATCAAATCCTTCGCATATTAGGTTAGGTATTGAGCAAGGAATGGAAACGAGGGTAATTCGAGAACCTGAATTATGTAGAATACAATAATACATCCAAGATACACCAAAGAAACCTAGGTAGGTACTGTAGGGAACGCGATACGAAAAAAAAAAAAGAAAGAAAAAATATGGACAAGAGTACATTCATTTCAACAACAAAGCTAAAGGGAGAAGAAGAAGCAGCCTTAAACTAAGCCATACAAGAGAATCTCCTAGTTCTGCTCTCCACCTTGTGCCTTGGTCAACTCATCACTAACAAGCACAGCAGAACATGGTCAGCAAGTCCGAGTCGAGAAGCTCCAGGCTCCAGGGTAAGAAATGAGGATTCACGGGGGGGTACGTAGTACGCACATGTGCTTGTCCAATTCATCCAGATGTTGGCGCTGCTCTTGGATCTTCTTCTTGATCCCGAGGAGCCTGCCGGGTCTCCATTAGCATTGGATTCAATTGCACTGTTACAGCGACGCCCTTGCGAGCTTGGGTTCGTTTTCAGGTGGGGGTAGTTACTTTTCCTTTTCCTTTTCGTAGATGTAGAGGTTTTCTTGGGCGGCTTCGCGCTTGGTGAACTGGTCGCTGGGTTGGGGAAGAAGAATTATTAGCTTTGGATTTTGGGATGGTATATTGGCATATAGCTGTGGGATGACATCATGTCTGGGTCGGTAGATGATGGATGGGATTGAAAAAGGGAGCAAAGAAAACGTACCTGTGCTGTGCACCGCCAGCTCGGGGAGCACCGGTATCGCCAGCACCCATTCTAGGAGCCAGGGCAGAGAAGGAGCGGGTGGCGAGGAGACGGTTTGTCGCGGCCAGAGGCCTAGTAACGGATTGACGAAGCATTGTGAAGGGAATGGGCGAGAATAGAGAATAGATTAAAAAGATGTTGATGGAAGGAACGGAAAGAATGGAAGGGAGAGAGAGAGAGAGAGAGAGAGAGAGAGAGGAGAATATGACCAGGTAGTTATTTACTAGTACGATTTAATATGATGCTGACTGTACAGAGATTGGGGGATTTTATGGGCTGACTTGGAGGTACAAGCGTCACTATAGCGACTTCCAGCAATTACCAGGTACTTCCCGTCCCACGTTGGAAGAAAAGACTTACGGATGCGGCTTCCTGGTCGAGACCCGCGAATGACGACACCAGAAATGCTGGAGGTCATGTGATAGTTGTCCAGCAATAATGAGGCTATATATATCTCTCTCTCTCTACCTATCTCTATATATCTCTCTCTATCTATATATAATAATATTAGTGTGATATTAGGATCAAAAGAAAAGGTGTCTACGGAGTAGTGCACCACAAATACGGTCTGGAGGATCTGGATTTCCCCGTTTCAAGATTACCCTGGACGAGGAAATTCGGATGTTCAAAAAGGAGATTTCAAGTGATAAAAATAGAAAGAAAGAAGAAAAACCAATATTAATCAATAGAAGATAGATATATCCATCCCTTTCTTCTGTCAAGAGAGGCTCATCTCCTCAATAAATGGGGGAAATGGGACGATTGGCGGAGTAGAAATAGGGATGACGCTGGAGAGGCCCACCGAACCACACACAACACACACACACACACAAAACAAGCCATGATGAGAATCAATCTAGACAGATAGATAAATCCGTACAAATAAAACCAGTCAATAAGGAGTCTGAAATGAAACCAGCCGCAGAAAAGAAAGGAAGATTCCATCCAGTAACTATAAAGGAGTGGTGGGCAGAAGCCGTCAGAGAAATAGAAGAAAGAGTGTAAATTGCTTGCTGTCTGTCTTTCCCCTCCCATCTCTCTCTCTCTCTCCTTTTGAGTTAACCATCTTCCATTCTTCTTCCTCTTCCTCTTCCACTTCCTCTTCCTCTTCTTCTTCTCCATCCTCCTCTTCCTCCTCCTTTTCATTCCCTTCCCTTTCCATCATCAAATCTTCCTTGTTTTTATTCCCTTCACGTCAGGTAAGTTCACAGAGTTTCCTTTCTGCCCCCTTCCACCATCTTCCCCTCCTCCCTCTCCGTCCTTCCCAGCTATCCCCCCCCTCCCCCCCCTTCTTTTCAAGACGGACCATCTCCATCGCTGGGTTTTTGTTTTTCTTTCTTTTCTTTTTCTTTTTTCTTCTTTTTCTGTATTTCCTCTTGGGCATTTTATCTAGTCAGGTTGGGTTCCTTGGACTAGATCCAAATCACTATGATGTGGCCGAATTGCTCCCTGTTGCTGTTCTCCCCCAACGACTTCTCAGTCTAGACTGTGCTCACCCCCCCCCAACCGCGACGGATGCTGTTCACAGCTGGCTGAGCGGAGGTCCGGCAGTTCAACCTTTCTCGAATCTCTGTTTCCAGAAACCGCGATGCTCGACAGTGCACCCTGTTTTCTTCTTTTTACCGACCGGGAGGGGCCAAACACTACTGGGTCTATAGTCAATTTGGGGGTTATCTGGCCATCGTCATCCGTGTGACTGGGGTCCCCTCCCACCTCCCTTTTCCCACCACAAGGCAGAGTCTGGGCTGGCGTTGGCTTTCGTGTTGCTCAACCCACTTGACTTCACAGCCTCACTTTTTGTTTTGCCCTGTGATAGCCGCATTTTTGCCCCTCACTTGGTTTTCCATTCTAGGCCCTCTTTTTCCCCCTCCTATCCCTTAATCCTTTCCCTTGATTTTTTTTTATCGCCCACGTTGTGGAAAGCCCCATATCCGGCACAGAAACACGAGACAACCCTCTGAACTCATTTGAAACCGACTGTCGCTAACATTGTCCCTGGCTTTTTTTTGCGGGGGGTTGTTTTGGATTAGATATTCTCACAATGGGTCACGAAGATGCTGTTTACTTGGCTAAGCTCGCCGAGCAGGCTGAGCGCTACGAGGGTTCGTTATCCTTTCTTTTCCTGGCTCGTTCTGCAGCAGCCTTGGTATTGACAGGTCACTTCTAGAGATGGTCGAGAACATGAAGGTTGTCGCCTCCGCCGATATAGAGCTCACCGTTGAAGAGCGGAATCTTCTGTCTGTCGCCTACAAGAACGTCATTGGTGCCCGCCGTGCGTCCTGGAGAATCGTCACCTCGATTGAGCAAAAAGAAGAGTCCAAGGGCAACGAGTCCCAGGTTACGCTCATCAAGGAGTACCGCCAGAAGATCGAGGCCGAACTCGCCAAGATCTGTGATGACATCCTGGACGTTCTCGACAAGCACCTGATCCCCTCTGCCCAGAGCGGCGAGTCTAAGGTCTTCTACCACAAGATGTACGTTGTTTCCATTGTTGCGAAGAAATGCGCCCGCCGAAATATGGCTCTGACTTGACCCCCCTTTTTTTTTTTTTTTTTGCCTCCTTTCAGGAAGGGTGATTACCACCGTTATCTCGCCGAGTTCGCTATTGGCGATCGCCGCAAGTCTGCTGCCGATGCTTCCCTCGAGGCTTACAAGAGTGCTACTGAAGTCGCTCAAACCGACCTTGCTCCTACCCACCCCATCCGTCTTGGCTTGGCCCTGAACTTCTCTGTCTTCTACTATGAGATCCTCAACTCCCCCGACCAGGCCTGCCACCTCGCCAAGCTGGCTTTCGATGACGCCATTGCTGGTACGTTTTGCGTCAGGCCTTTCTCGAAAAGTTGGAGGGTGATAACAAGAAGTCTAACTTGATCGCAGAACTCGATACCCTGAGCGAGGAGAGCTACAAGGACTCCACCCTCATCATGCAGCTCCTCAGAGATAACTTGGTAAGAACCCACATGATTCACCCCGGGTTTAAAGAGGCATAGGCTTACCTGAAAATAGACACTCTGGACCTCGTCTGAGGCCGAGGCCGAGCCTGCTCCTGCTGCTGACAAGAAGGAGGAGGCCCCTGCTGAGGCCGAGAAGCCCGCCGAGTAAAGGAAGAGATTTGAGGCCTCGCGTCCAAGCATGGATTGCAGAAGACATGTGGAACGCAAGCTGCGCTCAAGAGTGAACGAGGCGGAGTGGCGATGACGGGACGAGGAACGAAGGAGATGCACGATTTATCCTATCCCAAGTGCCTGTCATGGGCTGTCACGGGAAGGGATCGTAGCGGCGCTCTTTTAGACCCTCTCTCCTCATGTCCTCTACCATGTTCGGCAGTAGCACGGTCGTGATCCCAGTCTCTGCATCTGTGGTTCGTCGATTTCATATATTCGTTGGTTTCTTTTTAATTTACTTTTTGCCTATTGCCTCCACCCAAAGAATACCTTTCTCTTATTCCAAATCACCACTACCCCAGTCCAATTTCCCCCCTCCGCAAAGCCTTGACTAATGCCATGAATATGTCTTGGTCTTTCCACCTTTTGTGCCACATACGGCGTTGATTGTCGTCTTAGCTCGAGTTTAGATCTCAAGTCCGGCAGTGGCTTCAAAGAAAGTTGAAATTCATACACCAGATCCTGTAAACTTAGCAAGTAGAAGTATTTATATATATATATCTGTCTATTTTTTGGGGCTGTACGCGTATGTGATCCACGGTAGGACAGGCAGGCCCTTGACCCAGCCTCACTACTTGTCTGTATAACTCCGATGGCAAGGTCGACTTTAGAGACCAGTTCGCAGGAGGGGCGAAAACCAGGTCAGCTGAATGACTGGACGCGCCGTATTCTTTCTAATTTATGCTATCTAGGCACTGCCTGCCGAGTATTCGAGGATGAGTGTTTTATCCTTGAACATGAGATGACATGAGATGGCATGCCATCTAACCGGCCTCGTTAATTTCGTCAACATCAACATCCATATTCACATCACATCCACATCCACAATATCAATATCAATATATTAAAGGATATTCTTTTCTTATTTCTTTAGGTCATGTCATATACATACATACATATACCTGGAACAGTGTATTATTATTATTTCCCTCACCATACCTGCCTACGTAGTAGATGAGAGGTACATTATATATTATTACTTATTACTTCCTGGCCGAGTTACGTGGTTGGTTGGTTGGTTGCGGAGGCCTATACGGGTAGAAAGAAAGAAAGAAAGCAAGAAAGAAAGAAGAATCAATCCATGATTCTATCCTATCCTATCCTAGGGACTCTGTGGTCTATACTAGTAGTAGTAGTAGTAGTAGTAGTAGTAGTAGTAGTAGTAGTAGGGAGGAGGCAATTCAACACGAGTCAGTCATCCAGCAATAGTTAGTTAGTTAGTTAGTTAGGTGCGCTCCGTAGTTAACTACAGTATGTACCTACCTAAACTAATACTACTACTACTACTACTACTACTACTACTACTAATGCTAGTTAGTTAGTTAGTTAGTTAGTTACGGAGTTACAATGACTCGATAACCATACTACAGTATGTGATAACGTATAAGACTGCTTTCTCTCTCTCTCTCTCTCTTTATATAATATATATATATATATATATATATATATATATATATATCTTGAATATATTACCCTCAGTGGGAAATACTATACAGTGGCAGGGCAGGCAGAGAGGTACATATAAAAAAAAAAAAAAAAAAAAACCCCTCCAAGCCAGGCCTGCTGCTGCTGCACCACTACTGCACTCCTCCTCCTCCTCTACTTAGTGGCTTAGTAGAACTAGATTAAATACCCAACAACTCCGTACATACTAGCTAGTACTACTAGTTATATAGTTAACTAGTTAACTAGTTAGTTAATAGTTAACTGTGGCTGCGCTGACTCACATAAGTCACTATCAACTAACTAACTACTATTACTATTATAAGGTAAGACAGACTAAGCTTAAACACATCTAACTGTACCTTGTCCCTTGCACCCCATAGGAATCGAGATACTAAGGAGTCTGGGGAAGTTGGCCCAGCTACTATTAGGTAATCTGTATGGCGTTTATGGCGTTCATGGCGTTGGTCGTCGTTGACCCGGGAGAGTGGATGCTCCGAGGTTCTAATCTAAGATCCAATATTCGTGGATTCCTTCCATACCATCCCTCAACTGATTTACGGGAAAATGTAATATTCAAATGTTTAATGTCATTTCATGCCTATGAATCAGCCGCTCGCTTCTGGGTATGGTAAAGCAAATGTCTTCAGAGCCCAAACAAATGTCAACCCGAATCGTCAGACCAGGACGATTCCAATGTACACGATGATGGTGACGGTAAGTGTGAAATCAGGATGGGGAATGTCGATGATGATGATGATGATGATGATGAAAGAAAAAAAAAACCGTATGAAGATTTGGCTGCTCCGTGAAAATGCTTTCCCGCCTTTTTGGTTTGTGTTTTTGCTGCTTGCTTGCAAGACCATTAGAACAGATGCGCCCCAGTGCGGTGTCCGATATCAATCAAACCGAGTCTAATAACATAAATGGTCCCAGTGAAAATAAAAAAGCATCCTAACGCCGAGTGTGCTATGCCACAAAAATACACCAGGCCGCCAGTAGAATGGAAGAGAGAAAAAGGAGGAATGAGAAACAAGGATGGGGTGCGGGTGCATGCGGGTTATGAGCGCGTGCAGAGGTGGGTGGGGAAAATAAGGATCAATATGAACAGTCGAAGATTTGACGCCTCTCAGCGAAGGTGTCATATTATCGCGAAGGCGGTCTCAGATTGGTCATCATCGTCACGCAGGTGCGCCAAGGCCGGCGATTTGACTCCAGGGTGGCCAACACAGTGGGCAATGATGTCACAATCGTTGTATATGGTGGGCGTAGGGAAAAAAAAAAAAAAGAGAGAGAGAGAGAGAGAGAGAGAGAGAAAAGAGGTGACAGGTTAATAAAACAAAGCGAGGGGTCGTGAAAATGTTGGTTGGGTAAGTTTCACTCGTATGGCTGTGTCGAATCAACCGCCGTCGGGAGATTTTTTCACGAACCGATCCTGGTCAGAAAACGCAAATAATGTCACTTTTGCCAATTTCCCCTTCAGGTAGGTAACGTGTTGTAGATGTCATGAATATCATTTATGGATTCCCTAACACGAGACAACAACCCAGGAACTAATTTCCCTCCCCATAATAGGTCTCGTATCTGGTTGAATATGTACTTCCTTTAGTCGCGGGTTGTTCCGTACCATTGAGACACTGTGAATTGCCACTCGGAAAAAGACTGCGGAAACAAAACCAAGACAGCATTGCGTAATTATGTCCCGTAAATGTGAGTTGACGTTTTTCGTTTTCATCGAAATGGAAAATGACACCGACTGCGCCCGGGTTTAACAGTCGGAGTAATAGTAACATTCGCGTTCGCGCTATTTCTGCGACTTTTTCACTTTGGTGCTGGACCTTGTCAACTCGCCCTTGGTCATGTTTCGAGTAAGGCCCCCAATGTAGTCCTGAAGGAATTTGTTCTCGCTTTCGAGTTTGTCATGATCGGATTTGACCGCTTCTATACGTTCTGCAAGGGCTTGAAGAGACGATTGCAAGGCTTTGGCTTGTCTAAACCGATTGAACGAGATTAGCATGAAAATGATTTTGGTAATAAAATAAACCAAATGCGTGGACTGAACGTACTCTTGGAGGGTCTGTCTGGCCTCCTTGCCCAGTCGCTCCAAATCCGCGGAATTACGGCGGGGACTCATGGCTCGCGCGTCGTCGGGTGGGAATTCTTCTTCTTCGATTTCAATTTCAGGGTGATCTCGGGGTACCAGGATGGAAGCACTAGGTTTCCGACTGGCCATGCGAGGGCGTTCAGAGCGCCCCCTTCGTTCTGTTTCTGTGTCGGAGATGGATGAGGATGAGGAAAGGGAGGACATATGAGCGCGACCGTTGTCGTTTGGTTGGGGCAAGGTCGGAACCGGAGAAGAACCATGCAAGTCTGACGCTGACGCCATATTACTGCGGAGAGAGGCCGTTTTTGGTTCAGTTTCAACTGGTTCTTTGGTTGAGACTGCAGTTGAAAACCCTAATGTCCAGATGTTGATATGTTATTTCCCACATGCAAAGTCGGGTAAAACGATCACAGTTGGTCGAGAACTACCTCTAGCGAACACTTCAGATGAAGAATCTTCTGCGTTTTCGCTGGAGGTAGCTGTCGGGATGGGCTCCAAAGGGTGTGACTTGAGGAACGGCGTTCAGGTTGTTTCGAATCAACGCTTGGCTTGGTAAGAGAGAGCAGGGGTAAGAAGAAGAGGAGGAGGAGGAAATTAAGCCAAGGTGGAAATAAAAGAATCGCAAATAAAAAGGGAAACAACGAAAAAAAAAAAGAAAATGATGGAAAAGAAAAGTAGAAATAGACAAGAAGAACGCTGGAGCGATCCAGGGGAAGGGGAGCTTGCGAGAAAAAGACGGAATTGGAGGGGGGGGAATTCGTTTTAAGCGAACTTGGGGAAAGTGACTGATAGAGGAAGGATGCTTGGAACAAAGCAATTCAAAGGAATGAATTTGCAGACGATGACGCTGTGAATGAGCGCTCTCTGCTTTTTGCTGAAGGTCCTCTTTTCTTCTTTTCTTTTTATTTCCTTTTTTTTCCTCTGTTCGTTTTTTGTTTTCGGTACCTGGTGTGGTGAGAGATGGGGAGAGGTGGGTTAGGGACAAGCTCGATAGTGTCCGAAAACGGGAGGTGTATTATTCAAGAGGGAGGAAAAGAAATCCGAGGAGGAGGAACAAGAGGAGGAGAAGAAGGATCTGAAAAGAATCTCGGGAGGCTTTACAATGGCGAATCCTAGTCGATTCAACTAAGAGGGAGAAAGCAAAGAAGAGAGAGAGGGAGAGAGAGAGAGAGAGAGGGAGGGAGAGAGAGAGGAGAAAAGCAGTGGTAGCGGTGGGAATCGTAACAGTTACCAATTACTGCTGCTAGTAAAGGGAAGGCAGTGGTCACTGGCCACTACTAACTAACTAACTAACTAAACTAACTAACTATTGGTAATAATGATTGTCATCTTCACAGGCGAAACAATGTGTAATAGGTATGATACTCTGTACTGTGAAATGGGTGGAACATCAGAATAATTTAAGAAATAATAGTGTTAAAATATTCATATTCATGAGAGAAAAAAGAATAATAAAAATGAATAAAATAAAAATGAAGGATAAATAATACTAATAAGAAGAAGAAGAATAGATAAAAAAATAGAATAAAAAATAGGTATAAATCGTAATAATACCGCCGAGTTTCCAATACTACTATTTTCTGGGTTCCAATGGTAAAATTACCCTGCCTCCTGCTAAGTCTGGTACTCCGTAATCAGCAACAAATCTGGTAACTACCTACAGCAAGCACTAAGGAGTATTCTGGTACTTTGGGCAGAAAGAGGGTAATATAAAATTCGGTATAACAGGTACAAACAGATGGACATCTGATTGCACTTTTAAGGGTTAGTGTAAAACAAAGTAGGTGGTTCAACAGACTCGTGGCCGCCACTGGAACGGATTATCGCCCGTATTGCTTGTACCCGTAAGGTACGAAAGAATGGATTGGAATAACTGACTCCGAGCCTAGGATCAGGATATCATCCAGTCCAAAAAGATATGTATGAGAGAGCCATAGATTGAATATGAATAATTTCCTCTCTTTCTGATTCCATGTTCTTCTTCTCTCTTACTCTGTATATCATTCCGGTGAAGAACGCCCAAAAAAAAAAAAAAAAAAAAAAAAACTCTCTGCGGTTGGTTGGTGGGCGGTGGGCGGGGATGTTTTAGGGGTTCGTTTTCCACCCAGTTCGGAGTTCGGTTAGCCATTCTGTTTGTACCAGGATTGTAAGCCCCTTGGTTCGACGATGCTCATCTTTAGTAAAGAACCAAAAGATAGCCGCTGGAAGGGGGGAGGGGGGCAACAAACTCAGCCAACGAGGACTGGCTCTCGGAGAAAACATGATGATGGTGATCCTCATCGTCTACCGCTAAGACTGTGACAGATATGATGATCAAAGGCTGCGAGGACAGATTCTACTTCCTGACAGTGAAGAGAAGCCTGAGAAGGGAGGGTGCTGAGTTTTTTTTCGACCCATAAATTCCCCCTCTTGACTCTCTCGGTATTGCATTGTGATCCTGTTGCCATGGTCCGCCATCGACACTATTCAACAAACTAACCAGGAACAACGACTAACTAACTAACTAGTTACCCTAAAAAGAGGCTGACGAAGGAAAAAAAAAAATGTAAAATGACACTTTCTTTAGCCTCTCGGCCGTTTCTTTTCTTTTTTTTTTTTTTTTTTCCCCTCCCTGAATATCGCCACTTTACCGAGGCGCTGGATGAAAATATGGGGTGTTAAACGAGTCCAACTCCGCTACGGGGTGGCTGAAATAAAGGTCTCATGCTCAGGGGGCGGATGAGGTCACGCAATGTCGATAGAGTTGTCGGAGGAATCCTTTCGATGACTGTATCCGCTAACGTCGGACGGGGGAGAGAGGGTTCAGATTCGAAAATAAATTAATTCTCATTGAGGCTGGCACCTTGAAGCTGAGGTAGTAGTGCCTTATGATTCCGGAAACATTATTTGTCTACGTACCTGTAGCTATACGTACCTCAGTAACGTCTGCCGGGTGGGGCTTTCCTATCTTAGCTGCCGCCGCTTTTATGAGTCTCACTGAGTTAGACTGACTCAGTAATATCATGTGATAGACCCGGGGCATCTATTGAGCACTCAGTCCACGCTCAGTCCATACCCAAAGGAGCACTTGGGCCCACAACACTGTTTATGCTCGCCAAACCTGACCTATATAATACCCTGTCATCTACCAACTCCTTTCGGATTTTGGGCTACGGATTTGGATATCAAAGAAGTAGAGAATGTGTGGATGTAGGGCTCATTATCTATGAATTGGGTCATGGTTTAGAAAAATAGACTTGTATTTTGATCAAGTAATACTACCTAGGTAGCAAGGTGTAGAAGACGCAGCAAAACAGAGGATATGAAGACGGCGAGGAAAGAACGACCAGCGAAGAAGAGGAAGAAGACGATTCCGGCGACGAAATCATTCATCTATCTCAACATCCATCTCAACATCCATCTCAGGGTCATGGTCGAAGATCAGGTTAGACTCCCCTGATCCTTGTTCTGTCCGGCGAGACGTGCGTTGGGAGGCGGCGGGTGACATCGAGGCCGCTTTCTTCACCAGGTAGACTAGCAGACCAAGCACTTGTTCGAACCCATTTCCAACAACACAGACTGGTTTGACCGACCACTGGTAAACATTAGAATCAGGGTCACTGACACGATTGAGGTGCACTTACCCGAGACTCATTGTCGAGCTTCATGAACGTGAAATTCATAGCATCAGTGGAGATGCCGTAGACGGTGGTGTCTGTCTTGCCAAGATCTTTGCGCTGCTTGTGGACGCACCCTTTTGACAGGTCAGACTAAGAGTGTGTTATGCGACGATATCGTGAGGTACTTACCCATATATGCCAGCGCCGGCGGAATCCCTTCGGTACCACTGTTCGGTCTCTTGGCCTCCATGATCACAACGTTCAAGTCGATGTCTTCCTCCTCTCCATACCAAATGCCATAGTCGGGACGCCCCGACAGCATCCATGTCTTCCCCTTCCATTTCACAGGGCTATACGCCCAGGTACGTTCCATCTGAATGTTCAAGGGACTCGCGGAGTTGTGTAAAGACGACGATACCAGATCGTGAGCGCAGACAAGGAGGAGGTTGAGCTTGCAGCGGATACTAGCTTCGTTTGCGCGGCTGGCGCCATGAGCGCGGTCCGACTTTTCCAACCAGAGTTCTAGCTGAGGTTAGCTGATTTCTTTTGTACGATCCATCGGGCTAACATACTGAGATCTTGCGGGACGGGGATAGGCGGAACAAAGTCCAACTCATCATCCACAACCAGGGTGAGACCAAGGATCTTCTGGATATCTGGCAGACTCAACGAGGTCACTGCGAGCAGCGGGAGCTTCGTAGGAGCCTCCAGGATTCTTGTCAAGTCTTGGGCGTCAATCTTGTGTTCGAGAAAGCGGCGAATTATACGCCGGAGACCGGTAACAGTGGACATAGTGTAGATGTAGGGAATGAAACCCACAGAAGGCTGTCTCTGAAAGCAAGAAAGAGAAGGCTGCGGATGGTTGATTGAGAACAATGTGAAAGTGTTGCTGCGTCCCTTTCTACACATTTCCGGTTGACGCTTGGATGTTGTAGAGATACGCTCATTACTCGAATAAAGTACCAATGACTCAATCAAAAACCTTGGGAACATGGTAGTTTCATAGTACCCTTGAATCTGTCCCGAGGTCCATCCAGATTCAGCAAAAGACCTGACATCGATACTAGATATGTAGAACCAAAAATAGAGGGCTGGATTGTTTTTTACAACTATGTAGAAACAGTATCGTGGATTGGACAAGAAGAGCATTGATCAAGGACGGACAGCATTGGACGGGCCTAGCCTGTTGCATTTTATTGGGGTTATGCTCAGTCAGCCAGTCAGGCTCCATAGTTAACTAGTTAGTTAACTAAACAATTTCGATGATTATGTAAGGCCCAGGGCCCATATTTACTCCGTGAGCAAAAAGCGGCAAGAGGTGAGTACTGTAGGTTACCTAGGTATATTCAAAGGGCTCCAGGGAGAGAGAGCTTTTCCACTTCAGAATATCAATACCTTCTTCTGTTTAAGAATTAACCAACAACCCCACTAGAAAAGCAAACGGCTCTGGGCGATCCATTCCTACGCCGTCAACAGGTCGACTGATCATGACGGTGAAACTGAGAAAGATATGCAAGCTGCCGATCCTTGTGAAAAATTAATTATCATTGGAAATCAAAAAGGCAATTTTTACAATTCTTTCTTACTCTTGAGACACCAGATACGGGAAGATAATAATGCATTGTATCGAGGTTACTACCGGGTATGTCCACCGGGCACAGGGTACGTATGCACCGTTTTTTCTTGGACTTGGGGGGGGGGGGCGTCCGCCAGCAGCTATCAAAAAGCCGACCCAAAATAGCGGGTACCAAATCTCGATCAATGAAAAGGCCCAGGATGGGTCAAGGGCTTCGGGGAAGAAAAGAGAAATTTCTCATAGTTCGTTTCCCCCGTCTGGTGGTGTGTCCCTTGCGGTTCCAGTGGGCCAGTTCATACTCGGGATGAGCATGAGCACATCATGGTTGCGATTTCTGATTGGTGTTGTTGGGGCTGATACTGACTGAGTCGGAGTATTAACTGGATACCTAGTAAACCTAAGTGGGTATTGTCACCGACTTGCTAACTTATGCTACAAAGGTAGTGGACACCAAACTTGCAGGTCGGCAGGCTGGCAATGTTCCAATTTCCTCCGGCAGCGCGAAGAAAAAGAATCTTCCATGTTTCTTCCACCTCATGTGATTCAGATCTACGTCACTGGTTTTGAATTCCTTGATAGGTTGTTATACTTTTTTTTTTTTTTTTTTTTTTTTAGGTAAATATGCAAGTCGAGCATTCCGCCTCTCCACCGCTAGGGACCAGGAATCATGGTTGGTTTTGCTGTAAGGTGCAGTCGCATTCAAAATGTACATTGAGCCCCCCCATCCTAGAACACTAATACAGATGACAACAAGGCCAATGTCTGCCTCAGTAAGAATTGAAGATGGAAAATATACTTCTCACGAGTCCACTCTCTTACCTAGGTAGTTGTACCTACGTGTGCAGATACCCACCCTCCCGTTAAGAAACATCATAGTGAGCCAACCTGTATTAAACAACCAACATTTGAGAGAGAGAGAGAGAGAGAGAGAAAGTAAGAAAGTGAGAACAGGGAGTGTTCCTTAACCCCCGCATTAGTGTTGAAACACAGATTTCAACATCCAGATAGCCTGAAGATGAACCAGTTAAACCCATCAATCATCCATGGTTGAACCCTTTTACTTGGCTCAACATGACAGTTGTCAAACTCGTGAAAATTGAATTTATCCATTAAAAAAGCAGGTTTGAAAAAGCAATAAATAAAAAAGCAATAAAAGGAATCAAATTAAAACTCCACCCCCTCGGCTCCCAATTGATACCTGAGAGGTTCGATCATGGATCATTTCAGGCTTTGTTTGAAGTTTTGAACCGGAACAGACCCGAGAATTCGCCGTTTTTCAAGTATGATGGGAAATTCAGATTACCGTACGATACCTGTATTATGAGCTAGTCCTCTGTACCAGATTATTGATTGATGATGATCATGCTGTTAACTATACGTAAGTAAGGGTACCACAGGGTCAGCCGCGTGACTGGCTCTTTGCTCCACCGATCCATCATCCATTTTCTGCTCACCCACGGTACCTTTGGAAAAGAAGTATATTTTTATTCTGAATGCTAATTGGGCTTGCAGTAATTACTACCTAGTACGGAGTAGTTAGTAAACGATCCCTGTTGGATGATAAAGAACTGCCGATCTGCAATTCTCCATTGGTGTGATTGTCCTCGCCCATGTCATCGAAAGGTGATCGATTGGTTAGGTATTGTTGGATTGATACGGCCATGATATGATCACTTGATACTTCCTTAGGTACCTTACCTAGGGAGACCTACGTAGGATCCCGTGAGAACTTGAAGATATAAAGTCTGGTATCTACCAGTATCCCATTTTATTTCACTTATCCTCTCAATGTCCGAATCACAGACAGAAACTACTCCTGTACGGAGTAAAGTTAACTAAGCCCAAAGCTCCTCCCACTAGTCTAGTAGACTGAGGAAGCTCTGAAAGAAAAGGTATTTATTTATTCAACCCCACCCGAGTTGAGTTGCTTCTTATATTATCATCCTGTACGGACTACGGAGTACCCAAGTAACAACTTACTACCAATAAAAGAATGCCTATATCTAAGATTTTTTTTTTTTAAGATTCCAAGACTACCCCTAGTGATAGAATAAGGCCAACCTTAAAAAAAAAAAAATCGAAATTAAAGTCGGTGAAGAAACCTAATTCAAATTATGATTCTCATGAGGGAGGTACGGAGTATAAGAAGAAGATACCCTAATCTACGGAGCACTCCGTCCTCCGTTACCTACAGGCTACACCTAACTAGTTATCTCCATCTTGATTAACTAGTACTTCATCGAGCTTCGAGAAAAACCCCCGAAACTATTGGAAGATGCAATAAGGACTGGACTGGACAAGAAAAAGAACCCCCTCCCGCCCAGAACGCGGGAAGCGACTCCACTGTCTTTTCTCTCTCTCTCTCTCTCTCTCTCTCTCTCTCGTAAGTGAGAGAGTAAATGAGTGACTGTGTTATGTCAGAGAGTCGGTCAAGATTGATATGATCATCAGTGGAGCACGGCTGACTGGCTCTCTCTCTCTCTCTCTGCTTCGTCCCGCGAAGGGTCGGAGATGATCAGGATGCGGGAAGTGCCCCTCCCTCCCTGAGTCTGGATATCCGATTTGACACGGTAGTTATTTCCTCGTCTGAGCTTGAATAAGAGCATGCTGGAAGGATTCTCAAATGGAAGGTTGAACCGAGCGAACTCGATGTAGTAGTATTTCTTTTCTCCCCTTTTTCCTTGTTTTCAGTATACAGTATATACAGTATGGTCTAATTTAGACCCGGGATAAAGAAAATCGTGTGGTTGCAGTGTACGCTGTATTTGCTAAAAATACTATATAGTTATATATACCTTGATAACAATGCTGAGTGGACTCTGTAAGAATACATTGCCTATCCCCAACGGTGTATAATGCATGGGAGTACTCCGGTATAGAAGTATGCAATGAAATCTACTGCTTGCACGGTATTTCTACCTCAAGCTCCTCCTCCCCGCCGACAAAGATATCGTCGCCTTCCATTGGTACAGGGCTCGCAAGACGGCGACGCCACCAGACTGGGTTTCTACAGTGCGTCCTCGGCCGCGATCGTTGTATTCTGGTTGGCCGTGTTCGATGTCCGCATCTGGCATCGTGGACGCCAGCTCCGAGGCTTTCTTCCACCACCAGGCCGGCCCTGTCGAATCGGGGTAGTTACGGTAGTCTGTTGCCCCATGGGGCAATGGGCTCTCGTGGGAGAGCGAACGATCAAACACCCGATACTTTCTTCCCCACCACATCCCGAACTTGCCGTCGTCATTTCGCGTGGCAAGAGCAGCGTTCGCATTGTGCTCAATCCACTGATAGTAATGGCTACACCTTGTTTGGTGCCACCCAAAAGAACGCTTCCATCCATTTTGCGCCCAAGCTTGCGTGCGGAGGAACCGCTCCTCGTGCGGGTGTATTGGTCGGCAGAACTCGGCGAAATGATGGAAGAAGATTCCTTTAAACGTTTGTCCATCCTGGGAGCAGTCGCCTTTAGAATCACAGGAATCTTCGAGAATACCAGCACGACCCAATCCCATCCACCGTTGATCGTAGACATTGGGCCATCCCGTCGCCCTCATGACATTACGAACAAGCTCGTGACCATCATCGAGATACTGCTCCGTCCCAGTGGCCAGCCAGAGGCCTCGCAGTCCGCTCAGAATGACTCCCTGATTATACGTGTACACCATCGTATTCAAGATGTCACATTTACGCGTCCCAGGCTGTTTGTCGCTTTTCCAACCCCGGACGTGAAACCCGTCTGCATACATCCCAAACAGCCCCGTCATGTTGGAGTCCTTCAGCCATCTGTACGCCTCAATGGCCGTATGTAAGTAGTCAGCGCTATGTGGTAGATCGTCAGCCGATTGCTCGCCCTCACGGCTAGCCATAAATGGTGAGTCAATCCCATCGCCGGGATAGTAGAGATACATCGCAATACTGGACGATACGAAGAGCTCATTGGTAATCGCATTCTTGTAAGGAGTCAAGTAAGGACTCCAGATCATGCCACCAGTGCAGAGAGCCGTATCCCACCCCTGAGACGCAAGGTCATAGAACACGCGGACCCGATGCGCAGCCGGCGATCGGAACTGCGTCCCATGCCAGGGTCGTCCCGGATTTTCATAGTGCAGGTCCGAATGCAGAACCTGAAATTTGATATTCTCCAACCAGCCCAACACGACCCACATCATGTCATCGTAAGCTTGAGTTCTCAGTGCAAACGCGTCCTCTCCAAAGTAGAATGCCATGACGTGCGCAAAGTAGTGATTGACAAGATTCTCCAGCGCCATCGAGTTCTGAGTTATCCCCCATTGGCCCTGGCCGCCCTCAACGGCGTCTTCTAACAGACTTGAGAGCAATGAGTCGTCCGCGCTTGCAGTCAATGCAGAGAGCGTGGCCGACACATGCGTCCCCAGGACAGCGCGAGTCCAATCGATCCCAGTCGGCCAGGTCCCCTGCCATAACTCAAAGTAATCATCCTGCATCACATCGAGGGCACGTCTCAAGTCACGGAATGTCTGTGCGACGAATTGGTTTGCCGGGAGAGGCCATTGTTCGCTGTTGCGAGAGACCTGGGCATTTAGAGAAAATGGCGGGGAAGGGTCTTGTACCAGCGCCCGCGCATTGGTCCCAGACACCAGGAAAACCACCACGAATAAGACACTCCAAGGAGCCAACAACAATGCTGCCATTGTGAAGAGCATTGCGGATTTATTTACCCCCCCGACCCAACTCGTCGTTGTTGAGTTGGGGGAAACCGGCCGATGTCGTCAGCGAAGGGGAGAAGGTTTCGTTTGTTTGTTTGTTTGAGCGTCCTGAAGAATTTCAGACGAGAAAAAAAAAGACCAAGAATAGGAGGATAGGGAGGGAAAAAATAAAAAAAATAAAAAGAAGGGCGGCCTGCATCCAATGGAGGAAACCCGGGAATCTCACATATTTTGTGCATTCCCTGGACGCGCCATGCATACAGTTAGGGAGAAAGAGCGGGGATAAAGTTCCTGGTCCCTAAAAGGGTCTCTTGGGCTTTTCTATGCAGTTGGCACCTGACCCCACATACTATGTAGGCTAGAGAATATGAGGCCTAATCTTCCCAACTTCTAGTAATTTATAATAATGGAAAGGAAGTAGGTCAACTGTTCCCTTGGAGTGTCATGTATTATACATGGTGGCATCACACGGCTTCATGCATCACTCCTGGGAGTGAATGGTGAACGTTAAACCCCCAAGACTTCGACTCTACTCTGTATGGTTTGTCAATGTCTTATGATACCTCCGTGTGACAAGATATTATCTAGACGGCCCAGCGCCTTATGAGCCCGAGAAATCGCGGGGACATCCCGGAGGAATGGAACCTCTGGGGTAAGTCACGCTGGTTCGCTCTACAAAATATGTCACATATATACTTACAAGGGGGTGTAAATTCAGACGAAAAAGAAGCAAGAGAAAAAGCCATAGCTCCCCATCACACGACTCTTTGTATTGTAGTGCATAAATCATGTGGGGGGTTATTAAACTAGCAGACTATTTCCCCCCCCCCCTTTCAAGATAACATCAGATCTCTGGAGAATCAGACATCGGTGCTTTTCTATTCCCTGTATCAGTAAAAGACTGGTAATGCAATGAATGACATGGGGGAGAGGATCATACCACACCGTTCATTAATCACGACGCCGACAAATATTCTCCCGTACTGTCATCCGCACAAACATCGGGTAGACGCCTTGCACAGATCATGACCAGAGATACTGCCGGCTGCAAGCGCTTCGATCCTTCGCATGGTACCCATCGAGCAGGTCTAGAGGTGTCGAGTCACAACCAACATTTTCATGTCCCCAACTGCCAAATGTAAATCATGTGAGGACAAGACAAGATATGAAAGGCAGAAACGCTGAAGAGACAGAAATGAAAACAAAATGACACAAATTTCAATCCAATATCACAATGGCGTCTATTGGATAGAGAACGCAGATCCGTCAAGTCATGAATGTAGCTTAATCCCGTTCACCGTCAGCACCAGGGCTGCGACTCCGATCACGGCTCCTGCTGCGGTTTCTGCCAGCAGCACCACGGCCGCCTCTCTGTCCTGCGGCTTTTCCTTTGTTGGAAGGAGGTGGTCGAACGAATGCGTAGTCGACCTGGATTGTCTGGTCGAGCAATTTGGATCCGTTCAAGGCTTTGATGGCTTCAGAGGCTTCGGGGAGGGTGGAATACTCGATCAATGCATATCCCTGAAATTACAGTGTTAGTAACTGTACGATGCGGCGCTCAAAGAACAACAGATATTCGTTTAATGGTCCACGTATCCCCGCCCGAAAAGTTGAAATTGAAAAAAAAAAAAGTAGCCTACCTTCACATAACCTGTTCGGCGATCCAGGTTCAAGCTGAAGTTCTTGATCTCACCATACTCTGCGAAAAGATCCGTCACGTCCTCCTCAGAGGCTTCCTCGTGGATGTTGGTCACGATCACAATCCAACCTTCGATACTTCGCACGGCAACCGCCCCAGCCTGTGTTCGTGGGTCAAAGCTACCATTGCCAGTCTGCTCTTCAGGGCCCAGCTCTTGCGAGATTGGGGGATCGACTTCCATTTCTGCGGACATTATAGCGGTGATTGACAAAGAATGTCAAGGGAGAGTTGACTGGCGAGTAGAACGATGTGTGTGGGAAACGAGCGAGGCGGATTGGAGCGAGCTACTTCAATGTCTGTCGCGATGGAATTGATGGATCTCCAAAGCTTCCAGCCGGTGGTGTGCTTATGTAAGCGACTGGTATCAACCTCAGTTTCTTAGTAGAAGACACGACAACAGAAGGAGGAATTGAGAGCGGTAAAGTATCAAGTACAAGTACTATCATGGATGATATTCACTGATTTTTTTTTATCGATTTTTATTGATTTTTGGGAAGCTTTTTGTGGGGTGGTAAATTTGTTGTCCTTCCACAGCCAGGTACAACTATGAACACCAGGGTTCATTAGGGCTAGATGATAGCTCAAACAGTAGTCCAAAAACATGTTGCGTCTGAATATAGGTAAGGTAAGAATAGAAATTCGGGTCTTCAAATCATGTTAACCTCTAAATATTTGATATGGGACAAAGACACTACGTATGGCAGGTTAAATGCAAGTCTTGACTACCCAGGCACAAAACGTTGGAAACGTCCACTATATTTTTACCCAAGATAGAGTAGAGAAAGAGTTGCTATACTGCATTAAAGGTACCATTCTCAGTCCCTACAGCTATTCCGTGCTTTCTAAGTGGGATAGTCATCCACAAATACAATATCATCATCTATATATTACGTTTTATTCACACCCAGGACATTGATAGCGGGCAAACTAGTGAGTAGAGGGGCGTTTGAACAACATGAAGATATCCCAGGTTCATACATACATCATAGAGAGAGAGAGTTTGTCCTCAAGCTACCAAGTACAAGAGAATAAACCCTTAACAGAGTCGGTTTACATGACTTACTATGCTGGCATGCTTCATAGTTGATATCCAGATACATTTATAGCTAATGGGTGAGTATGGAAGCATTGCCCTTTGGCACTAAAAACTTTTTGAGGGAGATTTCCGACATAGGTGTTTATGCACTCAGATAGGACGCTATAAAGTGCGCAGGTAGTGAATGGGAAGAGACTAGCCACCCCAATATTAAGAGAATACAAACACGGAGATTTGGGAGAACGCACAGATAAATATTCTGTTTCTTCAATTCGTGAGTTTCAATTGTAAACTGTGACTGCACAGGACAATATTCACGCCGAGCGTTGCTCGAGTATAAGAACCTCAACATGTTGTGGTGAGTCCAGAGCAACCGTGGACCTATATCTCCAATTTCTCACAAAACTGGCTCCGAGACAGTGACGACCCTGAATGTCTCTGTCACCCACGCCCAAAGAAACCATTCCCGAAGATTGAACTTGTTCTTCGTGGGTCCAATCCCGAGCAGTTCTGCCGTCTGGACCAGCCAGGTTCACAGCTCGATGTTGTTTTTGATCTGATAGGGAACACCATGATCCTGCGCGAGATAACAGAAGACGCCAAGTACCGTGGCGCGTCCTACACCATTTGCCTTATGATCGAGTTGAAGAACATGCGTTTTGTGAACCTGGAAGGACTCCCGGACAACTCCCTGCTTCTTTCTTTCCGGATGCGCAGCTCAGCCTGTGCTGTGAAGGGAAGCAAAATGAGGGTGAAAGAAAAGTACCATGGATTTTCGCCAGATCCCCCTAACAGCCGCCTGTACAACGATCTTTACTTGTGCGATTGGGCCCAGCAACACCTGGAGCTGCTTCTGCCGGCAGATCGAATTAAAGGCTGGAAAACGGTGGCACTCATTCTCAAGACCTTTGAGAGAATCACAGGAGATAACTGGTGCCATATGGTTCATCTGAAGAAGACGCCATGTGTTGCAGGCTTGGACTGGAAAGCTTTCGAAGGTATCCTGATACCTGACAAGGAGGCTTCGTCTCCTGAGTCGACTCCCGGAGAAGAAAAGGTGATTCAGTTCCTGGCAGACGAGAAGAAGAACAAGAAGAAGAAGAAGGTGGAGGAGGGAAAGAAACTACTGCAGGGGTGATCTATTCGGGCTACACCCTGATGGAATTTGTGAGTCTTTGCATGTGTGCATGTTGTACGGTCTATACTAATTTCGACAAAAGCAATTGGGATGGTTTGCAATGGCGTAATTTGGTTCAACATATGAAAGTTTGCGAAGCGCATGTCATATATTTGTCTCCTGATAGTACTATTGAAAAGGCGATGGCATGGATAGGGAATGAATGGTTTGGTCTAATTTTATGAATCCTGGAGCTATTCCTGCGCAATATTATGATATGGCGTCTGCAGGTAGCTTTAGGCTGATTCACAGAATCTAAATACAGAGGACCATGAAGCAGTAATGTCAAAGATGTTCAATTTGCTGAATTAGAATCGGATCATTCGGTTTACAGCTGTCTTTCTAGATCGTCCTGAGTCCGACTTGGGGCAAAAACAGCCATCTCTTCCGGAATACATAAAAGCATGATTTATATGCCATTTGCAGCAATTATTCACTATCCTGACTTTATTCTAGGAGTACTACCACCTGATACAGTGTTTATCCACAGCATGCTTCATCATCTTCGCCTCAACGTTCTATCGAACAGTGCCTAGGACATCCCTATGCAAGGGATATGGTGCCCACCATTTTACCATTTCCCCAGGATGAAACCAACTAGACATGGGCTGGGTTTAAGCAGTTGAAGATATTGGGTTTATTATTTGAACTAGAGTATTTAGTCTGGTCCCCGCCTTGCATCTGGTAGGGGTGTGTACTATCCACACTCATCCCTGCGCTCAAAGGTAAGCAGTAGTTAATTCTTGGACATGGAGATCAAACAATCTTTGTATTTCCAGAAGATAATTTCTAGATAATGGTGTGACATGCATTTGCAGGTTTTGGTGTTGATTAAACCCTGATATTTAAGTGTGTTTACCTTAACTAGAATACATAGGTAGATATGTATATGTTCCACCTCTCTGCATGAATAGGGATTCTTAAATTAAGCTTACAGCTTTTCATTTCATTTATACCTACGGAGTACTCCGTATTTGGCCCTGGAAATTTTGCAATAAGGGATTGTCATATCCCTACATAGGCACGTCTTGGTTGTTTCGAGGGTCTTATAGACTTGGATGTCTTCTCTTCTACCTTTCCTCGTCCACTTTTCATACCCCAGTCTATCTCTTCATGTGAGACTGATGAGATACTTTCATCTATCATAATGTGTTGAATTTGACTCTTTTTTCGCATCTAATACTCTCGTTTAATTCATGGGCTTTGCGTTTGAAACAGCAGGCTGTCGCTCTTTTCATCTTCAATATTGAATGAGAGTGTTTTCTCTCCCTCCTTCAACACCAACACTACTCCGGGGTCTCGAGAAAATAGACCTAGCCTTTCGTTTATATTTGTTGTCTCATTCTTTAGAGCAGAGATTGCAATAAATTTCCAAAGTCAACACTCATTTCCTAACGCTTCATTCCTCATTCATTTGTCTAAAGTATCTATCCTCTCGGCCGGGTTATCATTTGTATTCAGACAATAATGTCCTTCCAACGTCAACTGCTACTATGGCTTTGTGCCAGCTTCTCCGTGATTCTATCCACCCCAGTGTTTGCAGCAGATACACAAGCCTGGAAGTTAAGATCAGTTTATCAAACCATGACTGATCGATTCGCACGTACAGATGGATCCACAACCCAGGCTTGCAACACGACCCAAGGCCTTTATTGTGGCGGAACATGGAGAGGGATGATCAGCCGTCTTGACTACATCCAGGGTATGGGATTCGATGCGGTTATGATCTCTCCCATCATCAAGAACATTGATGGTCGAGTCTCGTACGGCGAGGCTTATCATGGCTACTGGGCCGAGGATTTATACTCTCTGAATCCTCATTTTGGGACCCATCAGGATCTACTAGATCTAAGTCGAGCTCTTCATGACAGAGGCATGTATCTCATGGTAGACACTGTCATTAACAATATGGCCTACATCACCCATGGCGGAAATCCAGCAACGGATGTTAACTATACCACCTTCAAGCCTTTCAATGGACCACAGTACTACCACCCATACTGCAAGATTAACGACTACAACAACTACCCGGAGGCACAGCAGTGCTGGACGGGGGATAATATCGTTGCGCTCCCAGATCTGAAAACCGAAGATGAACAAGTCCAGTCGGTGCTCAACAAGTGGATTCAAGATATGATATCAACATACTCGATCGATGGCCTTCGTCTCGACGCCGCAAAGCATGTCACACCGGATTTCTTACCCAAGTTCCAAGAGGCCGCAAATGCTTTCATTACAGGCGAAGTATACGAAAAGTCAATTGACATCGTCTGCAGCTACCAGAAGGAGCTCACCAGTGTCCCGAATTATCCAATTTACTTCGCTCTCCTGGACGCTTTCACAAAGGGCAACACAAGCACACTTCCCGACGAAGTCGAGGTCATGAAACATTCATGTCCCAATGTAACGGCTCTCACAACATTTTCCGAGAACCACGATGTTGCTAGGTTTGCTAGTATGCAAGACGACATGAACGTACGTCATCCTCACCCTTAACAGTACGGATGAAAAAAAAAAAAAAAAAACTAACCGGAAAACAAACTATAGCTTGCCAAAAACATCTTGACATTCACAATCCTCTTCGATGGTATTCCAATGGTCTACCAAGGCCAAGAACAACATTTCTCTGGTGCTCATGACCCCGAAAACCGCGAAGCCCTCTGGTTATCCAACTACAACACCGACGCGCCCTTGTACAACGTGATCAAAACCCTAAACCGGCTGCGCAAGCATGCCATCCAAATCGACCCCAACTACATCGACACCCAGACCTACCCCGTTTACCGGGGACCCAGCGAAATGGGATTCCGCAAGGGCCGCGAGGGACGACAGATCGTAATGGTTCTCTCTACGCAGGGAAGCAAGAGCGGGGAATACACAATCCGCATGATGAACGGGTACCAGCCCTCCTATGTGGTTATTGATGTGTTTACGTGCCGCACGTACACAGTGAATGATATGGGTGAGCTGAGGTTGGAGATGGACAAAGGTGAGCCGAGGGTCCTGTACCCTGTGAATTTGATGTATGGGAGTGGGCTTTGTGGCTATGGGACGGCGAAGGTCACGTATCTGGATTTCGTCCGTAATCAGTCTTCGCCGTCGCCGACTCCAACGTCCTCTGAGGGCTGGGTTCCTCGGGGCGATCTTCAGGAGTCGTGGTTAGTATTGGGTTGGTCTTTACTGTGTTGTTTGATTTCATTCGTGATCTAGTCTCCCAGACTTTTGGCATTACTTTTCTGTTTTTCTACTCAGTTATCAAATGTGAATAAGCCAACTTAATGCAGGACAGTAATTCGTACGCTTACAGTTGATTGCAGTCAGTCAGGATTTAATATTTGAGCCTGCACCATAAGTACCTTAATCTGCCTTTCAGTGTTAACGGGCATCAACATACGCCAATCTGATTTGTTGGTAGGGCATACAGAAATTATATGACAAGTTACTTGTTGGCCCCCTGCTTTCAACACAACAACACAACAACGCCAGAGTAGGTAGGCAGCAAGTAACTTGCTCATCTCTTTATAGCCATGTATCTTAGAAGAATTATTCAGTCTATTAGGTCCCTACAAACCCTTCCCCTCCAGGCAAAGTTACTCCCAATGGCAGATCTAGTTGAGGAAGAGCGCATGTCCTATTATAAGCCGCAGCACTTTTGTACTGTATGTCTTTATTAACAATCGATACCAAATTGCCGCCAAAATAGGCTGGGAACAAGTTCAATAGTAAGGCTAGCATGCAATCTCCACCGGTACGTGAAGATTATCTTATAATATGGTGAACATCATAGCAGCACACAAGTTATTCAATTTGACCTTCCTCTTCATATCCAACTCTTCAAAACGTAGTCTATTGACGAATTCATCGAATTTAGTTAGCTGTTGGAAGTGGCTGAGTAAAACCATCTGCGACATTGTTTTCGCCTCCAATCATTCGTAGTCCAACATCTCCAGTCTTGATTGCTTCCTTCACAAAATGGACAATCCACTCCGGATCTTCTGGATTGCGTCAACTAGTATTCGGCATGCTTTTCAATGGTTTATGTTTTGTGGTGGAGAATGCTTTCGTGGGGTTCGTGAACGCCTATTATTCTTTCCTTTTGATGCTGGCATATATCGAGCTTTCTGCTTTACTTCACCGCATATGTTGAAGAATTGTGACCATGTAAGGTCTTTGGCAGCATTTTCAGGCAAACGATGATACGTCAGATCCACGAAGCTTTCATATTCATCTTCAATTCCTCGTAGTAGAATTGCAAGTGCTTGGTAAGGTGTGAGAGGCATATCTAGCCTGTTTGTGATGATTGTCTTTTGTACAACTGCAGTCACATATTGCTCCACGGTAGCATAATCATGACGCCGTATCTCAATGATCTCTCTCCAATACTTGTATCGGTAGCAACTCCTACCATCGACTGTCCTTTGTAATTTTTGTAGGAATTCATCCGCATAAACCTGTGGGGCAGGATCCAAACACATTTTTTTTTGCATATTCCTTGCTAATCGATGTAAGCAGCCAATTTGCTACCTTTAGTGAGCATGTTTCCCATATGCTGTATTTTGGATTATCTTGTGATGGCCTTGGAATTTCATAATCCAGGAGATCTTCCATGCCATGGATCCGCAATGTTGTCCTGACAAACACAAGCCAAACGTGTAGATCTTCTTGGTTTTGCAATACCATGATTGAGTCCAGGTTGTATGTGCCTTCTTTGATATTCGTAGCTTGATCATGTCGATCCACTCGTACTGTCAAAAGTTCATCAACAGCTGGATTCGAGGGATTGCTTGTCATTTTGGGTGTTTATCTGCGTCCAAAGTGGCCAATAAACTCTTCTTGAATGGTTGTTTTTCGATGGAGCCCTTGCTCTCTTCCTAAACGATAAAAATGTGGTCTTTTGCTCCGCTCCGTGCCCACTCGGCGGTAACAAATACATATGGGGGCTCCCTTTCGTGCCAGGATCTTGATGATGCAGAGGTAAGAGTTTTTAAAGGTCTAATGAAGCAAAATTAGAACCTCAGGAGGGCTCATAACGATGAACGTCAAGTCAAATTCTTAATGAAGATGATGGATTCTATTGATATGGAAAAGGTTGCTTAAGATACATGAAAATCCTAAGAACGAATTGGCGAATTAAATACTGTGGGTCACATGGCGCTAGGCAACTTTTGGAAACGGTTGGAAGTAGATGGAAATAGAACAATAGATTCAATCTTTACTGTCCCTACGCAACCCGTCTATCCTGGAGTTATATTCATACTCTGAAAAATTAATATAGAGTAGCCTGATCCTCCTGCTCGCGCGTTGGATCTGAAAGTGGTATATTATGTTTCACCAATAAATTGGTTATTCTAAACACCTTATAGGGTATTATCTATAGAGAGTAGAGTAAGTACTAGATACACAGCATGAATTCGGTGAAGCCTATATCAGCCTTGGAGCTTGGTAATCTTCCACAAGAAACACCACAACAGTAAAAAGCCGTGCTTGTAGCATTATGTGCTCCACATATATCTGGGGCGCAGAAGACCGGAAGATCAAGGACAGAGCACCAATCGGCCGCTAGTTGGAGAACTGAGATTCCACGAGAATGGGATCGATGACGGCGATGATGATGGCAGCGGCGGCAGCGGCAAAGATAACCACAACAGGAAATTCACAGGTCTTCACTCTACCTATGAAATTGAACGATGGAAAGGAAGCCCATACACCAGTCTTATACCACATTTATACAACCGCCCCAATAACCACGCAAATAAGCAATGATATCATCCAGCCAGAGTCATGCCGTTCGGAGAAAGGCAATCCGGTCTGAATGGTTCACCAAAAACCATCAGATTCAGAGAGATATTAGAGTTTCTTTACTTCCGGTTCTGGCTTCGCATACCCAGAATCTGGACCATACGGATGAAGATGTTGATGAAATCCAACTCGAGGCTGATGCTTTCGTTGACAACGTCTTTGCGGACCAGACCTCTCTGGGCCATGCGGGCGTGGTACAGAATCTTCTGGACATCATACAGGGTGAAGCCACCGAAGACAGCAAGACCGCCGTAAAGCCATATCTTCTCAGACCACATCAGGGCGCGGGTGGCGGTGGAGGGGAGAACGAGTGGCGCAAAGCCGGAGAGAGCGACAATGGTCACACCAGCGAGCAGAGGAGCGCCTAGGTATAGGTATTTCTCCTGCTTAGCGGTGGCACCGACGAAAGCAATCGAACCCATCAATCCAATAGTGTAAAGACCGGCACGAGCGAGCAAGGCTGGGTGCATGAACATCAGGGGAGACAAAAGGGCAGCCTGAGTGATGTTGAAACCAGTCCAGAGACCATACTTCACAACGTAGCTAGAGAACTGTTAGGACTCGGTTCATCTATTATTTTTTTTTTAGGGAAAGGGCATATTTGACTTACTTATCAGGCGAGGTATAGAGAGTTCCGTACATTGTTCCGATGCTCGCGACCAAGCCCAGACCAGCAACAAGCCAAGGGTTGGCAGCCATCAGACGGTAGGACCATCCGTTCATGTGCAGAGCTCGAGCGGCAATGCCGATAATTCCGATTCCAAGTCCAGTGTGCATGAATGTTTCGTTCAGATAGCTGCGCTCATATTGAGGCATTCCACCATCTTCTCTTGTTTCCCGGTTGAAAATGAAGTTTGTTGCGAGAATAGTTCCACCGACAATAGCCGCACCATAGATGAGTTTCTGGGTCAAATCACCGCTCTGCGACTGGCCATAGGTCTGTTGCATATATGTGCGACGGAAGGCATTCTGAAAGCTCTGTTTGGACTTTGCGAAGATGGAAGAAGAGGCGGGGCTCAGAGGCTTCGGCTGAACGGGCTTGAAAGGAGAGCTGTGGATGAACCGAGCAGTATTCGCAGTTTTGGGGACTTGACGCAAAGCCGTCGGTACGGCAAATGGGCGTCGTAAGAAGAACGCCATGGCTACGGCCTTGAGATCAGGATAATCGATGAACAAAGAACGAAGCTGTGATGCGATGGCTGCCGGGAGTCCGGAAGTATTTAAGAGGAACTCAGTCAGTGATATCATTTTCCTGACTACGGGAACCCGAACGTTCGAGAAGCGTCATCACGTGCGGGCTGAATGACTAAGGCATTCTTCGGCCCTAGGCTGGTTAACTCCGTCATCGCGGGGGTTTGGAAAAGCGTCTCGAAATCTGGATATCCAAAAATATCGTCGGTCTTCACGGAGCCTAATTCACTTAAAACCGGAGTGACTGGGTTTTGCTATCGAGATTAAAATATACTAGAGGCATCTGGAAAAATGTCTTCCTCACTCTTAGAAACCATCCAGCTACCCCACCTCCCCTCTTCGATGCCTGTCCATGTTGCGCTGTATCGTGACGTGCAGAATGCTCCGTATTTACGACAGCAGCTTCTATCAGCTAATGCTGACTTTGAATATGCATTTATTGATGCCAGCATGGTATGGTTGTAACATTATTATCTCTGGATTCTAGGATCCTGCTCACCATCTTAATGTAGATTCTCTCCAGGGCACATGCGCTCTCTGCCGTTTTCCGAGCAGTCAATGACTACCTGAATGAACGTCTCAAGTCGCGCAATATCCACTCAGAAATTGTCTTCTCACTCAGTCCAACAAATAATGTGTGTTGAAATGCAACTGACGGCATGCCGTACTTCAGACTAACGTGCGATAGATCGCCGATTCTTTTCGGAAATTTGGTATCACAGATACCACGAAGAGCTTGCTTATTGTAAAAGTTTCCGTGACGCCGGATATCACATATGAGTCTATTAGTTCGCATCTCAGGGAACATGTTCAGGGCTCTCCTCTGCCATTTACCGACGAATCCCTATCTAGCCTCTCCGATGTTACGAAAATCAAGAAAGCGTACAAGCTCGGCTCGTTGCCTTCTGCTCCTTCGAACCAGCCCAACGGTGCTCATAATAACGGGGAAAGACAACTCGAACTTTCTGTTTTAGGAGCCATTGCATTGAGGGGTGCAGCATGATTGCAGCCTCAGTATAGACAGATATTTCCAGATATTTTGTCCATTCTGCCATGGTGTGCCGCTGCGCGCACCAACCCTCATGATATCGCGCCAAGACAGGTCCGACAGCAGCTTAACCACTCACGCTGGAATCGGAGATTCTCGCGAGATACCTCTAGTTGCTTTCCCACGCTGTATAAATGGAAAGCGTTTGTTTACATCGCGTGGGAGGCCATGAGATGGCTGGGTTATACTGGATTGCACTTTTCCCAGCAGCCTGGTCTGTAAATAGGCGCAAAGAAGTGTTATAGTATTCATAGAAACACCAGTATTAGAATAATATGGCATGGATGAAATACTTCAGCTATAAAACCCCCATGATTTGCGCTGTCGAGTTCTAGTATTAAATACCTGCGGTTGCCTAGCCCACCGAAGTGTACTTCCCAAAAAGGAAATCTTGCAACTCTGCCAAGGCCGATCCCCAGTTGATCCCTTCTTATCGGCTTTCTGGCACCTGAGACCTTTCTACTGTGTACACTGATTGAATCTTGACTAGTTTACAGCCTACAGCAACAGCATGAATTGCCCATGAGTTACTTAAAAGTCAAGAACATATTCACCGCGATTGTTATCGCAGCTCATCTCGCACCACAATGAAGCCCACAGCCGATGTGATTATCCTCTCCTCGTCGCCAGAACGCATACCGATTCACACCCCAGTACCGTTGGAACATTCAGAGACATCATTCCGACTTTCTGCGCGCTGTCAGTCTTCGTCTCCGGTTCTTTCGCCGTCCGAATTATTCGAATTTTCATCACGCTCCAGATTTTTCGCCGCGACAGGACAAACCAGGCCCGATAAACCGGGATCGAATGCGCAAGACACGACTGTGGAGGAACCCACTGCCAGAATTATAGATGGAGCACCTGCGGAGGACAAACCACAAAGGAGGGGTCGAAAACATAAGAATGCACCGCAGTCTGTCACAGGTGTCTTTGACGAATCTGTTTCGGGGAACAAAGAAAAAGCGTTGACGAAGCCCAACACCACGAGGAAGAAGCGCACTAACGCTGGACCCCAGCGCGAGAAACTTACGAACAAAACCATAACCGGGAAGGTTGCAAAATCTGGGACAGTAAAATCAAAGGAGTCGCATGCTAAAGCAGTTGACGAACAAGCAACCTCGAAACCGGCGCGCGGACGAAGTCCAAGCAAGGAACCTGAACATGACTGGGAGAAAGATGGTCTACAACTGGAGACGGCACTGAAAAGACGGTTGGACTGGACCCCGGTAAAGGAAACTACCAAATCGGTAGCCGAATTAGATGACGAAGACGGTACAGAAAGAGGGAGCGGCACTCTCAGTATTTTAGTTTCAGAGTATGAGTATAATGGGAATTCCAGCACTTGGAAAAATCGTCAGACTTTTGAGGAAAGCAACCCGACAAAGCGCAGGCGAATAGAGGTACCGAATGACCTTTCCCCTTCGCTTGTCGTATGATAACTAATGGTGAATCTTGAGCAGCTTGTGGACTCCCGGATTATCCCTTATAATGGAGTTGGCGGAGAAAACACGCGCCCTTCGGCAGTCTCAAAACAGGAGAAAAAGCCAATGAAGCGAGCCAAGAAGCTGACGACGCTGACAGCGCGAGTAACAGCGGCATACCACAATGAATCTACGGAGAGCCTGGAGTCAGCGACGGAGGACACCTCTGTCGCTGGGAAGAATACGACAGGCCGGGGGTCGCGCAGTGGAAAGACTAAAAAGAAAGCAAATCAAAACGCAGAATTCAAAGTCCCAAGAACTATTGTACTTTCTCCCGAGGCAGCGGTTAGGTCCTTAGATGACCAGGACCTGATTTTTGGGACCTGCAGCCAGCTGGAGAGGGAAGATTCCCCTACTTTACTAGTGCAGACGCAGACCGCAATTCAAGAGTCGGAGGGGGAATTGATATCTGCAACTGGTTCACGCTTAAACCAGAGTACAAGATTCGGCCAACCTTCCTCCACTACGGTATCGCGGTTCACGACACCTAGAAATCTGTGGTCTTTTGCCTCGAGGGATGCGGAAGGATTGCTCGTTGAGGCCGAAGTTTTGGATTTGGTTAAAACACCTGAAGCCCTCGAGATAATTGCCCCGAGGAATGATCATTATGAAGAGACAGAGAACGAAGGTGGAGACATGAACGATAATAATAAGAAGGTCGACATACCTCCAGCAAAGGCACCTGCGGCTTCAGCATCTACCGCCATCGACAAGGAATTGCCCGTATCATCTACGAAAATTATCAAGCAGACAGGTAGTAAACGCAAGGCCGCAACCAAGCCCTCGATACCTCATTACAGCGGCTTCACTGATCCAGAACTCGCAAAGGAAGTGAGTCGCTATGGCTTAAAAGCGATAAAGAATCGCAAGAAGATGATTGAGATTCTCGAGAAATGCTGGGTAGCCAAACATGGACCAAGCACCCAGGAAGAAGACCGAGATACGCAGGAAACCCAGCCTGCTGGCCCAGAACTGGCATCTAAGCTCATCGAATCGGAAAAGGCGGAGAAAAGGGTCCGAAAGCCTAGAGCTCCTCAAAAGAAGGCAAGGACACAAGCTCAACCGAAGACCTCACTGCCGGCGAAGGGGGGAGGAGATATGTGTCTCACCACAATCAATCTTAGTGGCCCTATAGCCAACTTCACTCTCGAAACGGAGAAATCCCAACAACCCACACGATCCTTCATTGATGTGGACGAAATCCAAGACTCAGAAGAAGAACTAATCCCATCACCAAGCAGAGTCCAAAGTAAACTTCTCCCCCAACCCCAAGCAAGGCAAAAACTACCAACCTCCGCAGTACCCTCAAGCCCTATCCCGACTAGACCTACATCTCAATCGAGATCCAATTCCTTTCTATCCGATACGACAAACTGCCACGAGAATCCGCTCCCTGACCTAGGCAAACAAATCGCCAAAGCTGTACGTGCACAGCCCCGACAAAGCTCAGCCCGGAACCACAGCCCACAGCCAAGCTGGCAGGAAAAAATCCTCATGTACGACCCTATTTTCCTTGAGGATTTTACTACGTGGTTGAACACGGAGGGTTTCAGTCTTGTAAATGAGGACAGGGAAGTCAGCGCTAGCTTCGTCCGCGAATGGTGCGAAAATAGAGGAATTTGCTGTTGTAACAAAGTTAGGAATTCTTGACATGGGTTTCCTTTCTCTTCCCTCCCCCCTCCTTTGCACCCTAGATAGAGGAGAGTTTTCTTGGAGTTCCCGGATTCAGTTGGGGGGGAGGGGGGGGTTTCTTACTTTGCTTTACTTTACTTTGAATATTGGAGTACATACTACTCCCTATAGCAAGTTGGGATACCCCTATTTAGTGTGAATATGAATGAATGAAATCTATGTATGGTATGAAATGCAGATTACCCTTCTAGTTCTCTATATGGATTCCTTACCAAAACCCATCTAGGTTAGCAAAATATGCTTCCTCTAAATAATACATACACAACCTTTTAAAGGCCTAAGATAGCGCACTCTTTGCGAAACAATATACGGAATAATCACCTAAATCTCTCAAAATTGAGCCAAAACCAATCAAGGCAGAAAATAAAAAAGAAGGGAAGGAGGAGGAAGCAGTGAAAGCACAACAAACAAGCAAGCAAGTAAAGAAAGAAAGACAAGAGAACAAGAGCGAGAGGGAAAGAGAAAGAGAAAAAGACAACTTACGTATGCCACGCTAGATCTCCAAAGTGTGTATCATCATCATCATCAGCATTAGCATTAGCATTAGCATTAGGATCGCCATCACCACCTTGTCCTTGATTCGGCTGTAAGAACCCAGCCGTATAGGTATTACTGGCAGCACCCGTAGTTGCCAGGATCGCTGGGTTCAGATCATTGAGGTTCAGGCCAGCATTTCCGGGATCCGCGGGTGGGTCCGGTATATGGCTCAGATCGAAAACAGAGTTCAGGACTGGATCATTCATGGGGATACTACTGTAATCTTGGCTCTGGGTTGCTTGCGGATCACCGTAATTATTAGCAAACGCATTGGAGGGGTCGCCGAAAAGAATGCTGTATGCGGAAGGGGCTGCCGGCGCGGTGGCTGCGGTGGTAGTGAGTGCGGGACCTACCTGAGCTTGGGTTTGAGCTTGGGTCTGGGGAAGTTGAGCAGGTGGCCAGGTAGCTTGGATCATGGGTTGCTGGTAGTTAGGGTCGGCTCTACGCAGCTCTCTCAGGCTGGGCTGGCCCAAGGGCGTTGGTGGCCATGGCATTTGCGAAAAACCCTGTTCGGCGGCGGCGGCGGCGGCGTTCGTGTTTAGTGAGTTGCTCGAGGGACCAGCGGTGATTTGTCCTTGGGCCGTTTGGAGTGGGGGTTGTGCCCAGGTAGGAAGGGTCGTGGGAGCGCTGTTAATGTCGACGAAGTTCCTCCGGCTTGCTAAAGTGCGTGGGGGCATTGTATATGGGTTTGCACCTATAGAGGGATTCTGGAAAGCACTGGGGGCTAGGGCAGCACTTACATTTGAGTTGTTGAAGGCGCTAGTTGTCTAGAAGAGGGTTAGTATTGAAATTACTCTTGTCAAAGGGAGGTTTGGTTTTGGGGGGGATCACTTACTGCCGGCATTGTAGGGAACATGTTTCTGTATCTTTCAATCTGGCTCTGGAGCTCATTGACTTGCCGCGTTAGATTGCGATTTTCTGTCGTGAGTCTAGCATTTTCAGTTGTCAGTCTGGTGTTTTCAGATCGTAGTCTCTGCGGAGAAGGATCTCCACGAGTCCAAGTCTGCAAAGTGACACGGTCAGTTGTTCTGCATGGCACGCCCTTGGTGTTGCAAGGTCTGCATCCAGTACCCCCGGAGTCGCAGGTCGTTTTTGTGATCTGAAAAGAAGTAAGTATGAAAACAAATGCACAATCTGGGGGAGGGGGAAACACTCACTTTACATCGATCACAAGCTACGGGGGTTCGGCCATTAGTGTCCCGGTATTGTTGTCTGATAACATCTGAGAAGTCAGGTTCAGGGTCGGTCTTTTTTCGACGCGGACGACGCTTCTTGGCGGGGGGCTGGTCGTCTGCAGCTTTAGCTGCGGTGGGAGTTTTGGATGCTTTGGATGCTTTGGGAGCTTTGGATGCAGTGGGAGCTTTGGAGGCGGTGCCTGCGGCCTGCTGAGCAGTGTTAGCAGTGTTTTCTTGAGCAGAACCTCCTGTGGCCTGCTGAGTAGTGTTAGCAGCATTGTCTTGCGCAGAACTGCTGCTACTACTCTTGCCATTGTTCTGTCCCTCCATGAACTGATCGTAGTTACGTCTAGGCATATTGTTCAACTCACAAAATAAGCCTGATGTTGTTTGCTTGATATAATGTTGCTTAGTATCGAGGGAAGCTGAGTAGGCTGTGAGAGCATTCAATGACTTTGGAAGAGCTTTAGGTTCTGTAGAGAAGCAATGGAGAGGCAATGAAGATTGTGGGATGGTATTGGAATGAAGACCGAACTTCTTGGGGAAACACCATCTCTTAAATAGAGGAATTTTTCAGTAGAGATTCTCATCTCTATGCCCAATCTCATTGTAATTTATTGAGATCAAAGAGCCATCAAAGAGTGATAATGCATTGAGGATTGTCTTGAGGTAGTGTAAATGAAGAGAACTGAGAAGACAAAGGTGTGCTGTAGTATAATGTAATAGCACCTGGGGCAAGGCCCTTGTACAGCTATACGCCATTGTTTAACGCAGGCAAGGATATGTAAAGGTGAAAGTTGAAAGAGGATTGTTAGAGAAAAAGCGCTATGTAGTAGGAGACTACAGAGGTGGAAGAACTAAGAACAGTGTTAACATCTGCATAATGATAAGAGGGGTGACATACCTTTTCTTTATTGCTTCAATCTTTCAACACGAAGGAGGTAATGGAGCGTACCTAGTGATAACAAAGACTGAAAAAGAAGGGCAAACTAGATCAAGCCCAGGTACAAATTCCCACAAAGAACTGCAGGGTTCCCAAAAAGATTTGGTGTTTCATTTAATTCTAAGTCCTGATTCAAGGAAAATCCAAATAACCACTAAGAGCCGGTCTCCAATCCTCAAATGTCCAAAGAAAGGAAGGAGAAACGTAGAAATCTAAGATACAGAAAAATGGCAAGAAAATATCATCAGCTCCAACATGCTATGTGAATATCATCAAGCCTAGCCCTTAAACAATCATGCTGCCATAATGCTCTGTTTCAGAGTCAAACTCCTTCCATGCCCGAATTCCTGTACCTAGATGGAAATCGTAAAAAGATAGCAACCCCCCAACTGCGAAAAAGTGAGAATGACTCAGGGGAAAACACCGCGAGACGAATGCGCTTGAGATGTAAGATGATGCAGCAACACCACCCATGTTGGTCGTCAGTCGGAAGCACCAAGACCTGCCGACACAAGGGCCACAACTCCAAGAGACTTTTAGAACCAGCGGGGCAGACCAAAAGAACGTGGAAGGAAAATGCAATGGGAATCGTAGTAAAGGCGGAGGAAAGCCAGAAAGCCGTAGAGGAATGAGGTATTAAATAATATTATTGCAAAATATAGTGACGTATAATCGCCTTCGACTCGCGCAATATGTTCTGCCAGAAAGATGCCAACTATGCGAGCGAGAGCTTAGGAGATAGGCGGAGATGGATATCCGAATATTATCGATAGAGCTTTCCATTCGCGGCAACGGTGTCGAAGGAAATCCTGTCTTCATACTTCATGACCCCACCAGATTCGAGCCAAGGAACCAAGTTCTTGCATTGACTCACGTCAAAAGATTCCAGCTGGGTACAACCGTCTGCGACAGCCTCAACTCCAGCACCAGTCACTCGAACGCAGCCTCGGACAGAAAGCCGTTTGAGGTGCAAAAGATGGAGTCCAATGCTGCGTAGAGAGGGGTCGGATATGGCAGAACCACAGAACGACATGTTCAGATAAGTCAACTGGGAACATTGAAGGGCAAGGACTTCCGTTGCTGTGTCGGATAAGGCGCAACAAAATGACTATGAAATTCAATTCCAGTGGTCAGCGACCTCATTTCAGAGACGGAAAAAAAAAAAAAAAGGCGGGGGGATAGTAAATGGAGCTCCGTACCAAATCCAATTCCTGTAGTTGTTTTGCAGCGTTGGTTAGATATACAATAGCATTATCAGTCAGGTAAGTGCAGTCCGCCAAACAAAGTTTCCGTAAATTAGTGAATTGAGCGTTCCCCCAGAACTGAAACCCTTGATCTGTGATTGTGGTGCACCGCGTGAGATCCATTTGTTCAATGCGAGAGGCAGCATGAGACGCAATATGATGCATCGACCTGTCAGTCACATGCTTACAGTAAGAAAGGGTCAGTCGTTTCAGTTCTGGGCAACCGAACACTGTTCCAGCTGGGGTCTGCATGGTGGGCTTAATAGCCCCCTTGCCAGTCTTTCCAGATTCCTCTGGGGGCTTGTATGGCCCAGGAGTAACCCATCCAATAATTCGTGCAAGGAGAGTATCTCCGACTTTTCGACAATTACTCAGGTCTACCTCCTGCAGACCATTTGCCTTACTGGCCATTTCGAGGATCGCAGATGCAGTCACGTCCCAAACGCTTTTCATCTTCCATGCCACAACGTTGGCGCCACATGTAATGACGAGATTATTGAATCCCTCATCTGTAATGTGAAAGCAGTTGCTAATATCAATATAACGTGGTCGGTTGCCGATGAAAGGGCAAATAACCTTCACTAGGACATCGTCGGTGATGCACCGATTATATGCGCTCAAATCCAAATAGTGGACTAAATTTGTCGACTTGTTGAGAATCTCTGACCAGTGGAGGGAGACGGCCCGGAGGCGAAGTAGATGATGTAGCTCTAGATGCCGAAAGACTCTTAGGAGTATGCCGTCGGGAAAAATTCCGTGGTTATCGTCGCTCGGTTCACGTTGGGCCTTCAGCGCAACCGGGGTACATGGAGCATCAGGCAGAGTGAGAAATGATGAGCTGGTAGAACGAGATTCGGATGAAGACGGCGGACGTTGTTGATCTCGAGAGACCTCATCGGGCGTCGGCGGAGCAACAGACCCTCGTCGACTTCGAAGCCGGACATTATCCAAACCAACATTGAGGAAAGGGTCCGGATCTGATGGCCGTAATACTGTGTGGTCATCAATGCCGTTCGGCTTGTGAGAAGCGTCTAATTCTGTCTCAGTGAGCGTCACAATGGGCATAGATTTCCGGCGAGCAGCCCTGATCGTAAAGCCGTCGTCGTTACCCGCCCCCTCAGTATCTCCCGCCTCCGACATTACGACATCGCCATCGGATGCTGACTTGAGTCGTTCTTTGGCAGTGTTTTCTATTTGCTCACGGACACCCTGGGGACATTTATCCCAGAACTCCGCGAGCACATCGCCGCTAATCATGAGACATTCGACCGCGCTGATTGAGCGTACCGTTGCGGTACGGCGAGGGGCTAGGGAAAGGCTAACCACCTCGCCAAAATATTGGCCTTGCTTAAGGCGTGCCTTAACTTCAAAGCCGGGATGTTCGATGGTATTTGGGAGAGAATGCCCGTGTCTTGTGGTGTCACCTCTCTCGACTAGAACTTCGACTTCTCCACGCACGATGAAATAAATCTCCCGATCTTGGGAGTCTTGTTTTATAATATCGGTAAAGGGTGGGAATGACCGCGGTTGCGAATTGAGGCCTAGGAAGTGAAGGATATCAGGTGGGAGACCAGCGAACAGGGGTAACTCCTTAAGTAGAAGTCGGACGTTCACCAGGCCATTAGCCAAGGCACTTGAAGTTCCATCAGCCAGTCCAGGACTTGGGGATTTGCGCTTCTTGCTGGCGAACCTTAGGCTTGTGCCATCCTGTTCAGTGATAGAGAGGTCTCGGGAGAAAGTCTCCCTCAACCGTTTTGAGCCTCTTCGGGGTGCGTTGGTAAGATTAAGATCGGTCGCAGGGCTTGAAGTCTCCTTTTTCTTTTTCTCTAGAATCATCAGCCTTTCCTGGGCTTCATCTCGAATAGCTTGTTCCACTTCAGGAAAACGTGGGAGGATATTCCGGAAGTCCTCTTTGGTCAATACAACCAGCAAGCATCTGGTGCGAGCAATGATGGTTGCGGTACGGGGACGATCCATCAGAACACCTATCTCGCCAAAAAAGGCCCCTGGCTCAAGCTCCGCATATATACTCTCGCCATCTCGGGAAGTTACAGACACGACGCCTCGAACCAGCCAGTATATTGCCTTTGCCTCATCGCCCTCTGTCAAGATATAGTCGTTTGGGGCGCACAGCTGTGGGCGTAAATGCTGTCCGATATCGACCAGGAATGACTCGGGGGTAGACTGAAACAGAGGGAAGGAGCGGAGTCGGTCGACGAGGTCTAAAGGTAAAGCTTGGATATTGGAGGATGTCAATGGCGATGGGCGGACGGGGCGATTGGGATTCGTCAATGAGTCGAATGAATGGATCAGCGAGACCGTGTCGGAAATAGGTGTGACAGCCTTGGTCCCTCCACTAGCCCTGCCATGACGCCGCATGATGAACAAATTGTGGTCCCGTCTGAGGGAAAACAGCTCACAGGAGGGTGAAATTTTCAAAGAGAGTCCGCAGCAGCAGCATACAGTTCGTGGGCAAAGGAGCAATGGGCCGATGACGTCGACGAGAATGAAATCACGGGAGCTTCAGAGGAGCATCCCCAGTTCCACGGCGCGGGGGAGGGTCAATAACGAACAAACATTTGGAGCGGTAGAAACCGGTGAGCTATGCGACCGAGAAAAGGCAATGAACGGGAGGGAAACCGGAGATCCGAAGTAATTTAGGTCGCGGGCTGGACAAGAGCATTGCTGGGGGTTAGTAAGAGAAGGAAGAACCTGAGCAAGAGAGCGACCAAAAGCGAATTCTGGAATGCCTTTGGATTCTGGAAGCGGGGATCACCCACGTCAAATGGCAATAATTAATTTAATGCTGCCGAGCTCCACCAGCAGTGCTGCTTATTCGTGCTAAAGAGTAGTAGTTAGTGGTAGCTGTACTATGGTTCCAAGTTCCGAGCCAGCTGCTGTGAAGAAGAAGAACCAAGGGTTGTCCGCCTTATCAACCCGCACCTTTTACTATCTTGCTGGTCAGAAGTCAATGACGAATGTAGATAAATTAACGAAGGGTTGGGAAAAGTCTAACACGGGAGAAATTCAAACAGTGGGAGAAAAGGGTTTTGGATGTAGGAGAAGAAGAAGAAGAAGAAGACGAAGAAGACGAAGAAGAAGAAGCAGCAGGACTGAGTAGGCGTATCGGATAAAACAAAAAAAATAATAAAAGTAATATTATTATTTTTAGGAGAAGTCGAAGATGGCACTAAAAAGAGAAAGAAGAAGAAGGAGAAGAAGAAGCAGAAATAGAAGAAACAAAGCTGTTTGGAATTTATCATCCCAAGTGGATGGAGGTGGTTTTCAAATCAGCAACGATGGTGGGGGATCTGGCAGTGTAACAGGAACAACCATCTGCAAATAGATTGTTCTGGATAGCTTCTAGAAGCAGTTCAAAGAAAGAAAGCACAGCCTACCCAATTGCTCATTATCTAGGAGACCTTGTCCAGTTGGCTTTTGCCTTTGTTACTCTTTCTGTTCTCTGTCTTTCTCTTCCCATTCCCACTTCGAGAGAGTAAGAATCCAGTAGCAGGAAGGGAAGCGAACGAAGAGAAGCTGAAAGAAAGAACCTGAGATCATCATCGGATTTACTCCCACCTCAACCCTCCTCTACGGAGTCCGTGGATATTACCAGTATATTAGTTAGGCTTATTATTCTTATTAACTATTATTATCAGTAGGTGGAAGACAAAAGATCACCCGGGAAAGGTTACAGAATGGGTTCTTGAAGCCTTCTTTATTTCTATTGGGCTAGAAGAGAAAAATGTATAGAAACTTGCTAGGGTAGGAATGGTCCATTTCGCATTTTCTCCTGCATTGGACTGTTTCGGGGCTGCACCATCTTCGGGCTATCTTTGGATATTCTTTTCCCTCCTGCAAATAGATCGCTATTTTTTTAACGTGCCCAAAAAAAAAATAAAAAAAAGACTACGACTCAGCACCTATTTCTATAACCATCTCATGTGGACGTTGCCGCTTTAAGTGAGCGAGCAAACCCTCTACTCCTTTGAGACACGAGGTTATTTTTTCAGGTTATTAAGGACCGAATAGACCGGGTAGGACTGATAACTCCAAGTTCAGGGTGCGGCTACCCGGGGCGGATGCTCGTGTATATAGTAGTATCCCTGGATATTATCAACCGCTCCATTTAGGCATATTTATATCTAGTGTAGCCATGATGAGACCCAGATCAGAAGGAATCGCCGCATAGATAAATGCTTGTTTTAGTGGGTATCAAAGGGTGGCCACTAGACAATCAAGCTCCCAGACCTGCATGATCAGACCATATAGAATAAAGCAGTATCGACGAGGGAATCAAGACCTACCTGGTATAATGACCAGGATTATGCTATGTTTTTGAAGCTAAATACTCTCCGAGCTCTCCTAATACTAGAATATATAACTAATGATAACCTGGGCTAGTTACACCTAAACTGTGCACGATGCCTATGTATATCATGTATATCTAGCTCAGCAGTAGATTGATTGATCTATGCCAAAACTGTCTATGAAAGTACCAGAGCAAGACTCTCATCATCCTATAATGCCTATTAAATCAAGTTTACCTAGGTACCTAGGTAAGGACCCTTGCTTTCTTAAGTATTACTGGGCCGGGTACGCCATCCACCTTGCATAAAAAGCAGAGTATTCATTTCCCAACATAGCATAGCACCTGCCATTTCTAACACCTCATCCAGGAACTATCTGGAAATTTAGTACCTATCATTATTATTCTCCATGCTTCCTTTAATACAGAATACACTTCATGCAGCTGATTGTGGAGGTCACGGCGCAGTCACCTGACATCTTGCTCCTTCGGCACTTCTGTCAAAGGGAATAAAGAAAGAAAAAGGCGACTTCTGTGATCCAGGCTCGTATCTTCCCAACTCTTGGTTTCTCGTCCTGACGGTCCCCAGTCCCTGTTCCATTAATAATTCCGAGTTGTCTCTAGCTTTGTTTCGTAAACCGCTCCTATTTGGCAGTTGTTCTAAGCCCTCAAAAAGAGTTAGACCTTGGGGGGCCACTGATTGCGAGATAAATGGCTGAAAGAGGAAAATCTGATGTAATCCGCATGGAAGGAGGGATAACGTTGAACTCAAACCGACTTTTCCAGCCCCGAGAGTCAAACATAGACTGCGCCGCAGGGCCTTGTAAGATATCCTGTGCTGCTAAGTTTGACCAGCTTAGAACAATGAGAGTCTCAATGTGGGCCAACCCCATCCATCCGTAACAGGGGAGTATGCCGCGTATTTATTTTATGTACTTCTCAAACCTCCCCACCCGTATTTGACCGGCGATTACCCAGAATAAAATCAACATAAGCAGGTCGGTTACCCTTTAAGGACTCCAGGGCGTCCTGCATTAGTCCGTAGACAAGACTGAGTTTCAATCCCAGTTTTGTCGTACGTGCGGCAGTGTATACGTCATGACGAGCTAAGGACACCAACATCAGCTTTTCCTTCCTTACAGGCACGTGAGAGGTCAAAATAAACTAACCTAGCAAGCTGTAGATACCAGAGAAAGACAATCCCGCCGTAACAGTGGATAAGAAGTCTCTCCGGTCGTGGCGGGCATAATCCACAGTCTCCTCGAAGAGACAAAATGCTAATGCACCAGCACCAAGCTTGAGCCCCATTTTCATACCCTCCTTGACACCTCCAACTATGGACACGTAGTTCTTCGTTTTGTGATACTGGAACCATCCGGTCGATGTCGTGGGGAACCGATGCGCATTCTCAGCGCGAAAGCGATAGGCAGCTGTTTTGCTTCCGTGCGACGACCCGACAGCCATTCCAACGGAAAAGGCAGCCAAAGTGGTATACGGTAGTCGCCGGCGTACCTCCATTCCAAGTCTAGGAGGTGCTTCAGATTCGAAGAATCTGTCCCAGTGAATTATCTTCAGCAAAGTGGTTGATTCTGGGGCATGCATCCCCGACGGCTGTTCAACTTCCATCGTGGAAAGAAGGCGTGAAGATCCGCTGGGCAAGGAAGTGGATATGGAATAGAATTGAGGACGGTAGTTTAATGAGATGAACAGACTCAATGAGATGAACAGACTCCTCCGGGGGGGAGGGGGGGTAAATAGTTCGATTGGGCGTTTTGAGGGTTTGTTGACGAAGATTGGTTTGAAACCGGAGCGCCTTCATGAAATCTACGATGCTGACCAAGGAGGCGGCGCCCGCTCTCCGGTCCCCGACGACTCTATTTCCACCAAAAGCTCCGAGGAGCCCGCCCGAGCCTTTACCCAGCGCACAGGATAGCCACATCAACACCATGGTAAGCTCACCCTCTCTTAAACATTATTTTACGATTTATAAGATTTGTAATATTTCTAACCGTTATACATTGAACGCACAGACAGATCCTTGCAGTTGGACGCTCTTGTTCAGAAAGCACAGAATTACTGTGCTTTTGATGCTCTTGCCCTCCGAGACAATCCCCAACACTAAACAGGCGCTCCTAAAAGCCCTTCAAGCCCGCGGCCTGGAAGATATTAACGGGGATACAGTACCTGCAGACCCCTCTGAGATCGAGTTAGGTGTTGCAGTGGACAAGAACGATCTGGATAAAGGATGGACAAGTCTTGAGGCCTTGCAACTGGATGACGATGAAGCTCCCAAGCGAGGAGGGGCAAACAAAGCTGCGACACTCAGTTTAAAGGCAGCAGATATCAATAATGGACAGTCTATTGCATTCAGATTCCGGAAACCGAGAGCTGAGGACTCTGTCGATCTTGAATTAGAGGATCCGGGTTGGGATGTCATTCTCCCCCGCCTCGAAGATGACGAAGAGGAGCCATAGAGCTGCGCTAGGAGCGGTCTCTCGGATGGATTCTACCTCTGATCCTTTATATGTTTACGCTCTTCTTGTTTATTCTCTTCGGTGTACGGCTTGAGATTCACCGGGTGGCGTTTTGATATTCACTTGAATGTTTTCAGCAATGGCACACCTTAGACGTCCATTGAACTTTTTTGCCTTAAGAAACGATCAGATACGTGGGGCCCATTATTGCTCTAACATCCTAATTACTTGACCTTACGAGCCTGTAGCTACTTCAATCTGCTATGCCCGACCGTTTAAGCGTGGTATTGCCTAGTACAAGTATAAACGTAAGGGATATTCATCATTTCCCCCCCACAGCGGTAAAAGTCTCCAGGCGAAAACGTGTTTCGGTAAGGAGCAAGAAAGCAAGAACGTGTCTGCCCATCGCTATTGATTTCTGAAACAAATAATAAGCCCACAAGGAAGAAACTTAATAGAGCTCTAGGGATAATGAAGAGGAGAGGCATGTGTCAATTCCCGCAGTTCCCAAGGACCTCTGCGATGAAACAGGTCAGCGTGGGCAATATGCGTGTCGATAATTATTTCCAAGTACATATACGGGATATCCTAGTTAGTTCAAGGAACCTCACTAGAGGTAAACTAAAAGCCACGACCTGAGCTTTTTTATCCGCACGCATCATCTTGTTGCTCGAGCAACGAGGGGCCGATAACCAGCTAAGATGTCAACAAGTAATTGAGTGGCTTGACGCCTCCACTCTTCCTTCGCTGTAGCGTAGCAGGGAGAGTCTTTGGGGTTTTCAGGAGAAAAAGGCCCACCGTCAACATTCCTCATCGGACAGCTCTTACTTCTTATCTCTTCTCTCTCTCTCTTCTTCTGTACTTCCCCATCGACACGACAAACGGTACAGGGCGCGTAGGGTCCCTGGTTTTTACCACCCTCCTACGCCAAGTATAACATATTTCGACAGAACACGACATTATGGGTGCCTCAAGTGACAATTCGTCCATCACCGTTGCAGTTAGAGTGCGGCCATTTACGATCCGAGAAGCAGCACAGCTCACTAAGTGCGAAGATGGGCCGCTGTTTCTGGGTGATGGCTCTTTGGCGGGAGCACCTACCCCGAAGTTGAATCAGAAGGGCCTTCGCTCCATCATCAAGGTCATTGATGATCGGTGCCTGTGAGTATAGTGGTAAATGCTTCGGATATGAGTGTCTTGACTGATGATCATTTCAATAGAGTATTCGACCCCCCCGAAGATAACCCAGTCCACAAATTCTCCAAGAGCGTCATCCCCAACGGCAAACGGGTGAAAGATCAGACCTTCGCCTTCGATAAGATATTTGACCAAAATGCCACACAAGGAGAAGTCTATGAAGCCACAACCCGCAACCTTCTCGACAGCGTCCTCGACGGATACAATGCCACCGTTTTTGCTTATGGCGCCACTGGATGTGGAAAGACACACACTATCACTGGCACAGCGCAACAACCCGGTATAATCTTCCTCACCTTGCAAGAGCTCTTTGAGCGTATTGAAGAAAGATCTGGGGAAAAGCAAACAGAGCTATCACTTTCATATCTGGAAATTTACAATGAAACAATTCGCGACCTTCTAGTCCCAGGAGGCACCAAGGGAGGTCTGAGTCTTCGTGAAGATTCAAATAAATCGGTCTCGGTAACTGGGTTATCGAGCCATCATCCCCAAACGGTACAGCAGGTGATGGACATGATTATGAGGGGCAATGAATGCCGTACAATGTCTCCGACCGAGGCAAACGCAACTTCTTCACGATCGCATGCCGTTCTTCAAATCAACGTTGCACAGAAAGAGCGGAACGCCGATATCAACGAACCACACACAATGGCAACACTCAGTATTATTGACCTCGCGGGAAGCGAGCGTGCCAGCGCTACAAATAATCGAGGCGAGAGATTGCTGGAAGGCGCAAACATCAACAAGTCTCTCCTCGCTCTCGGAAGCTGTATAAATGCACTCTGTGACCCACGAAAGCGAAATCACGTTCCTTATCGAAACTCCAAATTAACACGTCTGCTAAAGTTTGCGCTTGGTGGAAATTGCAAGACTGTGATGATTGTCTGTGTCAGTCCATCAAGCCAGCATTTCGACGAAACCCAGAACACTTTGCGCTATGCCAACCGGGCTAAAAACATCCAGACCAAAGTTACGCGGAATGTGTTCAATGTCAACCGTCACGTCAAGGACTTCCTGGTGAAAATTGACGAACAAATGGCCTTAATTAACGAACTCAAAGCACAACAGAAGGATTCCGAGAAGCTTGCGTTTGCTAAATTCAAGAAACAATCGGAGAAGAAGGACGTCGCCGTGCGGGAAGGACTTGCTCGTATCCGAAACGCCTATGACCATTCCCTACCAGAGAGACAAGAAAGAACGAATAACATGATCAAACTGAGACAGATTAGCCGCAGGATCGGTATTTTGTCTTCATGGATAGCTGCATTTGACAGCGTCTCCGCAAACTCCGAGAATGAAGTGCCTTTGGCAAATCTCCAAGCCATCCGCAAAACAGCCCAAGGAATCTTGCTGGAGCTAGAAAGCAGCAGACACCACTACCACCAGCGTCTGGCCAAGAATACCTGGGATCGGGCGATGAATACTGCTGTTGAGAATGCCATACGTCAGCTTCAAGAATTTCAAATCAGCGACAACAGTGACTTTACCAATATTAAACGCGAGGCAGAGCTCTTGAAGGCAAATACAGAAAGGGAGGCTCTTTCAACAGTCGCGGATCATGAAAAGGCGGGAGAAGCTGCCACAGTACAGCTCCTACTGCAAGCCCAGTTCGAAACCGCGTCTGCAATCGAGAATATCATGCACCTGAGCCCGGATGAGGCTGTTGAGACAGGGAAGCGGATTCTCACGAAGATGCTGGATTCATGCAGCACAGTGGCATCGAACGTCGTCAAACCAGATAGCAGCTTGCCCTTCCCGCAACCTTTCAGTCCTATCAAATCCAGCCCAACTAAGCAGAAAAAGCGACTGAGCCTGGCAATCATCCCGCCAGCGAAGGTGCTGAATGCTCCAATCACACTGAATTCAACTGCTCCCACATCGCCCACAAGAACGTCTCCCCGTCGTCGCAAGATGGGCACGGGAAGGAAGAGTGTCAGTTTCTCTCCGAAGAAAACTCAAGCGAAGCCCCCTAAGCGAAGTGTTCGGTGGAGGGACGATGAGCAAGAAGGTACTTTGACTGAGATCCAAAAGACTCCACAGAAGCCTGCAGCTACACCAGCCTCTTATCATGGTAGTCCCGGTGAACTCCCAATGCCTAGGGTATCTCCGGTTCCGCGTGGCATCCCAGTGCCTAGTCGAAATTTTAGTCCCTTGGGTGGTTCATCTCCAGTACCCACACCATCAGACCAGCCACTGAACATCCCGAAGAACAATCGGTTCAAGGCGGGATTTTTATCTAAGAAGCTTGGCAGCTCTCCGATCCCTGCCCCTCCAACTACCTCTATTCCCTTCTCTGACCGCGAAGGTTCGCCCCTTCGTGACATTGAGAACAGCAGTTTCTTAAATCGTGTTTCTGCAGAGCGACCTTCGAGAATTGCGATTCGGACTTCCAGCGGTAGTTACTCAAGCAGCCCCGCGTCAGAGTCTAAAGAAGGTTGGAAGGCAACTAGAGACGACGCACTTAGGATAAACACAGCAATGAGACGCATATCTGGGGGATCGTTCGGAACTGGAGCCTCTGCAACCGCTCTTCGTGCCCACCGTCGCCGGAGCCCATCATCTGCTTCTTATGGCGGTTCCCCTACGGAAAACACCATGTTTACGGCCCACGCAAGGCGAATGAAGGGTGACAAAGAGTTCGAGAACAAGCCAGCGGTATTAGGTCCTCGAACTGTCCCTATTATGAAAAATACCCAAAGACGCACGACATTTGGAGGGGACATTCGGCCGCGGGACATCAGCCTTACCAGTCGCGATGCTCTCCGACTCAGTGCTTTGGCAGCTCCCAAGGTTGCCAGAGTGTCGGAGAGTCTCTACTCAACTTCTGGGTCAGCATTCAGGTAGCGAAACACAGTTTGAATTTTTTTTTTTTTGTTCTCTCTATTAGTGATATAATCAACTGCGATGGTGTTGAATGGGTGGTGTTTCTTTTTTGTATGGGACATATTCTTTTTCGGGACGTGTACAATAACAGACCTGCCTCGGACCTTTTACCCAATATTGGGCCATTCGCTGAACCAATTCATCATTCGCCCAGCGATCTCTTTTCCTGTTTCTTATATTTGTAAATTGTTTCTTGTACGGACTCATGGAGTAGCCAAGAATGTTATTTCGTAGCTGAGCGGGGAGCTTATGTCAGTGCTATGGATGACGCCGCTGGGAGGAAAGTAACTATTTCGCGGAAAGCTCCCTGACAAATTCGCGACACGCAATTTTGGCCAGAACTTCCTGCAGCTTTAGTTTTAAACCTATGCATTCCTTATATATATAACTCTGCTGTATCCTGCCTGACCAAAAACGTACATTAGCAACCATTTTTATGGCTTTCGCCGCACCTGCAATTGGCTCTACTTTCTTCTCACGCTTTTTCCGTTCTTTCTCCACCAGTTCTCCCACCCTCACTTTGACACCACAATCTTCAGCTCGAAACATGGCAAGCAACACAAATACCGCGACCGTTGCAGCGGGTTGCTTCTGGGGCGTTGAACACCTTTTCCGCAAAGAATTCGGCAACGGTAAGGGTCTGTTGGACGCGAAAGTTGGCTACTGCGGAGGCGAGACTACATCTCCCTCATATCGCGCAGTTTGCACCGGAAACACAGGTCGTACGTACACCTATCTTTTTTTTATGCGATAGAAATATGTAAAAGAAGTGATTAAATGCTTCTTTTAATAACTAAAAAAATCCTTTTCTTACCGTTTTTGTTTAAAAAAAAAAATCAACAGACGCCGAAGCACTTCAGATCACTTTTGACCCCGCTGTCGTGAGCTACCGCTCGCTTCTGGAATTCTTCTACTGCATGCATGACCCCACGACCGAAAACCGCCAGGGAGGGGATGTAGGTACTCAGTACCGCAGTGCAATCTTCACCCACGGCGACGAACAGCTCAAGATCGCCGAGGATGTTACGGAGAAGGTCAGCAAGGAGTGGTATAAGCAGCCTGTTTCGACTAAGATTGTGCCTGCAGGCCAGTGGTGGGATGCAGAGGAGTACCACCAGCTCTATTTGCATAAGAATCCTTCGGGATATGAGTGTCCTGCGCAGTAAGTTAAGATCCAGTTAATGTTGTTAGGTGCGGATTTTGGCTAACGAGGGTTTTTCTTGCAGCTTTGTTCGGAAGTTTCCCCCGCTATCTGCTTGACTGGCTGGCAACTTATAATCGACGAAGATATGTCCTAATGTACTTTTTATATTCATAATCTGAAGGAGCTTCTGTGGTTTCTTGTACTATGCTCCTTTTTGCAAAACTGAAGGTCAAGAAGCTATTTGAAACAAGACAACAAGCAATCATAGCAATAACTCGGCTTTTCGGATTCTAAGAATGCTTGGTAGGTGATTAGGCCTGATCTCAAGCTATGATTGCTTCTATGCGAATGCAAAGATAATCCTGGTGGCCTTGAAATACACTGCCACGGTGAAGAGGCAGGCCTGTCTTGATTAATCCGGTAGTATAGTCAAGGTAAAGAAACCTAAGATTCATTCCCATGAGTACTCTGGAAAAGAGTGACAAAAGTAGTTTGGGGGAGAAAAAGTGCGCAATGATAGTGAATGGGGGATTCACTTGCAGACACATCCTCCTCTCAGGTGACAGACAAGGCAGTTGTCTACTTTCCTTTGCTCTTTTCTTGCTTCACCTTCTCTCTCCCATTTCTTTAATTGATAGCTTACCCCTCTCCCTCTTCTACTTGTGTGTCCCCTCATCCTCCACCTATATCTTATATTCGCCTTCTATAAGGTATCTCAAGAGAGATCTCAACTACTTTCAGTCTAGCGAACAGCCTACCATTGGAAAGAACTTTGTCACAGGCAGACTACAAAGCAAGACTTCTAATCCACCCACCAAACTTTCCCATTTGTAAGCTGATCGAGCCAGTTACTGTGTTTACCCTCCATTTCTATCTTCATTCCAGCCTGGTACTGGGGCCCTCTTTGTCAACTCACTTGTCACTCACAATCTCTCCAATCCCAGAGGTGCAGGCCTTCTTAGAGGCAAGTTTTGAAGGTAAGAGGTTCTTTTAATAACATAAGCTCCCTAGTTAAAGACACATTTAACAACAATCAATGTCAAACACACAGGGTTTTTCGCAATTACTCTTACGGGAGTGATTCGCCTACCCCGTTGAACTTTCGAGACAAGAACAGGCGAATTCAACTCCTGACTTCCTGAAATGGCCTATACCATGGACGCTGCCATGGCTGACGCCTTGGGTCATCTCAATCGTATCTCTTCGCATGTAAGGATTTGGAAAACTTCTAAAAAGAGCGTGGCGTTGAGAATACTACAGCTTCGGAAGCATGACCAGCACCAGGCTGCAAATGAAATTGGAAAATTGAGCATTATGATTGTCGAGGCTTTTTCTGAGGGTATTGAACAAATTCCTCCAAGCCACTTTGTCTTTGACGATATAGTAAAAGCCCCCACTCCGTTATCTATTACCCTTGAGATCGAAACTAGGACTAAGCGCGAGCAGCAGGTCGATCAGGATCAGCATATCATTCCCCACCAGGCAGTTTCTCGTGACGTGATCCAGAAGCAGGCAGTCATGGCTCTCATGAACGAGGTCGAGAAAGACAAAAGAGAGACTGCCAATATCATGAGTGGAGAACTGCAGCGTATTCCAGCAGCCAATGCATCAACTAGGCCGCCTGGAAGCTGGGCCCAAGTTGCCAGTTCCTACTCCGGCCTTCAGGCCCCTCCCCCTTCTGAGGCAACCCAGTTCATGTCACCATTGTCAATGACATCTTGTTCTGCATCTAAGAAGAGCCAGAATAGCGATGATGACGGCGGTGAGTCGGCCACAGAGCCTGGAATGCCTCTTACCTCACCGGGTTTGCCGGAGATCCCTGAGGAAAAGGCAGGAATCATCCGCATTTACGGAAGAATTTCCAAGGATGTTGTTCAATTTGTCACTACTCGTATTCACGAGGGGCCTTTACAGGACATCCGTATTGAAACCAACGAAAGAACTCGTGTTATTTTCCAGCATGCGTCCCACGCGCTTGCATTTTTGAAATCCAACCAAGAGATGGAAGCTCTGCTTGGCTTTGGACGTTTTGGGTGTGGTTATCACGTTGAACTGGCCGAGATCGTCGATTGGAATGAAGACCATCGTCGGATGAACCAGCCGATTAGAGAGCGTCGCCGCCTCTCCTTTGCGAGGAAGAGACTTTTTGCGGACAACATGTCTCCCGAGAAGTGGAAGCACGATATCCGTGCTCTAGCAGGCCCTGGAAACATTGACTTTCTTTGGGTGTTTAATTCTGGTAACGGTGAGTTCCCTGCAGCCGTTCTTTGGCTGTGATATTGACATGGATTCTAGCGACGGCCGTGTTCACGAGCACGATTGTTGCTCGCAAGGTTTTGGAAGTGTTCAACAGATGGAAGGAGGGTCGTAACGTCTACAGTGGTGTTTCGGTGACCTTCTCCTCGGACCCATGTGAAAAGGAGCTGGTTTTAGTCAAAGAGACGAACCGCCCTAACATTGCCAAGCACTTGGCTAGAAGAGCCATCCGCTAGGGGTGGAAATTTGTGTGTCTGCGGATGGCGCTGGGGTATCCCCTACACTGCACTCTTCTTTAGTGAGTATTCATTGGAAGGGATATGTACAATTTATTTACAGTCAAGGATGAAAAGAAGATCAACCCCCCCCCCCCCAAGAACACCTAAAAAATAACAAAAAAAAAAAAAAAATCAAGAATATGATATGAGACAGAGAAGCAACAGACCAGGGGGTGCAATGAGACTGTGTGAGTGGAGGAGACAGCATAAGTGGACCAATGTGACATCATCACGATCAGGATCCCATTCATCTGTGGAGAAACAGGCAAGGCAGCGACTCTGGGGCCGGCGTTGTGGTACTTTATGTATGGAAATATCAGGCTGTTTATGAGGAGGGGGTGACTTTACTCTGTTGTTCCACAGTACATACTCGGTACTAGATATTAGCGGCCATAATCAAGCCCAGTCAAGTCTTCTTAGGGTTGGTTTATACTCTGTATTCTCCGTATGAGTGTATACTGATAATTCAGTGCAAGGGATGGGATGAACAAAGATTACCAAGAATCTAGTACTTTACATCCCCAAGTTTGTTTCACTACTCACTATATTAATCAGGTCTCACCTTGGATAAATGGATAAAAGAAAAAACAAGAGGGGAGATTGTCATAATATAACTTATTATGAACTAGCAGTGAAGCCTTGTCTTTTAAACCCGGCCAGGTAGAACCTAAATCTCCGAGTATACACACAGCGCGCCCTGCAGTTGCTGAAGAAGGGGGAGGAGAGCTTATATTAACATGCCCCCTAGGATATGTATGAATTGGGGAGTGATATTTACTTGTTCCCTTGGAAAGGGTGGAGTTGAGTGAAATGAGGTGAGTAGGTGCTCCTTGCTTTATATACAGACCTATAGTTATATGTAACTCGTTAACTAGTTAACTATCTGTTAACAAATGCATTTAGTCAGGGAGAGATCCGAGAGCCGCACGTAGCCTCATGTCGAAGATAGGATAATTATAGAGAGTACTTGGCTCTCTATTAAGGTTCATTAGAGAGTGGATTCATCTATTATTATTATTATTATTATTATTATTCAATTACGTTCTACGGTTCTACTCTGATAAAAGGGTTTCTGTCAGACGATAGGAAACGACTCTTGAGGGATCAATCTACCGAGTAAGACAAAGTGGCGGAAGGAAGTAAGACATGGTTACTTTTCCTAATTATAATAAATTACCACTTGACAAGACGATCCAATCATTTCATTTCCCAACGGGATTGAAATGGATTAAAAATGGATTCCCAAGTGAATTACAGGGTGGTGGAAATGCTTGGTATCATATATTACAGGACACATTCTGGTACACTGAGGATTTGGATTCTTTCTTCCTGGGAGAAGAATACTTTGGATAGAGAAGGGAAAGCAAGCAAGCCAGATATAAATCAGGTAGAAGATCAGGTAGAAGAATGATTATATATAGGTAGGGATAAAAGTCCGGATGGTATAGTGCGCTGGATTTTCATTCATATAATAGAATGGTTGTAATACCGTGACAATTCCAGTAGTTCCCCCGACTTTTGCTTTGTCTCCAGACTCGCTGCAAAAGGTATTTATTATTTTTATTCTCCCTCGTCTCCTTTCTGCTGCCTCGTTCTTTTTCTTTTTCTTCCTATTTCGGTCTTTCGTTTATACACTCGTTTTCGCGACTCTCTCTCTCTCTCTCTGTCTCTCTCTCTCTCTCTCTCTCTCCGCGGGGATTTAAAAAGGTCTTTCTCCTTTTGCCCGCTGTCCTTCATTAATTGCTGCGACTTCTATTGGGATCCCTCTGTATGTCTCTATTCTCTCGTGAACCCTTTGCGGCCAATTTTCCGGGTCCCTGATCGGGTACCTGTCAATTATCCTTCTGGTCCGGCTCAAGGCACCCAACAGATTCGAGAACGGAAATCCCCTGAGTGGATCAAGCGCCGGGGCACCACCAGTTCCCAAATTTATTGATCCTGGCCCACCACGACTGTAATTGCAATTTAACTGACCCTTCTCCGTCTTTCTCCAGTCCACTTCTTCTTGGTATCTATCCCCTTGTACATGATTCTTGTGTCGTGCACGATCTCGCCATAACCTCCTACGTTTCATCACCATGATGATGCGTTTTGTTCCGACTTTTCTCCTGGTCGGCCTCGCTGCCAAGTCGGCTTTGGCATTCACCCCACCCTCTTGCAGTGCCGATGAACACTGCCCGGAGAAGTATCCTTGCTGCTCTCGTAAAGAATCCCTTTTCCTTCTCTATCCCCCTTCGTTTTTTTTTTTTTTTTTTTTCTTCTCTCTCTATCCTTTGGCCTAATTTGCTCCCCTCTAGTTTACGGACAATGTGGTACTGGTGCCTACTGCCTGGGTGGATGTGATCCCCTGATGTCCTACTCCCTCGATTCCTGCACTCCTGCCCCCATTTGTGAAAGCAAGACCTTTAGCTCCTGGGCCAATCTCGACAGCGCTGCCTCCAACGACGTTTACCTCGGAAATGCCTCCAAGTACGATTGGGTCTACAGCGGCTCCCCGAAGATCGAAGATGGAAACCTCCTCCTGACTATGCCCAAGAACAGCGTTGGCACTCTGTTTGCTTATAACCACTATGTCTGGTATGGCAAGATCACTGCCAAGGCCAAGAGCAGCCGTGGTCAGGGTGTGGTTTCGTCTTTCATCCTGCTTTCCGATACCAAGGACGAGATTGACTACGAGTGGGTGGGTGCTAATCTGAACCAGGTTCAGACCAACTTCTACTTCCAGGGTGTCCTGAACTGTAAGTCTCCCCGAGGTCTTCTTCTTTAACCAACATGTATTCACAGTTCTAGACACCAATGGCGGCAAGACTACGGTCAAAGACACCTTCGATGACTGGCACACCTACGAAATCGACTGGACCCCTGATGCGATCAACTGGTCCGTCGATGGCACCGTCGTCCGCACTCTGACCAAGGCTTCGACTTGGAACGAGACTGCTAACCGTTACATGTACCCCCAGACCCCCTCCAGAATGCAGCTGTCTCTGTGGCCCGCTGGTCAAGCCAGCAACGCCGAGGGAACCATTGAATGGGCCGGGGGTGAGATCGACTGGGATTCCGAGGATATCAAGGAGAAGGGCTACTACTATACCACCTTTGGCGAGATGACCGTGGATTGCTACGACCCTCCTTCTGACGCCACTGTCGACGGCTCCAAGGCTTACGTCTACATCAACGAAGATGGTTTGGAAAGCTCGATTGAGATCACCAACAACAAGACTGTGCTCGCTTCTTTCGGGGCCACTGGTTTGGACATGGATCTCGGTGCCAGCAAGAGCAGCACCAACTCTTCGTCTTCCAGCTCCGCTTCGTCCACCGAGGCGACCGTCCCCCAGAACAACGGCAGCGGCACTGGCAATGAGCCTGGCAACAGCTCTTCCACCAGCAGCTCGACCAGCAGCACCACCAGCTCCGGATCCTTCAGCCAGGGAACCACCTCGACCAGCGACAAGACCGGTGCCGCTCCCTCGCAGAACGAGCGGGTGCTTAAAGGCTCCTTCTTTGCAGTGTTGGTTGCGCTTGTTGTTCTGATTACTCTGTGAAGCTAACCCCTCTTCTCCTTTCTTGAATATTTTTTTTTTTTTTTTGGATTTATTTTTATTTTTATTTTCTTCTTGGCCCCCTTGACAAAAACATAATGCTGGCTACCATTTAAATATACGATTTCGGCCTATCATCTTACTTTTATGTTCTATACCTGGCAAGGCCCTGGTATCCTCAGGTACCAGCGAAACTGATTGATTTTTTTTTTATTATTGATTTGGATGCCTCATGTTGTTTTTTTTTATGATTGCGCAATTGTTGCGCTGGAATCGTATTGCTATCTGGCTAGTATAGGCCATTCTTAATACCCTGTTGGGATGGAGTATGTATGTGCATATGTTCTGAATGAATTGTTCATATCTACAATAGTACCGTATACTACCTAGGTAGTTTAGATCTAGGGATCACCTGCATCTGTGGCATTTCCAGAGTACCAATTAACCAGCACATTCAATACAGTCAAAGGAAGAAACGTAGCTTGTTCGCATTGTTTGAGACTTGGTCTCTAGGCTCAGTATTAATGGTGTTTCTACTGGATATCAAGCACTAGCTTACCTTTTTTTCTTCTTCTCACAAATCAAGGAAGAAAAGAAAAGAAAAAAAAAGAGAGAGAGAGAGAGTCACTGCAAACTACTCTGTACTATGCTATAGTTATGTATTGCTACATTATACTTACTCCTACTACTACGCTATCCTCGTTTCGTTCATCCCAATAAGATATCCTCCGTATATTATGCATCAAACAGATACCACCACTTCCCGGTTTACTCTGTACGAGCAAGGAACCCTCCGTATCCCTGAATATACTGTAGATAATCTTCTTATATTCCGTGGGACTAAACCACCTACATGATTTACCCTGTCTCATTTCTAGAAAGTAGATAGTATTTGGAAAGGATCTGATCTGATCTGATCTGATTCTAATTATCTTCATACGTGCGTTAACTATATGTTATTGTTACTTTATATGTAATAACATGTGCAATCTAAACTCCAAAACACCAATGAACCGGGCCCAAGTGTGAAAATTCCAACTCACAGAAAAGAAAATGAAAAAAAAAAAAAAAAAAAAGAAGAGAAAGGATCCGGTTAATGAGTTCTGCCACAACCACAATCCTGCCCTTCAACCCCCGGGACAGTAGAACGCTTCTTGAACTCGCCGTGGTATGTGTCAAGCCCCTCGGTGCGGACATCCTCGCCAAGCGGATCGCCGAGCCAGCTAAACTTTTCCGGGGACTCTGCGGCAACAGAGGACTTGTCGGTGAAAGACCAGTACGCTGACTCTTGGAGACGCTTGGTCACGGCTTCGATGTCGAGACCCAGGTAGTCGGCGAGGAAGTTCCCGACTTCGGTGTTTTCGTGGTTGCCTTGTAGACGCCAGGCGTCTTTGACGGAGGATGCGTAGATGTTGACGTCGACACCTGGATATTGTTAGTTTAGGGTTGGGAATTTGTGGGAGAGAGGATGGGGAGAAAAAGAAAAAAAAAAAAAAAAAATACTTGAGTGTCCGTGGGTCGACCATCCGATCTGAGCTCTTCGGCTGATGATATCTGCAAAAACGTACGCGGGTCCTCCGGCGACTTTACGGTCGATCAAAGCGTCCACCTCAGATTCGGTAGCATCGGTCACGCCCAGCGCCGTTTCAAGCAGCTCCCGCGCGAACTGTCGCTGAGCGGACGCGCTTGGTTCCGAAGAGAGATAGGCATTGAGCTTGCGGCCGGCATACTCGGCAGAGTGGCTGGCATTAGCAAGCACACCAGGAAGCCAGAGGTACTGCGGGTAATTGCTGGACAGCTGACGGGCTGCTGCCAGACCACCAGTCTCGTGGTCAGAGGTGCCAACCAGCACACCTGGCGTGGAATCCTGTTCGAGGAACTCAAGCACAGCCGCGAACGCCTTGTCGTAGGCGAGAACTTCGCGAACCTGCGCAGCGGGGTCATTTCCGTGCCCCGCGTGGTCGATCCGAGATCCCTCGATCATGAGAAAAAATCCCTTATCGCTGTCGGCCGTGGCCTCACTGAGAATCTTCAATGCGGTGCGCGCCATCTCTTCTAGCGAAGGGTACACGTCATCCTGGGTGCGACGGTCGATCTCAAACGGAATATCCTTTTCCGCGAGCAGACCCAACAGGGGAAGCTGGGCTTCCTTTCCGTTATTGAGAGCATTGAACCCAGCCCGATCGTCAATGTAGCTGAACCCCTTCTCCTTGGCGATAGCTACCAGGTCGCGGTCGTCCCCGCGACAGCTTCCGCTCGTTGTGTTGGGCAGGAAATGACACCGACCACCACCGAGAATAAGATCCACCACGCGGCCCAGCGGGTGTTCACCGATCTCTTGCTCTGCGATGCGATCCTCGTACTGTCGGAGATTCACGTGCGACGCAAAGCATGCTGGGGTGGCATCGGTGATACGAGTGGTCACAACTAGACCAGTCTTGTAACCGGCCAAAGCAGCTGCCTCGAGCACTGTTCCACAGGGAGAGTGATCCGGAAGCACAGAGATCGCACCATTGTAACTCTTAAACCCGCACGAGAAGGCCGTGGCTCCAGCCGCCGAGTCCGTCACCAGGCTCGAGCTGGACCTTGTTCTGGATGTTCCGATGATGTGATTGTCTAACACGAGGATGTCATCGGCAGCAAGTCCCTGAGTTAGCTGCTTGAAGCCCCGGGTCATGGTGAGACTGGTTGGGCCCATGCCGTCCGACACCATGAAGATCAGGTTTCGTTTTCCAGTCGGTTTCTCAGAGGGGCCCCAGGAGTTTTCCCCAGCCTGATTTGATTCATGCTGATATACAACGGCGAGGACGATCACAGCGGCGGTTGCTATTAGGGCCCAGGCGAAGAGACCGACCTCCTTCCAGAATGACCACCCCCGACGTTGCGGGGTACGGTTGGTCCGCTCACCGGTCAAGAGGGCATCTTCTTCTTCAGCATTCCGGATAGAAGAATGATCGGAGGAGGGGCGCGGAGCCAAAAGAGGCTCTTCTCGCGCCATGACAGAGAGTGTACAGCGATAATGGGGTAGGGGGAATAGTGAGAGATTTAGGGGAGGTCACCCTGCCCTGCCTGGGAGCTGAAATCGAGAGAGGCAGCTGACTATTTGCTTGGCACGGGAGAGGACGCCGATCCGACCGTCGATCAAGTCTCGGGTTCAGCAGAATATCGAAGGAATGGCCAGTTTTATAGAATTACACAAGTTGAGATTGAGGTTATAGTATACAAAGCGACATAACGATTAGCATACGCCGGAAACAAACGCCCAATAGTCACCATCACTCTTCGAACCCAGGTACAGATGAACCCAGGTTACCTCCCTTTCCACCCAATGGGAATCATGGCAGCAGCAATCTCAGAGACTCCTCGTTCGGTAGCAAGCAAGTTGAACTGCGCAGCAGCATTCCTAGTATCCAACACCTCAACCCTCACGCCCAGAGAATTAATCTGTCTTCTCGTCTCCGGCGAAAGAGGAAAAACCGAAGCTCCCATCCCAATAATCAGCATATCTAACTCCCCATATATCACATCAGCAATCCCATCGTAAAACAACCACAACATGAAAACAGAAAGTAAAAAGAGAAGGGGGAGCTTACCTGGACGAGGCCACACGAGCCCCAAGATTCCCCAAACCTGCTCATCCACCTCAAATTGCCCCTTCTTATTCACCATTGTATCCCTCCCGCCTTCTTTCCCAGCCCAGGGCTTCCACGCAAACGCCTCCCCACCCACAAGCAGCACCCCATCGCCGCCGGTAATCTTGACTCCGTTATCCAAATGGAATCCGGAGTCCAGACAGGCATCGACGGCTGTCGTAGGTGCAGGGATGTTCCCCAGGACATTCAACGCAGCGAAATCTGTTTGGGTGTCTTCCTTTGATGGCGGGCCACGGTCATGGCTGCGTGGCTTTGCAGGGTGTGCTCGGGGAATCATGCGAGTGGGACGGTGAGCATTGTTGCTGCTGTGCCGGAGAGGGAGCGGGGAGATTTTGAAAGGTGGGCATGGAGATCGATGGAGACTTGCGCAGAGCTGGGTGGTTGCTCTGGCTGTGTTAGGGAAGACGGAGGTTCGAAGAGCTCGGAGGAGCTGGAGAGATGGCGGGTGCATCGTTGTATTGTGTGGTAAGAGATTCCTCTATATTCGTCGTGATAGCTTCGATTGAGAGAGAAGACGAACAGCGCCGGTATATTGATGCAATGATTCAATGGGGGGTTCGGTATTTGATGTCGCAAAACTGCGAATCTGGAGAAACAATTCAAGTTAATTATTATTGCAGAAGCTGTCTGCCTGAGAAACTAGGCGTTTGTGTTTCCACCAATCAAACGCCTTACAATAATAATGCTACGGGGTGCCTCAGCGCCTGAGACACAGAACCTTCAAAAGGCCTTCGCGGAAGCTGAACGAAAGTTGGAAAGACTTCTTCGAGCAGCTTACAAAATTGGCAACATGAAAATTCTCCTTTATATTAAGTACTATGCTATGGACGAGTGTCATGCTCTGGCGATCATTTTTCCAAGCGTAACAGGTCTAGTGAATTTTGCACGCCATACCTCCTGCTGCAGAGGTCAATCCAAAGTCGCAAGTCACTCCGAACGCCGTTTGAGCCTGAAAGGGTAATAAAAAAAAATGTGGCATAGTCGGGAGGGGAATAGAAAACGCAAGGCAAAATCCAAAGCTCCGCTCAAATCTACGAGATCAGCGCCCCCGCCCACCATTCTAATATAAGTCTTTCATCGTCAAGAGGATACGATGAAATCAGTGGTATTACCTTGGCTACTTGCGACCCTAGTGACGGTGTAATTGTGTCTGTCGGGTTGCATTTGCACCGGCATTGCTGTTGGGGTCCTCATCGGACTGGCTAGAGCTGTCGTCACCAACAGCGGTAGTAGATGCACTGCGCAATCGCTGTGCCCGATCCTGAAGCACTTGAGCTTCTGCCGCTGCTCGTTGAGCACGAATCTGTTTCCGCCACATGCTTGCATATCGGCCCTTCATTGCAAGCAGTTGGTCATGGGTACCACTTTCTGCCACCCGACCCTCGCTCAAGACCAAGATACGGTCGGCGGTTGTGATGGTGCTTAGTCGATGCGCGATGACAAGCATAGTTCGGCCACGGGAAAGAGTAGCCAAGGCGCCTTGAATGTGCTCCTCCGTCTCTGTGTCGAGAGCGGCAGTAGCTTCGTCCAGAAGGATGATTCGTGGATTCTTGAGGATGGTCCGCGCAATTGCCACACGCTGCTTCTCTCCACCACTGAGCCGAAGGCCACGCTCACCAACCTTGGTGTTGTATCCGTCTGGGAATGACATGATTTTGTCGTGAATACTCGCAGCCCGGCACGCCTCGTACACATCGTCATCAGTAGCGTTCTGGTTCGCGTACTTCAGGTTGTACATCAGAGTCTCATTGAAGAGCACGGTATCCTGAGGTACAACGCCGATATGTCTCCTAAGAGAATCGATTGTGATGCTTTCCACATCATGTCCATCGACCTGAATACGACCTCTCTCGGCATTGTAGAACCTGAAAAGGAGACGGAAAACCGTCGACTTTCCTCCACCAGATTCACCGACCAGCGCGGTTGTGGTTCCGGGCTCGCAGTGAAAAGTCAGCCCGTTCAACGCCGGTTTCCGGGTATCATAGGAGAACTCAACATTCTCGAACTTGATGTCTCCCTTGCAGAGGGAAAGTGGCCGGGCGCTAGGCCTATCAAGAACGGTAGGCTGCTCTCTAAACAGCTCTAGCAGCCGCTCTGAATTGATCAGGGCCGATTGAATTGAGCGATAGAATGTTCCGAAGAAGTTGAGAGGGCCCTGCAATTGGGCCATGTAAGTGAGAAGCAAAACAAATTGACCTACATTCCGTTGGCCCAGCGAGACCTGGTAGGCAGCGATAAAACAGGCAATCAGCAGGCCAAGCATGAACACGGTATTCTGCGATGTGTTCATGAGGTTGAGAGAGAAGAGAACGTGATACTCTGCTGACTGGAAATCTGCAACCGCTCCGCGATATCTTCCAAACTCGTAGTCCTCTGCGTTGAAGTATTTGACTGTTTCGTAAGAGACCATCGAATCGTTCCTGGTTGTATATCATATGAGCACATCGAAATATTAGGCCAAGGCGAGAAATAAACTTACTTCACCGCGTCTTCTTGTCGTGATGAATTTACCATCTGTCTCCGGATTTCTGCTCTCCATTGGGCCATACGCACGGTCACATACAGATAGCAGAAGGTGACAATAGTGACGACCAGAGCGTAGTAGGCATCAAGGGCAACAAGGAAATAAACGATTGCGACACAAAGATCAATCAACATCGGGACGACTTGGAAGGTAACCTGCTCCAGGAAGGTATTGATAGAGCTACCCTTGCTGAGAGCAGAGAGGACCTCGCCAGTTTTCTTACCGAGATGGAAGTCCAGGCTAAGACTGTGCACGTGTTCAAAGGCGGCAGTAGAAAGTTCCATGTACGAATACTGGCTGACAGGAATCCACAAACTGGAACGTAAGGATCCAATCAGGCCCTGGTTGCCCTGCAACCAGCGATAGAAGATATACAGACAGATGTCAAACCATGGGACGCGAAATTCGTCATCTTGTTTGGACAAGATGTTGGTGATGACGCCCACTTGATAAGGCACGAGCACATTAACCACACGTTGGAGGATGATCAGCAGGAAGCAGATGACCACAACCAATTGTAACCGGCGGGACTTGGATGGCCAAAGATACGGGAAGAATAAGGAGTAGCCACTAAGGTATTCCCACCAGCTGGTGGACGGCACGGTTGTTGGGCGCACCCACGGGTCGGTGGGCTTCGAGTTTTGCTGGGGATTCCCCTGAGCGGCATAAGTCGAACCGTAGGCCTCGCCATTTCCGTTCTCCGCGTGCGAACCAAGGAGTCCGGTAGTTTCGGTGGGACCATCAATATGATTACGAGCCGCTTTATGCGCCACCGACTTGGCCCTCAGCGAATTGCAGGTGTATAGCATGACCAACGCCAGCAGAATCAAAATTCGGATGGCATTGGACACCACCCCTACGGACTCCCACGGAGTAATACCAGGCTGCAGACGGCCACCGGTAGGGTCTCCCACCACTGTTTCGTGGTGCGCGCGCGAGTAGATGGAAAGGGAAAGTCCCAGGATTGTAAATTCCAAGGGTACTGCAATTGCCCATGGGACGAACTGGGCAAATGTCGGGGATGGATCCGTATCCAATAAAGAGACCAGAATAATTGCGTAGTCGAAAAAAGATCCCACAACGTAGATCTAACAAGCATCAGCTACTGTATCAATTTCTTTCATACACGCTCCACGCAGCGGTTGGGGGGGGGGGGGGGGGAGGGGGGAAGCAGCCATACCACGACAGCTTGACCGCACCACCATTGATCCGATCTGGCGATTATCACATGAGCCACATTAGTAGCAGCATCGACCACGAGGGTGACCAAGATCGCAAAGGAAAGCCATTTGAAGCACGACTTGGTATTTCGAGAAAACTGCTGGGGCGCTTTTACCACGACCACACTGCTCCTCGATCGCTTGGGAAGCGGACGGCCCCCGGGACCGGTTGGCGATGCACGGGGGTTCTTATTCACATTTCTGGCGGTCAAAATAGAATTGGCCACAAAGGAAGATACAAACACAACAAGCAGGAGAATTGGATAACCAATACGGAGGTAATCCAGCAAGTCTCGAATTACGTGATGGCGGCCCATCATGAACAGTCCTCCCTCAAGGTCCTACTATATGCAAAGACCATCAATCAGTGTACTTCCATGACCCAGCGACCGTCTTATCCAGCTCAGAGCGAGTATCACTGGGAGGGCGCGGTAGGAAACAAGGAGGAATAGGGCGATCAATCGGAAACGACTGGGACGTAAGGAGGAACCAGGAATCTGGAGGTTTAAATCAAGGCCGGTTTTGTTTTTGGGGGGGGGGGGGGGTTGGATGGATCGACAGAGGACGGGTAACAAGAGCAGTCCTTTCGCACAGGTTTTTTTTTTCCCTGCTTCTTTCTCTTGTTCTTCGTCGCGTCTGGATTAGTTATTGTTGACGGGATAGATATATCTGATCCAAAAAAAGGACTGAAGAGAAGGATAAAAAAGAATTGGAGCAAAAGCAAGAAGCAAAAAAAGAAAGCAGTAATGCAATAAATACAAGAGAAGAAAGGCACGCGCAAAAATAACAGCCAGGGCTATACAGCGAAGGAGAGGGAGAAAGAATCAAGGCAAATTGACTACCCAAGAGGAGGATAATCGATGAATATGAGAATGGTCTTAGAAAGGGGGGAGATGACAGGGACAAGAAAAGAGGCAGGAGAGAAGGAGAGAGTATGAGGAAGAGAAAGAGAAGGAGAGAGAGAGAGAGGAAATGATCGATGGAGAAATACAAATAATTAAAATGCTAACGAGGCCCAGTCCCGGCAGTATGGAGTGGAGGAAGAATGACGGTGTGAAGGGAGTCAGAACAGTCCAGAACAACTACCTATGTAGGTATGGACTAGTTTGACCCAAAGCTCAGTCTTGCACTAAAAAAGCTTTGCTGGTAATAATAATAATAAGAGTAGTAGTAATGATGTATGAGAAATAGTTAAATAATAACTAGTGAACTGTTACAGAGAAGAAACAAAAAAGAAAAAAAAAAGAGAGAGGGTGAAAACAAGCCGCATTTTCACAATTTATTATATTATGTGCCTGTTTTCCGATTCTTTCCTTGCAGCAGTCATGAATTTTCCCCATGTAATTCATCGGAGGTTTTCCATTTGTCCTCCAACCTTTAAAAAATTACAGAATTACTTCAACTTATTTGAGTTTTCGTAATATATATATGTATATATATATATTAAATAAAAGTTGAACCCTCAAACCTTTGGGAGTATGTGCGTGAGTATCTACTACTGTCGTTTGTTCACACACCAGGATCTTAGACCAAGTAATCCCCGAACTAGATGGCCACTTCTTTAGGGCTAAGTGGATTAGAGGGTGGGATTAGTGCCCAATTGGAACAGGGGTTCAATACGGTTTGAGTTCTCAAGCCTCAAGGTGATGATGATAGTGTTAAAATTATCGCCATGATTTGGAGAATTCTGTCGGTTCAGCTGGTTATTCTCTCACTTTGAAGACTCCATTATGATCCGTACAGGGCGGATCCGAATCTAGCATACTCTGTACAGAACAGGAAAGCAACAAGCATGGATTAAAGATAGAGTAGTACTACTGGTAGTGGTGTTTAGTATAGGAGGTACCGAGAACGACGATACTGGAATGTAAAGTAGTTTGCAACCAAAGACCTACCTAAGATAGTATTTGGGTAGAGAATGTTCATAGGTCACGCAACCAGAGATTGAAAAAAAAAAAAATATATATATATATATATATAGCTATCTTCAGATGTAAAAGAACCCGGATTTACCCCCCGAAGGAATAAGAAAATAAATTTTTGACATTCATAATAAGGCACATTAAGATGCACTCGATAGGGATTGGGCCGATCGATCATACTCAGTCAGACTGGCCAGCTGAAACTAAGGATCAGATATCAATTCTCAGTGGTAGAGGCTGTAAAGCCAGTTAGTTAGCAGATTTGGTTTACCCAGCTGAATGAATCTTGATTCCTCGGTCCTACATAAGAGTGGAGAGGGCTATCTTTAGCACCTGCGTCGGTGGCTGATGGCACTTCTCTTCCAAGTTCCAGGGGTCTTGCGAATTGTATTATTAGGTATTCCCTTGTGTTTTCTGGGTCAAGGTTTTGAACATTGTTTCAAATTGGATACCTATACTTATAAACACTACATCTTGAAAAGATGTGGATCCGTTAAGCACTCAAAAATATGGCTTTTGAAGCGATCGCTTGGTGTACCCTAATGAAGCTATACACAGTCAAGATATCTATTTAAATTTGAAGCCTTGGCCGAGTCAATGCTCAGGATCATTGGTCAAGAACACGGAGGCCCTGGTTAAAATTAAAATGCATTGAAATTTTCGGGAAAAGTGGATCTGGAATATGTAGGCTAGAGAGGGTAGATAATATCTATATAAAAGTGGTTCTCTGATATAAAATCATGAACAATACCAGGTACTAACTAACTATCCATTCTGATGCGTGATTTTGCTGTCCCACCTAAAGTCCCGAGGCTCCAGATAACGTAAAACATTTCCGGTAGGTTGCGTAGATATAGGGCATCATCTTGTCTTGAACCATAAGAATACTCGTCCTCTTATAGGGAAAACTATTGCCAGTTAGCACTTACTACTCCGTAGGTATACCTCCTACAATCTCTGAATACATTCATCCTCGATAATAACGATCAAAAACCCCTCGATTCTACACCGCCTTTAGCCAACGTCTTCTTCATGAGGGTTGCTGCATGCATGACGGATTCCCACCCCTCTCATCTGGTGTGTTTGTCCTGCATTCATCCAGCCAGATTCTCCGTCTGTTTGTACACATCACTGGGCCTTTGACCATCAATCAAAATTGACTCGGGATTCTTCAGGGGAAACCAAAATGAAATCACGATGATTCTGATATATCAGCTGGACAGGTCCAAAATACAAACATCACCCAAAACTTAGTACTCCGTAAAATTACGCGGTCTGGCTGGCAACAATATTGGGATCGGTTGGTATTACGACCGTATTAACCAAACAGCGCTAACCCGGATTGGACATATCGATCACGCGCGTCGAATTTCACTTTCCAGTTTCCACCGTCGAGCTCCAATAATCGCCACTTTCTTCTATCTCGTCCATTCCTCCCCTACCTTAAGACACCATCATTACATTAGGTTATAGGTAGTGGTTTAGTACCTTCCCACTTACATGCCTACCCGGTTTTATCCTGCCACTGACTAATCCCCTCCCTCTCTCCCTTTAACCAACTGGTTACACTGTTCCGCACACTCCGCACAAGTCAAGTCAACAGGTCGCCTTCCCTTCCCCACCTCGACTACATCTTGCCGTTTGTCGTCCATTCGGGGAAGCTCATCTTCATCGAATCGACAGCATGGAGCCTCGGGCTGCGTTAGGTTGAGTCTGAATGGACTGACCTCGGAGGCCTTGATACTGGAATCATGTCCGACCTCTCCCGGTTGCCCACTCGCGGCAGCTCATCCCCAGCGCCGCCACCTCCCCCTCCGCCTGCCCCAGTGCAACAGGGCCACAATAAGTATTCCAACCGCGCGGCCAGTGCTCTCGCAAGATTTGCCCAGCCCTTTCTCTCGGGGTCTCGGCCTCCTAGTCCACACACTTCGGGGGTTCGCACAGACTTGTCTGCTGCTGCTGTCCGTTCTACCAGGTCCAGGTCTTTGTATAATCCCCCATTCCCCTCGCTCCTCCTGCTCCTCCTCCCCTTCCCCTCTCTGCCCCGCTCCGTTCCTCATACCCACCTCCTTCCTCCCTGTGATATGGAGTGTGTGATATGGGTGAGAAGGAGAGTGCGAAAGGACCTCCCACTTTGGAACGCGAATTTACTGGACATGGATTGATTCCAATTGGATCCTTTCCCTCCGTTTCGACTGCGAAGGTTTGATGACCTTCTTCTAACCTTGTCCATAGGCCTGGTGCGTCACAAACGGTCACCCATAAGACCGGCATATCTATTTCTGCCCTAGATATCTCTCCGCAACGAACACACGCAGTTATTGGAGGGAAAGAGATCCTGAAAACCATCCGGGTCCTACCTGACCATTCCTCCGAAGAATACAACTTGCGCAATGCGATCATTAGCTACTCCTCAACTCACCATGTCGTCAGCGGTCTCTCCGCCCGCCACAAGGACCAGCTGACAGTAAAGGATGTGAAGTGGTCACATGGACTCTATGACCAGATCATCGCCACCGCGGTGGCCAATGGCCGCATCGTCGTCTATGATCTGCACCGGACCGGCCTGGAGTTTTGTAGGTTTCAGGGACACAGCCGCCAGGTCCATCGGTTGGCTTTCAATCCACACCATCCAGCATGGCTTCTATCCGGCAGTCAGGATGCTACCATCCGGATGTGGGATTTGCGAGCAGCCCCTACAGACCATGGTGTTGCCATATGTGGGAGTAAGGAGCAGTACAACGGTAATAGTGATGCTGTCCGTGATGTTAGGTGGTCTCCAAGTGATGGAGTCATGTTCGCAACGGCTACAGATAGTGGTGCTGTCCAGTTGTGGGATTGTCGCAAAACTAGTGCCCCTTTGATGCGGATAACTGCCCATGATAGACCTTGCTTTTCAGTAGATTGGCATCCGGATGGGAAGCATATTGTTAGTGGTGGCACGGATAGGCAAGTCAAAGTCTGGGATTTTTCGTCTTCGGCAGAGCGCAGGCAAAAACCCGCATTCCAGTTCCGAACGCCTCAAGCCGTTCTCAACGTTCGCTGGCGTCCACCCTCATGGGCTAGGGAGTCAGAGGGATCGGGTGATTGGCAGTCATCCCAAGTTGTAACTTCTTATGACAAGGAAGATCCACGAATCCACTTGTGGGATCTTCGGAGACCTCACATCCCATTTCGGGAGTTTGATCGATATGACACCTCAGCCACTGATTTACTTTGGCACTCGAAAGATCTACTGTGGACAGTGGGTGATGGCGGTGTTTTTACACAAACAGATATTCGCTATGCTCCCCTAGTGATCAATCAACGACCAACATGCTCTGTGGCGTGGAGTCCCAGTGGTGAGGTCATTGCTTTCGCCCAAAAGCGCCCAAGAAGAAGCATACCAGGTCTCGGCACCACAGAATTTGTCGGACACTCTGGAGAAGAGAATAGTAGTGGTGAGGCTTTCAGCCAAAGCCCCGGGGAGGACATCATTGATGAACCCTCATTTGCTTCCATGCGATCTCGACGTAGTAAGTCTAATAGTGTTCGAACATCCAAATCCCTTGGGAGTACTCCCCCGGCAGCGACGGACCTCATCCCAATCCTACCTCTTGATAAAGTTTTGTCCAAGATTAAACCTCTTGAACAGCAACAAATGGGAATAGTGGGAAGCATTGCTGGAACTACGATGGATCGGGAAACCTTTCAATACCTTGCTCGTCACTATTCTCCTCTCCTTCGTGGAAGGTTTAATGGCATGCAGGCGGATCCTCTACGCCTGTTATTGGATTCGTTAAACCACAACGCAGCGAGTGCTGAAAATATCTCTTTACTGAAACTGGCCCAGACATGGCGGATTGTAAAGTATGCCATCATCCAAGAGCTCCAACTCCGAGCAAGGGAGCTCTGTCAATCACCGGAAAAAACCACTCGCAATCTCAGAAAGAAGCCTTCTGAAGACGGCGCAGTGACCGAAAAACTGCGAAATTTGGAAGACACGAGGCACGACAAAATGAAAAGTCGCCTTTTCAAGGGAGTTATGGAGTGTGAAGCGCCCAAACATGCATTGGCAGATCCAGAGAGCGCATCAAATATGACAACGCCGCTTGCTCGACCCCTACCAGATTCTCCAACCGAATCTTACGGCAGCTCCAATTCTCAGATGACATCTTTAAATAGCCTTGGTGATATTCAACCGCTCCCGCCATCGCTTCTAAGTTCTAATCGTGGTACTATGACCTCAAACGACTGGTCTTCAATGTCGGATATTGGGCCCCGCCCCGTCCATCAATTTCAGCACCGAGAATCGAATGAGAGCGAAGAAGGGGCGCGTGCGTTGTCTGATAGCCCACCATCAGATCCACCTTGCGACTTGAATCCGCCCGAGATTGAAGAGGAACAAAGATCGGCACCGCTAGCGATTGCTGGTAGGGCAGATTGGCATGTCCGCAACCGCCTTCGTTTGACAAAGGAAACATCAGAGGTTGATGAATTTGACCAAAAGATGGAAGATAAAAGAGCAGCGATTCGAGATTACAAGCACTTTCCTAAAAAGCTTCTATCTCTGGAATCACATGCGGAGTCGAAACCTGGACTTCATCGCCACGAATCGTCTGAGAGTTTCCCAATGTTTTCTGCATCGACAGCCAGTTCGCATCCTTCTAAATCAGTGGGAACATCGTTCTCGTCTGCAGCCAAACCATACCATGCGCTGGAGGATGGTGAGGAAGGAAGTGATCACGACATTGTTGCAGCCAGGAATGATAACCTCATCCGCACTCGGAGTGACTCGATTCTTACCTCTGGTTCTATAGCAGAAGAAGAAATCCAGAGCGATGAACTCTTCGGCGAAAATATAAACAAAATGAATCGCCGTCACCTTGATAGACCATCCAGTCCTCCGCCTTTATTGAAAGAGTCTACTCCACTAAAGATTCAAACCCAGGAGACTCCAGAAAGTACTTTTCAGCCTGGGGCATCTAATGGTTCATCAGTCCCTGCATTACCCGGAGTTGCTGATGGACTTGTTAATGTCTCGATTCCCATTCCTTCCGACCAGAGGGGTAATAACCCTTGGAGCGCTGAAATGCTCCTTAAAGAGGCAATCCGACATTATCACACTAGTACCCATGTTGACGTACAATCCTCTGCACATCTTCTCCAGAAACTACATGTCCTGTTTGAAGACTGTGAGAACATTTTTCCGAATGAGGAGAGCGAAGCCATCTTCCAAGTATATAATGAACACCTTTTACGCCAATCGATGTACATGGAAGCCGCTGAGCTTCGACTTCTTTGCGTTCCGTCCTATCCGGCAGTCTACGATTATGCCCAGGCAGACACTTATATGAATGTGTTCTGCTTTACATGTAAACGGCCTTATGAGAACCCCAAGAACGATAATACTCGCTGTTATCGATGCGATACCCCACAAGACCCGTGCACCATTTGTATGAGTCTTCAGCCGCCACCAGAATGGGTTGCAGAGCACTGCGTTTTGCGAGCTACCCAATCCAACGACTCAGATTCAGAGGATACCTCCCTCCTCGTCTCCTCGTCTCGCTCCTCTATTAAAACAGAACCCATCCCCGCATCCGAACTCCAGCACATTGAAGGCATGCACCCGGAAACCTTTCAACCTAGTCGACCAAAAGGGTCTACTTTATGGTCCTGGTGCCAGGGATGTGGCCACGGTGGACATCTCGCGTGCATAAGCACATGGCTGAAGGACATTGCTGTCAGCGAAGGCGGCTGTGCAACCCCAGGATGTATGCACGACTGTGGCCCTGGCCCTCGTCGTGAGCACAACCGCAACCTCCTCTTCGAAGAGTCGAAACGGCGTGATTCTGCTAGCCGAAAAGCGGGTGTGGGCTTCGTTAAGCGTGACACTTGGACTAGGGGAGAGAGCAAGGCTGTCGAAAAAGTCCGAGGAATGCTAGGTGTTGGCCCTGCAATTGGAAGCGCCTCTACTACCACTACTGTCGGAAGTGGCGGACCTAGTGCGCCTTCCTCCAATATGATGTCGTCGCCTAAAAAAGTGCGTCTTGTTACACCTAGTGAGCAGGGCAAACCATCTAGACCAGGTTCTGCACGGACTAGCTTTGGTTGTGGGAGTGGAGTTAACACTTGATTATTTTCTTGAGTGAGAAATCTGCTTTCTCATTTTCTTATACTTTTTTTAAACACTTTACATGCTAATAATATATCAGCACACTTGTGGTGCTCTGTAAGGTATATATATAGCCGGCAGTCATGAAGTATTATGTGGATTTACAAACCATAACAACCATCACCATAGCCATCACTCTTAAAGATAATATTATGTATCATAAATGTATTTATATTGAAGATAATGTAAGGTTAAGATATAGTTAATAAGTAGACCAATGTCCCGAATGATATATCCAACAGTAAACTCCAAATAAATAAAACCCTTGCTAGGAGAAAAAAAAAAAAAAAAAAAAAAAAAAAAACTAATGATCACTGACTTAGAACCTCCTCTTCTTCTTCACGAGAGTCTTACTCTTCGCCTCTAGCTGTCTCTTCAATTCTTCTCGTTTCCTATTTGCCCTCTCCTCCTCTGTTTCTTCCTTCATTTTTAACTTCTGTTCCACAGGAGCTGGTGATCTAACTGGCATAGGGTTATGCTTTATCTCCTCTCCTCCTTCCTCGTCTTCCTCTTTCTTCGGCGATGGAGGTACAGGTGTAGACGAGCTAGGCCCCGGACTGTGTTTGGCTCGCTTACCACCGATAACGCCTAGCTTTCCCAATGGTTTCCTTTTGCTAGTCTCGGAGGAAGCTGGTGGTGGAGAGGGAGATAACCTTCTAGGAGGCTCTTCAGGAACATGCTCAGATTCAGATTCGGGTTCGGGTCGTGACTCCTTCTTCTTTCCACCGATTACCCCTAATCCGCGTGAACCTTTGGATACTGATTTGGGAGGAGGCTCTTTCTTTGTTGTTACTGGGTTTAGTGGAACGGGGGGCTCGTCATCTGATCCTGAATTTGTTGCTGTTGTTGCATCGTCATCTAAATTTACATCGGGCTTAGAATGTTGCTGGTGTGTTTGTGTTCGTAGTGGTGGTGATGGTGTGTCTTGTTTCCGTTTGGACTGCTTTTTGCCCCCGATTGTCCCCAGGCCCTTTGTCTTTGCTGCAGGCAGTTGCGGCTTTGGCTGCATGGCTGGCGGGGGTATCTCTTTCTCGTTTTCTTCGTTATCGTCGTCTGTTTCTGTTTCTGTTGCTGCATGTTTTCTTGGCGAAGGGGGTTTCTTCGCGGTTTCAATGGGCTTCTTTAGCCTTGGGGGTGTTTCTTGTCGCTGGAGCAAAGATGTTTAGGGCGAAGCCAATATATAGGGACATTTCACATACCTCGAATTCATCGTCCTCTGTCTCTGTCCCTGCATCGGAATCCGTTTCCATGGCGTCTACAGGTGTCTTACTCTCTGTAGGCTCTTTGTCGTCCTTCGATGCAAAAGACAGTGTAACGCTCTCAGGAATGACAACATCTTTCCACCATTCATCTGCTGGAAGCGCTAGCCTATCTAGCTGCCGGGGATTTCCAGACCCCCCAATGCATTCTACGATGTTGGCAGCCAGGCCGGAATCAGGTGATGATTTGTTGGCTTTGTCAAGCCAAGCTTGTTCGTCGAACGGCGCAACCCCTTTGATAAGTTTTGTAGCTTGTTCGAGCAATGTGCCCTTTCGCGCACCACGTAGACCTGACGTCCCTGGGAATATCGTACTCAGATCGATGCCCATACCTTCAATCTTGTCGAAAAGCTTTCCAAGCGCCCAGTCTTTCTTATGGAGCTCTTCTATAAGGGTTTGTTGGCGCGACTCCCGGTCAGCCTCAGCCTTGAGAAAGGGAAGAAGCAGGTGCGTAGTGGTAAAATTTTGCGCCTCCCTTGATAGGGATAATGTCCATTCAAGGGGCTTCAGCGGAGCTGGCAGTTTAGACGTTATATTAAGCTCCAGGGCATTTCCTGGTGTCTTGTGATCGAGCGTTGTAGTGCTTTCTGGGTCATTGTTTAGAGCATCTCCTATCTTCTGTAGAAGAACTTTAAATTGATCTAGGTCTTCGCTTGGATCAATGGTAGTGTCATCTTCCTCGGCTCTTATTAGAATAGCCCGGCGATTTAGGCTCTCGGACCAGATATAGGTGAGGTCCGTCAAGTAGAACTCATACCCGCTCGCGGTCGGGGAATATCTGAACAGAAGCGTGGGCAAGGAGCACTGGTTCGAGAGATGTAGTCTCTGCCATTTCTCAGGCATTGTTACTGCCGCCCTTGTAGGTTGGATGATGGGAAATGCTTTTGTCCTGGAAGACAAGTAAACAAAAACTATGACGTTCTTGTAAGGCAGCAGATCATCGATGGAGGCAGCAGTGGACAGATGATCCCGGGGGAAGGTTTGCCGACCGTATAACATTCCGTCTTCGGATCGTCTCCTAGCTTCTCCAGATCACCTCTCTTTACCCGCGAACCCTTTCAACCTCGTCTCGCGAAATACTATAGCATCCCCTGAGGAAACAGCTCATTAAAGAGTCAGAATGTCGTCGCAAATTCCAGACAGATCAGCGAATAAGCGATACCGGTCCCGATCGCCACAGTCTAGTCATTCGCAGAAGTTTGCCCGACGGTCTGACGAACGAGACCAACGATATGACAACAGCAGATGGCGAGAGCGAGATGGAAATGGCAGATCGGCGCCATCCCACGCTCGGGGAATGAAAGATCAGATGCGCCTCAACCAGCTCCAGGAGGACGAGCAGGTGCGTGAGTGGGTGGCGCAGGAGGATATCTTCGTTCTCAAGCAGGCCAAAAAGAAAGCGGAAATCAGAGTGAAGGAAGGGCGCGCAAAACCGATCGACTGGCTTACTGTGACGCTACGCGTGATTGATCCTACGAGAAACCCGCTTGATGACGAGATTGCGGATTCAGAGCTTGACCTAGTCGATCCTGACGGCATTTTCGAGGGACTGTCCCCGTCACAACTGCTCGATCTAGAGAAGGATATCGATACTTTCTTGGGCCTGGAAACTAACTCTCAGAATAGAGATTTCTGGAAGGTGAGCGAGCTTCAGATCTTCATGTCTTCAAGGAATGGTATGCTGACTGACTCTTAACTTATGCAGACGATGAAAGTCATTTGCAAAGATCGTCAGAAGATTTCCGCCCCCGAAGGACGTGCCCTGAATTCCGTTGCCGCAGACATTAACAAGCTTCTGAGTCCGAAATCATACGAACAGCTTCAAACCCTCGAGGTACAGGTCAGGAAGAAGCTGGATTCCAACGAACCGATCGATACAGATTACTGGGAGGAACTCTTGCGCAGCCTCACTGTCTGGAAGGCCCGCGCGAAGGTGAAGAAAGTTTTCCAGGCCGTGATAGATGAGCGTGTTCGCGGTCTTCGCGAGCAGCAATGTGAAGAAGCTGAGTCTGTGCGGTCCAAGCTAGCTCTGTTGGCACCAGTTGTATGTGGCAACAAAGCACACACCGAATCCATCGATGAAGAAGAGTTTCGCGGGCTCGATCCCGACCCTTTGCTGCAAATTCGCCCAGAGGACAAGGCGTATGAAGTAATAGACGAGGACGCTTTCCTCGACCAGGTGGTGCGTTCATTCAGCCTTGTGATCACTATAGGATTGATTCTGACGATATATTCAGGCTCGCGAACGTAGGAAAATCTTGAAAATGGGATTTGTTCCTCTACGGCAACGGCAAGCAGAGAAGCTGTCGGCTGCCGTGGTGAGCCGTACTCCAAATGCTCCTATTGCCAGCGCCTCGAACCGATTTTCCTCAATACCCAATGAGGATTTCTCGCAAGCAACCAAAGCTCTCTATGAGAGAGAACTAGCAAAGGGGGTGAGCGAGAACGAAGAGATCTTTACAGGCGAAGAATCTATCAGCACAGGCGCAAAACCTCAGTGGGCGAATAAGTACCGACCTCGCAAACCCCGGTATTTCAACCGTGTTCAGATGGGCTATGAATGGAACAAATACAACCAGACCCATTATGATCACGATAACCCACCACCAAAGGTTGTTCAAGGCTACAAATTCAATATTTTCTATCCGGACCTCATCGACAAAGCAAAGGCCCCAACATATCGTATTGAACGCGAACATGGAAGACGCCGGGGTCAGTCCTTTGTCGCGGCTGGAGAAGAAGACACCTGCCTTATTCGATTTATGGCCGGACCACCATATCAAGACATTGCATTCCGAATTGTCGACAAAGAGTGGGATTATAGTGCGAAAAGGGAGAGGGGCTTCAAGAGCACTTTCGACAAGGTATGTTTTTAGACTAATATCTTTTCCAAATGCCAAATCAAACTAGCTAACCAAACCAGGGGATTTTGCAACTACATTTCCAATTCAAGCGAGTAAGTTTACTATCCCCCATTGCATCTGTTTCTATGACCCCCCAGGGGCTAACAACGTCAGGTTTATTATCGCAAATAAAGCGAGACAAATCTTATTTGTGGCCCAGAGCATGCATCACCCTAAGCACCAGCCCACCCACTCTGAGCCGCATAAAGCATATGGAGAGGCTCTAGAATACACCGGTAGCTACAGCCTTTGTGTGTTCCGGGTGATCACTTTCCTCGTTTCTTTGCCGCAGCAAGAAAGGAAGGCTGAATTGCGATTGGGTTAGAAATATTAAACATTCCCCATCTCCCAAAGGATTGGGTACCGGGCTAGTAGAGGCTTCGTGAACCAGGCCAGGGCTCGTGGGATAGGGTTCAACACGTGCGTTGAGCAAATATAGAATGCTTATTTCCGTCTCTTTTACTCTCTCTCTATCCCCGACGTTTCCCTTCCTATTTCGACTCCTCATCTCAGAACTTGCTGTACTTTTTTTTTTTTTGGCGCTTCGGCGTCTAGTCACGTGCACGGAAAGCTGCCGCCTTCTTGCCATATGGATTCTATTTGCACCAACCTTGTTCCATTCTTATTGTTCTCCCCTTCATGGGAAGTGAATGAGGAGACCATTTTCTAGTGTCACCCGCGGCCTGCATGTCTTTCTGGAGTTCCGGCTGGTCGGGGAAACGGAAAGCCCTCATATCTGCAGGATGCATTCAAAGGGGCTTTGATGGACCCCAGGAGGATGTCCGAAGGTTAGTTCCAGAAGCATTCTGCACCCTGACCCTCTCTCAGCTCTAGCCAGTATTATGGAAGCCAGGAGGGACCCTCTGCAGGCGTCCGTCATCCACCAGTTACCGACTCAATCCCGGTCCGCTAGGCATTGTAAACTACAAAGCAGACCCATCGCAGACCCATCTGTAGTACAAGATCCAGCTCTTACGAGAAGCCTCAAGAGGTGATTGGCCCATACATAGGGTCGCGGTTCCACGGCCTGGAGAAAGGTGTTTTCGCATGTAGGTAAATGAAGCAGCGCCCACCAGAACATCCCCAAAATGATGAAGAACTGCCCTGTCTGTTTCACTATATCTAGTATTCTTAGCGACGGAAAAAGAAACCATCATCCTTCTCTATCCTGAAGTCCCTGATGCTTGTTTGTCGGGCCTAAGAGATGCATGATGGGGTTCCAGGCTGTTTGCAGGGAGAAGAGAAAAAAAAAAAAAAAGGGACTACTGGTTCTACGCTGTGTTGGCAATGGTTTAATAGGATGGCTTGAGCTGAGCTATTCCTGTCGATACTATATGTCCTTTTAATAAGTGGTCACACGTAGGAGGCTTCAAGCAGGTACTAGGTACTTACATCTACTTCTTGTTGTTGCTTTTTTGTGTTCGTCTCTCTCTCTCTCTCTCTCTATTTGAATTTCATTTATTTGTATTTTTCTTTTCTTTTCTTTTCTCATTTCTTTCGTTGCTTTTTATTTATTTATTTATTTTTCTTGGTGGCTACCCTTAACCCCTCTCAATAACTTCATCTACATACATACATACATACACAGCCTTGTCTTTTTCTTGCCTGATGAACCAGCCTGACAATTCTTGAGGAATGCATTGACCTGGCTCCTTCTGAGGTCTTATATTTCTTTCCGTCTACTTCAAAGTCAACTTTCTGGATGTCACTCTGAGAGCTCCACCTTCTAATCCTCAACCTTTCTGACCAAGTAATCCATGCTGGCCTACTAGGTAGCAGCACGGTATGGATCGTTTCAATCCTTCTCGGGGCTCCCCACTGCACCAGATCTCTTTCAACCGAGATCTATTGCCTCGCCATTGCAGCTCCAAAGTGACAGAGCTGCCTTCTTCTTCTTCCATCCTTGATAGCATTTGTTCTGCCAACCCCCGTTGCCGTGAATCTGGTCTCATTACTGTCAACTGGACAGACTCCGGTTCCAAAAGTCCAGAGGAAACCATGGCTTACCAGCAATCATGGTCTATGGAGCCAGCTCTCAATTACGCACTCATTCCATCTCAGTCGTCATTTGAACATATTCCCAACGGGTTACCCCGTACAGTGGGCTCCCACGACCACGCCCTGTTTGACTGGTCAACATCCTCGATGGCATCCAACTATTCCTGCTCGAGACAATTGAAGCCCGAATCACGACGCATACCTGATTACAAGGGTTTATCTTCATCGGAATGGGTTCAGGCACCCAGCCTCAGGACACAGTCATTCTACAAGTCTTCACACCTGTTGGGATCTCACCAACCCCCGCACTCAGAATCCTCCACAGCTAGTAGCTATCCCCCCCCCTCCACCACCACCACCAGCACCACCAATATGCTGTCATCATCTTCATCACCCACTTTGACAAGTTCACCATATCATTCATCATCACTGGACAGGTTGTATCCCTCAATCAAGCAAGAGGTTGACCGTGAGGACCCGGGGCCGAACCTGGATGAAGCAGACGATGCGAATGCAGATCCCCCGTACTCTCAGCTAATCTACGAAGCTCTTCGAACAGCACCCGGGAAGAAATTACCACTTCAGGGTATTTACGGGTGGTTCGAGAAAAATACGGCCAAGGGGAAGGACGGGAACTCAAAGGGTTGGCAGAACAGTATTCGACACAACCTGTCAATGAATGCGGTATGTCCGATTTCCTCTTTGAGATTCAGCCTGGGATTATTTTATTTTCATGTTAATGTTTTATTCTGTTTCTTTTTTTGGAACCCAACCATGATGATTATGATGAGTGGATGAATGAATGAATAAATTGCTGAAACCCAAAAAAAAAAAAAATGACAGGGGTTTGAAGCTATCCGAGAGGAATCCATGCCCGGCAAGAAGGCTGTCAATTTCTGGCGCTTGACAGATGAGGCCGTAAATAACGGCATCCAATCTACAACCCGGTACAGAAAGCAGGCGAATTACAAAAAGTCAATGGCTTCGGATCCGCCGGCCCCTCAACGTCAGCGGTCCGGGGCGAAAGGAGGGAAAGCTACGAAAATCACGGCCAGATTTCGAGGTAGCATGAGCCAAGATGAATTACGAAGAGAGCGGTACCGTCAACGAATAATACCTTCGCAGCGGCATTTCCAGAAGAACGTCTACGGCCAGTACCTGCACCCGCCCACGGGGACAACGACGTCGACTCCATCAACCTACCATGCTCCAGGAGGGCCAATCGTCTCAGCTGAGCTCTTTGATTTGGACCATGTCGTTGGTTGTGCTGACCCCCCTAGTTTCTTCGACATGGCGGGGCCGGGGCCAGACTGCCTCGCGTTCGACGCTGGGTTCGTGGGATGGGATGGGATGTCCTCATTCCCCAATGGTTTGTTCCCAGGTCCCGAGATCTCAACAGATCTTCAGTGAGGGCTATAAGAACATACAATTACGCTCACCCACATAGAAAACAACCCGCACCCTTGTACGAAAAGAAAGCTCTGAATGGAGATGGCAACACGGTGATGATGAATGTACGTTGTACGGAATAATTAGGGGAAGTAGGTCTTTGTATGTATGTACAGGTAGTAGCCCTGATTACTATTTAACGTAGTGTCTACGATGGACTGCTATTATTTGATATGTTCTTTATTATTATTATTATTATTATTATTATTATTATTATTATCAATTTATTAACTATTATTAACTATTATTATTTATTACTTCAGAGCCTACTTACTTGCTTACTTACTCTCCTTCCTACCAGGGTTAAGATAAATAAATAGAAAGACAAAGAAAAAGAAAAGAAAAACGCTTAAGACGGCGGACAAGGATAGTATTTCCGAAATGATTTATTTTTATTTCTTTTCATAAATTTTCTATTCTCCCCGATATTCTTTTTTTTTTCCTTTTTTTTTCCTTTTTTTTTTTTTCCGTCATCATTCATTTTTCCCGATTCTCGCTATATTCTCGATTGGAAGAGCATTCCGCGATAAGTGTAGCTTGACCGGTGAAAGAAGAAGAAGAAGAAGAAGAAGAAGAAGAAGAAGAAACGAAAGAAACGAAGATAAAAGAAAATAAACCGGACAAAGGGAAAAAAGAAAGAAGAAAAAAAAACATGGAAAAGGATAATTAATACCTAGCTATAATACCTACTTCGTACTATCACCATAAGATTAGGTAGGTAAGTAGGAGACGATGCCCTGATATCGATGATAGGCCACTTGGGTCAACCAGAACCCTAGCAAAAAAATGATAGTTCATCGAATACCTTACCACCCATGCCATCCATGACAGCAGATGAGGAGAAATTCGTCCTTTTCTCGTCATTGCTGGTACTAGCCCAGGCCATCTCCAAAGTAAAGCGCAGACATACATACCTTACTCTCTCACTTTTAACTATTACCTACTGGGTACTCGATTTTTGTTGACCATGTCGTCGTCGCCACCTCCCATTCGCTTCTCAGAACAATTCTGTCCTGGTCAAGGCCACCAATTTCGACCTGGTTGGGAGCCATAGGGAGGAAACTACTGGCTCTGAGGGTGCAGGGGGAAGAAGAGACATTCCTGCATGTTATGCAGGCAGTAATTGGCTACGACCCAAGTAGACAGACAGAGGATTACTAGGTTCGAACCGGACCGGATTGTTTTGGTTGCTATACTAGGGAATGTTATGATTTCGTTTCCTCTTCGACGGGGACGGGGAGGAGCACATCATCCTCACCCTCATCACCGGTTATCAGTTGCAGACTTGCAGACCTATCTGATCCTCGTGAACGAGCCAGGTTCTCCTCTCCCAGCCAGGGAGTGGTCAAGGCGTCCAGTGAGCTTTGCTTATCGTGAGCCGGATAGGTCGGGAAATATAAGCCCCCTCTGCCACTTTAGGACTGGAGGAAATTGAGAAAGTTCCAATCATGTTCTTCCTCAGGGATCTCTATCAAGAGGGTGTAGTGGAGGAAACAACTGTGGTTGTAATCCTCGTGATCGATGAACGTACGGATTGGGCAGACGACGAAGGAGAAACAAGTGGTGGAGATGATAATAATTAAGGTATAAAAATAAAATCAAAGATCAATTCTCTGACGGTTGGATGGCTGTTGGCAAGGTAGACCTGGCTGACTGAAGCACAATAGTAAGCCGAAGAATTTCCAACCCTCATGCTATATACCTAGTTAGTCGATAGCTGTTTAGGAATAAGACTGCTAGTGGTTGGTTCTTCACTTAGGGACTGTCTCTCCTGCCAAATATAGTATACAGGCTGAATTGCTATGTATAGTACAGTATATACCTACCTCAGTAGGCATGGCTCGCTGATGAGCATTATCTAGCATCTACATTCAGGAGGGCCTCTTTGTTCAGGCTTATAGAATATGGACATCTGGAAATATGTACTTGGTATGGCCATAGTTATCTGGATCGATGTTTCACTAGAGCCCCAAACAAAGCCTTCAAGCTAAGACATGATCATGATCACCCATAAGCAGAGACAAGGAAGAAACAAAGAAAACAAAGAAAAGAGGGATCACTCAGCTCCGTAGAATACCATTTGTTCCTCCAGTTCCTTTCCTCGCTTCTTCCTTTCCCCCTCCCCCCTCTTCACTGTCGTCCTTCTCTCGTCCTTTTTAGGGAGGGAAAAAAAAAACAAAAAAAAAAACAAAAAAAACAAAAAACAAAAAAAAAAGAAAAGAAAAAAAGGCGACGGCCCCCCCCCCGCAACCCTAACGCTGCTGCTGAGGGATGTAGTGCGTCAATGGCAGCCTGCAGGAGGGGCTGATCGCTGTCCTCTTCGCGCTTCACGCCGTCAGCTAGCTACCTAGGTTAGCTCCTGCAATCGGATGGAATACTTCTGACCTATCAGGAAGTATTTGCATATCCAATGATGGGTCATCCTCGTATGCCGATGTAGAGGGACGACGGAGGGAGCGGGCAGCAGGAGCGCCAGCCGGTCATGTCATGTCCAACCTCTGCCACTAGGTACGACTTCTTCACCTCCATGATTTCGGTCATCCTTCTAAGGATATCCCACACGGAGATAGAACCGGAAATGGCCTGACATGTCCACGGTTTCAACGAGTAAGACAAGAAGGAAGGAAGAAGCGAAAACAATGCCATGTCATGTCACCCGTCCGGAGTAAATTTCCTCGTATCTCCTCCAGCTCGTGACTCGCGACTCTCGTACTCTGACTAAGTCATGTACTGTAACTAGTTACTTAGAATATGCTGCTAACGATCCTGGAGTAAGATGTACCCGGAGACACGAAAAGTACGGAGTACTACATAAGTAGTAATTCAAAGCTGAAGAAGCCTCGTCGGTGTGGTTCATTTGGCTTCGCCACTGCCGCAATTAGACTCCCACAACGTGCTTCTCACTTCATCTACTAGTGCAACTAAAGCAGAAGTGCGATTATCTTCGTCATTACTAGGACTAGTAGTAGGTCGTTTTTTTCCTTTTCTTTTTCGGATGTAAACTCTATGTTTCCCGTCGAGCGTACTATGTACTAGTAAACGGGCCGTGCCGTTTTGCATACTGTAAAGACGGCCGGAGAGAATCTATAATTAAAACTCTAAAAGAACAGAACTTTATACCCATTTTTATATCAAATAGATTTAATTAGGATAAATGTATAGAGAAAAAATATATATATGTATGTATATATCTATGAATGATTAGATGATATTTATTGATATTCACATTGAAATAGGGTTTTATGGTGAACGGGTCTCCTCACAGAGTAACTGGTAACAGTAACTCAGATCTGAATATATATATATATATATATATATATTTGCATTTCCTCCAACTGATCAACTGCTCCAAGCACCGTATTCTTGAAAACTATACTTTTATTCCATTATAGTTCAAGTTGCTAGGCCACGAAAAGCGCCACGATATCGCCAGTCCAACCGGGAGGGTTGCCTTGGGTTGCCCTCGGGGGGTGGACGCCACCTTTTACTCCATTGAAATCGCCGATGTGACTCGGGTTCGACGTGCATATATCGCTGAGGAGTGACAATGGTGATGATGCCATCCCCGTAGATTTTCTTCTCTTGGGATCCTTACCTACCTGACCCTGCCCTGGGGTTGTGTTGGGCGTCTGGGCCAACGCTGTAGCATCTATATAATGATTTGAGACGATTCCTTGCCCGCTGATAGATCAGATTTTGTTCCATAGCACGAGCAAGTGGATTCCGCACCTGGGGGCTTGCATTTTCCAAATAGATATAGGAATGATATACCTTTGTCTTGTTCTTCCCACCGAGAATCTGGAAATGTAGATAGATAGATAGGTAAACTCTCACCGCTTCATAGGTTACCTACAGATCTCGTACACAGTCAGTCCGATGTCTATGTAATGAGTCACGCCGGGGAAAGGATCTCAGAGGTGTTACATGGGTCAGGGATTGAGTTCCTGAGTCGTCTTTATGGGGTGCGCGTGTGTAATATTTAGGATGTGATTATTTGAATTGCACTTCCTCCAGGCTGCCCAGTCGAGTCTCCTTCCCGATTGAGCTATATACAGACAGCGTAAGTAAAAGCGACAGTACTACTAGTAGTTACTAGGTAATGTCCCGGATCTGGGGCACATAACAAGAGTAAAGGGAAAAAGGATAACGGTATGCCCGTCAAAAGAAATAAGCATGTACATAAAACCATACCTTACGACGAACCTCTACCTAGACACCTTTTTCTCAGGCCCTCGACTGCACACTTTGTTGAAGCGGGGAGAGTTACTTAACAGTACTGACAGAGATGCCATGTCCTCTTACGCATAATAATAGTAGGGTGTTCTAGTCTCTACTACTACGCCTCAAGGAGCTGCAGAATTCTAAGACCAACCCACACTAGAAACTGGGAACCCCCGGATTCACTAGGAGTATCAAGGTAAGACCAAGGAACGGAGTATGAAAAGGAATATGAAATAAAACCACGGAATCCCGGAAATCCGGCGTAGAGACTCCTCCTCTTCCTAACGGAGTTGAACACCGTGGAGGATCATCATCACCTACTGCTGTACCATCATATGGTATGCATAACTATAATTTATCAGCTTTTTTGCCGAAAAGTTGGCCGTGACACTTGATACCGACCGATCCAACTTGCTCGAGTCGTACCTCCATACTAGGTACTACTAACTACTATACTCCGCATACAGACTTTGGACTGTATGTATAAGGTGGCGGCGGTCTTTGAATTTGCCAAAGAAACCTCCCTCCCCCCCCCTTCCCCCCCGGGGAGGGAAAATAATAATCTGGAGAGCTCTAGCTGACGATGAACCTGTTTCGGACAATAGAAGAAGCCTTCATTTGCTACTTTAGTTATCCCTGCACAGCCTTTTCCTTTCCTTTCCTTTCCTTTCCTTTCCTTTTTTTTCCCTTCCAGTTAATCACCAACACTGTTGTCTCGTATTCTGATGCTTTAATTATCTTTCTACAGAGTATGTACCGGGGGGGGGGGTTCTTTCCTGACCACGCATATGAGAAACGAGGAAATCTGATTCGTAATGCTATCTATCTGTATCTATGTATATGTGCCTTGGTGTGTGGGTGTGTCTTGGATTGTTCATTTTTTTTTTGTCACCGGTGGCATCTTTCTTTCCTTTCCTTTTTTTTTTTTTTGCTTGCTGTATTTTTCCGTTCCGTATTTACGATATTCGGTACTTTTTTTTGGCGATATGCCTGCTACGAGAGCAGCTAGGTAAGGCGTGTGTTAGCATATTCTGGCTACCTCTTTGTACTTTTGTAGGTGAGAATAGGTAGGACTATATTTGGGTGCTGACTGGTATGAAGTATGGAGCACGGTGGGTTCTTGGCATGGCATGGCTGAGGGGATGGTATTTTTTTTTTTTTTTTTTTTTTTTGCCTCACGAGGATTTTAGGTTGGAGCTGGGGTGAAGAAGATACGCAGGGTATCTGGGAAGTGGGTAGATGGGTTTCATGTGGTGGATTGCAATCGTGTGTCTACCTAATCTGATTGTTTCCAATGCGTGATTGCTTGCTGGTTGTTATAAAATGTCGCAACTGCTGCGAGCGCCAGGCCCTGCTCACATACGAGGCCGGATATTCGATATAGGTAAAAGACGAAGTGGGAACGTAAAGAACACGAGTGTCATGAAGAAGGAATTTCATTGAAAAGCTACGACATCGTCGCGCCAGCCGTTCTGATCACTGTAAAGAGAACCATACCCAGCGAATTTTATTTTTCCATATTTGTTTTCCACTAAACACAAAACACCGAGCTTTATATCCAACTCCTAATTTAGCGCTTAGCAGCCTTCTCCTGAGACTCCTTGAGGACCTTCTTGACGATCTTCTGCTCCTCAATCAGGAAAGCACGAACGATGCGGTCCTTGACGCAGCCAGCGCAGCGGGAACCACCGTAGGCACGGCTGACATTCTTCTTGGGGCGGGAGATCTGGGAGTATTCCCGGGGGCGGAGAGCGGGAATCTGCAAGGAAAAAAAAAATCCCATCAGTTATTTGGTTCACTTTTGAGCGGGATAGCAAAATTTTTTTCTTCGTCCCCTCGCTTCGTCGTTCTGTCCGCACAACCACCACCATTCACAACTGAAAAGGAGGAAAACTCGGGAAACTCACGCCAGGGAGCTTGATGCCGCAGTCACCGCACTTAGGAGCAGTTCCCTGCTTCTTGATGTGGAGGTATCGCAGCTCACCACCGGGGGTCTTGACGATGCGGACCTTGTTGGACCGTGTGTTGTACCTGTTCACAAAATTCCATCAATATCCTGATCATGTAGATTTTGATTAAAAGAGCGCATTTCATTCCAGACAAGTCGCATATAGCATCACTGAATCGTAGAGGCAGATAACGACTGTCGGAAAGATGGAGGCACAAGGGAAGGAAATTTTGAGCACGTACGGGTTCCGGCGGCGCTGTGGAAAGAGAGAAAAAAAATAAGTTAGTATTTCATATTCATCATGTTGACGATAAAAAAAATATTGATGTAGACTCACGTATTGCAATCTGTTGTTCGCCATTGTGACTGTCCTTGAACCTCTGTAGCGTTGGTCAAGAAGATGGCGTCGTCGTCGGTTGTCGTCGTTAAACCTCGAAGAATTCTGGCAGTCGTCTGGATTTGTGTGGGTTTCTTTCGGAGCCCTGGGAGGTCGCGCTAGCGCAAATTTGGCGAGAACACACTAACCTCAATACGGACTAGTACAATATGGACAGAGCCGCCACCTCTTTGCAAGCTTGACTTGTGAGCAAAGGAGCAGAGATCTGAGAAAGACCGTCTTCCATCATCCGTCGCGAGAAGGGGATCGTCCAGGAGTTGGGTTATTCTTTCTTCAGGACCTTGGTTTCATCCTCCGACGCGATTTGTTCACCTTTTTTTTCTTTCTTTCTTTCTGACCTTGATACCCTGGCTGATGACTTGGCTGTCGGCCAGGATCTTTTTTTTCGTGACGTGATTTTTTGACGCGACTAGCCAGCTACGTCCATTCGGGAAGACTGCTGTTTTCTTCCATCAATACTCAGCACAATGGCATCGCTGCCTCCTCCTCCACCGCCCGGTTGGGGTGCGTCGGCGCCGCCTTCGCTGCCCATGGCTCCTCCGCCGCCAGGATACCAACCCCCAGCTGACCCGACCGTCGCAAAGTTCGCGCAAAAGAAGACTGAATGGCTGCGAACGCAACGGAATCGGTTTGGAGAGAAGAGGAAGGGTGGTTTTGTCGAGACGCAGAAGGTCGACATGCCCCCAGAGCATCTGCGAAAGATTGTCAGGGATATCGGTGATGTATCGCAGAAAAAGTTCAGCAACGAGAAACGCAGCTATCTGGGTGCTCTCAAGTTCATGCCCCATGCGGTTTTGAAGCTGTTGGAGAACATGCCCATGCCGTGGGAGTCTACCAGGGAAGTGAAAGTCTTATACCATGTGAACGGTTGCTTGACTTTGGTCAATGAGACTCCAAGGGTTGTTGAGCCCATTTTCCACGCCCAGTGGGCAACGATGTGGGTGTGTATGCGAAGAGAGAAGAGCGACCGACGGCACTTTAAGCGAATGCGATTTCCTCCCTTCGATGACGAGGAGCCGCCCCTCTCCTGGTCGGAGAATATCGAAGATGTCGAACCTTTGGAACCCATTCAGATGGAGCTCGATGAGTCTGAAGACGCCCCGGTCTATGAATGGTTTTACGACCATCGACCACTTCTTGATACATCACATGTGAACGGTCCAAGCTATAGGAAATGGAACTTGACGCTTCCGCAAATGGCAACCCTCTACCGCTTGAGTCACCAGCTGCTGAGTGATGTCGTCGACCAGAACTATTTCCACATGTTCGACCTGAACAGTTTCTTTACCGCCAAAGCACTAAACGTCGCCATTCCTGGCGGTCCTCGCTTCGAGCCTTTGTATAAAGATATCGATCCTAACGATGAAGATTTCAGCGAGTTCAACGCTATTGACCGCATCATTTTCCGCGCACCTATCCGAACCGAATACCGAGTTGCATTCCCCTTTTTGTACAATACCCTCCCAAGAAGCGTTAAGATTTCTTGGTACTCTCACCCCCAAGTTGTATATGTCCCAACAAGCGATCCTAACCTCCCCGCCTTCTACTTCGACCCCGCAATCAACCCTATCTCTTCCCGCTCCGTTGCCCCCAAGAATGTCACTGTCAGCCTTGAGGATGAGGTTTTCGGATATGGAAACAATGAAGATGACTTTGAACTTCCTGGGGACGTGGAGCCTTTTTTCAATGATGAGGAACTTTACACACCGGATACTGCTTCGGCTATCTCTCTTTGGTGGGCTCCTCATCCGTTCAACAAGCGCTCTGGAAAGATGATCCGTGCGCAGGATGTGCCGCTGGTGAAGCAATGGTACTTAGAACACTGCCCTCAAGGCCAGCCTGTCAAAGTGCGCGTGTCTTACCAGAAGCTTCTTAAGACTTACGTGCTCAACGAGTTGCACAAGAAGAAGCCCAAGGCTCAGAATAAGCAAGATTTGCTGAAGACGTTGAAGTCGACAAAGTTCTTCCAGCAGACAACTATCGACTGGGTTGAGGCTGGTCTGCAAGTGTGCCGTCAAGGTTTCAACATGCTGAATCTTCTGATCCATCGCAAGAACTTGACCTACTTGCATTTGGATTACAACTTCAATCTGAAGCCGGTTAAGACCTTGACGACCAAAGAGCGAAAGAAGTCCCGTTTTGGAAATGCTTTCCACCTTATGCGAGAAATTTTGCGTCTCACCAAACTAATTGTCGACGCTCAAGTTCAATATCGCCTGGGCAACATCGATGCCTTCCAGCTTGCTGATGGTATTCTCTATGCGTTCAACCATGTCGGACAGCTGACCGGTATGTATCGCTACAAGTATAAATTGATGCACCAGATTCGGTCTTGTAAAGATCTGAAACATTTGATCTACTACCGCTTCAACTCTGGACCAGTCGGTAAAGGCCCTGGTTGTGGTTTCTGGGCGCCAGCATGGCGTGTCTGGTTATTCTTCATGCGCGGTATCATTCCTCTCCTCGAGAGATGGCTTGGGAACTTGCTCTCTCGTCAGTTTGAAGGTCGCCACAGCAAGGGAGTTGCCAAGACGGTCACTAAGCAGCGCGTGGAATCTCATTTTGATCTGGAACTGCGTGCTTCCGTTATGGCGGATTTGATGGATATGATGCCTGAAGGCATCAAACAGAACAAAGTTAACACTGTCCTCCAGCATTTGTCGGAAGCCTGGAGATGTTGGAAGAGCAATATTCCTTGGAAGGTTCCTGGTCTCCCTGCACCTATTGAAAACATCATTCTTCGCTATGTCAAGAGCAAGGCGGACTGGTGGATTTCTGTTGCACACTACAATCGTGAAAGAATTCGCCGTGGTGCCACAGTCGACAAGACCGTGGCCAAGAAGAATCTTGGTCGTCTGACTCGTCTGTGGCTTAAGTCTGAGCAAGAGCGTCAGCACAACTATCTGAAGGACGGACCGTATGTGTCGTCTGAAGAAGCTGTGGCCATCTATACCACAATGGTACACTGGCTTGAGTCACGCAAGTTCTCACCAATTCCCTTCCCTAGTGTTTCTTATAAGCACGACACTAAGATTTTGATTCTCGCTTTGGAACGTCTGCGTGAATCGTACTCTGTCAAAGGTAGACTTAACCAGAGCCAGCGTGAAGAATTGGCTCTTATTGAGCAGGCATATGACTCCCCCGGAACGACACTCGCTAGAATCAAGCGTTTCCTTCTGACTCAACGCGCATTCAAGGAGGTTGGAATCGATATGAACGACAACTACAACAACATCAACCCAGTGTACGATGTCGAGCCCATTGAAAAGATTACCGATGCCTACCTCGATCAATATCTTTGGTACCAGGCTGAGCAGCGCCACCTCTTCCCCGCCTGGATCAAGCCATCTGATTCCGAAGTCCCTCCTCTCTTGACCTATAAGTGGGCTCAAGGTATTAACAACCTATCCAACGTGTGGGAGACAGCTGATGGCGAAACGAACGTGATGATTGAAACGGAGCTTTCTAAGGTCTACGAGAAGATTGATCTTACATTGTTGAACCGACTGCTCCGCTTGATCATGGACCACAACTTGGCGGACTACATCACCTCCAAGAACAACGTGCAGCTTAGCTACAAGGATATGAACCACACAAATAGTTATGGGTTGATTCGAGGTCTTCAGTTCTCCGGCTTCGTGTTCCAGTACTATGGCTTGATGATCGACTTGTTGCTTCTTGGTTTGCAGAGAGCCAGTGAAATGGCTGGCCCTCCCCAAAGCCCGAATGACTTTTTGCAGTTCAGGGACCGTGCGACCGAGACTAGACATCCTATCCGTCTGTACACTCGCTACGTTGACAAGATTTGGGTCTTCTTCCGGTTCAATGCGGACGAATCTCGTGACCTGATCCAGCGGTTCTTAACTGAAAACCCGGACCCCAACTTCGAGAATGTGATCGGTTATAAGAATAAAAAATGCTGGCCTCGCGACTGCCGCATGCGCTTGATGCGTCATGATGTCAATCTGGGTCGTGCCGTTTTCTGGGATCTCAAGAATCGTCTGCCTAGATCTATCACCACCATCGACTGGGATGATACCTTTTCCAGCGTTTATAGCAAGGATAACCCTAACCTTTTGTTCTCTATGTCTGGATTTGAGGTTCGGATTCTTCCCAAGAGTCGCAACCAGAACGAAGAGTTTTCAGTGAAGGATAGTGTTTGGTCTCTGGTTGACAACTCAACAAAGGAGCGAACAGCCCATGCGTTCCTGCAAGTGACCGAGGAGGATATCCAGAAGTTCAACAACCGCATTCGACAGATCCTCATGTCGTCTGGCTCGACCACTTTCACCAAAATTGCCAACAAGTGGAACACTGCGCTGATTGCGCTCTTCACATACTACCGTGAAGCTGCTGTTTCCACTGTCAATCTCTTGGACACCATCGTGAAGTGTGAGACCAAGATTCAGACTCGAGTCAAGATCGGATTGAACTCCAAGATGCCGTCTCGTTTCCCCCCCGCTGTCTTCTATACCCCCAAGGAGCTAGGTGGTTTGGGTATGATTTCCGGCTCACATATCCTTATCCCTGCTAGCGATAAGCGGTGGTCGAAGCAAACAGACACAGGAATCACCCATTTCCGATCGGGTATGTCTCACGATGAGGAGACCCTGATTCCGAATATCTTCCGTTACATCATTCCCTGGGAAGCCGAATTCATCGACTCCCAGCGAGTGTGGATGGAGTATTCCCAGAAGCGCCAGGAGGCCCAGCAACAAAATCGTCGTCTTACCCTAGAGGACTTGGAGGACAGCTGGGACCGGGGTCTGCCTCGTATCAACACACTTTTCCAGAAGGATCGTAGTACACTCAGCTTCGACAAAGGTTTCCGTCTTCGTGCCGAGTTCAAGCAGTACCAGCTCATGAAGAGTAATCCCTTCTGGTGGACTAGCCAACGACATGATGGCAAGCTGTGGAACTTGAATGCTTACCGTACGGACGTTATCCAGGCACTTGGTGGTGTTGAAACTATTCTCGAACATACCCTGTTTAAAGCAACTGCTTTCCCATCATGGGAAGGTCTATTCTGGGAAAGAGCATGTCTTGCTAAGGGAACACGGCTGCTGTTATACGATGGTAGCGAAATTGAGGTCCAGGATGTCCGAGAGGGAGATTTACTTCTTGGTCCTGACGGCGGTCCTCGTCGCGCTTTCAACATCGTGAATGGCAAAGACCGTCTCTATCGCATTAAAATCGGCGCGGACAAAGAGGATCTTGTAGTGACGCCAAACCATATACTCGTTCTTCACCGGGAAAAGAGCGCATCAGAACCATCAGAAAGCTATGACACCGTGGAAATGACTGCCGAAGAGTTCGCTGCCCTCAGTCCTGAAGAACTGAGTCGGTATCGACTATTCAGATCTCCTAGCTTTGACTTGCCCGAACAAGGCGTTGAGCAGTTGACGCCCCAAGCTCACAGGTTTACGATCAAAGACATTTCCCTCGAAAACGAGACTACGGAGTGGGCCGGTTTTAGAGTCGACAAAGATCAACTTTACCTACGGCACGATTACCTTGTTTTACATAACAGTGGTTTTGAAGACTCTATGAAATTTAAGAAGCTCACGAATGCCCAGAGGTCTGGTTTGAACCAAATTCCTAACCGTCGATTCACTTTGTGGTGGTCGCCAACAATCAACCGTGCGAACGTTTATGTTGGTTTCCAGGTGCAATTGGATCTTACTGGTATCTTCTTGCACGGAAAGATTCCCACCTTGAAGATCTCTTTAATTCAGATCTTCCGTGCTCACTTGTGGCAAAAGATTCACGAGTCTGTTGTCATGGATTTATGTCAGGTCTTCGACCAGGAGCTTGAGCAGCTGGGTATTGAGGCTGTCCAGAAGGAGACTATTCACCCGCGTAAATCATACAAGATGAATAGCTCGTGCGCGGATATTCTCCTCTTTTCTAATAACAAGTGGAATGTGACCCGGCCCTCTCTCTTATTCGATACCAAGGACGTGTATGAGCCCACTACGACAAACAAATTCTGGCTCGATGTGCAGCTACGATACGGTGATTACGATTCTCACGACATTGAACGATATGTCCGTGCTAAGTACCTGGACTACACAACGGACAGCATGAGTATCTATCCATCTGCAACGGGTCTGATGGTTGGAATTGACCTTGCTTACAACCTCTACTCGGCGTACGGCCAGTACTTCCCTGGGTTGAAGACCTTGATTCAGCAAGCGATGGCGAAGGTGATGAAGGCCAACCCTGCTCTGTATGTATTGAGAGAACGTATCCGCAAGGGTCTGCAGCTCTACGCCTCTGAGAGCAACCAGGAGTTCCTCAACTCACAGAACTACTCGGAGCTCTTTAGCCCTCAGATCCAGTTGTTCATTGATGATACAAACGTCTACCGTGTCACTATTCACAAAACCTTCGAGGGTAACTTGACCACCAAGCCCATCAACGGCGCTATCTTCATCTTCAACCCCAGAACCGGACAGCTGTTTTTGAAGATCATCCATACTAGTGTCTGGGCTGGCCAGAAGCGTCTGGGTCAGCTGGCTAAGTGGAAAACTGCGGAAGAAGTAGCGGCGCTCATTCGATCCCTGCCAGTCGAAGAACAGCCCAAACAACTTATCGTCACCCGTAAAGGTCTGCTTGATCCTCTTGAAGTTCACCTTCTGGATTTTCCCAACATTTCTATCCGTGCTTCGGAACTTCAGCTACCCTTCCAGGCTGCTATGAAGGTTGAGAAGTTGGCCGACATAATACTCCGTGCGACAGAGCCCCAGATGGTCCTTTTCAACCTCTATGATGAATGGCTGAAGACGATCTCGCCTTACACCGCCTTCTCCCGTTTAATTTTGATACTCCGTGCTCTTCACGTTAACATCGACAAGGCCAAGATCATCCTCCGTCCGGATAAGAGCGTTATCACCCTTGAACATCACATCTGGCCCTCGCTGTCTGATGAAGATTGGATGAAGGTTGAAGTGCAGTTACGTGATTTGATTCTAAATGATTATGGCAAGAAGAACAATGTCAACGTTCAGAGTTTGACTAGCAGTGAGGTTCGAGATATCATTCTGGGCATGGAAATTAGTGCACCTTCGCTCCAGCGACAACAGGCAGCGGAGATCGAAAAGCAGCAGGAGGAACAGAAGCAACTCACAGCTGTGACAACGAAGACACAAAACGTGCGTGGTGAAGATATTATTGTCACCACCACGTCTCAGTATGAACAACAGTCGTTCGCATCTAAGACTGAATGGCGTACCCGGGCGATTGCGACATCTAATCTCCGGACGAGATCAAACAATATCTACATTTCTTCGGACGATATTCGAGATGAGGGTTACACGTACATTATGCCTAAGAACATCCTCAAGCGATTCATCATGATTGCCGATCTTCGGGTGCAAGTGGCAGGATACCTATACGGAAGCTCACCGCCGGATAACGATCAGGTGAAGGAGATTCGAACCATTGTAATGATCCCCCAGGTCGGTAATACTCGCGAGGTGCAACTACCACAACAGCTCCCACAGCATGATTACCTAAACAACCTCGAGCCCTTGGGTGTGATCCATACTATCTCCGGAAATGAGCCGCCGTACATGACGGCGATGGATGTGACTCAGCATTCCCGCTTGATGAATGCTCATCCATCGTGGGATAAGAAGACGGTCACCATGACCGTGTCCTTTACACCAGGATCCGTCTCTCTCGCCGCATGGGGACTGACGCCCCAGGGTTACAAGTGGGGAGCTGAGAACCGGGATACTACTTCTGACCAGCCGCAAGGATTCTCGACCAGCATGGGTGAGAAATGCCAATTACTCCTGAGTGACAAAATCCGTGGATATTTCCTCGTCCCCGAGGACAGTGTGTGGAACTACAGCTTCATGGGAAGCGCGTATGGAAGTGTTGAGAAACGGCCGGTGTATGTCAAGATTGACACGCCTCTACGGTTCTACGATGATCAACACCGCCCACTGCACTTCCAGAACTTTGCAGAATTGGAAGATATCTGGGTTGATCGATCTGATAACTTTGCTTAAGCGAGAACAGCTGCGGGCGTTGGGTTGTTTATGTTTTTTTTCCCCCTCTCTTCTTCTTTTTGTCTTCCCCCTTTAATCAGCAGTAATGTTGCAAAAAATCTTTGTCTAGCATTTGTTTTAAGATGACGATATTCCCAAAGTTGTATTATGGACGCAGGAATGATGTCGTACCTGGTAGCTGCGTGCTGCATTACTATGAAGATGGAAACACATGGTTATTAGGTATTATCTGTACGGAGTATGTATAGTACTACTAGTTTTAGATATTGTCAGTTAATTCATCCATTGACCAACCATTGGGTAGGATACTGATCCTCATATGAGGAGGAGCTCTTCGCAGCCCCGTAAATGAAAAGCTACCTAGGTAAGATGAAGGAGGCAAGAATCAACACCAAATGGCAAACGCTGCTGCGTCGAGTTTTTAGTGGGGAATTTTCCCTCACTATTAACGGCTCCCGACAGCGGCGGCTCTTTTTCTCCCTCTTCATTTCATCTACACTCCTCCTTCTCCTCTTCTTTTCTTTCCCATCCTCGTTCTTCACTTACTCTTTCGAGCAACAACTTACCCGCCGTTGTTTCCGGTCTTATCCGATGGGTTCTTCTCCTAGTACCCAATTTGAGCAGGGCTTGCTCTGAATCCCTGACGATCGGGCCTGCTTCATTTTCTTCTTTCAGCCAACCATAATGACGTGGGGGTGTGATTGTTTCACCATTGCTTCACTGTTATCGACTTAACTTCGGAACGAAACTTAAAAGCGAGATGGGGGAAAAAAAAATGGGCGTGCAACAGAAAGGGAAAGGAATGAAGGGTAAATTTGGGAAAAGGTGGATGATTACTTGCATGGACTGTATCTCTACAAGATACCGTGATGGTTTACATTTCGAAAGTCTCTACGGAGTAGACCTTCAATAACGATATAGGTTTATCCTGTCTTGTCTTCGAGATACGATCTCCTGATGTTCATTGTCGGCGCTACTTGGCCAACTTGGGCTTGGGCTTACGGAGTACGTATAAGCCTCCTTCTCGTTGTCCACCTGCATCTCTTGCTCGCCCTTGGGTGGAAATGAGGGTGGTGATACACTTTAGGTTACTGTGCTCCGTACGTCCCAGTCTTTGACTAGTCAGAAAAGAAGGATAGGGCGGTGCTCGAGCAACCCATCTTCTTATCGTTTCCTGCCACAACTGCTGCTTTTGCATACTCGGGCGCTAACCTCTGCTGTCTGTTGCTCTGACCGTTTCCCGGCCTCATCAAGGAGGATTCTATTTTTTTTTTTTTTAAACCCCAAGGCATCGCGCGATTAAACGTTGACCGAGGCTCAGGCAGAGGGCCAGTTACCCAAATGGAAAATTTACAGTAGCGAAGTGGTTGGGTGGCATGGCATGGCTTCCCTGTCAAGTCTTCAGGGGAAAAAAAAAAAGAAAAAAACAAAAAAAAGTAGGAAAAATTATTTATGATTGTCGAAATAGGGCAAAAGACCGGGGGTGGTTGTTGGACTCTCCCATTACGATGTGCCATGCGCGATATCGTTGACGGAACCACACAACGGCGTTCCCTAGCCCTTCAGCTACCATCTCGATAAGTTGGGTACGCACTCGGGAGTCGGTAGTCACCTCTGCGACGACCTCCTCATGGTTTTGGAGTTCCCCCGTCCAACCCAGGACCGATGCGTCGCCCGAAACTCCTTGAGGTAAGAGGGGGCAAGGCTGGAACTTGCCTCGCAACATGGATGCTTTCCCCCTCCCCCCCCAAAAGAGCAACTAAGTCTTGCACCCTCCGCTAGTAGTCCTAATTGCCCCCCCTCCCGTCGTGGATGTTTCGCCGACAAGTACTTCCGATTAGCCACTCCTAGCATCTCTGCTTGGTGGAGTTGTTGTGACGACGTACGACAGGCCCTTGTCCTGACAGGGGTGAGATTCCTGAGCTAGTTAAAGCACGCCCAGCCGCAGGTTTGATTCCCTTACTCCGAAATCCACCAGCCTGCTCATCCACGTTCGTATCCAATAAGTTAACTTTAGATTATGTTAGGCTTGCGTATGAATTGGGCTGGATCTCCCCCGCTTTCCTGTTGATCGCGAATTGTGTCAAAGAAAATCTGGCCCAGGGAGATGCCCTCTGATACTCTTTTCTCCTGCTGAGCGTTTCAACCTGCAGCCTTTAATTTTTATTTTTTTATTCCACGGCTGCCATGCCTCGGCGTTTATCCACCGGAGGAGGGTAGGCTGGATGTGATTCTGAGAAATCACCACTTTTGGTGGCATCCTAGACCGTTGTCTACTCTGGTCCTCTTTACAAGCTAAGCTTGACCAGAACGCAGATCCGTCAAATGGGCGATTTGTCCTTCTTTATCCACCTGCAACTCACTGGTTCTGGCGATGTACCTCCTTCAAGTCTCGCCCATACCCTGAATACTTTGTCGCTTTCCAGAACCTTTCCTCTCCAGTCTTTGGCTGTTGACGGGCCCATGTCTAAACCGGCGGAGGGACTTTGACTCTATGCAGCACAATATATCCTGACCCTGGCTTGACCTCTTCTCTTTTGCGTTTTCCCTTTTCATCTTGTTTCCCCCCTTTCGCCTGTCCCTTTCCCCATCAACTCTGCATTTTTCTCAAGCAACGGGGAATACGGGTAGCAAGCCGTTTGGATAATTCGATCTGCTGGTTTTTGCGGATCAAGAAAGCGAACCCAGCCCTTCCCGCTCCGATCTGGCTAATTCGGACTCCATTTGGGGTGGGTGCATCCTTCACCTTGTGAAGAATACTGTGAGTATTTTTGGAACTTGAAAAGTCCGTCGCAAACCCCGGTAAGTACAAACTATCCCTAACGTTTGCGCAGACTCTTTGTTTTCTCCCTTCTTCCTCTTCTTCCTCTTCTTCCTCCTCCTCTCCTTCTTTCCCTCTCCCTCCCTCATCTTCTCCACACATCTCTTCTCCCGCCCTCGCCTTATATTAGGGTAACTGGAGCGTGTGTTGTTGCCTTCAGATGAATTCCTGCCTCTCGTTTTTGTTCTTTATCATTTCGAATCCGTGATCCCGTTTATTATCGGTCCAATTACCTTATTGCGATATTGTACCTCTTCTGGGGGGTTTTTTTTTTTTCAATTTTCTTCTAACGTTGAGGTAGAGTCGTGAGTGCCGTCTTGATTTGGGCTAAAAACGAGTCCGGGGTGCTTCAGGTTTTGGTCCAGTACATGGCGGTCGCAGCCCATCGATCATCATTCTGACCACGACACGACACGACGAGACAGCAACATCGTTTAGATTCAACCCCCCAGAGAATATCGGCGTCATATATATTCCCTCGTTTTAGGCTCCCTCAAGAAACATCGCTATTGACATATATTCGTCACATTTTGTTCAAACCCATCTCGATAGTAGCTCGGTAGCCTGCCAGGGCTTCTACGCTCTATCAGTACCGATGTATGTCCGCGACGCTGGCGGATCCGTATCGAGACTATGCCATTGATTACTCTCAACATGCTAGCTGCAAACCTGAGGAACATGAAGGCACGCTCGTCTACCATTCACAGCAACCACATATTCAACACCCGAAACACACGGACACTCCTTTTGCTCAAGGAAATTCGCACGGCACGGCATTTGAGCAGCATCATGCAAATGCGACCGTACTCCCGGCCGCGACACCCCAGCCACCAGTCCATGATATCTCGCAAACTGTTGTCCTCAACCAGACTCAAATGCTCCCACGCCAGCTTCCGGTGCAGTACCCGACTGCCAACTTCGACCTCTCATCATCTGTTCAGCGTGGCAAGAAGAGACCGCATTCCGAAACCGAGCCAGAGGGTGGTAACACAGATCATGGGATCAGGCAGTTACCAGTCCTTCCACCAGATGCAACTTCTGAACCGACCCATTCCCCTGAAATACTCTTTGGAGTGCATGGTGAGCCATCCCAGCATCATCCGATGCAAAGCCACAGTTTCGGACCAGCCGATTCCATGGCCCTCCCCCAACATCACCACCACCACCATCTCCCCCCTCATGCGTCGCTTCGGGCAACGGAACGTCACGGCATGAATGTCGAGTCATCGCCTCTGCCCTCTGGTCCCCCGAGTGTCGTGGGCCAACCGGGGATGCCTGACCCGGCTCCTCGTCCGCGGGGCCCCAAACTAAAGTTTACCCCGGAGGAAGATGCTTTATTAGTGGAATTGAAAGAAAATAAAAATTTAACGTGGAAGCAAATTGCCGACTTTTTTCCTGGTCGAACGAGTGGTACCTTGCAGGTTCGTTACTGCACCAAATTGAAAGCCAAGGACGTGGCTTGGAGTGACGAAATGGTAAGAGATATGATTCTATGTTATACTACACGCGCACTCAATCGTCCAGTTTCCCCGGCAAAGCTCAATTATACTAACCCAATGGATAGGTGCAACGGCTGCAACGCGCTATGCAGGAATACGAAAATGATCGCTGGCGTATCATTGCGGGAAAAGTTGGCAATGGCTTCACACCAGCAGCTTGTCGAGAGAAGGCAACTCAGCTCTAAAGGGAGTTGGTTGTAATGGATGAAGTTACGGAATTTTCATGGATGGATACGGACTTTGCTCATTTCCCACATTACTATTTTCTCTTTTTCTTTTCCTTTCCCCTCTTCCATTCCCTTCTTACCATTCTTCTTCCCTCTTGTTCACTTCTTATTTATTTATTTTTTTTTCAACCCCTTTGACCTACTTTCCTTGGCAGGTTGTACAAAGGGGTATTTTGGAGAACATGGGTGCTTTACTAGTGATAGCTCTAGACCGGACGGCTGATGTAAGGTAATTGTATGATATATCTATTAGCCCGTGAAAAAGCTGACTGTCATGAGCTGGTACTCTCATCGAGGGCGCTGGGTAAAATCCAGCGATTACCCTAGTTAGGAGTAAAATGGTAGAGCATAAACTGCGCAAACGATAGTTATGGTATGGTATGATCGACCTGGAACACGTGCACATGACATGGCCTGATATCCGGAACCCCCCTCGAAGCCCTAAGCCCTATGTAGCTGCCCGAATCAGGCAATATGCCAAACGGGTCTTTCCGGGAGGCCGTAATAGCTCTACAGCCAATCACAAGTCACGGATGACTAAGGCGGTGGCCGCTCCAGCGTCAGACCACGGGCCGAAGCGGCTTCAAACTCACCTCAACCTCGAAACTCCCTCTCTGCCTGACCTCCACGCCTTTGTCTGCTGTCATTGTACCCATCTACGCAGGACAATGTTCTTCCAACGCACAGCCATCGCCCTTGCGAGGCGCGCCCCTGCCAGGGCCATCGCCGTCCGCCCATTCTCCTCCTCCATCGTCCGCTGTACGTGAATGGTTCCCCCCAAAGCAAAACCATCAACTAGGATATATGGCGATCATGCCATTCCCTTTACGGACCCAATTGAGCATGGCTGGGCCATGGATTCCTATTAATACATACAGATATTGTCTGGAAGCAAAGGGCTAACATTGTATCTGCGTGTTTCTAGCCAACCAGTCCAAGTGGCAGCCCAAGCAGGAGGGCAAGATCATTCCCTTCGAAGGTCGGTACCTACACTCCCCCGCCTCGTCTTTTTCTCGTCACCTACTGCATATTCTGGAGGGTGTTGCCAGCTGTGCTGGACATTGATGCAAAGGGGGTTGTAATTGGCAGCTCTTTGGCGTGATTGGCGGTTCCCGTCGTTTCGTGCTTATCTTCTATATCCGGGAACTGGCCGACGTAATGTGATATTGGGAAACTGGTTGCTAATTTTTTTTTTATTCGGATAAATAGAAATCAAGACCGAAGATGACTTGTTTGCCCCTGGTGCCAAGTCCGGTACCATCCCTAGCGATCTCGAGCAGTCTACCGGTCTTGAGCGCCTTGAACTTGTCGGAAAGATGCAGGGCATTGATATCTTCGATATGAGACCTCTGGATGCTTCTAGGAAGGGTATGCATTTCTCTCCCTGCGAGGAAAGCATGAAAGGGCGGAGCTTATTAACATTGCAATCTTTAGGAACCCTCGAGAACCCTATCATCGTCAATGGTGCTGGTGACGAGCAGTACGCTGGTTGCACCGGATACCCTGCAGACTCTCACCAGGTCATCTGGCTCACTGTATGTCCAAAAGTCTACTGTTTGTATTTAGAAAATCCTAATCCTCCTCAACTAGGTCTCCCGTGAGCGCCCTGTCGAACGCTGCAGCGAGTGCGGTAACGTCGTCAAGCTGAACTACATTGGTCCCGTTGAGGATGCTCACTCCCGTAAGGCCCCTCCTCTCTCTCCCTCTCTCTCTTTGACTTCCCCCCTGTTCTCTGGTTAGATGAGTGCAGAATGTAGCTGACTTCTATAGACGACCACGACCACGGCCACCACCACCCCCCTCACGAGGAGCCCAAGACCTTCGCCGACTACGTCAAGCCTGAGTACTGGTACCGGTAAATCATCTATGCAAATAGTATGACGACGGTAATGGCATGGTTGCTCCCTCTCTCACCCCCTTTTTTGGGTCCATTTTTCTTGTGCAAAGAAAGTCAGGTTGTCTGTGTCTGTGTGATTGGTTGGCTGGAATGGAATCTAGACAAAGTATCAAAAGTGTAATGCAAAGCTGGGGTGGCTAAATCTGTCCTCAAAACAAAACACTCTTTCACCCAACTTGGCCTGGCCTTCGTTGGCTTGTTGGCAGGCAGTGACAGTTGTTCTGCCATTCGTGCTCTGCTTACATTTCATATGGTTGTATTTTGTTGTTGAATCCTTGCATTGTCTCTGTAGAATAGCTGAAGATGAATGGAGTGGTTCTTTTACTTTGCCCAGTATATATATATATATATATATTTATCTATTTATTTGTGATTATACGGTACTATAGTTCCGTAGCAAGGCGCTCATTGTACCAAGGAGATTACAATATCATAGCCTATGTCCCGGTAAAATTTGCCACTGTATATACCTGGACCCTTTCGGAAGGATCCTTTGTTTCCCCCATCCGCTTAGAAGTACCGACTCTAGAAGACGCAAATCCAGATGTACGACTCTCTTTCAACCCGATGTTACCGACCGAAGCGCGAGAGTTCGAAGTACCGAAGAGGTGGATAAATCAACGCTGCCCATGAGAACCCAACATAGTTACCCATCTAATCACTCAATTAGTCTTGAGAGTCCACAGGCTAATATAAAAACAAGGGAAAGAGGTGTGGGGAAAGAGACGTACGTCAGCTCCATAATCACCGACCAACTTCGCAAGAGGCCCTATATACCAAACCTGAGCCATGCAGAGAATCGCACCGGCCCAACCAACCAAGAACGCTACAAGCGCCGCAATCCCGAGAGGATGCTTGGACGGATCGTCCCACGCAGCCCAGTTATAACCGCTACGGGCACGGAAGATGAATCGTTCCTCGAGAATGATGCCTACCCAGATCGCGACCCAGTAGCCCATTAGGGCAAGGAAATTGGTGAAGATCTCGGCGAGGTGGCTGCGTCCTGCAAGTGCGCAAACAGTGTAGATCACCACACCTAAGGTGTTCCAGACCGCACGGGGTACTTTTTCAGCGTGACGGCCGAGAACTTGGAAGTCAACCCCGGCGGAGTAAGTTGGTGCGACGGCGTTAGCGATTAAACCTAGGGCGGTGATAACGGAGCAGAAGCTGCCAAAGGTGTGGAGAGGGCCAAAGCCCTCGACAATTAAGGCACCTTGGCCGCGGAGGTAGGCGGCGGCATATTCGGGGTGCGCGGTGATTCCGGATGCGAGCCCAATGCCGCATAGGAAGGCGAAAGTGAATGAGATATTTAGGCCCAGGAGAGAGAGGGAGAAGAGCTTAAGCTTAGAGGTGCGCTCGGGGTAGTAAACGAAGAAGTCTGCTGCCAGTGGGGTATAAGTGATTGCAGCACTAACGCAGAGGGAAAAAAATGATAGGCTGAAGGCCGTGTTAGTATGTAAGTATTTTTACAGTGGAATCTAATGTAAAACGTACCGGTTGCCGACTACAGTGCGAGGATCCCCTACAGATACTGTGGACAGATCAAATTTTGAAGAAGACACCCCAAAGAGGATACACATGACAATGAGCTGGGGAAGAAAAGCAAATCTAGTTTTGATCAGCATCTTGTCGTCGGTAGACTTAACGGGAGCATTTACCGTTCATAGTAATGGAATACGCGAATTCCAAAGGTTGCCACAATCCAGCTTATAACAGCGATAATCACGATACCTGTTGCTTAATTAGTGATTAATTGATGGTTCGGAACTCAGATAACCTACCAACAGCCACCGACATACTTCCATTCGATGACACGGCAGACAGGATCTGCCCACAGACCACGCAGTTGATCAAACAGTAGCCGATCATCTGGATGAGGTTTAGGATAACAATGAGTTTGCTAGGCCACCATCCCATCGTATAACGCCCAAACGCCTATTAATTGTTAGAACAAGAAGTTATCACTGGTCGCCTAACACGAACACCACATACCATAGTCCGGATTCCAGAGGCAGGACCCCAGGTTGCCATCCAAGCGGCCGGGGTGGAACCGATGAGGGCTCCAAGAACCGCACAGAGTGACGAGTCCAAGAAGCTAAGCCCGTACACTGCAGGCCCCAGCATGCCCAGTGTAATATTATTGGCGGCTAGATTGATGGACACCCACAGCAAGAAAATCTGTAGATACGAAACCCAGGATAGTCTCGTCATTCGCTCGTGCTCTTGAACCCGTTCGATGCCGCGAGTCTCGAGACTGAAATCAACAAGTTGTTTTTCAAACTTCCTGGTGCATGCGGCTAGCCGTGAAGAGATAAATGAGCGATGGACTGTATCTCCCTCCTCATTTTGCGGCTCATGAAGCATCAGGCCCTCCGAGCGAACCCGGGCCTCCTTCTCCGGTGCTGTGCCTAGAGCAGAGGTCATGTTTTCTGAAGGCATGCTAAAATAGTTTGATTAGCATTGATGTACTAGTTTTATGGGGGAAAGAGTAGAAAAGCGCGCATGAGTTCTTTCGCTGGAATTATCCAGATCAAGTTCAACCGTATAATCTCAGAACGACAACGACGGCCAGGCTGTGACACCCCGTTGTCGAACACCGGTCTCCATGCAGACAGGTTACCTAGATACCTTGATCGATAGACAACTCCACGCTACTCGTTGTCATGACAGCCATCCCTTGTATATAGAGTCGGTGGGGGAGGTGCAGTACACTAGAAGATAAGAACTGCGACCTGTGAATGTCAATGCGGTGCCAAAGTTAGCAATGTTTCTCAACAAGAGCCAGCATTGGGGGGGATTGGGTTTTGTGATTTCACCTGAGAACAGAACGCTGGCGTTGGGTTGACCTTGGAATTACAAGGTCCCTACACTGCATGGTGGGGAATGATAGAAAATTTGGAGGGGTTGTGATGGTTTTTAGCTTGCCGCTCGACGGTTGAACTCTCGTTCCGCCCCAATTAGTGATGCCCATCATCATGCATTACATGGAGGGAATAACTGAGCTCCCTGGTTATTTTCTTGTTGTTTTGGAACAAAGGTATCTACTAGGGGTAAAATAGTCTTAGCAGTGGCCTATTACCAATGGGTCTTGTCATTAATCCTATTACTATACCCAAGCCGCAACCTATGATTGCAAGATATAGAAGGCGAAGAAGAGGAATGACAGGGGAAAAAAAATGCAATCGGCAGATAGAAAGAGATACAAGAAGACAGCCCGTAAAAGAAAAAGAAGAAACAAAACGAACTCCGGTAACCTTTCGCCTAAGACTTCGTAAACTGTGCTGGAAAAATGGGTTACGAGAACGGACACTACAGGCCCGGGAAGATGCATAAAACGTGCACTGGTCGTTACATCATCAATGTCGTCGAATATCTAGAGATCCTTAAAATGTTCTTTCGCATATTGCTCGCACGCCTTGCAGCTGCAGGTTAGAAGTAGTTCCCGAAGTCCGCGTTTGATCAAGTACCTTGGCTGGCTTTCCCACTTTCTGTCCAATGACCTTCCATTTGTTCGCCTCATATTCCTTAATTGCCTCCCGGAGGGCAATGGACTAGGTAAAAATTAGGTACCCTCTACGAGGGGAATTTAGGGTTGAGGATATAAGCTCACCTCATCCTCTGCGAACTCAGCATAGTGCATATCCTAAGCCTCGATATCAGTAAACTGCTCACTTCACAACAATTCTGGGGTAGATCCTACCTTATACCAATGCTTCTTAACACTGCCCTCAGTTCGAGTAGGGAATGTCTGTAACACCATTAGTAAATTGAGAGGAAGGAGACTGGAAGAGGCTAGGACCTCACAAACCTTGGCAATTTCACTCCAGCTGCGGCCAGCATCACGCATCGTCTTCAATCTCTGCTCCTCCTCTGCAGTCCAGGGAGTATTGGTTCGTCCTTTCTTTCTGGGGGTGGTCTCAGGGGCCGCAGCTCCGTGATCATGTGCAGGATCTCCAGGGTTAGCTGTCAAGGGTGCTGCCATTGTTATTGTGGAGCCCTGTGAAGGAGAAGAGCGGCGTTTACGCGGATTCGCTGGGGGGATCTGAGTTGGGGGCATAGGAATGCCCTCGAATGGTGGCACTCTTTGGAAAGGGTGGTGGACTTGTTGAGGTAGAAGATGAGATTGTGCGTTGGTAGGGATAGAGGTCTTGATTCGTTTGGAAGTTGGAGGGGACCTGACGATGGGAGGAAGCGAAGAGAAGAAAAATAGAATCAGTGAGATGGCCGAAACAGGACGAATAGAGATTGCTAGGGTGAGAGTGAAGTTGGATCGGCGATATAGAGGGGAAAGAAAACACAAGATTCAGTCACTTTTGAAATAGTAACCGTACAAGGAACAAGTGAAGGCAAGTTACTTTGCAAGACAATACCCAGAGAGCACATGCTAGTGGAAATATAGAGAGGGTAATTGTGAATCAGAGTGTATATATATATATATATTATATATATATTATATATACATATAAATGTTCTGAGTATCTGCCCCCATCGAGAGATGTGGAGCGCTGGGGATTTCTATGGACTAGGGGAGAACAAGGAGGAACTTACGACATAGTGGACGATGCGCAATTTTCCCAATCACGCTGCGTCAACTCATCTGTAGATACACATGCTTAGGAGATTAGCAAATCTGCCACTCAAGAACGGTCTGCGTAGATTGGCCTGTTAAATCTCGGGAGGCACACTTCTGGTTACACCAAAAAGTGGCAATGACACGGGCGCATCCCACAGCGTGCAAGTAGTGACTGCAGGAGGGGGATGAAAAGGACTAGAGTAAAAGGGTAGTTGGGATGAAAGTGTTACAGGGAGGTATGTAAATAGATGGAGGTGATAGACTTGAGGCAGAGATTTGACGGAAGAAGAGGGGGATTTCTTTCTAGGGGAGCGGGAGGGGAAAGAGGAAGAAGTAGAAAAGGGCGAAGAGGAGGGGAGGAGAGTAGTATGAATAAGAGGGAGGGGAAAGGGGGGAGGTAGCAGAATAAGTATAAACAGGTTTAGGCACAGTCACAAGAAGACCTTTCTAGCGTCTTAGGATACAGAGGCTGAGAATAGTACGGAGGAGTACTGGAGAAACCATGATAAGACGTTCTGGTCAAGACAGACAGAGTGTGAAGAAAGGCTTACTGATTGAAGTTCATGATGAGAGTGAGAAACTGACTATTTTGTGTGAGGTGAGGGGAAGTCGTGTTGTTGTATTCTTGTTTTCTTTTTTTATTCGAAGATTAAAGAGAGAAATAAAAGGGGGGGGGGGGGATAAAATAAATAAGAAGACAATAAATAAAAAAAGATGCACGAGTTCAGGAATCGATACTTTTACACATTTATCATAGGGAAATGATATTATAAAGGATCGATGATGTATGGAGAGTGGATGTAGTATATAGAGTGTCCGGATGGGAAGTCCCCTGGTTTTACTAGAGGAGACGAGGAAAGAAAAAAAGAAACAAACAGAAAGAACAGTAGTTAGTTAATCTTCTGCTAAAGTACTGACAGTTCAAGGCTAAGGTAGGTAGAAAAACACACAATCACCCAATCCCGTCGACTCCGAATGACGCTTGCTTTTTCCTCATCTCCTCAGCAGCATCTTGTCTTGTTTCTGCACACTAACAAGCTGGAAACAAAGGAAAAGGAAAGGGCAGGACGATAACTCCCTTGATTGGATCTAGATGTTTCTCCTTCTGCCCATGTTTTCATCGGCGGATGGATTCTCGAGATCTAGACGTTGGAAGGGATATATCCATCTTGCAACCCATGCCTTTCACCTTTATCAGGCCCTCTTACTGTACCAATCCTGAGTTAAAATAGCTAGCTTAGAGATCAACAGAAGTAATAGAATCCGAACTATTTAATCCTTAGTATGGCGTAGCAAGCAACTTGGAAGCTGATGGCGAGAGGGAAGCAGAACCTGGTGACCGTGTAAAGGTTTACAACCTGACATGAGCAGTGCCATCTGGAGTCTTTGGTTGACCTTGGCGTTCAAACAGAAGAAGGAGAAGAAGAAAAGAAGAAAAGAAGAAGAGGAAGAAGAAGGAAAATAAAATAAATCGATCTATGGGCAGATGTTTAGGACGGGGTCAATGGGAGCGGGGTAATTGTTTACTCGATACCTACGTAACTATTTCCGGCCGTGGAGTCAATAAAATAAATCTGAAATGTATGATCTCCCCACCTTTCTTTAAGATTGGATTTGATATGGTTAGGATCCAGGTTGGTCGGGTATACTTGGTCCATATAGTCCAACAAGTTATTTGGTGGGTATGGAGCTCGGAGTATATATCAAATCCAGTCCATGTATGTTCATTCTCAAGCTCGTTTTGCTCTGTCTTCCTCTCTTTGACCCTATTGTATAACTTGCGTATTAGCCTGATTCTCTTAAAGATCCTGTATATCCTCTTGAAGTTTACGGACCTAGACGATTTCCTCCCATCTTGCGCTGAGGCCTGTCCTGTCAATCGAAGAATAAAATGTTGTTGATATTTCATTACTTCTCGCTCGTTCCGCATGCCGCCTACCGCACCCACTCAACCATGAAGAGTCAACATGCAAACGTAGGTCACATTATTCTGACCAGATGCTTTTATGAGCTGAGTTGACAACGCATCCTCTGTCCGTAGGGAATGGTTTAAAGCTCTTGCGACAACCCGGGTAATCCCCAGTGGATGTTGAGGTTTGTAGATAGAACGCCAGAATTCATTTTCCCCCCAGTAGGTGAGTTTGATTCCATGGGTTCAGGATCCCAGACCATCCGTTCCGGACTTTGAAAATGAATTATTTGATCTTGTGTTGATTTTGATCCATCATGAAAACAATACAGACCAGACCGCCTTTGACGTCAATATCCACGTGACCGACACGCGGCCCCTGCACCGCCGGAGCTTCGCATCCTGGACAGGTCTCGAGTATCGTCACCTCCAGCCTCTCTAGGATTAGCAGGCACCTTTGGGAGGTGTTTTAACGGAGCAACCTAGATACGAGATTTTCCCTCCTCGTCAACTTCATTCTTCAATTCCTGTTACATCTTACCGCCACCAACAGCCCCGAACGACCATTCTTTGTCCTCCTTGCTACCTACCGAGTCCAAGCTTCCTTCCGCGTTTATCGGACCACCGCCTATTTAAACTACGTTTCTTGCCAACCTCACCTCAAACATCTCGGTTGTTTCCTTGGATTCTGAAAACATAGCTGTTATCTTCTTCTACTGGCACCTTGATTCGGGAATTATCTTTCTTATCGAACCCCTCACCATACTTATCGTGGAGCTTGAGATATATCATTGAGGAAGTTGTTGGTCACCTGGGTAGTCCAGCAGCTCCGCCTGACCGTTTGATGGTGACGGCCTAAATCTGGCTCTTTCGGCCATTTTTAATTTTTCGAGCATAATATATCTAGATACTGCTATACACTATGAGTTCCTCAGGTTTCACCATCCCTCGCATTATTGCGGACCTCGCCCATTTCGGCTCCAAGTGTGTTCTGATATGGTCCATTCATCGAAATCGGAGCGCTGAAGGTCTTGATCTCCCATACCCGTTCTGCCGGATTATATACCTGCTAATCGACTTGACTGCTTTATAGGAGTTTCGCTTCTTACCCAGATGCTATATGCTTTAGTGTTTGTCACGCGCTATCTTAACTTACTTCGACCCGGCGGGTGGAAAGACCCGTATCTCTTGATTTTCAAATTCTTTTATATTTTTTCCTCATTTTATATCATATTCCTGATGATGAAAGTTTTCCCTCGAACCCGTGAAAGGGAGAGGGCCTGGAAAATGGCACTGGGCTCCGTTGCTGTTTCATTAGTCCTGGCTCCCATCGTGATCCCAGTACTCGGTGAAGGATATGATCATCGCTGGTTTGAAGATGTAAGTGACGCTCTCTGGACCACGACTTGTTGTAAACAGCTTATTGACGACATGACTGCCCTGTTTATAGACTATGTGGTCGTTTTCGATTATCCTCGAATCTGTCTGTGTTCTACCGCAGTTGTTGCTCCTGCGGCAAACTACCGTTCCTACGGTTATCGATTCGTACTATCTTCTAATGTTGGGATCTTATCGAGGACTTTACATTATAAATTGGATCGTCCGGGCCGTTCGTCCCGAGCACTATGTGGATTGGATATCTATCGTGTTCGGTGTCATCCAAACAGCGTTTTACATTGATTTCGCATGGGTTTACTACTCACGCCAGCGCGTGAAACTCCGTAATGGAGGAGTGGTGGATTCTGAGGATTTCCGTAATAGCTGGCTCGTGAACAAGGTATTCAATGTCCGGCGGCGGCAGAGCGAAGACGATGAAGAGCAAAGACTTCACGAGGCAGATCAAGGCGAGGAGCACGGGGGTAGTGAGCACCAACCGAGGAATAACCGCTGGGGTGCGAGAGGGATCTCTGTTTCGGCCGACGACACATTAGAGAACCAACATAGTTCCGGAAATCAGACAACAGACGACGACACAGTCGGGTTTTCGGAAGATGACCGGCATTAAAAAGAACATGTCGCCATACAGATGACCGCCTAGGTCGCGAATATTGCCGGCTCTGCCATGCAGCCGTGATTGATCCCATCTGATGCGGTTACCGAAACTCCCATGACAAGCAATGCCACGGCAGATCTATAATCTGTGCTCAATTTCCTGCCCACCCAGGCATCATGTGAGGGGGTATATTTCTAGTAATCGGTTTATGTAATTCGAAGGCGATGGGTTGTGAGTTAGTGACCAAGGTTACAACGGAGAAAGACCTGTGCAGTACTTTCGGGGGTCCCTAACTCGGCCCTTTGATGACGGACCTGGTGGGATGAAACTGAATGCATGTTGCGACTAAGCGGCTAATGATTCAAAGTGAGATGATCCGAAACTGGGTAAGCTATTAACATCAGATAAGCCATTGAAATTGAAAGCGATTTGAGTGATAATCATGAAGCAATGGAGGAGAGGAAACCGGTAGTTTCAAATCTGCTCTGGGCCATTGGTGTGCCAAGGCATAGCCACGGTCATTTTGCAGGAGATAGAGGCAAGAGGAACAAGATAATGAAGCTATGATGGGATGTAACGGAGAAAGAAAAGAGGAGACAAGGGGGGCCATTTATGGTATGATTAACACAGCCTGTTGGAAAACCGCCTTGTTCATTTTTTTTTAGACTTGTTCGGGACGGCGGAAATCAAGAAGGCTTGGTTAGGCCTGAGAAGATTTTTTTTTTTTTTTTAGTATACTCTGTATAGTAGTGTCTAGGTATGTAGCTTATACGCCGTTTCTCTCCTAGCTTCGGATCCCCCTCCCCATAGTGATGACGGTTACTATTAATACCGATTAATATTGGCCAATAGTGTGGAAATCCTGGTGGAATATCATTCGCCCACAGGAGGGAAGATATTACGGAGGTATTAATTATCCTATCAAAAGACCAGACAAAGCAAAGCACCCATGATCACTTTTCTTTTCTGCTCCGTGCTAAGCGCCGAGAATGCCTTCCCAGCTCAACTTGCGTCGATTGGAGACCAGCTGCTTGGACTTTAGGTCGGTACTCCATACTCCATCTTTGGTCTTATCTGGCGCGTAACTGACCATTGATTCCGGAGACACGTGGCTTTTGTTGGAGACATCCAGAAGGAACCTTAGGTCCTAGGATACCGATAACCCATCTCCGAGTAAGTTCCTACTTGCTGGGTTTTCCCCAGTCGTCGCAAGAATGACTGCATGAAATTCCTAGTAACTAGTAACTACTAGTAGTACCTACGGAGTAGTTCGGGTGGGGAAGCCGGACCAAGAGTGGTCCCTCGTCTGTCTTGACTCTCTCTTTTCTTGCTTCTCGCTGGGTCCACGACTTAGCGATGGGACCTCCGCCCACCGGCTAGGTATGTCGCTATGTCGCTCACTCGCTCTTGTGGCCAGCCCCGGGCGTCTAATTCTTTTATGTATGGTTTGATCCTGCGTCCCCCTTCAACGCTAATCCACGTTCATCCTAGGAGGGGGTCATCGTGATCCACACGGGATTTAGAGACTTAGAGTACAGCTACTCCGTAGAATGACGCCGAACATGGCCGCCGCTGGGGTGAAAACCGGTCTGATTCTATCAGCGAGCCGAGCCGTCATTTCAGTGTCAGCGTGCTTACAGAAAGGTTCGGATCTTTAGCGTCAATATCCATGGTCAATTGGGTATAGGTCCATATTCATAGTTATAGTGGGGCTAGTCAGTGTGAGGAAAGAATCAGAATTAATCGTATTTCTCTGTAAAGATAGGGAACAAGATCTATAAAAATAAAATAATAAAATTCCAGAATGGTTGTTGAAGGCCAGTTTCGAACCCGGGGCAGCAAAATGTAATCAAAACACGCTTTACCAACTACATAGTCCTTATAATAACAACACAACATAAGCTGATGTCTGCTTCCAATTTCCACTTTCCGTAGCTTATTTCAACTCTGTTCTTGTTTTTACATTATATAAAAGTTAAGCCCAACCTTCCAGTAATGCAGAGCAATTAACTGGTATTGCTTTCCTTTCTCTGAGAACCGTACAGGATCAAGATATGAGATTCATACTATCCGTCCATCCGTCCATCCGTCCATCCGTCCAATCCATCCCATGTCCTCGCCAGCCAGAGACACAACAGCCCAGTGCGCTTAATACTAATATAATGCAGTGCAGAGGCATCAGATATCAAACATATATCTCAAGTTACACAATCAACTCTCTGGCATTCAACACCAGATAGCAGTGCAGATTAGGGGTTCTTCTCCAAGCGATCGGACAAGCCGACACCCATGATGATATAGCCCAGAGAACCCATCCAAGTCGCGAATTTTGTACAATTATCCAGCCGCTAAGAAAAGGACAAGGGAATATCAATAATACCCTTCGAGATTACCTAGGTAGTGTGTGTGGATAGCAAAACCAACTCCAAGTAGGAATTCACAGGTCTCACTTGGCAGCCGCAATAATCTCAGAGGCACCTATGTACTGCATTATCTCCAGAAGCTTCCATGAATTGCTAGTCTAAGGAGGTATAGTCTGCATGCACAGTGCACCACAGCAACTCTTAATAGATGAAACAAAAACCCCCGACTGAGGACTGCGGTTTTTGGGGGCAGCTTGTCAAATGTCAACCTCATGGTTATCCACCCCGCTTATATTTTTTCCCACCTTTATAGCAGCCCCCTACGAAATATTTTTTTTTTAGAGGGCTTTCCGGCGCAGAGGTAGTCATCATGATCCGAGGGCCTTTGGGTAAGACTGTCTAGCTGCCCTCTTTTGTTAACTAAGCGCTAATCAAACGACCATCTTTGATTTTAGGATCGTGCGGGCCGCTAAACACCCAGGCGAATCTGTTTCGTTCTGGAGATTCTCTCTTACAGTTCCCACCCCCTGGAGATCCAGAGCTCCGGAACTACGATCAGTGCTGCCTTGACCATGAGCAGCCGTAGTGGGCCTGGGAAAAAAAAAAAAAAAAAAAAAAAAGGCAAAATCTGAGCCCCCAAAGAGTTGGGGGCTAGATTTTACTTCCCTCCCCATGAGATGGAGAACAACGATGCACGATGACCCTCTTTCCTCCCTTTAGAAAACGGACCCCGTCCCCTGGGATAAGCTGGGCGCTTAAATGCAGACTCATCTTCAATTCTACACCTCTGGTTAAGAGCGCTTTTGTGTGGCACGGTGATGGTCAGCGCCAGTCTATCACATATTTTCGTGCTCTCTGAGCCTGTTGTAAGAAAAGCTCCTTGACTCTCTGTCCCTGCCTTACAAGGCATTCCGAGTTCTCCTGATACTCTCTACTCTACCTAGGTAGTATATGAACCCACAGGGCTCTTCTGCGAGAGAGTCATTCCATCACTAACTTTACTGCATTTCGTGACGCGGTGTTCTATTAACATTTAAATAAAACTCTTCTCCCTTTGCAAAACAGAATAAAAACAGAAGTTCTTGGGATCAAGGGTTTAAAGGGAACTTATACTATACTTTCCTCTCATCTATTCGTTGATTCTTTACTCTTTACCGCCGACCCTACATTGGCCGTCCCCTGCTGCTTGTTTCACCAAGTGTTTCGATCCAAACTTCGTGTGAATACTCCAGACCAATGTCTTTCAGCCAGAGTGGTTCCAACCCCGGCGAGGGCTTGGAAGAATACTTTTCGCATATGCCATCTCAATGGATGGAGGCTCAAAGTGTACGTTTTTGAGAACCGAACCGCCTGAAAGAAAAGCTTGATCTACGCCGCTAATATAATTCCGGGAGGACTTACAGTCCCCTTATGGGCCGGTGACGCATCCATACCAAACAACACCAATATACCAAGCTGCTGCGATCTTAACCCCATCCAGTCTGGCGGAAAACCCATATGCGCATACCCGACCCAGTCCTGTGCTCAGTCACCACTCACAAGAGTATCATTACTCTATCCGCGAGCCTGTCCCTCCCCATGGACTTGGAATTTCGACACCGTATCCAACCTACTTCTCGCGAAATCTGGACGTCGGCCTAGAGAGCGGACCTAGCGGATACGGGTTGAGAGAAGATACTCTGTCCCCTCCGCCATCAAGGAAACGGCAGCGGCGAGGATCCAAGCAGCTCGTATTGCGAGATCCTCCAGTTTCAATCCTCCCCCACCCTGACGGCCTCCAGCGACTAGAACAAGAACGACTGCAGGGCCATCCTGACCCCCATCCCCACCAGCGACCCCGGGCTCCCGGGCGCGGCCGGAGGGACCCGCAAGCCGAAGAAGAAGATGCCTTTGTAGAAAGACTTCGAGAGCAAAACTTGGCATGGAAAGTCATCCGAGAGATGTTCCGTGAGAAGTTCAACAAAGACGCCACAGAGGCTCGTCTACAGATGCGACAGCTGCGCAGGCGCAAAGAGCGGCTAGCGCGGTGGGACGAGAACGATGTGAGTATGTGTACCGTGACGACCTCGAGAACAGCTGCCCTGTGACCAGAGATGCTGACAATCAAGTGTTCCAGATTCGCGTTCTCATGCGGGCTAGACATTACTGGGAGCAAGAAAAATACAGTCTGATAGCCCAGAAGGTGAGTAGCTTGCGCACGCGGATAGGATTTTTTGACTCACAAGTTACCAGATGAAAGAATTCGGAGCCTCTGGCTCCTACACGCCGGAGCAATGCGAAGAGCAACTGCGATATATCGATTCACAACGCGACCGAGAACGATCGATAAAATCTCGATTAATTGAGCCTCAACCAACCCAAGGACGGACACTTTTGAAAGCACCCCGAGAGAAAGCTAGCACTACAACATGATAGCCTTGTTGTCTTCTTTTGTCTTTTTATAGACTACCTTTACATTTCCGTATCTTTCTATTTCCCTAACTTCTTCCTTTTCTTTCTCTCCAAGTCTACGACTAACTCACAATTTTGGTGGATTCTTTTTTACTTCCTCATTTTGCATGCGCGGTTAGGACTCTCTGCTTTACATTTATTGGGACTATCTTTCTTTTTACCACCTTCACATATCCGTACATATATATACCCTTCATTGAACCATTCTCATCTCCAAAAAGACCTATTATTCCTCTGTACAGAGTACCAAATCGAAATCCACCAAAGAATAAGCCGGGAACCACTTGGGTTCTACTAGAGTAGTAGCTAATAGCTATCTATAGGAAGCTCCACACCTTTTCTTAGTGCTTGACTCCAAATCCACCAGAAAGCCCATCTCCAGAATGACAAATTAACCTGGCCAACCAAACCGCAAGCCGCCAGCCCTCGAAGCCACCAAGCTCAATCTCACCCGCAGTCGTCAGAGTAGCGCGGTTTTGCTCTCCTTTCGCCTTGGCATGGCGGCAGACCCAATTCTCGTTGTCTGACTGAACAGCATGCATGCAATCCTTATGTCCTAGATAGTGGAGTTAGGAAGGATTCAACTCGGAGACTTTTTCGGCGCTCTGAAGTACAATGCGAGGATTCGATTCCAACTCACATTTACGGAGTACAGAGTATGTATCCTAGCTGAAAAAAAAAAATAAATAAATAAAACTAACGAAACAAAGTATGTCTCCGTATATAACATTGCTTATCTTCATTCCATGGACACTAATCAACTCAGTGCAGTCCCTCTCTGCTCTGCTCTGCTCTGCTCGAATTTGGATTCCTGACGTGGGCTCCAAAGGCCTGGCCAGCCATCGTATCGCATCGGGACTACATACTCCGTATAGCGCCTAACAACCCTAACTATACATTCCATCTATATGATATATTGCAAGTTTCAATCATAATAATTCTATTCGCTACGTCACATGCATCGAAGGGTATACTGAGGTAATACTTAGCTGAGGTATGACATGCACTCCAGAGGGTTCAATACTTGTTGACAATACGCTAAAGGTCCTGTTTCTAGGATGCACAAATGAGATAATTGTTGGAATCTCCTCCAGAACAGACTCGATTATTGGCCACTATCTGAATCCATATCGTCCTCTTCCGTAATAGGAAATGTTAGCAGCGCCGCAATCCCCCCCAACCCATCTAATCGTCTCCCACTTTCATGCTCAGAGCTGAGCACCCGCACTTCACCTCCTTCGACGTCGCGCACTCGGTCCACGAGGGATACCCAACGCTTGCGCTCCGTCACGTCCTGAGACCGGAACAGCCGGTTTGAAATGATCAACACGCCTCCGCCCCTGCCTACTGCGCCTTGATCCACCGCGGACTCGACCTCTCGGGGACCATAGGTGGCTCTGTTGGTTTCCTTACGCAGCTGCTCCTCAAACTCGTCCATGAGCTTGGTCTCACGGGCGTGCTTGGTGTCGGAGAGCATCGCCTTGACTGTGGGCGATTGTAGGACCTCGGTGAGTGAGTGGAGGTATCCTGAAGCGGAGTGGACGACAACAAGACTAGGGAGAAGGCGTTTCAGCCCTGGCGTGCTGGTTGTCGCGACAGACTGGATGTATTTTTGAAACCCGGCAGCCACGAACCCCGGAGAGGCCAGGAGAACAGGCCGGACGGCGTCGTTGGTCATTGACGTTAAGCTGGTGTTGAACTCCATATGGCGGAGGAGTGTGTCCAGCGTGACTTGGTAGAATTTCGACATACCCTAGGGTTGATCAATATTCTACTCGAGCAAAAGAGTCTGGGCGACGGGGGATGAATGACTTACCTTGTCGTGATCTCCTCCTCCACCTTGCCGTTTCCTAGGAACGGACATCTCGACTTTTTGCTTGAGAATTGTGCGGAATTGTCCAATGAAACAGATATGTGCTATACCCTCCTGCATTATAACTGCCACGGCTTCCGCCCTGCGATTCCCTCCTTCATCCACAGCGTCTTTTAGTGCCTCCACCGCAACACTATCCCACCCGGTACCTTCATCATCTGCTCCGGAGCCCTTCTCGAGTGTGAATTGTCGATTAAGCTCTAGGTCAAGGGTATGGTGTTGTCCAATCTTGGTGTGCTGTGTTTCATTCACGATCTGCCCACTAACGTGTAATTGCGAGTTCTGGGGATCAAAGTCTAAGTTTTTGACGCGGATTTCAAGGGTCAACCGGACTCGAGAGGAGCTCGTGGCGCCAGTAGCACCTGTGGTGGTAACACGGCGGATGGCGCTGGCGTATAGAAGGTCACCGGGACATATGAGATTGTAGGCGTGCCACTATCCGACAATTCATTAGCAAGTTAGTTAGTTCTTGACTCTCGGCGGAAATTTGGCGGGGTTACCATGTCTTCGGGCTCCTCGGGAATCAGAGTGACACTGCCTGAGCCATTATGCTCGATCTTATTCTTGACCAAGCGCATTGGCACTCATTTATGAAACAGCAGGTGTCAATATATAAGGATTATAGAGAAAGGAGAAAGATGGGAGATGAAAACTGGTCTGATGTCGGTCTCAAATCCCAGGCCAGGACAAAGCAACCTGAGGCAGAAAGCGAGGGTGCGGGACACGCCCGAATCAGACTAGCGCTGGATGAGCTTATCGATAAGCAGAACCCCTGAGTCGTCGATGTATTTATTGTGGCAGTATTATATTATTTTTTTAGAATTTTAGATGACTTTGTTTATAGAAGATGAAGATTTGATTTAACAGCCATACAGCTTTTCTTGCGAGGAGAGAGCGGAAGAGAGAGAGAGAGAGAGAGAGAGAGAGTAGGCGTGTGTATAAAGGAATCTTGTCGGGGAAACGTACGACCGCGCGAAACCTCAGGCAGAAGGAGCTTTCTTCCTATTTGGGTTCTGTTTTATTTACACCAAGACAAGGTCTCTGGGCAACCACCAGACAGGACCCTGGTTTTGTTGTATTATACTCTCTTCATTTTTATTTCTTGAAATTGATTATTATTACTAAATCCATCAACCTCATGTCTATCCTCCCTAAACACCCACCCGACACGAAAACCTACCGGTTTATCCCCGCGTAACAATGCCCGATGACCGACGGCGCATCATCCTCGAGAAGTCCCGCACCGTCCGTCGCCGATACCAACGCAGCAACAAACGATTCCAGTTCAGTGCGTCCCAGATCGCACGGATAGAACGAGAGGAGGAGCGGGAGCGCCGAGCGCAGAAGCTCCGCGAGAAAGAGAAACGTCGGGTTGCAGATAAGAAGAAGCGCGCGGAGAAGGAAGCAAAGGCCCGAGAGGAACGGCAGCGGTTGGGACTTCCGGATCCTAATGCGTCAAATGTGCCAGCAAGCCAGCCCTTACTTTTCAATTTCATTAAGAAGGCTCCGGCGCCGTCTGTTTCTGGAAAGGGGGATGAGAGCCAACAGGACACAGGGTCTGCGGGCTCGGAGACGGAAAGCACCGAGGTTGCCACCGATATTGATGGTAGCCAGCACTCGGAGCTGGATAACCATGAATTGGTTGCTCTTGCTGATGAGGATGAATCTACCATTGGTAATGAGGGGGAAATGTGTGGTGGAGAAACATGCGGCGACGAAGACGAAGAGTTCTCCGACTGCTCCATCTTTTACGACGAGGATATTATCAAAGCGGCAGAGACTATTGTAACTGTGCAGGACATAGAGGACAAGGCCTTATACGCTCCAGCTCCGCCTGGCTTGTTTGCAAGCGACTCCTTCCAAGATGACACGGCGGCCTTTTTGGAAGAATTTGGACACGAATTTGACCCTGGGGCGAGTTTCGAGCAGGAATTGGCCCAGCTGGATTGAGGGTGATCATACGCGAACCATCTTACCTTTTTTTCCTCCTTCGGTTCACATTATTACCTACTTGACACACCGGTGGTGATTGTAGAGTAACTATATTTGGATGAGCTTATCCGATCCGACGGGAGTAGGCACAGTTCTTCGGATCACGGTTGCCCCTCTCTTCGGCTCAGGCGGTGATATGCTGAACGGTCAATTTGGTTCCCCGTTCCACCATCCGACGGATTCTTAAGAACATAGCCGCTGGTGGAACAGTTGGAAATTCACGATCGAAGCATGTTCCACCCCAGGACAAAAGAAACTGGGGTCTACCGTCTATTTGATGCGTCGGCTACGAGCGGAATAAACCAAGCCCGTGCTGGAGCTTCAATTCAACTGAACCTCCGTGACGTCGGGGTCATATCCGTCTTCTAGCGTCCGTTTGGCCTGGGGGAGGAGGAGGTTGCCTACCTCCAACAAACTGTCCCTCACATCTGTCCCGCATCTACCTACCTACAATTCTTGATATTCTGGGATATACTGTCTACAGACCTTTTTTTTTTTTTTCAAAAAAAAAAAAAAGAAGAAAAAAAAAAAGGACAATCAGGATGCCTTTCGTCCCGGTTAATGACCACCAATTGCATTATACGGATTCCCACCCCGATGGAGCCCCTGCCAAAGGCCTCACCTTCATTTTCATCCATGGCCTGGGTTCCTCTCAGAATTACTACTTCCCTGTTCTCCCTTACCTGAAGACCAAGCATCGTTGTATTACAGTGGATACATACGGATCTGCGCGCTCCACATACACCGGCCAACCTATCTCCATTGCCTCGATCGCCGCCGATGTGATCGGAGTACTGGATGCGCTGAAGGTCTCTCAGGCGATTGTAGTCGGTCACTCAATGGGTGGGTTAGTAGTGACCCTTCTAGGTGCTCAATATGCAGATCGCGTCAAGGGCGTGGTTGCGATCGGGCCAACGCACCCCTCCGAGACCTTGACAACGGTCATGCAAAAGCGAAGCGACATTGTGACAGAGGGTAACGCATTGCTCTATGAATTCTCCATCCGAAAACAATACACACCTTGCTAACTGTCATAGCCGGAATGGAACCAATGGCAAACACCATCCCTTACCAAGCCACGGGATCGCAGACGTCCTCCCTTGCGCATTCCTTCATCCGTGAACTCCTGATTGGCCAGAACCCGGCGGGCTATGCGGCTCTGTGCCGGGCTATTGCGAATGCTCCTCAGATCGAGTACTCCGCTATTCAAGTTCCATTCTTGCTGATTGCCGGCGAGGAGGATAAATCTGCGTCTCTGGAGGGATGCCAGTATATCTATAACCAGGTCTCGAGTGCGAATAAGAAGATGGACATTTTAGCGCAAGTGGGACATTGGCACTGTATTGAGGCGCCGGAACGCGTTGGGAAGACTATTGAGACTTTTGTGGACACGGTTTTTTTATAACTAGATTTTACAAGTAAATTTTTGGGTCGGGTTTATTCAATCTAAAAATGAATTGATTGATTGATTGATTGATTTAATATAGAAAGACCAGTACGGAGTAGTAGTACATTATTTATTCCGCACATTCCATTACTCCCGTAGATTCGGATTTAATTTTGTGAAATCAAAAAAGAGAGAGTTGAAACATGCCTGGCTTAAAAAGCGGTATCAAAATAGTTAACTATGTACATCCATTTTACAAATGCTTAACAACAACAGGGGAATCCGACCACGTATTCATTTTTCATTTCGAATTATTATTATGCTTCGTCACTAGGAACCAGCTTCACGTCGTAGTTCAGCTCAAGTCCAGCTTGAGGGTCATCCTTCCGAGGGACAAAGTCCACAACGAGTGAATCCTTGACAGCGAACACAGAGTCATTGGTTAGATAGGGATCATTGCGATCGAAGATTTGAGTGGTTAGGGCTTTGTAGCCGTTACATAGGGCCTAGCCGTGATCATTGATTCATTAGTATTATTATGGTTTGAAAAGAGAGAGAGAGAGAGAAAGGAAAGGAAAGGAAAGGATGGAGATGACGAGGTGGGGGACAAGTGGGGGATATATATATATATCATACAATAATATGAATATGCGCGGGTCTAAATGGATGTCTATCCATTAAATGAAGTAGCTTGCCTGCCGGTCCATCGTCCGGGACCGGGTAAGGAGTTGGCCGCAGACAGTAAAGCGAGTAGCGACCATCGTTGTCGGTCTTGAACTTCCCGCGCAGGTTGAACTCTTCCTGTTCGGGGTCTTGTTGCTCGTAAAGCCCGTTGGTGGAGGCTTGCCATACTTCGACGGTGGCGCCGACTAGAGGCTTCTTGGTCACAAAGTCCACCACGCGGCCGTGCATGAATGCCATCACGCCGCCCTTGGCGGGGGTGCGCACGATGTTGGTGCCGTTCTCGCGGAAGGGGGTGTCGGCGCGGAAGAAGGGGCCTAGGATAGCTGTTGCGGTGGGGATATCTTGGGCCTCTTCGGCGAGTGTGAAGGTGATTTCATCGACGAGGCTTTGATATTATTGGTATTAGTGTTTTTTTTTTGTTTTCGTTTTTTAATAGATTTTATTAGGGGGGAGAGAGAGAGGGAAAGGTACGATTCAAGCCCGATTACGTCGCATACGAGCTGGCCCTCGTTGCGCTTGTTGTCGCTCATCTGGCCCGCCCAGTTCATGAACTGCACCGCAGCCATCCACTCCTCCACGGTGAGTTCGTTCTCGCGCGCAAAGTCGTGGACATGTTTGATCAGACCGGTCATGAGCTGACGGAACCGTGGGTTCGTCTTGGGACCCATGGCGTTGATGACATTGTCGGTGAAATTGGGGTCGAAACGGTGGGAAGCCATTTTCTCCGTTCAAACTTTAGACCAAAGAGGATTGATGTATGAAGAGAAGTCAGTATATAGCCAGAGCAAAGAAAAGTCAGGCGAACCATCTTTATATAGGTGTGCTCGCTCGCCAATCAAACCAGACAGAAGAAGGCATTCCGGAGATACGGCATCATGGATTCCCATCTTTTCCCCCCTCCCCCCCCCCCCCAGACGCTCCTCATTCTGGGAAGAGACCCCGCAATTGCGGTTCTGCAGTCGGAAGCGGAGTGGAATCGTACGACGAAGCGCACCAGTGGACAATTTCGAGGCGAGTGTCGGAAGTAAGACGCAGGGCGTGAGTGAGATGTCACGATCCGACATTTGTCGGAAGTCGGATCGCTCCAGGGGGGAAACGGTATTGCATCCGCTTGAGTCAGTAGTTTTTCATAGGGATAGTTAGTTAGGATGGGATTGGATATTTTCATCTTATACAAGACTTTATGGTATTATATCCCAAGTCTATCTATCTAACTATCTTACCTCCTTCCCTTCGGATTCCCCCGCCGTGTCCACTCCGCCGGCAATGTCTGGATTGTCTGTCCCCTCTCCCAGATCTTCCCCAGTCCCTTCTGTCTCTCAATTACAACATCAAAGCAATCGACTGGAATCACCTTGGCCCCCGGCTCGTCTGCCTTACCAGCAGGACTCATCCCCTCACTCAGAATGACCCCGTTTTCACTCTTCCAAAACGGACACCCGGCCTGCAGCGCCTTCCGTAAATCAATATAAACCAATACCTGCGCATCGTGTCGCATTCCCGATATCACCGGTTGCCCTGCTTCTTCTGCTTCTTCTCCTTTCTTCGCCCAAGTAGCAGTACTCAAAGCATCCAAAACAGACTCCACAGACGGCCCCGTGGCGAAATGCGCATGGTTCCGCCCCATGCACTTCACCCCCCCCGACGCCAATATCTGCGGCCACACGGAATGGTAAGTCCCGTGCACGACAGTCTCCGGCAACGAACCCGGTTTCTCCAACGAGAGCCGCTCCAGGAGCGACTCCGCAGCAACCGATTTTATACTGTGGCCCTGCGTGGCGCGGATCAAGTAGTGCGCGGCGTCCTGGTCCGATGTCGACGCCGCCAGGGCGGTCGCGGTTGTGTTTGCGTTCCTAGTATCTTCAGCTTCGTCCGCGTCGGTCTCGGCAGAAGAGGCCGGCTCCGTTGTAGCGGGCGTAGGCGTAGGCGTAGGCGGTTGCGGCGTAGCAGGGAGGTAACGCAATGCGAATCGCTTCTTGTCCGAGGTTTCCACGGCGGCGATAATCTCGGGGAAGGTGACTTTTAAAGACTTGAGTTTTCGCCATGCGAGCTGGAGGGGTATGATTCTACGTTAGCTTTCATTTCATTTCACTATACTGTAGAAGAAAAAAAAATAGTTGCTAGAAGGGTAAGTAAGGGTAAGGGAGGGGGGAAACGCACCACATCCGCCACATTCGCATACCCGTGCCGATCCATCTTCAATCCCTCGCGCTCTGCAGCATGGCGCAGAAGAAAACTCAGAGCCTTGGAAACAGCCACTGCACGATTTGCAGGGCCTCCTCCTCCTCTTCCTTCACCTTTTTGGTGGTGGGGTGTTTTTCCCATTGTGAAGAATAGAATGCGGGGAATTTGCGAGGTAGAGTTCTGGTAACAACGCAAGGAAGGTCACAGCAATAAATAACGCGTTCTCTCGGGATTTGGCCCTTGGTTGAGTTGACTCAGAGATGAAATGATTCAAGTGGCTGAGTTCGTTGTGTTGCGATCTCGAGTCAGATAATTAATTGACTTGGGCCGCGAAAAGGTCATTCGTTTTTTTGACATCATCGCGTTGGTTCCCCGAGTGCGAGTCCCATACCTACCTAACTTCATACTCTGATACCTATAGGTACTATAACTATGTAACCGATTATTTAAATGGTGTGATTATACGTAAAAAAAAAAAAAAAAAAAAAAAAAAAAAAAAAAAAAGGAATCTAACGATCGCAAAGACAACTACATTCCGCAACCGGACAAACATTGTGCTTTGCAAACCACTCTCGTGCATGATGCGCGTGGAAACCATGGTTGCAGTTAATACAGAAAACGATAAACCTCCGCATAAGCTCCGCCTCGGAGATCTTGCGTGACTCTGCCGCGGCGTCCGCAGCCACACACGCCTTGGACATGGGGTCCGGAGACCCCAGCCACAGCGTACACACCCCACACCGTGGCATATGGCGTCCGCAGCGAGGGCAGATCATCCCCGACAGTGCGGCCGTGCCGAGCGGGTTACCCGCGGTGGTATGGGTGACTTCCCCGGTCGCCGACGGGGGAAGCTGCGAGGAGGCGTCGTGCTGGGTAAGTGGTCGGGTGCAGTAGTTGCACGTTAAACTGACCTGTTGTCGAGGGGGCTCAATCAACCTTCGCCCGTCCCAGGTGACAGCGAATTTGCGAGACCCGACGTCGAACCGGGCTCGCTCGAGTTGGAGTTTCCAGGAGTTGATTTGCCAGCGGTAGGTTTCTCGCCAGGCCTCAAAGCGGGGTTTGTTAGGTGGGGTATCGATGAATCGGGGAACGGTGTGGCTCATGGCCAGAACTGGCGTTTGGAAATCGTTGAATTTGTTGATGTAGGACTGGAAGAGGTCCATTGCGGAGTGGCCCAACCCGGTGAGGACAATGCCTTCGATGTCGCCTTGTTGAATGGCTTCTTTGGTGATGTCGGTGAGGTATGTGGTGAGGTCGTCGTCCGGCAGCCAGCGCAGGGCAACTTCAACGCGGTATTTGAGAGGGAGGGTAGTTTCCTGGATGACAGAGTACCAGTCACCCTTGCTAACAAGCGCGATGATAGCCCGCGCGTACGGGTCCGTGAGCTCTTTGGCGATCTCTGCACAAGTCTCTTCCCAATCAGAATCCGTTTCGCCTTTTGCAGCTCCAGCAATGGCCATTGCGAGAAGTTTATGGGCTTGCGTGGGCTTGTGACTTCGTAAAGCGAGGTACGCTAGTTTAGGTTCATCCTGGAAAATAGCCAGGGCAGCGGCTTTGGTATGTTGGCTATCAGATGATAAAGTTTTCACAACCTCTTCCAGTTCCCGATGGGATTGGGCTGCACCGCAAATCCGTAGACCAAGGCGACGGTGCTCTGAGAAATGCGTCTCGCAACCCTTGATTGGAGGAAGATCAAGCTGTTCCTGGACTAAATCTACGATAGTATCATTGATATCCGGGCAATGGTTGGGATTCGAACCAAGGCAACGTGCCTCGAAACTCGCGCCTATAAAGGTGAGTTAGATTCTTCTTCAAATTAAGCGAGGCGAGGGTCTTACCCAAGTCTCCTGTCCAGACTTCGAATACACCCAGGTAGTTCAGATCCAAACTGTTCATTACCATCGATTCATTCGCAGAATCAGATCGTGCCCCTATCTCCTGTTAGAAAAAGCTTTCCCGGGGGAGGAAAGAGACTCACGCTCAACCCAATTCCAGAAATCTTGGAGCGGCGGATCATCAGCTAAAATCTTCTTATTCCGAGCCCCGTCAAAGAGATATCCCTCCTTGCATCGGAGCCTATTCACAGTTAAGAGCGTCAAGGCCTCCTCGGCCGTAAGAGGGCTGCCTAACGTTCCGATAGAAAGGGCACGCTCTCTAACCTCCCGGCTGGACAAATGTTCGGCATTTTTATCCTTCGTCCGCCTAGTCCCATCCGAAGCATCATGTTCGCTTTGTCTGGCAAGAGCTCGGTCCCGAAGGTCTTTCACGGCTGTCGCGACTTTTGAACCCTCGCCCAATACCGGTCCAATCATCTTGAAATCAGAGTACTCATCGGGACTGCCGCATATCAAAGAGCCCTGGGAAGACAGCCGTACAGGAGGCGCGGGAGGCTTGATTGTGACGATATTGACCCGCTCATCTGCAGATAGGGTCAAGACGCTGGGCTCGTTGGAGACGCTCATGTTCAGGAAGTCAAACGAGACAACTCGCTCCGACTCCTTGTAACCCCGGGAAGGATGGTCAAAGGGGCTAGAGACATCGCGAACGGATTTGGTGTATATCTGCTCGGGGTAGTTGCTGATCGAGTTTTGGCCCAAGGTCTGGTCAATGGGCGAGCGAAATTCCTCAACGAGATAGTCTTTGACAATATTATATGTCTTCAGGTGACCAGTGTTCGAGATGACGCCTAAACAACCGCGCTTGGTCCTGGAGAATCGAAGACTCCAAATTGACGCCTTGGGGGAAATGACGTTCTTGAACTCGAGAGCTGGATCCATCTGACCAGTCTCAAGAGCATTCGGAGCCACCGCCGCCGACAACCGGGCCCCTACGCGTCGATCCCAAATACAGACGGTTGGGTCGGTAGAAGTGAAGGCGGATGCGATGTAGTTCTCATCAAGCCAATCAATGGCTAGATTATGCACGCATCGAGTAGGAAATTGCAGCGATGGGTTTCCGGGTCCCTCTAAACCCTCGTTAAGCCCCACCTTACACAAACTAGGGGAAAGAAAACAACATACCTCTCAAATCATAAATCCTCACAAACTGCCCCTTCACTCCCGTCACCAGCGTGTCAGGTTGATCTTTAAAGAACTTCACGCTCGTAATCGGCTCGGAGCTGGCCAACTTCCTCAATGGCTCAACAAACCCTTTCGCCCCCCTCATCGCCAACCGCTGGTTCACATCCCAGATATTTAAACAGAAGTCGTTGCGTACACGGTCCAGCCCCGCTGCCAGCAAGCCATGCGTACTAAACGCAATCGCATTACAATACCGCTGGTGGCGCACGGGGAACGAAAACGACTCCTGGGTGTCACCCTTCATGCGCAGGATCGTGGCGTCGCCGGATGACTGCCCGACAGCGACGAGAGACTCGTCGACGGAGGACCAGTCGAAGGCCCGGAATGCGGGGACTTTGGTGTGTGTTGAGAGGACTTCATATTCCAAGGGTTGGCTGTTGGTTTTGTTGGTGTTGGTATTGGTGTCGGTATTGCTATTGAATGCGGTAACTCTGCACAGGCGAAAGGTCTTCCCTGTCACATCAACGGAGAGGAAGCGTTGCTCCGCTGTGGTGGAGGACGGGGACCATCGGATGGCTTTCTCCATTTTGGCCTGTGATTCTGTGTTCTTGTTGGTCTACTTAATGGCCCGTGTTCCACCGGTGATGCGGCGGGCTTTTGACGAGTCGATTCTCGATGTACTTATGGGGAAGCACTTTCATCTGATGCATCAGCGGGCGAGTCCATCCCATGATTCTGCTGTGATGTGTGGCGGGGGGAGGGATGGAGGCAGGTTTAAATATAGACGCGCATGGTAGCGATGATCCAACGGGTGTTCTCAATGAAGATAGTAAAGAGTCTGAGTTTGCGCACAAGATTCAGTCCATCAGGAACCAACCTGTCAAGAATGCGACAATAGTTGCCCAGGTACGGAGCAGTGAGGTTGCACTCGAGAGCTCAGGAACGTCACCAGAGTCGGCCGCGTCCTGATTGGGTTATCGCAAGCCTCCGCGATTTCTGCTCGGCCCGACTTATTATCCGCCCTTTTTTTTTTTCCCCCTTCCCGCATAGAAAATTATTTGATGGGGCTTGCTTTTATTGTACGCAGTTATTCTATCACTGAACCCCTCTCCAACCCGCTCTATACCAGATCCGAAATCTACATCCAGATTCAAGATGCCCAGAGAATTCAACCCACCCAAGCGCAAAGCCCACGACATCTCCGACGACGCTCGCGCCCCGTCAAGAAAGAGAATCCATCTGCAGGCCGCCGCCCGCGAAACCCCCAACAACAAATATCCCTCCGTGAACGAGCTGAAGAGACGGATCCGCGATGTCAAGCGTCTTCTGAAGCGGGCGGATCTCCCCGCCGATGCGCGGATCGTGCAGGAGCGCGCTCTCGCCGGGTACGAGAAGGATCTTGCGGACGAAACCCGGAGACGCGATAGGTCGAAGGTGATTAAGAAGTATCATTTTGTGAGGTTTTTGGGTACGTTATCTCCAACGCTATTCTCCTGCACTGCTTGCTGTACTTTGCTTTGTATATCTCGGACGCAACTGACCAAGGATCGCGGGGATAGATCGCAAAACAGCGTCGAAGGAGGTATCCCGTCTCACAAAGCAAAAAGAAACCCTGGCGAAGTCCTCGGATCTAGACGCAAAGGCAAAGGAGAAGAAGCTGGCGGCGTTGGACTCGAAATTGCACGTGGCGCGCGTGAACCTGAATTATACGATGTACTACCCGCTTCATGAGAAGTATATTTCTCTCTACGCGGTGAAGAACGAGAAGGATGAGACAAAAGAAGGGGAGGTAGACTCGGATGGTGGTGAAACTCAGTTGACCGAGGAGAGTGCGGCGGGGAAGAAGGCTATGTGGCGTACTGTCGAGAAGTGCATGGAGGATGGAACGCTTGATCTGTTGCGCGATGGGAAGCTAGGTGCGAACGAAAATGCAGCGGCATCGCAATCGAAGAAGCGTAGCGGTGACAAGGCGAGACCGAGTGCGGAAAGTGCCGGAAAGAGTAAGGAAAGAAGTGAAAAGTCGAGTGTCAAGTCAGACAAGACCGACGTTAGGAGAGGGAATACTCATAAGCAACCTACTACTCAGGAGGTGGACAATGGGGATGAAAGTGATGGGGGTTTCTTTGATATATAGTCACCGTTTGGTTGCCTGCAAGCATTTACCGGAGTTCCATGTCGTTTATTCTTTGTTCTGCCGAGCTGTTTGTCTAAGAAGGTTACAGCGGATACCCCATCATTGATATTGATTCAGTCAATTGGACTTCTAATTCGTTATGTAGTAGCTCACATAGGAAAGAAAGACTGAAACCAGAGTTGAGTTGGGGAACTGTCAATGAAACAACATAGGAGATGTGAAAAGTCAACAATAGAACACCAACTTCACCATGGTATGCCGGGTTGTTGGGATCAAATCATGCCAACTCCAAGCTGTACCTTGGAACGAAATCAAGCAAAATGAAACCAAGTAAATCAATCGTGCGTCAGGGAAGGGAAGAATTTCCAGCACACGTAACGGTGTCTTCCCATTGAATTCGAAACTCCTGCGAATTCGTCTTTGCATATCTTCTAGCACGCTTAACTCGAAGCACGCCATTCATTCAGCCTTCCAGCATGACCAGCACTGGGCTGTTTTCTCTTGCCCTGCCTCTTGCTCGATGGCAAAGGGGGAACATGTGTGTAAACACTGACAAAGGTTTCCAGAACCTTGCTGAATTTGAACCAGAGTTTCATGTTGTGGCCCCTCGTAAGTTCCAAACAAGAGGTAACAGATGGCATCCAGGCAATTATGCTTCACATAATTACACAGCTGCCTCCACTTTGTGCTCGCCTCCGTCGGCCGCCAAGTACGATACCCCCAATCCCGTAAGACTCCTCGTCCTCGTCATCTTCGTTGTAAATCCTCTCGGCTTCTCGCGCACGACGACGGCGCCTTCTGGCACCAGCTCCAGCAACTCCAGCTTCCTCAGTTGCTATCATGTAATCTGCCCACTTTCGATCCAGACGATTTGCAGCCGCAAGGCCGCCTCGTAGGACTCGCCTCGTATGTTCATCAACAGTCATTTGCCAGCCGTAAAAGCACTTGAGCTGGATGATATCGTTGGGGTACAAGGTGGGCTGCGGCGGAGGTGTAATCGAGGAGGTGATCATAGGGGTAGAGCTAGACTCTAAACCTGAAGTGATTGTCTGAGATACAACGGAGACTGCTTGGAAAGACTTGCGTACGCGCGGAACGTAGGCGTTACTGGAGAGGACCTCTCGGACTCCAGCCCAGGTAACATTGGCGCAGTCAAAAATCACGAGGCGCAGGCCAACCCGAGGAGGAGTTTGGCCATATCCTCGTTTGCGAATGCGGAGGCTGGCTTCCATTAAGGTGAGGTCGGATATCCGCGTATTATCCATCTCCACTGACCGGAGAGACGGGCAGTTCTTCATCACTTGGAGCATTCCGATGTCACCTAGAGCTTCACAATAACTGATGTTGAGGTGCTCGAGGAATGGCGCACAAGGGGACTTGGCAAGTTCGATGAGAGTCTTGTTGGTAAGTCTTTCCATATCCTCGAGCTCCAGGTGAGTTAGGCGAGGGGTTGTCTCGAGGACAGCCACGATGCAATTGTCAGATAGCTCGGTACACTGCGACAGCTGCAGCCCTTCCAAGTACGGGACGTTGTGGGCCAAACTCATGACGCCTGAATCTGTCAGGTCGGAGCATTGGTGGATGTCGAGGTGCTTCAGCCGCCGAGGAGGGACAATTGGACGGTCCTCGAGTAAGTCGAATTCCGGATTGAGACCATGCATGAGCGTTTTCAAGCTCTGATCAGTAATGTCAGTCCGGCTGATAATCAGCCGTTCCAAAGTATTCCGATTGAAAAGCTCCCGAGCAAAATCCTCATCGTCGAATCCTTGGATTTCACTCGCGCGAAGATCCGTTAATTTAGGACAAGCCTTCACCACTTTTCTCAATCCGGAGGTATCAACGCTAGTACACCAAGAAACATTGAGGATGCGGAGTTGATGACACGACCTTGCAATGATCTTCATAGCCGAGTTCGTCACACTAGCCAAACCGGATACATTGATGTACTCCAGCCGTTGGTTGCGCAAAAGAAAGCAATGAATCGCAGTCTTGTCAATGCGGCTTCCTTCCAGTGAGAAGTTGACCACATTCCTACATAGGGCTGTTATCCTTTCCCCTTCTTTCTGCCATTTGTCGCGCAGTTGGATACAACCGCGAAGGTTAAGATCTCGAACAAACGGGCCGCCCGCCGTGAGAATTTTCATGAGAGAATCGCTGGGAATATCGCGGTAGTACTCTGTGGTATCAACCTTAGACCATAGTTGTCCGTCATAGCACATTTTGTTCCACGATTTAGAGACACCCGAGCAACGGATGATTTCCTTGGGGGTAAGGAAACTGAAGATGAGCATTCTAAGCTCGCTAGGCATGCTTCCCCAAAAGTCAACCCCCCTTGGCTTCGGGGCTTCTTTTACAAACGTGCTGTCCAGCGCACCGCTTGCGAGTGGTATACCACGGGAGCCGGGTCTCAGGTCAGTTGGCAATGCAATCTTCCTCGCATGGGCACCACTGGGAGAATCAGACCCGACTAGGCGAATCCGAGCGTTTCCATCCTGGTTGTCTGCATCGTATCCCACTGCACCCGGGGTTTCAGGGCGGATTCCCAGTCCACCATGGAGTTGGGACGAGCTGCCATTCCCGAGACACGGGGTGTATGGGGATTGGGAGAGTGAGACGCAGGACAGCGAAGCCTTTCCGTTTCTATAGCCGGTAGACGCCGCTCGCCCACGTCGGGTTAGACTTGGACTTGATGAAATGCGTTGGAGACTCTGCAGCAGCTTCCGGCGTCCTTTGGCCTTTGGAGGGTGCTCCAGCGGAATCTGCCCGGTCGATGAGGCCGGGCTCACGGGTGAGACGGTCCCGGGAGACGGGCCGGGATCATCGGGATTTATGGTAGCCATGGTGGAGAAGGAGAGAGAGGGTCAGGACTCCGAGCAGAAATGATTCTTTCGGCCCCGAATTGTGCTGAGAATAGGATTAAAAGGCAAAAACACGAAACTGGTGATTTACAACACCTAAGTGAGGAAGTTATCTGAACAGCGACAAGCGCGGTATCCCGCTCGTATATCGATTTAGAGGATCATCGTCCAGGACGTCCAAGGACATACGATCAAGTGGTGAGACAAATAAGAGCAACTACTCTGAACGTGCAGTGCAAATGGGAAAGGATAATGCGGGAGGAGTAGGGGGAAAAGAGCAATCCAAAGAAATGAGAAGAAAAGAAAGCCCCCGCAGGACGGATAGATAAGGTGAAAGAAAGAAACGGACAAAGAAGAAGAAGAAGAAGAGAATGCAAGAGAAAGGCAGGTGGTGTAGTGGTTTTTCTCGGTTAAGAAGTGTAACAATTGTACCATGGGCCGAACGAATCGAGGCAGGACGTCAGCGGAGCATCATCCAGAACGTATGAAGTCAACGCAAGATAAAGAAGGGAATTTTTGCCGTAAGAAAGTAAAGAGAAGAAGTCGAGAAGGTTGAGAAGGAGGAAGAGGAAGAGGAAGAGGAAGAGGAAGAGGAAGAGGAAGAGGAAGAGGAAGAGGAAGAGGAAGAGAAAGAGAAAGAGAAGAGAAGAGAACTTGGTCAGGCGATGCAAGAGATCAAGATAAGACGGTCAAAAGATACTGGCCCACTGCGTACCCAAGGAATAAAGGTACAACTATTCAATTAAAATATTGGAAATTCATACAGTGGCATCTTCCATGGTCCCTGACAGGTCAATCACTAAACAATTAGAGCCGTGCCTGATTGTATATACTCGGACTGTTTACAGGTGGATAGTTATTGGCACATTATTTTGTCTGCCTAATCCTATACTGACTTCCCCCCGCACTCCGACAAAAGAATCCATTCTCTTCATTAGAGTATTGTCCTTCCAAATTCAATCCAAATTGAAATCTCTCTAGCCAAGTACATAAAATGAAGCTCGTACACGATGACGGGGTATCTCGCTATTTCCTGACCTCTATACAGATAGTCTTTTGGGTTTAAATGCGTCCAGAAAAAAAGAAAGACAAGAAAAAAAAAAAATAGCAATATTCCTCGCTTTACCACGTTCTTCACTGAAATCTCCAGGGAATCCCTTCTTCGTACTCTTACATTCTTCATAACCATGTCCCCCCCCCCCCCGCCGGAGGTCGTGTCGTGTCGTAAGGCCATCGCAAATTGTGTCGTGTTATAATTCTAGTCATAAGCGAAATTGCGCCGAGATAAATATGGCGAAACAAAAAAAAAAGAAAAAACAAAAAAAAAAAAACAAATAGATAAAAAAAAAGAATCCGTAGTAGGCGGCTGGACATGTCATTGTTGGTATATAAGATTTTCGTCCACAACTGGATCGATCCTCCTCCTTCTCCTCTCATCCAAAATAGTGTTATGAGCTAGCCGTTGCAGCAAGGAGCTTATTCGTCAGTCATCCAGGGGTGCTCCATCACTTCGCTAATCGTCAGGCGGTTATCCACGTCGCGATCAAGCATTCTACGGATCAGGTCGATGCAATCCTCCGAAAATGGTAGAAAGGGGACGCGGAGAGGGTGATCCAGAATCTCGTCGACGTTGTAAAACGGATTTTCCTTATAAACAATGGTGTATAAGAGAATACCAAGGGCCCAGATATCTTGCTCTTTGCCCCGGTAGGATTTGCCTTGGAGAACTTCCGGTGCGGCATAATCTATCAAAATGTCAGAGAAACCTCAGCATACATTATTGGAGCCGACTTACCGATTGTTCCCACAAACACATCAAACGGCCCATTCTTGATGTAAGCGGCGCTTCCAAAATCGATCAGCTTGATTCTGCCTTCACCATCCAAAATCACATTCTCGTCTTTGATATCTCGGTGGACAACCAATGCCTTGGTGTGCAGATGGTGGATAGCGCTAACAACTTGGCGGAAAATGTTTCGGCATTCTTGTTCATCCATATTCGCTTTCAGCTCGATGTAATCGAAGAGATCCATTCCCGGAAGTCCGTGCGGGAGCATTTCGATATAGTAGTTGACATCATCTTCAAAGAACCCTTCCATCTCCACAATATTTGGGTGTTTGAGACCATCTCTCCGGAGGTAGTCAAGAACATGAATCTCCAGTGGAACGGTCCCTAGGCGACGGTCGCGGGTCCAGGTATCCACCAAAATTCTCTTCTTCGTCACATATTTTAAAACAACCTTCTTAGCCGGGGTTTTCTTCAGGCGCGCAAGCTTCACCTCGCCATACGCTCCCTGCCCCATTTCCTCAAGTATCACATAATCAGCGATCGTCCGTTTTTGGGGGGTGTCCATCGCATTAGGTGGGTTCACTTCAGCCATTAGTTGAACAGGTTTGTCAGTTAGTGGTTCTGATGCGGCTTCACTGAGCTGCTGGCTCAAAGTAGAAGCAGGTATTTTGCTTTCTACGGCTATCTCTTCGGTGTTTGCACCTGGAGGGCCTTGTGGAGGAAGGGCTGTTGTAAGATCAGGGCTCGCTGCTTGAGATGGAATCGAATCGTGGGGGTGGAAGTTTGCTGGTGGTCCCGCGGAATGAATGTTCCGTGAATATGTAACCCAGAGCGCATAAACAAGCTCCGTCACCGTCACGGCACCTTCGGAGGTATCGTCGGTCTCGTTTTCGCTCCCGACTTTCTCTTTGCGTTGCTTTGGAAAGATCGTGCCGCTTTTGACCACCCGCAGCTGAACATCCACTGCGATGGTAGATCCATCACGATGTTTGGCCGTGAGACCTGCAGGCTCCAAAAACACTGACGCAACGTTGGCCTTCCCATCCCGCAGCATAGATAGGGTTCTTGCTCTTCGGAAACTCAACTCAGGAATAACGACACCATCAACCAGAGGAATATTCTCGTCCTCAGAGATGACATAAAGGTAGTCGTCAAATCCAGGTATTAAGTCGGTAATATTTAGGCCTTCCGGTCTTTCATAACCAAACAGCGCAGATGCGAACACCGAATTTGAGCTGATGATCTTCAATGATGATGACGACAAAACCATAACGCCGGCGACGTGAGGAAAACTGGATATGCGAAGACAGCCAGAACTCTCATCCCTAGTAACCGTGGTAGGCGTGCAGATTGCGCTTGAGGTACGTGCAGCAAAGTACTTTAGCTCAGCAATCTTGCCGAAGCCTTTCTCGACAGAGCTTTCAAGGCAGTCCTGCGGAATATAAGGAAGCACCTCGGTCAGATGTTTCCCGACCTTGACGATTCCCTGGCCCCAGATTTTGTCCGGGTCTCCGCGGGTCTCCTTCACCTTCCACGACCCGTCACAGTTAATGTAGGCGACATCTTCCTGGATCTCTTCAAGAACCCAGATTAAGCCTCCACGCTTTTCCATAACCCAGATACTAGCGGAACCCTTTGTCCCATTGCGCTTTTGGATCGGGACTACATCGCCGCACAGCAAAACGCCGCGTGATTTCGTTGCCTGATGATTTAGCGGCCTTGGGGCATAGGTGCTTGACCCATAGCCATCATCTGTCTGAGCTCTCCTTGGAGGTCGTGTCCGAGAAGGCGGTTTACTGAGCAGCTGTGCAGTGACGCCATTACCCATCCCCATGGATCTTGGATTGGCAGGTTTCATACGTGGTTTATCGGGCGATGTACGGAGTTTGGCTGCGGCATAAGTTGTAGGATCCTGCAGTTTAGATTCGAGCCACTGTCGTCGATCCGTCTGTACAACCTCTAAAATACTTAGCTTCCGGAGCTCTGCTTGTGTAACACCAAATACAAGGCATGACAGGTCGTTAGCCGCTAGGATAGTCCAGGGTGCCTTGGACTCGGTCCTAAAGACCGCTTGTGAGACCGGGTTCCATTTGCTGCTATGGGTATGTAAAACCGGCACCGGAAACGCGGATCCAAAAGTTGAGGAGCTAAGCGAGGAAAAAGGATCCGCGGCCGAGTAAGGTTGAGCTAAAGATTCCATCAGCTTGCCCTGATGAGCAGCAGAACTGGCATCCGTGTAAGTACGTTTTAAGCTTACGCGTCTGGATGCTGGAGCAGACTTTAGTCCTCTTATTTCATGAGTTAGTGGCTGGGAGGGTGAAAGATGTTCCGCGGCAGAAACATGCTCCTGTGGCACCTCTTTGACTTCGGGAAGAGGCAGATGGAGCTCCGTAAAGGCCTTCTCGAAGATGTTATCATTCCCCATGTCTGCGGGCCCAGTCATAGGACCTCGCACGGTGCCCGCATAATTATACCTACCCTCTTTCCCCGATATGCTTGATTGGGACATGAGATCTATCATCCCTTGGGTGTCCGGATCGCCACGCATGCGAGCTTGAGGGCTTAGCATCCCAGTACTGCTAGACGCCCATCCGAACCGGTCGCGCATGAAATCAATGGACCTCTTCAAGATATTGTGGCGGCTGTGGAGTAACTCCTCGGATTGTTGTGCAAATGAAAAAGAGTGTAAAGATTCACAGGGGAATCGATGAAGGTCTTCCAAGGCGCTGGCATCCTGACTTGATGGGATGCCCATAGAGTTGGCTCTTGACGACGAAAGGGATCTTGGCGATGGCGAGAGATTTTGGGGTGTGAGAGTGCCAATGGATGAGGTGGACATATTCGGGAGGGTAAAAACCCGAGAGGGTGGTTGTTGGCGGATACGATCTAAGCCAGATGGGCCCAGTCCATGTTCATGTTCGAGGAGAGGAGACCTGGACGAGAAGAATTTTCTCAGCCTCCATTGTCTCTATGAGAAACAGTGCAAGCAAAATGCAAGCAAGGGGATATTTCCGTTTACTAGCCACCACCCACCTTGAAATATGATCGAACGCAAGTGGAAGATTTTCCACCGAACACCCCATCGAATCATTGTTGTTGCCTGAGGGACGTGCAAAGAAAGAATCGGTCTCTGGAGATTCTGAAAGCGGTCCCAACGGGGATGATAGAGGACTTGGATCGCCTGGTTTGCACGATGTTGTTAGCATTAAATGTTTGGTGGCTAGGGTTCACCATCTGCGCATCCAAAAAAAAAAAAAAAAAAAAAAACCCTGAATATGCAACGGGGTGGCTGGAATTATTCCGATTTGCAAATCCAAATCAAATACGCGGATGAAGCAGCAACCCCGATACAGAACCGATGAACGGAGCAACGATTTTCTCATCCCTTCCTTCTTATCTCTCGTTTTCTTGTCCAATCCAGAAAGCATATTTCGATTTGGCAATAGTTGAGGACGGCTTCAAACCCAACCACCTCTTGCACAGAAATCACAAAAAGTTTGCCTTTCCCCTTCCTTCCACCTGAAAGCAACGCGAAACTTACCATCAGAGTTATATGTAGCAGACCCCATCCTTTTCCAGGCGAACAACGGCCTACTGGCCAGGGGCGGTAGGACCGATGGAGAGCAAGTGGTTCAAACTGCGCAATCTCGAATGTAATACGCAAAAAAAAAAAAAAAAAAAAATCTGAGGACTAAAAACGACGATACTGGCGCTACATGAGACGATCAAGCATTGACCTCGAGCCGTCGCTGTGAGCAAAAGGAAAATCTTTTCGACTTTCGATGGTCGTACCTGGACGGCGGCGGGACGTGACGTGTGCACTGAACCGAGATCAAGCGGATAAGTTCACCTCCTTTAATTCCAGACGTTTGGCGGGCACAAAAGCTCAGAAATATATCGCAAAGGGAGACCAGAAAATAATAAAAGGGTTGAAAGAAGAAAAGAAGAATTGAGTCAGTCGATCTGGCACTGTAAGAGAGAAACGGAAGAGGTCAGCGGGACCGGTCGTTGGCCGAAGCCAAAGTGAGCAGCTGCCTCGGGAGGTCACAGGTGATCGTACAGTCGCGACGGAGGACGCAGCACGCGGGGGATCGTAGAATTCAGAATTTCTCTTGTATCGTCGTCTATTTAGGAGGGGGGAAAGTCGTGGCCAATTTTCTGCAAGCTGGGTGCCGTAGTAAAAGGCAAGACCGCCTATTGGGGGGAGGGGGAACTGGAAGAAACTGGGGCCGGTACCAATGCTGCGGGGAACAAGATGAGATGACTCCAAAGGTGGACAAGGAGTCGAATAGCAATGGAATGAAGATGAAATGAAGATGCAGTCGATCGATCGCAGTAGAGGAGAATAATCAAGTCAAGGGAGGTGTGAGGGAAAGAAGGGGGGAGAACTGATGAAGATTTGGTAGCGGGAGAAGGGAGAAGGAATTGTATGGGGGAACTGCTTTTTTGTTTCTTTTTTTTTTTTTTCTTCTTCTTCCTTTGCACTTGGGTTCAGATTCAGAATATGGGGAAAGAGGACTATAAAATAATGAACAAGTCAAATAGTAAGGGTAAAAATGGGAAATTGATGGTGGTACGGATCTCCCGGTCGGAGAAAGAAGAAAAAAGCTAAGAAACAATCAGGAGGGAAGAAGAAGTAGTAGTAGTATAAAGGTCCCCCGAGTCACGCTCGAACAGAACGAGATCTCATAGGTTAGACAAAAGGGTACGTCAATCTTTCTCTGGTGGTTCGATCTAGTAAAGTTGATGGTCAAAAGTTGATGAAAGGTGGTGGTGGTGGTGGTGATGTAATTCAAACCCTCCCCACTTCAACGTCAACCTACTATACTATACTATACTATACTATACTATACTATACTATGTACCTGAGGGCCCAAACTTCCTCCTGTGGCAATTCAGCAGATTTCATCCCACTTACTACGGAAGGACTCTGAGTACGGAGTACTACATCCTTTACTTTTCTTCACTTCTATTAAACCCCTAGCCTACGTAAGGGATTACCAAGGGCCTAGAGGTTCTCACTAGTCATCGGTGTAGAATCCTTCTATTTTCTATATTATCCCCCTTTCCAGCTCCAGCCATCGGAAATTCATGTCGATGTCTCTCTCCTCTTGCCTTCCACAATGGTCCAATATATCTTGAACACTTCTTGGTAGGCCACTTTATTAGCGGACCAACCAAATTCAAGTCCCGTTCCAGTCAAGACGCGCTGATAGGATAGGCAAACGGAACCATCGTAGATGCGGACTAGCTAGTTGCTTTTGGGAATTTACTAAGTGATAGAGGACAGATTGACGATCAATAGCGCAGATCCTTGTCTGATTACAGCAGCCATTGAAGTGGCGTAGTTAGTTACTTGGCTCTTGCTATATAATATTGCGAGTGCAGCCGATGCCGTGAGAGCTTATCTTCTCTCCCAAGTTACAGACAAGAAAAGGGCCAAAAAATATAACTATATATATATAATATAATTCGGGTATATCAGCAGAGAAATTCATGTACAAAAAAGTAGGACACGGCTCCAGCGTTATTCTTGACCCTTAGCCACCCCCAAGGCTCCTTAAAGCCATCCCGTCTGGTTCGTCGTGAGGCTTTTTTGGTTCGCCCTCGCCATTCCCGAACAAGGTACCCTGCTTGGTGCGAATTTCGCCCTGCCGAGTCTGCTCGGGTGGTACAGAAGCTGGGCTCACAAAACTGGAAAGATGTCGGTTGTCCCCAAGCATCCAGGAAAATTCAGGATTCACGAGCGACGGGCGTGCCGCATGTCGCAAAGACATGGGTGTCGATATTGAAGTGCTCAAGGGAAAAGTAGATTTTCTGGGTTCAACTTGAACTGGGGATTTGCATGTAGATTGACTTGTCCCACTGGAGTCTGTAGAGGAACGACTAGGTCCGTCACTTTCTGCAGCTTTCGGGTTCTCGTTGGCAGGGGGGGTTTCGAGGGAAGTTTGCACTGTTTGGATCTCCATGAGAGCTGTTCTGATGGCTTCGGGGTCAGGAGCTTCCTTCTTCTCCACTTGAGAACGAATATCGTTCACTGCCTGACCCAGGGTCTTCGCGAGTTGCAAGTTCCTTTCTTCAAGGCGTTGGATCTGGGATTTCAAGTGATTGACTACCTCGGAATCCCGATATAAGAGTGTCTCGGATGTTTGCATCGTAGCCGAATCTGCGAACCTCATGGCACGTGCGTTATGCTCCGACTGGATCGCTTGCATATTCTTCTTCGCTTCACTAACAGCCCCACGCACAGCCTTGGCTACCCCCCAGGACTCTGTTCGTCGCTGGATACCCTCTGACACATCCTGGAGTAAACCTTCAATGCTCAGAGGGCTGTTCCTGGCTGGTGATCTTGAAGGGGAGCTTGCGTCGCTCCTGTCCTTTAGATCGTTGCGAAACTGGAATCTCTTGCCTGAAAGAAGCTTGCCACTAGCTATCTCGGCTGGCTTTGGGGAATCAGGAGGCTTCCCTGAATATTTGGAGATGATGAAAGCCCCTCTATCGGGCGTAGGATTCTGCTCCAAATACAACCCATCCTGCACGAAACTGACTGGAGCATGGGGCTCCGGTGATGGGTATCGGAGAAGCGTGCTAAGGGCACCTGAGGAATCGGCACTTAACACTAGAGGGGGTCAGTACTTGAGATTTATAGATTGGAAATTTGGACATCTACACTGCCAGCGAACGCGCAATAGCATTGCTACGCATACAAAGTCAACAAGCTCTGGTCGAAGCCCTTCAGCAAAAAGCAGATCCCAAACCACGAGCACATCTTGGAACGGGAATTCGCGTCCAAATAAAAGACGCATCCACCGGCTTTTAGTAGGTTAGTCATTTCACCAAAAAAAAAAAAAAAAAAAAAAAATCATCAATAACAATAACATCTTGTACGCACGTTAGGAAGATTTGAGGTAAAATATCAATCGCTTGTAAATGGTCCGCTAGTTGCTGATCTGTAGCTGCTAGGAGATTATTATGAATATATTCACACTGGTGAACAATTGGGATTGCGTCCATCTGTCCGTCTGTAGAGCGACTTCTATTATGCTCATAATACATCCTAGTATTTTGCATTACCACGCAGAATAGAGTAAAGGAGTCATGCTCGATATAGTTAGGATTCAACAGTTGGATCATCAAGTCGTCCTCTTGCCCTGTTGATCTAAACTGTTCGAAAGACTGCGGATCAATGGCATCTCTGTCAGTAACCCACAAGATAGGTGCTAGTAATTCATGCATTCCTTGACGATAACCGAGGTCGGGATTGAGTTTCGAATAGATGAACAACGTATTGATCATTTTCGCCTTTGTTGCCGGCTCGCGGAAGAAGAAATTCTCTTGTAGACACCTATCGACATCCTGGGATATGTCTGCTCGCATCTGCTCGTCATTTCGCAGATGTTGCCAAGGGGACTTTTGGGAGCTCCAGTCAGCCAGAGCCACCACAAACACGAACTAGGATGGAGCTGCACCTCTTCATCGTCAGCAAGCGGATCAAGGGTTGACTGCAGATCATCTGGATGCTCGATATATTTCAGGAAGTGGTCTTGGAGTGCGACATAGGCGCTGCGCGACTCGGAAATTTTATTCGACCATTCTGCACGATCAAGGTCCTCGAAGAGCAGAAATGCCTACACTCAGGTAAGCATGGGAACACGGGTGCAGATAACCACGAGCGCATGCCTTCCAACATATCGATCTCAATCCATCATTGCATATGCTATCGCCTTGTTCCGACCGAATCGCTTTTCGAAGGTCCGATGACGTGTGACTCTCGTGAAACAGGGTCTTCCATCTCTGTCTAAGTAAGGAGACCGTTAGTTTCGAACCGCGATAGACAATAGAAAGATGAAGAGATCAGAAGAATAAACGAGACCTGGTGTCTTCAATGCCCCTCATTTCTCCATGTGGAATATTTGGTGGTGCTCTGCGATCAGTTTCTGCAGGTAATGAATGGTAGCTGAGATGATAAGGCGAGGGAGGGGTGTGTGTGGATGGGCGATAAAGAGCTGTCGGGGCCCGATCGATGCTCGGGACTTTGAGAAGTTTGGCCCATTCTCCCCACCAACAAGAAGAGCCTTTTCTCATTCCTGTCACTTTCTACGCATCTCTCCACCCAACCCGGCCTCTAGACCCAAGGCTACCATTTTTTTCAGCGGGTGTTCGATACTGTGGGCTTACTTATCCATCGCTATCCGGTTAAAAGGATTCTGTCGTCTCCCGGCATCCTCATTTGCGGACAGTCTTCTCTCGCAACCGTATGCTTGTGCGATCTAGATCCCAATGTCAGCGGACTTGCTTGCGGAGTTTGGGAATGGTGCATCCCATAATCAGGCTGCAGGATCTTCTCGCCAAGGAGCCGTCAATTCTCATACAAGCTCACTGGTCCCTGATCTAGACACCTTGGAAGATACATCTCTCTCGAAAATTCCCAGCGAGGACTTGTGGGATTTTGGGGACTTTCAGAAAGCGCAGACCGATAATAGCAATAATGATGTCCTTTTTGATGCCACCTTGGAGAGGTTTTCAGATGATGAAAGTGATTGGGGCGAATTCGAGACTGCGGAGTTACCAACCGGCGAAGCTCCTTTAGGGAAGGCTGCTCAGAAGACGGATATTTTGGCCCAGCCGACACCTAAGCCTTCCAGCAGCTCGAAATCTACCACTGTATACGGGGGTCTCCATTTGATGGACTCGCTCGACTCACTATCAATTAAAGAGGAGCCAAATCCAAAGAACAGCAACCGCCCAGGCAAACCAGTCGATGGTATCCCAAACACTTTGAGCAGTAGCTTAACGCTTAAGAGAGCAAAAATACCCATTGAAGACGAGTCTTTCGAGGAGTGGGCGGATTTCACTGATGGGCCTCCCATAGAACCAGCCGATGCAGATGCCTCGAAGAATTCGAATGCCCAGAAAGTTTCCAACAATGGAAGAGTTGCGGTACAATCCCCATTTGCCCCTGAAAAAAGAGAGGTACGGACATTGCAGAGCCAACCGGCTCCAAGTACATCTGCAGCTCATGTCCGTCCTACAAACATTCCTCCGCCATCCATCTTACTCGAGCTGTTTCCTCGGCTGTTTGAGCAACTTCGAAAAGAAGGTGCTGAAGCGAAGAACCCCCCCCAGAAAGAGGAGCAAGTGGAAGCCGTGGCTCTTTCTATTCTATACACCTTAAAAGCTGCCGCCAGAGTTGTTGCAGGCCGTCCCTTGCGATGGAAGAGAGATGCCATTCTGAGCCAGAGCATGAGAATTGGGCCAGCACGATCCGGAAAAGCCGGAGGCATGAAGCTAAGCACGGTGAATAAAAACGAGGATATCAAGGAACAGCAGGAGTCTGTCGATGTGATTAATATGTGGCGTGATCGCTCAGCTTTTTTCAATTCCATCCTTCAGGCAGCCGGAAAGCGCCCGGTCCAGGTTATTCAGGAGAACGCTCGAGCTATGCCTGAACAAGGAGCCTTGAAAGCACCCCACGCATGCGCCCTTTGCGGGTTGAAAAGGGACGAGAGACTCTCCAAGATTGACGATAATGTAGAGGACAGCTTTGGGGAGTGGTGGACCGACCACTGGGGTCACACTGATTGCCGACAATTCTGGGAAACTAACATGATCTTACTCAACCAGCGATAACCAGGGGAGGAACATATGGTTCAAAACATGACATGACTGGAATTCTCCCTCTACCCCCACTGCACTCTTCAAGTTTTGTGAGGTCTAACTCACAACCCAAGAGAGCAGCGGCGATCCAATATACAGGTACATGTACGGGAGACCCTCTGGGTATAACGACGATAAAATGACAGATACTTGTACAATAGTATACCACGACGTTCTGTATATCCAACCCCCTAGAATCTATAAGCGAATATAATATTATATATCTTCTATGGGCCAACCTGTGATCATGACTATGGAGTCACGCGGCTGCTTCAAAGTAACCGCATGACGATAATTCATAGGACAATGGCTTATGTATCGCTTGTTCGGAATGCTCATCAAAGATGGGAACCGCCTTGAGAATCTCTCTCTCTAAAGACGAAATTTTCTCTCATTTCCCATGCACTCGAGGAAGATGCGAAGGTTCAAGGAACAAAGTACCTGGGAGCGGGGGATGTGATTGGATTCCGAGGAGCGGCTGCCCGATGGTTGATGATGATGATGATGATGATGATGATGCCTACTCCGTACTCACTTCTCCCTCACCACCACCCAACAACAACAACAACAACAACAACAACAACAACAACAACAGGTCACATCTTCTTGGCCATTCTTGATCACCCGACCACGCCTGCCTTTCGCTTCTTTTGTGGGATATTCTAGTTCGTTAACCTGGAACCTGGCGTGACCAACCAGTCCGTATCCTGCCGGTACCGCAAAAACCCAAGGTGACTTTGATCCTCAGCCTCCTCCTTTTATTAAACCCAACCCCAGGACCAAGCTTTCCCAGTCCTCAAATAACTCGGGGGATAATTCTTTCTGGAGATTTTCGCCCCCTTGATTCTTCTACAAGGCTGTCATCCAATCTTCGAAAGCGAACCCGACCGGGAGAGTTCTCGCAGCTTAGTTTCCGCTTTCAACCTATCTTCTCCTCCCCCTCCCTCTCCCGGCTTGTAACTTGCTTGGATTCCATTCCACAGCAGGGCGGGAACCTCACCAGAGAGAAAACGTACCGTTCATCGGGCGTTCTTTTCCCTCTGCGGTCTACCAGATACTGAACAATATCATCCCGTATATATTCGCTAAGCCCTCGTGGAGCTCACCTACCTTGCCAGGAAACCCGAAGAGTTTCCCTCTTAGTGGTGGTTCTTGGGAAGGGCTGGCAGCAAAAGATAAGACAGGATGGGTCTCGCCTACAACGTCTACCTGACCTCCAACAAAATTTTCGGATGCAAGCAGTGTAAAACGCACCTTGCGGATTATGACGACATCATCAGCCGGGTATGAGATGGCTTTGGATTGCCCCTCCTCCCTCTTTTTTTTTTTTTCTCCTCCATGCTAATCCAGTGGTGTTTTCCAACAGAATTTCCGGGGCCAACATGGCAAAGCGTACCTATTTAACAACGTCGTCAATATCACCCAGTCCGAAGCCGTGGAGCGTAGCATGACCACCGGGCGGCACGTTGTCCGGGACATCATGTGCAGACAATGCAGAGAAACGGTAGGGTGGAAGTATGACAAGGCGTACGAGAATAGCGAGAAATACAAGGAGGGGAAGTTCATTCTGGAAGAAGAGCTCCTGTGCGTGGTATGCTAAGGGGGAAAAGCCAAGTGTACCTTCTCTTCTGCCCAGGGCATAGGAAGACCGGCGGATTGGCAGGCAAGGATCTCGTGAAGGCCTCCTCTCCCATGTGGGCTCTCCTTGCAAGAACTAATTCATATAGTAAGCAGTTTTTTTTTTTTTTTTTTTTTTTTTTTTCTCTCTTTCTCATTATGGCGCAATGTGAACGGCGTTATGATGGAGTGTATTATTTTTTTGGACAAGTTTAAGCCGGGTCAAAGTCATGCTTCATGCTGTGTCATATTCTATCACTGCAGTACAAGAGTTTCTCTAATAACCAATGAGAACTTTCTTTCTTTCTTCTTATTTCACGTATGATTAGAATGATATAGCTAGATGTTTTCCTGCCGGGAGGTTTCCAACATTAGTTAGCTAGCCACAATCCACTCACTTTTATATTTATATAAATTCAAACTACCATAGCACATCACACAGGTCTTCAGACTCTTAACAGTTAAGTAAGAAATCTTGAAAAGAAATGAAATGAAAAGAAAAAAAAAATCCCTAGAGCAAAACTCCCATCTGATCAAGCCACCTACCTCAATCAAGAACCCCCACCAAAACCAGAGGGCCCGTTTATCAGCTACTCGTTACCACCCGATACCAATTATATATATATATATAGATAGATAGATAGATAGATCTAGCGAGGGAGCTAGTTATAGTAGGGATTGGGTCTCTGTTGATTCTACATTCTTTTTTTTATCTACAAGTACAGCACTGAAGATCTAAATGCTCCATTAGTCTGTAGACAGTATTACAAGCTCAGGCAACGAACGCAGACCCTGTATGAAGGGAAAAATGCCACGCAACCATCGGGTACATGAGTGAGGCAGTCCAAAAAAAAAGTAGATATAATATATACCCTTGAATTCCATAATGCAGTCAGGGGGCCCCTCGTCTATCAAACCGGGGCGGTACAATCCCTGAAAATTGTCATACACGCAAAGGGGGTGTTCCAACTCCAAACAACTAGTCAAAAGAACATTCACAAAATTCACACAGGCTCTCATACATGTCATGAAGGTTATAAAGCTGCTATACAGCGATCCAATGGGGGGAACCAAGTCGCCCCACAAAATGATTAAAAAAAAAAAAAAAAAGAAAGGAGGAGGGGCAAAAGCACCGTCCGTCTATTCCTCCATGCGACCAAAAACACCATCGTCATCGTCATCCGCATGGCTAGGGCGGGTACCAAAATCAACGTCGGCGTTACGGGTTTGCCGGTCGGTGCGTTCGGTGTTACCTATCCGCACCCCCCGCTCATCCGACACCTTGTACGAGAGTGAAGGGTTGTAGGAAAGGGAGACAAAGATATCGGGAGTGGAGTTTTGAAGAGTAGCGTCGGCTGTGCGGGTCACTGACTGACCTAGACTCAGCTGATTCTCTACCGAGCTTCTCTGGTCAAGGTAGCGGGATGGGAGCGGGGGCACAGGTGGGATACTAGGAGACATCGGCACCGGCCCGGTTCGGGGGGTTCCGAAATTGCAGAGTCCGATAGCCGCAGCCAGATCGGCCTCGTCGTCGTCGTGCAATTTGGCCTCCGCCGTGGATGGGCGGGTGTCAATGCTCGAGTGACGGAAGTGCGAGAAGGCGGGGGAGGCCCACGGAGCGCTGCCGGTGAAGGAGCTCGACGGGATAGACTGGAAGGAGTGAGAGAAATGAGCGGACGCGTTGTGTGAACCAAAACGCTTTTCGCCCTCGATCAACATATCATCATCGTCGTCGTCGTCGTCCATCGGGGGTGGCGTGGTTTCAGCAGAGCTCAGGCCATCGCGCAGCTCCGATGACGCGTCCGGTGAAGCCGAAGAGGTCTCGGACTCAGCTTCGGGGCTGTCCGAGGGCAGATCATCCAGATTCATGTTGACCAAGACCGACGCCGCTTCCAGGAGCTGGACTTGCTGGTGCTTGGAGATCAAGAGTTTTGAGGTGATTGCCCACGCAGGATTATGTTCCCACCTATTTTTGGAAGAAAAAAAAAAAAAAAGGGAGGGGGGGGAAATAAAACGTCAACCGACTGAAATTTCCGTTACAAGAAAAGGAGAAGAAAAGAACGGGAACTAGTAGGGGAGCTAGATGACCAAGAGGGCGACCTTTTGCAGAGCCAACATGGTGCATCGCCCCAGGCTGGCATAGAGGGGGGGGGGGGAGGATACACACATATGCTTGGACAAGCAGCTGCCATGCTTGTACCCTTTCCCACAACGATCGCAGCGAAGATCGGCCAGGGAACGCTTTCCTTCGCTGGTGACCAGGTGTGACCCCTCGCTGGCCCGACGGTTTCGGTTCTTGGTGCTGACGGGCTTGCTTCCTGAGTCGGTTCCTTCTACGGCGGTTTGGGCGGTGGACGTACGGCACTCATCCGGTTGCTGACTCGGGGACGGCTTGCGAGCGACCGGGGAATCCCGAGCGGGGCTGGTTATACAGCGAGAGAGATAGGAGGTGAAGGCAGAGGTGGCTCCGACCGAGCTGGATTCCAACCCTACGGCTTTTCGGCTTCCACGACGATGGGCAGGCATCGCCATTCCAATCGAGTCTGGAGAATCTTTCAGGGAGGCGGCAACGGCAGCGGCGGCGGTGGTGGTGGTGGTGGTCACACTCTTGCGGCGAGTGACCCGATGGTTGGGATTAACCGCGCCTAGGGAAATCGAGTGGGAATGGTGACGAGGGTTGGATTGGGGGAAGGGGCGCGAGAGAGGTAAATCCTATAAGAATCGACGGGGTGATCAGATTGTTTAGTAACTAACTGCCGGACTGGCCTGATCTGGCACCCGAAACAAGAGAATCCAAGAAAAACGGTACCTTGAATGAAGCCATGATGATGTGTACGTGGACTCTGGGACTGGTTGTCAATCCCAGGAAGAGTCCGTTGGAAGTATTAGAGGACAAAACTGCCACTGTTCTTAGTTGATACTTGATTGAGGAGACCAGTCGAGCTGTAGGGGAAAAAAAAAAAAAAAGAGCTGGCTCAGCTGGGTGCTAGGGGGGAAATGAGCGGGAGAATAGTGCAAGGAATAGCGCAGGGGACCGGTGGTAAAAGAGGAAGGTTCAGGGCACGGATGAGAAGCAATTGGAGGGGGGGAATTGAGAAGGCGAGATAGGAGGGAAAGCGAAATGAAAAGGAGGGGGAACGGAGTGAAAGGAAGAAGAAAGAAAGAAAGAAAGAAAGAAAGAAAGAAAGAGGAGGTGGTCCAGCCCTGGTATGATAATACGATCAATACCCCGTCAGCAAATGGTTGAGTCCAGACAATTACCGCCGTATTACATTGGATACGACGATATTCTTAGATGAAATGGCGCCTGGATTTGCGGGGGGGCTTTTCGGGTTCGGGGCTCTCTCGAAGCAGGGAATGCGGGGGTCTCCCGATCCGATCATGGATTTCGATTTGAGATGAGGAATTTACCAGAATGATAGAGGAGATAGATTCCTCTCTTCTCTTTTTTTTTAATTCTGATTGTCAGTTCAGGTGGTTCCTGACTAACTCCCTTTGGGGGATGTCGAGGTAGTAGGTACCTAGGACCTAGGTAGGAACTTCAACTTTCGTACCAGGTAATTCGAATTTCAGAGTCTCGTATCGACGGGTCTGGGGGTTTCTGATTGGTCCCGAGCTGTTGCCACTCTTATCTTGAATTCTGTACACGGAGATCCAGTCCGCCTATCAGAATCAGCGCTGAGCTCACAGGTTGTTATCAATAATACGTTGGAATACTACCTCATCCCTCGAATGGAATATCAGCCGATATCGGATTCATTCATCTTCTTTCCAGGTCATGCTGTATATATGAGGTCTCCAATATCTGCCATCATCTGGGGAATCCAGGTAACCCCTCATCTGGGATTCTGGCCCAAAAGCAAGCAATAACATCAACATCAATATTATAGACTAAGAAAGAAGACAGGAAAAAAAAAATGACACAAGCAGATCTCCAACGAGCGGCCGACCTCCTCGACGCCCAACACAAAGCCGTCGCCCTCTTCGCCGAAATCCAACAGTCGCTGATCCGTCCCGGCATCACCGAGAAAGCCCTCAGCAACGAAATCCATCGCCTGGCCGCCGAGCGCTACGGCGTCCAAACCCACTGGCACAAACAGGTGATCCGCAGCGGGCCCAACACTCTGCGCCCCTTTGCCGAGAACCCTCCGGACCGCGTCATCCAGCCCGACGATATCCTGTACGTGGATCTCGGCCCCGTGTTCGAAGCCTGGGAGGCCGACTTTGGCCGCACGTTTGTGCTCGGCGACGACCCGCGCAAGCACCAGCTGCGGGACTCGCTCGAGCCGATCTTTCATGCCGTGAGGGCCCGCTTTCTGGAATCCCCCGAGGACGTGACGGGGGAAGAGCTGTTCGAGTTTGCGGTGGCGGCGGCCCAGGAGGCGGGGTGGGTATGGGGCGCCGAGATTGCGGGACACATTGTGGGTTCTTTCCCCCACGAGCGGATTCCGCAGGATAAAACCACGCTGTACATCACGAGGGGCAATCGCGAGCCCATGCGGCGGCCGGGGAAGGATGGCTTGAAGAGGCATTGGATCTTGGAGATTCATTTGCATGATCTGGAGAATGGGTTTGGGGGGTTTTACGAACAGCTTTTGACGGTGGAGTAGAGTCCCGCAACTCAGGAAGGCCATGCTTCTTATATATTGTATCTATCATGACTGCCGTGGTTGTGGCCTTCACCCACCATCTATCAATCTACCAATCAACGTTTCCTCGATCTTCTTGACACTTCCATTCCTCGCAAATTGGAGTGGGCCTCCTCACTAACTGCATTCTTGCCCGCCTCTACTACCGTCCCTGAACCAGAAGATACCTTCCTTTCCTTATGGCTAACAGACTCTTTCCCCGCCGGTTTCCCAGTCTCCCAGTCTCCCAGTCTCCCAGTCTCCCTGGATTCCTGGATGGCCAGATCAGATACTCATGAGTTCAACTCTGTCCGGACCGGTGTACCTCGACAGCTGTCCTAGCTACATCCAAGTGGGTTCGCGCGCGGTCACAGGTACACACGGCGAAGAAGAAGAAGAAGAAGAAGAAGAAGAAGAAGAAGAAGAAGAAGAAGAAGAAGATGGCTGCATAACCATTCCAAGCCCGGTGAACAAACTAACCCTGTCAAGGAGAAACCGGCATCATTCATGTCTGGTCGTCCAGGTGAGAGAAAATATCATGAAACCAGGGTTCAAAATCAACATCCACGGGCAGGCTATCCGGACTACTGGTACTACTACTGTAGACAAGCTCCGCGCTCGTGGCGTCCGAGACACCCATGAAGAGCGGCGCTGCATTGAGCCGATTGAGTCTGAGAAAGTCGGCGGAAATGCGATCAAAGTCGAGTTCCGGGTGGCGCGCCTCTGACGAGAAGATCGTGTCGATCAGCGCCACCCCGCGCTGGGCGAGAACGTCACTCTTTTGCGCGGCGAGTCGGCTGCGGGCGGCGAGGATCGCGGCTCGGTAGTCGTCGTCCTCCTTGCCCGTCGAAGGCGGCGTGTCTGCGGCGGCAGCGCTCACCTCAAAGCAGAGGATGATCGCCGCGGTGATGCAAAAGGCGGAATGGGTCCAGATGAAGAAGTCGCCCTCGTTGCAGATTGTCTCGTGCTCGCGCAGGATGGTCACGGCGGCGGCTACACAGGTGCGTCGGGTGTACTGGTAGGAGGGGGAGGAGGAGGAGGAGGAGCGGGAATTGAACGAGCGGAACAGAAACGGTCGGTGGATCATGATGATCTTTTCGGCGGCGGTGATTGCCAGACTGCGCCGCGCAATGCCCAGCCACGGGAACCGGGCTTCCTGGTCCCTATCCGGACGCAGAAGAAACGGCGGGATCTCCTTGACTGCGGACCGCAGCTGGCGATCAAGACGCAGCACGTGCGCGTATTGTTCGCGGAGTGGCTTGGGCTGGCTCATGGAGCCTAGACCGTCGACGAGCGATGGCATGAGCACGGCGATTTCCCGGAGCACCCGCACGTACGTGCTCACCGTCGGGACGGAGGGGGGCCGTTCTACCAGGTCGGAGTCGTCGGCGTTCAACGGCGGGCCCGTGGAGTACTGCGTGGGGGAGATGCTGTAGGTGTCGGTGAAGGAAATGGCGAAGTTGTCTTGGATGACCAGCTGGCACCAAACCCGCTTTCCGACTTCGCGTTGGACCCTCTCGATCCATTCTTCTTGCGTGTCTGGGGCAGCGTCGTTGATCCGGTGGAGACCCAGGCATTCGGCAATGCGAACCGCCGCATTGAAGAGAGTAGCGTTCAGCTGGCTCAGGCCGAAGTTATGCGCAACCTCGGTGGAGATGACCACGGCCTGCACGGAATACACCGATAAATCGTATAAAAAATGGCAGGTGTAAAGAACATGCAGCATGGACTTGAAGAATTCTTCCGCCGACGGTACCGTGTCCAGGTCGAGATCGACGGCAGCCCTCGCCTTCTTGTTGCTATTCCGCATCGAAAATACCGTCGAGCTCAGGACGGAAAAGTAAAGCGCCATCCACAAAGGATGATCGCACCGGCCTGTTTCCCAGAACACCCCGCACTGCTCGAGAAAGGTCGGAGTGTGGAGACAGTCATGGTGCCAGGCTAGATGGGACAGATGGATCCTGACAAGCGCCTCTGCAGTCGAGGCGTCGACAAAGGAGACATTCAGGGCCTGCAGCACATGCACAGGTCCGAGAAACGGCAGTTTCTGGCTGTCGATCAGAGCCTGGCTTCCATTCGGACTGCTCCGGCTGTATTGACACCCACACCGGAGATGTGGAAAGCATCCAGCCGAGTTCCGGCCCCAGGCTAGATGTTCAATGGCAGTCAGACACAACAACGCATCTGTCGTCTCGGGGGCACAGCTTTTGTCATGGTCTGGTGGCATCAAATGCGAGATTGAATCCGACGGTGGCACCTCCCGGGGAGGAGCATCGCTCCCGGTTTGCAGCTGCGTGATCCGGCCCTTTACATTCAATACTATCTGCGCTAGCTGCTGCTGCTGCTGCTGCTGCTGCTGCTGCTGCTGCGAGGTGGATGGCGTTGCTATCGGAAGGGTCTCCAAATCCCTCACCAGCGAGCTTAGGAATTTGATCTCATCCCCATGGCGGACGGTATGACGGCGCAGCTGCACAGTCTCCCTCGTGCATCTGAGATTCAGCTGCCGACACCTCGAGCAGGGGATGTTGTCCTTGCTGCATCGGCGTTTACTTTTGGCGCATTCTACCACTGACTGTTAGTGGAGTGTGCGCCACCGTGGAGGCCGACAAACCTCGACATGAACGCGGCTGGCGCTGAGAAACGCGCATTGACTGCGGCAAGTCTCTTGCAGTGGCCATTCCTCGAACAGGGCTGGGGGGGACGCTGTCGTCTAAGCGAGGTTAAGATAGGTGCGGGTGAGAGAGAGAGAGAGAGAGAGAGAGAGAGAGAGAGAGAGAGAGGTGCATCACTGCCCCGAGGTTCCTTAGTCAGCGCCTTAGTTCAACTTACTAACTAGATAATGAAAATGAAAATACAGGTTGGTGGTAAATAATGGCATTGTTATGTAGAGAAGCGCCGGCCCTGATTGACCTGGGCCTCCGTGGTGGTGGGTGGATATAGACGCCGCAACTCCCAGTCTACATACCATGTGAGTGCACTTGGGCGAATGCCTCAGACCATCCTTCTTCGCCGGCCCTTATGCGGCGCAATCGCCTTCACGTCCATGGGCAAACCGTCCACGGCGCCTCTTCACGCGCATCATCGCTGCGGATTGCTACTGGACTGTCCTCGCAGCATGAGAAACCGAACCGGGCGGGCGATTGAGCGGATCTACTACTACGAGCGGGATTTGAAATCCGTTACGTTACTCGGGGGGGGGGGGGGGGGGGAGGAAACAAAGACCGAGCTGTCTATGCAGATACGAATCACGACAAGATCGAACTATAAAAATAAAAAAAAAAGGGTTCCTACTTCTCCACCCGCTGAAAACACACCGTGCAAACGCCCTGGCCTTCTTGCCCTCCGAACCGGAAACGAGGATATTCCACCTTGCCCCAGACAACCAACGTATCCAACCCGTCGCCAGCACTCGCGCCCCCCGTAAACCAGTGAATCAGCTCCTCCTCGGTCCAATTGCAGCTGGTCACCACCAAAAACCCACCCTTGCGCACCAACTGCCGCGCAATCCCGGGATACCGCTCGCAAACCCGGGCAGCGCCAGTCCCAACCGTCTCATCAGAGAGCGAAATCGCATCAAACGTCCCCTTGTCAAGCACGATATCAAACCCGCCTTGGTCATAGGGGAACCAGTCGAGTTGGCGACCAGGGTCGATATTATCCGCGCCGGTGCTGGCCAACAACTCCGCATTCGAGCCGAGAATATCCCACTCCTCGAACCGGATCTCCTCCCCATCATCATGATCATCATCATCCGAATGCATCTTCAACTTCTGCAACTCCCGCGCCAACTGCACACTCCGCCCCGAATAATCCACCCCCACCATCCGCCCCCGGAACCCGCCGCGCCGCCTCAGCAGCGCAAGCATGCTTCCATTCCCCGTGCCCAGATCCAGCACGCTCGGCTGGCTGCGGCGCTGCTCTGCATCATCCGCGAGCCCCGCGGTGGTCTTCTTGTCCTCCGCCGCCCTCCCCCTGGGGGGAAAGGTATGGCAGGGCGCCAGCGGGAACTCGTGGCTGCTGAGGAACTCGAGGACTTTTTCGGGTGCGTTGTGTTCGGAGAACCACGATGTGCCGGGGTCGTCATCGTCATCGTCGTCGTCTTCGGAACCATGGTCAGGCCCATCGTCGCGGGGTCGGTTCGGTCCCCGGGGACGGGTAGTAGCGGGTTGTTGTTGTTGTTGTTGCTTTGTCGATAGGTGCGTGAGGGTTCGCGCGTAGAATGTCTCCCAGCTTTTTGGGGTCACCTTTCTTAGTAGGGATCTCTACAGATGTGGGTAGGGATTGTGGTGATGAGGGGGCGGGGTCTGCGAGAAACGTACTATTCTTTTGTGCCTAATTGACTCGGCTCGAGATGTGTCGGGTGGCTGTCGTCTGTGGGGTCTGCCATGGTGGGAATATAATATATGTGTCTGCTGACGATAACTGGGAAGAAATGAGAATTGAAACTGAAGCGGGATGAAAGATGAATAAAAGAAAAAAAAATCCCCTCGGGCCAATCGGCCCGCTTTCACTCTCCCGATTCATGATCGGCCCAGTCAATATAGAACTAATATATAATATACACTTCCTACTCCGGAGAAGATAGTTTCAGTCTATGAATCAACATGTATTTACTAACTACTGTAGCCGGGGTATTCCGCTCCGCAAAGCCATGACGGGATTAAGAAATAATGAAGAAACAGGAACGAATGGATCCGGGATAAGGATTGGCAACGAGAGAGAGAGAGAGAGAGAGAGAGAGAGACAACCCAAGATAGCAAATAGTATTACAAGGTATCAGGAACGAAGTCATCCGAACCTTTTCTGCCTTTTGAACGCCAGGACGCCGGGATTCGGGGATGCCATGTCGAGTGACATATCAAGGCAAAAGAGCAATCAAATAAAACGATAGAATGGCAAGGCACCAAAAATGTATGTAAAGGGAGAAAGGGAATTAACGACCGCAGGCCAGCTTGCGGTCATTGGGGATCATCAAGATGGGGGAATGGGCACGAAGCGGAAAACAAAATCAAGCACAATTGACGACGTAAAAAAAAAAAAAAAAAAAAAAAAAAAAAATACCCGGTGAGAATAGTCATGGAATCATATTTCTCGGCTTTTTGAATTCAGGTGAAGTCACAAAAATTCATCAATATTTCTCATAATCAGTCGCTCGTGTCCCTGGGGAGGGGACCGGGGATCTGCGATTGGAGGCTGGCATGCGAGGTCCGCAGGTGGGATGTCTTCAAGGATGCCCGACATTGGACGGGGACGCTTCGAGGCTAGGAATCCCGTCGTCCGAGGCGAAAAGAGAGCCAGGGACTCATCGGGGTCCTCCTTCATGAAAACATCTCGCTTGGACAAACAAGGCCCGCCCTCCGCAAGGGATGCAGAGGTAATAATGTCCGGTCGCACAAAGCACTTGCCAGCTTCGGGAGAAAAGAAGCTCTGGCGTAAAGCCAACGGACGGGGGGATAGGCTCCGCTTATGCGAAAGCGAATTTGAAACCACCCCTGAACGGGGAGCCGCGATGGGGGTTGTGGTGCGATTCGTCCAGGGGACCGAGAGAGAGCTGGAATGCATCGAGGCCTGCGACAGCCCGTTGGATGACGTTGGTTCAGGATCCGAGCCGCTGCTGCCGAAAGGCCCCAGATTCTCCTGGGCGTTGAGGCGGCCGGAAACCGGGGTTTGCGGCTCGGAACTGCGGCGTGGTCCTTGGGCATACCACTCCTGGGACGACGGCCGGGAAGAACTCTCACGAAGGAGGCGGGAGCGGAAGTCCGTCAGTTGATAGATGAGGCTCATATTGGGCGAAACCCACTGACTCCGGGCCTTGACCATCTCGTACATGGAGTTGAAGTCCAAGTGTCTGTTTTTATACAATCCATAGGCAATGACGAGGGAAGCGGAGCGGCTTGCACCGAGCTGACAGTGCACCAGGACCCTCTTCCCCTGCGAAATGCGGGTATCGATCAACTCGCAAAGTGGGGGGAGATCATCGAGAATTTCCGAATTGTGGTCCCAGCCAACATGCACATATTCGGGTGCGGCAGGCTCGTTCCGGGGGGTGGCGGGCGAGGAGGAGGTTGCGCTCGGGGGATATTCCAACGCGGATTTAAAGGACGCATCCGAAAAGGCTGTAAACGGGGTGGAGCACGACAGCGGCCGGGCGGGGGAGGTTCCATTGCGCCAAGTGCTCATCACCGTTTGCGAGGCATCGCATGAGGGATCGAAGGGATTCGCAACCTCCTTGGCCACATTCACCACCACATCGAACAGCGCGGCTTCTGCCTTGGTGGGCTCTAGATAGAGAAATACGCCCGAATCATAAATGCGAATGGGTCCATTGGGGTAACCACGCTCGCTGCGTCGCGTCGACTCCCGAGAATCCAGATGATCATCCTCTTCGGCCAATTTGTGCAAAGCCGGGGCGGCGGCCTCATCCCCCACGGACTGTACCGGAGAGAGGGTATTATCCTCTGCCGTCGCGGAGGCACGTCGGTACCCATGCTGGGGGAGTTGCATGCCGCCCTTGGGACCGAACGAAGGGGAGAAGACGGAGGTTAGCGAGGGAGAGGATTCGGTGTGTCGCAACGACAGTCGACCATGGGGGGTCTGTGGCGCCAGGTCCGGAATATTGGGGGAGAATGGCCGATCTAACCCGGGCGTGCGAATGGTGAGACCCGCGGGTTTTCGTCGCATCCCCTTGACCGGCATGTGGACCGGAGAGGCGGGGGCCGACAAATGGGGTTGGGGATTCGTTTCCATCCTCCGCGAGGAGTTGAACGGCGGAGGCATCCTCAGCGACAGGTTCTTGAGGTTGCGGGCGCGGCGCCCGGGAGAAGTGGCGCGCTGTGGCATCGGAAGTGCCGATGCCATGGGGGACAGATTGTTCGGCGCGATCGGCATGAAGGTGGAGTAGGACAGCGGCATTGACGATGGGGATTCTGGGGACGAGCTTGGGGAGGGATCCGGCGCAATCGGGGAATCAAAGGTAGAAACGGTGGTGGTGGGGGACGAATCGGTCGAACCGGAGGTCATGGACGAGATGCTCTCGCGGTGCTGGAACGGGAGGGGACGTCGGAAGGGGTTGTTGACGGTGACATGAATGGGAAGTCTGAGGGGGTTGACATCTGCGGGGGGCGCCTTGTTTGCAATGGGGGTGGGTGATTCTTCACCAAACACCGACATCAAGGAGGGGAAGGAATCCGGGAGCAACGGGGGACTGGTTTGAACGGGCATGATGAGCTCTGCCGGGGAGAAAAAAGGTCGCAGTTGCTGCCAGCGCAAACGACCTGGTGGACCGAGGAGAATCAGTTCGAAAGCCAGCCGGGCTGCAAGGGGAAGAGTAAGCCGGCACATCACATACCAGAGAATGCCACTATTGAGAGGGGTCAGTGTATGTGATGAAAGAACGTGGAGAGGTAAAAGGATGCGAGGCGTCAGAGGGAGCGTAAAGAAGATTATGAGTGGGCAGTCGCAAGGGGGAAAGAAAGAGTGGAAAAAAAAAGCACGACTGCCCACAGTTTTGAAGAGAAGCAGACAGGTTGAAAAGCGATGAAGGATGGGGGGAAGAGAGAGAGAGAGAGAGAGAGAGAGAGAGAGAGAAGGTGTAGAGAGAAGAAAGGTGTGGAGAGAAGAAAGGTGTGGAGGTGAGAGGAAGACCGACACCAGGCCGTCAAGAAGAAAAGCAGAGAGAGAGAGATGGATAGAGGGAAGAAAGAGAGAAGAAAGAGAGAAGAAAGAAAGAAGAAAGAAGAAAGAAGAAAGAAAAGAAGAACATCATGATGGAGGTACCCAATACGTACGGTACGGTACGGTACGGTACCGTTCGTTACACAATACCGTACCATTCGTTTCCGGAGCTGATTGGTGAGAGACCAGTGGGCCCAAACAAGACAGGAGACCAATCATCGCCAGGCCTAAATATAGCCGCGCTTAAAGAGCCAGGAGGACATCTCGAAATTATACAGGTTAACGGAACAGGTATCTGTCGAGAGATTGTTCGAGTATCTGGATACCTCATGGATCAGGGCCTCGGTAGGGTTAGGGTTAGGGTTGAGAAGAGATTCCCTAGCAAGTGATTTCACCGCAAACCACCATCATGGAACCATCGAGCCCCACGACGATACAACCTGGTCCTCTGCGTTCCCGGGTCGCCATCGAAAAGGATCCTCCTCGTGACACGGGTAGGACTGACGCGCTACCAGCTCCATCCACAACCACCCGGCGGCCTCCTTCTTTGTCGTCTTCCCTTTCCTCGCCATCGCGGCTTCATCCCCCCTCTGGACCGGTGCTCCCTCGCTTGCCCCAGAGTCGCTTCAGTTTTGAGTACCAGTATCCCCTTCGCAACAACCTCGACCGGCCCTTGTTGTATGACAGACCGCATCGATTGTCCCCCGTGGAAATCCCTCCGCCATCGTCTCCCCTGGACGCCGGCTCAACTGTCTGCGGGTTGAGTCCCAATGCAACGAAGCGTAGAAAGTCCACATTATACTCCCAACAAGCACCCCCGGATGGGAAGAGGAGAATGCCGTCGTCCACCGCGACTTTCATTCAAGGCCGAACGCGCACCGACAACCCCCAGAGCGCCCGAAAAGGGGCGGAAATCTCCATCGCCGATGAGTCCAGAGCCAAGAGTGAGGACATCTTTTTGAATATCGCTAGATCGGACTCGGGCCGTCGCGAATCCCTGGGCCGATCAGACCTTAGACGCGTGAGTACCCCCCCCTTTTTTTTGGCTGTTGGATGGGTTGAGTTGACCAAAGGGGTTGTCGGTTGTCTTCCTAGTCGCGACTGAGGATGTCCGGTAATGGATTCCGTTCTTCCACCTCGCGTGTTCCTGACCAAACCCCGTCGTCGCCCGAACAACTAGTACGCGTGAATACCGATGACAGCCCCTTGCATCATTCGCAACCCGATCCGCCGTCCGTTCCCTTGGCTTCGGCACCGTACTCTTATTCAGCTTCGGCGCATGCGCTGCCCAATTTCGCCTCCAGTACGCGCTCCGTCGTGGGGTTGCCTCGCAGTAGTCGATTGAGTCGCACCGGTCCCGAGCACGAAACAACCCCCGAGCGCCGGTCGTCTCGCCATTCCACGCTTTCGACGATTCGCAGTAGCCGACAGGTCTCTGGCGCCGAGGCCACGGAGCGGGCGCGCGGCGAGCCCGACCGAGCCCGACCGGATGGAACCGAATCAACTCTCTCGACCGCGGCGCCTTCGACGGTGTGGGATGAGCTCGAGGACCTCAAGTCCCGCATTAAAAAATTAGAATTGACCGGAAAGCTGCCGCCCTCCTCCCAAGAAGCCATCATCCCGTCAGCTGCCGGAGAGCGACCGCGAACCGCCACGACCACAGTGACCACCATGTCCTCCTCCTCGCCCCGCCATCGCCGGACCAGCGTTTCGGTCGAGTCCGATACGATTACAGCCCCGAGTCCAATCGTCCCCCTGCTACAATCCGCGCTGGGGAAGGCAAAGGGTCTGGCTAGCAAGGAAGTCTACACGGCTCTGGAAGCGACGGCGACAGATGCCATCGCGCTCTCCAGTCTGTTGGGGACCGGCCACCCCCCCTCGGGCGGCGTCTCGATGGTGAATGGATTCGGTTCGACCGAGAGGCAATCGCGACGCAAGGCCGAGAGTGTGTGTCGGAGTCTGACCGAGCTGTGCCTTGCCTTGTCGGACGAGCCGCATCTCCACCAGCAGCAGGCCTCTGGCGATGATGCGACGCTCCGAATGTCGACCAGTGGCACGGACGAAGGCACCGTGACTCCGGGGGGGTCCTATCGGTGCAGTATCAATCCGGAGCCGGACGCCATGGTGCGGAGGCCGAGCGCTCCTCGCGCCCTGAGTCGCCTCGAAGCGCGGCGTGCGAGTCTGGCAACCCCCGGGGACCATGCTTCGAAGAATAGCGACGCCCTCGCAGACCCCCCAAGGACGTTGTCGCCAGAGAAACCCGCCGCGACGAGCAGACTCAGTCGACTGTCGGTTTCGTTGCGCACTAAGCGATTGCTGCCAGACGATGATGAGCCCGCCGAACCAGCGCGCAGTCCGCAGGCCGCCCGGTCGATCTCGCGACGGATGACGGACATTGGCGGGGTCTCGTCGGCACAACGTCCACCACCACCCACCCGATCAAGGCCGTCGCAGTCGATCTTCTATCCCCCGACCCAGGCGTCCCAGCCCCGAACCCCAACCCCGGCTGCGCAATCCGGGATCCCACTTCGTCGAAGTATGATGACCACGTCTCTCTACACGCCGGCGACGTCTCGCGCCAACATTCTGGCGGGATCGCGGCGGTACGCCCCATCCTCGGCCACGGCGGAAGTCCTCAGCGAGGATCCGCCGCCCTCCCCTCGGCAGCCGGTTTCGCAGACCAAGATCGTTGCGCCGTCGACCAAACTCGCCGCCAGCTACACTCCTATTTCGCAGAACCGCCTGAGAACGAACAGCCTGGGGGCGCGGAGGTTTGGCATGAGGCAGCGCCCGATCGCCACGGCGGGCAATAGCAAATCTTTTGACAACAGCATTGATTGACTGTTTTTTTTTTTTCCGGCATTCCATTCCGTACTCGAATATCACGCAGCGACTCTTTGGATACCTTCTTTCCCGGCGTTCTTTTTGCAACTCTTTGAATGACTTCAGGCCACTATCCTAATGGGGATCTGATCGATGGCATTACCTGACTTGAATGCATGCATACTGGATGATAATTATACGAAGTTACTTTCTTCCTTCTATGTACAACCCGTATTAATTTTTTGATAGACTTGTGTAGGTATTCTTTTTTGAAACTTCGACATCTATTCATTCCTCTAGATTCCTCTTCCCTACCCGAACCCTAATATACGACTCTACTACCCTAATATATACTACTACTCTACTCTACCCTAATATATATACTACTACGACTGAGGGAATACTCAACCCAACGACTGTAAATTGAATATATATAAAGATAAAACTACACAATAACACAATAAAAACAAACAAAAAAAAAAAAAAACAAAAAAGGAATCAATTCAAATTCAATTCAATACCCCCGAAACGCACACTGGTCCCCCCCCTGCTCCCCCTGCCCCCGCAAACTAAAATACCCGCGACTCTCCAGCGCCGCCTGCAGCTCCCGGAACTTACCCGCCTTGGCCCGCTTCTCGAACAGAATATCGATCTCCAGATAGCTCAGCCCCCGGGTCTCGGGCAGCCGCCAGTAGCAGTAGACGAGGCAGCAGAAGGAGCAGCCGGCGAAGAAGAAGCCGGCGCGGCCCTTCCAGTTCCAGGCGGCGGGGCTGAGCATCTGCGGCGTCATCCAGTTGATCAGCAGGCCGGCGAGGTTGTAGGCGACGCGGGCGAGGACGAGGGTTTTCACGCGGAGCCGCGTGGAGGGGAGCTCGGCCAGGAGCACGTAGCACACGGGGCCGATGGTGAGGTTGTAGATGAAGGTGAAGAGGATCAGGAGGGCGACGAGGGTCCAGGATTGGGTGCGTGAGGCTGAGGCTGAGGCAGAGGCAGCGCCCACGCCGCCCGCTGCCAGGAGCACCGCGCACAGGGCGCTCAGCCCTGCTAGGTACAGGCGGCGCCGCCCGACGCGCGGCAGCAGGAACCACGAGAGGATGCAAGCGACCACGGCCAGGGCGAAGGTGCCGATGGTGAAGTTGAAGGCGTTGGTCGTGTGCAGGCCGGCTTGCTCGAAGAAGTACGAGCTCCATCCGGCGAGGCTGGTGCCGCACACTTGCTGCGTGACCCAGACCAGGCAGGCGAGCTCGGTGCGGCGCAGGTCGGTGCGGCGGAAGCAGTCCAGGTACGAGACGGTAGTAGCTGCAGCTGCAGTGGTGGTGGTGGTGGTGGTGGTGGTGTCGTTGCCGGTGAGGTACTTTTCAACTTCGTTGGTGTGCTGCATCATGCTGATGGCTTCGTCGAGGTCGACGGTGCCGCGTTTCGTCAGGCGCCGGAGCGACTGGCGGGCGGCGGCTGGGTGGTGGTGGCGGATCCACCACCAGGGGGATTCCGGGGCCAGGAGGATGCCGATGAAGATGGGCACGCCTAGGGCCCACTGCAGGGCGTAGGGGATGCGGTACGACCACTCCGAGTCCATGGTGAGGAATGCCCGCACCACGCCCGTGGCGAGGAGCTGGCCCCCGACCCAGCAAAGGTTGACGTTGCTGAGCAGGTACGCGCGCAGGGCCACGGGCATCACCTCGGCGGCGTAGTTGATGGACAGGGTCTGGAAGACGCCCCAGGGGATGCCGCAGAGGATCTCGGCGGCCAGGAGCATCTGCAGGTTGACGGCGAAGAAGAAGAGGAAGAGGAAGAGAAACAAGGCCACCAGGGCCACGGCCATCGTGCCTCGATATCCGATGCGGTCCGCGAGGATGCCGTTGAACAGCAGCCCGACAATCTCGCCCGCCGCCGCGGCGCTGGGCAAGCCAAACTGCCAGCGCGCGGGGATATCAAACTCGCCGTTGCGCAGGCGCTCGCCGTATTTCTGCTTGAACGGGGGCAGCGAGAAAAAGTTAAACGTGAGGAGGATGTCGAAGCCCACCATGGCCAGAGTGGACGACACGAGCATCGACCACGCCATCGCCTTTGGATACAATCGACAGCCGTTCAAGAAGGTGATCCTCTGCTCTGCTTGGGTGGCTGCGCGAGCGCCCGAGCCGAGCAGCTGGAGGTCCGGCAGGGCCGCCGACAGGTCGCTGAAGAGGTCAGCTTGGCTCGAGGCCGCCGCCATGGACTTATCCATGCCCTCATTGCTGCCGGAGTGATGGGATTGGGACACGCTCGTGGCCGAGTAGTCGGGATTCCGGCATGCTGCACAGGGTGCCTGTGGAGGTATCGGCGGGTCCGGGTCCATCGTTCACCCGGATACTTGTAAAACGCGATGCACCGCGATCTTTGGGGAGATTCAAGGGGGATCATATTATTATTATCCTGGCTAGAAAAGTTCGTTAAGTCGTTTGTGGTGTCGGCGTCATGTCACCAAAACTCCCATGGGTGGCTCAAGCCTAGACCGAGATCTGTTCCTTTCTTACCGCGGTTGGGATTCAATCTCGATCCGGAACATGAACTTTTACCTCAAACCGGGAGAAGAGAATATACAGTAGACAATTCTCACACGTATTGCGGTCAGGTCAAGGACGGAGAGTATACGGAGGTGATCCTAATGAACTCCCCTAACCCTACCCAATACATCCATAGCAGCGGCATCAACACATGATGAAGAACATTATTGAGCAGGAGGAGTATACTCACCAAGTTAACGAGCAGGAATACAAAGTGATAGTTACAGAAGACTAGCCCTTCGATATCTACACTGGGACAGTTCGGATAGTTGGATTTCTCACATAAGATCTGTCATTCATTATTCGTCAACACCTCCTATCTTGCTCCTTTTCCTGCTGGATGATCTTGGTATCATACATTGTTTGGGCCGTCCATTAGAAGCGACAAATCAGAGGAATTGAGGAACTGCATACTGAGACAGGGTTCACGGGGATTGATGGTGCAAAGGACAATTTTTCGAACAAAAAGTATCCGTTCCGCAAAAGGGGAAAAAAAAAAGAAAAGAAAAGAGGGAGATCTCATGTAGACGGAATAAAGATAAGGGACGTCAAACCGTCCGTTTTCGGTTCATAATTGGGGTTCAGGACGTAGGAGGCAAAGCGGAGACAGAATAGAAGGATGTGGGAAAGGGAGAGAGTACACAGGAGAGAAGGCCACAACCACCCTGATGTCCAAGGAGAGGACGCCCAGAGATAGTCAAGGGAAATCAATCCTGGAAAAAGACATGCCATGCCCCATAGTTCTCCCAAGTTTGGAGTTATGAAGCCCTACATAATCCCATGAGGATTGAGTGGGCGTGGTAGCTAACATTTGGAACGGGGATGCAGAACACTGGCTCCTGATACTGATAGACCCAACTCCAGACAAGGCGAGACATATATTAGGGAGAAAACAGAGGCAAAGGACAAAACGTGATTAGGAAAAAGGAGAGAAAATAAAGACACTGGGGCGAATTCTGGTATTGGAAGAAGAGAAGAGGGTCTTTTTTTTTAGAAAGGCGGCGAAAACAGTACAATGCCGGGGAACGCCCTCCAGCCACCAAGGTATTAAAAATAAATCATTCTTGCAGTTGACTGCGACGGGTCTTCTCGGCCTCCAGGTTCTCGTACAACAGGTACAGAGCCTTCTCATTCGCCTGGGCGCTTCCCATAATGGTGAACATGCGCTCGCCAGTATCATCATGGGGGGCCTTGGCAATCGAAATCCGGGCGCCAGAGCTTCGGCGAATCTCGGTGATCTTGGTTCCGCCTCTGCCAATGATGCAGCCAACCATGTCAGCGGGGATGCTGATATTCTGGGTCTGGATTTCCTCGCCATCTTCGGTGACAAGGGGGTATCCGCGGCTGCTGGTGTCGGGGTTGGACCGCCTTCCATAGCCACTGGACTGGTCACTGAAGTCGGCGCCGTTGCCGGTACGGTTGTAGGGGCGGCTGCTGTAGCTTTCGCTGGTGGTGGTGTTGTGGTGAGTCGAAGTAGTACCACCAACTGAGGAACGGACCGCCGGGTTGTACAGAATGGTGCCCGTTCCGCGTTGCCAATCATCGATGAGGCACTTTCCGATTTCCCAAATGGCCTTTTCGATTCCTTCGGGGGTTCCTTGTACCTCGACAATGCGCTCGGTCGATTGGGGGAGCATGTCCTTTTGGGCCACCATGCGCACCCCCGAGGCATCCTGGATATGCTTTATCTTCAAGCCCTGTCGTCCGATGATGGTACCCATCTGGTTGTGGGAGATCAGGAGTCGCACGGCTGGATCAAGTTAGCCAAAGTTGTCAAGATCGTTGGGGTGGCTTACGATGAGTCCCATTGTTGGAGACGATGCCGCCCATGCCCATCTGCGGGGCACCTTCCAGCAATCCCTTGGCGACAAAGGCATAAGCTCTGGCAGTACCACTCAAAGGACCAGTCACGGTCAAAACGCGGTCATGAACACCAGGAACAACCTTGCTCACACCAGCCTTGACGCCAGTCTCATCGCGCAGGTCGGCCACGTTCTTACCCGCCTTACCGATGATGACACCGGCTTCTTTGGAGGAAACGATGGCACGAAGAGTGAGCATAGATTGAGCATACTCTTCCTCCGTCTTGGGGGTGGTTTCGATGTCAACCTCATCGCCCACGACATCAACCATAGTCTCGTCGGCGACGGGGGTTTCGTGAAGGTCGTTAGAATCCATGTCTTCGAAAATCGGGAAGTCGTCACACGGGGGGAAAGAGTTGATGGAAGAAGTCAAAATTCGCCTACTATGTGAAAAAAAAAAATTAAAAAAAAAATATTAGCTCATGACGCGTATAGAGGATAGAGAGACTGTTGGCTAGTTTTCATGCGCACGAGATAGGTAGGTATCTTTTCGCGACCAAGCCAGAGAACCGAAAGAAAAGAAAAAAAAAAAAACAAAAAAAGGGGTCAGATAAAAAACTTACAGAAAAGAGACGAGAGAAAATGGTATGGGTGAACGGTAAAGGGTCCTGAAGAGCGAGAGGAAGAACAGATGGTGGAGAAGAAAGGCGAAGAGGGGTTTCGATGGGCGGGGGAGGTGGAGGATGGGAAGGAATCGCAGGGAGAGAAAAGGGAAAGGATGAAGAGGAAGAGGAGAAGGGGCGGAGGGGCGGAGGGGGAGCGGAGGGAGATATAGGGAGAAGGAAAGGAGATGAAGAAGAAGAAGATGATGATGATGATGAAGTTGGTAAGAAGGATGAAGAGGAGAGAAGAGGAAGAGGAGGAGAGAAAGAGAGAGAAAGAGACTTGACTAAGAAAGAAAAGGTTGGTTGGTTTTTGGGGCGGGAGAAAAAGGCGGAGGAACAGAACCGGTTTACTTTCCTACAGATTCTCGCTTGACATGCTTGACATTCAATGAGATATTGGGGTTCCTGACAAAGAGAATTATTGAGAAGTCGATTACTTGATTTTACTCGTAGCAATAAATCCTTAAAGGTCACTTACAGACCATCACAGTTCTATTTTGATACATGTTGAAACCGACAAAGAAAGTAGAGAAAAGAAAGTGCCGCATGTTTGCACTGTTTGACTCTCCAGCCACAATCATCAGCAGTGTGGCGGTGTGGCGTGTCAAGTGTGGCTTGACTTCAGAAGGCCACCTGGAGATTACTTAACCGGAACTTGAAGTTGTTGTTGGTAAAGGTCAAGGTCCATTCAACAAGAGCTACGTCTTTCCATTTCATCGGTTTTGTTGCGGAGATCATGAGGGCATGGTAGTCACCTCCATATACCCTTCTCTTGCACTGCAATCCATCAATCCCTGAAACTCCTCCCCCTCTCTACTCCCTCCGACCACCCTGACAAGCACAAGCACAAGCACCCTATTCCCAGACGACGAGATAGACTGGATTTCTCCTACTGCAATTCCTGCAGTCAGCCCGCTCATCATGAGTTACATGAAGAAGGATGAGGATGCTGATCAGTCTATGATTAAGCTGGATCGGACCTCTGTCTTTCAAGATGGTAAACGACCACCCATTCAACTGCCCCTACCCCCCTCTCTCTCCCAGCGGGCGCACCACGGCCTGCGAGAGCTTGTAAATGTGGATTTTTCTGACTGGCTTTGAACTATCAGCACGACTGTTTAATACATCGCCAATCTCTCCTCGACAATGCCGCACCCTGCTCACCAAGATCGCTGTTCTGCTCTTCACCGGAGAGCAGTTCCCGACAAATGAGGCCACCACATTGTTCTTTGGTATCTCCAAGCTTTTCCAGAACAAGGATCCCTCGCTCCGCCAGATGGTCTATCTTATTCTCAAAGAGCTTGCAAACACCGCGGAGGATGTGATCATGTCAACCAGTATTATCATGAAGGATACGGCAGTCGGTAGTGATGTCCTATACCGAGCGAATGCTATCCGAGCTTTGTGTCGCATCATCGACGTGAGTTGCTTCTATGCCACCGCATCTTTCATTGGCACGAAATCTGACCGTTTATCTCTTGAAGGCTACCACCGTACAAGGTATCGAGCGATTGATCAAAACTGCCATTGTCGACAAGACCCCGTCGGTTTCCTCCGCGGCCCTGGTTTCCTCGTATCACCTCCTCCCCATTGCGCGTGACGTCGTTCGCAGATGGCAAAGCGAGACTCAGGAAGCGGCGTCCTCCTCTAAACAATCGACTGGTTTCCTGGGTTTCGGTGGCAGTTCCCAGGCTCATGCCATCTCGCAGTCGAATTTCATGACCCAATACCATGCAATTGGTCTTCTGTACCAGATGCGCTCGCATGATCGCATGGCGCTAGTGAAGATGGTCCAGCAGTACGGAGCGGCAGGTGTTATAAAGAGCCCCGCCGCCCTTGTTCTTCTCGTGCGACTCGCCGCCAAGCTAGCCGAGGAGGACCCGGGTCTGAGGAAGCCGATGATGCAGATGCTAGATGGCTGGCTCCGACATAAGCATGAAATGGTGAACTTCGAGGCGGCCAAGGCGATCTGCGACATGAGGGATGTCTCCGACGCAGAGGCGTCACAGGCCGTCCATGTGCTCCAATTATTCCTCTCCTCTCCCCGCGCGATTACCAAGTTCGCCGCTATCCGTATCCTCCACCGCTTCGCGTCGTTCAAACCCCATGTTGTGAATGTGTGCAACCCGGATATTGAGTCCTTAATTTCAAACACCAACCGTTCCATCGCTACCTTTGCTATCACCACCCTCCTGAAGACCGGCAACGAGGCTAGCGTCGACCGTCTGATGAAACAGATCTCGGGCTTTATGGCCGATATCACCGATGAATTCAAAATTACCATCGTGGAAGCCATTCGCACTCTCTGCTTGAAGTTCCCAAGCAAGCAGGCTGGCATGTTGTCTTTCTTGAGTGGCATTTTGAGGGACGAAGGTGGCTATGACTTTAAACGCAGTGTGGTTGAAAGCATGTTTGACCTCATCAAGTTCGTCCCGGAGAGTAAAGAAGATGGTATGACCCTTTACACCCACTCCCCCCCCCTGTGTATAAACTAACTCTTATCAGCCCTCGCCCACCTGTGTGAATTTATTGAGGACTGCGAATTTACCAAGCTGTCCGTCAGAGTCCTGCACCTCCTTGGTGTGGAGGGCCCGAAGACATCGCACCCTACCAAGTATATCCGTTATATTTATAACAGAGTCGTTCTGGAGAACGCCATTGTTCGTGCTGCCGCTGTTACCGCTCTGGCTAAGTTTGGTGTCGGCCAGAAGGATCCCGAGGTCAAGTCTAGCGTTTCCGTCCTTCTTACCCGTTGTCTTGATGATATCGATGATGAAGTCCGTGATCGGGCCGCGCTGAACCTCCGATTGATGTCTGAGGAGGATGAGATGGCCAATTTGTTCGTCAAGAATGGTACGTTTTTGTTTCCCCTTCTGGAGCTTTTTCTTCTATCTGTTTTTTTTTTTTTTTTTTTTTTACTGATCCTTGTAGAATCAATGTACTCACTGTCTACGTTCGAGCATCAACTCGTCATGTATGTTACCTCGACGGATAAGGAAACCTTCGCGACAGCATTCGACGTGGCGACGATTCCTGTTGTCTCGCAAGAACAGGCCCTGGCCGAAGAGCGTACCAAGAAACTTACCAGTGCTACACCCACCCTCAAGGCCCCGTCCGCCGGACCTCCAAAGGGCGCCAAGGCAAACGGTGTGGCGGAAGCTGCTACCGCCGCTGCCACCCAGAAATACGCGGAGCAGCTCATGCAGATTCCAGAGCTCAAAGCATATGGAACATTGCTCAAATCCTCTGTTCCGGTGGAGCTCAGCGAGAGCGAAACCGAATACGTTGTCACTGCCGTTAAGCACATTTTCAAGGAACACATCGTTCTGCAGTATGATATCAAGAACACCCTTCCTGACACTGTCTTGGAAGACGTGACGGTTATTGCGAGCCCGTCCGAGGAAGATGTCCTAGAGGAGGAATTCATTGTTCCTGCACCAAAGCTCAAGACCAACGAGCCTGGAATTGTTTATGTCACCTTCAAGAAACTCGAGGGCGAGCAGAGTGTTCCCGTCGTCGCGTTCACCAACAACCTCAAGTTCACCAGCAAGGAAATCGACCCAACAAGCGGCGAACCCGAGGAAAGTGGATATGACGATGAATACCAGGTCGAGGACCTTGAGCTGACAGGCAGCGATTATGTGATTCCCACCTTCGCTGGCAGTTTTGATCACGTCTGGGAGCAGACTGGTGCCAATGGCGAGGAAGTCAGCGAGACGCTCCAGCTCAGCAACATGAAGGGCATTACAGGTATGTGATATGAATAACCCCGATAGTATTTCATTCGAACCCCTTGGGAACAACTGTCCCTAATCCTGATCCAGATGCTACCGAGCAGCTCATCTCTGCACTGTCCCTGCAACCTCTCGAAGGTACCGACGTGGCTCTCGGCACTAGCACCCATACCCTCAAATTATTCGGAAAGACAGTACTAGGCGGCCGAGTCGCGGCTCTGATCAAGATGGCCTACTCCAGCAAGTCTGGAGTTACGACCAAGATCACCGTCCGGGCCGAAGAGGAAGGTGTTGCCTCGGCTGTCATCGCATCTTTGGCTTGATGCTGTCCACTGTAAATGGTCATGGAACGTGGATGGAGTTTCCCCGACGAGTCTTGCATCATGAAAATCAGACTTGTCTGACTCTTCTTTTCTATCTTCCTTTTTTTCTTCTTCTTTCCCCTTTTGTATTTCCCCCCTTTCCCCCCCCCATCTATAATCCAGGTGTCGAGTTAGATGCGATGAATATTTTTTGTGTAGGCGTCCAAATCCATTATTCCATGCCTTTTTCTTCTTCTTCTTCTTCTTCTTCTTCTTCTTCTTCTTTTTTTTTTTTTTTTTTTTTCCTCCTTTCTGATGATTGCATACTGGCAAGTAAAATTAAAAGAAATTTTCCGTCTTTGTTCCTTTTGCGAGCTGTATTACTCGCCTATAAGGTCGGTGGCTAGTGAGGTAAGTAAATATAGTTTATATATTTATGTGTGTCAGTAAGTAGGAAGTACCGTGAGACCCCCCGGAGAGTCAAGACAGTAAATATACCCAATGTTTCAACAAAGCTATAACTTTTTTACAAATCATTCAGGGGGTTTCCCCCCATCAAGAATCAAGAACAGCTCCGTTTATCTAACCGAATTCCCGGCAAGACCAAAAAACAGAACGGCATGTCATGCATGAATCATAAAAGCCTCGACTAGATTATACGGCTCAGACGTAGTAAACGCCCGGATCCACATCCGAAACAGACCTGTGCGCGTCCGGGCTGGTTTGCACGGACGGACCGGATTGCGCGCGTCTGGTGAGAATCTCATCGATCTCGTCGTCATCGACCATGCGGTCTTCGGTGCAGAACACCTCGGAAAAGCCTACGGCGCGGAGATTGGGTACGGCGCCGTGGCGCCGCAGCAGTCGGAGGAGCTCAGCGTGGGTGAAATAGAGCGCGGCGTCGAAACTGGGGTATCCGAATTCGAGGACCTCGAGGGCACCGGAGCCGACGTGGTAGAGGAGATCCAGGAACGTGCTCTCGACCAAGTCACCGGGGATACTGAGGAAGGAGAGATTGGGGAGAAAGACGAGGATGGCGTTGATGGATTCGGAGCTGAGGTGGCGGTTGAAGCCGGAGACCGTGAGGCGCTTCAGCGTACGGGCTAGGTCTGGGCTGCTTATCAGGGTGCTGAGGGTTGTCTCGGAGAGGTCGGCGCAGTTTTTGAGGGTTAGGGTTGTGAGGGACGGAGGCCAGGGGAAAGTGGGCATGACCAGCGGGGAAAAGCGGCCGCTGAATTGGAGGCGGCGGAGCGAGGGCGGCCAGGGGATGGAGAAGGACTCGGAATCGGAGATGGAGGTTGATTGTGGGAGACGGAGCGCGGTGAGATTATCGAGTCTGCTGACGGCCCTTTTCAGCAGGGGGAAGGGCATGGCGTCGCCCACGAGGGAGAGATCTAGATGTCGGAGTTTGAGGCATTTGGACAGCGCGGGGAGACTGTTAGATCTGCGGATGGGGAAAGCGGATTTGTTAGTGATGGGATTCGTGGTGGGTACATGATCCGGGATATTAGGGGCTGATTCACGAGAAGGACACTCTGGGCGCAATCAGAACCTCTAGATTCTCCTTGACCCGGCCTAAAAGCCTCGCCGTCAAACTGGGCGAACTGTGGTGGACGAGCGAGCTGAGATCGAGTTTGCGGAGAAACGCTCCCAGATTCCACTTGCTCTTGCGCACCCCGATCGGGGGACTGATTGTAGCCGTGAAGCTCCTAAATGAAGCCCCCGAATTCAGATGCGGTTTCTCATAGAGGAGCGCAATCGCAGCCGAGTACCACTGTCGTGATACTAGACAGCAGGCGTGCAGAGTTGTCTGGCGGGCGAACTCATCCGCGGCGACGAAAATCATCACCTGAAAGACGATTTCCGTCGGAAGATGGATTTGTCGTGCCGAACTCATTGAACCGGATGAATTCGGCGAATGCCATCATCGAGTTTATTGCATATCAGTCGTAGAGGGGAAGTTGTGGTTGCGGTTGAAATGCGGCTCCGGTGGATTTCCCATGACTTCTTGTTGTGCCGGCAGATCATCAGGAACAAGTCAACAACCACCACCTTTGCGCTCTTTCTCACTTCCACATCCCCTCCCTCTTTTTTTCTTCTGCTATTATCTTCAAGTCGCCCCAATTGCTCGAGACTGCTCTCGAATTCTGCAAATGCGGCCTCAAAGACTCTGGAGGTCCTTGGGACTGATCCAACGCTCATCCGCTCGCTCCTTTCTCCCCGCTGGTCCCTGTTCCCGGACCATACGGAGTCTCAGCTCTGCGTCCCGAGGGCCTGATTTCGCCTTTGCCTTTGAGTAAGCTTTGGGGGTTGCTTTCCAATCGTTGTTAGTTACTACTGTTTTCATTCTCTAATGGTCGAACCTGTATCCAGCATCGATGGTGTTCTCCTGCGATCCTCGAAGCCTATACCCGGTGCGGCCGAATCCCTAGCCCTCCTACAGAAAGAAGGAATTCCCTTTATTCTCTTGACAAACGGTGGCGGCAAACATGAAACAGAACGAGTCGCGGAGATAAGTGAGAAGCTACAGGTGCAACTAGACCCATCCGTTATTATCCAGAGCCATTCCCCCTTCGCCGAACTCGTGCGGGGAACAGAGACCCAAAGCCCGTTAGAGGATAAATGTGTGCTGGTCGTTGGAGGAGACGGAGATCAGTGTCGCCAAGTGGCTGAAAGGTAAAAGGACCGCCATATATTCATGCCAAACGCCGTGTAGTCGCGCAAAGTTATCTGACAAGTTCCCCCGTTTGGGCATGTAGGTATGGATTCCGGAACGTGATTACACCAGGCGATATCTTTATGGCGAATCCCTCCATCTGGCCCTTCTCTCAAGTATTTCGCGACTATTACAAAACCTTCACCCGGCCATTATCGCATGCTGGCGACGCCAGCGATCCCACCAAGGGCTTGAAAGTTGACGCCATCCTTGTTTTTAACGACCCACGAGACTGGGCGCTGGACGCCCAGATTATTATAGATCTCCTGCTATCGTCGCAGGGAGTACTGGGGACATTGTCGGAAAAGAATGGCCGTTCGGATCTCCCCAACCGGGGGTATCTGCAAGATGGACAGCCGCCGCTCTACTTCTCGAATCCGGATCTATGGTGGGCTGCAGCCTACAGCCTGCCTCGTCTAGGCCAGGGTGGCTTCCGCGAGGCGTTGGAAGGAACATGGGCTGCTATCACTGGTGGGCCAGGAAAAGGTGTTGAGCTAACCAAGACGGTCATTGGCAAGCCCTCGCAAGGAACATACGAATTTGCCGAGAAACAGCTTCGACGCAACCTTGCGAAGGATTTCAACTCGGACTCTGCCCAGCCCCTCCTACAGAATGTTTACATGGTTGGGGACAACCCGGAGTCAGACATCCGAGGAGCGAACTCCTACCGCAGTCCGTATGGCAGTCAGTGGCAGTCAATCCTCGTCCGCACCGGAGTCTATCCTGGGGGGGAACCGGCGTGGACTCCGAAGACAATTGTTGATAACGTCCAGAGGGCAGTTGAGTGGGGGTTGCAGCACTCCAAGTGGTAGTTTAGAGCGATCACCCCATATCACTGACCCAATGTATATATATCCCTTACGAGTGATTGGGTTGTATTGTGTCGGTGTCTTGCCTTCTCTCGATGAAGTCACTTTCTCTTGCTTTCTACATAGAATATGAGATGTTGACAATGACCGCTGCTGAGACCAAAACGGTCGCATTAATTAGTTATATAATACAATATCTAAGCCATGGCTTTAGGGAGGAACAAAGGAATACATAGGAACTGCTCTTTATACATTAGGTAGTTACTAGATCTGGATTGCTGCCTCAGGCCGCAATCCATGACACGTGCCCCGCCCCCTCGTAGGGCTTAGGGTTTGCTCCATCCGGCGGGGTGCAAAGGAACTTGAGTCCAAGAGACAAGTCAACGTCTGCAATTCTCGACGGTTTCCTCTCCGGACCTCTCGATTCATCCATTCCCGCCCCCGATCCACTCTCGCAGGTACACCATGGCCGATTCCGAATTGCCCATCCGTCCCAAGCCGGAGGAACCTCCCGCAGACGCCCCCGCCGCCGTCGCCGTGGAGGGTGAGGAGCCCGGCAAGATTAGCAAGAGTGCCTTGAAGAAGCTGGCGAAGGAGAAAGCCAAGGCTGAGAAGGCTGCGCAGAGAGCGGCGCAGGAGAAAGCCCAGGCAGCTGCTGCCGAGGCCAGCGATACCGCGAAGCATCTCTACGGCCCTATGCCCGATTCCGAGGACGTGCTTGCGTGCACGCGATTTTCCAACATCAACGACGAACAATACGAGAAGGAAATTACAGTGGTAGCCCGGGTGGATAATGCCCGAGTACAGAGCGCGAAATTGGCCTTCCTGATGCTGCGACAGCAGGGTCAGAAAATCCAGGCCGTTATTGCCGCGGCAGAGCCCATCTCGCGGCAGATGGTCAAATATACCGGCGGGTTGAATGTCAACTCCATCGTCCAGGTCACTGGTATTGTCAAGAAGCCCGAAGTGCCCATTGCCTCCGCGACCCTGAGCAACCACGAAATCCATATCCGCAAAGTGTACATGATTGCCGAAGCGGCCCAACAACTCCCCATGCAGGTCAAGGATGCCGAACGACCCCCGCCCGAGACCACCGACGAGGGCTTCCAGGTCGATGCCGATGGCGCTCCGATCGTCACCCTCAAGACCCGTCTCGACAACCGTGTCTTGGATCTCCAGACCGCCACCAGCCAGGCTATCACCTGGATTTCCAGTGGGGTGGCCGAGCTGTTTGCAGAGTATATGATTAAGAGTGGTTCTCGATGGATCTTCACACCCAAGCTGGTCGGTGCGGCTACGGAGGGTGGTAGCAACGTCTTCGAGATCAAGTACTTCAAGAGAAATGCCTACTTGGCTCAGTCCCCCCAGCTGTACAAGCAAATGTGTATTGCCGGGGACATGGAGAACGTCTTCGAAATCGCCCCCGTCTTCCGTGCCGAGGACAGCAACACCCACCGACACTTGACTGAGGTATGTAGTAGTAGTGTAGTCGTCTGCCCATCGTTTTCGCGCGGGTTCTGGTGTAAGCTGATCTGATTCTCCCCGTTCCAACAGTTCGCTGGTCTCGATTTCGAGAAGACCTTCCAGTCTCACTACCACGAGGTTCTGGAGTTCGCCGAGAATCTCCTCGTCTTCATCCTCACCCAGCTCAAGGAGCGATACAAGGAACAAATCGCCATCATCCAAAAGTCCTATCCCAAGGCGGGCGACTTCAAACTCCCCAAGGACGGCAAGGCGCTGCGCCTGAACTATATGGATGGTGTGGCAATGCTGAAGGAAGCCGGCGTGGACATGTCCGAGCAGGAACGATTCGAGAACGATTTCACCACGAACATGGAGAAGCAACTGGGCCAGATCATCCGTGAAAAGTACGACACCGACTTCTACGTGCTGGACAAGTTCCCCATGGCTGTCCGTCCATTCTACACCAAGGCCTGCCCCCAGGATCCCCGATTCTCCAACTCGTATGATTTCTTTATGCGCGGCGAGGAAATCATGTCTGGTGCCCAACGTATTAACGACGTGAAGGAGCTGGAGGCATCGATGGCCGCCAAGGGTCTCGACCCCAGCCAGGAAGGCTTCGAAGACTACATCGCTGCGTTCCGCCAGGGATGTCCTCCCCACGCTGGTGGTGGACTGGGTATGAACCGTATCGTCATGTTCTTCCTGGGACTGCCCAACGTGCGTTTGGCCACGCTCTTCCCCCGTGACCCCCAGCGTCTGCGCCCTTAAGGGACCACAAGCTGGGACTGGTATTTTTTTTTTTTTTTTTTTTTTTTTTTAGAATTAGCCGTATAAAAGACAAAAAGAGCATAATGGAAATCACGACTGAAACTTTCATCACCACGAACTTGGAATGCGAATTGTTGTAGACAGTATTAACTAAATATAGGTACGAAGTACTAAGTAAGTACTACTGAGCGTACCTTTGGCGGTGGCCCAACTGCATATGTACATATATGTACATAAAGCTCCCGAACCACCTCGCAAAATCCCAACATCATCAACCACAACAACACCTCCAGTGCCCAACATGTCCGGCAAGAGAAAATCATCCGGCGCAGTCTCTGCGTCCTATCCGTACCCGAAACGCGCCCGACCCTCTTATGCACACGACGACCAAGAAGACGACGATCCCCAGCGCTCAGTGACCCCGTATGAACGGCCGCGCAACCATCCGGTATTCGGTCAGAAAAGCGCCTTTCCGGGCCTCGACACAGGTGAAGGAGATGAGCTCTTCTATGGTCCAGCAGAGGATGGGTTGGAGTATCTTAGGATGGTCCGGTAAATATCCCTTCCCCTTTTATTCTCTTTGGGCGGTCTTCTTGCGGGTTTCTCTGCTTTGGTTCTGGTTCTAGCTTGCGAATGAAGCAGGTTTGTGCTCCCGTTTGTCTTTTTTTTTTTTTTTTTTTTTTTTGGCATACTTTAGGTGGTTCTAAGGGCGATGGCTAACATGGGCTCTTTGTAATACTAGGTCTGAGGCTAACACTCTGCCCACGCTTTTCACCGCACCTACTATCGAAACAGGAGAGGGCATTGAAGAAACAAAGGAGGTACCGGTAGAGGTTCAGGCGGAAGAAGAGAAACAAACAATCCCCGCACAGCGTATCCGTGAGGGAGTCTACTCAGATGGGGTTTATCTTAGTCTTACGAAAACCGAACCTGCGCCGGTGCACGCGTACTCCGACGCGCAGGCCTGCTACTACAACCTTCTCCATCATCGATTCCTTCTTCTCCGATCGATTCTGAAATGCACGCCGCCTTCGGAGGCGATCGTCGCTCTCGACGATTCCCATCCGATCAGTCTTCCGCGGCGGTCGAAAACCGCGCAACGGGAGTGGCGACGTTTGTTGCTCCAGGTGGATCCTCAGACTGTGCAGCTGGCCTGCATGGATATGGATAGTGTTCTGGGAGTGTTGGGGATTATGGCACGGCTGATGTCTGAGAATGTGCGGAGCGGGAACACCGTCTTGGTCCGGCGCATTGGAGCCTGGGCTTGGGGGCTTCTAGGCAAGTGTCGGGATGTTGGCCAGCTGGGGACAGAGGAGGTTGGGGATATCCGGGAACTTGGGAAACGGGCTGTGAAGATTCTATCGAAGATGAGAGAAGAGGAGAAGGAGGGACAGGCGGAGGAGGAGGAAGAGGACGCCGAAGAAGAGGAAGACGGATACGAATCTGACGTGGAGAAGAATATCGATGGGCAAATGCAGAAGGACGAGAAACAAGAGGAAGCTATAATAGTCGGCGATACTGATCCTACCGCCGCTGTCGATCCTGACCAGCCCGACGCGGAGAAAGCCCCCCCGGGCGACGAGGAGCTTGAGCGTGCCAAAGTACAGCTTCGAGCCCAGATTTGGGGCACTGAGAATGGATCCGCCGCCCAAGAAGCAGAAGAAGGGGATCAGTCTCCCGTCGACGATGAGGACAGTGGGCTCGATGTGAGCACGCAAATCCGTGCGATGCTCGACATGATCATTACTGTTGTTGGAGAGCACTATGGCCAGCGGGATTTGTTGGAAGCGCGCGAAACCTGGACTTGTGAGGCTGCAGGATTTTCTGAGATATAATCCATGTAAATTGAGATACCCTGAAAGAATTTAAGATGTATAATCACCTGTATTTTATTTGAATTGCCAATAATGCAGAAAGTTGTTGAAACGCCTCGTGTTTTTAGCCTTACATATTAGGCTGTGTGATGATTTGAGCTTCTTCTCCAGTTCCGTCATTCAACTTTCACAACTTCATCGTCTCCTTATTCTTCTCGCCTCCTTCCATGGAGCTCACCACGACGACTTTATTTTAGAATTCTCACAGTCCACTGACTGATAGAACCATGGCCCCTCCGCTAGAAATCGCCCTCCCAACCACCAGCATCTCGCCTACCTCCCCGGCCTACACTCTATACAACATCACGCTCCGCCTCCCCCTTCGCTCCTTTGCAATCTCTAAACGCTACTCCGACTTTACCACCTTTCACACAACCCTTATCGCCCAGACCAATGCCGCGCCGCCCCTTCCTCTTCCCGCGAAATCCTGGTTCTCCAACACCGTTTCGAACGCCACTCTCCGTGAATCCCGGCGCGAGGGACTCGAAGCCTACCTCCGCGCGATCAACGAAGACGAGGACTCCAGATGGCGCAGCTCACCCGCCTGGCGCGCGTTTCTTAACCTCCCCAGCCTAGGAAACGGCAACGGTGCTGACACAACGGGCCACACGGCCTCTACCCGGCTGCATGCCGCCGCCACAGAACCAGGCAGGGGCGGCGGCGGCGGCGGCGGCGGGGCATCGATTACAGACCCGACACTCTGGCTGGATTGCTACCGCGACATGAAGTCCCACCTCCATGATGCGCGGTTACATCTCACACGACGAGACCAGGAGACCACGCCGCAGAAGCAACATGAGAGCTCCGCCCGAGCGAAGAGCAGTCTTGTGCGTGCGGGGACGCTGCTCACGGCCCTGGAAGACGGACTCAGGAACCTAGCGGAGCCGAACGGGGCGGGTTCCGGCGAGGGGACTGGCAAGGCTGTTCGGCGCGGAGGCAGTTCGACTTCGCTGGGGGAGGGGGAGCTGCGTCGACGGAAGGATCTGCTCATCAATTCCCGAAAGGAGAAGGATGGCCTGGAAGATTTGCTGAATGCCATGGCGGCGAGAAGTCGCATCGACAACGCAGTGGCGTCGATCCAGGACAAGGAAGCCCTGGTCGGCGCTGCCGCGGGGAGGAAGCCAGCAAGGTCTGGGAGAGTGCTTGGTCGGGAGACGGAGCGGACGCGCGAGCTGGATAACCAGGGCGTGGTGCAGTTGCAGAAGGACATGATGCAGGAGCAAGACCAGAGCCTTCAGGACTTGATGAAGGTGGTCCAGCGCCAGAAGGAGCTGGGGATTGCGATCAATGCGGAGTTGGAAATCCAGAATGAGATGCTGAGAATGGCGGACGAAGACGTGACCAGGTACGTTCTGTTTTTGTTTGCGCTCTGATATGCGTTAACTCTTCTCTAGGTTGGAGCAGAAGGTCGATGTTGGGAGGAAGAGACTGGGAAAGATTTCCTAAGTGGGAATTAACCTGCCTTGTGTGATGGAATTGGCTCTATATAGTAGGGAGTCATTTTCTAGCTCTGGTATTCTTCTTGGAGCTAGCTACTGATATTAGGGTATGTGTAGGTTATGTAGAATGAAAGTCCCTAGAACCTAGGAACTATTCCTGTGGTCTCTGGGGGGTTTGTGCATCTCTGGTTCATGTCCAGTTGAACCCATGTCATTACTTGTATCCACAGTATAGAAAGCTAACCAGATTCCCTATCATATGGCTCCAAGTTATTCACGATACATCAAGGCCTACCTACCCTAACCAACGTAATCCCCAACTCAGGCTCAACATACCCCGAAGTCAGCCGAAAATGCGTCGCACAACGAACCGCAACGGGCGACCTTTCATACGCCTTCACGCGCACACGCGCAAGCAGGAAGCTCAAATCCGCGATCTTCGCCACGGGGACAGACCCCCCGAGTTTCCGGGGCTGAATCTGAAGCACCATTGTGGCGTCGTCGACGGAATACGACGCCAGCACGTTGAAGCGGAGGTTCGAGAGCATGGTCGCGCCCGGACCGGAGTATCCATCCGCAAGACATTTCCGCGTGAAGTCGCCCACGGGGATCTTGATCGTGACGTCGAACAGGTCCCATTGGTAGCTGTTGCCCCTGCAGATGATGGAGAAGATGAGGTCCTGCTCGTAGCTGTGGCTTTTGAGCTGCGGTGAGGATGGGTCCGAGGCCGGGAAGACGGCGCAGTGGAAGACGGGGGCGTCGGATTGCTCGGTTATTGGGGGTTGGGCTTGTTGACGGAGTGGTAGAGGGAGTGTGATTGAGGTGAGTGGGAACAGACCGCGCGCGAAGTGAGGCGGGATTTGCGGTGCTATGTGAGCTGCGTCGGTGATGCTCTCGCCGGAGCGGATATAGGTCGCTGGTGTGCCTTGATCCGGGGACTTCCATTTCTGGCGTTTGCGGATCGGGAGACGCTGGATTCGAGGCTTCCATGGGTCTTGCACGGTGGTATTAGCGTTCGATGGGGCGGTTGAGGAGGAGGAAGAAGAAGAAGAAGAAGAAGAAGAAGAAGAAGAAGAAGAAGAAGAAGAAGAAGGAGGAGGAGGAGGAGGAGTGATTTCGAGTTGCCAGCAGGGATCGTTAAGCTGAATACCCATCATGGCGGCGGTGGGCTTGGTCTCTGTATAAGGCAGTTTGGATTTGAGAGCGTCATAGACGTTGCGGGCGAGATTCTCAACGTGGAGCATACGGATATCCTCAAGCTCTGGCTTGCTGCCCCAGAGGTACACCACGCCTCGGTCATCGAGAGGAGATCCAGCCGGAGGAGGATCCGTCACGCGGGTCCAGGTCTCCGTTGTTAGAGGATGCCCACGGTCGTCATCAGAGTCATGGCCCTCTTCGGAGTACATCTTCTTGTAAGGGATGGAGATGGTACTGCCTGTGAGCGTCTTGGCTAGAGTGAAGCACTGCTGGTGCGGGGGCTGCGTGAAGATCAGGTTATAACTGGAATCCGGCGCCTGGGTGAGTAGACCTAGCATAATGCCGGGGTCGACAACCTCATGGCGGGCCAGCAGGCAATCGGACGAGATTGCACTGGTTGACGGCATCGTGGATTTCACCGTGACCCTGAGATCGGGGAACTGCGTCACTAGATTTGACCGTAAGAGGAACCCGTACATGGGAACCGGAGGCGCCTCGTCAAGTTCAGCATGCGGCAGGACATGATACCGGAGCAGGGCGTTGTGGATGGCCTCCCGGGCCCGGTCCTTTTCCCTGTCGACGTGGTTTCCTAGACTTAGGGCACCGTCCACAAGGGCATGGACCCAGTTCTCATCGATGTGAAAGAAGCGCAGGCTTTCCTGTGGCAGATACGACATGTCGGGCACCAGATAATGGAACGGCACTGGGATGAGAAACCGCAGATCCAGCACGAACCGCAGGACGACGGTCCAGTCAGCGGAGTAGGGGATGTTGTGCTCGTCATACGGGGCTGGGAAGACGCCCTCGTCTGCTTTCTCCACCTCGTCCTGACTCTCTCTATAACCGCTCGCAAGTTTGTACGCGGCGCGGTTTAACTCATCCTGATACACCGCGTCTACCAACGTGCTATCTAGCGAGTGTACGGGAATTCTTTCCGGGGGACGCTGCCACCGGTGCTCTCTGGGGAGATCCTCGGCCAGAGACATATGGGCCAGACCCTCCGTAAGACTCTTCAGGCCCCGGATGAGCTCGCGCTTGTCTTTGAACGGCACCCCAGTGGCTTTGAGCACCTGGATTCTTGTCTGATCCGTTCCTTCTTGTAGGATGGCTTTGCGCACGCGACACAGCGCCGCCGTGAAGGTCGCGTCGGCCATGGCTAGGGCCCTCCCGAGATTCCACGCGGTTGAGTAAGATATATCCATAATGCCCAGCTTTCGATCGAGGATTTGCAACGACTGGCCTGAGTTGGATTGTCGGCCGTGGAGCTTATTGTCGACCATCGATGGTACGAGTGGACCGCGAGTTAGGGCAATCGTTTCATCGCCGGTTTGAGTGCGCCAGCGGACCAACGAATACCCATCTTGCAGTCTCTGATGGACCAACCTGTACGACGGATCCTCGTCCACCGCATCCTTCGGTGGAAGTGACACCAAAGCTGGTTGAAGCATCGTCCGGGTCTCCGCCAGATTGCTCATAGACCCGGGGATATCCATCATCTGCGGCGGAAGGCACATATGTGTCCAGCTGAAGAGCGAGGGAAGCCCAACCACTTTGTTCGGATCAAGCGGGAAGTCCATCTTGTACACGCTCTCAATCGAGACCAGGTGCGAGACCAGCATCGTGGGCTTGTTGCCACTGGGGGGACCCGTCCGATGGGAGACAACAATGCCAAATGAGCGCTCGTGGCTTTCCTCCTCTGCGCCTGCATGGGCCATTCCATCCGTATGAATGTGCCGCACATGGGCCAGAAACCGATACCGTGAGACATCGCACTTGGTCTGCGGCTGCGGCTGGCCATGGCGATCAAACGTGGTGACGAGAGGCGTGAAGATGTCCGGTCGAACGAGGATCACGCTAGCCCTTGTTTCAGTCACGCCTTCGATCCTGTGAGTAGGAAACACAGTCTGGTCGGGGTCGAACTGCCTCAGATTGGCGACATCCAGATCGACAGCCATGGTTGCGGATTGGACGCGTGGCTTCTCTGGCTTGGGCATGCGCGCAAACAGACTGTGCTCCCCGTTCAACTGGTCCTCAGACAGGCGCAGTTCATCCACCTGGAAGGTCAAACACGCAAGCCATGGCACTCGGTTGGGAATGTCATCGGCCGGTGGCTTCCTCTGGGACAGTTCATCAGCGACCCTCTCCCACGGTAGAAGGGGGTCATTCAACACGACATGCGGGAGACAAGTTACTGGGGCGCTGGCACCAGCAGCCGGAAAAGTCGAGTATATACAGTCTGCTGCCAAGGCAAATTGAGGAGCTAGAACGTTAAATACCTGTGTTTGCGTTGGCAGCGTCTTTTCCGGCGTCGTGGTGTTGGCCTTGACGGTTTGATCAACAGACACCTGGTATGTGCCTGCTCGAAGCCCCGGAACATACGAGCTGGACAGTTTCTGTTCTCCAACCTGGAGTGAAAAGCGAGAGGCTTGCGTTTGGATCCCACGGAGAGCATTAAGTCGATGACGGCGATGGCGTAGCACGAGATAGCGACCAGAGCTGACGGGTTTGGAGTGACGACGCGCGGGCGGCATATTTTTTTTTTTTTTTTTCTTTTTCTTTGCTTCGATGCACTTCTTTGCCTGAAGATGGATAAGAGGGGAAAGTTGAATTCACTTGTATACGGGGGAACTATACGATAGGATGTCTCTTGGGAGCTGAACAGCTTCGGAGCTACAGGGAAGCCCTAAATCAAGGCAAGTTGGAGAGACCCAATCATCGACGCCGTCACCCGAGTCTAGAACTTGTGTCCCCCCTAGTTCAAGCAGGCTTCACGGCTTGTCCGACTCACGGCTAGCTGATGAAGAATACAATGATACCGCATGACAAGAGCTCCTGCGAGAGAAGGTCGCAATTGGAAGCGAAAGGCTCACACACGCAGCCGAGAACAGCATAAAAGGCGGGCGTTCTGGCACCGAAGTTCAATGGAAACAGATCTCATCCTATGCTCATTATTGCAACAAAGGTATAGCTCTTCGTTCAGAAATTCTATCTTCCGCCATCATGTCCGAGATGTCCAACGCCATCACTGCCATCATCAACCCCGTCATCGCCGGCCCCAAGCCCGTGCAGGAGCCTACCAGCTTTGAAGCCAATGGCTCAGACAAGGACTCGGAAGAGAATGGGGATACTAGAGACACCCTGCTCTTTGAACTGGGAGAGAAGAACCAGCTGATCCTGTCGTATATCCCACTGGAGGAAAACAATAAGTCGGTGATGTATAACGACAATGGGACTATCGACGGCAATGCCACCAGGCCGAACGCCCTGACCTCCGTCTACGTGAAAGGAATTGTATGGAAAGCCCTCCCTCCTTTGTGTCTCCTCCTTCCACCACCTAATCTCATGATGCTAAGGTCAATGTCTTTGGTCTTACCGAAATCCCCACCCCAGCGCCGAATGGAGCAGCACGTCGTAGGTTCAACATCACTCGTCTCAGCCCGATCCACAACCCCGTAGTGGCCAAGAATCAGCTCTACACTCACTACGGCGCCCTGGCTAGTGCATCCGATGGTGAGACGGTTTGGCTATACTATCTGCAGGGGGAGACTGAGGGGGAAGCGCCGACGGTGATGCAAGCCGCGCTCAAGCGTGGCGTTGCTCCGACGCTGAACACCTTGGGTATCAAAGTCGTATCGAACAGTAAACTAGCTGCTCTTTACGACGCAGAAACCAACACGCGGTCTGTCATCATGCAGTGTGAAAATGAATCCGAGGACCTATTCATCAGGGTGGCGACGATTGATGCAAATGATAAGACTTCCAGTGCGTGCTCTTCCCCCCCCCGCCGCTCTTTCATCTGAGCTTATGCTTACGCAGGATGGCTTTTTGCTTCTTCTCCTTCTTCTTCTTTCTAGGTGTCGATATCTCTGGAACCTCGAATGCGCTGAAGGGTACGCCCCTGGCCGCCACGAGTATCGGCTACGGGCCATCACGCGTGAACTACCTCTACCTGGTCGACACCACGCGGCACTTGCACCGATCAACTCAGACTGGCAAGGGCAACTGGGCGAATCCCAAGTTGGTTGAAAAAACCAATGAGCAAAAAATGATGAAGGATTCACAGTTGGCGGTTGTGGCGGACGAAACCCATAATCACGTCTTTTACATTGAGCACCAGAACCCGCAGAATGGGTACCAGAACCACCGGGATGACCGCAAGTGATCCGCTTGGTCGGCATAAATATCCTGTTACTGTATGGAGTAGTTTTAGCGCCTCGTACGTTAGTACATACATTAGCACACTGCTGCATTCGCTTATTTGGACCAGGGGGGAATGGAAACTTAGTGGCGAGCTGAACCCCCGCAAATGTACCAAGACACTATTCATGTTGTCTGAAGTAATCTGTAGCCGACGGGGTCTTTTCAATAAGTAACGGATTCGTGGCGATGAAGGGCTTACTCCAGAGCGTGCTGGATCTGAGAAGCAACCAAAGGGGAGAGAGAGAGAGAGAGAGAGAGAGAAAAAAAAGAAAAAAGAAACTACTAGTGGAGCTTAGAACTGCTCACAATGGCATTAGCTATACCCATGAAACTAGATGCCTTTGTCTTCAACAAGGCTGTCTGTAATGGGAAGAAAGATGACGCCCGAATTGCGCCAATCAACCAGCCCAATTATACCTTCTTGCGCATGGAGAATTACATGGCACTGAGTGACTTGCTGCCCCATACCGACCTAGAAAATGCCAGTCCAGCTTCGCGCAACTCCCGATACACGGATCTGGGGACGAGAGAGCCGCGGACCTCGCGGTGCGGCGTGTATGTGCATTGGTCCCTTCCACGAGCTTTTCGAGGAGGAGAGGCGAAAGCCAGCACCGACCAGACCTCTCGTACACAGCCAGCGCAATCAGACAAGCCGCAGAAGGATAGCCCGAAGGAGAACGATGATAATTCTGCGCCCTCATTCCCGCTTGTGCCAAACCGCTGGCTGGTGATCCGCAGTCTGGACCCCGAGGCCAAGACGACACTTCCGCAAGGCGCGTCCATCCCTGCTGTGACCGCATGGGTCATTGAGAGCGATTGTATGCGAAGAATCGATGATCTGGGGCTTGACGTGGACCTGCAGGTGGACGTTTCCCCCTTCATCAACTCCGTGGCGACAAAGCACCCGGATCAGATCCTGATGAGCGAACAGGCCGAGGTCTTCATCGGACGGTGTACGCCTGTCAGCGAGTGGCAGAAGAGACAACAGGAGGAGCCTGCAGACCGAATCGATCTCACAGTGGCTAGCAGCTCCAACCAGCTCTTCCCTGATTTCCAATACCACTGCGGAAACGTCTTCTCCATGCTTGATACCTTTGCGTACACGGAGAAGGGCGAGAAAAAGCATCTTACCGCAGCGCACGCAGATTACTATGTTGTTGGATGGCAGACGGAGAAAGACCAGGATATTCTGGCCAAGAAAGGAACTGATCCAGAGAACAGGACGCGGAGGGACCGCCTCGAGGCCCACGGTCTGCAATTCCCAGATGCTGTACTGAGCGAAGTCAAGGACTGGTTGAAGAATTCAGACTCGGCGCGATCAATCTGCCACGGCGCCATGTACGACGTGATCTGGGACCTGGAGGAGCTTCCCCCCATCATCCCAGCCAACAAGTGTGGTGCGAGATTGGGGAAGCCCTCTGCCGTCGCGGTGGGCACCACAGCGATGGAGACGCTCCTGACCTACGCAGCGGCGCACCACCACCCAGACAGCCTGGAGGGCGACATACACGGACTGCGCACGTATTTACGCGCCGAGGATGATAGTCTGGACGCGCAAGAAGCCGCCGAAGATGAGGTGCATGATGGGAATTTTATGCATCTGGACGGCGGGACACATCACTACTTTGGCCATCAGGACGAAGACCACCCTGCACAGCCACCCCCGGACACGGTGAAGATACAACTGGGCAGGCTGAATGCCGGACAGCATTTACTAGATGCAATGATGCGTCGCAAACGCCAGCTGCAGTGGGAGATGTTCGCCACCTGGTGGAAGTATATCTCTGATATCGACAACAAGGACAAAAGCAGAACCCCCATCTACAAGGTCGCCGTGCAGCAGATCCAAGCAAGTTTGCACCTGCTCCAGCTTGCCATGGATGGACTCCGGGGCCAGATGAAACCCGCCACGGACATCATCAGCGGTGCCGGCGCAGCACCCAAGGCCGGAACCCTACGGGAGTTCGTCCAGCAACGCGATCCAACACTCCTCATCGCAGGCGTGCAGGCGGGGTGGCCGCGTGATTTCCAAAAGCCTCTGCCGGTCCGTCTGAAGAAACATTTCGTGGTGTCTGATCCGCCGCCGTCCTTGGATAAGAACGCGTTTGGACTGGAGTCGAAATGTGTGCCTGACGACCTCGAGGAACCGATCATCGCGCTGATGCAGGAGTTTCTGCTGCTCCGGAGAATGAAGGTCTCTGATCCAACCAGAGGAACACAGATTCCGCCTCTCTATCATGATCCCACGTATGTCGGGGATAACATCCCCGTCGAAGACAATCCCTTTCGGGATCACTGGGCGGATCAACAACCGTGGTTCCCGCTGTACATTGAGTGGGAGGGCCTCTACATAGATATCCCCTTTGAAGAATGGCGCCTACAGCAAAAGCAAACCTCTCGGGGGACGCTAACAGAGTACACCCAGTACGTTGTGAAGGAGGATCTCTCTAAACAACAATATAGAGATCGACGTGTACTCTCCGGCCGCAATCTCATCCTTCCTCAACCGTCTTTCACGTTAAAGGCGCACATTCAGCGGATCCTCCAAATCATTCCTCCAAAGGAACTCGACGAACTGCTTCCTGAACCACGACGTACCGAGATCGAGAGCAATATCGACCGTTTCGCCTTCCTGTCGGCCCCTCTGTCAGGCTTCACGGACCACCTTCTCACGCTGGCCACCGGGAGCCATGTGAAGCCGCTGGTGCGGGCTCCAGGGAAACGTCCCATTGCGTTACGAGACGCAGTCAAGGTCGGCGCGGCCATCGGGCTGGAGCCGGCGCACCTTGAGCTCATCGACACGGAATCAGATCCCACCCCTTACGGATCCAACATGAGCCTGGTAGGGCACGACGAGTTTTCGGCCTTCAAACCTGTCACCCATGGTCAGTTTCGCTTCACGCGGCTCAATATTATCGACAAATTCGGGCAGGCCATCAGCGCTCTCCCACTCCCCGCTGAGGGTGAATCCCGCGAGCGAAGGGCCCTATTCCCCTGCGTGGCAGACTATTATGCACCGCAAAGTCTCTCCGAGGATGGCGAACCGAACGTCATTGAGCCACATCCTCCTGGAGCCGTGAGCCCTAAAGACTGTGAATTCATCCAGCTGCCACCAGCCATTAACCAGCCAGCCCGGCTGAATGCAGCCTTCCTGTCGCTGGACCATGAAAGAGACACATCCAAGACGAGCGGCTTAGGTGATCCCTTCTGGCGTCCCTCGTCGGACTGGGAAAGCCCTCTCTGGGGCTGGGTCATGGTCAACTACGTCGACCGAAGCATCCAGCTCTTTCTCCCCGACGGGAGGTTCTATCGGGAAGTGCGTGTCACAGAGGGCACCAATGCAGACGACGTCCAGTGGCAGCCCTTCCCACGTCCCAAGGACCAAGGCGAGGCGAAGAACCCGCAGCTGGAACGACTTGTCCGGCATCTCATCGACCCCAAACAAGAGTACCTACTTGAATTCATCGAGATGATCGACCACGCGCTACGGGACACCGCGCCACCCCCCGCTGCCTATGGCGCGTTCCCGAATGCCCTAACAGGGCGTCCGCTGGCGCTGGCAAACCTGGGCATTTCACTGGAGCTTTCTGAGAAACCCCGAGCCAACCAGTCGACTGTCCGCGATCAGCAAGGCCATCCAGGCCTCGATCTCCTGAAGCGTTACAAATTCCCCGTGAAACTGGGCAACGCTTCGCGGCGAACAGACGGGCTAATATGTTACTTTGACAAATATGACGAGACAAGGACAGCCGCTGATCCTGGTCCGGATCCTGATCCTGATCCTCGCGGCCCCGGCAACGACCTAGACTTGAAGAACATCTACACCTACAGCTACGACAAGGAAAAGAGAAAGGCAGAGAAACCCCAACATCTCAACCCGATTCCCGAGTCGGATCTCCCAACCCTCGCAGTGTACTGGGACGACCCGGAGAAATACATCAAGATCTCGAACCCCAGGGACATCGACGCTACGCCCTACGAGGTCTCCCGGAACCAGAAGCTACGGCCCTTTGGCGCGCTGATCGACCCTTTCCTGCCACTGCATGCCTACACGGGCATTCTCCCGACGCAAACGCTCCGGTTGCCGACCTGGACGTGGGAATCAGCCCTCAAGAAGATTGTGACTTTCTTCCACGTCGGTCCGATCCTGGTGCCGGGCGACGTGCCTCGATTTGACATTGCGCAGGAGCTCTCAGAGCAGAAATGGGAACAGCAAAAGGGGAAACCGGGGACTCAGCCTACAGAAGGACACGAGGTGCAGCTGCCGGCGTTGGCCGTAGCCGACTGGAGTTGGCTGCAGCCTTATGCCGTGGAAGAGAAGAAGACGGGACCTCTGGCGGTCCAGATAACTGATGACCGGGGGGCCAACGATGAACCGAAGAAGTCGAAGAAGTACATGGCGCTGGGGATTCGTCATACCACGCCACAAGTCGACGGCCAGCTTGGTCCCCACACCGCGATTGAGGGCTATCTGCAAATGAACACCGCGATGGAAAGTAAGGGAAAGTAGGGTCCCGGCGGCCGCGGGGGTCTCGGCCTTGTTCCCCTGCATGATAGCATCGAAGTAAGACGTTGTAGTTCCTCGGCGGGCTGATAGTGTCTGGGGGAGGGGGAAATTTTAGGCGCAGTGCACGAATCTCTTCAGCTCAGCCAGCCCCAGCTTCTATAAATCAATATTAGGGTTAAAGTAAGCAACGCTACTGCAAGTTCATTCAGTATTATTCGTAATACCGGGGTATTCTCATCCTTCGGTTTTAATGTCGGTTCGAATATCCATATTCATCAATATCAGAAACCCCCCAAAAAAAGAAAGAAAAAGAAAGAAAAGACCCTCTCAAAACATTGAAGTAATAGCGGAATCACAGAGAGTAGGAATAAATCAACAATGGCAAACGAAGAGTGGGAGGTTCAAAGTCATCATCTCAACATTGATGAAGGAGATGCAGCGGTGCACCTTCTCATTAAGCACACGACGGCACGCAGAAACACAGTCAGCCGAATCGAGAAAGCCGTGTTGATCGATGGCGGTCGTGTCGAGGGCCAGGGCCATATAAAGAGCATGGTAAACCACCTCAGGCACGGCGGCGACTATGATAACCAATTGCAATATTTCGATACGATCGTCATCACGCACTGGGACGGCGACCATGTAGGAGGGATCAACGCGTATTTCAGGGAAGAGATTACACGTGTGACGCTTAAATATGTCGAGGAGGAGGAAATCGAGGATGTCGACGTACTCCAGAGACGTATCGACAGAAACTTGGTACCCTTCACCGGCGCCTGGAACAAAAGCTTCACCCATATCTACGCGCCTTACTGGAATGTTGAAGATTCCAACACGGAGAAATATAAGGAAGTGACCGCGGAGCCACCAGGCCACTGGGAGTTCACGGAACTTCCAAATAACGTATATCAACTCCGGCTCAGGTATACGTGGGGGGATAAGGGAGACTTCTGGGTTCCTGTCGGGGTTTTGGGAACTGGCAAGTCCCTGCTGGGGATGGACTTCTTCACTCATCAACGGCCATACACGAACGCGCATGAAGCGGAATCCCCGGGGACAGTGAGTAAACGTCTTAGGGGAGCCTCGCCCGTCATGTTCTGCGTTGCTGTCGATATGATAGTCTGTGCTCAGAAAAAGGTCCAAGACAGAAAGGACCATATGGAATGGGATAAAAAGAATCTAAACAATATCCAACTCAAAATGGCCAAGCATAGCCAATCCATGGGGTTTCCGAAGATAAACGACAGCAAGGGACACAGAGCACAAGGTGAAGTCAACCCATCGAGTATCACAGGCAATACTACCGGTAACAACGAAGCCTCAATTGGCTGTATGATCATCTGGCCTAACAATGCTGGTCCAAGAGTTACGCACTGTTTCTTCGGGGATATGGGCGATGAAATGGAAGAGAATATCCTCCTCTGGGCAACGGAGGTCACGTCAGATGGAGTGACTCGTACTCCAGTCAAAATGGACTGTATCAAGTTGTCTCATCATGGTCAATAAACCCTATTACCCATTACCCACATTGCTTTCCAGATTGGCTCAACTGACAAAAGGGACTCACTCCTAGGCGCCAAATTCTCCACTCCAGTCCTCATGCTTCCAGCCTGGAAACCAGAGAATATCATCGCTCCAAATGGAATGAATGCGCACCATAATCATGTCGGTATGGTACACTTGGAGTCCTGTCTACTTGCCTTGGGAGATTTTGGCTGTGGAGTAGTAACTGATACAAATGATAGCCTGGCCGACCTTGGCTCTTATCCACGCCTGGACTTTCTGGAGAGCCAAAGTTACCCGAGACCCCAATCGCAACCGACTTTGGTGTCTCAACTTCCCAGTGTACCTGGCGCGATTTCTAGCCACCGATCTAAGCTTAGAAGATATGTACTCCTGTGCAGGCAGCCTGGACCCGCTCGACCCCGAGCACAGCGATAGCAAGGAGTGGAGAAGTATCATCGACACTATGTGGGATAAAAGCGGTAATAAGAAAACCAATCGTAATATCCTGCGCAAAGATTGGAGTGAGCTCGATAAGGAGAGTCGCGGCAGGACTTTGGTTCAGTTTCTCTGCGAGCACTGGAATGAGTACAACGCCATTCTAGACGGCTCGTATGTGGTCCAACGACTCGGGTTCCCATGGAGTGGAAACAAGCAGTATATGAATCAGATTGTCCGGGTGATTTCGGTGCTGCAAAAGAGCCGGGGGGGAAACGAGGTCAAGTATGAAGTTGGAGAAGTCCGACCTGGACGCCTGCGAGGGAACCAGGGGAGATGGAAGGATGATTACTCCTCTCTCAACGATGAGGCCTGGGTGCATGCTATATCATATGGAGATGAGTGGTGCAAATCTGAACAAGGGGAAGAGAAGCAGGCTGCTGACAGGATGGCAACAACACCCTTGAACAGCAAAACGAGATCCCCGAGCTTTTCAACCCGGCGAGCAAAACGACCACTTGGAGGGATGTTTGTCCCTCAAGCAGTAGGGGAGGGCATGCTACGTGATCTGCAGGGAATGGATTCATCGACCAAGTTACGGGCACCGAATGAGCTAGTCACTGTGTCCACAGCACGTTTTTCAACGGCAACCAGACCCGTATGCCTCCAAGACGACCAACGCAGCTTCATCACCACCACAACAGTCATAGTGGACGGGTCCGATGCAAGATGCTATAAGGCAAAGGCTGATAGCCATCTGGACCTCTTCCTGGAGCGGTTGGATACCGGAGCGCTTGCATTTCCAGGAGATCTGACCGTCCAGGAGGGGGGCCAGCTGGCGCTCGACGACTCGGACGAAATTCTCCAGTTTATGCGAGCTTGTTTCCCCAGTGCTGCAGGTAACAATTCCACGCGCGCTACTCTATCTGCCTCTATGGGTGGTAGCCAGGCAGAGATATCTGCGTTCACAGCCCAGATCCACCTGCCGCTTACAAACAGCGACAGTTTGATGGCTCTCACATTCGGCACGCAGCATAATGAGGCAACCTTGCAGCGCAAGGATGCTACGCCACCAGACTGGCTGGTAGGCAAGAAGTCTACAGCCGGGGTGGATTGTATCGGTCCTGCACAGATGATTGTAATGGGGCTGGGTCCTGCGGCCGCAGGTGCAGAGCCACCAGTCATCCAACTACAAGAGATCACGCAGCTGTTTGATATCGATCCAGAAAACATACTGAATAAGTTCGCAGGAAAGAGCCGGTTCACGCTGGCGAGTGACCGCGGCGTCCGCAATGCGCTCTGGTTGATTCCAGAGGCCACTCATACAGCCTCGCTCCGTCTAGTCTTCCAACCCATCGCCAACGATCCTGCCGCCCAATTTGCAGAAAGCCTCCTGAAGGAAATTCAAAAATACATGAAGGAACTATCCCTTCCGGTGCCGTCTGTTACTTCCCCGCGGGTAATTGCCAAGTGTAAATGGATCATGAACCCTCTCCCCCCCGCGGACGATGTGGAACCTCTCCTGACCGAGTCGGAGCTGATATTCACCATTCCAATAGAATTCGAGATTGTGGAGGGGGGCAAGAATGCAACAGGCGGAAGAAGCCTCACCCTCGAAACTGCGATGGTTATACGTGACACGGACCGGCTGCTCAGTATCAGCTTTGGCGCTGACGCCGCCGGGGTCTCACTCGGTGATCTGCTGGCCTTCCTAGCTCGAGCGTTTAAGATAGAAACTCCTGAGATTGGAAACCTATTTCCAGGCGTTTTACTGGACATGGTACGGCTGCTTCAGGTCTTGGTTGAATTGAATGACCTGGAGACAATCGTCACCTTGGAATTCCAAGTGCAGTGGGCATCGTTGACCCTGAAATGCATGATCCAGTACACCCTGACCAACGGTAAATTCCGCTTTGCGGGTCATTTATTTAATAAAAATAGACCAGAGTCTCTTCCTGGTCCCTTTTCTTTTATCCCCTACATGCCCAATTACGAACGGTGGACGGTCACTGAGCGACTGGCCACAACGAGCGCCTTGGAGGATGAGTCCACGACAGCGAACCTCAACACACTTTACCAGGCCCTAACGACCAGTCCAGAGCAGAGACTGGTGGGAGAGGTCAATGGACTCAATCCAGGTCCATTCGAGATGGAGCTGTTATGCCTCACTTGGTCGTTCGAGAAACCCCTCATCTGCTTTGAGGCGCAGGTTGTCTGCCCACCCATGGACCCAGCTAAGTCCAAGGTGCCTCCCATCCGCTTCACTGCAGGGCGATTGAATCTCCGTTACGACTACGAGCAGCCTGATTTTGCCACACGTATTCAGTACTTTGCTATCGCTGCCACCTTTACCCTTACTGCGCCAGCGGCCAAGAAAGATGGCGACAAACCGCCAACTGCGCGATGTGGTGCTCTCGTCGAGTATGTGGAAAGGGCCTGGAGACTAACTGGCATGCTGGCGGGCCTTACAGGTGATCAGCTTTTCAGTCTCTTCGATCCGGACTGTAACCAGGAGATGTTAAATCTGTTGCGCCATATAACCCTTGACCTGACGTTGGTGTATCACTATAGTTCTGGTGTGGGCTCGACGTTTACCGCAGATGGCAGGTTACGCATTGGCCAGCTCAAGTTCGATTATGGCTACCATCATTATGGGGATCGTAAATGGGATTTTTCGGGGTCCATCTGTATTGGCGAGCAGAATACAACCCTATTCTCGATTGCACAATCACTGTTTGGAATTAACCCACAGTCTCTACCAAGCTGGGTCGCCTCAATCGCCATCGTATCACCACTCAGTGAGGTGCAAACGATGGATGGCTTCGACGCATTGGAGGACAAGAAGAAGGACTTTGCGTCCTTCTGTATTGTCCAAAAGGACGATTATCTTGTCTCTTTATTCCGCTGCAAGCTTACCGACAACTCGACTGTGGCCTTCTACCAAGTGCAGAAAAAGAGGGAAAATCCCACTGCACTGGCGACAACGGCCCCAAAACGAGTGCTCGTGTTATCAGTGGCCGGGATGCCGTCGATCAAGGACGTACCCATGGTCGGTACTATCCATGCCCCGTTTGACGAAATGGCCTTCGCTTGGGTTCTAGATGGAAACGAGCCCTCGACTGGCTTTACTCGCGCTGAGATGAAAGTTCTGTGGAGCTGTTTGGCGGACCATCCCGATTTCCCACCGCTGCATTGCCACGACAATGTAAAGGAGACAACGAGCGATACTCAAGGGAAAGATAAGGCTGGTAAGACTGACCAAGATGTGTTACTGTCCCCAGGATTCCATTTCATCATCAGCCTGGAGTCCAAGGTGATCCTGGACTACGTGTTTGGAGGCCCAGACTCTAAGCCCAGTTCAAAAGACTCGCAGTCCGGACCTCAAGGAGAGGAACTTGTACGGGCGACATCAACCACACCTGTGAACAAGAAATTTGGCCCTCTTACTGTCATGGGCTTTGGGATAGACTTCGATCTTCCAACACGTACGCTATCCTTGACAATCGATGGCACACTCAATCTTGGCCCCATTGGCTTTACCATGTTAGGGTTTGGAGTCTCGTTAGCCTTCACAGAGAATACTACTCTACGTACCCTGGGAGGCCTCAAGCCGACCGTTGTGCTGCGGGGACTAGGGGCCTCCCTAAGTACCGATCCTCTAACGTTAGCCGGCCTTCTTGAGCACGGCAAGACTGCGCAGGGAGATTACTACCAAGGTGCAGCGGCGGTAGGATTCGCACCATATGTGTTCCGTGCGTCAGGGTACTATGGGCAACACACACACAAGAAGGAAAAGGATACTGCCTCTGGGAATCTCATTGCTTGTGAGGTAGAGGAGGATTTCCTGCTCCTCACTGCTGAGGAAGTGGAAGAAAAATATACGGCCTTCCTTGCGTATTTCTCCCTAGATGGGCCACTGTTCACGATTGGATATGCCGAAATTCGCGGCCTCACAGGAGGATTCGGATATAATACCACCATCACCATGCCCACAATCGACAAGGTCCTTTCGTTCCCATTCCTCAACGTCCCCCCTACCTCAGACACCAAGGAGGCACAGGGCGCCCTGATGGGGAGTGGATGGTTTGGGGTTCGCGAGGGGTCCTTCTGGGTCGCAGCTGGCCTCACCGTCCTCGCCTTTGAAATCCTGGCTGTGAGTGCCGTGGTGGTAGTACAATGGAATCCTGCGGTGACACTAGGCATCTACGGTGTTGCCACAGCCGAGATGCCCAAAGGACGTTCAGCAAAACACAAGTTCGCCTGCGTGCAATTAGCCCTCGCTGCCACTGTCGACGTCAATGCCGGTATCCTCACGATAGATGGGCAGCTTACACCCGCGTCTTATGTGCTAGATCCAAAATGCCATCTCACAGGTGGCTTTGCCTTGTACAGCTGGTTTGGGTCCGGGGTGCCTGCCCTTCAGGGAAGCTGGGTCTTCACGGTGGGTGGCTTCCATCCCCAATTCAAGGCTCCGTCGCAGTATCCATCGCCACCACGGTTGGGAATCAGCTGGAGTTTCAGCGAGGAAATCAGCATCACCGGAGAGGCCTATTTTGCTATGACGCCAAAGGTGTGCATGGGAGGCGGACGGCTGCATGTAACCCTCTCCGTTGGCGCCCTAAGTGCCTACTTCGACGCCTACGTCGATTTCCTGATCCAGTATCGTCCATTCCACTTTCAAACTCAGGGTGGGCTCGCTGTTGGTGTACGTTATACTCTTGATTTGTGGTTGGTATCGATCCCAATCGCAGTGGATATTAGCTCCACGCTGTATCTCGAAGGGCCCCCTGTGGCTGGCCGTGTGCACGTTGACTTCTGGGTCTTCGGCTTCGACATCCACTTTGGCGCACAGGGAGTCAGATCCCAAGCATTCATCGATCTGGAGGAGTTCTACCAGCTGGTCTTGCAGGCGGATTCCAAACCACCAGCACTACTACTCACGGCAAACTCGAAATCCGACGCGTTGCCAGTCCCGTACCTCTTTTCATGCACAAGCGGTCTGATCCCAACGCAAGAGCAATCCCTCACTCCCACCACAAGGAATGCGCCATGGACCGTCCGCGGGGCTATCTTCGCATTCAGCGTTTCATGCAAGTTCCCTTTTGACCATGCCAAAGTGATCACCGAGTCCACGGGCACATCGGCTTCCGTTCCTTTACAACAAGCGGAGGATATCTCCTCCCGGCCAATGGGACTGCCCGACAAAATGAATAGCTCTTGTGTCACAATTACTATTAGTCGCTTGCCAACCGCTAGCGATTTTGACCCTCAAGACGACGAACCGACGTGGGACAAGAAAACGCTCTCTTCCTCAACAAGTGCGCTCCCTGCGGCACTCTGGAGTAAATATACGCCTGGAGAAGACCTCCTTAATGGCGCATCCAGCTCTACAGTCACTCTCAACACGACTGTCAACCTCCACGCACCCGGTGAGAAGCTTTCGGATGACAACATTGCCAAGTTCTCCACAGAGAAGACCATGGGGCAGTCAGCGGCCGAAACACCATTTCCTAACTCTAGTGCTGCCAATAAACGTTGGTATCCAGACTGTGCTGCGAAAACTCCGGCAGAACAGTTCAAGAACGTGCTGGGAACCTGGAAGCATCCAGAGCTGGGTCCTTGCGCAGCACAGAGGGCTTTACAATCCTGGGCAACGTTATTGGGAAGAGCAGCGTCCGATTTAAACGCCCAGCCACCATGTGAATTAATGGAGACACTGAATCAGGTTTATACCGAAGCTCCCCGGATGACTTTGGTGGTTTGATTTCTTTTGTCAAATGTATATGTTGGGCTTCTGTCCCAAAGACGTATAGCATTCGACATGATCCAAAGTATTTTGGTATATCTTTTATATAGCGTTAGTCGTCTTGTCTCTAGTTATATACCTTCTCATCTGCATTGCCTGGGCAGAAATTCTCCCTAGTTCAGTAACACAAGGGAAATCGGATCTTCGATTGTTTCTCGGGATCCCCTCATTGGCCATCCATCCACATCAAACTGGACGCAAAAACATTGAAGCCGCCATGTATCCAGTCCTCCACATCAACAATTTGACAAGTGTCCGCGGAAGCGAGGCCGAGATGGCGGGCTACGCTTGTTTCGAACTGTATCCCAGCTAAGGGAGAATATTAGAATCTTGTTCCTTTACAGCGGCGTATGTGATCTCACCGCAAAGCAAACGACATTTCAGCATAGAAAGCTCCTGAGACAGTCATCAAAACCGATGCATTATTGGGTGAAATGAAAGAGGAATCAGATCAGCCAACATAGAGTGAAACCAATCTGGTCTTGAAATCGGGTGATAATTCGCCTAGCCATACGAACCGATATCTGGCCTGGGGAGATTTATTGAGGTATGAGAGGTGGTGCAAGTCCTGGGATAACCAGGAGTGGCATATCTGGGGCGTTGACGTTGTTAAGTCCCTGGGGAAAATGGGAAATATATGGACTGTGATCCCCGCTCACATGGGTTCCGGCTTTCCCTATAGAGTCAACTCCTAAAGGCCCAATTAATCAAGTTGTATAATTTGAGATGGGTAGCGTTTTTTTTGTATTCTCTTTTCCACGAAGAGATAATAGTAATCTAGTGCTTAAGGAGATAGTGAATGAATTGTGCTGCGTAATTGGGACAAACAAGGAAGGCTTTGTACCATTCTCGTATTCGATTGACGATTACTCTCGATACACACCTAGAGGACTTGACTTGCGGCTATCTACTCATTGCGCCGACAGAAAAGCCTTTGCCTCCTCCTCAGTAATATCAGAAAACTCCGATTGTCGTTGGTCAATCAGACCTAGCTTAGTTCTTCGAATGAGCCACCACAATTCACGCCGATCCCCTCCAAGCTTCTCCTCCAAGATCTGTTCCTTAAGCTTTTTCAAGAACTCGTTATATAAGCCAGGCTCTTCATAGGATATTAGCTCCTCCCGTATAACTCCCAGACCCTCGGTGACACGGTCGTAATTGGCGTCACCTAAGCTGTTCTTGATTTGATCTGCGATAATCGAACGCATCTGCTTCACGGCGTCTTTGGTGGTTTCAATGTTCTCGGCGTGAGAAAGGGTTTGTTTAAACTCGGGGATAGCATTGTTGGGCGAGATCTTGACGCGCTTCTCCTGGTGGAGCAGGGCATCAACATCAAGGCCAGAGAGAGGCTTCTCGGGCTCCCGAGTACGTTTTCGACCCTTGGTTTTTGGTGGTACTAATCATTAGGTTAGCCTCGCCGGCAAATAAAGGGGCAATGAGGAGGCTGTACCTTTCTTGACATCCGCTACCTCAATAAGCTTTTGCAGATAATCCTTTGAGTTCTCAAGTAGATCCTCTGGTGGTTGCGAGAACTGTGTTAGGACCTTAGCCGGAGGCGGTATAGGATCGTTAGGATGTATAGCTCGCCCTCGAATAGCTGCATTTACGCGATGCAAAATTGGCGAAAATGAGTCTTCGAGTGGGAAAGGCGCCTCAAGTACGTCACTGCTTACTGTTAGCTGTGTCCATGAACGAAGCCTGAGAAAATATAGACATACCCGCCCTCATCCTTTTCTACAAGCTCCATACTGTCGACGTATTTGTCCATGGCATCTAGAAGGTCATCATTTGGAAGATTTCGGTGCTGAGTCACGACTTTTCCTGAGACAGTAATCACCTTGTCAAGAGGTGGGAAGCGGTATGTTCGGACATCTTCAGCGAACGGTAGTTGAGTTTCAAGAAGGCACTCGTATTCCGGTTCGATCGACGGTGCTAGAAGGACAAGTATAGGGGGCCTGTTCTGTTTTGTGACTAGACGGGCAACTGCAAAGCATTCTAGCTCGAAAAGTGCATGGATAAAGGAGGACAGTGCGAGCGAAGCTTTGTCATTCGCGCGCTGAGCGATAAGAATGTTGGTATTCGACAAGTGCATATAACGGTCATACTAAATGCATCAGCCACCATGAGCAAAAACTGTTTGCTTAGGCTAAACTTACACGTTCACTTTGGATAAATCCGATCAGTTCCAAGGCGGCCGTAGTTTCAAGGGTGGTAATATTCTCGTCAGTCTCACTAATATGGACGGCGGTGCGTCCATATTCGTAACCCTTGGCCAACTCATCTCTCTCCACGTCGATCTTCCCACCAGGTGCATTCTCGTCGGTAATCTGATATGTCCTTAGATTTCTAACAGACGTGAGGGCACTCTCCTCTCCAGGCTGAGTCTCTGGAATGGTGGTAATGGACTCTGGATGCTCCTGTCCCGCAGTGAGATCCGAACGAAGGACAAACGCGCTAGCAGTTGGAGGTTTCGCTACGTAGGTTCGAGGATACCGCTCTACTGGAATACGAACTGCAGTGTCGTATTCTTCTGGGTTTCCCAGTTGCAGAAATCCTTTAAAGGATGCAATCGGTCGAACTGGCTTGACACGAGGGATGTCAATCTCGGACACAGCCTGTTCCAACGTACCGTATGCGCCATCGCACTGTTCGGTTATCGTACGAAGAAGCGTCTCATTTTCGGCCTAGAGACGTATTATAAATAAACCCAGCTGTTCCATTCAGGAGAGACAGATATTTACCTTACGTGAGTCTTTGTCTTCTTCCTTGAACCCATAGTCGGGATCATCGAAATCGGGACCTCTGTAGCCGGTTAGATACTTCACGGCCAGCCCGTTCTCAGACAAACTCACAGAATTACAAGTTCGATATTATCCTCTTTAATCTTTGAGAGAATCTCGTCGAGATTCTCGCCGCTCATGCGCCCCACCCCATTGGTGATGAGGACAATCTTTCGTTTCCATTTCAGTTTTTTGCAGTGGGTAATAATCATTTGGATCGCCAGAATGAGAGCAGATATCGCTATTCATTAATGTGAGAACGGTAGCCGAGCAAATAGAACGCAAAAAGGGTCTCACCATCGCCTTTGTCGGTATTGCTAGGCCTTATCTCCTCCGCCAGCTTTCGGAGGTCAGGCATGAGAAACCTGAGCCGTTGGTTAGTTTTGAATCAACCCGTGGAGTAATAGGACTCCGTACTGCTTAATTCCTGAAAATACTGAAATATGCGAAAAATGAGAGTCATCTTGGAGTTCATTCGAAGTATCTGTCGATCTTCGTCAGCCTCGCGAAACGATCCACTTGCGGTTGGGGCTCACCGTCAGTTTTGAGGCCAATCACGCCCAACATTGCGGTTTTGCGCCCAGTTGCGACCTTCATTCGATGGTCAGTTGAGAAACTCAATCATAGAAGCTTCAATTCACTTACAGTTGATGTGATGCGGTCCCAAACATACTGCATTCCCCATTCGAGATCCGTCACTTCTCGGTCATGGCGGCGCACCCCCATCGACTTCCCAACGTCCACAATATAAACCGTGGCTTCTTTATCCGCCATTTTGAATATTATGGAAGGGTCAAAATTCAGCAGGTCTCTAGCTGGGAACTAGGGGATAAAAAGGCACACTGGAAGGCAGCAGGCGACGAACAATACCGAGACCAGGCAGACGCGTGATATTTCCCGATTGGGACCAGGCGGAACTGTCGGATTTATAGGTTTATCCGGTAGAGATGGTCAATGGTCAAACATGGTAGAATTCTGATCTCTATCCCAGGCAAGATCTCCTTTACTTCCATCCCGATCCTCTTACTAATGTTGAAGTGAGTTATTGATTGAATGACTATCTGAGACTACTCCGTAGTTGTCCCTAATACTCTATTAGATTTTGGGGGTTCTCTATTGGCTATTTCAGGGCTAGGGCTATTCAAGACATCTGATCTAGGTGAATCCCAGGATCCAGATGTATCTTTCCCTGGCACAGAACAACCGAGTTAGAAGAGGAAGAAATAGAGGCCTGTAAAAAAGGCATTTTTCTAACCCAGGTTCTTTAATTCCCGCTCCGTGCCATTATTCTGGTGATATCCATGCTCCTCGGTGGTCTGGTCAATAACCCCCCGCGGAGATCATGGACCCTTGCCAGTATTTATGTACAGGTCTCGGAGCAAAGTTCACCCGGATCAGCCTCATACATCTGATTGCGTCCATCTTCTGTTGAAAGCTCACAACAAGGCCTCCCCTCTTGTACCAGCAATGATGAAGAGGTCATGCTTCTTCCTCATACGCACCTTGCCCTTGCGCCCGTATGTTCCTCATCGTTTTTTGGTTACGAACAAGGCAGGCTTGCCATATTTCCACCGTCAACTCTCCGGTGCCTTCTCCGTCACTGCGCTTAAATCAACGGCCCCGAAAATGAGCACAAGTCGGGTCTTGTACGAGCCCATTGAGAGCGTGCAACGAATGGAATACTATCAGGAGGGTGGCTATGACGCTCTCTTCGCGATGTTGCGTCCGATGCTTTCTTTCAGGCCTGAGAATCGTTCGTCCACCCAGCGGGTTCTTGAATCGGAATGGATGGTGAAATGGGCTATTCCCGAGTATGAGAGGCTCCGAAGCTCACAGGAAAGCTAGAAGTGGTCGTAATTTTATATAGAATTCCTCCCCCCGATGAATCATGGTCAAGAACCGTCTCTAGGTTCCGGCAGAAGAACGCGTAATTACATTAATTCTCTGGCTTTGAAACTATATAAATGCTGGTCATACATGACGCATAACTGTGACGTTGGGTAACAGACGGCAGGAAAGACTCTCCAAAATCAGTAACAAAAATCTTAGCTTCGGAGAGGGCCACAAGCTCGCTTTCTTTCCCTAGCCAAATGGGCATAACACCGTGAGTAGGAACTCCATCAGAGAGCGGCTTGCCATCAAGGCGCACAAATGGCGAGACATTTGGCTGACCGTATTTTTGGTATAATTCTCCAGGGGAAAGCTTGTCTATGCTGTTTGGCAAGCGAAACATTATGTTCCCCGGGTGGAGGTCTGTCGTGAATCCCGTTAATAAGGGAGCACCTATAAAGCCTGCGAGATAAATCTTTCCAATACTGAATATACATACCGGCATGGACTACCCCTCGGTGGTGTAGGAAAGCAACAGCTTGTATGACTTGGGCCGCAATTGCCTTGGCCACAGGCATTCTAAAAAGCCGGGTATAGGACGCATCTTTCGCCTCAGCCAAGGTCATCATTCCAGGCTCCGTAACAAGGCATTGGTGCCTTCCATTGGGCCCATCAATGGAAAACGTATCCAACACTTGAGGGATCAGAGCCTCTCCAGGCTGTTCCTCATCGCTTGGCTCTGAGAGTGCTAGGGTATTAAGGATTTTACTCTCCAGCATATCTGTTCCGGCAATGGCAATCTTGATCGCCACGTACTTGTCCATATTCATATCTTTTGCCAACCAAGTTGTCGAGTACGTACCAAAGCCAAGCTTATGGACAACAGTATAACGGTTACTCAGACGGTCCCCAATCGATATAGGGTGATATCCTCCAGGGCGATAACGCTCCGGCTTTTCTATGTCCTCAAGAGGCATATATTCAACAACTGGAGCACATGGTTTGGGAGATGCGTCGGGATCGATAGAGTCCATTCTACAGTAAGTGGTGGCAATATTTCTTCCATATACTGGCGAAATGAGGCTTGAAACAATCGTAAGATGCGGCGCAGTGACGAAGCGAGGCCATAAGTTGGATAATATCCCCTGCCTTTGAATATTGAATCAAGACTCTGTCATGACAGACAGTTTAGTTATATTAACGTCGTTCTACGGAGTAAACTAACTACTAAAATCGGAGAAATAAGCGATAGTTAACTACATAGTTAACTATTGGGTTGGCTAGGTAGCCGCTGACAAATGGTTGTGGATAACAGTTAGTTAACTAACTACAACTACAACAACTACAACTACAACTACAACTACAACTACAACTACAACTACAGCTCACCGTGGGTATATAGTGGTATCCAATTACCTCCTTCTCTCCATTCAAAGCATTCAAGATGGTTGATCCTCGTCCATTCCATATCCTAAGGTTTTGCTCCTGAACCTCTTTCCAAAATACTCCCTCACTCACCTATCTTGGACAGCTACGGAACTTTACTTGGGGTCCAGATCTATCAGGTACGTGACTAACTGAAGGTACAACCCGATGATATAGTTCTATCTAACTGCTCGCTCATCTAGAGCTTCGTCTCGGGAATCATTGCTTTCCGAGTTCTCCCGCGCCCACAGTTCGCAACTCTCCAAGCTAAGACCTTCCCAACCTACTTCGCCCTCCAGACAGCTCTTCCAGTCGTAGTCGCCTTAACTGCCAGCCGTTCCGCCCAGCCGCTTGGGATCTCGGGACTCCTGGAGCCAGAGAACCGGTTGAATGTTGTCCTTCCAATGGCAACAGCCTTTGTAACCGGGCTTGTCAACTTCCTCGTGTTGCGCCCGCTTACTGTCCAGACCATGCAGGAGAGGAAGCACCAAGGTGAGAGAGATGAGATGAGATGGAGGGCCAATTTCTCTGCTTTCGTCTGGATGCTAACTTGACCTTTTCAGAAACCCGGGATGGCAAGAAGAGCTACGACCCTGCCCCGCACTCCAAGGAGATGGTCGCCTTGAACAAGAAGTTCGCTCGGCTCCATGGCTTGTCCAGCTTGGTCAATCTGGTTTGTATCGGCGCTACTGTCTTCTATGGGGTTGTTCTTAGCAAGAAACTGGAGTGATGTAGCTTTTTCTATGCTGTTTCAATGGACCTCCTCCAATGACTAAACTGTCACCTGTAACTAACTAGTTAGATCATAACTTCTTTATGATGTCATCAACAGAGCATCTCGGTTAGGAGAACTGCTTCTGTGAATATATACAATATAATAAATTAGGTCTGTATTTATCTTCATTCGATTCAACCATGTAACCTTGCAGGGAAATATCAAAAAGAGTTGTCAATGAGTAAACAGACAATGAAGCGCTACAAACTTCATTATCATATTTTTATAACAAGACAAACATTATAATTCTGGCCTGGAAACATTATTTTAAAACCCCCCCATTCTACCCATATCCCACTCACCACTAGTTTCTAACATCTACCACTCCCCCTTCCTCTAGGGACTGGCGAATCGAACACTGATACGTCCCTGCAGCCATAGCGAGCAATGAACCTTTCTAGCCTCGCGATGGCACTATTCGGGCTCCCCAACCCCATATCCCTTGCCGCTCTCTGGTCCATTCAAAGCCTCCCTGAGCAAATGGAACACATAACCGGCCGTATTGGAGCTGCCATCGACAAGTCTGCCTCCCTTTTATCACGAGCACATGGCTATAACCTCTCTCTCATGCCTTCTAGCTTCTGGGCTGAGCTGTCTGCGTGCAAAGACACGCTGCTTGCAGACACTATACCCAAGTCTTCACCGGCAACGGATATCCATGGCCCGGAAGGCTACCCTCCAGGGCTAACAATGCTACCCCTAAACCTATCGTACGAAGAGTATTCGGTTGATACCGTTGATCCGCGATTCACGCCTTCCAGTCTAAGCGACTGGGACAGCGGGCAGCTCCTGGCTCCCTCCCCACGATCCCCTAATTTCCCCGACTTTTCCGAGCTGTCCTGGGGGTCTCTTATGCTGGCTGGACTCTTCCTCCTCTTCCTCCTTTTGATTCCAATCTGTGCATCCGTGCGTTTTATGAAGAGAGTGGCTGTCGCTCGTCAAAGACAAGCCCATCTTCTACAGATTGCGAACCACGAGATTCTTGGATTCATCAGGAGCATATATGATAAAAAAGACGCTATCATGGAGAAGATGAATATCACGGTATCCGCGATTGAGTACCAGATTGAGGAAGCCTTTCAGCAGATAGCGGCAGAGAAAGAACGTGTATGCACGGATTTCCCCTTCGTGTTAGAGCAAGAGGTCAATTTACTGCGGGACGCGCTCCAAATTCGGGTCCGGAGCGAGTTCGAACACCAGGTCTCCAAGATAAAGGAGTTCATCGCCGACGTAGAGAGGAGACGCCGGAGTTTACCAAGTCCTCAAGAGATCGAGGACACTTGCGAGGCTTTTCTAGACGAGCTGGGGCGCTTAATAGTACTGGTCAATGACTTACGAAGCCGCATCCACGACGAAAGGAAGGCTTATATCGGGTCCCAGAAGTTGCACCAGCAGATGGATTCTATGGTCTGCCCCTGCAGGGCGAGATGCAATGTCCGGTCAGAGGGTCCACAACGATCGGCCGCAGTGGCCGACCATCCAGCCCGGGTTAGCGCGAAGAAAGACGAGGTTCTGCAGGATAATCCCAGGCTAGATCCACCAGAGGCTAGGGAACCGCGATACCCTAGTTTGGCTCTATGGAGGATGACAAAGGAAAGTGCCGGATTAACAGCAGAGGAACTTGAACAAGGCCGCAAGGTACGACGTGAAAGAGTAGAGAAACGGCTGGCGGAATCTGCTTGCGGTTACCCATCTCCATGGGATCGTTTGGATGGGAGGAAGGGAAGACAAAAGCATACATCGAAGAGCAAGCTCCAATAAGTGCCGGGTGGTCGGGACGAACGCATGACAATAGGCGGGTCAAGTCATTTGGGGGGGGGGGGGGGGGGGGCAGTATTCCAAGGCCTCATTCAGCTGTAGACCTAGGTTTCGTGGGGACTAGATCCTATAATTGAGGCTTTCAGTTCATAATCATGGTTTCCAAGCCCTGTCGGTTGAGCCTATCATGCCTTGCTTGTTGATAAGTTCTATGTTGTAGATGAGCCTTTTCCTAGGCCCAACCCGGCCAAAAAAAAAATCACACATTGGCCTCCTCCACGATATACTTTTGAAAGGCGGCTTTCAGTAAATCAATTCGTCTTTGGGTGTGGTTGAAAACCTCCCGGTATTTGTCTAGACCCTCCTGGACCACTTGTTCTCGTGACCTTGTGCCAGCACAGATCTCTCGCATCTGCAGCTCTGTCTCCTTTCGAAGAAAGGGCTTGCTTAGTGAAGGGCTATTCGGCAAGCCAAGGACAACATCATCGTACCCCAAGATCAAAGCAATGCCCAAGCGAGTAGGAATAAGTTCCTTGACAGCGCTTCGACCGCCTCCCCGAGAGTGGACGGCGATATAATCACGTTTCTTGATCTTATCAATGTGTTCCGCCATTGTAGCATCAGTTCCGATCCCGTTAGCATCCATGAGCCCAATAAGCTCCGGCTCAGTCAGGTAGTTTGGAGGAGATGTTTTCCCATCAAAGATATTCGCTTCTGTAGGTTCAAAGAGCTCGCCCACACGAAAGTTGGGCAGCTGCTGTGTACTTTCCCATTTATCGTAGACATACACATCTAGATAATTTCTCTCTAAGACTATCAAGCCTTTCGCGTGGAATCTTTCATCGCCATATTCGATTTCAACATCAGTTGCTTGGCCCTTTGCGTCTTCCGAGCAACAAGCAAGAAATCGTCGGACGACAAATTCGTAGACTTTTTTTTCGTCGGCTCCTAGTGCACTAGGCGCAACCCAACAAACAGGGTGAATCGGCGGATGCGCTTGGTCATTGTGTCGACCAGCTCTGGGGGTTCTAAATCCGCCATCTAGCAGCCTGGATCATTTTCAAAGTTAGCAGCTGAAAGGCGTGGAAATGATTCCCGGCACCATACCCACGAGCGTATTGGCCCCAGTTCCGGTCTGGCAATTGCTTTTCTACCAATTTCTTTAGATCAATGGCTTTATCGAACTGATCGGTTTCAGTACGGGGATAACTTATGAACCCCTTTGTGTAAAGAGATTCTGCCGCCTGAGAGTCTATCAGCCACTAAGACCGAGGGACTTGTTTTCATACTGGGAAAGGTTACCTTCATGATCATTTGACTGTCCAGGCGGAGGTATCTGCTTCCCATCATTTGCAGGTCCACCGTTGTCAGTGGCAGGGGCCTCCACTTGCTGGTGGGCTTCTGGTTCACTTTCGTAATTTTGGCCATCTTTGCCACTAGGCAACGCTCAAACATCATTGTCACAGCAGCTCTATCAAACAGATGAACCCTACTCCACAGAAAATTCACTTTAATGCCGTCTCGGGTATGCATGACTCTGATACCCCAGAACCTCTCTGGCTTGAAACGCTTCACGCGTAGATAGCGGTCAACCACAAACCCTAGGGTAGGGAATTGGCAAGAGCCTGTTGGATGCTTAGAACCGTTCTAATAGAAAGGTACCTTTGATTGTAAGGTGAGATCACGCACCATAACTAATAACATTTTCCTCCAGTATATTGGACAGGGGTTTCAGTTGAAGGGTTAGTAATCGAGTGAAGGCAGCGCCAATCCGAAGATCGAGTTCTATTCTTGCGGCTACTGCATTAGCCTGGAGTTCATCAAGATCAATCAGAGACCTCGCAGCTTGAAGAACATGACTGGAAAGAGTCAGAAACAGCCAAAAAGGCGGGATGTTCTGGGTACATACGCCCTCTCGGTATTGCTGAACTTGGCTCGTTTGACGACAATCCTAGCATTCGCCTGTCTGGCCTGATTGCGAACCTCTGCTCCAATATGCTCTCCTTCCCTATCGCAATCGGTCCAAATAAACAGAGCTTTAGAATTTTGAGCTTGATCTCGAATATTCTCTGCAACCCCTTGCTTATCCTGAGGGTAACAGTTAGCATATGGCCCGATTGATCCAGTGATTCCACATACATCATTCACCGATTCACGGACGGGAGCTTCAAAGAGCGCTACAGGTGGACAAGACAGCCAGGTATTGTACTGACGTTCAAAGTCCAAGGTTGTCAAGTGCCCAAGGACGCTCGTCATGGTGACAGAGCAGTGGCCCCATGGAGGGCCAAAATTGAAATCAAACAGGTAATTTTTGACATACTGGCTTCCTTGGATGGACAGCTAGTTCAGGTTAGCCAAAGACTCTTTATGAATAGCATAGATTACACTTACAGTTTGCACCCGACCTCCAGATAGATGCTGGGCTACCGCTTTAGCGATTGCAGGCTTTTCCGCCACACACAAAATCTTTGGAACCGCCATGGCAGCTGAGCCAGATTAAGGAGGAGGAGGAGGAGGAGGAGGAGTGAGGCGGTTCATGACTTGGGCTACATGAAGAAGATGCTTGCAGACTCGATCTCTTGGGGCTCGAAGAAACGCGAAAACGACGCGGGTCACGGGGCATGTGGGTGCCTGGGTGCCTGAGGCAAGGACCAGCCTGTTTTTGTGGATGTTTGTTATGATTGTCTCTCGACTCCCTCCAAACGTCATTCAAAATACTTCAAGTATTTCCAAATGTGGGAATATTTTCTCCGCACCCAAACCCCTCCTGTTCCCGTCGCGACCATGGCCTCCCTCCCACTTCCTGAGGTTCAATCTCTTGCAGACTGCGTCTCTTTCAACCATGCTGTGCTTCCCTTTCTGCCGCAAATCCTCTCGCTCCCCGAACAACTGCAGCCCGTAGTGGCCGCAAAGGACGTGGACGCCTTGAAGGAGATCTATCTCTCTACAAACCCACTCGCCAGCGCGATTGCCTTCACTGGTGTCCTGGCAGCGGGGTTTATTGTCCTCTCCGAGCTCACCCGCAACTATTCCCAGGTTGATCGCCTGTGGAGTATCCTTCCAGCCTTGTACAATGTTCATTTTGCAGTCTGGGCACGCCTGTCCGGTCTTCGCACCTTAAGCCTGGACACCATTGCCGCGATCTCTATTCTCTGGAGTGTAAGTCCTCCCCTGATTCTCGTCTTTTTCTACGCACCGGGAGTCGGTGCTAATTACTGCGTATAGATCCGCTTAACCTTCAACTTTTGGCGCAAGGGTGGCTACAGCTGGGGCGGCGAGGACTACCGCTGGTCCATCGTCCGGTCCAAGATTAACAATTGTTTCCTCTTCTTCCTGTTCAACATCACGTTCATCAGCGTGATCCAGCCCGCTCTCCTCCTCCTGATCACCGTGCCAACCTACAACTTCCTCCTTCTCGCTCGCCTCCCCAACGGCGCCTCATTCGAGCTCGCTGACCTGATCTTCTCCCGTGTCGCCTTCTTTTTCATCCTTCTCGAACACTTCGCCGACCAACAGCAGTGGCACTTCCAGAAGGCCAAGCAGATCTACCAGAAGTCGGCGCGCATCCCCGCCCCCTATAAGGACCGGTACGACGCCGAGGACCTAGAGCGCGGTTTCGTCGTCTCCGGTCTGTGGTCGCTCTCTCGACACCCTAACTTCCTCTCCGAGCAGGCCATCTGGCTGACTCTGTATCTGTGGAGCGCCTACCGCACAGAGAACTACGTCCAGTGGACGGGTCTGGGCGTCGTTGGTCTTCTTCTCATCTTCCAGGGCAGCACCCGTCTCACCGAGAACATCAGTGCCGGGAAATACCCGGAATACAAGGAATACCAGGCCCGCGTTGGTCGGTTCATTCCGCGTTTCTCAGCAGCACCCAAGTACAAGACCACCAAGAAGAAGAGCAAGAAGGCTGTTGCCAAGCAGGAGTAAACCACACCGAAGGGGGGGGGGGGGGAAGGCAGGTGATGGTAGGCGGTTGGAAGATTGTTTCTGTCGAGAAGGGGTGGGTGGGTAAGTTTACAAGGAAAAAAAAAAAAACACACACACAACTGAGAATCAGCACACATAGGTCTTTTGGTTTCTTTTTCTTTCTCTTTAGTTCCTTGGTCCTGGTTTCGGAGGTTTACATTTACTGGATGGAGTACATACATATATTGTAAAAGGTTCCTTTTTTTTTTTTTTTTTTTTTTCCTTCTAGCTTGTCATTATTTTATATATTGGTCATCCAAGGAATCAGATTGTTTTTAATCGACTTTTACTTTTGGATAAGGTTGTATTATATACAGTATACAGAACTGGATTTTCTACACATATATCTACAGCCACCTAGCTATCTAATTGTGCAGGATCCAAGTTGGCGAATGAAGTTCACTTATGAAGGGTAGATCAAAACCCCTAGGTTATAAATTGAAACTCTTGCTTTAGAGAAAGAAATACAAATGAAAATTACCATGACGACCTACTACTCACTGCTCCTACTACTCCTACTCCTACTACTATACAGCGGTGCAATACACGAGACGCTTCATGACAAAGCGACGACAGAAGCCGAGAAGTCTCTCCATGGGGTTGGGATGGAGGAGGGGATGACAAAAAAAAGAAAACACAGTTTATATTTCTGGTAACATGATCAGAGGTAGGAAGAGAAGCAAAAGGCGTAAATAGAGTAGGTAGATAGATAGATGAGAGGCGTACATGAATAAGAGGGGAGAAGGTAAAGGACATCGAATGCTCCAGGGTTCAATAAATACAAGTCCCAAGTAAAGGATAGAAGATGAAATCAAGCAGACCAAAAAATAGAAGAGGGGAAACAAAAAAAAAAGAAAAAAAGATAATGTCACACAGGTTCAACTAATTTTCCCTACTCCGGATGCTTTGCTTTGCTCGTCTATGTTGGGTATGGGTGTTTTATTCTGTTGCGTCTTTTCCTTCGGTTCCTTCTGCGGGTAAGGTAGGCTCGGGAGGGGCGATGGTTTGGCCATGGGCACCGTCAAAGTACTTGGCGAACTCGGAGGACTCGGGCCATGGGCGAGGACCAAGGAGGCGGATCATGTCATCGCGGCTGAGGACCTCCTTTGTGAGGAGCTCCTCGGCGACAATGCCGACTTCCTTCTTCTTCGCGGTTAGGAGCTCGTGGCATTGCTTGTAGGCTTCGTCAACGATGCGGCGGACTTCGAGGTCGATGTCGCGGGCGGTCTCCTCGGAGAAGGGCTTGTGGAGCTGTTGCGAGGGGTCCTCTTCGTAGTAGATGTATCGGAGCTTAGGGGACATGCCGAATTTGGTCACCATGGCGGTTGCGAGGCGGGTCACCTTGTTGAAGTCATCGCTGGCGCCGCTGGTAACAGTATCGAAGTGGAGTTCCTCGCTGACACGTCCTCCCAAGGTCATAGCCATGCGGTCCATCAGTTGGTTGACATTCATCAGGTAGGTATCCCCTCCGGCAGGCAGATATTGAGCGTAACCCAAAGCACCTTGGCCACGCGGGATGATAGAAACCTTAAGCAGGGGGTCAGCCCAGCGGAAGTACCAGCCGCAAATGGCGTGGCCGGCCTCGTGGTAAGCCACGGTACGCTTTTCCTCGGGAGAAAGTACGACGGATTTCTTCTCTAGACCACCCACAACACGTTCAATCGCCTGTTCAAAGTGCTTCATGGTGACACGGTCCGCGTTCTCACGGGCAGCTATACAGGGATGTCAGTATTGAAAAAAAAAAAAAAAAAAAAAAAAAAAAAAAAAAAAAGAAAATTACGTGGGTTACATACCAACCAAGGCGGCCTCGTTGACACAGTTTGCGATATCAGCACCAGCGAAACCAGGGGTCAAAGCAGCCAGTCGACCAGTCAGGTATTCCATATCCTCGCTGGTAACGATCTTCTTCAGGTGAACACGGAAGATCTGCTTACGGCCATCCATGGTGGGTCGGTCGATGGCAATATGTCGATCGAAACGGCCAGGTCGCATCAGGGCCTTGTCGAGAACATCGGGTCTGTTAGTACCAGCCAGGACAACCACTTGATCGGACGTATTGAAGCCATCCATCTCGGTAAGGATTTGATTCAGGGTGCTCTCCCGCTCATCGTTTCCACCCCCGAAACTCTGCTTCGCTCGAGATTTACCAATGGCATCGATCTCGTCAATGAAAATGATACAAGGGGTGTTCTTGCGGGCATTGGCGAACAAGTCACGGACACGGGAAGGACCGACACCAACAAACATCTCAACGAACTCGGAACCGCTGACACTGAAGAAAGGCACACCCGATTCACCGGCCGTGGCCTTAGCAAGCAGTGTCTTACCAGTACCAGGAGGTCCGGAAAGGATAGCACCACGAGGAATCTTGGCACCAAGCTTCTGGAACTTTTCGGGATGCTTGAGGAAACTAACGAATTCCATAATTTCCACCTTGGCCTCATCCATTCCAGCAACGTCAGAGAATTTGATCTTAATATCCGTCTCCTGGTTAAAGCGGCGGGCTCGGCTCTTTCCAATACCGAAAATCCCGTTTTGACCACCTGCGCCGCCAGTGGCACGTCTCGAAAGCCAAAGGAAACTTCCCATCAGGAGGAGAGTTGGGCCAAACGACAAGATCGTCGCCGCCCATGGGACTTCTTCAATGTAAGAGACGGGAATGCGCTCCGAACTAGGGATACCAAGTTCATTCTGCGCCTCATCCAGCTTACGCTCGAAGCTGTCGACAGATCCAATGCTGAAGTAGTAATAAAAGTATGGTTGGCTTGCGGGCGAATCCGGGTACAACCGTGCCACAGCATCACGGTGCAGGTCAACGCGGACGCGGTTGCTGTTCACGACCGTCAACTTCTCCACGAGACCCTTGTCGAAGAAGTTCGCCCTGAACTCCTGCCATGTGATCTCCTTGGTGTTCTCCCCAGGGAAGACGCTGCGGTAAAGATAATAGGTCACAAGGGCAGTAACGAAGAACGTAGCGGGATCGAATCGGAACTCAAAGACCTTGAAATTCGGCTGCTTGTTGCCCTGATCCGCGCCATCCTTCTGTTGCTGCTGCTCTCCCTGCTTCTGTCCCTGTTCCTCCTGCTGCTTCTTTGCACCACCACCACCACCTTCCGACTGATCCTTCTCATTTCTCTCGTTTTCTACCGCATTCAATTTCTGGGCAAACTCGCCCACATGTTTCGACATGTACCGGGTAAGATTCACGTAATCCATCAGCGACGCCGGCCTCCCGGACTGAATATGCTCCTGGATGAAATCCTTCACATCCGAAGGCAGTCCATCTCGCATCATCACCGTTCGCACATCGTCTAGCATCTGATGCTGCGAAGCGGGCACCCGCTCCTTCAAATGCTTGATGAACAGATCCACCTGCTGCTGCTCCTCCGCGGTGAGTTTCGACTGAGGCTGCTCCTGGTTCGCACCACCATTGCCAGCCCCATTTGGCGGAGCTGACGCGTTCTGCCCATCTTGGTTCTCGTTACTCGGGGGTTTCGGTCCGCCGCCGGGGCTCTGTGTAGCAAATGTCCTGGCTCGTCGGGCTGTGATCAACGACGACAATCTCGACTGAGGCACCTGTGCAGTCAGCGGTCGTGCGCGGAAGATGCGCTCTGCGGCTCTCCTCGAATAGGGAGCGAGATTGCCTGGCCGACGGAGCAAACTGGCCATGGTCGAGGAAGTTGAGCCCAGAGGGCAAGAAAGTACGGTGAGTTGGAAAAGGGCTGGATAGATTGGGGGGAGGAGGAAGGCTTTTAGCAGTAGTGACGGACACCGGAAGCCATAGAAGCCCTCGCTAGATGGGGAGGGAGATGCAAATTGTCAGGTTGGAATAGGTCGGTTGGGAATTGGAGGTTGTTGGAGAAGAGCGCGCTCTCTCTCTCTCTCTCTCTCTCTCTCTCTTCTCTCTTTCTTTCTTTCTTGCTCTCTTTCTCTTTCGCTCCGTCGTCCGCCTTGACGTTCTGGTCTCGGCCTTAGGCTTTTTGCCGTTCCGTCCGGGCGCGCTGAGTCATCCGGCTGGCCAGAATCCTAAGGAACCCCATGGTCACTTTGTCGTCGTCATGGCGCGCTCCAAATTATTAAAAGAGAAGATTCAGATCCTAGCATGGTAATTTATTATACTAAATAATACAGTCTGCCACTGTCCAATGTACATAAAATGCGCCTCTAGCTTGGCCGGCCTGTTACTTGTCCAAGCTCTAGAAGAGTGTGGAGTGTTGCACAACTACTACTACACGCGATGAATACTCCCAACATGTCAGAATTCACAAAACGCCTTCCCTTTCATGTATACACCTGGCCGATTAATAATCAGAATAAGACGTAAATAGTAGAAAATTTAAAGATTCGTTCGTAGAAGTGGTGAGATACTCCGTGCCCAAGATTCCATACCGTCCCCAGACCCAGCAAAACGCGAGCAAAAGATATAAAGAACCCGTTCCTGGTTGAGAGACGGCAATGGGGAAAAGTGCAAGAACTGGTTCATATCGTCGTAATCACGAGTGATCCGGTACTGGGCCGGCACCGAAGACCGGGAAGGTCGTCGACATATCCGCCCAGTCCCACTCGATCGTCATTGGCATTTGCCATAGATCCTGAGGGACAAATGGTTGCTGGAAGGAGGGAGTCATGGGAATATCGTTAGGAGATGTGAAGGGCGGTTGGCTACCAAAATTGACCCCGTCCAAAGTGTTGGGGCTGAGCATGTCTGGGAAATCATGGCCAACTCTAGGCATATGCATATTGTTCGGTATATCGGGAGGAATGCCGCCGGTGACAGGTATCGTTTGACTCGGGCCAAAAGTCGTGGGTTCATCCATTGGATGGGGACCAATATCGGGAGCGTTATCATGAAATGATGGCGAAGAGAAGGGCATCGTCGTGGGTGACGCATCTGCTGCGTTCCCCTTAGCAGCAGGAGCCACAGGAGCTTCTCCGGCGGCACTTGGCTGCGCGTTCCTTGAGTCATTTTCTGGTGCCGTTTTGCGCTTTTTCTTTGAATGCGAATCTCTTTCCGCCTTATCGAGCACCACCTGGGCGATTCGCTCAAACTCACCACAAACGCCGAGCATGCGTTTGATGCTTCCATTAGACTCATCAGATACAAGAGTGGACAGGAAATTAACGACCACGGTCATCAATTTGACATCCGATCGGGCGCGTGCGTCCGTAGGGTTTTGGAGAATGTTCGCAAACAAGGTCACCAATGCAGAAACTGGATAATAGAGAATCAACCTGGTCCGCGGTGGTTAGCTCATCTTGGTATAGCAATCTGCAGGTTTTTTTTTTTTTTTTTTTTTTTTTTTTTTCTTACCAGACACAGGCAAAATCGCCCTGCGGGATGTACTTGATCAGATTGATAGACGCTCGGGCAGCAGTCACACAGAGGATTGCCGATAGGAATACCCTTGGGTTCAGTGGTCGAGCATTTAGGCCTTGAATGGCGTAGTTGGAAAGACGACTGGTCCAGTATCCGTGATGCACGGACATTCGATGGATCGTTGTCAAGCAGTTGTAATAAGCAAAATGGAGGACAACAACATGAAGAATAAGTGGCGTGTGCGTCGCCTTGATCTCGTGCTCAGGCCTAAAGTCGAGGGGGATGTTGTCTTTCCATTCCTCAAGCTCCTTATCGAGCTCTCCAATGGTATTCAACAACTCGCCATCCGATTGTCTCGAGGCCTTGGCAGAATAAAGGCGTTTGTAAACTTTACTTTCAATAGTGGAAAATCGACACAGCGATCGAAACAAATTGAATTTTCCCTTTCCATCGGATAGGGGGACATTACCAATGTTGTCCGGAGGGTCTTCGCTGGGCAATTCTACATTCATGTCGTCATCATCTTGCACCGGCGGGCGTCCGGAACGGAGACAAAGGCTAAGACGTACGTTAGTAGGGATTAAGGATATAGCATAAAATCATCGGCAGCGTGGGAAGCTTAGCATACTCTTTATCTAGCATATAAGCAATCCAGAAGACCCGTTTCCTCTGCTCCGCCTCCACCGGGTTCAATCCAAACCCGGAGCCTCGTTTGTGGAGACCGATACTGTGAGATAATCGAATAGCCGCGGCGACTAGGAAGAATGATGGTTGCGGATTAGGAGTTCCCTGGAGGAAAAGCGACTGCACAGCGGTCCAGTTAGAGGTGCTTGCAGGGTAGAAGAATGACGAACGTACCATGCCTAGCAGAGCTTGGACACTTAATAAATCCGTGTTTCGCATTGTAAGCTCAGTTAAAACACCCATGGCATTTTTCAAGTACAGCCACGCTTTTTTATCCTCTTCCTGAGGAACCAGGTTGCTCATCACTCGCAACCTATGTGAAATGGCAAGCACCACATTAATGCTGGCCCACCAACCCGAGCCTTCGTAGGGGTCTCGAGAATACTGTCGCTCAACCAAGTGCATAAATGTCGGTTCGTGGAAAAGAGGAAACATGCAATTAAAATTATCGAAAAAGTCCCGGAAGAGGGACAGGGCCTCTTCCTTGGGAGGTAAAGGTTTAAAGACGCGACGCGCGAAAATGTCGCTAAAGATTTCGGGCTTCCAATACATCCACTTATTGTCGTCAATGTATGCGGAAGATATCATGTCTTGGAAAGAGGTATCGCCGGTTTTGTCGTTCACCCATTGAATTCCTTTTGGCGAAAATATAGAGAATCCAGACGACGATCCTACGCTCGAGTTTAGAGACATACGTGCTGGTTAGGGTCGGGGGGGGGCAAGTTCTCACCAATGTACCGAGTTTCACCGCAATTATTCGTCACCAGCGAACACATCAAATCCGAGAGACCTTCTACTTCATTTTCGGGTTCTTTTTGCGAGTCAGGCGATGTAGCAGCCGTCCGGGGACTAGACTGGCAGTCCATCCGAGGTGTCGAGTGTCGCGAGACACTCATGGGTTGCGATTGACTATTCTGCGCCATGTTGAACCGAGTAGGACTGTTGGAATTGTTCAGGCCACCTGCAGAAAACGATCTGTCGGCCAGGCGTTTTTCCAGTGTTCCAAGGTCTGTCTTTCCATCATCTTCAGAAAGCAGTCCGGAGAGCCGGAGCAAGGACTCCATTCTCCCGAGTCGATTTTCTAAGCCTTCGATATACTTAGCCCTAGACGAAGAGACACGGTCAGCGGGTATGAACACATTTCCTTATGGAACACAAAAAGCCGCTCCGGCCAGTCCCACAAAAAACACACACACACACACACACACACATACCCTTTTGGGGGGTTCCGCTTCTTCTCAACCTGGGTGAATATACAGTCTGTTTTATAGTTGATACAGTGCGAGCACTTGGGCATCTTGCCGTCGCATTTAATCTTCTTCTTGCGACACATGTCACAGGCCTGGAGAGGGAAGGGGAAATCAGCGAGGGAAAGCCGCGGAAGCCTGGGAGAGACGCTCACCCTCGCAATACGTCGCCGTTTCGCATCATTATTATCATCGCCCACGCCCATTGAGGATTCATCGAGGAAGGTCGGGTTCGGGAGACCAACGGTGACAGGGGAGCCGTCATGGCCGTATGCGCCGAAAAGAGGCGTTTGCTGGTTCATTAGCATAGGCATATCATAGCCCATGCCGTTCGAACCGTCCCCCATTCCATCCATAATAACGGGGAGACGGAGTTTGGGGCGAAGGAAAGGAAGTCAGCGGGGGCGGACTATGTCTGGAGCAGCAGCAGCAGCAGCAGCAGCAGTAGTAGTAGCAACAACGTCAAAGAGGCGAATGCGGGGTTCGTCCATCAAACCAGACGGAGATATCGGGAAGAATGGAAATTTGGATTGAAAAACAGACGAAGATTACTTTCTTTCTTTCTTTCTTTCTTTCTTTCTTTCTTTCTTTTTTCTCTATTTTCTGTTCTTTTTTTCCTTTTCGTTTGATTCGCCTGTTTTTTGGGGGGAGGAGGAGGATTGAAATTGTGAAGGAATGACTAAGGTCAGTGTGGAGGAGTAAGCAAATCTAGAGGAGGCAAAAAAAATGGTTCGATGACGCCAAAGCTGGAGAAGAGAAAGAGAGAGAGAAGGGAGAGGGAGAGGGAGAAAGAAAAGAAGGCTTACACAATCGACTCTCCAGCGTTGGCACGTGGCGATTTGGACCTCTTATACTGTATTGAATAGTAGAAGTAACCGAGATTTGAAAAGGTATAAAAAAGAAGAGAGGGAGGGAGGAAAACTGACACAGTTCTTCCCGTCCTAAACACCACCAAATTTCAATGGGACCAGCTGCTGCCTTTTCGGAGCTGGAGGAGACTTGTAGCATTAAGTCCGTCTCAGCCAAAGCCAAGCTCAGCTTTCGTGTTAAAAGTACGAGTCCAATAACTTCCAGACGGCCTCCGAAATCCCCGAATCCCGATTTTGAACCCTTTTTCTACATCATCCATCTCTGCACAGAGAACAGGATCAAATACCCTAAAGATAAGATCAGATAGATTGTCAGGAGTGGGTAATCCTCCGAATGCAGTCAGAATGTTCTTTTTTCTTTTTCTTTTTTTTTTTTTTGGGGTCGAGTTTAATTGATGAGATTACATTCAGAGCGGCGATTTCCCAGAATAATAGTATAATACAAATCTCCTCCGGGACGAGAATGGTATCTATCCCCATCCTCCAAACCCACCAACGCCACGCTATGCACCAAAGACAGTATTTTATACAGAATGTGAGACCCCCGGGTCTCCCGGTTTCTCCTCCATCTCCATCTCCATCTCGATTCACTGGTGGAATTCAAGAACTAGAGTTGCTTGTCGAGGAATTCCTTGGCTTCGTTGATCTTCGTGGCCAGATACGGACTGCCACCACGATCCGGGTGGTTGAGCAGCATCAGCTGGCGGTGCTTCTTGCGAACCTTGTCCTTGTTCAGAGTGCGTTCTCTGCATGATTTGTTAGTAGGCCTCTCAACCATCGGATACGTGAGACGTACGGAAGTTCTAGAATTAGCGAGGCTTCCCGGCGGTTCATTCGCGGTTCAAATCCTCTATACCTAGTAAGCATCGTCCATCGTCAGCGACATGGTCTCGCTAGACGAACCCTTTGTAGAAAGCCTTTCCCATGCTATTCACTCCTCCCTTGTAGCGACGGAATGCGACGAAACCAGCGCGGCCCTAGGGAACAACAGTCAGTCTCGGACCGGACAGCAAATAGCCAAACCAACCCATACCAGAAAAGCTGCCGTAGCCACGCCCAGCCCAAGAGCAAGAGTCGACGCCATTTTCAGCAATGGTGATTGTGAGTGGATCAGGGGCACAGGTGTCAAAAGTGTTGTGGAATTCACTTCGCCGGTAGTGACGTTGGGGGGGAAAAAGAGAAGCCGTCAAGATAAAAATCGGAATACCGCCGCAAGTCCCATTTTGGTTTAGCGCCGGCAGAAATCAAAACTTCCTACTTTTGTCGATATGATTTTCTCCCGCACGTCAATCAACCCTTTTTTTTTTTTTTTTTTTTTTTTATCCTGCTCTTTATACCCCAGAAAAAGGACTTTGATAGAATTACACTCTCATTTTAAGAGAGTCAACTTTCCATCATCATGAGGTAAGGCCTCCCTTACCTTGAAACAAATAAATCTTGACTAACACTGACCAACCAGAATCGAAACATGCCACTTCTGCTCTCGACCGGTATACCCCTCGAAGGGAATCCAAATGGTCCGACTCGACGGTAAAGCCTTTCGATTCTGCCGGTCCAAATGCCACGCCAACTTCAAACTCAAGCGTCAACCGAGAAAGCTGAAGTGGACCAAGGCCGGCCGTGCGGCCAGCGGCAAAGAGATGATCGTCGACTCATCGCTCGTGCTGTCCCAGTTCGCCAAGAAGAGAAACGTGCCCCAGAAGTACGACCGGAACGTGGTTGCGGCGACCATCAAGGCCATGGAGCGGGTGGAGGAGATCCGGCAGCGCAGAGAGCGGGCGTTCACCAAGAAGCGCCTGGCTGGCAAGCTTGCGCGGGACCGCAAGCGCGCGGCGGACTGGAAGGTCGTGCAGGAGGGCGAGCACCTTATTCGCAAGGAGCTGCGCGAGAGGGAAGAGGGCCGGCCGCTTGTGGCGGAAACCAGCAAGGCAGCCAACAGGGTGCATGGCGAGGAGAAGCTCCGCCAGAAAAAGAAGACCCGTGTCTTGGTGGATGGAACTACACAGGACGAGATGGACGTGGATTAGATTTTTTTTTTTTTTTTTCTTTTTATCCCTCTTTTTTGCTTCTACTCCGTACCAGGGTTTTTTTTTTTTGTCTACGTTTGTCTACGGGTTTGATGTTACGATGGAGTTTGGATTGTTTCATACCTGACATTAAAAGCTTTTTCAATATTTTACCGTTTACATTATCAATGGGAGAGATATCAATAATGCCACATCTCCTTACTCGGTTTTTTCTCATTCTTTTAGTTTGATCATGGATAACTGTAAGATATAACTTATACTTTGTACGGGGAATAGCACGTGCGCCAAGATCCCAAAACAGAATAACCCACTCATCCTTGTTCTGCCTATTACTCTCTCTGTATATACTGCACTCAATTCAATCCTTCACCTCACACCCAATAACGAACCACCACAATGGAAGTCCAAGTAAACCCCAACGAAGATACCGAATGGTCTGTCCCTTTCTACAAAGCTACACTCTCGATACCTCTCTAACACACCACACCAAGGAATGACATCCTCCGCAAACACGGCGTGATCCCCGAAAAGCCCCAAGACCCGGAACCCCTCATCCAAGAAGCGCTGATCGAAGCCGAGCGCAAAGCCTACGAGAACCGTCTGGAGGATAAAGATCTCGACGAACTCGATGCCCTAGAAGAGGCAGAGGATGAAGATTTTCTAAATCAGTACCGGTATTGGCCCTGGATGATTCCTCTTCCCCCCCCCCCCCCCCCCCCCAGAAATACAACAAAAAGACGACAAGAAAGCAGAGAGAGAGAGAGAGAGAGAGAGAGAGAGGGAGAAACTAACGGAATGAAAAAAAAAAAAAAAAAGACAAAAACGCCTCGCCGAACTATCCACCATCCAAACAACATCCATCCATAACCAAGTCTACCCGCTCCAAAAACCCGACTACGCAAGGGAAGTCACCGAAGCCTCGCGCAAACACTACGTGCTCGTGAACCTCACCTCGTCAAGCAGCAACAACGTGGAGTCGCGGCTGCTCTCGGAGCTGTGGCGCCGCATGGCCACGAAATACGGCGACCTCAAGTTCTGCGAGATGCGCGGGAATATGTGTATAGAGGGGTATCCGGATCGCAATACGCCGACGATTCTCGTGTACAAGGATGGCGAGATCGTGAGACAATGTGTGACGCTGATTGGGTTGCGCGGGACCGCGACGAGAGTTGAGGGTTTGTTTTCTTTTCTTTTCTTTCCCTCTTCCTGTACTTGTACTTGTATTTGGGGTGTAGGTGTAGCTAAGCTAACGGTTCAATCCAGATCTCGAGAATATGCTTGTGGAGGTGGGCGCCTTGAAAGAAAGCGATGTACGCTTGAAGAGACGTTCGGATTCCTCGGACGGTGAGCGACCAGGGAAGTTTACGTCGACGACTAGGACTAAAAAGGCGAGTGTTGACGATGACGATGACGATTGGGATTAGATACAATACAATATAATATAAATATGAACGGAATGGAATGGAATCAAATCGGAGATCATCTCGCTTCCGCAGACATACGTACATACCATACCATACCTGGACCTGCAGATATATTGAGCCACAAGGGAGAACCAGGGACGGGGATCTCCAGATCAAAAGCTGAACTGACAGACTCCATTCGCCGCTAGTATGTCAACCTTGTGGAACCTCGCAATGCATCTGAATGAACCCATCAATCAATCCACTGCACCGTTTTCATTGCGGCGTCTCTATCCAAATGAATGAGAAACACAGCTGTCGCAACTCGCAACTCCTGACCCAATCTGGGCCGCTCCAAAAGCGCCCGCTCAAGCATAGATAAATATATATATATATATATATATATGTCCTAGGTACATACAAGTCATGTCGCATCCATCATGGAAAAAAAAAAAAAAAAAAAAAAAGAAGAAAAAAAGAGAGAGAGAAATCATATCAATTCATCATGGTCCGAGACCGTACTTTCCTCGATCGCCTTACGCACCTGGCTCTCTCGAAAAGCTGGTCCTTGTCCATCACACTGCGCCCACGCCTTCAATCGCGCCGTGACGTCCGCAATATCAAGGAGCCCGCGCTGGCACTGCTCGTGGCTCTGGATGAGATCCCACGTGGCTTGCGCATCGAGCAGCCGCTCCCCCGTTTGCGAACAGTACATGACGCGGTGCAAACGGGCGGACTTGCCTTTGGGCACGAGGCTCGAATAGAAATCTGTCGGGGAGTAGGCCATGGGCCCAGTTTCAGTCGGCGGTTCAGCACACCGAGGGGAGCGGCCGTCCGCGCCGCCGCTGGCGGAGCTTGTGGCGCGCAGGATCTCATTCTCAGTGGTGTATCGGGCGAGTTCGCGCTTCATGCGCTCATTGGCAGCTAGCAAGGTGGTGGATTCTTGTTGTAGGTTGGTGACTTTTTCTTCGAGTTCACGCACATGGCGCTCTTTTCGCTCGCGGAACGCTCGTTGGCTATTTGTTGTTTTGGCGCGGAACACGCAGAAATTAGTCTAGTCCGGTATAATGGAAAGAAAATATAAAACCCAAAGAGGGAATCCAAAGAGGGGAAGGATATGTATAATACGCTGCTCTGTTCTGGGCCTTGCGCTTGCTTTGCGCTGGCGTCATCAACCCCTCTTTCTCCTCGCTACTACTCCGCACCAGAGACAACGGGTCGGGGACAAAGTCATTCCGCCCTTCGACAGAACCCGAGTATTGGTGCTGATTAATGTGCTCGGGATTGCTCGAGGTCGATTGTTTCGAGTAAGACTCGGACGGAGACTGCGACGGGGGTCCAAAGGAATGCGCCGCGGGGTGAAAGTTGGGGTCGTACGGTTGGTAATTCTGTATAATAGGACGGCGAATTCCGTGATGGTTAGTTGATAAGAACAGGAGATATAGAAAAGAGAGAGGGAGAGAGAGAGAGACAAACCAAAGAATTGAAATTCCCTTGGAGATCCTCACCCTGGTCAGACTGATTCGGATTGTTGAGTCCGTATAGAGAGTAAGAATGCTGCTGTGACCCCTGACCCGAATAGTAAGGGTATTGATCCATCGCTTCCAATCTGTTCTCTAGTCTTTCCCCTCCGAAGTTCGATGCGAAGATGCAGAAGTGTGGGAATCACAAGTGCACACGCCGTCTTGTGCGACAAAAGAGAAGTTGCAAGTCAAGTCGCGAGACAACAAGCCCCTATAAATATATATTTCGGGGGAGAGAGGGCTGGAGGTAGCTGGATCCCGATGGATATAGATAGATAGAGCTGAATCAAAGATGCAACGTCGTCCCGAGGTCTGTCAATGAGGAGAGAATCGAGGTTCTAGACCGAGCTCTCTGTAACCAACGGCCCGGAGCTGAATGAAACTCGCTCGCCGCCTTTGCCTTCATCATCATTGTTTCTCTCGCGAATAGAGAAACTCGGGAATGGGGGAAGAACAACTAGAGCGGTGGAAAGGAACGGAAGGCCAGGGCAAAGATTTTTGATCGCTGCTGACGATGATGACGAATTATTATTATCGTCCCTGGTTTCACTCGAACTGACATGACGGCCGCTGATTGCGCCCACATACATGGCAGGGGTTTATTCCCTCATCCTTCTCGCTCCTTCTTTTTGCCTTCCATCTGGCTTAAGAGACTGGCTTGTCATCATAGGTAATGCTGACTCAAGACGGGTCTTTTGACTGTCGCTAATTACCTCTCTATACCCTGCGCTAGTGGCTATGGTCCGACTGTCGTGGGTTCAGGAGAAATACCTATGAAGAAAGCGAGGAACATGCAGGTGTTGGTTCGGAATTGCATTGGATTGATTATATGCAAGAGAACTAGGATGAAAACAATTCAAGTAAGGTCCCTGGCTGCTGCCGTGCAGACAGAGACGCATTGGCTTTCGGCCTTGGTCGCCGGTGCCTCCTTAAACTGGTCCCGTCCGGCATATTGATAGATACAGAAAGGAGCGGAAACAGTTGGGAGGGAAAAAATTCCTTGAAACAACAACACTAATCGACGTAATACCACCCCGGAAGCGACCCTAGCCAGTTTCCGTCGCCACTAACCCCATACGCAGACATGTTCCACCAACTGTCCAGAGCGTCGTATCTCAGCTTATCTGCTGCACGGCTCATTGCCGATACAGCATCCTTTGCACGAGAATAGCAACACCCTTGAAATATCTGCGAATAACCATCCTCCCCTCCTGTCCCCCCAAAAGACACATCTTTGCTAGTCGTCTCTCATACACATTCGTCCCCAATGATACGTCAATAAGACATGATGACAATCTGAAACATGAAAAGGAAATGACATGGGCAGGACTGAAACAAAGGAAAGGGGAAAAGAAAACGGGCAAAGGCATAATAAACACAGACATAACAAGAGGGAGATGGGGGCACAGTGTAGTTGAAGCGGGCAGTTCATCAGGAATTCGAGGAAATTGAGCGACAGGTGTCAGCATCATACAAATCCCCAGAACCCCCCCCAAAGACTGTGCATCTGATGATTGCATCTCTTTCGGTCTAGCCATCCCGGTCGTTGACGGAATCTATCTCCAAGTTGAACGATGATCCGAAAAAAAAAACTGTAATAACCGGGTGGCCAAGACGTAACATAGCCACAATTAAAGCGTTTTTGTCCAAGGCTGATGATATCGGGGCCTTTTCCATGTGTAGAGTCGTAATGATGTAGGAGAACCACAACGGGAGACAAACTGACAAGGAAGAATGTCCCACTCTCAAATGGAAAGGGCGGATGATCGAGCGAATAAATGGGTTGAAATGAAAAACGCAGGCGGATCGAAACGGTAAGATAATCCGAGGACGATCGAAAGACGGGGGATAACGGGCTATCAGAGAATGCAACAAGAATAATAAGAGAGAGAGAGAGAGAGAGAGAGAGAGATAAAAAGAGAACAAGAGTGGAGTTCCAAGGCGAAATGGGTCATCTGGAGGTTTGCTGCACGTAGCAAAGAAGAAGCATGAGGCAACTAGAATGACGAGAAATCCCGGGCTCTTTGGCTAGCGTCAGGCCAACAGGCAGGAGGGCTGGACTGCAATGAAATGAAGAAAATAGCAATGACAGGCCAAGCTCCACCAGCATGCTGTACCAAGACACACAGAAACAATTTAGTACCATTGAGCACCATCGTCCCGCTTCGAGCGGCTAGCACCAGGCCCATAAGCACCTGAAGCAGCAACCTTAGAAGCAGAACGCAGCCTAACGCCGAAGACTATGAGATTAGTCAGATTCTAGGAACCAAATAGAGATAGAGAGAGAGAGAGGACCTCCACGTGCAGGGCCGCACCGAAGTACCAAACGCAGAGGAAAGGGGTTCCCTACACGGAACCTAGGTTTCAGATACTCACATCCTGTCACTCCCTCCCACAGCACGGTTGGTGTCCGGGGTGTTGTCGAGGGCTCCACGTTCCATGATCTTGCGACGCTGGCTAGAAATAGCACCAGGCTTGGCGGCAGCTCCGGGGGTGGCCATAGGACCACCGGCAACAGCCTGACGGCGCTGTTGTTCCTCCGCTGCCTCCTTGTCCTTCTTGCTAGCGTCCACGATCATAGCTGCGTTCTTCTGGTACTTGTAGACAGTCCAGTCAAAGACATAGTCGTACTGGAAGGATTCGCGAACAAACAGGTCGCGGAAAATCTTGCGCAGATACGAGTAGTCTGGCTTGTCGTCGAAACGCAGAGAACGAGTGTAGTTCAGGTAGATGGAAAACTCGTTGGGGAACCCACGGCAAAGAACCTCAGTGGGGGTAGTCATCTTCTTCTCCATGATACGGTCGTACTTTTGCTTCTTGGTAGCAGCCTTCAGGCCCTGCCAGGGAAGAGTACCACGGCAGAAGTAGAGCATCACGTAGCCCAGAGATTCCATATCATCCCGACGGGACTGTTCGACACCCAGATGAGTGTTGATACTGGCGTAACGGGCAGTTCCAGTAAGATTCTTGTTCTCACGGTATGGAATGTGGAAGTGCGTCTTGGGGTCACGGTATTTCTTGGCGAGACCAAAATCGATCACGTTCACCTGGTTTCCACGCTTTCCAATACCCATGAGGAAGTTGTCAGGTTTGATATCACGGTGGATGAAGGACTTGGCGTGAATGTATTCGATACGGGAGATGAGTTGGTCGGCAAGGAGCAGAACTGTCTTCAGGGAGAACTTGCGGTTGCAGAAGTTGAAGAGATCCTCGAGACTAGGTCCGAGAAGGTCGATGACCATGGCGTTGTAGTCACATTCGGTACCGAACCAGCGAACGAATGGAATTCCAACACCACCGGCGAGGGACTTGTAGACACGGGCTTCATATTCCAGTTGGGGGTGCTTAGCCTTGACACTTTCCAGCTTGATAGCAATTTCCTCTCCAGAGATGATGTTGGTGCCTACTCCGATTAGAATCTCCTCCACGGTTTGTGTTATTATCGAGGCTAGAGATCGTCACGTACCGAGATAGATATCGCCGAAAGAACCACTTCCAATTTTACGGCCAATGCGGTATTTGTTACCGACACGCAGATCCTACAAGATGGTTAGGTGAGATTCAGTATGCCAGGCAGGATCAAGGGTGTTACTCACCATGGTCGTCATCTTGATCGAACGGTAGACACAGCGAGTCGCTGTGGTCAGGTCTTAATTGAGAAAGGGCTGTTGGGAGAGATTGTCGGTCAGCTGGAAGGAGGATGGATGCAAGGCAAAAGGACAAATGGGGATTTGTGAGGGTTTAGAAGCCAACGAGCAGGCGAGGCAGACAAAGAGAGAAAATGGAGGAGGCTCAGCCAGTGCTCAGCTTGAGGATACCTGGCACGGTGAGGCTGGTAATGCAGGTAGGAGCAACAAAGCCAGAACAAAGCCAGAACCTGCAAGTAGAAGAGAAGGAGAGAAATAGAGAGTGTGTCTCCAGGAAGGAGGAGAAGAAGAAGAAGAAAAGAAAAAGAAAAGAGAAAAGAGAAACAAACCTTGTGGGAGGAGGTTGGTAGAGAGGTGAGAGAGCGGTGATGTCGACTGCTGGGGACAACCGCAAGGGCCCGACCGGAAAGGCAAAAAAGGCGGAGAGGGAGAAGAGGTTGAACCGTTGGGGACAGACAAGAACGTGAGAATAGGAAAGAACCGAAGAATAAAAAGAGTCAAGAAACCAAGGACAGAGCCTTGATATCGGAAGGTGGGTGGGAGAGAGGGAGAGAGGGAGAGAGGGAGAGAGGAGGAGAGGAGGAGAGGAGGAGAGAAAGAGAAGAAGAGGAGAAAGAGAGAAAGTTGAACAGAGAAGGCTTGGCTTGTCTTGTACTGTACTGTACTGTATTGTATTGTACTGTCACCTCCTCTCTGACAGTACCAGAAAACGGCAGGGGAAAAGGGAACTCCTGATTGGTTTATTTGAGCGGCTTTTGATGGATTAGTGTACCCGGTACACGTATCATACCTGGGAACCTGGTCACGGCGAATTTAAGGTATATTGTAATTTAAGGGGCGTGTAGTAAATCAGTCAATCTTGAATGAGTCGGTGAAGACTTGGTCACTTTACATCAAGTAATTCAGTAGCAGTAGGAGTAGCAGTAGGAGTAGGAGTAGGAGTAGGAGTAGCAATATCTCTGTTATTAAGGATTCACAGATAATCCATCTCCTAAACACACAAGCCTTTACCCATATCCTGGTCACTAGAAGGCAATCGAAGCCCAAGAATAACTTTAGGCGGCAAACCTTGAAACTGCCAACTCGCCCTGATAGGAGAATGATGAATCTTCAGACATGCAGTCAGCAAATCATTCCATTGATATTTATTTTTTCCATTTCTTTATATACTACTGTAAGTATACATATACTATTATTAAATCTCAAGTACATCAAAGAAAGTCATGACATGTTCATTGTTCTGTAACATCCGTTCTGTAACCTCAATACAACCCTGTTACAGTCAGCACTTGGGCACAAAAATCCCAGCACGCCTTATCAGACTCAAATATCCTCAACCCAAGACATCCCTATATATATCCCTATATATATATATATATACTAATCTAATCAATAGTATAAAGAACATAGCATAGTTAACCCTTACCTAACTTCCCCTACCCACGTAGGTCTGATATGATATGCACATCCAAGGAATCATGTCACACCTCGCATTTCCCGCTGCTCATACCCTAGACTTGATCCAAATTTTCGATTCCTCCTCCCTTGGGCAGAAACTCGAGGAAAGAGCAGTTACCTCCCAAAAATTGGGGGAAAAAAAAATACCTATACGTCTAATTCAGGGATCTTCATTCGGTATACACTGTAACCATAGAGAAAGGAGCAAATGGTCTTCAGATTCGAACATCGTGGATCGAAGCCATTAGTACGATAGACTTGGTCTAACTATCTATACCTATGCCACTTACTGGCAATCCCAACACATTCTCCTGGCGAAGACTCGGGACGATACGTACGGGGAGTAATTAGTATGACCGGGGGGGGGATATAATAATAACGACACGGACGCAAACTCAACTGATGAACGGTGCAGCATTTTAATTCGCGCAGCCAAACAATTCTGACTTCCATCAGACTTGAGGCATCGTCAAGAAAATCAGGTGAATAGTACAGTTCAGGTTAGGAGGCAAAGAGAAAGGGGGTATAAAAGAAAAGATGAAGGGAACATGGAGAAGGAAATAAAGAGTAAAAAAAAAAAATGGAAAAAGAAAAAGAGAAACGAGGGAAAAGATGTGTGTGGGTTGGTACATATCAAGAAAAATATGGAAATATAGGCGGACAAGCAACCCTCAAATCATCATAAGCTAATACAAAGGCAGAAAGAACGAACGGAGATACAAGGACAGAGGAAACACAGATAAACTGTCGCAAAAAAAAAAAAAAAGAAAAGAAAAGAAAAGAAAAGAAAAAGGCCCGATTAAGGGCTTCCAAAGCCCGGGGACCCAAATCAACGTGCTCAGACGTTTTATGATATAGCTCCCAATAAGATATAGACAAGTCATGAAGGAGTGCTCACTGAGCTGCTCAGATCATATTCGCGGTTGCCGGTTCTTCGGCAGCATTGTGAGGCCTACTTTTGTCCGGAGAGGGTTCTCTCGTCTCTTCTTCGTCCAATCGCCGCCTCCACTCCGCCAGGCTGTCGCTGAGCCCCGACTCCTTTGTTGGGGTTCGGTCGTAGTCCGACTGGGTGCTCAACCGGTAGTTGCGATTGGTACTCTCCCAGTGGCTGCGCAGGGTTTCCAACTCATTGGCGAGCGAGTCAAGCGCCATGGAGCCACGGTTATCGAGGAAGCTGTCATCCTGAGACACTGCGCTGTTGGCCCTTGAACGCCCAACCCCAGCGCCGATAGTATTACTCGAAGCGTTACTATGTGTACGGGAGATCCCGTTTGGACCTTGCCCATGCTGCGACTGGCGACGGTAATGCCCAACGGATGCCTCGACTTGATCGAGGAGCATGTTGACCTTCTGCTCCGCATCCGCTGCGCGAGTTTCGAGCAAAGAATTCTCGTGCTTGAGTTGGTCCAACTCAGATCGGCTGTTCTCGGTAGTCGCTATGAACTGCTGTTGAATTGCTTCGTAATCCGCCTCATATTTGCTTCGTTCGGACTCCACTGAAGAGAGACTTTCCTTCAACCTCGTAATTTGCTCCTCTAGGTTGGCAATTGACGATGCTGTATCTTCCTGCAGCTCAGCTATCGACTCTTGAAGCCTGGAGCGCTCCGCCTCCCATTCCGCTGGAGCGTCCGACGCCGTGGCAGGAGTTTGAGCAAGGTTGCTTTGGGCTGCTTCCAGTTCGGACTGGATCTTCGCGTTCTGTATTTTGTATCGAGCCAGTTCATCCTTCATCCGTTTGAGCATCTTTTCGGTCCCTTTCACGTAATGGACGGCGGATTGGTAGTCATTCTCAAGCTGCTCCAACTTCTCCCTATAGGCACGGTCGGCTTCTTGCTCGCGAGTCTCAACTGAAGATTTGAGTTCTTCATGAGCCTTGATACTGGTGGAGAGCTGTTGCTCCAGTTCCCGTAGTCTGGTCTGCTCGGGGGTGCCGAATCGAGATCCGGGAGATTCAAGGCGCGGGGAGCGTCTATTATCAGAGTAGAGGGCTCCGCGTTCACCGAGGAGGTCTTTGAGGGCATTGTGTTGGATGGCCAAAGCTCCAGCTTCGCGCTGGTGGTTTTCGAGCTGGGCCTTGAGCTCCTTATTCTCAGCGCTGTACATCTGAGAGTCTTTCAGCGCTGCCTGCAACTGCCTTCGGAGCTGTAGACCCTCCCGGCTAGCCTGTTCCTGGTACGCCTCTAACCCTGCAATCCTTTCCTCGGCACGTCTCAATTTCTCCGCCGCCTCATCGGCAGCCGCTTGGCTGGCTTTCGCGAGCTTATTCGCGCTCTCCACCTGTGCTTCGGCGATAGTCACGCGTTGATCGGCCAGGGACCGCATCGAGGTATCTGAATCGAACGAAGAGGCTCGGTCAAGACCAGTGAGGAATGCATTCTTGTGCGTTTCAGCTTCCCTGGCGTGGCTCTCAGCGAGCTCCTCTGCATCCCGCAGGCGGCGCGTAGCGTTCTCCAACTCGGAAGTTCGTTCTTCGTGCTCGGACCGAAGTTGCAACAACTTTCTCTCCAGGCCTTCACGACGTTCTCGTTCCTCGTCTAATTGCTTCTCGAGGAGGGTGGCTTTATTGGAAGATGCAGTCACGGCCTCTCTAAGGCCACCGAGGTTATTGCCAAAGTCCTTTAACCGAGTGGAAGAATCGTCCAGTCTTTTCAAAAGCTCCTCTTTATCCAAGGTCAACTGCTTCAAAGATGACTCGGCTTCGGATCGTAGAATCGACTCCTCTCTCAGAGACGCTTCAATCCCATGAAGCTGGGCACGCAAACTTTCTGCTTCTAGGGGGTTGTTCTGTATCTCCAACTCAGCCAATCTCCTCCTTGTGGCTTCACATGTCTCTTCTGCTAACTCTCGGCCCCGCTTTTCTTGCTCTATTTCAGTAGCCATCACTTCCAACCTGGATCTCAATTCGTTCTGAGACGCAATAGCGACAGCGAGCCTTCTGCTCAGATCTGTTGTACGCTCGGAGACCGCGTCCTCCAAGTCTCGAGATTGTCCGTCAGATAATGGTGTACCTTGTTGACTTCCTCCATGTGCAGCAAGTTTGGCGCGAGAGTAGGCTGCCTCATTCACCGCCACATCTCTCTGATGTTCAACCTCGGCGACGCGTTTGGATGCTATGGCAGCTTGGCGGTCCACGGTGGCCTGCATTTTGGCTAGTTCGGCCCTCATAGCGAGGAATGCCTCAATCAAGGGGCGATCCTCATCAGCAAACGCATCTGCTGTACGCTCGTCCAGCACAGAGCTCCCTGAGATGTTGGGTGTATAACCGGCTTTCTTGGCCAAAGCGAGCTCCGACGCGTACCATGCATTGCGGCCTTTCACCGCTTCTAGCTCCTTAATCAAGGCTTCCTGATGAGCTGTCAACCTAGGCGATCGGGGTTCGTCGCCCATGGTTTTCGAGTTTCTGTAGGTCCTTGAATCCATCGAGCTGTCAATACTTGCATGTCGACCGAGGATGGATTCATCGGCACTGTCCATGGAACCACGCTGTCGCTGTCGGAGAGAGCGTTGGCGCGCAGGGGCGCTGATCAGGGGCGCAGCTTCGCCTGCCTCCATCGCTCTAGCAGACATGCGTGAGGACTGCTGGGTACGATGTCCATTTGCCTCTTGAGGGCTCTTGAACTCTCTTGGTGATTCCCTTGCCGCTGAATCTCTATCCCTATCACTTGCCATGGCCCGGGCGGTATCCACTGGGGGGCCGCCATACCCACGGTCTAGCTTTGGCGGAGTTTTGCTTCTCGGGCTCATGGCATGCTGGGGTGTGTTGCCTCTTGGACCGGGTGTCGGAGCCTGTCCCGGGGGGGGAGGTCCTTGTGGCGCCTGCGCAATAGATGCGCGCGGAAGCCGGGATCCTGGTCCTAGACCAGGGCCTAGATCCGTGGGTCTCCCAATAGGACTAACCATACTCTCCCGAGATGGTCCCTGTCCTCTCCGTTGCGCATCCGATGGCGGGGTCTGAGCTTCGCGAGATGTTCGGTTGGCTTGTTGTTGAACCTGCTTCTCCGTGGCAGTTGGTTTTCTCACAGTAGCGGCGGCAGACGGTGCCCGCTCCCCGTTTTGGGCGTCTGTTGGATAACGAATCTTTGAGGTGTCAAGTATGTATGCCATGCTGAGTTCCACGGGGTCCCTTGGCGCGGAGCTTGGCTCACCAGCCAAAACGATGATCTGTTTTCCAAATGCGGTCATACTATGCCCTGACCTTGGTGAAGGGGCAGGTCCCATATTCTGGAATGAATACCAACGTCGTGTTGTGATGCGAAAAGCTGCTAGATCGCCAAGGTCGATACCCTCATCTGTGCGTCCACCGAAGATATACATGACATCATTTACCAGGGCCGCGGCGTGTCCTTCACGGGGGGCTGGGATGAATCCGACACAGTCCAGTTGAGTCCAACTGTTGGAGCGAGGGTCATAAGACCAGACATCATTGAACCACTGCAACCCGTTTGTTCCGCCAAACCTGCATCATGGTCAGTGAAAAGGTGATTTGAAATAGCAAGCAGCAAGAGAAGGGGGGGGGGGGTTGTTATTGCGTACAGGTACAGTTTGTCATTGAAACCGACGATGGTGTGGTTGGTTCTGGCCGGGGGAATTTGACCGGGTGAAGGTCCGCCGTCGTGGCTGTTCTGGATTAGAAACTCCCACTTATTGCTAGGGTTTTGGAGCTGGTTTAGGTCAAAGGCAACGAGATCATTGAAGAAAAATCCCTCCACCTGCCCTCCAAAGACGTATAATCTGGAGCCTAGAATGTTTATAGTGTGACCGTAACGTCCAGTAGGTCGGGGGCCTGGAGGTATGGAGCGCGACCATTGTCGAGAGGCTACATCAACCATCAGTTAGCGAACGTGATCATTCCCAGATTGCTGAAAGACTTGAACTTTTGACACGTACATGTATTTAGAAGGTAGAGTGTGTCATCTAGCGTATCATTCTCGTCCACCTTGGTATCACCTCCGAATACTATGAACGCATTCCCGACCAATAAGCTTGCATGTCCAACTCGCGGCCCAGGTCCTTCTGATATTGTAGCGATCGGAAAGCATGACAGATTCCCACTGCTGCTTTCCATCATCCACAGGTCCCCCTTCACGGTCGAACCGTCTATCAGACCACCCATCATATATATATCGCCTTCTTTCGAGGCAACGGAATTGATTGCAGCACCATAACGCGGGAACGGGCTTGCCTGAGGCGAGGAGAAGTTCAGTCGACGCTGCGACCAGGGGTAAAGGGATGCACCGGGGCTACTATTCGGAGAATTACTGGAAATGCTCGGATGAGATCGCGGAGTCTGGAGAGCGTTAGTCTAGATCTTGTGTGGTGAAGTATTGTCACAAGTATTGGGGCGGTGGAAAGGAAAGCGGAGGACCAACCTGCGACTCAGACTCTGCGCGTTGTCGCATTCGCGGATGATCAGGACTTCCGGCGCTATTCACGGAATTTAAGGAGTTGTTATAGCTACTGCTGGGAGTGGGAGTGTGCGAATTCGCTCCATCGCGTTCTTTGGGGCCATTGAGCGCCGGCCCAGGCGCTGACGGGGCTCCTTCGGAGGTATTAAGACTTCTCGTTGCTGGAGGCAGGCTGGGAGTGTGGTTCTTCTTCGACTTAAAGAGGAATGCCATCGTGAAACAATTATATCGTAAACGGTCGTTGAGCGTGCGGGACTACAGAAGCAATAGGACGAGAACAAGGACAAGTTGCAAACAATTGAACAAACCCCCCTATGGCTCCCAGTGCAAACAAGCAGGGGGGGGCAATCAATGTAACGAGAGAAAGCAAAAACAATGGGCGCCAGGCTGCAGAGTGTCTTAAGGAACGGAGGGTGGAGGAAGCGATCGAGTTAGGATCAGAAGACCAACTGTTGCTGCCGGTCGAGGTAGTTCGAGGCTCCCAAGTTCAGGAACAGGCACGGGCGACGGATGGTTCGTTCCGTAGGCGTTCAACCGTGTCCATCCAAACGATTCAATTAGCTGCGTATGTAATCCGTAATCCGCTCAGCGTCACGAAGAAAGGAGCCACTGGGCGGACCCCTTTCTTATTTCCACTGTGAGCTTAAGGGGCCTTGATTCAGACTGTGAAGGAGCATGAGCAACCTATACCGACAACGACACACAAAACAGAAACAAACAGCGGTAATAGAAGGAAAGAAAGGGTCCCCACGGGAACGAGAAGAAAATAAAAGGAAGAAAAAAAAAAAGGGAAACAAACGAGGAGGAAGGGGAGGGGGAGACGGTCGATTCAGGTGGGAAAATTAGGAACTACCGAAGGAAGACTGAAGAGAGAGAGAAAGAGAGAGAAGGGGTCGGGAAACTAGAGATGAATTGATGAAGAGAGAACAGACAGAAAGAGAGAGAGAGACTCGGGCGTTTCAAACCTTCTCTAGCTAACTAACAATAAGTTATATTAGATAATTCTTGTTGGCTGTCTTAGTGGTGTTCAGGGGGGACATTTTTTTTTTTTTTAGTTTGGTTTAAATAGAGAAGAGACACCGCCATCCAAGGGAGCAATAAGAATCCCCCATTTTTACAAGGCACAAGATGAAAGAAAGAAAGAAAGAAAAAGAGAGAGAGAGAGAGAGAGAAAAGAAGCAAACAGTGTGGCGGAAAAAGAAAAGAAAGACTCCACGAGGCAGTCGTTATTATTGATAATGTAACTGTAGGCGAGTGTCAAGTTGAGGTTGTTTATTCTTCAGTGATACTCCATACAGGACTACAGTAGAAGGTACATACCAGGAAGTTGGGAACTGGAAGTGTTTGGTTTGTACCTGGTACTCCATAGCAGAAGTTGAGACTCCTTTACTGGATGAAACTGATCTCTGATCAATTTATTATCGTACATCGAAGCAAGGAAGGTAGGATCCATTTATCAACAGGTACCTGCATGGACGGGTCTCTGAGCGACACATTTGATTTCCTGTTCATGCAGTGGTTAATTTCAGCTCTGCAAGGAATCCAATTCCATACTACCCTGTACATACATAGTAGTAACTATATTGGATCGATCTTTGCTTGTTGAGGTCATTGCCAGAAGTAATGCTGCCCGAGGTATACTCCGTACAGAGAGGTGGTTTCGAGAATCCCCACGACTTTTCGCACTGGTCGATCTTGACATTGATCCAGAATCCAAGGGTGGAAACCTAACCAGTGCTTGGTCTCTCTAGATTCAGAGGAGAGAGCGATCTTCATTATTTCGCTCGTCGTCTTTCTGTTCGCCTGCCAATGTTGAATGGAGTATACGAGTCCGTCCTTCCCAGGTCCGTGTTGGGGGGGTTCCACGTGATGCTGATCAGTATACAGTTTTAATGAGATACAAATGTATGTACTGTTCCGTACCTACTTGGATAGACTAGGAGGGGATAGATATATATATATATCTATCAAAAAATTAATCAAAGTAATAAGTTTAATATATTCTCATACAGAGTAGTGTGAATGAATAAAATAGATCACTAGTTATAGTTATGGAGTAGTGACTGAATAATAAAATAGTGGAATAAAGGCGCCCTAAGCCAGATGTAGTTTAGGTCCATAGAGCCACTGTCACCTGCTCCAAAGTCTTATTTAATATTAGATTAATGTTATAACGGTCTGTCATTGATAGAGTAGTAATTCCTCGATACATAGATAGTACCTTCAGAACTGAAATGCAGAATCCATAATCACATGGCAATATGATCAGGTATAAACCAAGAAATTCCCCTATGATTAAATGGTGGATGCTGGACAATGCATCTTCATCCCTACCTACCTAAGGTAGCAGTGCTCCATCTTTTTCTGCTGTTCTGATAGGCCCAAACCCACAAGTTCAAATTCGTACTAGGAGGTACCTACCTAGGAAGAGGCCCCTATTGCTTAGGCATTCCAAGATATTTTACCAACCCCCTAGATTCAATTCGCTTGCGAGTTGCTTTAGTTGTGATTCCGGGAAAAAGTTAACTAGGGTACCACATAACTATGAAGAATTCCGACTTGAAGAATGTTCCAACTCTATTGCCTGGAAACTTGATCCAAAGTATGCTGGAAGAATTGAATTACTTATGACTGGGTGACTCCTCTTCCGTCCTATCGTAGACATCTTGTTCCTGCGTTACTCTAGCTACATCCTGCAACCTATTAACAGCGTCTCCTGCCCACAGATTTCTGTTGGCACTACCTTACCTGTGTTATTCTACCTCAGTTAAACTTGAGTTCCTTGTGGTTTTAGACCAGGAGGGTAAATTCTCGACCTATGAGACTTGGACCGGCAGTATTGCCGCGAGACGTAATCTATCTCATACTTCGCTTCGCGCGCTTATTCAGCACTTTCCTTGTTAATCCCGTTTCTATGGAATATGGATGAATAAAGAAGGAGCTCCACAAGAAGTGGTGAATTTCCTTTGACTGCTTGTTTTGGTGGATCCACTGTTTAGGTTCACTGTTCAACTACATGTATATTTTGAAATAAGCACCAGTCATTTTTAACCTGAGGAATTTTGACATGTACTAGTTTGTTAACTTAGACAAAGAACTCATTTTCATAATTTGTGACGGCAAAAAAGTGCACACTTGGTGCTGGTGCTAGTGTTATCCAAGCGAGATCCACGACGCTGATCCATCAATAGGTACAGAGTACGGAGTAGGTACTTTCCTACTTTACTGCCAACTCCCGCCTTAAGGCACAACAAGATGCATACTTAGCTCTGCTCCTGGATCAACTCTTACTTCAGTTTACTTGCAAGCTACACAACTGCATCTACCAATCCATTTCTCTTAGCACCATTCTACCTGGTGTCTCATCCTCCGATAACAGCAACAATGTGCAGCCAACCAAAAGTGGAACTCCTCCAAGCGGAAGTCGATGAAAATGACCAAAGCTTCTTCCGCTTTCAGATCGACGGTCGATCCATCAAATATGTTACGTCGTCGTACGATCGAACCGGGCCTGTACAAGGCAGAGGATATGTGTTTCGGCCCATCTCTGCTCTCCCTTCTGCCAGATTTCCCACCTGGAGATTGGAACGATGGGCTGATAGCCAGAGACACAACCAACGGTCAACCGCACTTCGTGCGTACTAACCGGACTCAATTCCCTTATGTCAGGCATCAGTGGCACAGAACCCATGTCAATTATCAGGATATCGTGGTAGGAGCCAAGCTGAGAACGGGAATATACGAAGTTACAGGCCCACAATTTGACACGGTTGTCGTCGCCAAGTTCGCTCGCTTCGAGTGGGAGATCCAATATCTCGAGAACGAAACCATTGCCTATGAATGGATTGACGGCCATGATGTTGGACCCCGGTTTTTAGGCCACCTGGTTGAAGATGATCGGGTGATTGGGTTCCTGATAGAACGCATCACAAATGCACGGCATGCCGGACCTAATGATCTTGCTGCCTGCCAGCAGACTTTGTGTAGACTACACCGACTGGGTATCCAGCACGGCGACATTAATAGATTCAATTTTCTCATTTGCGGATCAAAGGCTATTTTAATTGACTTTGACTCGGCTCGGAAATGTAATGACCAGAACGCGATCCACAGGGAGCTCGAAAACTTGCCAAGATACCTGCAGGATATATCTTGTAGGAAGGGGGGTGGTGGACTCCTTTGCACTGCACCGACTTAGTCAGGGTTTCCCATTAACTAGTTAATAGGGCGCGCAATCTGGATTGCAGAATAAAAGGTTATCATTTTCTGGAATGGTATAGCCCGTTTATTAAATTCATGGATAGTTAGTACTTCGAAATCACAACACCAGAGCCACATTGTTCATCTGCTTGAGCAACATAACATTATTTTTTGTAATAGTTAGGCTCCTCAAGGGAGGACATCTGACCAAGCTACCAATGTGTCAAAGCTCAACGTTTTGTAACTTGTTCAAGGTAGTGGATGAGGTCATAGCCTCAGATATATATATGTATCCGCCAATGTTATTTAACCACTAAAGACGGGCTTAAAATTTGGGGGAAGCCATCCAAAGCTGCAGAATATTCAAGCATGGTTCGAGTCTCCTCGTACAGAATAGGGTCGACCAGACGACCTCGGAGTACTGGCGAACTGCAGTTATTTTTGGCGTCATTTTGATAGTTAGCGGATGGATGTTGCAGCAACGGATCCGGAGATACTGATTGTCCGGAACCTGGTGCCAAGACCATCTCGGCCAGAGCTCATGAAACCTCTCTTCCCATGTACGGAGTAAACCATCTTAAATTGACCCATAGTCTCTTAAGCTGCTGGTTCTAGAGCGGGGATCTGCTGTTGACTCCACAAGTGCAGACTAAGATTCTTCCATCCCGTACTTTCCCTCATAACGCGGCGGAAAATACTTTTCTTTGATGTTGCTGACCAACAGGCCTCCAGTTCAGGTATGAGAATCGGCCTGCTTTCCGCGTATGCGCTGTGGTCTTGATAAGGTGAGTGGATATATCTACTCGCACGTTCGCCCCACTATCAAAAACTGTTTCATTTCGAAACTCCTGTCCTAGTGATGAGTTGAACTAACATTACCCGGCCTTTGTCTCTTCCAGTGACGGTGCTGTCTCGCAGATTATACACGACAGAACATGACGACCGTTTGTCTACCATGAAGGATCCGAATTCAAACATGGAGCAAAACACTCCCTTGCCCCCGCAGGCATCCAGTCTTCAAGCGGAGCCACGAAGAAACAACCACAAATCAGCCCGTGTTGCCTTTGGTCCGGATTTGGAAACGCATATCCCCCCGCGCGAGCGATCCCCCGCGCTTCTTTCAAGTCATCACCGTTCGTTTACTAGCGTGGAGCAAAAGCATTTGTCCATCCCGGGAAGACCAAATAGCTCCTCAGATGAAAATACCCCGGTTCTTGAATCCAATTCGCGATACAGCTCGGATCAGGCTTCTGATAATGGACGACCGTCGTTGAAGAGGGCCAAGAGTGATTACGGGCCGCGAGGAGGATCCGACACCCAAATTGTGGGCGATGTCGATGATGATGATGAGGACTTTGCGATGAGGCACGGATGGCAAGAGGAATATACTTCGAGCGAGTACCTCAAGATTTTACATTCAGTGGGTGAAACCCAAGTGATGCCGTTGTGAAGAAACCTCGATCTTTGTGCTAACCTTCAAACCCTCTAGAATTTCTACATGTACTTTACGGAAAAGCGCCACGAGACAAATGGAATCCCCCGAGACCCTATCGGCAGTTGGCCCACGCAAGATTGGCGGATGAAAGATCGACTAAAAACAGTCTCCGCTGCTCTGGCTATATGCCTGAATATCGGCGTTGATCCTCCAGACGTGGTTAAGACGAATCCATCCGCTAAACTCGAGTGCTGGGTCGATCCAACATCCACTACAGGAGGCGGCCACAACAAGCTGATGGAGCAAATCGGCAAGAAATTGCAGGAACAGTACGAAACACTCAGTTTGAGGACACGGTACAAGCAATATCTTGACCCCTCTGTTGATGAGACCAAGAAGTTTTGTATATCCCTTCGTCGAAACGCCAAAGACGAAAGAGTTCTTTTTCATTACAACGGCCACGGTGTCCCGCTACCTACCCAGTCTGGGGAAATCTGGGTTTTCAACAAAAATTACACACAGTATATCCCAGTATCGTTGTATGATCTTCAGTCGTGGCTCGCCGGACCCAGTTTATTCGTGTTCGATGTTTCCCATGCGGGGAATATTGTTCAAAACTTTCATACTTTTGTCGAGAAGCACGAGAAGGAAAACCTCGAAGCGAAAAAGGTTGATCCCAATGCGATTATCCAGAACTACGGGGACTGCATCATTCTCGCCGCATGCCAGAAAAACGAGTCACTGCCCACCAACCCCGATCTCCCCGCTGATCTCTTTACGTGCTGTCTGACGACCCCAATCGAGATAGCATTGCGGTTCTTCATACTTCAGAACCCCCTTCAGTCCAATGTTTCCGTCGACGAGTTTAGGGTTCCTGGGCGCTTGCAAGATCGCAGAAGCCCTCTCGGAGAGTTGAACTGGATTTTTACCGCGATTACCGATACCATCGCATGGAACACCCTTCCACGTGCCCTCTTCAAGAAACTCTTCCGTCAAGATTTGATGGTTGCTGCTCTCTTTAGGAATTTCTTACTGAGTGAGCGGATTATGCGTACATACAAATGCCACCCAATCTCGTCACCTGAACTCCCCGAGACCCATCATCACTCCCTGTGGAAGAGTTGGGATTTGGCGGTTGAGATGGTGTTAGCACAGCTTCCTGCCCTCATTGACAACGAAGAAGGCCGCAGGCAATACGAATATCAGCACTCCACTTTCTTTGCCGAGCAGCTTACTGCTTTTGAGGTTTATTTATCCTCAGGACCAACCGAGAAGAACCCACCAGATCAACTTCCCATTGTACTCCAGGTTCTTCTGAGTCAGGCCCATAGGTTGAGGGCATTGATCTTGCTTAGTAAGTTCCTAGATCTGGGACCCTGGGCAGTTCATCTAGCTCTTAGCATCGGAATTTTCCCCTATGTCGTGAAGTTACTGCAGTCGGCTGCACAGGAGCTGAAACCAGTCATGGTTTTCATCTGGGCCAGGATCATGGCTGTCGACCACACCGTTCAGAATGATTTGTTGAAAGACAACGGAATCCATTACTTCATTTCTATTCTAAACCCCTCTTCGCCGATTCCAGTGGGCAATGCCAGCGAACATCGAGCAATGTGTGCTTTTATCGTATCGATCTTCTGCAAGAATTACCCCCAGGGCCAGAATGTGTGCCTCTCTTCTGAGCTCTTTGAATCTTGCTTGATGCATTTGATGGATGTCGAAAACCCACTGTTGCGGCAATGGTCGTGTCTCTGCATTAGCATGCTGTGGTCTGAATTTCCCGAGGCCAAGTGGATGGGAATTCGATGCGCTGCGCCAGCCAGGCTCTGCGAGCTCAATTTTGATCCCGTCCCAGAGGTCAGAGCAGCAATGCTGCATGCTACAACGACCTTCCTGGGGATCCCAGACTTGACGGATCAGGTGGCCCAGATTGAAGAATCGCTAGCCCTGGCTGTCCTTCCTATGGCATCGGATGGAAGCGTTCTCGTTAGAAAGGAACTTTTGGTCTTCTTTTCGACATTTGTCAGGCGTTATCAGAACAAATTCCTAGTTGCTGCCTATGAGGAATTCCAGGATGAAAAACAGAATTTGCTCAGCAAGCTAGGCCAGGACGGTTCCCAGGGACTGCACCTTGAAGAGACAGCAAACGGTTCAGGCAATGGTGCAGCAGGCTCGAATAACAAGCCGCAGCCCTTGTCTCGGAATACTACGTTTGGAACAATTTGGAAGCAACTTTTGATCCTTTCTGTTGACCCCCACCCTGATATTGCACAGGACGCTGGAGTGATTGTTGACTTTATGCACTACTTACTCCTCCAATCTCACATGGCTACACTAACCGAAAGACTCCGCCAGGAGATCTTGGACCTCTCAAGTCGAGTGGACCAAAAGTCCCAGGCTCGAGAAATGCCTAACCCGAAGAACGCTGCACCGCCCCCTACTCCTCCCTCTGTCGCTCCCCCGAAACAGGAAGGCTACCTTTCGTTGAGTCTTCGGCGAACTGCCAGTGTTGCAGCCTCGCTCAAAAACCTTGCGTTTGGTAACCCCTCCCAATCGGACTCACAACTGTCTTCACAGCCTGCAACGTCCCCCAAGAATCGAGCGCCTGCCACCCCACGAGGACGAGCTCCCCCAGAATGGACCCGATCCCCGGAGGTTAACGATCAAGTTGCCCCCGCAGCCACTTACCAGCAGGCCCCAGTTCCAACTTCCCGAGGATTTGAGCCCCGAGATCCATCCTTGATCCCAAGTATACCCTTGATGAGCAGATTCCTAGATTGGTCCACAGAGGTAATCCCAGACCTTCTTGCTTTGATATCCGAGCAATATAACGATGATTACGAGCAATTTCTTACCCATATCCAGTACTTCCGAGAGCCCCAGATGAAACCCAACGAGCCCGACGAGCCCGGTAGTGCGGATTACAATGAGCGCCTCTGGAGACGGAGCCGCAATGAGAGGATCATTTCGGAGACCCAGCCCCTGAAAGGAAAGGCAGGCAGTAACCGATGGGATAATTCGATCGCGCTACTCGCGAACGGCACCCAGCCCCTTAAAATGTGCTTTCATCAGTTCGAGGACCACATTGCCGTGGCTGATGATAGGGATACTATTACGTAGGTGTCTGATAAGCTTTGTATAGCACATCATGCTGACAGTTACGGGTAGCATTTGGGATTGGCAGGGCCATAAACGGCTCAATCGCTTTTCTAACAGAAACCCTCCTGGATCCAAAATCAACGAAGTCCGATACATTAATGAAGATGATCAGGCTCTACTGATGACAGGATCCTCAGATGGTGTTTTGAAAGTGTTCCGAAACTACGAGTCAACCAAGGATGTCGAGATTGTCACAGCGTTCAGGGCTCTCCCCGAATTGATTCCTAGCAACCGAAATGCAGGTCTTGTTCTTGACTGGCAGCAAGGTCAGGGTAAGGCTTTGGTTGCTGGAGATGTGAAAGTCATCCGAGTGTGGAACGCAGCTACGGAAGTCTGCACCAATGTAAGTTGATCCTTTCTGATCGGTGGTGGTGCTGAGGGCTCTGACATTGCTTCTCTCAAGGATATCCCTGCACGTTCGGGCTCTTGCATTACTTCTTTGACTTCTGATCAAGTTGCTGGAAATATCTTTGTGGCTGGATTTGGTGACGGCGCGGTCCGAGTATTTGACCAACGTCTCAAGCCCACCGCGTCTATGGTCAAAGTGTGGCGTGAGCATAAGCAATGGATTACCAATGTTCACATGCAACGAGGTGGCCTAAGGGAGTTGATATCCGGCAGTCGAAACGGTGAGATCAGACTTTGGGACCTGCGAATGAACGACCCGATTTCAACGATTTACGCGACGAAGGATACACTCCGTACATTGAGTGTCCACGAACACGCCCCTGTGTTCATGGTGTATGTTTTCCTCCCGCCTTTCCCTTTGTCCACTTTTTCTAATCTTGAATCTACAAAAACAGCGGCACAAACCGCCATGAAGTCAAGACTTACAACGTCGACGGAACCCACCTGTCAGTTTTCGAACCATACTCAAGCTTCCTCCATCACAACCGCTCCTCTCCAATATCCAGCACTGCCTTCCACCCACACCGCACCCTCTTCGCCTGCGCCGCTCTCAATGATAACCACATCAACCTCGTGAGCTGCTAAACAACTCTACTTCTTATTTTGTTCGTCCTGTCTCTATACTAAGACTGGGCCATAACATACATGCCTTCAATATCGCTCCCCCCTGTGACACAACCGTTCACCCTTTTCAGCTTCGTCATCTCACCCCCTATGTACCACCACGAACATGGCACATTATCAAGGGGATCCTCTATTTCAGTAGTGTCCGTTATTCACTACATTGCATGATCTCCCTCCCCTCCCCCCCCACGAAAGTTTTCTTCTTGCTCTCCCCCCGGTATTTGTTTCCATTTTGTTTCTGCCTCCTTAGCACGGCTTATACACGATGACGCATTGAATTTATGGCGTAGGATGGGATGAGACTACAGCACTTAGCGGTCGGGCGCTATGGCTTTCTATTTTAATGATATTAATTTTCTTTTCTATTTCCTTTCATCCTACAGTTTCTTTTTCCCTTTTTTGTTTTCATGCCCTTCTTCCCCCTCTTTTTTATGGCTTTATCTGACGATTTGTTGCTTGGTTGTACACGGAGGTATTGTGTGCTAGCAGCGGTAGTGGGTAATAGGAGAGTTTAATTAATACACACCATCATTGTAGATTTGGGTTTTGAATAATGATAAATAAAAGGTCATACTAAACAGTGTTTCGCTACTCTGTAACATTAAAGGATGTAGAATGGCCTTGCTTCTAACCTCCCTCTTTCCTTCCCGACTTAAATATACATGTTTGTATGCTTAGTAGGGTTAAAATATTGTAACTAACTATTCAGTTGTTGCTTACTCAAGTTATGCCCGTAGTTCATTAACACATAGGAAACAAAATAATTTGAATTCTCAGCTTTAGTTAGAAAGACTGATCAAGTCTTAGTTAGGTGGTACAAGTCCTTGGTCTAGTACAGGATCGTAGCAGCACTCAACGATAGTATTAAGAAAGGAAAATATGGAAGAGACTGGCTTCCATGATAACCAGCATTCCAAATTTGCTTTTACTGAATGACCAACGGATGAAAAAATATGACCCCCAACCCCCCGCCTTCAAGATAGAGAGAATCTCATTCATTGCCCGTGAAACATTCTGAAAGAAATAACTGGGTTTTGACTTCAAAGGTCATGTCGGATTAAAAGCCAGTGGATTAGTCCGGGTCACTGTCGTAGTTCGGGCTTGCTGGGTCCATTGATATGTTCCAATGGTCAACCGTCGGATCTCGATCAAAATAACTACGCTGTCCAGCCAACGACCGTTCACAATAACGAGGTCCCACCAATCCAAAATTTGCAAAGTTTGCCGCCTGATTTTGACGATCCCCAGAGACGTAGGAGTGAAGGTTGGCAATAACATTGCCGAGAAGCAAAATGGTGCGCTTTGTAGTTGTGTTATTCTGCGTAGACAATGTCTCTCCTCCAATGCGCTCGCCTTTATCAACATAATTTTCAGCAATATCAGCAATGTGATGGCGTAGCAGATCTTCTCCACGGCCGTCTCTATGGAACCAGACGTTCGTGTCATCGATTCTCGTCTCTTTGATGACCGCGCTTTGATCACAGAGGCCAGTCCCAGATGTTATTTTACGTGGCTGGCCAGGAAGACCTGGAGGCGGTTTGATAATCCGGGAGGCTGGGGTAGCAGAGCGTTCTGGAAGATCTCCGAGATTACAATGCGGACTCATATGAGTTCTATCTTCAGATATTTTGGTTCCAGGGTCAGGACGTTCCAATGATGGGGGTCCCGGCAGTTCAAATGATCCTTTTTCTGAATGAATCCAATGAGAAGATCCTCCTCCCCTCTTTGTTTTGATGCGGCGAGTTTCAGGATTTCCTGGTGCCCAAGAAGCACGCCCCAAACTGATGCTTGATTGCTGATTGTCATGACCGATAGAAGACTTCGATCCAATGCTGACTCTTTTCTGAGAAGCTAATGTGTGTTTAGGGTTCGATTGAGAAGCTGCGTTCATATTGTCCAATATAGCACAAATTTCCTCTTTCAAGGTACGATTTCTCAAATCTGATTTCAGATCACGACCGGAAGCGCGTACATTTTGAGGGCTGGAAAATGCCTGAGACAGTGAGGGCGCGGATGTATGAGTTGTTCGAGGCACAGTAGGGCAGACATTTGTCTCGAAGTTTGGCAATCGTTCACGAACAAGGGTTGGGAGAGTGGGTTCAGAACGAATGGTCGTATTGCCTGCGTATTGTTCATTATGTAACTCAGAATATGGCCGCAAACCGGAGTTGATTTCAGGGATATCGGTGCGATTGTTGCGATATCTGAGGCAGAATGCTTCGTAAGGTGATTTGTCGTATGGACGGTCAAAACTAGCTGTGTAGAGATGCAAGGACGAAGCAGGCATATATTCCTTCCTGAGATGATGGCTCTGAGTGTAGGATCTTGACTGTGGTGCATTGATTGGGAGATTGTTAGAGGCTGATGTTATATCCGCTGGCCAACTTGAATGGTCTGGGTACGGCTCATCGGTTCTCTTCAAGAACGGGCTTTCAGAGATGCAGCCAGCTTCCCTTGTAAATGGAGAAGTGTGGAAGTTGGCATATATTAGCGGGTTTTTCTGAAGGTGACTGCCGTCCGGACTTCGATAACATGCTTGCCCTTGGTTGTTGTCTCTATCACCCGTGGCATAATCCCAAGGATGTCCCAAGGAATGGGTCCTAGAAATGGGGGTTGAATACTCAGTGTTACCGCCGAGTGTAAAGTCTTCACTAGGCTTGTTTTGCTCGATTTCAGGGAAGGTTGTGCTTCCTGCAACCATCTCAGCAGGACAACCAAGTCGAGGAGGCTTCAGGCTCTTCCCAGTTTTGTTCCTCGAGGAATGGGTTTTGTTGTATAACTGAATCAAGGACACTGGTTGTGAAGAAGCAAGATCCTGGTTGTCATGAAGCTCCTGGCTACAAAAAGGAGACCCTAAATTTCGGCCTGCGACTGAATGGCCCTGAGGACGAGAGGAGAGTCTCTGACTGGCCATGGAAGCACTTCGAAATGCGTCTGTTGGTTGATAATGTGAGTTTGTAAACGCGTCGTCGAAGGAAGTTGGGCTGCTAAACAGTCGGTCTATCCGTTTGAGGGGGGTCGGAGTGTAAGAGACGTCGGATATATGGCGCGAGGGAGATGGAGAGGGAGAGACAAGGTATAAAATTTCTTGGGGGGGCTGAAAGACTAGTTAACCTTGAAGAAAGAAATGAAGGAACCATGAGAGGAAATAGCAGAGTGAAAAATCTCACTTTAAGCAAGTTATATTCTAATTCTTCTTCACGTTTCCATTCACTACCTGGGGTGGCTTGCTCCGTGTTGACAAGGCCACTCCCTTCTATGAGCACTTTTTGGGGACTGACATCGTAAAATGTGTCTAGAGGTGATCTGCTTTGAGCATTATATCCTATTGACTAGATTAGCCCACAGGTCAAGCGTTGCCTTAAGAAGGAACGAACTACTTACGACGAGTGAATGGGTTCACAAGTGGCTTGCTGGACATGGTTGCAAAAGATGCGTGAGGATGACTCTTGGAAGACAGGGTAAACAGTTTCTGTAATGATGAGGGTCTAGAGTGAGTGACAGGAAGGGAGAACTTGTGAGGTTGAGATGAAATGATGAGATTCCCCCAGACCCTGTCCTTCCAGATCAGGACTTAAAAGCGCCTTCCCTGAATGGGTAGCTACCAGATAGCCTAGCTAGCGTATTGCTCTTTCTTTTGAAATGAGATATAGATATTAATAGGTAAAATGGGAATAGGTTCGTTGCTATTAAATATAAACCACTAAGTTACAAGAGCAGGGCAATTTTTTTCGGGGCACAAACTACTATTAGAAGTATGGCGACTTGCGTCCACAAATATAAACTTTTTTATGGAGAGCATTTACCACTGGCTTCTCTGGATGCCGCCAGTGTTGCGCATGCTTTCGGGATCCATGCGGGAGCCTGTTTTCTTTCCAGTATCGTATCCATACGATGAGGTGTCCTGGTAACCAGTTCGGCTGGTGTTGTAGCTGCTTCCTCCAGTCGCCCCGCCACCACCGAAGCCTGCCCCGGTTCCAGTACCCATATCGGATGAGGATGTGCCAGTATTCGATGAGCGAGTGCCATAGGTGTCCGAGGTGGAGCCAAGTCCACCAGTATTACCGGAGCCATAACCGGAGCCATAACCTCCGCCAGTATCACCACGAGAGCTGTAGTCACCACCATATGTGTCACCACCATAGGTGCCACCGCCAGTTCCGGATCCATAATCACCAGTGCCGGGCTGGGATGAATAACCCCCGGTGCCAGATCCCGGGTAATCACTCGAGCGCATACCTGAACCATAGTCCCCAGAGCCATACGTATCAGAGCTTGGATCGTTCCTGTAACCCTGAGAGCTAGGCTTGGTGCCAGATCCGTAGGTATCATTGCCCGACCTTGATTCATACTGGCGAGAACCATAAGTGTCGGAACCTTGCTGAGATCCATATCCATACTGGTCGCCAGTGTCAGTATTACGACCTGGAATAGTAGGTCAGTCCTTATTCACACAAGTCTCTAGGATAACCGGCAGCACATACTGGATTGCTTGGACTCCGAGCCATGGCCAGTCATGGCATCCTTAACTTTATGCAGGAGATTAGACATGGTGGGTTTTAAGCCTTGTTAAGCAGTAGACAATGTGTATGTATGAGTAATTAAACATGCGATGAGTTTCATACTATACGGAGTAAGGTTGGGTCCATGAGCCTTTAAATAGGAAACCGTCGTTTGTTTGTTTGGGACAGCTGAATCATCGCATCCTCATACTGTGGCGCGATTATGCATGATTCCTGGCCACAAGAATACATCCTGGGGGGCGAAGAGTCTGGTTGTCCCAAGAAAGAATGACGGTCTGTTGTCATCATATCATGCCTTTCGACTGGGTGAGTAGAGAGGATGTCACTCAACGTCACCATTGTCGTCTACGTCCAGCCCTCACCTTTTGACAAAGCTATTCGAATACCACGGTTCAGTGGGTCAGACATTCAATTATTGTTCATATGTAGAACCTGCAGAAGGGACTTGAAGCTTGAATTCGATTTCGCTGCAGGAAGCCGATCGGAGAACCAGTGGAAATCCCATCAGGCTTCACAACGTCACTGTGGTGTAACGGATTAGCTGTAAGATTAGTACTAGGTTGTATTGTCGCTTAGTGCTTCAATAGTCTTTGGTAGGGGGATGCACCATAAATTGAGCTCAGCAGCCTAAACGAATGCCCTCTGTTTGCGGTGATGATTCCCCCCTCCTCCAGACTTCGGAGTAGCTTGAAAAGGCGCCGATCGTGTTTGAGGATGCGGATAGTACATAGTGGGGATGATGACACCATGATCTGCGGGGGACAATTCCACTCTTTTTCGTAGAGACCATGAGATGGATGGATAAGAGAAAAGAGAACTGTTCGGAATATCCCATATTTCCTCCCCGAAATGAAGCAATTCGCCGTTCGTTGCCAGAGGGTGGTGCGACAATTAGTGCCTGAGGCAGTCTCATCCCGTGACCCGGAGGCTGTGCTGGGGGGAAAGCACGCAGAGAGTCTCCAAGTCTTTCATCGCTCATGCTTCATCCTATCTTCGTTTTATGACTTTCCTGAACCCTCTCTATCCTTTTTCCATATCCCGTTGTTCTTCTATCGTCGTTGCTCGGGCTTTTGCCTCCTTTGTTTGGACTTCCTGCCGTTGTTTTTGGTCCCCTCTCTCAATGAGTCCGTGTTCTATTCCGAATCGACGGCCCTTGGATTGGTCATAATTGACATCTCCGTTAGCACAAGGGCTTATTTCGAGTCGCACCTTGAGCTTTCGGACTCCCTTGTTTCATTAATAAATCAGCACTGTTTCTAGTTTTGTCCCCGTGGACTGCCAATAACTATGCGACCTCCACGGCTTCTCATTATTGTCTTCTGTCTCCTCTTCTTTCCCATCCTCCTGACCTTCTTTTCTGCTCTTACATCATCTCCCCGCGTCTCTACCCCTAGTTCGTTTGCTGGCCGAGCGACAGGTCTACATGCTCTTTTCTCCTTCAATATCCCCTCCTCGCTTTTCCCGCCATCTGCTATCATCAGTCTTACCGACGATAACTCCACTTTCTTCCTCGCCAGACCTGCAGCGTTTGGCCCGTTGCTCCCCGATAAAAGCCTTAGCGGTCAACTATGGGTTGGTAGTGGGTTTGGAGAAAGGACGTCTGAAGGGGCGATAGGGGAGCTAGGTTGCTCAGATATTCCGGGGTGGGGAGAAGGAGATTCTCACAAGCCGGTGGAGAGTCATACTGGGAAGCCGGGCTCTGGCGACAAGGAGACTACCGCAAGCCCGCAGAATCGCCATCTCGATTTATTACAGGGCTCGGATACCCAATATGATGCGCTTACGGGGCCCACCCTTCCGTCCACAAACGACGGCACAGATGACCATCTTCACCACCCTCTCCCCGAGTCTGCTATAGTTGACTCGAGCGCCTCTGAAAAATACAGGGATTCGAACAGGCCAGGTACACACGCGGATATCCAGTCTTTACAAGAGAGCGCTGAGATTAGTGGGAAAGTCGTCCTGTTGAGCAGAGGTGGCTGTGGCTTCCTGGAAAAGGTCAAGTGGGCTCAACGACGCGGAGGGATTGCAGTAATTGTAGGGGATGACACTCGAGGAGGTAGCCTAGTCACAATGTATGCGCGGGGCGATACTTCTAACGTGACAATCCCGGCCCTGTTTACGTCGTACACCACCGCTCACTTGCTATCGTCGCTTATTCCCCAGCAGGCTCGGGAGGAAGCTAGCGGGACGGATGGGTCAGAGACACCTTACACCAAGGTGTCTAGTGTTGGAAAAGAACCCGCAGCGGTACCTTCTGCTGTTCCATCCCCCTCGTCTGCCCACCCCTCCACAAACGAGAAATCAACTGGGGAATCAGAACCCGGACTCCTCCACACTCTCATTTCATTCTTGGGTCTGGGAGGTGCTGGGAGCCGGACATGGCACCTTCCAGAAGATAGCAGACGCCCACCTAGCAGCGGAAATATCAACTGGATGCCTATGGGCCATTGGGATGATCAGGAACTCTCCCAGATCGACACTGTCACTCGCGGTGCCCCGCGATTGAGCAGCGATGATAGCTCCAAGGACTCTAAGACTTCCAAGTCTACTGCAGACGGTGTGGATGGTGATGACTTTGTTATTGGAGTGCAAGACTGGCGAGACCCCGATCTTGTGGCTACGAGAAGTAACGATGTTCCAGTCCCCACCAATACCGCTGCATCGGACGGATCTAAGCCGCAGGATAGTGATAAAAACTCCCAGCTTACATCCGCACAGCTGAAAGGTGGCAGCATAACCCCAGGAAGTGGCGAGTACCACACCTTGGGGAAACCTGGCGCTTCCAAGGAATCCAACCCCCAAAAATCGGACTCAAAGCCCCCTACACGTATTGATTCTGACGAAAGCTCTGGCAAAAAAACAACCTGGCTTAGTCGACATTTCCTTCGGGGGAAGAATAACCGACCACAGTCGGTGGGGTCTACGGATGAAAAGGAAAAGAGCTCTCCCACTGAGCGCACAATTCGCGAGGTGTCTTCTAAAGTCAAGAGAGAGGCCCAGACTGAGGAACGAGAGGGTTTATGGGTTACACTCACGCCGACGAGCATGTCTACCAGCCCTTTTTTCGACACACTTCTTGTCCTGGTTGTCAGCCCATTGCTTACCTTGACTGTGGTTTACATTCTTCTGCTGCTCCGGTCTCGTATCCGGCGACGACGCTGGCGAGCACCCAAATCTCTGGTTGACCGCCTTCCAGTGAGAACTTACCATACAATTTCCTCCTCATCCTCGTCAGCTAGCTCATTGAGATCATTAAGCCCCGGGCCTGTCTCACAAACATCTCCACTTTTGGGTACTAAGAGCTCATCGCGACGTGCACGATCGCGACCACGTTCTCAGAGGAGCTCGAGAATGGAGTCCGAGTCGAATCCAATGGAATCCCCCAAGAGAGAAAAGCTGGGCGATGCCTCAACCATGTGGCGCCGGAAATATACCGGACGGCAGGTGGAATGTGTGGTTTGCCTCGAGGAATACGTTGATGGGCAAAGCAGAGTGATGAGCTTACCCTGCGGGCATGAATTTCACGCCGAGTGCATGTGAGTCGCTGTATTTTTCACCCCACCGGAGATGTCATTGCTAACAAGATGGTAGTACTCCGTGGCTGACAACCCGGCGACGAACCTGCCCAATTTGCAAAGGAGATGTCGTTCGGTCTATGGCTCAGAATCAATATATTGAGGCTCGCGATAACATGACCCAAAATGACATATCTCACGATTCCGACTCTGATCACGGGGTGTCATCGGCTCCTGTCCCGATTAGCAACGCGAGTGAAGATGAAATGTCCGATTTGGAGCGACATGCCTCTTCTGATCCGGGTCTCCTTGAGCGTCATTCTTCGTCCACTCCCCCAAGTTGGCGAAACTTTGCGACTCTCAGTTTCTCTGCTCTTAGCGGAGATACCATTTGGCACCAAGGCAGGACAGACAATGACAGGTAATTTGTACTTGTGTTCTCTCATTCTTATTTTTCTTTGATTCCGGGTTCTGGATGTGTTTGTTCCTTACAGCGTTTCTTTTCTATGGCTTGAGCGTGTTTTCTATTAGCGATCTTTTCCGCACCCTGTGGAATCAATTTGGTTGGCGTTAGATGGTATGCTCCGGTGTCCTGTGTGGGTGGACAAAACTTGGGAGGTTATAAACGCGGCTGGTTTATACCGCAGCTCAGCTAAACCTCTCTCTCCTTTTTTTTTTTTTTTTTGTTACCGCAGGGATTCGAGCATGGACTTATTGTTTTGTTTTTCTGGTTGACTCGCTTCAGTTCCCATGCTCAATCAATTTACCACACTGAGGTTATTACCATCGCGGGATTAGGCAAATGTATGTATAGTAATTAGAACAGTAATGACTAGGTTACCACCACTTCGGATTCTCGCCTTATAACCCGATTCTTCAGTCTCAAGCACGGTAGCATTCTCGACCTCGAGTCAACTTTCCAGACAAACCCCGATAAATGCCAGCAGACACGCTTAAGTGAACTCCAGAAACTTTACAGACACTTGCTCTGTGATGTCTCTTTCATTTCCAGGCCGACTCTGTCTCTTCCCCAATCATTAATCAGTGAGCCATTGCTGTACTCCGTACTCCGTCCGCATCTACAGCAGATCGTAAGTTTCACGAAAGTCGTTTCTCATGAGGGTTGCATAAAGTTCAAAATAGAATATGTGAGTGATCGGTTTCAAATGTAATCAAGTCCCCGGGTATATATGCTTGATATATAGTATATAGTATATTGACTTGTAAACACACCTACCGGGGAAAGCAAGCATGACGTCACTGGCATAGGATGGGAAGCGCGAAACTTCCTCCAACAACCCCGTCTCAACCCAACAAATCCAACCCCCCGGAACAATGTCAGATAAAGCAAAAGAAGCCCTCATAGCTGAAGCAAACCATGCTAGAGCCGTGGCCCAGGATGTCGCCATGTCAGGAGGTTATTTCTACCCTATCAAGGTCTGATCTGATCCCTTAACTGCCCACGCCGGGCTATCCCATCTATCTATCTATCATCTAGCCCAGAAGGAGGCATCCAGGACACCAAAAGAAAAGAAAAGAAAAGAAAAGAAACTAATCGTAAGCTGAGAAAAGGGAATAATCTATTTCCTCGCCCACCGTCCGCTATGGCAACCTCTCCTCGCCCGGTCAATGCAAACCCTCACGCTCGGCGCCGGAATCACCTCCGCCATGTTCTTCTTCACATACCTGCCCCAAATGACCCTGATGGCATTTACAAGCGGCCCTCTGGCCCCGATTTCCGCCGCCCTGCTGGTCCTCAGCGAAAGCGCGGCGCTCACGAGCTTCTTCTCGCGGTCGTTGGTTCTGCAGGACGCCCTGCTGGATACATTTGACGGAACCCTTGTGGCGAGAGGCGAAGAGCGGCTGGTTGCGCAGGGCCGGGAAATCAATCCTTCTGCTGCTTCGGCTTCCGCTTCGTCCACGAGGACCAGGCATACTACTACTACTACTACTGCTGCGTCGGGATTCATGTCCCGACTCGGTAAGGTGCTGAAACGGCCAACGTCTGGGTCGGTTGCCCGGTTCCGGCCTCGCTTGTTCCTGCGCTCGTTGCTTTATCTGCCGTTGAATTTTGTGCCGGTTGTCGGGACGGTGCTGTATGTTTATGTGCAGGGGAAGAAAGTCGGGCCTGGATTGCATGCGAGGTATTTTCAGCTGAAGGGGTGGGACTCCAGGAGGAGGGAGGAGTGGGTTAGCTTGAGAAGGGGTGGGTATACAGGGTATGAAGTTCCTTTTTTTTTTTTTTTTTTTCGGTTTTCGCCTGTGTAATCTGGAGGATGCAGACACTGATGCATGTTCAAATAATAGGCTTGGAATTGCGTCGTTTGCGCTTGAAATGGTGCCCTTGGCGTCGATTGTGTTTGCGTTTACGAATACGGTTGGGGCGGCGTTGTGGGCGGCGGATTTGGAAAGGGCATTGAAGTAAAACTGATACCTGTAGATATACACCTTGACTTTCCTAGTCATGTCGCTTGAAGAACTGGCATAGATAAAAGAGGATGATGAGTATAGGGTATTCATAGGTAGGCGAATGACCCTAAAAGTAGTGATCGTCTGAATGAGAAAAGGGGGAAAGCTATACTCGTATATTCTTTTAACGGAATTACTTGTTAGTTACTCAAAAGTCCAGCCCCGTGATGCCCTGGCACACAAGCCCAGCTACACCCGAGTCTCCGAAACGGTAATGGGCGCAGCTTCTCGCCCGTTGAACGCGGCCCCTTGAGCCCATTCTCGTAAGTGCTGCAATCCCACCACTCGATCCATTCAGTTCGCGCAATCACAAAGCTGCGATAACATACAGAACAGGACCGGCCGCCGCTGCGGCGCACGTCCCGGGCCTGGCGTAGAAGACGCAGCATGAGACTCGGGAAGTCGGCCATGTCGGCGTCCGGGATCTGGTCGAAGAAGGAGGACTTGCTAAATGCTAGGAGAGACGCCTCGCGGAGTGATGGGACGCGGGATTCGTTCTCTGTGGTGGTGGTGGACGGGGTTGTTTGGCCATCGGGAATGGGGAATCCCTCCATGTTGAATCGGCGGATGGGGCCCGTAGCGATGTGGATGGGAGCCCATGCTTCCTCCGGTGCAGGGCCTGAGTATTCACATGCTTTGAGGGGTTGTTCGCCGTCGTTTGTGGCGATGTGCCATTGGGCGATGCGAGATTCCTCGATCTGGAGCAGGGGGTTGGGGCGAACGGTGAGGTGCTTCAGGTCGCCTTTTTTGATCAGCCAGAGCAGTTCCCATGGGAGGTACTGAAGACGGTTTACGGAGAGGTTTAGTTCCTGGAGAAGAGTGAGGGTGCGGATTGCGGGTGGGATCTGCGTGAACTTGTTGTTCCGGAGACTCAGGACACGGAGAGCGTCGAGCTCGAACAGCTCACCCGGAAGACTGCCCAGGGAGTTGCCTGCGAGAAAGAGTCGAAGGAACGGTTGCAGCGAGGTGTATCCCTCTTCTGAGATCGGGGGCTCCCTTATCGATGGAAGTTTGGTAAGATGTTGAAGTGGTTGTAGCAAGCCTGGGGGAACAACGCGTAGGTTCCCGTTACTAGAAGCAATCAGCACACAATCCAGAACTTGAGCTTCCCCGAAACAGGGAGACAAACTTACCTAAGGTCAATACTATCCTGCCCCTTCTCCAAACAATCATTCACAACTGCACGAGCCATCTGATGCTCCCTCGACTCCTCTACCTTTCGGAAGCCCGCGCGCGGTCCTCCCAAACTCCCATTTCCATTGCCGCTTAACCCAGACTGCTCGTATGGCCCTTGCACATCCAACGATGGGAATTCCCCCGTGCGTACTACAGGCGAAGGCATAGACACAGGCAACGGAATCGAGCCCCCCGCCTCTCGAAGCAACAGCTCCTCCCCCCAGTTCGAGGCCGCATCCTCCGACGTCAGAAACGACTCTGCGCCCGACTCGTCGCTTCCCATCCACACTCCACTATCCACCAGCCGCTTATCTTTGAAATCAGCTCTCTTGCGCTTTGTATCCTTGACCATCTCCCCCCACCAGGTTCCCCTGTACCGACGCTTGCGCGTGCCCGACGAAACCGGGGCATGGTAGTTCTCGACCCCGGAGGCGGGGATATCGTCGCTGGAGAAGAGAGCGGGATCGCTAGAAGGCTGGCTAGATTGATCGTCGAATCGCGCCAGCCGGTATGTTTTGCGAAGGGAAGAATTCGACCGCTTTGACGAGGTTGTGGAGGCTTTGTTCGGGGGTCGGTGGCGGATGCGCGGCGGCGGGGGTAGAGGAATCTCGTTGTCCATTGTTTCTTTTTCTTTTTCTTTTCTTTTCCTTGTCCTTCTCTCTTATGATTGCAGCAGCGGTCAGGAATCCGATGAGAAGAAAGATGCTGAAATCCAACCAATTGATCTAGTTGATGTTGTGAAACGAAAGAGAGAAAAAAACTCGGGGGGGGGGGAGGTTGAAGATAACGCGCGTGGAGTAGAAAACGGGCACGAGACCTGTCACATCACCACGCAAGAAGATGATATCCGGAGGAATGTAAAATGAGATAAGATTATCTGACGGATTCTTCACCCACTTTTGATTCGAAAGGCGGGAAAAAACTCAAGGACCAGCTTTGTTTTCTCCTCTTGACTGTCCAGTGTCGAGTATTGAGGTTTATTTACCCGGAACAGAACGCGTCCACTCAACACTAAAACTACGCGTGGCGCCAATTAGGAGCGTTTCTGACAGCGGTTCACAATCCACCGTTCGGCCAGGATTGCCCTTTTGATGATGAATGAAGACGATCAACTGTTGATTCGTGGGACGCAATCAGTCTGTCTGAGTTCAGTCGATCTCACTCCAGGTATGGAGTACTACGGAGTACGGACAGGGTCTATTCGGATAGAAGTGGGCTGACCAACAAGTTGGATTCGAATACAGAGTCGACCTCTATATACAAATGCTATGTGCAACACAGCGCAAAATTCATGGCCGACACTTCGCCCTTGCGGGCCAACAAAACCTTCATCCCCAGACCGGTTGGCTAACCAGAAACGATCAGAAGGTAGAATGTAGAAGGGAAAATAAATACAGCAAACACCATCAACTCATAATCATGAAAATAAGGGGTATAGAATCCATAACACCTGTCCTTCGCGTTTTTCATCCCGATCACGTTCGAGAGAATCACGGGGAGGAAGAAAGAAGATAAAAAAGTGAATAAGAAAAAAAAATTGGGGGGGGGGGGGGGGAAGGTCGAACGGTATAAAGTAAAGGTAAAAACTAGAAACATAAGAAGAGAATCAAATGGGGTCGCTTGATGATCAGCTGGCCTTCCATCGAGAGTGATGGATATTTTCAAGAAGATAGTATCGCATCACTCCGGCGTCCTGGTCAGCCATGGAAATCAGATCATGGCAACCTGTTGGTCCACCCGGGTTGCTCCCAGATCGAGAGCTTTACAAGGCCCCCAGGATGAGAGCAAGACCGCCGGCAGCCAAAGCCACAGGCATGTTGCCCTCTCCGAAGCCAGCAGCCATGTTGGTGTGGGTGGGCGCAGAAGAGGCGGTGGCAGTCGACGAGCTAGGAATGAGAGCACTGGTGGAGACAGGAGTACTCGTTGCGAAGACGGGCGTAGAAGCAGCCGGCGTTGCGCTCGCAGAAGGAGTCACAGCGTTGACGCGAACCAGCGTGCGGGTGACGGTGGTGGTCAAGGTTGAGGTGACGCGATCCGCAGCGACGAGCTGGGTGGCGCCCAGGCCGAGGACAGTCGAGACGATGGCGCTGAGCTTCATGGTGACGGTGCGATTTGCGCGGATATAGATCGATGGATAGGATGACAATAGTAAAGAATCGCAAAGGATAGACCGAGACTGCCGGGACGCTGACTTTCGGAAGAGATGGATGCGGCGAGGCAAGTAGTTGGTAGATAGTTAAAACAGATTGCAAAATGGACTGGAAACGCAAAGGAGTGAGCGAGTCGCAGATTGGGAGTAGTAGTAAAGAGCGTGGAGAGACGACGAAACACAGGGAAAGGAATGGACCAGGGAGGAGGAGGAGGAAGGGACTACATAAATACGAGGATTATGATGATTCAAGCCCTAAATTCCGGGTCCAATCGCAAGGGGGCTCAACGCAATGTCCAAAATTGCACGATCGCCGTCAGCCTATCCATGGACGACCCCTGGATCAAGAAAGAATGTTCATTTCTTTTCTTATAAAATGCAGAATACAGATTTCGATCATCAGACCTTTCAGTACCGAGTCCTTCGTCGTGGAAAGGATTCGGGGGCATTCTTAGCTTCGGGTTCCTGAATTTGGGCTCCTAATTAATAATAGTCAGGTACGAAAAATTCTTCTTTCAAGTCGAGTAACTTTTAAGAGGGGCAAATTCAAATTATTACTCCATCTGAAAGAAAGAAAGATCTGTTTATGTTTATTCAGTTGTTCTTGATACCCCTCTGAGGGTTTCATTTCATGCCTCTTTCATTCTTCACCTCTATTCACCCCTTTCTACTCTCTCAAGGAGACACAATAACTCTTGATAAAATAGTTAGTTATTCACAGGTCTTTAATGAAAATATTTCTTTTCCTTTTCTAAACTAATCTGTTGTACCAAACTCTGCTCACTGCAGGATACGAGCCTGGGCTAATGGTCACCACCAATACACTGTCCATCGGGCAATTCTCTCTTCATATCCCCTTTAGAGTATAGTAGCTTGCCAGTACAGAATAGTTTAGAATATTATTATTTATACTCCGTATACGCAGATCCTGGCGCTACCTAAAGTAAGAGGATTTTTACGAGTAATTTCGGTTCTTGGAGTCCCACTCGGGAAAAAGGTGGAAATTACCCCTGTTCGGAGTGCTTTCACCATGAGCAGTCTCTCTCCTTACAGAAGTCATTAAACGGACTGAAATACGAACTAATCGTTCTTGACCGGTCATCCTTGTCTAGATTCTAGAATCTATCCACATAGTCCCTGGAGGTATCCATGCCCTACATCGCCGCATTGCATCCACTCTTGCCTCAAGATGACATCAATTCTCTTCGCCAACACATTCATCCCTCCGTGACTCTCCGCCTTAGCGCTGACCGTAGCAAATCATACCCGTCCAGGTACGAATTGGAAAGTCCATTTCAATCCGAGAGCAGATTCTGCCTCGGACTGAGCCTGCTCTGTCTGGCGCTTGAAGAAGGCCCACACCTGGCAGAAAGAGAATGGACGAGAGAAGAGAAATCCATAAAACATGCCCCCACGTGTTTTGCGACGGAGAGTGACCTGGCAAGTACAATCCGGTCCTGAACAAGGCAGAGTCAGACTTGTTGAACCTGTGGAGTGACCTCGCTACCTGGCAGATTCCTGACCATTTCATATCCGAAGCTCGTCGGATACATCGGATGCGCTTGCTGCAACCACCAAAGGATGAATGACCATAGATACGCCTTCGATCAGAGGCAACGGTAGGCTGCCAACATGAAACTCGCCACGATCTGTAGACAAGGCCTGAGTTGCGGCTGCAATGCAAATATATCAGTGACCTCTTCTTCTGCTCAATCCGTATGGCAGTTGGCTCCTTTCGCCGGAAAATTTGTGCCAGAATAACCTCGTGGACTGGCAAACGACCCAAACGGCAGTGATTCATGATCAGCGAAGCCCAAGTCGTCTGGTGGACATGATCTCGTCTATAACATGTTTTATGCTATATGAACTGCCCAAGACGTTCCTTTCCTGGCTTGGCATCTACGATCTTTCTCACTAATTAGTCAAGATTCTCTACCGGGGAGCATTGATCAAATCATGTTGGACAGGGCTGCCAGGTTAACAGATAGAAGTGAATCTCGAAAGCTCGGTTCACCATTCAAGTCCTGAAACATGTGAATTGGGGCCTTGTGCAGAAATCGACCATCAACCCAAACACTTGTTATCCTTCAGCCGAGATCGTTCTTTGGCGGCCTTCGCTCGTCATATTGCGTGAGCATTTTCATCTCAAAACAACAGCGAGAGTTCTTCCCTATAGCCTTCACATTTCTTCCTGGTCGTTTGCACTGTATATTTAGAGGCTAGTATTCAGAATTGCACAGTGGTTTATAGGTACCTTCATGCGTCTCTGTAGCCACCCTCAGGCTGTTCTAACTCCGACTTTCCCTCTCCATTTCCTTGATGCCCCCATGAAAATGACATAAATAAAGACTGTCTACCTGTGTCAACCAATCATATGCCTGGACGAGTCTCTTTCTTCAATGCAATCCTGGATATCATCATACCTTTGGCACTACAGGTAGTATCACTATTATTACACATTCATTCAGTCTCTCTGTATTATCTAAGTTCACATGTATATGACTCGTACGCCAGGAGGCAGTCCGTTTGCAAATCATAATGAGCTCAATAGTGCTTAATGCCGCTGTTGTTGTTGAGAAGGAAATTTCCTCGATTTAAGCGTGATCCATGACTACCCAGGTATCGAAGGGAATACCAAGCAGACAGGAACGTGGAATTCTTCCAACTTGATCTAGTTAACTAACTACACCGACCCATCCAAGCTCCTTAGCCCTTTAATCACGATGGCTGAATCTCAGGACGAGCTGGCTTTGTTTTATCATTACAATCCCTCCCTCATAGCGGCGGCTATCTTTGCGGCCCTCTATGGCATCGCTTTCGTCCTTACCGTCGTTCAATGGGTTCGCTTTAGACCGCGGGTATGGTTAGTCATGGTAGCTGCTGCAGGAAGTATGTTCTTTTCTTCATAGCATCACGCATCTACCAGCAATTGTGATAAATGCTGACAAGATCAAACCGACAGTGGAAGTAGTTGGTTACATCACCCGTTGCCTATCGACGTGGAACGTGACTGAGAAATCAATTTACGTCCTCCAATTCGCACTTTTAGTCCTTGCTCCAGTTCTCATGGCGGGCGTATGCTATGTGCTTTTCGGTCGTATTCTCTTCCTCGCAGTCCCCAAAGAACATCGTACCCTAAGGGTATGCTGGGTTCCTCCCCGATTCGTAACCCAGGTCTTCGTGGGCTTCGATATTCTTGCCCTCCTACTACAACTGGCTGGTGTCGTGTTTATCACATCCGGGAATGGGGAAAGCAAGGATGCCATTGACCAGTTCAATCGAGGCCGTGATCTCGCGATTGGTGGTGTCGCCCTACAACTCGTGGCATTTGGAATCTTCACGGTGGCTGCAATCCGTTTCAACTTCACTTCGAAGAAGTTCATCCAGTCGGCTCCAGAACAGCTAGAGGCGCAAACCGATCTGGCCTTCTCGGTCGAGAATAAGCCAACGGAGGCTAGCTGGCCCAGCTTGCTGCGCGTGGTGAATTTGACTACCTTGATGATCTTGGTATGTCTCCTGCACGCCATAGCAACCCAATCCTTTTGGCTCTGTCAAACCTAACGCATTACTCAAATCTAGATCCGTTCTGTTTATCGTCTCGTTGAGTTTACAGAGACCCAGCTCGGATATATCAATACGCACGAATGGTGCATGTACGTCTTTGATGCGGTGCCAATATACCCCTGCGTTGCGCTCTTCATTTACTGGCATCCTAGCCTGTATCTTCCCTATATGGGATTCCGTCTACCCAAGCATGCGCGGTAAACCTTACATCCCCCAGGGCTGCTATTACGGTAAGATGGGGCAAAAGACAAAATGGAATTTCGCGTGGACCTCAAGTTGCAATTGCTACGGTTTCTTACGTTAATATCTCCGAAGCTTTTATTAATTGCAAGTAAAATATGCAAATTTGTCAAATTAACATGGAAAACGACCACCATTTCACGCCCTAAAGACCAAAGCAAAGGTATCAGCAGTGGACCAGTTAAAGAGGCGAATCAAATCTTATTTTTTTTCTTCACTCTATAAGCTGATATCCACGTTAGCTGTGTTTCTATATCCTGTTAAGCCGTATTCCCCAACTCTTCAAGAAACGCATCCACCCACCCCGGTTTCCCTTTGGTAAAAGTCTCTCCTCCCACCGGCAGACTACTCCCATTTTCAGGATTAGTCCGAATGACGATGCGCTCACCATGATGGCCCGGCGGTTGACTATGTGCAATGCAATGTACACGTCGGACAGCAGTAGCAGTGACTGGGTTCCTGAGGCACTTCCTACCTAAGCTTTTTGGCATGTCTTGCAATGAGAGGCTATGTTGGTGATTGATTTCAGCTGTCCGGCGCATACCTATTCTATGGCCCACGGAGTCCTCGTTCTTAATCAGTAGGAAACAGGGACAAAGGCACCCGAAACTAGTAGTTTGTCTTGTAATTGCTTGCACGAGAACAGTTAGGGTTAACATACATACATACATACATACCTACATAACGGGCCCGCATTCCTCGAAAACTCCAGATGGACCGGACTCTCAGTGAGGTAATGCATGCCGTACCTACTTGGAGGTCTAGATCGGCCTGATTCTCGAGTCCCAAAACAAAGCCATGTGTCATAGCATAGCTACTTACCCAGCTACGGTGTTTGCCTTTTTCTCGATTGCAATGAGTCACGGTACATTCCTCAACGCAAAAAGTGGGTTTGGTGATAGAAGAAGCACCTCGAAGTGCCTTGTGAACTCGTTCCATGTGATGGGCAGACGGATTCGTAGTTCTTTGCATTAGCGGGGTGATAGGGATAACTTCAATGCGGAGTTCACTCTAGCTTACTGGAGTCACTTTCTCTGACGATCTAGATAAAGTCAAGGGTCACAAGTGAATATGGAGTCACGGTATGCAAATATTTCACATGAATGTTGATTTTATTTACTGTTTTGTCAACGTCCTGTACCTAAAGTTAGGATATAAAATTTTCCCAAGGTTGCGGTCGATTTTGAGTATAACAAAAATACTCATAGGTGACAAAGATCAGATACTTACGGATGAAACCCTGAGGATACATATCATGTGCAAAATCGAGTACAGGGGCTCAAAGATTACTCCCTTTTTATGTGAATGGCCCTTTTGCTAAGCTACAAATGCCCTCAGTTAGGCTACATTGGCACGGGTTCGTGACAGTTCCTCATTAATAAATTAACCTCGCATAACACCAAAAGACGCCGCTTGCTGGATTGGGTCCACTTTCAACCCATTCCAATGTTCCATGTATATACACTGTAAACCCTTCCTGCATGCTTGCCTCCTTGTGTTATACGACTGTTTTCCACCACCGATTCCATGCCTCTTGTTCAGTCATAGAAACCATCTGGTTTAGGTATATGCTATTGTACAATTGTTTGATTGGGTGCACGTGCTGTAACCTGTGACGGGTGCGCACCCTATTGACTGTTGATTTATTGGCGCATGCGCTGCAGAGGGTGCTGACGGGGAAGCATCATTGGAGGTCCACGAGCACGAAGCCAGGCATCGTTGTGAGGGCCTTCAGAACGGATGACACTGCCGATGGACATGAAAAGGCTGTCCAAAGATTTAAACAGGGTTAGCATGGGTCCCAAAAGAGTACGGGCATCCAGGGTAGGGGAAGGAGAGCCACATAATAGATCAGGTAATGTAGAAAGATCAGGGATTAGAGCTGCTCTTATGAGTGCTGGCTAACATACCCAAAAGTTGCCCCGGATCCAAGCATGTACTTTCCCAAAGTACGCATAACGCCATTAGGTCCAGCACCATATTGGAAAATGGTCACAGTTCCTATATCTCAATGAATCCCATGTCCACAATTCAAATCCGTTCAAAACTAACCAATGATAAATCCCATGATGCCACCCACAGCTGGATTCAAAGCCCTGTTAGCTTCTCTCGTCCTATACGTTGACGCTAGAAAAACAATATCCAAGGGTTGACTTACTGGAACCCATCATAGCACCCATCTTCACTGTAAAAATAGGTCAGGAATCCGTATACAGAAGAGCCCATACTGACAAACTAGTTTGATCTAGTATGTCCAACGATAAACTTACTCTTGTCAATGGTAGAGGGGCCATGCCCTTGAGGAGGACCAGCAACAACGGGCATTTTTAGAGAAAGAGATGCTATCGATGATCAAAAAACAAATAGTATGCGATAAAGAAATACGAGATCAGCGCCAAAGATTTGCACGACGACTCCAGTGCTTCCTTTTACCGTCCGTTGTCAGTTTCACAGTCGCATGCAAAGCTCCGATTCTCCAAATGTCGGGCCATCAAAGCCGGCCACCCACGAGCCAAGTAATACCGCCTACTTTATTTGGAAAGCGCGTCCCCCAAAAGTCGTTGCGTGTCGGGGCGGAAAATTCATACTCCGGCCTAATTCGAGCAGGGAAATGCCACCTTACCTAAACGAGGTTCTATTTCCTAATTGGAGATAGTCTAAATTGGACATTATGTAATATACACGTGCCGTCTCACGTGACTATATGCCGGGGGGTGTTGAAGGGGATTGTGAGCTGATCCTCATTCCCGTCGCAAGGCCCATGGGGTTGTCCTGGCACATTTCGCCCTTGTGTGCCGAGTAATCGTTATTTTGGTGGCTTCCCAGCCTGTGCAAGGCGGCAGCCCCGTCTCATGCTATCTTTTTTATTTCCCACCTCCCCCTAAGACGCTGTTCCTACCGCTGTCTCTTCCTCTAAGTCAAGAACGCACGCCTCCTCGGTTCAAGGCGCTCTGTTCTCTCTGTCCGACCTTTGAAGCGGGTTTGACCTTTCGAATTCCTCTTAAGAAGGTAATCTTTCACTTAACCTTGATTTTGAATACCTCCTGGTTTAGTTTTTCTCTCTTTCTAGATCGAGAGAAGGGGCTGTCGTTCACCTGGCTGGATTGGCATGTGCTAACGTGACCTTATCAGACCGGTTGTCACAAACATCTTTTTTTTTCCTTTTTGGCGCGCCAGACATCGCTACACACGTATTACCTTCAGGCTGTATCGCAGTAAAATAATTCGAACTGCGATATATCAATTCTCTCGACTCTGTACGCCTACCAAGTCGTTATCTGTGCACTACCATCGCAACCCCTATGAGATAGGACGCTTTGGATCAATAGTCATCAGTACAGGTGATCTTGGCTCTCTTTCTCCATGACTGCTGTGGCATCACCACCTAGTGTTCAGTCGGGGCCTCGCTTGGGATGGTGTGAATCTAGTAACGGTGGACCGGGTGCTCTGTCTTCCATGAACGCGGACGAGGTCTCCCGAATGTTTATGCCGCGGAAAACTATCCAGAGATCAAATTCCTCTTCTTCTCTCGGATCCACCTCATCTACCTCATCCACCTCGACCGTTTCCGCGACCCCTCTCGGTACTAATGCAGGACAGCCTTCTAACACCGACTCCGCTACTTGGTCTTCGAAGAAGAAGTCATCGAGGAGTATCTGGCCTAATTCCAAGTCTGAGCCCGTGGCCGGAGTGAGTAACACGCGCTCTCAAGCGATGCCGGCGTTTTCGTCGGGCCAGGGCGCCTCGCATGCAATGTCTGCAATCCACCAGCCTTCGTCCATCGTCCCGTCCCAACACCTCCAGTCTTCTCAACAGAATGGCGTTCGCGCAGGAAGCACGCCTGTCGGGGAGCCTCCTGCGATATTAACGCTTATCCCAATAAATGACACATTTGAGAAGAAACAAATCACCGTGCCTTTTTACCCCGAATCGCTGCGAATTGGAAGACAAACCAACGCCAAAACAGTCCCAACACCAACGAACGGCTACTTCGATTCGAAGGTGCTTTCTCGTCAACATGCAGAGATCTGGGCCGATAAAAGTGGGAAAATTTGGATTCGGGATGTTAAATCGTCTAACGGTACCTTTGTCAACGGCCAGCGTCTTTCTCCAGAGAATCGCGAGTCTGATCCCCATGAGATCCGTGAAAATGACACACTGGAATTGGGTATCGACATTGTCAGTGAAGACCAGAAGACTATAGTTCATCATAAGGTTTCTGCTAAGGTTGAACATGCGGGTATCTACGGGACGATGCCCAACATATTTGATCTCACCCTCGGCGATCTGGATCCGGCTTCTGGAAATGGGCTTCTCCCATCCCCACTCAGCCAACCATTATCGCATCTTCGAGGACGATCTGGCAGCACAATGAGCAACCGTAGTGCGCAGAGTGCTGCCAGCAGCCAGTTCAACGCTTTACAGCAACAGCGTCAAATGAACTACTGGAGCTCTCCGCTCTCAATTGAGCAACTCGTCAAGCGGCTTACGGTATGGGGATGAATATTTGACTAAACTTAAACATTAAGCTAACCATTTTATCAGACCGAGATGAAGCAGGCTAAACAACAGTCGCAAGACCTCCGTCAAACTGACGAATTCTTAACGACGCTGATGAAACCCGGCCATTCGGAGAAAGAAAAGCATAAGCACTCCTCCCCAGGAGACAGCATTTCCTCTCGTCAGATCAATGGGAGACCCAAAATGCCTCGTGTAGATTCATTTTCAAGGTTTTCTGACCCTCCCGCACCACCTCCACAACAACCCTTACCTGAGAAACCCGATGCATTGCCGCGAAATGGATCGGATGCTGTCTCGTCGCTAAAACGCTCCGACACAGAAAAACCGAAGATGAGCGCTGGCAGCTCTCCTGTGTCACGAGAATCTAGCCAGATTCTCTCTCTAATTGAGGCCCTGTCATCCGCTAAAAAGGAGCTAGATAGCCAAGGTGCCCGCGTCAAAGAGCTCGAGAATCTTCTCGTTCAGGAAAGGCATGCTCGGGAATCTGCAGAGGAGAAAGCTAGAGCTTTTGAGCAGCTCTCTGTAAAAGAACAGCCGGAGCCATCCGAAGCATCTATCGACGACTCACAGCCCGAGGGCTTCCCGCAGAGCTCCAATGAAGAGCAGATCATTGAGGTATCGGATGCTGATGTTCCAAATAACAATAGCTCAGTTGAACAGGAGAGTGCCTTGGTGGAGAGTCCAGCTGACAAGTTACAACTTCGGCTGGAGACTTTAATGGAAGAAATGGAGGAAATGAAGAAGCAAGTCTCTCTATTCAAGGACCAGGCCCAGAAAGCAGAGAATGAAACTGCCGAAGTGCGCAAGTCGTTGGCGGAAATGATCGAGACTCTCCGCAGGGAGCGCGCTGAGCGTCGTGAGAAGGCCAACGAGTCGGTGCCTCAGGTACAAGACCCATCCACCGCTCCCAATTCGTCCCCGTCCCCGCCAGAGGGACCTGCGCCTGTTGCAGCCGACAAATCCCAAACACAGGCACAGTATGCGGCTTCACTCCCCCTTGCTAAGGAGTCGGAATCTCCCAGCATAGCCATCGCGACAAAATCACATAAGCGTCTTGATGTTCTTGAGCAATCTAGCCCTTACGCATCAATGCTTGGGGTTGTGCTCTTGGGAGTTGGGCTAATGGCCTACCTAAATGGGTGGCAGAAGATGGACAAGTAGCCAACCTATCTTTCATACCTGTTCAACCAGCGCGATTGATTATATTCGCGCGGTTTTTTTTTTAAAAAAAATTCAAGGGCTACTGATTAAATGGATCCTGCTCATTTCGATTGAGCCCCTTCGATCGCCTACTTTCTTTTTCTTTCCGTTTCTTTTTCTTCTAAAAACTCTTTTTTTGTTTAGCCTATGAAATTGGCGCCTCATATCTGATTGTCCGTGTATTCTGATCAAGTTTTCTGGCGTTGAATATGATTCTTCTGGCGCTTCCCCTCTTCCCTTCGCGTGCGCCTTTTTATACCGCAGTTATGGGTTTGCATATACTGCATGACCTTCTCTCTCTTCCACCCTTTCAGTTTGTGTCCAGACATCATTTTACCAGGCGCTATGCTGTTCCAGTTACGGTTTCCTGACAGCACGGGCTTATTTTCCCTTTCTCTGTTAATGTCTTTTACTTATGGGCAGATGTAGGGTTTTCATCCGCCTTTGTGTATTAGTCGATCATAGCGGCATTGCTTACTTCTCTTGCCAGTCTCGAGCCAAGTGATGAATGACTACTTTATGCATTTCCTATATTTCCTCTTTGGGGTTGACTTCCCATCGTTACGGACTTTCCTATATGACTATGAATAAAGCCGGATCGATACCATTGCATACTGAACAGGTTATGGAGAAATATGAGTTTCCTTTCTACTAGAAAAGACAGCAGTTGACTAGAAAAGTCTTGACATCAATTTGAAATTTCTGTCTCTCTTTTTTTCGTTACTGACGGATGTTATGAGATGTATATACTTGACAGGAAGCACCAACTGTACGAGGGGCACACGACTTGGCGTTTATGCTTCATCAAAACCTAGGCTGGACCATAGAATCTGCTAGCTCAACACTAGTAGAATTGGGGAAGGAATCTGAAGATCAAGTTTTGACATGGATGTCTTAAGCAACCGTTTCAACCCCCAGCCGTGAAGAGGGAGGGTTTCCCTGGCCGTATTCTTTTAATTCACTTGCCATCGTGGTCAGAAAGTAAATGCACTCTAATCGCGGAGAGTAGCTTGTTTGAATAGTCCTTTGGAACTATTCAGAGGTAATATAAATATGCTCACTGCCTCGGCCGCCCCTTGAGGTATGGGAAAGCATATGGGACGGACGCGTTTTGGGAGCAATTTATCCCAATGTTCGGTCGTCTTACCCATAACATAATAAGCCTATGCCCTCGAGTCGTAGAACCGTGATCAAAAAAAAAAAAAAAAATTTTTCAGGAACATCCAGCAGCTTCACCTCAGAGACACAGCAACTTCCACGGAGTTGACCCATCTCGTTCGTGTCTCAGGTAACTCCGCTTCAACAATTGATGCCGCCAAGCTCGCGGCCCGTTTTCGCTTCTTCATCGCAGATTTCGAGAGAGGCTTCGGCAAGGTATCGCCCGACGACACAAAACCTGTTGTCCCAGCGCCAGAACCAGAGTTCCCACTCCCCTCGCTAACCTCAGTCATAGTAGGAACAGTCGAATCATCGCCGACAAGTCCCGATGACTGTAAGCCTCCCTCCCCGCTTAGCCTCTCCGCCTCCTTCATAGCCTTCTCTTTCGCCTCGTCATCCTCCTCAACATCATCCACAACGAGCACGCTCCCCGTCTTCACCTTAACCACGTACTCACTATCCCGTCCCTCGAACCACCTCCCCACGCTCAGGGCCTTCTGCATCGCTCTCCCCGTCGCTTTAACAAACACTTCCTCCCGTCGGAGCTGGTCCTGCCCACGCGCGATGGTCGCTAACTTCTGCTGGTCCTTTTTCTTGCTATTTGCTAGGTCAACGGATGCGGTGGCGCGTTTCTCTGCGTGGCGTAGGAGCTTCTGTACGCGTTTCACAGTGCTCATGAAGGGGGTGTTGGTTGAGACGTAGACGATTTTAGGCACTGAGGCGCCCGCGTAGGGGGATGCGACGGGGGCGTGTGGGATGGGGCGTTTTTGGACTCGAGCATCTATAGATTATGTCAGTTACTTTTTTTTTCTTTTCCTTTTCTCTTTTTCTCTTTTTCCCTTTTTTTGGGGGGGGGGGGGGGGGGGGGGGAGGTTGTATTTAATTTCTCCTTCCAGGTGGGTATTGGCCTACATTTAGGGAGTCTGATCATGTCCTTGTTTTTTCGTTCGAATTGCAAGTCGTGGTTCGGTTTCGTCCCGGCCATCTCGAAAATTTGAATAGCGGCGTGGATGGGAGAAAATGAGTTGTTGATTGCTGCTTTTGTGGTAGGAGAATATTGTTGAGCTATTGTACATATATATATATACCTTTGCAGATGCTGGTAAAGATCAATCGATAGGCGTTGTTGTTTGTATGGTTTGCATTTCGTATCGGCAGCCTTATCTACGCGAAATGATGCCTGAGGTTTCAGTCGCGATGTATAACTATATATTTTGGTCCACTTGGACTATTATCTAGTACTTTACAATGAATCTCTGACAACCGTCCTGGGCTTCTCTTTCAATGAACTCCCCTTTCCAAAAAAAAACCAATTATAGAGAACCACAGCTGCTATTTACGATGATTAAAATAGACCGTAACATTCGTCACATCATAAACAGCTTGGAAAACCGGCTAAGCCTTCCGGCAATGAACCAGGCGTTGTGGGAACTCGCGAGGAACCTTGTAATCCATCCTTTGCTTATGGCGTGGAAAGGTTTTCATGCTTGCGAGAATCCAGCCTTTGATGGCATTCCACCTCACTGTCTGTATTCTAATCAGCAAGATCAAATGGTGACCAGGTAAGGCCTGTTATGTGGCTGTCCTTCTCAGGATAGTTTTCCACCCCCTTGGCTGGAAGTTTGCCATGCAAAATAGCTGTCACGAGATTTCCTCTGAAAGAATAGTGAAAACGAGCTGGGATTTAGCTTGCACCCCGTCAGTGGAAGAAACTCGAGTTCTAGATCGGGGTCTGCTGCCCTAGGTCGGTGACCAATTATTGAAATACGGCGGAAGATCAGGTGGCTGACAGACTTTCAAGCATTGCCCAGACGCCAAGAGAAACAACCCTACTAACTATGTATAATTTGGAAAGGATTTGGACCAAGCATTCTTTGTTTCCCATGGCGGAGAGGGGGACAATCCCAGCACTTGTCAACGACGGCTCCACCACCATCACTTACCAGGAAGGGCTCTTGGTAGTCATTTAACTCGATTAGGAAAGTGATCATATACATCCGTACGGAGTAATCCATCAGTGATTCTCGTACTTTTGTCTTTGTGGAACCCACACGCCCTGTGATATCACATACTACTTACTACTAATGTTAGGCGAGGTCACTCGGATCCCAACGAACAGGTTAGTACTCTCCGGGATCCATTCCAGGCTGCAGGCTGCAGGGAATAAAAGCGAGATTTCATATCGGTCAGTCGTTCCGGGATTCTCTTTGGACTGATTGACGCAGAAAACGGGGTTATCGCCAGTTTAGTTGGTTCTGAGTTGCTAAGAGCAGACACCCCCGTAACCCTAGGGCGTTCTTCCTTGCTTTCCGAGTACTTCCACTACACCAAGTTATCTTGATCCGTAGACAAGTAAGAAGATGAAATGATATGATTCGCAGAACACTAAAACACTCCAGGTCGAAATTCCACCCCGGAACAAGCTCATTGGCCGTTCAGTTGAGAATACAGGTTACATCTCACATGTGGCGTAGGTGGGACGCAGCTGCGTAGAAGATCTGAATGGACGAAAATAAAAATCCCTACCTGCTCCCCGTATGTATGTACTTCCAATAGATAGTAATAAGGCGAGGCACGGGGACGACATATCTTTTCTTTCTCTTTCCATTTGGGTTAAGGAATGATGTCTGGAAAATGGATTTTTTTTTTTTGGTTCGGTGTTCTACTCCCAATTATTGACTACAGATATGGCCCCGGTATATGGGAGCCCTAGAAAGTCCCGGAAGTTGGGAATGGCTCTACTGCGACGGGAATACAAGACGCATAGGGGAGAGGAAAAAGGAAACGGAGTAGAAGGATCGAGAAAATGCGACAGAAGACCAGGAAGAAAAAACCAAGAAGGGATGGGGAACAGCAGTTCGTAAGCAAGGACAAGTCTCCCTGCATGTAGGCTGGACGTTATTTTGGATAGCCTGGACCAACGAAGTGCGCCGAACCTCCAGGTGCTATATGCCATGTCCCCCCTCAATTTCCCATCAGGTGATCTATTGGCTAGATTAACACCATTGTCCAACAATTGCGGTTCCTCATACGTTAAAAAATAGTAATCTGACTCAACCAGCGCTCTCGTGTATGGCCCTGGTGCCACCGCAATGGAGTTCTTGCCTGTAGCAAAGATACCGTCTTACAGGGGAAGAACAACTGGGGATTCCAAAAAGAATGAAGGGAGGGGGGGGGGAGAGAGGAAGTCGTCGCTGTGTCTGAGATCTTCTACTATTTAAATGCTCGAGATTCTTCTTACATTGGCGCAGCGGACATATCACACTTCACCTAAGCAAAGATTGTGTATCTGAGCTGCCTGATATCAACCTTTTCCTGTCACTCTGGATAACACACTTAACGCACATACACACTTCACCATGGAAATCTCACGCTGTGGTCTGGGTATACAAGGTATGTTGCGTTCCTTTCTAAGAGGTTGAAGGTGTGGTCTACTCCTGCTAACCCTGCTATGAACAGAACCGAGTTTCCACTCCCCTACTGATCTTCAGGGGATCCAGGAGGCCTTTTATGCCCAGGGAATCGTCTTCCTTGAAGGGTTTGACGAAGATTCCCTAAGACTGCTAGCAACGCAACTGGGGGATATTGTCCAACCCCGAAATGAGAAGACCAGCGGGGCTGGCATCAGCAACATTCGATATGAACCTTCGCTGTCCGGGAAAGGTTATAGTTCTGAGGGTACGCCTACCTAGTCACTAGAAACCAGAATATGAATTGACCCAACACGTATCTGTTAGAGTTATACTTCCACACCGATCGCAGTGGGTGGGAGTGTCCCCCACGCATTCTGATGTCCACTCTCAAGAGTAGGTCAACAACTGGTGGAGAGTCCCTCCTAGTAGATGGCTTGGAAGTCCTCAACACCATCAAGAAACAAAATGGCGCACTTTACAACCTGATAACAAGCCCAGAGCACTCTAGTTTTCGTTCGGAGGACGGAGTGTTCGTGCCACGGCCTATATTTGAGGAAAGCTCAGGCATGTTTCGCTTTCGGTTCGATGATAATATCCAACTATCAGCTTCCTTGGTTCTTCGCTTCCCTCAATTTCTTGAGGTCATTTACCGTAATGCCTATGCCATTTCTTTGGAGCCAGGACAGGGATACCTGCTAGACAATCACAGATTCCTGCACGGTCGAACTGCATTCCATGGCTCTCGGGAACTACTGAGAGTCCTCGTCAACCCCCCACTTCCGCAATCAGTTGTCACCATCCTGTTTGACATTGACGGGACACTCTGTCGTTCTGATGCAATGAGCATTGATGCCTATTATTCCTGCATCAGTGACGTTGTTGGAAAACCAATCACTCATGAGAACACCAGTGTGAATCTACACGGAAGAACAGACTTGGGACTTCTTCAGGACATTCTTGATTACCACGGAGTGAGATCAAAGGATCTGGTTACGAAGCAATTTCTTCAGCTTCACCCGCAATACCTTCAGAAATCCTGGGAAAAGGGCCTTGCATCAGTCCCGTGTGCTGGAGTCAAGGAGACCTTGGAGTGGCTGATGGCTAAGAAACCAAACCCTGATTATCCAACCCCACGAGTTGGCCTCTTGACAGGCAATTCGCGTCCCAATGCACTGCTCAAACTCCGGGCAGCAGGTATAGATCCATCCATTTTTGACCTTGGCATTTCCTCCTTTGGGGATACTCACATCGATCGCATATCCCTCATCCACGATTCGATGGCCAAATTACGTGCCCGGGACGGCTCTGACCTCCATGCAAGCAAGGTTATCATCGTTGGAGATACTCCATTGGATATCGAGTGCGCTAAGCAAGCTGGCTGCGCTGTCGTTGCCGTGGCCAGTGGGAACTACAACATGGATGATCTTTCCATTCTGGACCCAGACCATGCTTGCATCCAAATCAGTGAATCCAAAGCCTTCCTTGACTCCCATCTAGGCGTTTCAGCACCCATGGTCGGTGGTTGAATGGGGATTTTAACATTCATTGGGGACGAGTGTCGAGCCATTCAGGCTGCACAAAGGCACGAGAAGAAGAAGAAGAAGTAAGGGAAAAAACCTGAAAAAAAAAACCTGAAAAAGAAAAAAAGACAAAAAAAAATTCTTCCAACAGCACACATGAGTATTATTATTATTCTTCTTATTATTATTATTAGAGGGTTCTTCACTAGGAGTGATGTCTCTCTCTCTCTCTCTTTTTTTTTTTTTTTTTTTTTTCGCTAATACACAGCAGTTTCAACCAAGCTTTCCATGTACGTACTTGCAGTCTTTTACCCTTATGCCTCATCCTATGCTATGCTGACTCTCGACCTGTTGCGAGGACCAGCCAGTCAGACATATTGTTAGTCCCCAATTGCATTGATACCCCACTATTTAACCACGCAGAGAAAAAGACGGCGCTGGACAGTCTTTCTCATGGATTTTCTATGTTCGCATTTCTTGTTTGGCCAAGTCCAAGTTGTACCTAGGAAGGGCACTAGCCGCCTATTAATGCAATTCTATCCAAGGCAGGAATGCGTTCTGTTTGGCACTTGAATGGACGCAGTCAAGGTATTTATTCGGATGAAAAGAATAGTAGACACACATCCTCACTTACCTAAGGTACGGAGTACACTATTTGGAATTATTATTCCGGATCGAGAGAGCAGCTAAGCTAGATGCTTTTTCTCCAAATGCTACGGCAAACTTCGGATGTAACGTGGGTAGCAGATAGAGAGAATACAGTTACAACCTTAAAAGCTTTCACTCCACCCATGGACTGCTTGGAAGAAGCAAGCAAGAAAAGCCAAGAAGTTGGCAGCCGGTTTCGTTATTGAGCGCGTGCCCGTCACCCCGCAGCATACGATTCCATATGCTAGTTATGATAAATGGTCTGTCTGCCAATTAGTAGTCGAGATGGTGGAGTCATGACGCAGGAAACTCGCGGCCATCAAATATTGACAAGGAAAAGGTGTGTGGACCCCTCAAAAAGCAAAAGAATCGGAGGATTCGTTCAAGCGAAGGAAACGCCTGCTGTGACGCATTCCTGACGGTTGTACAGGGAGCATTGGCATGGACGGGATGCGTAGGTATTTCCAATAACGTGGGACTGATCGTCAAAAATGCGTGCTAGTCGAGAACTGTCTTCCGGGGGATCCTAGTCACTATATACTGAGGTCATTCTTACTTCGAGATTAGAATGTCAGAACTTAGGTCGGTTTGATTGAACCCCCCCCCCCCCCGGAAAGCCGCGTCGTAGTTAGCCGCGAAAGCCGGGGAGACAGACACTAACAATGCTAAACTTGCAGAGTCCCAGATCGTCTTTCTTTATAGGGAATCTTGGTGAACCCCTCAATGACCTTGCCGTGTGCCACATCAGGGATGATGCTGCTGGGTGGTCCATTTGGCTATCGAAGCGTACCCTGACCGGGGCCTCGATTTGAGAAGTACATATTGTTTCCGAGGCCACGTCGATAGGGTGAGCAGGGGGGGGGGGTTTCACAATTGGACAATTTCATGATGGACGGATGGGCCTGATCCGACGTTGAGAAGAAAGGGGGTCAGCGAAGATCTCGGATAGGTACCTATGAGAATCTTGGTCAATTGAATAAGGGAAAAATAAGAGTTGGTAGGGGATTTGGATGGGGCTCTTATGTACCTCCTAGGGGCGATAGTCAAAAAGTAGCTAGGGACGCTTTGATGGGGATTGGTTTCACCACCACGAACCCATGCTGAAGGACTTGGGGAACTGCGTGTCATAGTCGAAGATGGGATCAGCCATTTCCGTGCTTGGGATCTAATCATCTAATAATTGAAAGGATCCATCCGCCTGCGTGGCATTCGAAGCGGTCAAAGAGGTACCATGTCATCGTCCGATGTAACCCTTTGGGAATTCTCCAGCCAAACATGGGATGCAAGTTTCAGTTCTCACCATTCTCCATACTCTTGACTTCAGTTCGGTTTCCCGTATGTTGAAATGCTCAACCCCTCCTTCCTTCCTGGGTTGATTGATCCTTTGAGTCACCTACTACCCAGTAGGTACTAACTACCGAAGCCTATATCATCATACAGGACACTGAGGACAGTGGCCTCCAACTGAGGGAATAATCGTTGTATCCCTTCTTTGTCTTATACACAGCTATAAATATTGGCATCCCAGGACCTCCCCCAGTTCAAGCTTGTCAGCATGTGGTAACTACTCTCTTCCTCTCTCTCCTCCCCCTCTTGAGTGGCTGAACCCACCGTCGAGCTTCCTCATTTTGCGACATGATTTCTCCCAACGGCCATATTTTTCTCATTGCTGGCCATGTCTCCCTCACAGGCCTTCTCTACGGCCTGGACACTGGTATGTTGGATCCGGCAGCAGATCTCATGGAAACTTTGCCCTTAAAATATAGCTAAAGCCTATATAATCCGTTCAGGTTCGATCGGTGTCATCACTCAGATGGACCAGTTTCGCGATTCAATAGGTCATCTGTCATCTACGCAACAAGGAATATATGTTGCGTGTATTCTCCTTTCATCTTCGGTTTCCTCTCTCACCAGTGGCCATGTATCCGACCGTATTTCAAGGAAGTATGGGATTCTTCTTGGGGCCATCATTTCTCTCATGGGAACCATCATTTCAGCTTGTTCTCCAAATTTCGCCAGTCTGATTGTGGCCCGTTTGATTACCGGGGTTGGTATGGGCCAAGCCATTTCGGTGACCACCGTGTACCTGGTGGAGATTGCGCCTGCGAGCATTCGTGGAGTCACAGCTTGCTTCTTGCAGCTGTATGTTGTTTTCGGTATCATGACCGGGTATTTTATCGCCTTCGGATCTCATAACATCCCAGGAAGCCTGTCTTGGAGGCTGCCATTTGTTATCCAAGCTATTGTTGCCGTGGTTCTTCTTGTAGGTATCATTTTCGTGCCATTTTCCCCCCGATGGTTGGTTCAGGTCGGCCGCATTGGTGATGCACACCGGGTGTTGAGTAAAGTACGACCACTATCCGCCGTGGAGGGGGAGCTGCATGAGATCCAGCAAAGTATGGACCCCGAAAAACTGCAAGCGACTGCAAGCTTCAAGGAGATCTTCAATCACAAATACAGGAGTCGAACAGCCTTAGGGATCTTTTTGATGTCATTCCAGCAATTAACTGGCGTAAGACACTCATTGGCTCTCAGTTAAATGCTTGTTCGCTTAGATCCGCCGTACTAATGATAGGTTTAGATTGATGTTGTCCTCTATTATGCCCCGATTCTTTTCCAACAGGCTGGTTTCACGTCCCAAAGAGCTTCATTTCTTTCTTCTGGCATTACTGGAATTGTAATGCTGCTATGCACGATCCCAGCTCAAATTTGGGTTGACCGATGGGGCCGTCGAATGCCTTTAATCATTGGAGGAACAGCAATGGCAGCATGCTTTATCATTATCGGGTCCCTCTACGCCAAGTATGGGTATACTACAGCGGATGAAGTGATCCTCGCTTCCGACTCTGCCCAGTGGGCAGTGATCATCTTAATCTATATCTTTGTCGCAAACTTTTCCTGGTCTTGGGCTGTGGTAAGTTTTCGCATGGTAACTGAGATATCCGGTGATAGGATATCGTTTCCCCCCTATTTTGCCCTGCGTTCAACGGTGAATCCTCAGCGCTTTTACTGACACGGCTTGCTCTCACGTAGGTTGGTAAGATCTACGCCTCGGAAATTATTCCAACCAGGTTGCGCGCGAAAGTGTGTGCAGTTGAGCTGCTAGCCAATTGGATTGTGAACTTCATTGTAACTCTCACAGCACCTCTCTTCCTACATTCTTCTCCGAGTGGGCCGTATTTCCTGTATGGATTCTCGACGGTGGTAGCCGTGGGGGTCTGCGTTTTGATGCCGGAAACAAAGGGTCACAGCCTTGAACATATTGAGAACATATTTGAGTCCCGAGGCAGCCAATGAGACTGCAAGTTCCAAGCTTGCAAGGTTAAATTTGGAAGTGGACGATAATCTATTCTATCGTCAAGTACTGCGGCATACATGACATAGGTAGAGGCTTCAACCGCAGTCTGCAATTGGGCAATCTGGCTGCGGTGTCACGCCGTTTCGATAAGCTGGGGATCGACCGATAAATAACGTTTGTGTACAGAGATAGGTCGATCGATATATAATTGCTGTGGCTTCTTCCATGAAATTGTGCCCTGCGGCCTGCCTGTACTTTATTGCTCCGAGACATTCAGGAGGATGATCGCCCGAGATAAACATGCTGACACTCTTGGAGTAAATGAACCAGTCTGTTGCTGTACGGTGTGCGCGGTGTACAGTTATATCGAGATGATGTGATAGTTAGGACACCCAAGCAACGGACTCGGGAGCTTTCCGACCGTGTTACCATTTAACTTGGATGAACTCGGTTTGGAAGGTATTTTTACCATCCCTATGGGTACGAAAGAATAGTATTTTGGTGCCTGGAGGTGTCGAAGGACCACCACGGTTTTCCACGGCTTCCCCGGCAGCTTGGATTGTACTAAACCACATATATTGTCTTAGGTCGTTTCACATTTCAATATGATTAACGGTGATGGGGCTTGGGGGCCGTCTCCCTCGGGACTGCAGGAAGGGATGGCGGTACTTTTGCCGTGGTGTCGAAATCTGCATGCTTCCCTCCATTGCAATCTTCTTTCGCCTCAGACTGAACCCCAATTTCATGCTGGAGGAATAATCCATACCTTAGGTACCTAGGTAGTGAGGCATAAGCTAGTTACCTAGTACTCCGTACAGGGCTGCTTTTTCGCACTTCGAGGCTCTGAATAAGTTAATCGCATGACCAAAAATCAATCCACGGACTGAAAATGCCAGATGGAGAAAGTGCGGACTTGGGACAGCGAGCAGACCCACTGCGGTGGGGCGGCCAAAGTCGTCCTTGAGACAAAAGACGCAGCTAGTTACGAACGCACGGAGGAGAGGAGGAGAGGAGGAGGAGGAGGAGGAGGAGACTCTGTACTCTGTAGGCGTCTGGAGACATTGATTGTACGGAGTACTTGGAATACTCGGTAGGGTTGGTGTGTATCTTTCCACATTACAGAATCCCGTGCCTGAATCTTTCGGATGCGTACACTTTTCACGTGATAAAAGTGGACCTCTACGTATGAGTCAGCATTAAATTAATCAATGGAATGCTGAAATTAAAATTATACAAATTTCTACAATTACTAAATTCAACCTGAAATTCTAATCAAGAGATTTCAAGGAATTTTATAGATGATTCTACATTGAAAGCTTTCCTTTAAACACTTTCCCCAAAATATAAAACATCTTAACAACTACGCTGTCCAAGCACGTGACTTACAACCCACCATGTTAGCCTGGATGTCAATGGATCTTCTTCGTCCCATCTGAATCTTTCATTTCATGGTCTTATATTTCATGAATTTCAACCCATTTTGTATTACAAGGCCCCACCACTAACTTCAAGAATAGCCCACCGCCCGATCTTATCCTCTCTGTTCCCCCTGTTCATGCGTGGGTGATCAGTCACTTGGAGAGAAATGCAATCCGAGAGGCTGAAAAGTTCGAGATGCAATCATGAAGGAGGGAGGGAGAGTTCGTTATGCAGGATGACTGCAAGGCCAGGGATTGAGATTGATTGTCCACCATAGCCACAACCGCAAACATCGCTAGACCACAAATATAGCAGCAGACCAGGTAAACGCATGAACTCGAATTCTGGACCTGCCTGTTGGCGCATCCCAATAATTAGTCTCTGTCTCTTAACCCATTCGGTGTTAGTGAGATCGTTGGGGTTAACGACTTAAACGGTAAACCCAGCTGACTGGTGCCCCCCTCCCCCCCCCCCAAAAAAAGGCGTTAGTTATGCGAAGGTCCAGTTGATGCATCGTACGGCGAATTCGGGGAGGAAATTAAGAGGGACTCGGATTTGTGACTCGCCTCGACACCACTCGGCACGAGGGAGTGAGAGTGACGACGTTTTGCATCTTGAGTGAGTCTTGCGTTGGGAGGGGTGGTGGGGGGAGGAGGGAGGAGGTCATACTCCGTACACAAGTGTCCTAGTAAGAAAACAGGTGGGTGATGGTTAAATAAGAATCAATTAGAAATCCAGGATGGGTGTTCACAAACCAATACATAGTGAGTGCCTAGTATGTGAATGCCGCGTGGGAAGAGTTCCGGCTGATTTAGGTAGCAAGTGAGGCGGAGAGAAAATCATGAGGGGATTCAAGAAAACCGTGGAAATGGAACCGGGATACACCACCCGAGCGATCCTCCCGTAACTAACTAACTATGTAGTTAGTTACCAAGTCAGGCTGTTAGCACAAGAATTGGAGAGTCCAGATTCCAGAATCCGTTCTAAAATGAAATTAAAGAAAAAAAAAAAAAAAAAACTCTGGGTCCCCCGGTCGTACTTTCGAGAATTCGAGGATAAGAAGAACAGGACAGGCCGGGTTCGAGATGACGGATGACTGACTTCCACCTTCTCTCCTCAAAAATTTCCTCCTCTACTCTTGAGTCTTCTCTCCCTCTCCGTCTGTCCTTTTTTGGTACGCGTTGTTTACTCTCTCATCTCCAACTTACGCCAACCCCGCCCACCAGGCTTCATTCTTTTGTTCCTGCCCTGATCCATCAAAAAGTCTAAAACCCATAAAATAAACTATCCGGTCGCTATTTTCATCCCGACCTACTTCGAGTACTACCAATACTGTTGGCTTTGATAGCAAATCTTTTCTCCCAACTCCTGCAAGTACTTGTAGTCTCTTTACTCTCACACCAGTCCGTTCGCTGTATCTGTCTTATTGTCTTGTGTTTTCTTGCTCGAGTCAGGGCACTGAAAAAATACACACAAAGAAAGTCAAATTCTACCGAGGCAGCTATCCTGTTCGAAGCTCGAAGCCACAAACAAACGCCTCCCAGACTTTCGTTCTGCTTCCCGCAGTAAAACGTTTGCCCCCTCACGCCGAAAGAAACCAAAGGGATACACTCCTTTGCTCCCTAGTTTCACGGCCTCGCTGGATTGTTTTGACCGCTATTGTTGGTCTGCTTATTCTCGACGCGCAGACTCGTGCTATGAAGGGACATGTTACACGCAACTGATGCCTGCCGTCACTGCGAACAGGTCCTGTCCTCATTGATTGTTCTGCACCTCTATCACGTCGCACACCCAAATCTTTTGGCCTCTCCCGATTTTGCTTGATCCCTGGGTATTCGTTTTATAACCCATCTTCTCAGTGACCAGCATCTCCCAGAGATACTCTTGGTTTTTTTTTTTTTTTTTTTTTTTTTTTTGCTTTGTGTGATCCCATCGTGGTCCCTTCCTTGACACTCATACATCCTCTCCTTGTACCATACTCACCCACTCGACCCTCCCTACAATCATGGCATATACAGAGGAAAGGCTGAATGCCCCTGATGGGTCCGCACTCACCTGGATCTTTGACCATATTCTTCGTTACCCTGGCACATATGAGATCCCTCTTCGAACTATGTACGCCTTGAACTCGAATCCAACCAGACAACCGTCACCTGGCACTTGTTGCTCCCCCGAAACAGCTTTCGCCCGTCGACCGACTTCTCCCAAATCTTCTGCTGCTGCGGATCTCAGAGCGCAATTGACCCAACAAATTTCCCGCTTACCATCTCAACCTTGTTCCCTCCCACCCAGTTTCATCACTTCTTTCCTGCGCCGTTGTTTCGCCCCTCAGCTGGAAGATGTCGACTTCCCGCAGGCGCTTACCGGGCTCGACTACCTCAGGGACTTTGAAATCCGCCGTAAGAAAGAGGTTGTAGCTGCCTTGCAAAGGTTGGGCCTCGAGCAGGGTGACCTCAGAGAACCGTCAGAGCTGGCCAAAAAATACCCCGGTGTTTTGACATGGCTCGAGTCTATCAACATTAAGGGTCGTAAAGTGGAGGCCCTGTACACACAGATCTACATTGGTCTCCGCCGATGGGTAAGCCAAACTTATTCCGGGTTAATATCTTAATTACGACTGACATATTCTAGGCTTTGATCAACGAAATGCTTCTGGAACCATTCAACAGGGCTAATTGCATTGCCATGCTCAACACCCTCTTCCCTCCCGTGACAGAGGCAACCGTAACCCCAACATCACAACTCACCCCCCAGATCTTGAAATCCCAACGGGACGGCTTCTTCCGGTATATCTCCGCTTTTGAAACCAACGGGAGACAGATCCTGGACAAGGTTATCGCGCAGGGCGCACCCGAGGGTGAAAGCACCGGCTGGCCCTTGGTTCGAGATGCGCTGGACAAGTACCTGCGAACTGCCAATGAGATCATCGACGAGTGTGCAATGGCCCATGGCCAAGCCAGCTTTGACGAAGTAATCGACTCCCCTCCTCGAGGACATAAGGGTCGCAAGGTAGACTCAGGCATTAGCTTTGGATCATCCGATAAGATACCTGCTCCTTCCATTACTAGCAGCACTATCTCCGACTACATCACAGAAAAACCCTTACCACCTTCGCCAAAGGGAACCCACACTTCTAAAACAGGCGGCTCTACGCTGGAGCGGCTGGCCCGCGAGCTCCGCAAGCTGGGCGATAGCGGCAAGGTCAAGGGCCTCAAGAAAATGAAATCATCCAGCACCTTGGGTATTCGACCAGAGACCCCTTCTGTAGACGAAGAATCCTTTTTTGAAATTGACGAACAGAAACGAAAGCGCTTGATTTGGGAAGCAACCACCCGCAAAAGATCCCATATGAAGCAATCTAGCGGCAGCTCACGATTTGATTGATTGACTGAATTTTTTTTTTCTTTTTGAACAACCCTGACTGTGTCATTGACATTTCTGAGATACCATAAAGTAGGACCACAAGACAATAAGCCTGGAGTTTGATGTTTGACCCTTTGGAAGGAGCCAACTAATGTCTCGGACTTACCTATGTTTTTCTTTTCTTTTGTTTTCCTCCACCGCCCGCTATTATCCTGGTCTACCCCGTACATGTCTTTTTGCTTCTTTTTTTGCTTCTTTTTTTGCTTCTTTTTTGCTTCTTTTTTTTTTTCAATGTGACTACTATTATCCCGTTAGATCAGGCAGGCATCTGTGGATGGGTTTATTGCTTTGAAGCAAATTCTTTTGTATGTGTTTTATTTGGGACATCTGGTGTACGGAAAGGGAGGATAAAAAATCCATTATTGACGGCGCAGGAGGCGAATTACAGCTTGACTGAATAGGAAAAGGTTAAAAAGGGCAAAAAATATAAAAACATGCTTGAAGCATTATTCCAGTACGGTGTCCTGATATTCCTCCTACACTACCGTAGAAGTTAAATTCAGCTAACTACGCCTTATGACCTGACTAAGTTTACGATAACCCCTTCATCTCTTTACAGGAGATGTAAACCCTAGCCGGGAGGACTGAGGGGTCTAAGTATACACCCGACAGTTCCTATACTCTGTACGGAGTAGTTCTAGAGGTCTAATTAGGGCTGGCCTGCCTGGCAGCCATGGGTTAGGTTACGTTAGGCCCAGTTACTAAGGCAGGTTAATCAATCAAGGCCCCTAGGTAGTCATGCAGCCCTGTGCAGTACAGAGTACCTAATATACTCTACTACATACGAAGTCAAGCGTCAAGAAGCCAACAAGCAGTGGACCTACTACTACCTAACTAGTAGCTTTTTTTGGAAGGGAGGGGGGAGAGGGAAGAAGGTGGATGTGCATACGCACCCTGCCCATGTCGGTAATCGGATACTCGTCTGTACGACTTGCGTGGTTTCGATTCCGACTACTTAGACGTGCAGGCTACTGAGCACCTGCCAAAATGCCGAAAGGGGAATTCGGTGGGTGATTCCTGTTACGAGGGTACGCTGATATTTCCTATGATGGGTGTTTAGGTAGGTACGGTACAAGTAGTATCACATACATATGTACGGTACTATGTACTGGATTGGATGTACCTGCAGAACGACCTCGTTTCTGTTAGTTCGTTTTCGAGACTTGTTTGCTGTTCCACATATACTCTGTGCTGTTCCTTCCAGCAAGGAAGGAAGATGAATACGAAGAGAAATCTTGTCCATGCTGAGAAGATTACTGCGTCTTCTGCGTCTTGGTATATAGACCTTCAATGCTGCACAGGGTGCCTCGCAGTGACTACCTAGTAGGTAACAACCTCGTCATCTTGACCAATATGGCACGACCACAAAGGGCGAGAAGGGCAACATTTGAACGTTATTAAGAGGTAGGTACACTCTCACTAACTATATCAAGAAAGACTGAGAACACGTTCGTTCCGTGTCTGCTGGCAAATTGATGTGGGCTTCTCAGACGTCTTACCTAGGTACCTAGTTCTGCGAGATTTCGGTTGTCAGCCCGCCATCCGGAGGTCGCATTCACCCAGGTTATGCTATCCCCAGGTTATGCTATTCCTCTTCACGCTACGGAGGTGAATTCAAGGTTGTTGGCGGGGGAAGGAAAACCACGGCTGCTTTATCCTTAGATTCGGACCAATCAAATTGCGTAACTCAAGACACGGAAGTTTTGCGCTTTTGGCCGCTGCGCCACCCGTAGCAGCTCTCTCGATCAAGACGCGAGGTGGCCAGAAGAGGGCCGTAAGAAACAACGATCCAGCAGCTGAATGGCCACCCTTTAACCTTGGGAGGCATCTTCGGAACTAACAGGCGTCCATTTGACATCCCGAAGCCGAATACTTCGTGAAATTTCGGGGTTGTGCCTGTTCATATAGACTCCCTCCCCCCACCCGTGATGCCATTTGCCTGAGTATAACTAGCTATCTACTAGGTGTGGTAGATCAGTTGACATTGCCACCCAATTGTCTGTTCAACGGGCCCTACTGGGTACGCAGCAAGTGTCTGGAGTGGGAGACAGCGATGGTCTTTCGCCTGGGATCTGTCGCCTCTTGGCGACTCTCGTATGTTGTCGTGTCGACGTTGCTGCTCTCGACTGCACAGGCAAGCCCCACGGTCAATGTCGCGCTCCAGGCTTCCTTTGACTCGGCACCTTATCTTGTAGAGTTATTGTGAGTATACTGATCTCGATATCCCCGGCAAAATTGTTCCTCTCGCGGTCGATTGCTTATTTTCCAAACCAGAGAGGCCGCAGCCGGAGAAAACTCGACGTCATACTTCCCATTACTGGACCGTGTCGCCGAGGGAGCTTTCGATGACGTTGTGACGGATAAAGAACTATATGATCGCTTTCTGCAAGTGGTGGTGAATGATGGACATCTCAGCAATCCCGAGAGTCTCTCCACGTTCAAGCTAGCTTTGGCAATTCGGTCCGCCAGCCCTCGGATTGCGGCCCATTACCAGTTTTACAATGCATCAGTGCAACACTCCATGATGGCAGCGCAGGATGCTGCCTGTCCAGTATGGGCTCACTCAGATGGGAAACAATATTGCTCTTCGACCATGGAACGAGCACAGCAAGTTATCATGGGAGAACTGTCAGTTGGTTGTCTTTCCGTTAACTTTTGCGATAAATTGCTAATGCATGGTATCCGGAACAGGGACACGCGTGAGCTTCCTTTCGATCGAATTTATGGAATTGAATCGCTCCCCCCAGCCATTCTCTATGCCGATATAGCTTCCCCCATGTTCAAAGATTTTCACAAGACCTTGACTGCACTCGCAAAGGAGGGCGAAATTTCGTATCGAGTACGGTATCGGCCTCCTCAGCATTGGAGCTCACGTCCCCTTTTTGTCTCCGGCTATGGAGTTGAGCTTGCATTAAAACGAACAGATTATATTGTCATTGATGACCGAGATGCCGAAAAGAGGGAATCAAACACCCCAGAGTCCACTAAATCAGATGCTAAGGAGGAAGAAGCCCCAGATGACTTGAGGCCATTATCTTCATCGGAGGTAGCCCGGCTTGGAATCAACACCGCTAGTTATGTAGTGGATAGTGAGGATCCGCTTAACACGCTGGTGAACCTATCGCAAGACTTTCCTAAATATTCCTCCAAGATCGCAGCTCACAACACAACCATGGAACTCTTGCGCGATATTAGATCTAACCGTTTAGGCATGCTTCCCTCTGGCGCTAATGCGATGTGGGTCAATGGTGTCCAGGTTGATCCTCGACAAATTGACGCCTTCTCCCTTCTAGATAACCTTCGCCGTGAGAGAAGGCTGATCGATAGTTTTCGCAATCTTGGCCTCTCGGCCCAGGAGGCCGTTGATCTCTTGACACATGAGTTGATTGGGGAGTCTATGGCCAACGACTCGCCTCAACGTTATAACTATCGCGATGAAATTGAAGGCGGTGGCGTGATCATCTGGATGAATAATTTGGAAAAAGACGCAAGATACGAATCATGGCCAGGAGATTTATCAGCAGTAAGTGTTCCAGATCCTTATTCCGTTCGTCCCCTTTGCTAATTGGTATTAGTTTCTTCAGCGAACTTACCCGGGCCAGCTTCCTGCTGTGCGTCGTGACTTCAACAACATCGTGTTCCCAGTAGACCTTACAAATACTGAAGACATTGATTTATTAGTGACCACAATCCAAGTTTTTGTGAAAAGAAAAATCCCAGTGAGGTTTGGCATTGTCCCTCTGGCCTCATCACCCGGCTCCACTGCCCAGCTTAAGGTGGCTCATTATCTTCAAGACACGTTTGGCCTTAGCAGTCTTGTGAAGTATCTTGAGGAGGTAAGAATGTCTCATTTGCTACTCAGTCTCTCCCCCCCCCCCCCATTTTCTCGATCTGGGTGCTAATTGAACTAGTCTGGTTCCAGGAACAAGATCGCTACCCCAGACAAGAATAGCTTCTTGGCTGCTACTCACGAGGAAACCCCCAGAGCCGAAAAAGTGGCACTCACTTTTGATGAGATCCTGAAGAGTGATGAACTAGAGATTTTGGTATCACGAACAGCTAAGTACCAAGAACGTCTTGGTATTAGCAACGATGCATCACTCGCCTTTATTAACGGTGTCCCGATTGCCCGCAATGAAAATTGGCCGCAACATATGAGCATGAGAGTCGAGAAGGATCTACGTTTGGTTCAACAAGCTATTGTTGAAGGCCTTTTTGAGGAAGACATCTGGCTACCAGGATTCTTCCTTTCTGAAGCCTTCAGTCGACGCGTCCCCTGGATTATACCCGAGGATCCGAAAGAAATTCAGGTTATCGATATAGCTAGGATCACACAGTCACCCAATAATCTGTTGGATGAAGTGCCTCGTATTGCACCGGAGCAAGGTGATGCTGTTGAAAGCACGCACGTAATTGTTATTGGTGATTTCGACTCGCAGCCCGGCCTGACGTTCCTCACTGCGGCCCTTGAAACTCGCGAGAAGCATGCGAAGGCTGAGGTTCACTTCATTCATAACCCTGAGATATTTACACCTCATGTAAAGGCATCTGCCACTCTCTTCCGTTCTTTGGTGGGAGCGAAGGATTCTGATGCTTCGCAAATACTTGCTGATATAAATTCTTCTATGCCCATGGAGCTGGATAATGCAGAAGCAGAGGACATTTTCGCATTCTGGACAAGATACCGACCTTTGGCCGAGACCCTCGGCTTCGCTCCCGGGGCTAGTGGAATTGTCGTTAATGGCCGAGCAGTTATACCCAGCCAGGACGTGACCAGCGAAGATTTGGGCCAGCTCCTAACCTATGAAGAGATGAATAGAATTGCTCCAGTTGCAAAAGCAGCTAAAGCCCTCGGATTTAGCTCAAGGCTGACAGATCCTCTCTCCTTTGCGAAACTAACTTCTCTTGTCGCTCTTTCGAGTGTATCTGATGTCCCTGAAGGTCTTTTTGAAACGCCCTCAGATGCTCGTGTGAACCTGTTTCAGAAATGGACAGACGGCGGTTCCGTGATTACTGTCTCTAATTCTGATGACCCAACCATTACTATCGCTGCCTCCATCGACCCGACATCAGAGTCGGCTCAACGGTGGCTCCCGATTCTGAGGGTGCTCTCAAAGCTTGATGGAGTCAAACTAAAGTTGTTCATGAATCCCCGAGATGAGATCCAGGAACTTCCTATCAAGCGCTTCTACCGCTATGTTCTCGACTCCGAACCTTCATTTGGCGCCGACGGATCTGTCTTACGACCCACAGCTAGCTTCTCAGGAGTTCCCGTTGAAGCACTCCTCACTCTAGCAATGGATGTTCCATCTTCATGGCTTGTGGCTCCTAAAGATTCAATCCATGACCTCGATAACATCAAATTGAGCTCAGTCAGCGGGGAGTCGAACGTAGACGCTATTTATGCGCTGGAGCATATTTTGATAGAAGGCCACTCTCGGGACATGACCACCAAGGCGCCCCCACGAGGGGTTCAGTTGGTTCTTGGCACCGAAGACAATCCTTACTTTGCTGACACTATCATCATGGCTAATCTTGGATATTTCCAGTTTAAAGCACAGCCGGGCTTATGGAATATTAATCTGAAGCCTGGTCGGAGTGAACGCATCTTCAACCTCGACAGTGTAGGCAGACTAGGCTACACCCCACAGCCGGGTGATGAAAGCAACGAAGTTGCCCTTCTTTCCTTCCAAGGCAAGACCCTGTTCCCACGGCTGTCACGCAAGAGGGGATACGAGAATGAAGATGTCTTAGAGACAGGCGCTAAATCCGGTTCTGCGATGGACTTCGTATCTAAAGGATTTAACTTCGCCTCGGGTGTCCTTTCTAGTGTTGGGGTTGGCTCCAAGAGCAGCTCTGAGAAGAATGCCGATATTAATATTTTCTCAGTGGCGAGCGGCCACTTGTACGAGCGGATGTTAAACATCATGATGGTGTCCGTAATGCGGAACACCAAACACACCGTTAAATTCTGGTTCATCGAGCAGTTCCTCTCCCCATCATTCAAGTCCTTCCTGCCCCATCTGGCAGAGGAATACGGGTTCTCATACGAGATGGTCACGTATAAATGGCCTCACTGGCTACGAGGCCAGAAAGAAAAGCAGCGTGAGATCTGGGGCTACAAGATTCTATTCCTGGATGTTCTCTTCCCGCTGTCGCTGGACAAAGTCATCTTCGTCGATGCAGACCAAATCGTCCGCACAGACATGTACGATCTCGTCAGCCTGGACCTCGAAGGCGCTCCCTATGGATTCACTCCAATGTGTGATTCCCGCACAGAGATGGAGGGGTTCCGTTTCTGGAAACAAGGCTACTGGAAAACCTTCCTCCGCGGCGCCCCTTACCATATCTCTGCTCTATACGTTGTGGACCTAAATCGCTTCCGTGCGCTCGCAGCCGGTGACCGTCTCCGTGGCCAATACCAGATGCTCTCTGCCGACCCTAACAGCTTGAGCAACCTGGACCAAGATCTCCCGAACCACATGCAACACCACATCCCAATCAAGAGTCTCCCGCAGGAATGGCTGTGGTGCGAGACATGGTGCTCTGATGAGGCTCTAACCCAAGCGAGGACCATCGATCTCTGTAACAATCCGCAAACGAAGGAGCCCAAACTGGATAGAGCTCGGCGACAGGTCCCTGAATGGACTGAATATGATGACGAGATTGCGGCGCTGTCGAGAAGAATCGAGCAGCAAAGACAGGACCAAGGACAGATGCAGGAAGAAGTTCTATCGAATTCCCGGGACGGATATAAGGAAGAGGAAGACAATTGGAAAAAAGACGAGTTGTAAAAAGTTTGGATTATCCCTTTTTTTTTTTTTTCTTCTCTTTTTTTTTTCTTTTTTTTTTTTTTGTAGGCATTTATCAGTCAAGGTTCCGTGCTATAAATAAATATATGTGCATGCAATAGAATGATTTTAAACATGGGTTTTCATTTAGGGGTAGTAAACTGGTAAGTAATAATATGTCATAGATTCATAGCATTATTATTTGACAGTCGCCTGCGGTTTATATGGCCAAACAGGGGGTATATTGCAGACTAAATAGACGGGGGGTGAGCAATCGGTTATCTCAGTCGGAGTCGGAGTCGGAATCAGAATCAGAATCAGACTTCGACTCCGAGGTAGACAACTCCTCACTGCTCGAGTCGCTTTCGTCAGAACCACTGCTTTCTCGTTTTACACTTGTGTTGTTTCCCTTCTTTTTAGAGCCAATGGCTTTGAGCTTCTTGGCGGGGGGCTCGTCTTCTGATTCGCTTGAGCTGGAGCTGGAGCTGGAGCTGGAGGTATCGGAATCTGAGGACGATGTAGAAGGTGAAGATGAGCTAGGCTTCTTCTTCAGGGGAGCCTTTGGATTCTTAGGGATGCTTTTCTTTCTGGTATCTGACTTGGCGCTGGGTTGTGGTGAGTCTGTTTCTGAACCGGAGTCTTCGGAGCTGCTCTCAGATGCACTTTTGCTATCGCTCTCGGACGACGATGTTTCTGTTGATTTTGGAGTAGGAGACATTTCGGGCTTTGTACGCTTGACATGCTGCGGGTTTTTCACGGGGCTGTCTTCAAGCTCTCGCTTGATGATTTCTGGAACCTCCTTTGTGGTAGTAGGACCCTTTTTCTCGCCTTCGCTTTCACTGGCGCTTTCATCTTCTGAAGATTCTTCACTAGATTCATCAGAGGCACTTTGCTCTGAGGTTTGTAGTTCTTTCGAACCCTTATGCTTCTGTGTAGCCGGGCTGGATTCTGTACTTTCGCTTGTCCCAGGTTCTGAACTACAATCTGAGTCTGAGTCTGAGTCTGAGGACGAATCTGAGGATGAGGATGACTGTGTCGCTGAGCGCCTTCTTTTTCGGGGGCTAGAGCTCCCATCGAGGGGTGGTGATTCTGTTTTGGTTTTGGAAACTGTTGTGCTTTTGGTGCTGTCCTTTTTTCTCTGAGTGACATTGGCTTTGGATTCGTCCACTTTCTTGGGCTTGTCGGTTGTTTGGTTCTTTGTGGGCTTCTCTTTGCCTTTGCCTTTGCCTGTTAGAGCGGGTTTTCGGTCCTTGGACTGAGTGCTTGAACCACCATCATCTCCAGAGCCTGATTCCGAACTGGAACCAGAACTAGATTTACTACCTAATGTTGATGTTGATGACTCGGAGTTGGACTCTGATTCAGATCCGGAATCGTCTGGAATGGGCTTTTTGGCTGTTTCACTAGGAGAAGAACGTGGCTTGTCGTGGGTTGTATCTTTGCGCCGCTTCATTTGTTTTTGTTGGGATTCGGGCTTCTCGCCCAGCTTCCCCTTCCCTCCGTCGTCATCTCGTTCATCTGCTTCATTTCCTTGCTCGCCATCGCTGTCGGAATCCACGTACATAGAGCTTTTGTACTCTTTGGAATTCTCAGCTTGTTTTTTGTGCTTCGCCAGGCGGCTAGTCAACGACGGGGTAGTACTCCGGGAAACACCAGAGGCAACCATGTTGGATCGGATTCTGCGCCATTTGTCTGCACATTGCTGCCTCGAGCGACGATGCTGCATGACCTCGCTCACTCGACCCCATGAAATAAGACCCTCATCCATCTCATAAATGTCTCGCCCAACATCGTGACCACGCGCTTTAAACTTGGTCCACGCCTCCTGCAGCGCACTTTGTAGCGCGAGAACCTCGGCCTCAGACCAGGCACCCTTGTTCATGGTAGAGCGATGCTCGAGGTGGTTTTTCCACTTCTGAACGACGTCGTCATCACTGCGGCCAAGTTGCTCGGCTATCAAAGCCCATTTCGGTCCGTTTATGTGATGTAGCCTGACCAGCTCATCTTCCTGTTCCGGAGTCCATTCGTGCGGCTTTTGGCCCGAGGTTTGAAAGTGGCGTCGCATAAACCGATAGACAGATCTTCTGTCTCTATCAGGAAGGGTTGTGTAGACGCGCTTCCAAAATTCTTTCTTTGAAAGGTGAACCGAACCAGGGAAAGCCCCTTTCTGCGCATGTTGCACCATTCCATCGAAAGTATCTACAGTACAACCGTACGTGTTGCAGAAACCGAGCTTGAAGCCTTCAAGGGCCTCGACTTCCTCCGGTCGAAAGGCACCTACTACGACGCCTCTCTCATTTTTTGTGCCGTCTGCTCGATTCAATCTTCCCTTGGAGATAGAATCAGCTGCCAAAGCTGGGCTTGGGGAGAGCTTCTTCCCACTAGTAGTGCTGGCAGACTCGGCCCGTTTTATTGCGACAATACTGGAGGCCCTTGACTCTAGCTTTGGCCTGGGAAGGTCATCCAATTGCGGTTTCGAAGCCAACTTGGGTGTGCTCGCGACCCTGGTCTCTCCTTCTCCATTCTTCGACGGAATCTCTTGCTCCTTATGCGCAGACTGAAGAAGTTTCTTGCGCTTCAAGGGTCGGGGAGCTTGTTCTCGTGGTGATTGCTTGAGCAGATTGTGAGACGTTCTCGATTCGTTATCGACGACGGGAGACGATTTCCGCTTCCGTTTGTGGGAGGCTTTGTCTCCAAGCTCTAGTTCTCGTTTTGCTTTTGTTAGAGCTGAGGGAGGGCTCGAAGGCGAGTGGGCGACATCAATCTCGTTTTTATCTAAAATTTCGAGCAGGGCAGTTAGCTATAAGCGCGTAGGTGAGGTCTGTAAAGACCGTTGCGACGTCATAAGCGTGTCTCACATACCGGTCTCAACAGGGTCAGTAAACCCTGGCTTTACGGGCTGGGAAGAGCCCTGGCCCATTTGGACGGAATCAAAACTGGACTCTTTACAGGCAGAAGATAAAAAAAAAAAAACAGGGGAAATACTGTGGGAAGCACGACGGACTGTTGTGGTGCAGGGTGAAGCTAGAGAAGAAGAAGGAAAAAAGTGATCGGCAGAAAAAAAAAAATTAATGGGGCCGCGGGGAGATTTTTTATACTGTTGATTTATGCGACAACAGATATACAAAAGCATGCTTCAAGGTCCTGAGATCAAGGAATGGTGGAATAAATGGGTTATATTACAATAGGTATACTAAGTGATAATTCATATCTTCTATCATCATGACTCTATTTTCATCTCGCGTAATATCCTGGTCACCAACTTTCTTTGATCCGCCGGGTTGAGATCGTGCTCATCGATAATGCTGAGGCAACGTCCAATTGCTACTGTTGCCTTGACAGCAACATCCTCGCTATTTGAGCAGTCAACCCAGACCTTCCCATTTCTCCCTACCGCAATCTCGAATCCTCCGGCCTTTTCCAGCTTCTTGCCTAGCTCGTCTAGGACCACCAACCCGGCCACTCCGTGTTGATCTGATGATGGCGAGGAGCTCGCCTTCATGAGCCTCGCAGCCAGCCCTGTAGAAACATCAAACACCATCCCACCAGTGAGGGGACCTAGGCCGCCCGGTTCAGCTTTCCCTGTTGCGGGATTGACACAGGCGAGTTCGACTTCCGCACCCGCACCTAGTCCAGTTGACAGTACGCGCGCGTACACCAAATCTCCTTGTTTCAGCATTGGTCGTGTCTTCTTCGTCGCTCCTTCGAACGAGAGTTGGCCCAATAGCGCATGGGGCGACTGGGGGGTAATCATGCAGTAGAAATAATCGATGCTGGAGTGGTGGACCTGCGCAATCACGAGGTCGTTGGGGGTGGGGATATAGCGGCGCGTGGCAGATGAAAGAATCGACACGGCATTTCTTTTGTTATCTGTTGAGAGGATTCCGGCTTGTGTGGCAGTAAGAAGATGACTAGGCGAAGGGTGTGGGTGCGAGAGGAGGCGAAGGCCCGGTCCTAGTCGTAATGGGGCGGAGTTTTTTGAGGGCAAATATTCTGGTGGAATCTCATCCCCGGGGAGAAGTATTAACGGCGACGACGACATCATGAAGGGAGGATGGTCTGAGTGTGAACAATGTGTTGTGGTTGAACTCAAGGGAAAAGAGGGATCTCTGTAAAAAAGTGTAACCCGCAGCTTATCGAGCGGCCAATCAACACGTGACCTGCTGCGTATTCCAGGCTCTACAAAATGTTATGATATATATGTTATAGAATCCCTATGATATATTTTTCGTATAGATATTGTATCCATATTTGTGCATATCATCCGCGACAGCAGGGGAAATAGTGGTCAAGAGGAACAGATAGAAAGGACTAGTGAACTGCCTGCAACCACCTCTAGAAGAACTGATTGAACCATTGACCAGGTCTATATGACAGAAGCAGATGGTTAACACCAGCTTGCCAGACTACAAAGCACTCTTCTCTTAGTCGATTATAAGAAAGATAGTTATAGATTCCGTATACTCCGTACCTACTCCGTACAGAGTAATGTTGGTAAAGCACCGCCACATCCACTATCGATAAGCACCAGCCACACAGACACTCGCCTTCCGCCAAAAGTTCAATTTTTTTTTTTTTTTTTCCCCTTCAGCCCAAAAGAATAATAGTTGGTCCCGAACAAACTGAAAGTGGGTGTTCGTCTTCTTCTCACCTCACTCCATCTTCTTCCAATTCCCTCCTCATCCTCCCCTTTCTTTCATATTCCTTTTCACCCCTTCTTTACTCCCCCCCTAATTCGAGATGAGTACCGAAACCAATGGTGCTGGCGAGAGATTCGCCATTGGTATCTCTTTCGGCAATTCCTCCAGTTCAATTGCCCGTATCAACCCTGTATGCGCTCCATCCCCCCCCTCTTCTATCCTGGTACAGATTTAGAGGCCAATACTAACTAGTATCAACGCATAGGAAGGCAAGGCTGAAGTTATTGCCAATGAAGAAGGAGGTTCGTTTTGATTTACTTTCTCTATGGCTCTGCTGTGTCTGCGGGGTACTTGGGAACAGCGAAACACTCACACCTCTCTAGATCGTCAAATTCCTACCGTTCTCTCGTACATTGACGGAGAAGAATACCATGGTTCTCAGGCCAAGGCACAGCTTATCCGCAACTCCCAGAACACCGTTGCCTACTTCAGAGATTTCGTTGGCAAGAAGTAAATTATCCAGCTTAGCAAACAGCGCGGAAGCCTGAACGCATATGCTAACAGCTGTATATAGCTTCAAATCGATAGATCCCACTCCTTGCCACAACTCTGCTCACCCCGTCCAGACCGACTCCACTGTCGCTTTCTCGATTCGTGATACTGCAAGCGAGACCCCTAACACCGTCTCCGTCTCCGAGATTACCACTCGTCACCTCCGTCGCCTGAAGCAGTCTGCCACCGACTACCTTGGCAAGGAGGTCAATTCTGCGGTTATCACCGTTCCTACTGACTTTACTGATGCTCAGCGTGAGGCTTTGACCACTGCTGCCAAGGACGCTGGTATTGAGGTTCTGCAGCTCATTCACGAACCTGTTGCAGCTGCCCTCGCCTACGACGCCAGACCAGAGGCTGTTCTGACCGATAAGCTCGTTGTCGTTGCTGATTTGGGCGGAACTCGCTCTGATGCTGCCGTCATTGCTTGCCGTGGTGGAATGTACACCATCCTTGCTACTGCTCATGACTACGAACTAGGAGGAGCCAACCTCGACAAGATCATTATTGACCACTTCGCCAAGGAGTTCATGAAGAAGCACAAGACTGACCCCCGTGAGAATGCTCGTGGACTTGCCAAGCTCAAGCTTGAGGGCGAAGCTACAAGAAGGGCTCTGAGCTTGGGTACCAATGCTACCCTGAGCATTGAGAGTCTTGCTGACGGAATCGACTATGGCTCCACCATCAACCGTACCCGCTTCGAGCTGCTTTCTAACAAGGTGTTTGCTCAGTTCACTGGCCTCATTGAGCAAGTCGTTAAGAAGGCTGGTTTGGACGTCTTGGATATCGACGAGGTTTGTGACGCAGTATTTACATTTATGGGGTTGGACCTTTTTTTTTTTTCTCACGCTGTTTTAGGTTATCTTCTCCGGTGGTACTTCCCACACCCCCAAGATTGCTCAGTTAGCCCGCAACATTTTCCCCGAGACAACCAAGATTCTTGCCCCCTCCACCGAGACTACCGCCATCAACCCATCCGAGCTGGCCGCTAGGGGTGCTGCCATCCAGGCCTCTCTGATCCAGGAATTTGATACCGAGGACATTGAGCAATCCATCCACCCCATGGTCACTGCCACCCCCCATCTTAGCCACGCGATCGGTGTTGAGTTCTCTTCCGGTGATGCTACCGAGTTCCAGCCTCTTCTTAACACTGAAACTGCCCTCCCTGCTCGTCGCGTTGCTCTGTACAGCGTCCCCAAGGCCGGTGGCGATGTTCTCATCCGCGTTTGCGAGGGTGTCCGTGAAATCAAGATCACCAAGCCCGAGCCTAAGCCCAAGGAGGCGAAGCCCGCCAACGATGCCGAAGATGAGGACTCCGATTTCGACTCCGATGAGGACGAGGAGGAGGAGACCCGCGAGATTGTGTGGAAGACCCAGAAGCCCATTGCTGAGCTCGCTGTTAAGGGTGTCAAGGCCGGTGGCAAGGTTGAGCTCATGGTTCACATCAACTCTGACCTGGGTCTGCAAATTACTGCCCGTGAGGTTGGTGGCCAAAGCGCTGTCCGCGGTGCCGTTGAGTCTCCATGAACACAATCAATTTGATCCTCTTTTCTTAATATTCTCCTGGATCTCATCATCTTTCAATACTACTGGCATTTCGCATATCCTTGCGTTGAGTGGACTTTCTTAAGATATCAGAACTCGACTGGGGGAACCGCGAGTTTTGTCTATATTTTTTAAGGGGGACGATTTCCTTTCCGTTATCCTTTTGCAATGACTGTTTGACGACGAATGTATCAATGAAGACTCTACAAAAAGTATATAAGAGTATATTGGGCAATATAGAAGACTCAATAGATTGGAGTATTTTTTTTTCAACCCTTCTCTAGTTCATGATAGGCCATTTTTTGGACTTTTTTGGGGGGGGGGTTCTCACGCTCTACTATATAAAAGCATTATCATTAAAATAAGGCCAGTGATTGTTACTACCTTATTATATTACAATTATTCTTATACCAAACATTAAGAGGGGAAAATAGAGACAATCATAGGGACATGTCATCAAAACAGGAAAATTCGCAAGTACCATCCTCCAACATCATACCACATATGAAGGGGTCCCGGATGAAATTGGTTGCAATGCCATACTACCGCATCGCACCAAGAACGCCCCCCCCTCCGGCCAAACATTTCAAAATGGAATGAAAACAGAAAAGAAAAAAAAAAAAAAAAAAAAAAAAAACTCCTCAGGGCAGACGACCTTACGCCATAGACATAAACTCAGATTTTTGCACTAAAGCATGATTCATTGCGAGCTCATGATATTGGCAAAGGGATGGCTCCAGGCTACCACTCAACTCGGGGGTCAATTCCTGATTTCACTCCATTGCATCCAATCACCAGCACCGGGGAAAGATTCATACTTGCCAAGTGCTATAACTTTGCGAATGGCAGCCCAGTTCAAGTCACAACTTTCTAGAGGGGAGAGTGTATGAAAAACTATTGGGCGTTTTGGAATTTTTGGAATGTTCAACAGCTTATGGGTTGACTTCCTTGTTACTTGCGACGCTTGGAGCTCTCACGGAGGAGAAGAAGCCGCGTCGCCGGTGTTTCCGTCCGGTGTAGCCAGTCTCCCGCGACTTGCCGACTGAGCCGCCCATGCAGTATAGCAAGCACGAAAGGATGAGACAGGCGACAGCGGTCCACATAAATGCAAACGCCTTCGCTCCAAGCTTGGAAGACTGACCATTAGCGTTGAACTTGTTGCGGCCCTGGACGAAAACAGCGCTAGTGGTAAAAGGTTAGTTTACGACCCTGTCAGAGGGGATTGGACGGCTTAGCGTTGCAATTGCGACTTACGTCATGAGAGAGGTAGTGATAATCTGGAAGACGAGAGCAAGCCATGCCATGAAGGCAGAGATATAGCTTCCAATACGAGTGCACATAGCCAAAAAGCCGGTGAAGAGAGAAATAACACCGAAGAACAGTGCCATGATCAGGAACGGAAAAGTGAACCGCGACGTTAAGAAATAATGGCTCGTTCTGCGCAAAGGTTAGGTGGGTCCTGCAAAATAAGAGCGTGGAAAGCAGCTATGTATTACATACCCAATGAACGCAGACGGGATGTTGGTGGTGGTGTCAAAGTTACGGGGGCTTGGGGGGTCGAAGGGGAAATCTGGGTGAGACTTCCCACATTCGCTTTTGCCATTGCTATTGACAGCACACAGATTCCAGAAAGTCCATCGCGACAGAGATGGCGCCCCGGGGATATTGCTTGTATCTGTCTGGAGGAAGTAGATCACGTTCAACGGGTTACTGTTCCGAGCTCCGCCCAAAAGGGTCAGAAACATCAGCAAGAGAGCTGATGCCGTAAAGAACAGGCCTAAGAAGCCCAACGTAGCCCCTGCAGACCCATAGATCATTAGCGACCACGATCCTTTAAGCGGGAACAAGTTCAGAGGAGAGGATTACTGGTTAGCCCCATGGTGGTGCCCGTGGCCCTAGATGCAGACTCGAGACAATTGCAAGATCTTTGACGGAATTGAAGCTGACCGGGAGAGGAGCGACTATCACAACCTCAAGGGGAATCTGAGATTAAGATATGCTGGAATAGAAGAAGAGAGGAAAGTTCAGAGAAGGCTGGAAGGAATGGAATGTGAACAGGAGCACGAATCTATCCTATTAAAGTGAATACCCGGAGAACCCGGTCGCAGGGTAGGCGACAGGAGGGGAGAGTAGTGATATAATAATGAGGGTACATCATTACCAGAACCTGGGAATCTAAAGTTTTCGGGAGTGGAAAGAAAGAGAAGAAGTCGAGTCTGTCATTGAAAGTTGAAGCGTAAGTTGAAGATCTCAACGTCATCGTTGCACTCGCCCGGCTAGCTGTCCTCGGTTAGCCCAAGTTTAGTTGCTGGCACTAAACCTAATCGAGGATCATCATCAGGTGTCCATGACGTTGGTCGACATCTTCTTGATTTCCCTGCGATGACTGACGTTGCACCACCCTAACTGCTTTTTACTCTTTTCTTGCTTCTACTATTTTTTTTAGGGGGACGGAGATGGGACCTGATACTCTCCTTACCGAACAAGGGTAATCAGATTGAGGTGGACTGCATCCAATTCTCTCTCTCTCCTTTCCGCTATCCACTACGGATCTTTGTCGCAGAGGGCCAGGGGCTGATCTGAGGGGAATTGGATTATCACATCTAAAAGATCTTTTTTTACGGCTCAAGGGACGGAACCAATTTCACAGTAGATAGGTGGAAGTCTTTTGCGTGAGGATCCTCGGATCAACGACGATTATGGCTACTTGGGCATACCCACCCCTCCCTGTGGAGCGTCTGGAACAAGAAGCCGATGCTGCGTTGGTACGTTAGGCGACAACTAACCTCTTCTCTCTCTCTCATTATTCATTGCTGTGATTTCATAATCCGTATCTCTGATCCACTTTTCCCTCAACTACTGGCGTCATCTGGATTTTTTGCTAAGGTTGGAACGTAAACACAGGCAAATGAATTAGAATGGCTGCTGCGCTCGCTGCAAGATTCCCTTGCGTCTCTGAGGGAAGGTCTTCTTGAATGCGCGGCGTTATTAGCTCCAAAGGAACCAGGCTCTACATTGGTCCTCTCCTCATTACGGTCCGAAAATGTGAAGGGCTTTGTCACTCGGGTTGGGACCAAAATTGTGAAGGGGGTACGTCTATCTATAGATGGTATTCCATATTTCCCCATGATCTAACCCCTTTGATACCGTAGGATATCCAGCTACGCCTGAGTTCCCTTAGCGCTGCTCGAAGCACAGCGACAACCCGTCTATGCTTACTGAGCTCGGCTGATGCCCCAGAGCTCATCCTGAGCCAATTGGTCTCGGTTAGAGATCTTGTCAACCAATGTCTTGATATCGTAGATGTTAGCACTTGGACTGGTGACCCACTCGATGCTGGGTTCATATTTAGCCAGCTACATCTTTTACGTGAAACCATTGCCGAAGGGCGGCAGATGTTGAAGGGCGAAACTGATGGAATTAGGGGCAGATGGTGGGAAACTAGTGCACCGGAGAATGTAGGTTTCTCAATGCAGTTCAACCCCAGCCTCCCATTTCATATCTATGCAGCTGCTGATGGTTCAACACAGATGTTTGACCCCCCATTACCACCATGCCTTTCCTTCCATCTATCAATCGCCGATTCAGCTCTTGTACTTTACCTCAGGACTCTGGAATCTACAACTCCAACCCACACTCCAACTGCTTTTGCGTCCGATATCTCGCTCACTGGATTTTCCATACGGGATCGATTATTCGGTCCTCGTCAACGGCCCCATGACGAGGTCGGTGATGTATTTCAATGGAAGGGAGGTGAAGTCAAAGTTAAGGAAAAGGTACGTGTGGAGAGTCAGGACCCTAGTCTTATGGCGGTTATGGCCAAGTTGAGTGCTCTCCAGCATGAGGTCGTCAAGTGCCTGTCGTCTCTGAGAGTATTAATGGGTAATGATGAAGTGGAAAGCGACCTTTCATAGATATATTATGCTGTATTGGCCACTATTACTCTTACCTGTAACAACACTATAGTTATACACTTCCAACTGAGTGCCCTGAGATGACGCTTGGGCCATGTACGTATTATGTAATCAAATAAAATCCATTCCAGCCAATAAGATGACGATAGTTTGAGCGCATGTGTCTTGGCACTAATTTTCCTATTCAGAGCTCTCGATGTGACGGCGAATATTCTTCATCACCCTGGGCCCATTACCTTCATTTTCTGTACGGAGCACGGTGTGAGAATGCTCTCGAGATCTCCGGCATTAAGGGCGAGACGGCCCGGCCAGTATGCTCTTTTCCATCCAACTACCTACAAACCGCTGCACATTGGTTCGCAACAGCTTCGACGCAAAGCCCCGACCCTATCGAATCATGCGCTCATAACGACATCCTCTCGCAAAACAGTGAATCTCCTCTCTCCATTGAATTTTTTGAATCGAAAAGTATCTGAATGTTTCGTTGGTCAAGTCCCAGCTGGAAAGAGGCACAGCTCCACCGCCGCCGGAGATGAGACAAATGGGGAGGAACCGAGTGACCCCATTTACGACTTGATTGATAAAATCAATGCAAATGAGCTTGAAATCGCTGAACGTTTGGAGGAACTTGGATTGCTAGACGACTATGCTGGGGCTCTCAGCCTTGATGGCCCGGATCTCATGCATGAATTCAGTCACGCGACCGGGTCTCAAGACAAACTGACGCTGGAGACGCGAGTGCGAGCGGCCCGACAACAGTTTGGTGAGACTTTGCCGGAGGGGTATTTGAATGAAAAGGAATTATTGCTATATACTCGACTCTACGGTGAGCCTATTGTCAATCAGGGGGACGCGAACCACATCGAGGCGCAGGAGCGACAGCAGGATCAGGACCCCGATCAGCTTCTTCGCGAAGATGGCCGAGGAGGGTGGGAGGTGGTTCCACACGAACAATCAGAATCGCAGCACGATGAGGTACCTGTGGTATACGATATGGAGGTAGGGCCTCTAGAGGAGGAGACTGTTGCAATGCAAAGAACCAGAGAAGTCGCAGAGCAACTGGGTGCAGAAATTATGTTTGAAGGCTTTGAGGACGAAGGGTCGGGGGATTCGACGCCGCGCCTTCATCCTTTAACTGTCGAAGGAAAATTTGGCCCGGGGACTACCACTGTATTTCCACCAAAAGATACTCTGACTGGTCCTATTTCTATCATCCTCTCCGACTATTCCAACAAACATGTCATGGAAACTGCTCACCGCGCATTTGGCGGCAAGCTGCTTCCACACTCTACCACAACTCCGCCTGCACGTGCACAGGTGCCGCAATTACCGATTCCGATGGAAGCATCCCAGCGGTATATGACAGACATGGAGGCTAATGCCTATCTTGCCGTTTTGTATCCGGGAATGTATGCGTCCGCCCTGAGTGTCTTGAGCGAGATCCGAAAACGCCTGGGCTCAGACTGGATCCGCTCTTTGATATCGCAAAAAGAAGGCCCCAATGTTCTCGACGCTAGTGCCGGTGGCGCGGGTATCTTGGCTTGGAGAGACGTTCTTCGTGCTGAGTATGAGCTCATGGTTCCAGATCATCCCAAGACGGCGCCATACCCCTTAGGCAGAGCAACAGTCGTAACCGGGTCAGAATCTCTCCGACTACGTGCCAGTCTAATGCTAGAAAACACCACTTTTCTTCCGCGCCTCCCTGACTACCTTCATATCCGAGACAAACCGACCCTCAGCGACGATAGAGCCCCGCCAAAGAGGAAGCAGTACGACGTTATAATCGCCCCGCATACATTGTTGGGTATTGAGGAAGAATACCTACGAAAGGAATATGTTGAGAACCTTTGGGCTCTTCTAAATCCAAATGGAGGAGTCCTGATCCTCATGGAAAAGGGACACCAGAAGGGATTCGAGGCTATCGCGGGGGCCCGTGAGATGTTGCTCAAGCGCTACATATCGAGCCCCGGTTCCACAGAATACGAAAACTTGACTCAATCACCTGACGAGAGCACACACGTTCAAAAGGAACCTGGCATGATTATCGCCCCTTGCACCAACCATGAGAAATGCCCTATGTATCAAATGGATGGACATTCCAAAGGTCGCAAAGACTTTTGCCACTTTGAGCAACGGTATATTCGACCTCCATTCCTGCAGCGCATTATAGGCGCCAAGGACAGGAACCACGAAGATGTAAAATTCAGCTATCTTGCTGTCCAGCGTGGCATTGACCTGCGGCAGACAGAGGGTATTACCCAGGGAGTCCAAGCTACAGATGTCGCGTTTGAAGGTTACGAGCATCTGAATGAAATGGCCGAAGAGTCAGAGGCTATCGAGTCGGGAACGCAATCTCCCCCCGGAGATGAACAGACGTTCCACACCCTTTCCCTACCTCGTGTTGTATACCCTCCTATGAAACGCCGTGGGCACGTCATTATGGACCTTTGCACTCCATCTGGCCAAATCGAACGCTGGACCGTCCCTCGTTCATATAGCCGGCAAGCATACAAAGACGCTCGCAAATCCGGATGGGGAGACTTATGGGCTCTTGGTGCTAAGAGTCGCATTCCAAGAACCCTGAAGCTCGGCGATAAGCACGGGGAAGGAAAGAAGGAAAGATTGGCTAGGCGCGCAGCCCAGAAAGCAGAATTGGATGAGGAAGACGGTGAGATTGGCGATGGGTCTTCTGGGCGCGATCTGTCGAACCCCCTACTGGACCTCTCACTTCCGCCGAGAAAGAAGGGCCAGAATATCCCTAGCTGGAAGAAGCACGCAGATAAAAAGAAGGTCCGGCAGGCGTCGAAAAAGTACTCCGCCTCGAAGATGCAAGAAGATATTGAATAGTTATCCACCGGGTCCTTTTTATCTAGGGGGTTGACTACTTTTTTTGAGAGGTCATGGGCGTCTACGTGGGCGTGTATTGGATTTGAAATTATTCGGTCAAAGGCATAAATGAGGGGTAGGACAAGGCTATCATGTATTATATATGTAAAATAGGCCGGAGGCCATTGTAAATCACAGCTATCTTATATATCTTTAATTGAGCTCTTCACTCGAGTTGTTCCTGAATATGAGCTGTGTCCATTCAATGTCTCGTAGCCTCATTAGGTGTGGCGGCAGCCAGAGAGGATTACTTTATCTTGGGAGTAAAACTAGCCGACAGTAGCTACCGGGACATTCCCGTAGGAAGCTACCCTGTACCATTTGTAATTCCCAAAGAAATCACTCCATGCAAGTAGAAGAGACTTGCCGTGAGTGTTCTCATCCCCCCGCTTAGTATTCTGCGGCTGGGCTATCCACGATCATGCCGCGGAAAGTCCCAAAAAGCGGGTTGCAAGAATTGCTCTTAGGCTAGTGAAAAAGAATTCCTTCCAGTCGTGAGAGAGAGTCTCAAGTATTAAAAACTTCCCATCGATGCAGCGGAAGGTAGATGGGCCGGGCCCTATCTTCAAGCCGATCCACGGGGTCTCAATCACTGAAATGCCATGCTCTTTCTGAGCTGGCGCTCCCTCTGCCTGCTCTGTAGCTCCAAGCGCTCAACGGTATACTTGAGGCGCTCTTTCTTCTGTACTAATCTTCTCAACTCAGCCGCTCTTGCTGCGGTGCTGCCACCACTCGCTCGTTGTCCCAGAGCACTGTTCTGGGTACGATTCGAACTTTGTCGGTTTTCGTTAGAGTAAAGTCTTCCCTCCTGTAATTCGCATTTAGCTCGAAGGCCCTGCTCGCGACGAGAGAGCTTTTCCACGTGGTTCGAGGCGAGGGATAGTAAGTGTGCGATGCTTGGAGTGATTTCGTCGAGTAAGGATTGCTGTGCTTCTCGTAGAGTAGGCTCTGGCAGGAGTTCAAAGTGCTGTAGGGGAATATCCGTCAGAGCTTGCGTTTGAGAAGTAAGGATTTTGTCCAGGATGTAGGCGAACTTACTCGCGTTGTCTGGAGAACTTTGCAAAGTCGGGGGAAATCGCTAACCCCGGAGTCGAGAATCGAGATCGAGGAATCAAGAAGCCCAAGGGACGACTGGAGGGAAGCGACAGAGGAAGATAGAGACGCTGCCATGATTGAATATTTGAAGAGCAAGGAGACCAAGTGGTTACGGTACAATGAAGTTAAGCTGGTGCTGTATGTTGGAGGGGGGTTTGACTAAAGCGGCAACGGTATGCCCGCCTTAAAGCGGCCAGTCCTCGGGCTTCCGGACAAACCTCGTTGCATCCGTTCCTGCTCGTCGCTCCCTTCTCCCGCTTCATCAACTCCCAACTCGTCCTCCAAACAGCACTTCGCGTGGAACTATACCAATTGCCACCATGTCTGTCATTCCCAAGAAGTTCCCGACCCCTGTCGGTAAGTTGCTCCCGCCTTTGAATTCCGTTGGCATTGCAGCCAGAGACCATATGGTGAAACTAATCCGATTACCTCAATACAGCCAAGCCCATGGGCCCCTTCTTCGCTGCCGGTATGTACAACAATACTTTCTCACGGAGATCATCTTGAACCGAAAACTATTATCTGTAATCCGGAACATTCGGAGTCTGGTTCGTGGAATAATGGGTTGTTTATTAACGTCGGCTTTGGTACAGGTCTTGTCGTCCTCTACGGCGTCAACTCCTTTGCCAACCTCCTGATGGGCAGTGAGTCACCCGGTTCTTTTCAATTCCACCTAAGTCGGGAAGAGGATGCGAAATGCATTCCATTTCAAATGACAACTTGAAAGCGACTCCATAGCTAACCCCGGATATTTTCACTCTAGCCGCCGAGTTCAAGAACGACCCCCGCAACCCCAACGCTAAGAACTCCAAGCATTAAACGGATTGAAAGAGGATTGATGAATACTGAAACGGCACGGGTGATGGCAATTGATGTGTGGTGTTTCACCACTGGAATTTGATATGTTGCCGCTTATTTTCAGGTTGCGAACGGATTCCCTGTACAGGCATATAGAACCTACTCGTCATAGAACATATTGACGAATTGACAAGTTGTACCACTACAAATCCTATATTTTTTCTCTAGCCTCGCCCCTATACCGTTGATGGGAGTATAACACCACCTTCTCGCGCTCCTGGTCTCATAAAGTGGGCCATTTCAGATCCCAACCCAGCATCGGAAAGAGTACTTCCAACAGGATTTATTTATCCGCTTGGTATATTCATCCAATGCAACCATACTCGGATTGCCACTGCTCCATCCCCAGCGTTTTGCTGCGAGGGCAGTTACAACTTGGTATTCTAGTAGACTAGAGTGCTGGTCTCAGAGCTCCCAGCCCGGCTGCAATTCAAAGGCATGAAAGTAGGCTTTCCAGCTACCTATTAAGGAGAACCAGTGCCATTTGGAAAGGAAGAGCAAGCAGACTCTAAGCCTAATGATAAGGAGCATCAGAGCATCAACCATAATCTGCTACGGCCCAAGTAGGGAAAGTTATCATCCACCATAAGATACCATTACTTTGAAGGCAATCCTGGTAGCCCATTGCCCCCAAATTAGTGAAATCTACCATCTAACTCTTCTCTTTTTTGCGAAAAGAAAATTCTGTTGTGATGGAGGATATCGGATTGACCAAAAGTACGCTAGTCCGTTTAAAGTATACAGTCTTCCCGTGACTCCTCCGGCGCTTCATCGAAACCTCCGACAAGAGAATCTCCAGAGCTTTGATTATTCAATCCAAACCAGAATACCAGAATACCAACCAGTACTTAGCACATTCATCATGTCGCACTTCAGAGCGAAGACATTAGACCTTGGCGGCTTCATCAACGCCCGCATCATTCGCGACCACACCAAGCGCAAGGTCTTCGAGCAGTACGAGCCTGAACGGTACGATCGATCGATGACCCTGGATTCCGTGCAAATTATATGCTCCGGTTCCATCGTGATGCGACATTTTCTTAGACAGGTGAATTCTAACGGATGTGGTTTTACTCTCTAGACAAGCTCTCCGCTACATCATCCGCAACACGACTCTTCCTCAGCGTGTCCGTGCCCAGGCCCAATTGCAGCTCTCCCAGATGCATGCCTACACTCGCCCTACACAGATCAAGAACCGATGCGTTGCAGGTGGTATCGCCAGGAGTGTGATACGGGACTTTAGAATTGCAAGAGTAAGGACCATACCCTGTTCGATTTGCGGTGGCCATCTCAAGTTGATGATGAAACTAATGTCGGATTTTGCTTCTCTAGTACCAATTCCGCACACAGGCTTTGGCTGGTGAGCTGCCAGGCGTTAAGAAGGCGAGTTGGTAAATGTTTTATAAATACTGGGTTGAAATTGGTTTGGCAATGTTTGGCTAGCTGGCTTGCACGAAAGGCGTTTGTTCTACTACATACCTCCCGACGGATTGTACAATAAATTAGAAGGGGTTTGAATTGAATCCCCTATTAACAGAAATCATCCTTGATTCAGTCAGTTGCTCTTTCCAATTTTTCTTCAACCTCTCCGGTAAGTATGGGGTGTTTTCAGCCTGATGGTAGGGCCTCAAGGAATGGAAATTGGTTGAATATCTCACCCATTGAACAGATAAATGGAAGAATCTCTTGTGAAGAATAAATAGCCTTCGATTCGTCAATATTCATTCACTCTAGTTGCAAACCCATGAAATTTCTTGTTTGCAGTTTTCTCCTATCAGGCCTTGTTTGTTTCTTCCTTCTTCTTCTTCTTCTTTTCGCTACTTCGATCAGTTCTCCATATCGCTTCACTCTGCCCTCCTCTTACACCCACTCTCTTCGAAAACACAACTAAGGATCATCTGGCTAAAAAGATATCGGCTTCGTTTGCACTATGTTCGTTTTTCGTCGGGAGGATCTCCCACCAGATCCAGTGTTCCCTGCAGACTTGGAAAAGCTGGGGTAAGGCCATGGCAGGAATTCGCTACAAAGTCGGCTCGAACTACTGACGAGGCATTCACATTCTAGATATTTCATTAATGAAAACGATCAGATTAAGAAGATATCCGATCCAGAGCAGGATTTCCAGTTCAAGGTCAACAAAAACCCTCGCTGGAATGAGATGCAACGAGAAGCGATGAATGGTAAGTCATCCAAGGCCTAGCCCGTTTGACATGATATGACACAGTTTCTATGCTCGTAAGGATGTTCAATTGGGGAACCCTAATTGCCAATATAGAGTGCATCCGCAATATAGTGTCAGCCCGCCTGCGAAACTTGGGACTTGCCCTGTTACAGCTCCCCCTCCACTCTCAGCCCAAAACACCGCGTGTCCCAATCTTGGTATCAAAGAACCTGTCCACTGCCTCTCGAATTATTTTAGTATTTGGAGAACCGGTGCAGGATCTCGGCATCTGGGCATATCGCGTCGTTGGCACTGAAGGCATAAATGCTGGCTCGGCAGTGTCTCTGGCCGAGGCTATCTTTAAGCCAAATCCAGGCGGTGATGCCACAAAAGCACACAACTATTCGAAAACTGCACTTGTGCTTGCAAATACCGGGCAACTTGTGTGGCACTGCGCATCGGGGCGAGCAGTGACTCTTCCATCGTGGTCATCATTGGCCCGGGACTCAGCCGTCGACCCTCCCCCCGTCATGACATGGCGGAACGAAATTCCTCACAATAGAAACTGGCAAGAACATGTGGGCTGTGTTTTCAATGAGGTTCTAGCGGCCCGGGGGAAATTTGTCAGAAAGGATATCAAAATCGATGTCATCGGTTTGGCTGAAGGAGGACTCGGCGCGATTCGATATCTGGCGAACAATTGCAAGTGGTTTTTATCTTAACTCCCTTCTTTATGGATGTATGTATATGTCTCCTGCGTCTCTGGCTGACTAGAACATGGCATTAGGGAACTCGTGGAGTCCATATATATCCGCTATTTGCTTATCCAACCCGCTCCATACCTCGGAAAGAGATTTGATGGGGCACGACACAGAATTATCTCAATCGTCGTTTGCCGCATTTTTAGCTTCACGTTGCCGTGCATATCTCCTCTCTCCTCACCCTTTAGGTTTCCCATTGTCTGACACCCAGAAGCATGGATGTAACTGTTATTCGTCCGGAGAAGAACTCTACGAGGAGTGTATCATGCCAAAGGCCTGGAAGCATATGATAGGATGGTTGAATTGGACCTACGAGGACCCAGACCGGTGCGAAGAGCAGCTTGAGGTCAGAGAGGTGGATCCAAAGATATCCGAGGTGGAGTAGGAGTGAGGTGCAGGAGCTTCAACGCATTTCTTAGTCTTAGGCAAGCAGCAGGCCTGTTTTACTAGATCATTATCTGTGGACGGCACCAAGCAAAATCACAAGTCACAAATCACAAATCATTTTATAGCTCATCATGCTGTTACTCCGTACGTAAACATGTGAAATAGCCTCATCGCTTCCCTTGTACCTCTTCCAGGTTCCTTTCCCCTCGTCTTTCGAAATCAAGATCCAATTTCAATATACTTCTTCGTGATAGCTCGTTTCCAATCTTCAAGCGAAATTGCTTTTCCAGCATACGGTATCGTCCCATTCTGGAACGACTAGGAATTCATGCGGGGGACACGCTGTGCGGAGGAAGTGCCTGATGAGATCTCTTTCTTGGGGCAGTATTCTCTTGGTGTCCACGTCTAAAGCTTCATTCGAAGACTGAGCATAAAGGACCCAAAGATTGATCTCATTGATTTCAGCTATCTCCTTCGGAGACTTGGTGTTGTTCAGCATTTCTATCTCGCTCCTGATCTGCTGAGATCGTTTTCGGTCTGTGCCGCAACCAAACGGCCCTCTTATGTATGTATCCAAGAGATCCTGGATACCATTCTCTTTGAAGAACAAGATTTTAGCGATCGCCCCCCATCTTCCGCCACGTTGAATGTCGAATCTTGATGGTGCGGTCACAAATCTCCACACAAATAACAGTAGGTGCTGGCAAGCAATATTGGCCAGGTTTGCGTCTAATCCACTATCGATGATGTACTTTCCCAGACGTTCCAGATACTGGCCACATTGTTCCAGGAGGCCTGCTATACTCTCGAAAACCCCCTGGTATCCCTGGTATGTGTTAATGACAAAAGTCAGGGCATTGAAGCATAGCTCAGACGGTCCCAAGACCTGATTTTTTTTGATTTTTTTTGACTTTTTTATCCCTGGAAATCAGCAAAACCCCTTCATATACTCATATTATTACTGGCTCGCAAAGGGTAAGAGGCATCGAATGAAACTAAACACTTGCATTGGATGCGGCTCCAGCAATAATCCCCCCTTTCTAGCCCAAGATGTGAGTGGCTCACGCCGTGAGACGACAACAAGCAATTATATTGTACAGAGAAGCAAACCCATTCAAAACAGCAAGGATATATATAAAAAAAAAAAAAAAAAAAAAACAGGTTATAATACAGGTGATCTTCTGAAAGGATCTACCGACCCCGTCACCAGCTCAGTCTGCATGTTGGAGCCAGCACGGGTATACGCCATTGCGTTCTTCGCGATAGCATCCGCCACCATATTCCCAGGGATCTTTTGGTGCGCCGGGACCCAGCGTAGCTCCAGCTCAATGCCCAACAGCCTGAGCGCGGCGAGCTTTTCGGAAATCGCGGGTATTACCTCCCACAGCGAGTCAGCTGGGCTCTTGAGGTATTCGGAGATCCTGCGCAGGGCCCCCTGGCAATCCGAGAAAAGGACTATCTTCTTCTTCTTCTTCGCAAACTCGGGAACTGTATTCACTCGCTCCAACGCAATGTTTAGGCCGGCTTCGATACCGTGTAGCTCTGCCTGCTCGATGTTTGCGATGTTCGGCAAATGGACCGCGCTGCAGGTCCACCCAGCAGGCTCGGATGAATCTTCGTAGACAGCGGATGCACCGGCGCCGACTGTGATAGGCAATGAGGGTAGGGATGATGGGGATGATGGAGATGATGAGCAGGGGGATGATGGGGATGAGCTGGGGGATGAGAGCTTTCCTAGAACCGACCCATCCGTCCACACTAGGAACAAGCTCTCGAGATCTGGTGCGATCGTTGCAAAAGCCAACGCTGCAGATCTGGGTTCCACGATAATGTTCGGGAATCCGTCATACAGCAGCAGCTGTGTTTGTACCGTGGGCTCGCCGGTGCGGGTGGTTCCTGAAGAGTGTTGGCGTCTCCGGAGTCTGGCTTTATTCCGGCTTCGGATGCTTTTATTGCTTCCCTTTGCCATGGTATATATATTTAGTCCTAGCCGTTAGTCCGTTTTCAGTCGAGATTATGATGGTTCGGTTCTTTTGTGGGGTGGTTGTTGTTCTGCAGACTTGCACAGAAGATGTACCGATCTATATAGATGACTCGGGATCAACTGAGGACTAACGGCATCCAAGAAGGATAGATCAAGATTCGAGGTTTTATTAGAAGTCAATATAAAGATGGGATATATATGTAAAGGTTGAAAATAATGACTTTTGATGAATATTGAGTTAAAACGGGATAAGAACGGAGGCCTTGGGTGAGGCATAAGTGGTGATGAAGAACCGGGAGAGCAAAAAAGTGCCCTAAAGAGTCATCTTAACGAGGTCAGACTGAGTTAGCATATACGTAATTCTCGATCATTCTCATCTTTGGCATTCATTACAACATCGGGTTCTCACGGCAGTGCCCTATTTGGAATATCAGCGGTCATGATGAGACAACGCAGCCAGGGCTTAATTCTCCCACAGACTCGCTTTCAGGTCTCGTTATCCGTTGCATATGGCGGTTGAACCGGAACAAATATTCCCTTGAATATGCCCTCAGTCCTGCAAAGAGAATGGACTCCAGCCGAGTCGGAATCAGATTAGGGTACCCAACATCACCAAATACAAAGTGAGTAGAGGTTAGGAAATACTGGAGTCAATAATTTACTGGACTAGAGGCATCTCAACAGGGTTAAAGGCTGATTTGAATTAAATGAGACAGATCTTCTCTTCGATACGGAGTACCGCTGGGAACTACGTATAGCCCCGGGTCTTCGAAAGCTCCAGACTTGTATACTGCTGCCTTCTCCTGTCAGTTTTGGAGAAAATTCTTGATCGATCCTCATCATTCGAGTGAGCTGCTTTGAAAGGAGCAAGCTTCCGTATTCTCGTCTTGCGTCCAGTGCCTTATTGAATGCTGATTTTGAGCAAGAGATCCATATTCATACTTGGGAACTTTAGTTGAAGCGAGTTGTGATTGGCTCACTACCGAGGCCACGTGACCGGCGGAACGCAGTTTATCCGTGTCTGATTATAGTTAATCCGCTCCGGTGAGATCCCGCTAGTAAACGGTGCCTCAGGCGTGACTATAGCTGGCATGACTCTATATCTAGCATCATCTCGATGTCATTTTAAATATCCATCCTTGATGCTACCTGACCGATGGCGACCTCGAATACCATGGATCCTGACATTCAAAAGCTATTTTAAGGGGCCTTCCCCCCTGATCAGTCTTTCAATCAGCATCTTCTTTCATCTCTAAATTCACTCCGTCATCGTCTATCAACCAGTTCAGTTATCGCTTTTCATAATGTCGAAGCTTCTTACAGTCTTTGGTGCGACAGGAAAACAGGGTGGCTCTGTCATCCGCGCTGTTCTTGCCGATCCTACGCTGTCCAAGGAGTTCAAGATCCGTGGAATCACTCGGGATGTCTCTAGGCCAGAGGCTAAGGCTTTGGCAGATAAAGGCGTTGAGGTGATCAGTGTATGTACTTCTCGGATGCCACCTTTTTTTTTCCCTTCAAAACATCGAAAATTAACAATAATCCCCAGGCGGATATGACCTCCGTTGATTCCCTGGTGAAAGCCGTGACTGGCTCTCACGCCGTCTTTCTAGTGACGACCGCTACCTATGGCGTGCAAGGGTCTGAGCTGGAACTAGTCCAGGGGAAAAATGTCACGAATGCCGCCAAAATGACCGGTGTGCAACACCTGATTTTCTCCTCGTTGCTCAACATCACCGAGACGTCTGGTGGTCGACTCAAGAACGTCCCTCACTTCGACCACAAGGCCCAGGTGGAACGTTATATTCGAGACCAGAAGGTGCCCGCCACCTTTGTGCTACCCGGATATTTCATGAGCAATTACTCGGCCATTCCCATGCTGCGCAAGGGAGAAGACGGTGTCTTTACCCTAGCCTATCCTGTCGGCGATGATGCCAAGTTCCCTCTGATTGATATCGAGACTGATATGGGTGAGTAGAAGTTCAATATACACAGCATATATATATATATATATATATATTTTGGTTGATGTGTACTCATGTATCATGATAGGTAAATACGTTGCTGCGGCACTGAAGAACCCTTCCAAAACCCAGGGCTCCCAGATTCTCGCTGCAACAGATTACTATACGCCCAAGCGCATCCTCTCCGAATTCGAAGAGGTGACTGGAAAGAAGGCCCGGTTTGTCCAGGTGGACTCGGAGACCTACAAAGGATTTAATCCTGGCCAAATGGGGTTGGAAATGCTGGAAAACCATCTCTTCGTGGAGAACCCCGGGTACTATAACGGTCGTAGCCTGAAGGAGAGCCATGATCTCTTGACCGAGGCTGGTTACAAGCCTACCACTTGGAAGGAGTTCCTGGAACAGCATAAAGCGGCTTTCAATTAGGTCAAGAGGTATTTGCAAGTGTGTTCTTTGTTCCAAAACATTCTCGGCGACTTAGGCCCCAGATTGCACACACATGGCTCTAGCTATCAATGTTGCAGAAATTGACAAGTCTTTTTTTTTTTATATAAAATTTGGTGCTCCTCCCCTTGTCTTCGGTCTCTAAACGCCCTTGGGAGAGGAATAGTAGAATATAAAGAGAAGCTGGATAGCTTCAGGATCTCCTAATCGCGGAAGCCGCTCCTCCGTCCAACCGGACTAAAAGATATCATTCGCTAGCGGGATTAATACATAGTACGGAGGACACCGTATCCGGAGTAGGTGGATGCAGATCGTCAACAATTACCTACAATCAGACCGGTTGTCGCACGGAGGACGCCGACAAGTCGTCGTAACAGGAAAAAAGGGTTAGCCGGTGACGGATCCCGGAGACGTCCGATAGAGAGAACCGTGGACTATTAAGATTCAAAGAATGTGAATGTGGCTGTGGCTGTGGTTCCGAATTCGCTTTCTTCTGTGGCCGTGAAGAACCCCGAATAGGAAACCGTGAGGGTATTCAACCAGGTTCGATGATATCTGGGGAGGCGTCGAATAGAGACCAGACAGATATAAGAAAGAAAAGGTCTCGAATGAATATTAAATTGTTTGAAATGTTGAAATGTTGAGAATAAGAGTTAAGAAGAGTATTCTGGGAAGTGGCTCTGCTTTGGTGGATCCAAATTCAGACCCGGGGAAAAAAAAAAACCATCCAGAGTTTTTTTTACTCGATGAATTCCAGACTCTGAATATATCTATATATATATATAGAAAAAAATCTTCTTATCTTCTTGTGGCGTCAAATCAACTCGCGTTCTTTTCTTATCTTTTCCTCTTTATCTCTCTCTCTCTTTTCTCTCTCTCTCTCTTCTCTCTGGCTTCCGTCGCTGCTGGCTGGCTTTTTCTTCTTCCCTCCTCTCGAGTCCTGGTTTAAGCCTCTTCCTCCCCAGAAAACCCTGGACTAGTCATGGACTCCCCCCAGATCCCCTCCTCCATCGCCGTGTTTACCTCCACGCGCGCCGTCATTTCAGGTCGTCTCACTTCCGCCACTATCGTCGTCTCCCGGACTACCGGCAAGATCACCGCCGTCTTCGACTCGGTCATCCCCGCCTCGGACTTCCCGGACGGTACCCCTTATACGGACTTTTCTCCCTATGTCCTGCTTCCCGGCTTGGTTGATGCCCATGTGCACCTGAATGAGCCTGGCCGCACTGAATGGGAGGGCTTCTACACCGGCACCCAGGCGGCGGCCTTTGGCGGTGTCACCACCGTCGTCGATATGCCTCTCAACGCCATCCCCCCCACGACCACCGTCGCCAACTTCAAGGAGAAGCTGCGCGCCGCCGCCGGCAAGTGCTGGGTTGACGTGGGCTTTTATGGCGGCGTCATCCCCGGAAATGCGGGTGACCTGAAGGCGCTAGTCCAGGAAGGCGTTCGTGGCTTCAAGTGTTTCCTTATCGACAGTGGGGTGAGTTGCTTTATCTTTTCCCTGCGTTCTTTCGTAGCGCGCTGCCGTCTGTTGTTCGTTCATGCTAACTCCCGATAGGTCGACGAGTTCCCAGCTGTCTCTTCGGAGGATATCCGAAAGGCCATGATCCAGTTAGCCGATGAGCCCACCACCCTCATGTTCCATGCTGAGATGGTGCCTCCCATGGCCTCATCGGAGGACCAGGCTGGGGACCCCCACGGCCCCGTCGAGGCATATTCCACCTTCCTGGCATCTCGCCCCTCGTCCTATGAGACATGCGCCGTGGAGGAGATACTATCCCTGTCCCCTCTGGCGCCCAAGCTCAACCTGCACATCGTCCACCTGTCCGCCATGGAGGCCATCCCACTCTTGCGCATGGCCCGTGCAGACGGTATCCCCATCACCGCCGAGACATGCTTCCACTACCTCTCCCTAGCCGCGGAGGAGATCCGCGACGGAGACACCCGCCACAAGTGCTGCCCGCCCATCCGCTCCAAGATGAACCAGGATGCCCTCTGGACCGAACTCGAGCGCCACGCCGACGACGGTGTCATCAAGACCGTTGTCTCGGACCACTCTCCCTGTACTCCCAACCTCAAGCTCCTCCCCGCCGACATCCCAGGCCACTGCTCCACTTCCACGTCCGCTAAGCCATCTGCTACCGCCACGACTACCGCCCCGGTAGTAAACGAAGGCAGCTTCATGTCCGCCTGGGGTGGGATCTCCTCCGTCGGCCTGGGCTTGCCCATCCTCTGGACCGAACTGAGCCGGCGCCAGGGCCTTACCTCCTCGCCCACAGACACAAACACCAAGCAAGCCCTACAGGACATTGTGCGTCTATGCTGCGCCAACACCGCCGCCCAGGTCGGTCTTCAGAAGACCAAGGGTGACCTGGTGCCCGGCTACGACGCAGACTTCTGCGTCTTCGACGACACCGCCGAGTGGATTGTGGAACCCAGCACCATGCTCTTCCGCAACAAGTGCTCGCCTTATCAGGGCCGCAAGCTGCGCGGTATGGTCCGGGAAACCTGGCTGCGTGGCGATAAGATTTTTGGCCGTGAGGATGGCTTCTGCATCAAAACTCCCACTGGATCTTTGCTTCTGGAGAAACGGGTTTGATTGACCCCTTTCCTCCCTTCTGTGCTGACTGGACTACCCCTGCGTATGTCGAACCCACGAGCGCCATTGGGGATGGAAAGAAAACAAGCCAAAGCAACTCGAAACGAACCCCCTTTCAAAAAAAAAAAAAAAACAAAAAAAAAAGACTGATGATACCCGCTACTGATGACCACTAATGACCTGGACAGCAGCATATCGGCGCATTTTTTTCTTTTCTTTTCTTTTCTTTTCTTTTCTTTTCTTTTCTTTTCTTTTGCATTGCAATACACAAGCACAAGCAGCTTTGATTCTAATTTAGCCTTTTTCTTCTGGTTTAGACATGCATTAGAGGGAATACCATATTTGTTGATACTTCAGTTTTCCTCCCACACATGTCCAGTTGTAGAGTGCATTCAATCTGCGTAGACCCATCGGTGGAGGGGGAAAAAAGATTCTTATTTCCCAGGTGGTATGCTTTGAGTTATCATACATATCGAACCCTGAATATAATCGTCGCAAAGGACTTGTAAAATGACGAAGACCAAGGACGAGCCGAGCCTGTATTTAGAGTCAAATGAGCAGGTTAACTTACACCCAAGTTCACCACCCGCCTTGATTCGTTTTTCTTGATCTCTTCCTCCCCCTCCTCCCACTTTTCGCGAACTCTCCTTCTCAATCCGCCATTCGGTCCTCGGCCCCAGATCACCTCTCCCGTCTCAGTATCTTGTCCTTCTTCTTCTTCTTCTTCTTCTTCTTCCTCTTTTTGTTCTTCGCCAGCCAGCCGAGGAGTCTTCTCAGAATCCCCCTTCCTGCCAATCTCCTCCCTACCCACAATTTCCTTCCGCTCCCTCACTCTCCTCTCGCGAGATCGAGCCTGCTCGATCTTCCCAAGGTAAATTGCATAAATAAGCACCTCTGCGACCCCCACGCCCAACGCGGCAAAAAGCGATAGCAGCACGCGAACGGGCTCCGACGCACCAGCACCAGCGCCACTGCCTCGACCTTGATACGCCGCTGTGCGGTGTGCTGTAGCTCCCGAAGACCTATGCCATAAGGATGAAATCCCTGTGATGAGAATATCCGGCGTGTGGAATTTAGTCAGGGCCCAGTAGACGCTAAACCCCGTGATCAGGACGGAGAGGAAGATGTTAAGCACGAGGGATGGGGTAAGCGGGTCGGCGGAGTTGGTTGCGTCAGTGCTGGTGGATTTTGCATCGTGCAAGGCGGCGACAGTAGGTGAGGAGGACGAAAATATGGCTGAGGCTGAGGGCCCGGTTGGTGTGGGCGAGGTCATGCGGTGGTAAGCGTCCGCTTCGGCGGCGGCAAGGAGACGGGCTTTTAGGGCGAGGTATTCCGGGCTCTGGTTTCCGTTAGCATCCACAGCTATATTACAGTCCAGACATAACTATGATGTGAACGAAAGGGTGGCATACTGGCTCGGGTTTCGGTGGCGGCGGAGGGATGTAGATTCTCATCCCGCGAAGGAGAGCATCCAAGCTTCTATCCTCGTCATTTGCATCGTTCGTGTGATTGTCTCGAAAAAATCGCGAGATCCGGATCACTTGATCGTGGGATATGGGTTCCCCGAGAGCCAGGGAGTCTGGAAGCTCCAGATTCTCCCGGGAGGATGAGGAGATGGCGTCGAAGGCGGCGAGGATGGGTTTGGTGGTGACTAGGAGGACCATGATGATGATGATGATGATGTTGTTGTTATTATGGGAGACGTGGGATTCAGTCCATATTGTACAGACAAGTCCAGCCACACCATAGCTGATCTATAAAGATGGATGGAAAAGATGAAGCCGTGTAGAAGCAGAAGAAGAAGAAGCAGAAGAAGAGAGAAGAAGGTCCAAAAGCCACCTTTCCCGAACAGGCAATCAACTCCCCCACTCGCACGCAGTTCTATCAAAAGACGACTTCAGCTGTCTTTTCTTTCCATCATCCTCTCTTTCACTTCCCTCCTTTACTCATTCATACCAGTTCGTGGGCCTGCCTGCCCTACCAAACAATGGCAGACAAGAAATCAACCTCGTCAGTCTCCGAATCCATCCAATCCCCCCCCCCCCCCCCCCCCCCCCGCCTCTTCTAACAACCCACTAGAACAGAAACAAACCCCCGCGGTATCCCCGTCGCTCCCTTCGTCGACAATGTCGCCGAATACGTCTCCTCCCGCGCAGAGGTCGAACCCACCCTGCGCTCCTTCCAGGAGATGATCTCCAAGTACCAGTTCATGGAAGTGAACACCCAACGACGCGGGCAGGGGCTGCGCGAGAAGATCCCAGATATCAAAAAGACCCTGGAGATGGTGAAATTTCTAAAGATGCGACGAGATGTGAGTTCTCTCTCACCTTACCCCCTTCATTTTTCTTTCCCCCCCCCCGGCATAAGACCTACTACGCATGGCTGCCTCATCCATCATCTATCCCAGACAGAGAAACGGGATATTATGGCTAATATTCTGGTTACAATGTCAAAATCTAGAATAATGGCGACGCCCTCGAAACCAACTTCGAACTAAACGATACCCTATACGCGCGCGCTACCATCGATCCCGCAGACACAGAGGAGGTTTACCTCTGGCTCGGTGCAAATGTCATGCTTGCGTATCCGATTGACGAGGCCGAAGCCATGCTCGATGAGAAGTTGAGTGTGGCCGAAACAACCCTAGCACACTGTGAGGAGGATCTAGAGTTCTTGCGCGAGCAGATTACAGTACGTTTTCTCTTCCCTTGCTCCCCTTCTTTCCTTACACTTCTATGTCGACTAATTTGAAAAAAAAAAAAAAAGACACTAGAAGTCGCCACCGCTCGCGTGTATAATTGGGATGTGGTGCAGAGGCGAAAAGAAAAGGCTGAGGGGACGGAAGCGATTAATGAGAACACACAACGGGCAGCATAGTGGTTAAGTAGCTGGCTACGTACCTTACTTCTGCCCATCGCCATCTTTTTGATCTAAGCTCTCTGTGGGTATGGTGCTTTAACTGGACTAGATATGAACCTCTTTTCCCTATGTAGTCTCTGGCAGCCCAGAGGATAAATTTTGGCAAAACATGCTGGACGACTTGAGTCTATTTGATAGGCAGGAGCTTACTGACACTGCGTTGTAGGAGTGGGCGTATTGACCAGCGCAGTGCTCGCGACTTCAACAATACTGGCTCCTTGCCAAGTAAGAGAGATATGTTTTTACATGAATTAAATAAATAATATGAACCCCGATGGAGGCGGGAGTGAAGCAATTTAAGTATTCGATCGCCGTTCTCCCTGTTATATAAACCAGTCTATCAGAAGCAAATCAATATCAAGCTCGCTCTAGATGATCAAAGGAAGGTGTATCAGGAACATATCAACCCCCATAAACACTGGGAATGAAATCAATGTATAAATGCTCAATGCGAAACAAAGTAGAATCATAACTTGCAACCCAGGTTCACTCCTGCAGAGCAGGGTTAGACAAGGAACAGCAACAAAGGAAGAATCATGGATTAAAAACCATAGCACATCAAGAGCTAACTTTAGATGGAAAAAATTCATCAATCATGAAGTAGTCAGGCGGAGGCCCCATGGAGCTCAAACGCTTTACCTACCAAGACCCCTAAGATTAGGGATATCTGAGAAAAGTCGTTCGGGTAAATTCTCAGCATCAGACACTGCTCGGTCTCGCACACGCTTCGAGATGTCAAAATCCGCGTCGTCTCCAACAATTGTCCAGTCCTCAATGTCAGCAGAATCGTCGTCTGCATCTTGCTCATCTCCGGTCTTGGCTGATGGTGTGGGAGAGAACGGCGTGGCCGAAAGAATCGACCGCTGTCGAGCCAGGGTTTTGGCGTACTCCAGATCGCGATAGATAGCTTGGATAGCAGTTGCCACGCCATCCTCCTACATGATATTAGTGACCGCATAACATAACATACCTCGCTGATAGATGAGGATGGACAACTTACGCTTCGAATCCGCGCCCCTAACTCTCTGGCCCTCACAATCATCCGCTCACTATGAGTGACTTCCCACAGAGCCCGAGAGAACACACTGACATTCAGCTTCTTCATACATATCCCTACTCCAAGGTCCTCTACCCGTGTTCCGAAGAAGAACTGATCACCAAAGAAAGGCTTGATGATGGTTGGAAGGCCCGCACGGAGACTCGCCCCTGTAGTTCCTGCCCCACCATGGTGTGCAACAGCATCTATCTGCGAGAAGAGCCAGTCATGCGGAACTGCCTGGATTTGATATATCTCGGGCGGTAGAGGAACCTCGACCTTGGCGCTTGTTGGATCCCCGAGCCGAGCGGACCACCCTTTCGAGAGAATACAACGGACATCCGCCTTCAACACAGATTCGATGACGGTTCTAGTTAAGGCAGAAGGGTCCGACACAACAATAGAGCCAAAGCCTACATAGACCACCTTTTTCCCGTCCTTTCGGGCACGCCGAATGAATTCCGTGAGGTCCGTTGGGGGTGTCCAATCCGACCCCTCGTTCAGAACCCAATAACCAGTTATGCGAATCCAATCCGGATAGTCCAAAGGTGGAGGCACCACGGACGGCGAGTAGTTGTAGAGGAATGGGACTTTGTTGGGTTGCATCTTATCCAAGTTTGTCGCCTTGAGTCCCAGTTCATTCATTCTCCAGCGATTTACTTGGCTAGCAATCGCTTTCCAGAAGACATTGTCAAACATCACGTACGTGATATAATTGTAAGCACCACCCATCTTATGCTCAGGGACGGCAAATGCATGCGGGTACGCTCTGGTCCTCGACCATGGCATCGTGAAACCACGAAAGTAGGGAATCCTTAGTGCTTCTGCGATATGAATTCCAGCCATCGCACTCGGGGACTCGATGAGAAGATCACTACCTTGGCAACTTATCCATGCAGAGGACAAAAGGTCGTCAATCCAGCCTCGGAACTTCGATGTAGCCTCTTTCAGGAATGAATACGTAAACATTCCGTTCTCCACACATAAGCGCATGAGTTCGGCTGGGTCCCCCCCGACTGGTGCGAAGTCAATACCATGTTTTCTTACCCATGGCTCAAATTCAGCGTGAGTCGCAATTTTGGGCTTGTGTCCATCTGCAAGCAGCCCTTTACATAAGGCAATATATGGTTGGACGTCCCCACGCGACCCAATGGTGAGGCACGTAATATTTAAAGACTCCGTGGGCTTGAAGTTGATAATGGAGGCGCGCGGGTCGTCAAAAATAGAATGAAGCTCTGAAGACTCGGTAATATTTGCACGCATCTCTTGTTCCGACGAGGCATCAACCCTAGCCTCCTGAAGCATCCGATGTTCTATCTTCGCTGCTTCGGACTCATCCTTCTCCTGTGGCGCAAGCGACCCAGACTCAACCAAAAATCTCGCAGACTCCAGATGCTGATGTAAGGTAACAGCGCAGTCATCACGAGCATCGGCGGCATTGAACTCAAAAAAAAGCTCCTCGTGGCCTCGGATAATTATGACAAGTCCATGATATCCAAATCGAAACCCTTTCTCTTTCTCAACGTTTTCAACGTCATTCAAAGGAAGGATCATCTTCGTTCGAGTCCCTGGAAGAAGGCTGCGAAAGCACAGCTTGTTCTGACTAATATAAATCTTGCCGTAAAGGGGAATCATACGGTGCAAGTATGCGAAATAAGCTGCTTGGAGCTTCTCGGTCGATGGTAATGCAAAATGGGCTCGGAAACGTTCCTCGTCTCTGCAGCTATCTTCTTTGGTCTCAGGATAAAAGGCCCGGCCATCTGGCGAAATTCCTGCCGTCTCCCCATAATGTCTGCGACCTCCAGCCCACATCCCCGAGACCTTCTCAATGTACCCCATTGACTCACTCGCGAGAAGAGTGCTCATCTGTCTCGACCTGCTCCTCAAGTACTCGGCAAACCCAGCGGCACGTTGGAGAGGATATACTCCAGCCCGAACAAGGTCACCGAGTGCGGGAGTAGCAGAGAGCCTAGATACATCTCTAGAGTCCTGTTCCGAATCACTAATGGCATACTGGATTTCAGCTCTTTCTCCCGATAGTCCCAACCCATCCAGACCATGTGCTGTTATCGATCGAGCGGTTTCATCCGAATGTCGACGGCCAGCCTGATCCACACCAAGAGAACGCTGCTGCCAAGTATGGATAGTTGGAGACTGAAAGACATCGCTCCTGTTCAAAATTTGACTTGCCGACTCCGTTGTATCGGTCATTGATTGCAAAATAGCCGAGGACTCGGTAGTCTGGTCTAGAGAGTTTATGTACGAACTGGAAGAATCCTGTTGTTTCATGTTGGGTGGTGTGTTCGCGGCATCCTGTTTGGAGGCCACGAAGCTTGTGCTTACGCTCCTCCGGCGAGAGTCGGTAATCGCGATCCCCCGAAGCTGGCTCGTGCTAGCCAGAGACCACCTACCCTGAGAACGCCGGTTTCGTTTGGAGCGGGACGGACCATCTGGTTGTGGCGATAGAGTTTGTGGTGAACTCTTTGTCGAAATATCACTGATCAAGCTTTTCACGAGATTGAATGCATCGCGACCGGATTTGAAGAACGTGAAGTAATACTATGAGTAAAGTTAAAAATACGGTTGTGTCGGCATAGGGGAAGCAAGAATACATACCTCGTCAATCGCGTACGTCTCCTCACTTTCAACCACACGTATCTTAAATGTTTCCGCAAAATCAACCATCGGACTCTCCTCTATATCAATAATGTTCTCAATTGGAAAAGAGACTTTGATGCTCTCCCCTTCATTGTGGGTCCGGAAGATGACCTTCTGCAGGGCCTTCACCCATTCCTTCGCACTTGTTGAGCTATCCGCTCTGAAGTAATAGGTTCGATGATCTGTGGTAACCTGAAAATCCCTTGAATCTCTCCCTTTCTCCTTAGATTCAGTAATGGACGCGGAGATTCCGTATCGGAGATCAATCTGACCGCTAGGGAAATAAAGGTTGGAGGGATCAGCATAATAGGAGAACACGTCGCCCTTCAACGTAAACCAATAGCGGTTGTATTTGGGGTTCTTGCGACCACGCTTGTGAATCGATCCAGATTTGATTGCTACTGTGGATTTTCGGGGAAGATATGCGTAGAAACAAATGTGCCCTTCAGTCACGTACATGTATCCTTGTAAAAGCAGGCTTTGTAACAAGGAGCACGCATACTCAACCACAACCTTTTCTGGTTCTTCAAAGCCAAACATCTCCATTAGTCTTAAGGAGAGGGGAGATGCCGATGACAGTTGGGGGATCTTGTCGTTCTGCCCGTCTAACGGCGATTCGCACAACTCTGTCGGACTGGAAGCGTCTAGACGGGCCTGAGCTTCAACCATGCGACTCAGAATGGGAGCCGCGCGAGGTGTCGTGCTGCGTGTCCGTCTAGGGGTGGAGGCTCTCGACAACTCTTCGCCCATCGAGGATTCGGGTGCTGTGATATCCTGCTGTTGCTTGCTTTCCGGTTTCGGGGTTGATTTAAATGGTTTAAAGAGTTTATGGTCCGAAATCGACCTCCGATGCCGACGGCCCCTGTTCTCAGAGGCACTTCGTGCTCCGGGGATCGAGGGAACTGCTATACTTCCATCCGTTTGCGAGGAAGCAGTATCCAGTTGCGGGGCACGTCCGGTGGTCTTTTGAGGCTTTGTATCAGTCTCTCCTTCACTATCGCTAGAGTCATCGAAACGTGTATGGAAATCCGATTTGGAACCCACAGCAGCAATCAGTGAGAATATGGACTGTTGCATATACTGGATCCCATCCCGGGGCTTCGCACCGCCAGGAGGAGCAGTGAAGTCGACCTGGGCATCGTAATCGTCCTGGAGCCGTTCGGGGAAGGCGCTTGAGAACAGGCGGCTGGAGGATATGGACTGCCTGCTTGCGCTAAGTCTCCGGTCCACTCGCCGTTTAGTGTCGTCTAGAAACGGTCGCATCTTTCAGGGTATGCTATCGAAATAAAGGTGAAAACGAGCGAACTGAGGTGAGAAACCCAGGAAGGTAGGCCGGAGGTAGAATTATGAAAGCAGCGAGGCAGGTGACAAGCTCCGGGGGGGGGGGGGGGGATATGGATTTTAAGAGGGATCGCTTAAGGTCAGGACGTCGACTACACAACACAGATGACCACCCCGGTTAGCTCCATGTCAACAAAGATTTATCCCAATAAAGGAAGGGGGAAAAAGAAACCATGCGTCTGAGAAAAATACCTAGCATCCACGCCAGGAACTACCTAGATCAGGCAGGACCATAAGCCCAGGAGACCGTATCATCAAATGGGAGCCATTAAAACGATATGAAGCGGGAATTGCGAGTCATTCTGGAAAGCGAAAGACAGAATCAAGAACTAAAGAAGGAGGGGGGGCTCAAAATGGTTGAAAGTGAGAGAGATGCAGGTTGAATCTACCTGGCATGAGGCAGGTTAGTAGGAGAGCAGGTGAAGTTGCTCTTGCTCTGGCGTCACTCGTCGGTATCAGCTGGTCATAGTGGATGGTATCAAACCAATCAGAGGTCTTGCATGTGATTGCATTGCAGTCTTCAGCCAATCACAGTTTGTGACTCACAGCCTTACTTGCTGAGTCAGGTATGTAAAGTTTCGTATGAAAGGAGCCTTCATCAACTGGATCTTCATGGCACTGAACACTTCAACTTAGATGGAGGTTTACAGACATTCACTACCTACCTAAGGATTATAGGAGGTATGTCAAAGTGTGCTCAAATGCCCAAAGTATAGCCATGTGTGGAGCAAACATTGACAGCTCTATCCCTTATCAAGTTAGCTGAGCCTTGTCTGGATACATTAGCCTTTATTTGAATAGCACAGGGAACAGAATATGGAGCACAGGTTAATCAGACCTTGCACGGGCTCTATGTAAGGACGTCGTAGATCCTACCAGTAAGGACTGCGCACACTACTCAGGGGGTATTTGTTCAAGCCATGGGAAGATTGACAGTATTCGGTGTAGCTGTTACCTAGGTATGATCCTAGAATGGCGGTTTCTCGTAGAGAGCCTACAAGCAGGAGATCTCAAATAGAATGCCATAACACATGCAATTAGACCATCTATCGCTAAACTTTTTAATTAAAATAAAGAACGCCCTTCAACCCGGTGTTGATTAACCAGACTTTTCCTTCTTTCGTTTCTTCCCGTCTCGATCCTTGCTGGACCTTTTCGACTTCTCCTTGGCGCCGCTCTCATCCAAATCTCCAGAGACCTTCTTGGACTTCTTCCGGGGTTCTGCAGCGGGCTGGCTTCCGTCACCCTCGGTTTGCTGGTGCTTTCGCTTTCTCTCCTTCTCCTTCTCGAGTCCTATGGGGACAATGAATTTGGGCTCTTCTGCGTCTGATTCTTCCGAGCTGGATCCAATGGTCTCTGGCGGTGCGTTTCCACTCCCCACAGGTCGGAAACGCATCTTTAAGTGTCTGGGCTGCTTCCTCGGTGGCTTTTCCAGCGCCTTCACGGCTTTAATGGCCATCTCATCATACTCTGCACCACCTGGAAGATCAACCATTTCCTGAATATGGTATGTGGGAACATCAGCGGCGGTACGGTAGTATGTCGCGGTCTTGGTGTCGTAAAGGAAGAGAGTCTGTCCGCTAACACCCGATTGGGTTTGACTATCCGCTGGAAGTCCGTATTTCACGCCATCGTGTTTCAAAACCGGTGCACCTTGAAGAGCCTGGGCTAGCGAAACCTCCTTAACTTTGGAAAGAGGAAGAAAACTAGGGGCGGTTATGTGGAAGACTTGTTTGCCGCGGAGGTCGGACAGGAGAGCGGATGTGCTGGGCGCAGGCAACGGCTGGTTTTTTGCCGATTTGAACCCGAAGGGCGCCTTGTATGGTCTGGACGGGCGCGAGGATTCTGCTTGGGAAGATCTACGTAGACACATTAGCGGAGAACATGGGCGCATCACCCTAAACCACTTACTTCGGTCCTTTTTGTCCGTTTGTCGAACTCTGGAGGTGCTTTCCAGAAGATGTGGCACTCTCGTTCTCACTTTCGCTCGAGCTCTCCGAGGACTCCTCGACCTGACGAGTTGACTCTGCGGATGAACTCGATTCACTGTCTGATGCGGATTCATGGACAATCTTCGCACTTTTGTTTGATTTTGGCGCCATGGTGTGAGACGTTCTTGGATTGTCAACTGGAGAGAAACACTTTGATGAGCCTGAAGTCGCTATAGCTGTCGACCACGCACACGCCTTTTCTGAAGGATTGCAATTAGAAGCGAATTAACTCAATGCAATCGAGTGATATTGCAACCGAGATTGTGCAATAGAAACCTGATTCGTGTAGACCCCGGTGCTTGGAAGTTGCGACAATCCCAGTTGGAGTTTTCGAGCGATCTTTTTTTTTTTGGCTCCGCAGAGCACGGACCACATGAAACTCCGAGAAATTATTGCCCGCGAATTTTGTCCCGCCATGATCGGACTCAGCGCAAACCGCCAATCAAGGTATCAAGGGCTTAAATGTCCTTAGCAAACATGAAGAGAAAAGCAGAGAAACATCAGGCGGCAGGTGAGCTTCAGAAAAAAAAAGATGTTTCAAAGTTTGGCCCTGGGCTGAGGACTAACCTGGGAATATTTCGTAGCTCCGGTCAGCGCATTCGCCGCACGCAAAGCTCGCCAGCAGCAGGCTCAGGCTCAGGCTGTAGAGGCCTCAGTGAAGCCTGCTCACACAGAATCGGCCGGTGAACCGCCGTCAAAAAAGCCGCGACGCTCGCTCGATGATAAGACTATCGCCCAGCCAATCGTGGAGGAACGCCAGACTCGATCCCAGAAACAAAAAGCATTGAAAACCGAGGAAGTTCCCCTGAAAAAAAACGAAGATATCACGAGAAAGGCCCGTGATAGGAAACCAGAACCTGTTGTCTCCAGTGACCATGAGGAGCAGGGCCCTTCAGATGAAGGTTCGGAGGACGAGGATGCAATCGTGGAGGAAGCCGGTGTGATGTCGGTTTCAGAAAACGGAGATGGGTATTAACATTTTCCCTACGCTTCAACCCTGGTGGTAATAAGGACTATGGACTGACTATCGTAGTTACGAATCTCCCGCCGATACGCCAGTCCAGACAGTAGAGTTTCCACTGTCCAAGGCTCGTTTGAACAAGAACAATATCGTTTACAGCGATGAGGACACCCTCTGCGTTCGCATTCGAGAGAAGCTGGTGCGTATATGGCTGATATATATATAGAGATGGGTGCTTATTCTAATTCGCTCTCAGAGCTTTGTATTAATTGGGCAATATGACCTTTGGGTCAAACGGGGCGTTGTGAGCTTGATGGGTGCTAAATTGCACCCTTCCCCCCGAGTTTACAGAGTTTATGCCCCATCAACCCATTCACTTCCTGTCCTGAAATGCGTTTCTGGCGTCGATGGAGCGGCGGAGGTTGAATTCAAGTCCTGCCACAGTGGGATCTACCGTCTTCGGGAATTATCACCCTTGTATCAGCGGGTATGGAACCACAAGAACACGCCGGCGGACAAACTTAGCCTGCAGAAGGTCGGGGGCGCTTCTAAACGGACATTCTCAGTGGTAGGTCTATCGCTATGTCTCGTTCTACGTCTGTCAGCTAACCATGGTAGCTTCATACGTCTGGCGACGATCCTCTGAATCGACACTTGCGCCCGCTGCATATGGAAAAGCAATGGAGCGCAGCTATCAAATCTCTATCCCAACGAGGTGGGCGACTTCAAGTACTGATCTGCGGCCCCAAGGCATCTGGGAAATCTACCTTTGGTCGGTACCTCCTCAACCATCTTCTGAGTCCGGCCCCGCAGACGGAATCCCAGTATCGCAACACTGATGGAGTTGCTTTCCTGGATCTCGACCCTGGTCAGCCGGAATTCTCGCCTATGGGCCAAATCTATCTGGCGCACCTCCGTTCCCCCGTCTTCGGGCCTCCATTCACTCACCCAGCCCTGGACAGCCGCCGCGAGGGAACAATCATTCGAGCTCACCATATCGGAGCAACCTCGCCCAAAGAAGACCCCGACCACTACGTGCTCGCAGCAACCAACCTTCTGGAGCATTATCGCGCTCTACTTGCAAGCTACCCGCAATGCCCGCTCATCATCAACTACCCCGGATGGATCTTCGGTCTCGGTCTGGAAGTGGCCACCTATCTCGTGAGATCGCTCGGGCTCTCCGACGTGGTGTACATGAGCGAAAAGGGACCGATGGAGGTGGTCGAGCCTCTCAGCCAGGCTGCGCGTGCGGCCAAAACCGCGCTGACCATTCTTCCATCGCAACCCACGGAATTCGTGAGCCGGTCCAGCGCGCAGCTCCGCTCCATGCAAATGCAGTCCTACTTCCACCTGTCGCACCCGACCGAAATCGCCAACCCGCTCTGGCTGGAAGGCCCCGTCTCCCGAACCAAGCCATTCCTCGTTCACTATGCTGGTCCGAAGCAGGGCATCTACGGCATCATGGGGTCCGGCTCCCAGATCAGCCCGGACCTCCTCGCCGAGAGTCTCGAGGGAGCTCTCGTCGCAGTCGTAGCCGTTGAATCCCCAACCGCCATCCCGGTTGCAGGTCCTACTCCTCTGCCCAACTCCCACCACCATGACGACTACGCAGGCCACGATGAAATGGATATGGATGCGAAACCATCCACCACCATGCCAACCCTTGAATCCAACATCACCCGCACAAGCAAGGAACACCTTCCCTACCTTTTCGTCGGCGCGGGCAGCAGCACCCCCCTAGACCCCAAATCCTCGCGTAGTCTCGGACTCGCCATCGTGCGGTCGATCAAGGCCACGTCGCACCAGTTAGAGCTGATTACCCCGATCCCGGGGTCCCAGATCCGCGGCGCCGTGGAACAGGGCCACGGGATTGTGCTGGTCCGGGGACTCCTCGACAACCCGAACTGGGCCATCAGCGAAGAATACTACCTGGCCCAGGCAGCCGAGCGACGATTCCGATCTCGCGTGCGCCCCGGACGCCACTCAAATCCCAAGTCAACGGGCGATCTGGGAGACGAGCAGGTTCGGATCCTGGGTACGTTGCAGGATAGGATTCGGCGGGCCCAGAATGTTCCCTGGATGACGGTCGTTGAGGATCGGAGGCATGTGGTGCAGCGGGGGCAGGAAGGGGCATTGTGGAAACTCCGGAAGAAGGCATATCCCGACAGTGGGAGTGAGGCCGAGTAAACATCGTACTGTATGTACTGGTAACTATAATTACTCGATTAATTTGGTCTACTCACCACCACTCTATACCTATATAGTTACCTCTACTTGTTGAGTTTGTCACCGACCTCCAGAGTAAACTAGTCAAGCAACAGCATCATATAAACAAAGAATTCCTAGAATAGTAATCATGAGTCATGGTCTGGTAATAAAGATCATGTGGTGCAGTACTCCGTACTCCGTAGAGCTATAATGCAGGTGAGATAGATACTTTACCTAATTCGTTCCTACTATAGCACTGTACAGTAGTAGCAGTTACTCTGTACGAGAGTGCTCTGCATACTTTTAGGTACTCTAAGTGCTGTGGGCCAGTAATCTATGAAAGTTTTTTTTTTTTTTTTTTTTTGCTGCAGAGCTTATTCCTCCGTATTGATCCGCGGGCAGAGTTGAAGGTGCCAGAAATAACAGAGTTTAACTAGTTTAACAAAGACAGACAAAGAGAAGAAGAACAAGGACGGTCGGTATAAAGAATAAAGGAGAAGAAGAAGAAGAAGAAGAAGAAGAAGAAGAAGCTGTCAACAAAGACTCAATCCCTGCACGCCCATTTGTCCGTTGAAGTTCATGTATGCAGGTAAATACTGCAGGGCAAGTTCAAAGAAACAGAAAGAGGGAATAAATCGAATCGAATCCACCTCTCTCGGGTTACCTGCGTATTCGTAATTTCGGATGCATTACATATTCAGTTGGACTCGAGTGGATCATTCAGTGGGTAAGCTGGAACTCGAGATCGTCGACAGCCTCCAAACAAATATTAAACACTTCAAAGTTCAAAGTTCACAATGAAGGCAAAACGGCTCTTATGGGTCCTTTTACCCAAAACGTAGTGGGTTGGTTTCTGGTACATGACCACAGAGTATCCGTACAGACTACGGAGTACAGAGTGCGTACTCTGTCCCTACTCCAAGTTGAGTGAACTCAGGTACGGCTCCATATTGTGGATCGATGGTATAGCAAATCACAAGTGAGCTCGCCACGTGGAGAATAGGATTCAGCAACTCGGTGGAATACTAGAGGGCTCCTAGAGACGCGCGATTTATGGACCTGAGTGGGCTGGTAGGATCCAGAATCGAGTGGAAACTGGACAACTGGAAACAAACTTGCTTGCTAGTCGTGTGCTTGGTTTCCTATTTATCCGGGTTTTATTAGTGAACTAGGGGTTAACTATGCGGGAATTAGGGTCTGCAGACTGGAATAGATAACTCGATATTATAAATGACAGCTGTCTGGAGAATATTGGCGGCATTCTCAGGATACGGAAAAAATCTCGTTCTGATGTATCGGAAGCCTCGAGTATAGAGAGGTAAGGTCAAGACATGATAAGACACAGCCAGTTGAAGGATCATATCTCACGGGTATCCAACCCATAATGATACTCCGGATCCCTGTGATGGTGAGACGCAAGACTCGGCATAACCTCGTGAAAATCCCGACTTTAGCCTGACAAGTGAAAGAGTATATATATGCCATCTGCACTCCGCATGCAGTATCGATGATGCGTCCCGGAGCCGAACTTCTCGCATTTCTCAGGAAATAACATCCGCGCGGTTGATATTGGCTCGTTTAACCCCTTGAACTGGTTAGTTAGTGGACACTGGATCGGAAACCCAAGGACAAAAAACATCACCCACTTTTTCCCGTCACTCACTATTGGTCATGACTCGACGAATGGTAGAGATGATAATACGAAGGCGGATGAACCTGGAACAAATCGGAGGGAAGGGAAAGGAATCATCCCACACGGACTATACATAGTATAGAGGAGAAAGTCGAAGGATTCCTAGTTTATTTTACTGGAAGAAGCGGAACAACAAGAGAGAAAGGAGACCTGTGACTGACATCTTTCATCTTTCTTTTTATATCTAGATTGACTTCTTCCATTTCCCATTCTACCCCCTTCGATTCGTTAAAACCAGGTTAGCGGGTCCTTTTCTATCTCCAAGTATAGATATTAGGCCGAGAGACCGTTTTCTGTCAGGCTCTAGACGGGGCAAAGGAATGTATAGTTATAGTTATACAGTACTAGGACTTAGGTACCGATTGGGAAGATACCGTAATCATACCGTTGTCCGTTTTACAAAAAGAAAAGAAGAAAAAAGAAAAAACAAAGGCTGCCGAAATACAGGAAATCCCAATACCAAATTACCACCCGATCCACTTCCGGGGGTTCCCTTCTTCTTCTTCTCTTCTTCTTCTCTTCTTTCCGATCGAACTGGTGCATGTCTTGATCTTTATATTTAATCCTCCATCTTATTGATTATTACCATACAAAGGACGGGGTCCTGTTGGTTTTTTATTAATCCGCTGGAAATTCGACTCGTCTCCATCTCTCCAACCACAATCCCTTCTTATTACCATCACTCTCTCTCTCTCTCTCTCTCTCTCTTCCCTTCCCTCTCTCTCTTCTCTGCTCCTCTCTCTTCCTTCACTCCATTCCCGGTCTGCAAGCTGGCCTCTGTAGCTCAAGGGACGAGCGGTTGTCACTCTTCATTCACATTTCGATCCAGCCACCCTGGTACCTCCTCCCTCACCACTGCATCATCGCCACAAGAGAAGACCCCCGGACTCGCCCTCTTTTATATCCATCCTGGAAACTATGTCTTGCAATTATGGTTTAGTATGGATGTTGCATTGTGTTAGACGTTAATTCCGGCGGAAATGGATTTTATTGTGAGTCTTCTCTGTTTCTGGCGCATCTCTCTCTCCATCCTTGCAATTCCCTTTGGCCGGGAACTGCCTGCGATTGCATCAACATTGCGCTCCTTCTGGATTTCCTTCTTTGCCGTGGGACACCCCTGTATGGCAGAGGATCGGGTACAACACCATGCTCCCCTTCCTACAATCGCTCCGTCTCGCCCACTCTAGCCATGTGTTGAACCTCCACCCCCGCTAACCACCGCTCTTGTCTCTTGCAGCTTTCGTTGACGCACTTCTGCGAGGTACATGGTCCCACCTCGATCATCTGCTCGCAGGTCCTCCCTTTTTCCTGTTCGCAATGTTACCCCGAGAAATCAGACTTCTCCCCTCAGGACACTCCTGCGACTTCCCACGACACGCTTTCGTCCCACGGTCTGTGCGGTCATGCGAGTGGCAAACCCTCCCCCCCCAAGTCGCCCGCGAGACCTGCGGAGGGTGGCGATAAATCTCCCAAAATCGAAGACTATCCGTGCTTTGTCAAGGGCCAATCCACTACAGCCGACCCCCAGAAATTAAATGTCATGAGTGGTGCGGATGGTGACACTTGCGCAAGCTGTCGCTTAACGCTGCCTGAGGATGTGAGCAAACAGCTGCCCCCGGGGGCGCCAGGAACCGCCAGGGGTGATGGCAAAGGTAGGAATGGCAGCCCAGTCCTACGATCGCGAGAGGTCGTCTACTCCTGTGGCAGCAATCATTCCGATCCGGACGACAGCGTGCACGATTCCCATATTCACGGATCCCTCCCCGATTCCCTCCACTCCTCGTCCGTCGCCTCCGATTCCTCTTGTCATACACATATCCTCACCTACCTTTCCCTACGGGGCCCCCCGAATCCAGTAGACTATGCCCTGCTCCGACGATCCTCTATCAGAACCCTCAGCTGTGAGCTCCTTCCGCGCGGACTGTCTTCCGGCCCCTTATGTTTTGGTGACTCCAACGCGGGTTACACCATTGCTTACATCTTTCGACTTCCTGACCATATGGCTCGTGGCAAACGACGCAGTTATGCGCTGGTGGCGCTGGCCGGGAAGGATTCTCGCAGAGCATTCCGCGCTTGCCCAATCATCTGGCGCGCTTTTGACCGGATTGCTACTGCTATTTACAACGCGGCGGAAAAATTCCAGGAGGAGGAGAAGAGCCGTGAAGAACAGAACAATGTTACGAATCGACCGGGAGCCCGACCGTATACCCCGGTATCTTCATTCCTCACCGGCCGGGCCGTTGACCCAGACGGCCAACTGCGTCGCCCTGGCCAGGTTAGAGCCAGAAACCTGACCGAAATCGTGGGGAATCCATATATCTTTGCCGAAATTCATGCACACTTTGTGGCGTTGCTCCAACAACTGGGTTCGATGTTTGGGGCGCTTCCTATTTCGGAAGAGCGGTTCGTGTGCAGCACTGTGCGTGAAGAGGAAGATATGAATCCGTCGCGGCCTCCGGTGTCCTTTTCCACCCCGGCCAGCGAAAAGCAGAAAGCCAATGACGACAACGACCTTGGTCTGTCCACCCTCGACTTATCCTCGGGGCCTAAACCCATCCCCATCGCACCACGGCGGTCAGTTATCGCATAGGCCCAAGCCGCGGCCTGCACCCATTGATTGGGAACCCATCTCTTGACGATCCAAGTAATTTTACCCTTTTTTCGCATATTCAACCTATTTCACCCCACGCCTCACTCACATGGGGATTCTCGCTTTTATTTCACTCTTCTGCTGTCATGAATGATATCACATAGACGTTTACGGCGCGTTTAAGACATGGACTGGAGTTTACGGATTGTATTATGGACGCACTTTTCTTTTTTTTTTTTTTCTTTTCTTTTTTTTTTTTTTTTGTTAGCAGCATGGGTGGGACAAGCGATTGAGGTTCGTTTCTTTTGATTAACTCCTTTTAATAGTTTTTGACGGGATGAATGGATGGATACAATTTCCGATATCGACGGCTGTCGAGACGAACGCGATGAACGAGCGCTTGTAGGATTTGCATTCATTTTATTCTCGGACCCGGTATACATATCCATATCCGCCTGTGTGGGAGAAATCAATATATATTCTATCAGCCCTACCCAAGTACTCTCTCCTAGTAATTCTTACTTGGCTCCCTTTGGATCCCAATGCACCCTGCAACACTACCAAGCAAGCAAGGAAGTCTATACGAAAACAATCCAGAGCAAAGGAGGGGGGGGAAATAGCGGTGAGGCTATTGTATACATACCCCGTACTGCCGGGGTACATCTATACTATCTATATGTATATATATATATATACTAGCCTCAAATCCTCGCTATGCTCGGCGGCTTGCATATTAGTATGATAGCTACTATATTAATGTAAGTATGGAAGTTAGAATTAAAATAGGTATTAAAGTAGATATTAAAGGAGGTATTAGCAGGCATCAAAGCAGGCATTAAAGGATGTATTAAAGCAGGCATTAAAGCAGGTATTAAAGCAGGTATTAAAGCAGGTATTAAAGCAGGTATTAGCTTTGCTTCCTTTTCCAACACTATCTATACTCAAGTGCCTCGCCAGCAAGACGCCCTTAAATCCTCACTATGCTCGGCGGCTTGTTAGGGCATATGGCAAATAAATAGTATAGTCTTAATTATAGTATAATAGCTACTATATTAATATAAGGATGGAAGTTAGAATTAAAATAGGCATTAAAGTAGATATTAAAGGAGGTATTAGCAGGCATTCAAGTAGGTATTCAAGTAGGCATTCAAGTAGGCATTTAAGTAGGCATTCAAGCAGGCATTCAAGCAGGCATTTAAGTAGGCATTTAAGTAGGTATTAAAGCAAGTATTAAAGCAAGTATTAGCAGGCATCAAGCAGGCATTAAAGGAGGTATTCAAGTAGGCATTCAAGTAAGTATTAGCATGGTAATAGCTTATAAAAGTAGATAATATAGAAGCTAACAGGTTAACTAACATCTCTAGGTTCTACAGCACGGAAAAGATGGCCCTGCGGGCCATAGTTCTTCCGAAGCGCGCGTAGAACTCAGCACGGTGTACGGGTCATACCACGGGTGTTTGAGGGGGACTTTCATATATTATTTAATAAATATATACTGTACATAGGTGGGAGGTACTTGGACCTCATGATGGATTGACAAATTGACTACACACCATCGGAGAGAGAAACTACGCTACACTACACCACCAACCTTATTATATTGGATACGAGTCTCCGCTACAGGACTGGAAGACAGGCAATTTACCGTACTGTATGTTGTTGGTACAACCCGTGGGGGATGTCGATGTCTGACTTGCAGGTAATGCGCGACATAGAGTCTACGGATTGGGTTGCTTACTTGGCTGGAAAGAGAAAATACCTATACAGCAAAGATAAAATAAATATGGAAGAAGAAGAAGAAGAAGAAGAAGAAGAAAACTAATCATATATGCCCAAAGATCCAGATTCAGGCCTGTATTTCCCACTCCGACCAGAATTAATTCAGAACAAAACCATCAGCAGACCTCCCATTCCAGTCATGACCATTTCAATAACCAAAAGCATTAAACAACCATGTACAGATATGTGTATTTCCAATATTATCGTCCCGTAATATAATCTCGGTTCTCGATCGTAACACTCTTGGTCATATGGTTGACCTTGTACACTCCGACCAGTCGAGATGCAAGTTCAAACTAAAAGCAAAAAAAGAAACCATTCATTAGCAACCGGGTTCCGGGTGGGAAGAGATTCCCTCCAAAGGGAGAGCCTACCATGTTGTTTCGCAAAGAAATGACGATAAACTGCGCATTCTTCGTCCGCTCCTTGATATACGATGCCACAATAGACACCTGCAAATCACGTTTAGTAACCATTTCCCGACCCACGCTGCGGCAAAACTCACATTGCGGAAATCCAACGCAGCGTCGATTTCGTCCATCACATACAACGGCGTAGGTTTGTAGTGGTGCAGAGCAAACACCAGTGCCAGACTGGAGAGCGTCTTCTCACCACCAGACAAGTTGCCGATATTCTTCCAGCTCTTCTTCGGGGGCATCACTGAGAACAAGATCCCCTCCGAGAAAGGGTCGAGGGAATCCACCAACTCGAGCTCCGCATTCCCGCCCATCGTAATCATCTGATACATCTCCTTCAAACGAAGCGAGATAATGCCGAATCCCTCCATAAACCCATTGAGACGCGCAGATCGTAGTCCGTCGAGTCGGGCTTTTGCGCTGTCACGAGTTGCCAGCGCAGCCGCGAGATCGGCGGAACGCGACTCGTGCTCGGCCGATCGACGCCGGTATTCCTCGATCACGGAGAGATCGATAGAGGCGTTCTGGGTCTTCTCTTCCAGAGCTGCGATGGCCGCCTTGAACGAGTCCTTGTTCATTTCGGATAATTCGTCCTTGGTGAAGGTCTGGAATTCCGCCGGTTGCTGCTCCTCGCCGCCCAAGTCGCTGATATTCTGCAGGGTCAGCTTGGATAGCTTCTCTTGCCAGTACCGGCTTCGCTTTTCATTCTCGGTCAGCGCTTTCTGGTTCTCCTCGAGCTTGTTGCGCATCTCAATTTCCGTGGCCCGGGTCTCATTTAATTCTGCGACTTTTTCATCCAACTCTGCCTTGAGGGCCTTCAGCTCGCTCTTCTTGGCCTCCAGGGCATCTTGCGCATCCTCCACCTTCTGTTTCCAGCCCGACGCATCGCTGGCTTGATTGGCCACATCCTCGTTGAGCTTTTCAAGCTCTTCCGCGACATGCCCCAGCTCCTTCTCGGCGTCCGCGCCGGCGTTCTCGTGCTTCTTGATGAGTTTCTCGTTCTTAGACTTGCCAACCTCCGCATTGGAGATCTCATCCGCGAGGAGGTTGATTTGTTCCTTGAGACCATCAACCTTCGCCTTTTGGCTGCGGAGTTTGACACCGCCGACTTCCATGATCTTGCTTTGGAGGGCCTGGATCTCTTCTTCGATTTCGCCTTTCTGTGCGCGAAGATCCTCAATTTGTTCCGCAAGGCCGGCAATCTGCTCTTCAAGGTCGTTGGCTCGGTGGGTGTCTGCCTTCGAAGGTACATGTGCTGCGCTCAGCTCCTTCACCCGCCGTTGCGCATCAACGAGGCTACGCTTGGAGCTATCGATCTCAATCAGGATCTTTTGAATCTTCGTCTCGACTCGTGGGATCTCTTCCGATTTCTCGCGAAGGGCGGCCTCGACTCGCCTCTGCTTCTCCTGGAAATGCTGGAATTTCCTTTCCATGTCTTCGAGATCACCCTCGAGCTTGGCCAACTGCTCCTTGCTAATGTCAGCCACTTGCTTGGAGGACATTCCACCACGGGCGACGCGGGTGCCGCCACCACTCATCGTTCCGGATGTATCAATGAGCTGACCATCGAGAGTCACAACTCTCCATCGCCTAGCGCCGTAGGCAATGCGATTAGCTTGTTCAAGATCCTTGGCCACCAGAGTATTCTGCATGACACTGTAGAATGCTGGTGCAAACTGCGGGTCCTTGGGCTTAACCAGATCGAACAGTCGGGGAACGCTCTCCGGTGTGAAGATAGTAGCTAGATCACGCTTGGGAAGACGGTCCAGAAGGATGAAGTTGGCTCGACCTAGGCTGTTCTTTCTCAGGTAGTCAATGCACTGTTGACCAACTTCAACCGTATCCACGACCATATTGTCTAGTGCTGGACATGCCGTGGAGATGGCGACGTCGTATTTCTCATCGATGGTACCGAGATTTCCAAGTCGACCATGGAATCCCTCAATACGGCCGGATTCCTTGAGGCGCATGAGCCCAGTGAGAACACTGCCACGGTTCTGCGTGTTCGCAACACTGGCCCTCGCTTCTTCGGCCCTTTGACGAGCACTTGAGACATGGGCGCGGACCTCGGGGTCCCGGGTGCTGTACTTCTTGAGGTCGTTTTTTAGCTGTGCCACTTGTTCGTCAAGAGCAGACCTTTGGCCTTTGCATTCCTCCAAGTCCTCTTCCTTCTGGGCAATAGTGTCTTCAATCGAGGAAACCTTACACCGTGCTTCCTCTAGCAACACAGCACCGGCATTGCTCTTCTCCTGAAGGATATCAAGTTCACTTTGGGCGACAGCTAGGGCAGACTGCTTTTTGTTGATCTTCTCATCCCATGGCTCCAAAGATTTCTGCTTCGCCGTTATCTGATCCGAAAGACCTTGAGTTTTGCCCTTCAACCCCTCACGAATGGTTGATAACTCGCCCTCCTCAATTTGAACTTCCTTCTCGAGCTCGGTCGTCTCCTTCGTCTTCTTCTCGATATCGTCGGTGTGTTTCTGCACCAAGCTCTGACACTCAGAGCCGGCAAGGCGAGCAGTGTGCATGGTCTTTTCTAATTTCTTCTGCTTTCCGACCAAGAACTTCTTCTTTTCCTCGAACTTGACAGATTCTTTGTCGTACTTGGCCATTTCCTTCGATAGTGCCTGCGCCTCCTTTTCCATCTGCTCGAATTCTCGCGTCCCGCGCTTGTATGATTTCTCTAGTTCTTTAATCCCAGATTCATTACCTTCATGTTTCTCAAGCTCAAGATTGAGAAGCTCCTGCATCTGAAGGATTGCCTCTTCGGTCACACGAAGGTTGTCTGAACACTCATCAATATAGATTTGATACAACGCTGATTGTTTCTGCGCCAGCTCATTCTCATCGCGAATGTAAGCAAGGGCATGGTTCTTCTTATCCTCCAGAGCAGTCTTTTCCTTCTCAACATGCTGAACACGATTGTTCTTCTCAACACAGACATCGTTTAGTGTTTCAAGTTCGGTAGCGGCTTCTTCGATGGGTTGCTTGTATTTGGAGGTTCCGATAATATCTTCCAGGTATTCCAACAGCCCATCTTCGTGTTCGTTGGCGGCCTTTGGCTTCATTTGGGCGATGGACTCGACCTCACCCTGGAGAATCAGGAAACGTTTATGATCGAGGTCAATACCGCGGTTGCGAAGCAGAGTTGTGACGGTTGTGAAATTGGTCTCCTTGCCGTTCATGTAGTACTTGCTCGTGTTGTTCTTGAATGCTTTTCGAGAAATGATCAGTTGGGAATCTGGGAGTACTTCGTGTTCTCCACCAGGAAGATCGTTAATTTCCTGGAAATAAACCTCGACTTCACAGAAAGGCAAGTCTGGATGGTTTGCTGAATTGTGAATCAAGGCGGATATCTTGCCTTGTCGCATCTTGCTAGCGCGGAACCCGAATACAAAGAGTAATGCATCGATAACGTTTGATTTTCCGGAGCCGTTTGGTCCAACGACGGAGGAGAAGGAGGCGTGGAAAGGCCCGACGATCTGTTTTCCTGCATAGCTTTTGAAATTATTTAGCACTAAGGTAGTAATCATTAGGCGACTCTTGGGGCCTTCCGGCTCCTCAGGAATGGTAGGACCAAGAGTCCGTGATTTCAGCATAATATCCATGGGCTTTTCTAGAATAGTAGTATTGGGGTTGATGATGGAGATCTGCGACTTCGGATCCTCTGCGCGTTGCGCCGGGGTTTGGTTCACGGCGGAGTCGGTAATATCGGCGAGCGGGGGGACGCTTTCTCTCTGGGATCGTATTTCAGATTGCGGCGAAACCGAAGGCTCTGGAGTTGGGAGTGAGGACTTTTCCGGCTTGGGTGTGGAGGAGACACGACTCTTGCGGGTCATACTTTTTCTTTTCAGCGCCGCATTCTGTGACGGCGATTCGGGCTCTTCTCGCCCACTTGCTACACTGTCGCCTTCTTCATTTCCACCAACAAGCATAGACGACTCTGTCGACTCCCCGCCCCTTGACCTCCGCGCTCGCTTGGCGGCTTGTACCGTGCTGGGCGTGGGCATCTCCGACGTATCTCGCCTACGTGAGCCTCGTTTGGCGATATTCGGCTTCTGGGGTACCGGGGTGTACTCTTCTTCTGCTTCCTCCTCGTCGTCTTCATCATGATGGGATGGGGTGGGGGTGACGTTTCCCGGATCCTCTTCTTCGGATGTGGTCTCCTCAACCACATAGCTCTTTCGGGGGGCAGAGCGCCGAGATGGCCGGCCTCTTGCAAGAGATGACATTATAATGGTGGGGTATAGATTGAAAATAGGGGTATCATGAATGCGAGGGATGGCGATAAGGGCAAAGTTGCGACGATGAGGGATGCGGTTGAGAAAAGCGACAGAGAAAGTGGGTTGTTTACATCCTGTCCCGAAACGGAAAGGTGTTGTTTTTTCTGCCACAACAACACGGGATGCTCACGTGGTATACCGCCTACCTTATCTGCTGTACCATACGTAACTTTAGCGCCGTACGGTAATATCAGCGAGCTGCGGCAATATATTACACTTGCGACAATTGAACGAACGATTCCACGCAGAGGGATCGCAAAGGATAGAGCTTGATTGAAGCTGGAGCAATCAAAATGGCTCCCTGGGAGGAATTTGACTCTATATTCTATTTCAATAAGAACTTCACCTACGATGGAAAGATCATCGAACAGATCCTTTCCAATCGCCGTGCGCTGGAAAACAAGCTCTTTGCCGATAGACTGTTAGGATTGCTAGGGGTCCAAGCAGGTATTCTTCTGTGCTATGGACCTATTAAGCTTGGAGGTCGCTGACGACGAATGGTCCTTTCTAGTTACCAAATTATATCCTCCAAGATCGAATGCGGATCTCCGAACTCTTGTCGGCCATATTGTTTCATCCGAATTGGATATTCACCACAAGCAGAGCTTGATATACTACATCTTAAAGGATTGTCGGGCTCCCAGTGATGCTGCTACACAATTTTCGCGACGATGCCATCTTCCTGAGAAATATAGGCTGTTTATCGAGGGACTTTGGAATCTTGACCGACTAGAATTTAGGGTATGCTCATCAGGTGTCTCTCGCGCGGAACTTTTCTAACGTCAAACGTGGGAATATAGCGAGCTATTGAATACTTGACGGAACCATCTATCATCCCTACCTTTCCAGACGAAATCCTCTATGCTCTTACCCTTTCACATCTTCCAAGACACGATGATAGCCTTGTTATGGCATATTACCTCACCGTTACCCCCCCATTAGCCTCTGAGAAATCACAAAGGGCTTTTATGGAGACGCTTTGCCGCTCCAGTATCACGGAAGCGTTTTACTTTACTCGGAAGCATCACGAGGCCCTTCGCCAAATGTACCTCACGCAGCTCATAGAATTCGTTCACCGGACCGATGCTGGCCAGATTCGAAGCAAGCGCGCGATGGAGCTCATCGGCCTCCCTTTTGATGACCAGGAGGAGGAATGGTTTGAGAATTGTTTACTTCGTGGGAGTGCAAAGACGCTACATGGGGCGAAGGACACCGTCCTGATGCGCCGTCTAGCAACTGGGAAAATCTCTGGGCTGTCGGCCGAGCTACAGTCCTTGGGCGGAAAGAAAATCGATGGACTGAACTGGGACATGCTCAAAGAAAGCGTGGAGCATACGCAGACATTGGCCACCAGCAGTGGGAAATCCTCATGATAGGGAGACTGATATGACTTGATTTCATGAAAATGGGAGCGGGCGTTTCAACTTGTAATCATTATAATGGCTTTTTCATAGGAATTGAGCATCTGGATTCGACTTCAGCAAGCACTGTACAGCTACTCCAAGTTACTCGAAGTCCTTGAAAGTTCAAATTCTATCTCAGTTATAATTTATGCCGTAGAAATTGTAGGCCAAAGTCTGCATAGAGATAAAATTACCAATACGTCAAAAATACACAGATGTGCAGCTTTGGCGGGTTCGGAAAGCACTGTTTGGTGAAATGTATTGTCACGGCCTGGATCTTCAACCACCGAAGAACTTCATCCATTTTCATGATACTCGAAGACTCACGCTTCATTTATCTCCTCCTCCTGATTGTCAAAGAACAACCGAGGAGTGGACTTGATTACGAACCACCAGCATCTCTATTCTGCCATGAGCCGTTTTCAGTGACCAGGAGGCTTGAAGTTTAGCCGCGAAGGATTTGGCCTCACGTAACTTTGTGCAAAGAGCTCTTCACCCGTTACTAGTTTGTGCTCCAAGCGCCAGGAAAAATCATGGTTGTATGCACCTATTTCCAACAAGGCCGGTGTAAATTTGGAGGTTAGAAACACTAACCCCCCAATTCCTGATCACTGTGTGACTGACTGCAGCCTAGATCGTTGCAAGTATGAACATCCCGGCCAACAGAATTTAGCTGGCAACCGATTTGGCGCCCTTGCTGGAGGTGGAGGAAGCTTTGGCAGTATGTCACCTCTCCACGCCTCATTATCTACGTTCCTGACTCTTATAAAGACCGCACGCCATCAGCGCAGAGCCAACAAACGCCCAAGTAGGTTCTAACATCCCCGGATCAGCTTCCAACATTGGCGACTAACAATACTATAGCTATGGTGTAACGGCGGCTGATATCAAGCTTGATTTATCTGCTGGTAAGGGACGACCAGAGTGGGTTTTTTCTTGCTATGGGCCCGGCAAAAATGCCCCCCGACAACTGTTTGGGGGGACTCAACGTGAGCAAAGTTTTGAAGAGCTCCGCCTACGCCACTATGAGGCCGTTGCGGCTGGAACCCCGGACAAAGCTCTTCAAGAAGCCCAGAATTTGTATACTGAGGCAGTTAAACAGATGGAAGTTATCTTGAATGATCTTGACGGAGCCGTGAAATACGTTGTTGAGGGAGAAAACGAACATCCTAATAGAATTGACATTACTGAGGGTAAAACTGGTCCTACTTCCATCCAAGCCCCCTCCGCGTTCGGTCAACCTTCAGCGTTTGGACAGCCATCTGCTGGCAGTCAACCCCCCGCATTTGGTCAGCCTGCGGCCCTAGGTGGTGGCGGATCGGCCTTTGGCAAGCCTGCTGGGTTTGGTCAACCGTCGTTCGGACAACCAGCTTTTGGTCAGCCATCCGCTGTCGGACAAGCATCTGGCTTTGGACAGCCGAGTACTTTAGGCCAGGGATCTGCGTTTGGAAAGCCATCTGGACTAGGCGCCCAACCTGCGTTTGGCAAACCTGCATTTGGACAACCAGGTCTCGGTCAACCAGCTTTTGGTCAACCATCACTAGGGGCTTCACCTTTTGGACAGCCTTCCGCCACTTCTTCCCCATTCTCCCAAATATCGAACCAAAATCAAAGCGCAGGTGGAGGCTTTGGTCAACCCTCTGGCCAAGCGGCTGCTTCTCCATTTGCACAGGTTGCCAGTCAACAACAGCAACCACAACAGCCTCCTGGATTCGGTCAGCCATCAACTACCCCAACAACGACAGGTTTTGGCCAGCCTACACCGGCGGCAGCGCCTTTCGGTCAACCACAAGCAGCGGCAAGCCCATTTGGAAACCCCTCTCAAGCCCCTAGCCCGTTTGGTACAACAACTCAACAAGCTACACCCTCACCCTTTGGGCAGCCAGCTCCCGCGGCTACACCCTTTGCTCAACCTGCACAGCCAGCTCCCACACCCTCTGTAACTGCGGGCACGGGTCCTCCTCCAGTAATCAGAGTGGAGGACCCGAACGAGCTCAACCCTATCCCCCCATTAGCTGGTCAGACCATTCGCGACCCTATGACCAAGAAGATCTCTGCATGGAAAGGGCAGCCTGTGAAATACATAGATAATGTGCCTTGCTACCTGCATCCACAAGATCGAAAAACATATGTCCGTATCTTCTTCGCGGACGGGCCCCCCGATGAAGCTAGCCTGCGAGACGCGCAAGGCAAGCCTGACGAATACACGCCCGAGGTTACAGAGCAGTATGAGTTTTTTATCAAGAACGGTTATTTCAAGGATGGCATCATTCCAAGCTTGCCTCCCAAAACAGAGTGGGTGAGCTTTGACTTTTAGCGTTGCAAGATATCAATGGCTTTCTTTCTTTCTTTCTTTCTTTCTTTCTTTCTTTCTATCATGTATTTCCTTTTGCAAAGTGTACGATTTCAGATCCAGTGACCCGTCGAGATATGAATAGAGGATCTAAGGCGTCTGGGTGGTTACGATATCCATTGATCCTGGTAGGAGGCGACTCCCAACGCTTAATTATACAGAAATATACCAACTACAAGTCTACAATTCCCAACGAGAGAGCGGCCCGAAAGTAAATCAAATATGTTTTCGACTTTTCCATTTTTATGCCTATTTTTATTGGGTATCGATGTTGTCCCAGTACGAGCCCAGAAGTGACCAGTGAACCACGCCGCGGCCAGACGAGTACATCGTCGACGCCAACCCAGTCAAGAGTTGACGCAATTTCCCCATTATTCCAGAGTGAAAACTTGATTTAGGCGGCAATGGTGACCTCAACCTCAACACCAGCCTCGATGTTGATGATGATCTGCTTGACGGTCTCGGTGGGGGCGAGGAGGCTATCAACCCATCAGTATTGGCATGTACACCTTCGGAACGAAGACAGGAAATGGTTTAACATACTCGATGAGACGCTTGTGGATGCGCATCTCGTACTTGTCCCAGGTCTTGGAACCCTCACCGTTGGGGGTCTTACGGGTAGAGATCTGCAGAGTCTTGGTGGGAAGACGGACGGGGCCCTTGACCTGGAGGGACTTGGAGCGAGCACGCTCGATGAGGGCAGAGCAGACAGACTCGAGGGCGGCGACCTTGCGGGAAGTCAAGGTGATACGGATCTTGTGGACCTTCTGTAGGAGGTGAAGAGATTATCGATTAGCAATTGCTTTTGCGACGCAATATTGAGGATTGGCTTCGAGAGGATCGAGATGAACGTACAGGGCCCTCGCCGAAATCCTTCTCAGGCTTGAAAGACATCTTGACAGTGAGTTTGGGTTCTAGAATGAATTGATTAGATGTGTGTTCCTGGACGAAAGAGCAAAAACGTGTCAAGGCGCGAGAGAGACATACTGCGAGTGAGGCTGTAGGCGAATCAAGACCTGAACGTCGGGGGTTCGGTAAGGTGATGATTGATGGCCGTTGAGAATCTGGACGGAGAACGATCTTTTTTTTTTTATCTCTAGATGGAAACATTGGATTCCTTTCTTGTGCGGGAGGAAAACTCTTGGCGCTCGCCTATCTGGCACTAACCCAATCGGGCGTTGACTCGGTCAGCCTCTCTCCAACAAAATAACAACTAACTAAGGAATACGCCGTGTAGTCAGGGTCAGGACTACTGATATCCGTGCTTCTTTTGACTCTCTTTGCTTGCTTTGTTCTTTCTTTAGTTCTTTTTTTTCTTTTGATCGTCAAGTTGTTAAGAGCAAGCAACTGTCATGACGCTGTTACCACCTTTAGCTCCACTGCCACCCCGCGAGCTGCAGAGGACCATACCACCGCAGGAATGGGAGCTCTATACAGATGCATGGATCTTGCTTCTGAGTGTTCGATTACAGTCTTCGCAGGCGGACTTTAAGGAGTTTGCTCCCACCGATGAGTCTGCCGTGCTATTCTTGGCTTCGTTCTACCGGCAACTGGCCAGATCCGGGACATCTAGTTTCCATAATGAAGCAAAGGCCAAAACACTGAGGAAGCTTTGCTTTCTGCTAACACGGAGATTCCTGGTAGAGAGTTCTGGGCCGCCTCCTGGACTTTTGGAATGGACGTATCTTTGCGACATGAGCTGTTGTTACCCTTCCAGTTCGGCCCTGAAGAAGCTCCTGGCCGATGTATGGGACAAGCACCAGACTGTAGTCACATCTAGTCTTGAGAAGGCTAAAGCTGCGGTCATTAAACATCTGTCCGCGCCTGATTCTACGAGAATATCCACAGCCGTTTCTGACATCCGGCTGCTGACCATCCTGGCGTCCTTACTTCCCGCCGCGGGACATGTGCTTATGGCGGGATCCGATTTTCTAGACACTCTTGCAGATGCGTACCAAACACATAAGAGAGAGGATATCCGAAAGTCTCTCGTTGCTAATGTCTATGTTGGCCTGACCTCGCTGTTGAAGGGCTCAAAGCCCAATCTTTCCCTACTCCTAGATCAATTATTCGCGTTGAAGGCCGGCGCAGCCGTTGGGATATCAAAAATGAAGGAGGATCCTACTCTCCTTTCCGATGTAATCTGCAGCTCCGATCTTCTATCTCGTTTAGAAAGGTATCTGGCCGCCCAGCCTCAGACACGAGGCCAAGATCTCGTCTCTAGTCTCCGGTCCTATCAGACCGAGTCAAAGCCATTGCACCACCGATATCAAAGGCCCAAGAAGCGTACAGATAAGGGCAAAGGTCGCGCATCAGATCTACCCTCAACCGAAGACGTACACATCCACAAGATGTCCCTGATCACCCAGGTTCAAGACCTCTTCCCAGACCTTGGATCCGGCTATATCATCCGACTCCTCGATTTCTACGGCGACAACCCAGAGACAATCGTCGCACACCTCCTTGACGACTCAATCCCTCCGGAACTTCAGACCCTCGACAAATCAGAGCAACTCCCTACCACCCAAATATCAACTGCTGCCCCCATCACGATCCCTTGCCCCCACACCCAACCCCCCCTCCCCCAACAGACCTACTCCCCACACCCCACAAAAACATCTTTGACAACGACCTCGACCTCGCTGAACTAGCCCGCTCCGCCCACACTAACAACACCACCCTGCACTTCGGCCGCGCAAACCCCTCCATCACCGCAGATGACATCCTCAACGACCGCCGCAACCACACCGCCAAAAAGGCCGCGATCATCTCTGCCCTAGCGGCCTTCGACTCCGACGACGACGAGCGCGACGACACCTACGATGTAGCCGACGTCGGAGGCACAGTCGACGGCGCCATCCCAACAAGCACAGACTCCGACGTGGAAACCACGCACCAGCGAACCCCCCCCGCCACAGACACAACTGGAATCGACATGGCGCTTCTCAGCGCATACAAGTCCAACCCTGCCCTGTTTGCCCGCGACTCAGCAACCCGACGCTCGCAACCGCGTGCCTCCCTCAAGCGCGAGACCGGAATGACCGACGAAGCCATCGAGGGCTGGGCTGTCATGCTCGCGCGGGACCCGAAGCGTCAGGCGAAACTCGAAGAGAAGATAGCGCTCTCTGCTGCGCCTGGCGCGGGCGGTGTTTCGCAGCCGGATCTTCCTTCTACGTCTTATCGGAAGCCGAGGAGGGCCACTGGGGACGAGGAGTCCGGTAGTGATATGGATATGGACGAGCAGCGATCTGGCTCTGGCTCTGGCTCTGGCTCTGCGTCTCATCGGAGAGGTGGTTCTGGTAGGGGACGTGGCGGTCGTGGAGGTGGTGGAGGAAGGGGAAGAGGAGGAGGAGGAGGAGGAGGAGGGAATGCTGGGGATCAAAATCCAGCGGTGTCAAGACAGAGAAAGGAAGAGAACAAAGCAAGTCGAGCGAATCATAATCGAAGACAGCAGCGTGCGAAGAAGGTAGCGAGGGCTGGGGGGATGGTGGGATAGGTGCTTAATAGCACTCCGTTACTAGGTAATTTATGATGATGCCGTCACGAATTCGCTAAGCGTCGCGTTGCTTTTTGCTTCAATTCAACCATGAGTTCAACTCGGGATGTGAACATTAGATTGCTACTGAAGAGCTTGTCTGTAGAAAAAAAAAAAAAAAAAAAACAAGAGGGGGGGATTTCATTCATCTCTCTCGGCCTTCGCTGGAATTAGGACGAGGTCCAGCTCTTAAATAAAACAAATCAACTAACGAGGGGACATTATCATAATCGGACAGCACATGTACATCGAACTGTACCCAGTCCAGTGGAAACACCGTAAGTACAGCTGCTATACACACGGTATACATATACTCGATAAACAAATCGGAAAGGGGTATTAGGTATTGCCATCATAATGTCAAAGGGTCAGGCCTGCCGAACAAAAAAAAAAAAAAAAAAAAAAAAAAAACAATCTAATGGCCTTCATCTAATGGTGGTGGCCTGAAAAAACATCATGCTGCGTGTAGGACTTTCGGCACTCTTCTAAAATGCGGACCTGCTTTGCAATCTCCCCAAGCTTACCGATAACCACTTTATTGCCGTCGTAAAACGTGAACAAAGCATAGGGGATGCCGGTCTCGCGGCAGAATTCCAACACCAATCTCTGGGTGCGACGCAGGTTATGGCGCGGAATGCGCGGGTAGAGGTGGTGGATGGCTTGAAACTGGAGACCGCCATGAAACCAATCAAGCCACGTCGGACAGTCGACATCCATAGTGGTGCGGAGCATCTTTTGGGGAAATGACTCCTGGACTCCCAGATCCGCGGTCGACATGGCAAAGTGGGAGAGCGTAATTTGCACATGCAGTGGAGACGGGACCACATGGGAGACGAAGAGAAAGATCAAACGGCCGCTCCAGGTGGGAATCGAACAATACATCACTCCATAACCAAACCACACCCAGAAGAAGACCTGTCCCGCAACTTCGAACCACAGGTGCCACCAAGCGGGTCCCTTCTTCGGTGCCTGGCCAAGAAACAAATATTCCCAGCTCAGACGGTACAGGTTAAATCGGCCTAACATGAGGATTGGGTAGTAAAGGTAGTGTTGGTATTTCAGCATGAACTGGGCAAAGGCGTCGAAGCACATGATCCGATCGTAGTACGTGCTTCGGAGGTTCAAAAGGAAACGGTGCGAGATAGCAAAGAAGGGCATATGCTCGATATCCGGGTCATGCTCCGGTTCATTTGTCACAATGTGATGAACATTGTGGCTTCGTTTCCACCATCCCAGACTTAGACCTCCGAGGTAATCGGCGATAATAATGCCAATAACGGTATCGAAATGGTAATTGTGGGTGATTCCCATATGGCCCGCATCGTGGGCTGTAAAGACAAGCTGGTGCCAGAAGCACCCGAGAAAGAAGGCCGATGTTCCGTACCATCCCAGCCTGAGGAACCAGTACGACAGAGCAGCAAACGAGACGTATCGGCAGCACTCAATGAAGTAGGCCCAGTAGTTGCATTTGTATAGACCCTCCGCAATTATACGGTCATTTAACTCGCGATATTTCTGTCTGATATTCTGCTGTGTCTCCTTTTCGAGGCACGGGTATTTGGTAATGTCAAGGACAATCTCCTCCTGGGTACGCGCGTCCAGGAAATACGGCGTTGGCTCGTCACTTTCGGTGGGCGGTGTCAAGACGGAGCTTTCGGACGAGACGGATTTTCGGCGACGAATGCTCGAGGCAGCATCAACCGCATCGAAAACGGGGGAGGGGGGCTGGGAGCTTTCCTGACTAGAGGTGTTGTCCTCCTCGCTCTCACAGGCCTCCGTGGTGTAGGGACGGAACTTCCCGCCCTGGATTGGAGGAAGAAAATTTGACCATGGTCCCTCTATACGACCTATCTGGAAAGCGCGCATGCGCTGGAGGGCTTCTTTCGAATGTAGTCTGCAACAAGGAAGCTGTTAGGCAGCCGTAATCTTAAAAAAGAAGTGGTGTTTCGGGACACGTACGCATTGATTTCGTCCGTCGCGTCCCTGCCAACCATGTGCTTGATGGGTTTATCTCCTGCGGGATGGAAGGGGATCCAACTGTCGACCTTGAGGACCCGATCCTCGAAGATGATGAGATGCTTTCCCTCCGCAATTTGGCCCTCAATATAGCGTCGAGACAGAATGGTGTCCCTCCGGGCGCTGGACGCAGCGGTCACAGCCATGACTAGCGGTGAACCGACGGGCTCGAAAGTCCAAGAGAGATGAGAGGTAGATCAACTTTAGGATAGCGAGAACATGAAGCCGAAGAACCTAGGATCAGAAAAGTACGGGGTAGAAAGAAGAAACCCAAGGGAGCATAAGGAAGTAAGTTGGTGGCCGAGACGGGGGAAAATGAGGAAGAGCTAAAAAAAGAACGAAAGCGGGGAGAAACGTCGATGAAACAAAATGTGCCAGTGGAAAGATCGAAATCCGATTGATTCATCATCATCCAACTTTCTGTCTCTCGTTGAGAAGTAGTTCTCGACTAAAGACTCGTTATTTACTTGGTGGTTGACGTTGAATATCTTTCTAAGCCTATCTCTCTGTCGCTCTGTCTCTTTCTTTCTTTCTCTCTCTCTCTCTCTCTCTCTCTCTCTCTCTCTCTCTCTCTCTCTCTCTCTTCCCCCGCATCCCATCGTATGACTGAGATCCATCATGGCTGCCCTTCCGGTAGAGGTAAATCTATCGATCTGGTGTTCTTCTCATCGCTCTAGCTAAGCGTCGCTCTGGCTCTCTAGGATTCTGTATCTTCCCTTGTTCAGAAATGGCTTGAGTGGGACCAGGTGAGTGTATCTCGTTCTACCGCCTGTACATAGTACTACAGACCGACTAACAACAAACTAGGATCCCACCACACGCTCGGAGATCGAGCAACTCCGCGACACAGGCCAGACGGATGAGCTAGAGAAACGCCTACGGAAACGTATGTGTCTAACTGGCAGAGCCGACGAATGGCTCTTATAATCGCGCCGCGCCTACGTCTTGCTAATGGGGGGCCAACAGGAATCCAGTTCGGGACGGCAGGCCTCCGTGGCCGGATGGCCGCCGGCTTTTCTTGCATGAATTCTTTGACGGTCATTCAAGCATCGCAGGGCTTGGCCAAGTACCTGAGAGACTACCATGGCGACCTTATTTCGCGTGGTGTGATCATCGGTCATGATGCCCGCCACAATTCTGCCAAATTCGCGGCTCTAGCCGCGAATGCCTTCATCGCGCAGGAAATCCCAGTCCTCTTTTATTCTGGGCCAGCTGTGACTCCGTCTGTGCCTTTTGGTGTGACCGACTTGCATACTCTGGCGGGAGTCATGGTCACAGCAAGCCATGTAAGACACTACTTGTGATCATTATTAAGATGCCGGTAGAAATCTATTTGGCTAACCACCTCCCCAGAACCCAGCGCAGGATAATGGTAAGTATCTTGTGGCCTTGCGTTTTCTTCCAGCTGCTTTACCTTACTAACGTCTTTATCCAGGCTACAAAGTGTCTGCTTCCACCATTCTAACGTCTCCTTTGGATCTTCCTAACATGGCTTCAGTTACTTCAAAAATGGCTGCCAGATCAATAGCCCAATGGACCGAGAGATATCCGAATCGATCGAGCAGAACCTAAAGCCATGGCCAAATGCGTGGAAAGAGTCTCCATCTAGCGATTACCTACGGGCCCAGGCTTATGAAGAAATCTTGCCTCGCTATACCACAAGAGTGTGGCATTACTCGGTACGCAACCGGCTACGTCTACGCGACAGGCTGACTAACCTTTTTTCCCCTTCCTTCAGAAATCAACCGTCCAGGAATGGAAGCGGCCAAGGCCTTTTGTTTATACCCCATTGCACGGCGTTGGTGGATTAGTATTTCCCGCCCTGTGTCGCTCCTTGGGTATCAATGATTTCACATCCGTACCTAAACAAGTCACCCCAGATCCAGACTTTCCTACGTTACCATTCCCGAACCCCGAGGAGGCTGGCGCACTAGACCTCGCTGTTGAAACTGCTGATAGGGAAGGTAAAACCCTCATTATCGCTAATGACCCAGATGCAGACCGTTTTGCGGCAGCTGAGAAGGTCGAGTGAGTAGCAACCCTTTGGTGTGCCCTAGTTATCGCAACCTAATCTGTTCACTAGTGGATCGTGGTTCTTTTTTACTGGTAATCATATTGGTGTTCTTCTTGCGTCACACCTTTTTGATACACTTGAGAACATCGACAGTGACACTCGTGTTGCGGTTCTCAACTCTGCCGTCTCATCCACTATGCTTAGCAAAATGGCGGCAGCGAGGGGTATTTACTTTGAAGAGTCCTTGACGGGCTTCAAATGGATGGGAAATACATCTCGAAAGCTAGAGGAATCAGGCTACTATGTGACGTTCGCATTTGAAGAAGCCCTTGGTTACATGTTCCCGGAGGTGTGCTATGACAAGGACGGTATCACTGCGGCTATGGTCTTCCTGTCAGCCGAAGCAAGATGGAGCTCCCAGGGTCTTACGCCATACACGAAGTTACAGCAACTATTCCAAGAATTTGGACACCACGAGACTCTTAATAACTATTTCCGGTCGCCCAATCCGGAGACCAGCATGGATCTGTTCCGCTCTATACGAGCTGGGCCCTCGAGAGATGAGATGAGGCTCGGACCATTCAAGATCCTCCGATGGCGAGACATGACGGAAGATTATGACTCGGGAACCGATAATAAGAAACCAACCCTCCCGGCAGACAAGAGCAGCCAGATGCTGACGTTGTGGCTTGACCCCGACGTTCGGTTCACAATTCGCGCGTCAGGCACTGAAGCTAAAGTAAAATGTAAGCACGATATGAGTCTGATTTAACTAATTAACTAGGGGGGGCCCCGGCGCTGACATTGCCTACCAGTCTACATCGAAAGCTGCAGCGCTTCACGCGAACAAGCGATAGCGGCAGTCTGTGACACTTTCAAGGCTGTTCTGAAAGAATGGATCCAGCCTTTCGGCAGATCGATGACATACAGCAAACAGCTCCCCACCTCTTCAGGTCATATTCTTCGGCTCGGTTAGGACTGCGGCAAGATTGCAAATTCAACCAAAAGGTTGTCCCATTTGTGCGTGGTTTACATAGTCCACAAAGGTTGCAATAATCATTCCACATGAAATATAATTATGGACATGGGTCTTCACGGCCATGTACTGCCTTTGCGTGTTTATCTCTATTCCGCGCTTTCATACAAAAGTAGTTCCTTCCAAAGAAATGCTGACCGGTCTAGACGCCTGGCAGGGATCCCCAAAGAACAACCAGGCAAACCACATCCCCAACGTCACACAACAAAACAGGGCCTTATCCTATACACACGCTTTGCTTTCCCCTTTTTAGGCTTTGTAACCCCCCCCCCCAACCAAAGACTCGCTCCAGCATCGGGCAGCTTGCTTCAGGAACCTATCTGTTCCCAGGTATAAATCCACTTGAACCTCTCTTCCCTCCCTTTGGTCTTTTCTGCCAAAGACACCAACATAGTTATTGTTCGATTACCACAATACTACTGTGCACATATTCATCCAGGAGCAGCTCTATTCCGTTCCAATGCCTCGCAGCCGATGCCATCGCCCACACCGGGTCTCCTTCCCAGAACGCCAAACCTGCCCTTGTCCAGCTGAGCTCTCGTACGTAGCCCCCCTTTTCACATACCAAAACAGAGCAGGCCTCTTAAGTCTAACGAAAATTAAACAGCAGCAGTAGTGGTCAAGACTGCAAAAATACAACCAGCACCGCCGCCTACCACGACTGCTACATCTGCTTTACGCATCATTTCCATCCTACAGCAACACCACCACCGCCGCCGCCGCCGCCGCCACGCGAAGACCCCGGGGCATCCCATAAATTGAACTACCCCAGTTCATGGGAGAATCATGCAAATGCTACGGCACATGCTCATGCTCATGCCGGTGTCCACTCGAGGATGCGCTCTACAGCAGCGGGTAAAGTCTCGCCTTCTATCTATCTGCAGGCGACGGCGCGAAAACAGTATCCTCTACGGCAGCATCAGGGTCCGAATCAGCATGCATATCCTTGTCCTCATCCTCATCCTTATCATCATCCTTATACAGAGGGGGACTGTACCGTGGCTTGTTCTCAACAGGAACAGCATGCTTGTGATACGTGCAATAGAGATGTATGGTCTCAGTGTCAGTGTCAGTGTCAGTGTCAGTGTCAATGCCAAAGTCAAGGTCAAGGTCAAGGTCAAGGCCCCGAGACGGTTCATTGCTGTGTCTCTGTGGCTGCCTGGAGGGATTCCGATTGTCAGTGTAGAGATCGGAGTCAGGATCGGGATCGGGGTCAGGATCAGGATCAGGATTCGCATGGTCATGACTATTGTCAAACGCGATATGCGTATGGTCCTCCTTTACCTGTTGTCGTGGATATTTGGCGCGGAGATTGTTGTGGTTTTTGATCAAAAGAACGTACATACGTAAGTGGAGCTAGTTTCTGGTGGTGATTATCTGCAAGGGAATCATAGTTTTGGGAATTGAAAAAAAAAAAAAAAAAAAAAAAAAAAAAATGCATTATAAAACGCAGTCTATAAATGAATATTGAAAAAGTTTTTATTTCATAACTGAATACAGCACAACCAACATAGGAGATATAATATGTCAATGCTACACGGAGATGGCTAGCATGGCTAGACTAGAGGAGAAAGGTACAGAATCGACGAGGATATAGTTAGGAGGGAGTCTAGAAGTGGATGGCCTTGGAGTAAGTGGCCATGGCAGCCTCCTTAAAGGCTTCCGCAAGGGTAGGGTGAGCGTGGCAGGTACGGGCAATGTCCTCGCAAGAGGCGCCGTACTCAACAGCAAGGGTGGCCTCGGCGATCATCTCGCCGGCGTTGGGGCCGATGATGTGGACACCGAGCACGCGGTCGGTCTCCGCGTCGGCGATGAACTTGACCTGACCCTCACTATCGAGGTTGGTCTTGGCGCGAGAGTTGGCGCTGAAGGGGAAGGTACCGATACGGTACTTGATACCGGCGGCCTTGACCTCCTGCTCGTTTTGGCCAACCCAGGCGACCTCGGGGTGGGTGTACATGACGCTAGGAATGGCGGCGTAGTTGACGTGGCCGTATCCCTTCTGGATGTACTCGATGGCGGCAACAGCCTCCTCCTCCGCCTTGTGGGCAAGCATGGGGCCGAAAGTGCAGTCACCGATGACACGGATGTGGGGGACCTTGGTGCGGTACTCCTGGTCAATAACCAGGCGACCCCTCTCATCCTTCTCGATTCCGACATTCTCCAGGCCGAGTCCCTCGGTGAAGGGGCGGCGACCAATGGCGACAAGGACGACATCGGCATCCAGGGTCTCCTCCTTGCCACCCTTAGCAGACTCCACGGAGAGGGAAACTGTAGCGCCGCTGTCATCGCCCTTGGTCACTTTGGTGCCAGTCTTGAACTTGATACCCTGCTTCTGGAGGAGCTTCTGGGCCTGCTTGGCGATATCAGCGTCCATGCCGGGACCACCGATCTGACCGAGGAACTCGACGACGGTGACTTCGGCTCCGAGACGAGACCAAACGGAAGCCTATGTGTTATTAGCACGGATCCCCCTCTCCTTCCAAAACGAGGGACATCATAATTATGAAATCGAGCGTACCATCTCCAGACCAATAATACCACCACCAATAACAACCATCTTCTTGGGGACCTCCTTCAGAGAAAGAGCACCAGTGCTGGTAATGATTCTCTTCTCGTCGATGTTCAAGCCGGGGAAAGGAGTTGCCTCACTACCGGTGGCAATGATGATGTTCTTTCCGCGGAGAGTCTGCTCACCACCCTCGAGCAGGTCGACCTTGACAGTGTTCTGGTCCACCAGCGCACCAGTACCCTTGATGTAGTCAACTCCGTTCTTCTTGAACAGGAACTCAATACCCTTGGTCAGGCCCTCAACGGAGGTGTCCTTGGCCTTCATCATCTGCTCGAGGTTCAACTTGACATCACCGACCTCGATACCGCGCTTTTTTGTGTCGTGCAGAATCTGGTGATAGAGGTGGGAGTTGTTGAGGAGGGATTTCGAGGGGATACAGCCGACATTAAGACAAGTACCTCCGAGACGGCCACGCTTCTCAATACATGCGGTCTGTATAGAAAAAAAGGAAAAAAACGTAGTTAGTACGGTCCAAAAAGGGCTTTTACGGTGACAGCGGAATTAGAATAAAAATTTACCTTGAAACCCTCCTGACCGGCCTTGATAGCAGCAACGTATCCAGCGACACCACCACCAATGATCACAATATCGTGTTCACCTAGTTTCCAGTGCCGGTTAGTTGTACTCATCCCGGAAACGAAACGCGGGTCCCATCATCCCCAACGGATCTGGCAGGGGTCGGGGAAGCGCAACATACCGGACTCAGAGGCATAACCACGGCTTGACTGGCCGAGAATAGTGAGCGAAGACGCAGGGACAAAGTGCGAAGGGACCGATTGAGGGCGAGCAGCGCGGAGGGCAGCCCGAGGTGTCGCCCGCGGCAGGAGGCTTCGGAACATGGCGAGAAGGACGAAGGAGGCAAGAAAGAGAAATTCCAGATATTAAAAAAGAAAGTAGATGACCGATCCTCCAATTTCAGCGACTTGGGAGGAAAGGAGAAGCGACAATTACGGAGAGATGGGGTAGATGAATAGTCGCAGGAAAAAGGATGTTGGGAGGTAAGAAGCTTTCTTGAGGTTTTGTCGCGTATGTAATCATCCGCGGTCTGGCTGGCAGCACCGGGTCCGTTCGGCTAACAGCTTCCACCTTGCCGATATATATCTCTTTAATAGAGAGGGATTGGCGACGATAACAAGGAATTCAAGGGGTTATTTGAATTCCGGGAGATTTCCTCTTCAACATGGCATATTGATCGATTTGAGTGGGATACTACTCGTAGTATACTGAAGAGTTGGCCTGGTTGTTGGCCTGGTAATTTAGGGTAATAGTAATACCTGGTCAACGGTATCCGTACTGTGGATCAGGAGGACCCTTGGCCATTCACCATTCACGATCTGTATAGAAGAATCATAGAAAGCTGTAAATAGAAGAAAGAGAGTGTACTACTACATTGCTTTTATAATCAGCTTATCCTAGTTACAGTCAGTTCTTGTAGTACTAGTAAGACTGGATATGTTGTGTCTGGTTGTATCCGCGGGTAACAGACGTTACAATACCAGATGGTCATTAGCCGCAGGTTGAGAACCAACAATTTCTCCCTGGGAGTCGGGAATGAACTATCAGCACAGCACTTCTTTTGGGGATGATGAGGTTAAAGTCTAGACTGGAGTCGAAAGTGATTCTGTCGGACTGTGTGGTTGTTCTCCAGGTCTGACGGATATTATTCCTTCACTCTATTCCTTCACTCTAATGAACTACAACCACGATAAAAACAAGCACCATGTCGAGGAATCAAGGTAGTACTTCTCCATCAATATATATTCAAAGGATTCTTGCTTAAATGTTGACATTAGTGAAAAAGAATCGGACTTGTTCCGTGGCCTCGAGCTTCTCCTGCCTCCTGTGCTTTCAAGAGTCCCTGGTCCGAGATTTGACCCCGAAAGGTCTTCAAATACATAACAGGCTAATGTCGCCTTTGGTCTCCGGGATCTACCGATGAAACAATTGCACGGTCCCCGATGAGGACCTCTATTCATCTCCAGATTCTGGCGGACCAACGCCGATTGTCGACTCATATCCTTTGCGTCAGTGGAGGACGGAAGAATGCAGTTTCTTTGTTTCCTAACAAATACTTGCTCTCCCACACGGAATGTAACCAAATTCGAACCTATGCAGTCGAGACCCGGCCGATCGATCACCATGCAACCGTCAAGGCTGCCAGCAAGGTATGTCTGCATATTTAAGTACGTCTGGAACCCCACCAGCATCGACCTCGTCCTCTGCTCCACGTGGGTTTGATCGAGAATTTGCTGATCGCTGTACTCGACTCGACTGTTACTATGGCGGACCACATATCGTCATGGAATGTCGTCCACAAACTTGAGAAGCGCAGTCTTCTCATTGCCATCAACTGTGTCGCAGCATTGTCGATCCTCTTCTTCGGATATGATCAGGGAATGATGGCCGGGGTCAACAATTCCAAGGACTATATCGACCTCATGGGCTTTGGCTACACCGAAATGAGAGACGGCCACCCCACTCCCGTAGTCACAGACAGCCTGCTGCAAGGGGGGATTGTGTCTGTCTACTACCTGGGCACTCTTTTCGGCGCACTGTTCGGTGGCTGGATTGGCGACAAGATTGGCAGGATCAAAACCATTGCATCGGGTTCTGTTTGGGCAATCCTTGGAGCCGCTTTACAGTGTTCTGCACAGAACCATAATTGGATGATTTGCTGTAAGATAGTTATACCCACCGCAAGGTTGCTTGTCTGCCAGGCTAACCAGCCTAGCTCGCTTCATTAATGGAATCGGAACTGGTATTCTCAATGCGATTGTTCCTGTCTGGGCTACAGAGACGGCGGAGCACACCTCACGCGGCCAATTTATTGCCATCGAATTTACATTAAATATCTTTGGTGTGGTCGTGGCCTACTGGCTAGAGTTGTAGGTGTTCGCAGGGATTCCTGAGGCATCAGCTAACATCTTCCAACAGCGGCCTATCGTACATTGATAACGGCGCATCGCCTATCCGCTGGAGATTCCCCATCGCCTTTCAGATTATCTTTTTGATACTTCTTTTCGCCGTCGTCTGGTTCTTCCCCGAGTCCCCGCGTTGGCTAGTCAAGGTTGGCCGGGACCAAGAGGCACGCTACATTCTTGGACGCCTCCGTGGGAGCAGCAGCGATGAAGCGGTGATTCAAGCTGAAGCCGAGTTTCGGGATATCCAAAGTGTTGCCGAGCTTGAACGATCCATGAACCACAGCACCTCCTATCTGGCTATGCTTTTTGGATACAAGACTGGAAAGCTGCATCTTGGCCGTCGCGTGCAGCTCGTCGTCTGGCTTCAGATCATGCAGGAATGGGTTGGTATTGCGGGAGTTACTGTTTGTATGTCTACGATTCTGGATTCTTTGTGTTTATGCTAATCCTCCTAGATGCACCGACTATTTTTAGCATTGCTGGGTTTGACTCGGTGAAAAGCCAATGGATTAGCGGGTTGAATAATATCTTCTACATGGTACGTATCTTATATATACGAAAGGCAAGATAAGCTGTGCGCTACTAATAAGACAGTTCTCTACTTTGATTTGTGTCTTTACTCTCGACCGGATCGGCCGTCGCCGGACCCTATACTGGGGATCCGTAGGTCAGGGAATCGCCATGTTCCTCGCAGGAGGATTCTCACGACTCGCCATCGATGCCCGCGAAGCAGGAAACCTATCGCGCGCGAGCTCGTTCGGTGCCGCTGCAGCATCTATGATATTTATCTTTACTGCCGTCTTTGGCGCTACTTGGTTGACAGGTGGGTCGCCTTGATTATCCAAAAAAAAAACTTATACAAATACACTCACTGAGAAACTCAACAGTGCCCTGGATTTATCCTGCGGAGATCTATCCACTGGCTGTCCGAGCGCGAGGAAATGCCTGGGGTGTCGTTGGCTGGAGTATCGGAAACGGCTGGCTGGTGAGCTTAATTTTCACTCTTGACTGCCCTTGGGATATTTTGCATCCTGGACTAATAATGATAGACCCTTCTCTGCCCGGTGATGTTCAGCTCGATCGGTGAAAAAACACTCTACGTCTTTGCCGCCAGTAACGTTGTCACACTTCCCATGGTCTGGGCCTTGTACCCGGAGAGTAACCAACGTACTCTCGAGGACATGGATATGTTGTTCGCGGCTGACTCGCCCTGGGTGTGGGATGCGGAGAAGACGTTTGCGCGGCTCAAGGAGGAGAACCCGGGTTATGTTGAAACGGCTGCGCGAAAGAACAGTTTTCTGGAGACGGAGGTTGCCGGACCGTCGGGTCTCGAAGCATAATATTAGTGCAATGCCACTATGCGCACATGTTGTAGAAGAGATGGCGGAGGCAGGTGAAGAACCATATATCACTAAACACGATTCAGGAATATCAATCTCTTTTTTTTTTTTTTTTTTTCTTTCCAATAATTTTATTTCACATAATAATCAGTTTGATAATGGGAATGAATAAATACTCTACTTAACTACTACACCGTCCTTCCATCACCAGAAGGCGAGATTCGGCGACGATGTGTTTTAAGCCCAGGGACCAGTTACTACACTAGCCACAAGAACCCGGAGAATTCGCTGTGGCGGTTTGTTGTGTTTGTTGTGGCTGGACTCATCTCGGAAGATACGTTTTTCCCGTTCCCCCCCTTTCCCTTCTCTAGCTTCAACGCCGAAAGCACAGCTGGCATTATTAGCAGCAGAGCTACCTATACCTACGATCTGTCTTGATTGCCATCTCTTTTTCTTTCTTCTCCCCTCCTCTCTCTTAACATTCGACAATAGAATTCCTTTTTGGTCCTGTTTCTTATTCATCCATATCATTCCATCGCCATGTCTGAACAAGTACAGGAGTTGCTTAACATCCCCCAGGAGTTTCTCAAGGATGGCATGCAATTTGTCAACCGCAGCCAGAAGCGTACGTTTGGTTTTATTTAAAAATGAGAAAGGTACTAATGATTGATGGTGTATGGGTACAGCCGACAAGCGCGAATTCATCAAGATCAGCCAGGCCGTTGGTACTGGGTTCCTGATTATGGGATTCATCGGGTACATTGTTAAACTGAGTATGTCTTTGCTGTGCAGATATCGGTTGTCTACGATGTCCAGAGTCATGCTGATTGTGATTGATTAGTCCATATTCCTGTCAACAATGTCCTCGTCGGCGGCGCATAGATATCCTCACGTGGTCTGAGAGCAAGAAGAGTGCAAGAAGAGTGCGCACGCGCAAAGGAGCAAGTCCAGATCGGACTAGACTTGAATTGAACCAGTCCAGTCTATCGCAATGAGAGTATACCCACTGTATCATCTGTACAGAGCAGACCAGTCTCGGAAATCGCGCGCGCGCGAGAGAGAGAGAGAGAGAGAGAGAGAGAGAGAGAAGGGGAAGAAAGCGGAGACTGTCCTTGGAGATTATCTGCTGGCATATTGGGGCTTCAACCGTATGGGTGGCGTTATGTCGTGTTATTTTTCAATTTCCAATTTCGATTTCGAATCCATGTCTTTATATAATATTACGAAGGAAAACCCTTTTTCTGGCCTTGTTTCACGTTTGATTCAGCGGGAGTTTCCTGGCTGGTTCTAGCCTTCCGGTCGTCAGGTTGTCTCTGCAAACCGGGAAGACCGATGGAGCACTAAGTATCGAAAACTACGAGGCATTACTCGTAGGCAGTAGTGAAACTCCCCACCTGTAGAGCCCAAATCGAGCCGGTGGTAGGAGTAGAAAGGATGGATCAAGTAACCAAGGCTAACGTCTCACCAATGCAGCCTGATCCATCGCTCAGGGGCATGCAGTAGTCACGAAACAGTCTCGTTCTCTGAGCTGGCATGTAAACCTGAATTTTCATTGTTCATTTTAGCATTTCCAATGACTCGAACCCATGATTCAGTCAGTGTGGAATGAGAGAACAAAAGCATCCTGATTCGTCAGTTCTATATCAACTCCTGCCTTAGGCTGCAACTGTCTACCTCCATCTTCGACTTCCAACTTTTGCCAAAATCAAATCCTGATCAGCCAAGAACTCTTGCATACGATTAGTTACTACATTACTCTTACCAACGCGGAGAAGAAAGAACCTAGAAACTCTCCACAAACGGCACTAGAACACACGACGATGGCATCCAATCCCACACTCCAACGCAAGCAGCACAAAGAAACAGCCCAGAGCGCCCGTGGGGCGAATCCTTCCTATGCCACCAGTCACCGTCCAACGCCTGTTGTTCTCGAAGACAACAACAACAACAAGAACAAGAACAAGAACCTTTTGCTAGAAGATGAAGCCAATGACGATGCAAATGATCCACTCTCTGGCCCCCACGAAGAAGAATCTCCACAGCAGCCAAGCCTTGTCAGTACTACTACCACTACTAGTAGTAGTAGTATCACTGTCGCTTTCCAGGAGGACAATAATGCACGACAACAATTTTTTACTCGACATAAACCCACCACACCCGATCAACCTACTAGTCATCCACCCGAACTAATCAAAAAAAATCTCCACCGCATCTCCCGCCATCCAACTCTAACCCCTTACCGTCGGCGCACGTATCGTGCCCTCCTCTCCGTTCCACCCGGCCAGTGGACGACCTACGCTGCGCTGGCGAGGCATCTGCGCTCGAGTGCCCGGGCCGTAGGTGCGGCGATGCGCACGAATCCGTTTGCGCCGGAGGTGCCCTGTCATCGGGTTTTGGGGAGGGATGGGTCTTTGGGTGGGTATATGGGGAGTTCTCCTTCGTCTAAAAGAGGAAGCAAAGATGAGCGGAATCTAGAGCTGAAGAGGAAGTTGTTGGAACGGGAGGGAGTGAGGTTTGATAATGGGGGGAAGGCAATGGGGAGGGGTTTTGTGGAGTTTAGGGATCTTTAATTGTATCTTTTATGATTATTATCTTATTTATGGACATCCGTTTTTATATGTATGCTATGTATGTACTGGGAGTATGTGGTTGTATAAAACAAATCCTGTCAAGATAAATATGCGACGAGGTATCAACCCAAACAAACACCGACCGTCTATGTGTGTATAAAAAGGGGGGGGGGGGGGGTAAGAGAAAAAAAAAATAAACATGCGACTGTGACGTATCGTCTCATAACGCCGTCCATGTACCCATACCGCATTAGTCGTCAAGCATGAATAAGAAAAAGTTATAGAAGAAGAAGAAGAAGAAGATATAAAACAGCCAGGGAGTTGAGTTCCCAAGAAGAAGCAAAGCAAGGCAAAAGTCAAGGATATAGAACAGAAAAAAGGTCAATCAAACAGTACCAAAAAAAAAAAAAGAAAATTAAGCAGTCTTCAATCGCTTGGCGGATCGACGCTTCGGTACATCCATATGGTGGTAAGAGCGCAGATGCTCGACCAAATGGTCTCGTCGCGGGAACCCATTGCCATCCTTTCGCGAACAACCCGCGACAGGACAATTCTGGAAGACCGGGTAGTGGACGGTGGTCTGGTGACGCTTGAGGTCTGCCGGGCGGGTGAAACTCTTCCCGCAGTCGTCGCAGGCGTATGGCTTGACGGGTCTGGACTCGTTGATTAGTGAACTTGGACCTGGAATGCGAGGAAGAGATAGGAAGAGAAAAGGCATACTTGGATGGCTCCTGGGGGCTGAAGGCGTCCAGAGGAGGGAACAGGGCCTGGTCGAGAGGAGTCATCTGCGCGGGTGACCAGACTGGAGTCGAGCTGGAGGGGAATGAGGTCACGGTGTCCATGGGGAAGGGCTCAGGGGTGTAGACGAAAGTAGGATTGAATTCGTAGTAGGTGGTGCTTTCGAGGGAGGAGGGCTCAAATGCGGGCTGGGGGCTGAGTGGGAGCTCGTTGGCCATGAGGTGATACATTTCCAGGAAACCCATGGACTCGTCGCTGAGCGTGGAGAAGGAGGAATTGGACGAGTAGGACGAGTAGGACGAGAAGGAGGAGGGAGAAGGCTCCATTGGAGGGCAGGCAATGGGTTGAGTCTTGGGGGGGTGGTTAGTTTTCGCGTACTCAGCATACAAAGAGGGGAAGAAGACATACCATAACTGGCCGAGACAACATGGTTCCTTCAGAGAGCAGCGTGAGAAATGATGCCAAACCCTGGTGACTTGGCTGGGAGGGAAAGGAAGGGCTTTTTATAACAGGTGTGTTCTGGTCAACCCGACGACGTTGTTTTCGCACATGCATTAGACCCAGAACTTAGTACAACCACCAGCGACGAACTAACTAAGAATACGAAAAAGATCCATGGCGACATCATCACCTGAGCCGGACCCGCGTCTGGGGATTTCTGCTTTCTAGTGACCTAGTCTCTTTCGCATGCAGATTAACAGGCCACACAGCCCCCCAGTCCATCTCCACTGCAGCTGTGCTTACGCTAGAAAAAGGATGGAAACATGGGAAAGTTCTTCCAAACTTCTAGCGTGCTTCTTTTTTTCCCTCCTCCCGTCTCTTCTCCTGTGCTGGTTGCTGACGGCATGTTGATCTGATTCGATATGTGACCCCAGGGGCAATGCCCACCACGGGCCGATAACCTGAAATGATATCATCATCATCATCATCATCATCATCATCTCTTAACCCGAGAAGAAAGAGGAGAAATTGTGGTGGCAGGATGCGGCTCGAGTGCGTCGGTCGAAGGTGAACTCTTGACCGTGGAATCGCCTTACGAACGTGCGGGATCGTCATTCGTCAAAGATAGACTCTGGAGTATGAAGTGGCTTCGGAGGCCCCCGACAAATCGTCTCTGAGTGTCCTATCAGGGATTTTCCGGCCAAAGTACGATCATGTGGTTCTTTTTTCCGCTGCTAGAGCCTAGGTATACCACCGGAGAAGGTACTATAGGTGCCTAACACGACATACATACTTGGGAATCCTCTCCTCTCCAGCATGAGGTCGCAAATCAGAGAGATTCCCTTCAATATGACGAACCTGACTCGCGGACTTGTCGGCAACCATTCCGCGCGGGGGCGTCGAGGATCGTCTTGAATCGACTTGGATCCCCTCGACGCATTCAATCCTCCGTCCTCGGTAATAACAAGGATTACAAGTGGCTGGAAACGGTCTGGCAGGCTGATTCCCAAGCACAAGGCGCACTACCTACTGCCCCTTACTCTCGAGTCTCTCTCTCTCTCTCGTAAGTTTCGTCTATCTTGTCCTCTCATAGGTATATTCGACCCCCTAGAATCATTCTAGAAGACTTTAGTGTCGCTGATTGTAAAATCCCTCATCAGAAGTTTAATCAGTGGCACCTTTTTTTTTTTTGTTTTTGTTTTGAAAATCTTCATTCTGACAGCTTTAGTTCAATCCTACTGACTCTGGACTCTTAACTAGCAAGCATGAATTGAATGGTCATGAATAAGGAATAATCTCTCTCTCTCTCTCCTCGATTTTTGTCCTATTTTTGGCTTTTCTTTATTTTCTTTTTTTTTATTTAATTTCCTCTCATTTCTTATTTATGGATTCCTTAATTTATTATGATTCCACTTATTCTTTGTTCTGACTTCCAAGCCTCTCTCCAATCTGTCGATCTGGAAATCTGTTACAGCCACCTTCACCTACACCCCGTTCAACGGGTCTGTGCTGTGTTACACCACTGCTACATCTTGCTTACTTCTTACACTTCTACGGTTCTACCTCAATCAAAGAGCAAACGTTGGAATCGAGGGAAAATCTCGTGGGATCTCCGTTTCTCAATTGGTTAACCAAAGCAGCAGCTGCAGCTCCAGACATCGCTGCATGTCCATCAGCCGCCACCAAAGAACAGCGTAGAACTCCCCTGTCCCGCAGACCCATTCAACACCAGTTCCTGAACCATTGAAGAAAATAGAGACATTAAAACATCATGAGTGAAATAAAAAGGAGGTAAAGGATGACCGCAACCTTTCTTCCCGTCTCACTTGCAGAGAGACTGCTTCGGAGCTAACTAATTCTTAGTCTCCAGTCCAACCAGACAGGGAAAAGGAAAAAAAAAAAAAAAAAAAAGGAAAGTTTCCAGATTCTTTTCCCCTTCTGTTTCATTTCATTTCATTTCATTTCCTTTTTTTTTTTTTTTTTTTTTTTTTTTTCGAATTTGGTCGGATAGGTGACACCGAGTAAGTCTCGAAACAACCACAGACAGACACAGAGAGAAAGAGAGGGTCAGAATTCATATCCAGTACGCGTGTTATCAGATTACAATTCATCCTCCAGATACTTGTAGACAAACTTGAAGTCTGCCTTGCGACGATTCATCCTGAAGCCGCTATGTTAGAAGAACTTTGTATAGCCAAATACGAGGACAGAGACAAAAAAAAAAAAAAAAAAGAAGAAGAAGAAGAAGAAGAAGAAGAAGAAAAAAACTTACCAGGTACTTTCATAATCAAAAAAACGATAGGTGCCTTGCTCAAACTCCTCAGTAATGGTCTTGGGCTCTTCGTGACGCTGGAACCACGTCTGGTACTGTTTGTGGAAGCGCCAGCTCTGATTCTTCAACGCCTTGGCCGCCAAATACTGCTGGTAGGTGCCCTGACGGTAATAGAACAGGTAAAACAAGGTATCCGTATCGATCCTTCCGGTCTCGTAAAGACGAGGATCGTCGAAGATGGCGAGAGGCTCCTGGGGGTAGTAGAGGGGGGTGTTGTAAGGATTCTGGGGCTTATAGTGACGAGGCTTCTCCGCATCCGCAGGCTCAGGACAGTTGGTGAGAGACGCGGCCAGAAGACGCTGCACCGAGGGAGGCTGGCTTGTAGCATTGGTCGTAGCGCGAGTCTTGGTCACCTCGAAGGAGTGGATCAAATCCTGCAGGCCGGGAGGAAGGTGGTAGATCGATTCTTCTCCCTCCTGCTGCGGAGCTTCTTTCCCGGTATCGCCATTGGCTATCGGCTGTTCCTTCGGGGCAGTGGTTTCGACTTTATCCATCGCCGGGGTGGGTGGCATCGTATTCGAGGCACTCACAGCCGCGCTGACCTTTGGACTAAATGCAAGTGTTCTCAAACGGCCTCCCACTTCCTCTGCGGCGACTGCTGCAGTGGGCGTAGTTTTCGGCGCAGGCTGTGCCAAAGTAACAATAGGTGAAGCAGTAGACGAAGCTCGGGAGGCGGGCACTGCAGGAGGAAAGGCGGGGCTGGCCCCGAGTGGAGGGGGGAGGGGGGCGATACCAACGCCGTTTTTGTCACTGGCAGCGGCGGCGGCAGCAGCAGACGCGTACTTGAGTGTTTCTCCGGGCAGACGCGTCGGTGGGGGAGCAGGTTTCATGGCAGAAGCTGAGCTAGTTGAGGCCGTTGGATGAAGGGTCGCAAGCACCGGAAGCGGGGATTTCATCTGCGTTGAGGGTCGTCGATGGCCGACCACATCGCTCTTCGACGGCTTGGGCTTGGGCTCGATCTCTTCTTCCTGGATCGACTGAGTGTCTTGTGACGACACTCGGTCGTTGTCACCAGTCATGCCGAATTGTGCTTCAGCATCATCGCCGATGTTCAGGTCATCATACAGCGTCTCGTCTTCCCCAGAATAATCGATGTTGTGCCCATCCTCCACATAGTATTTGATGCTTTCTTTGAGATCCAACACTTGATTTGGTTCCAGATTGCCATTCTGCAGAGACCGTAGCAGCAGTTCCAACTTGTTAACGTGCCATTTGTGACGCTCCGTTATGCGTGATATGTCTGCCAGACGATTGGCCTTTACGACATCCTTTTTGCCTTTCTTCATCTGCATATGAAGAGATTCCTCTTCAGCCTCCATGGCCTCGATTCTTTGCTGCAGCTCATCCACCATATTTGACAAGAAGTCGCATGTTTCAACTTTTTCCTTTTCCTTCGGGTCAAGACGCGACGCTGCAGAAAGGCCTTCCTTGGAATATGCTTTCGTCTTCATCTCCTTCTCGACGGCTTTGAACTGCTCCATACACTGGATCCCAATTAGCCTCTAGCAGCCATTTGGGAGGAATTAGAGGGGCCTCACAGTTTCAATGGCCCTGCGCTGTTCAAGCAGCGGCCCTTTGTCTTTGACTTCATTCCCCGAAGCCCATGATTTGATCTGATCACGATATCGCTGAAGCTTCTTGATCTCTCGTTTCAAGTTCTCCTCTAGCTTATCGCGCTGGGTGGGGTTGGTCGCGGAGCGGATCTTGTCGTAGATACCCTCAAACGTCTGGATACCTTCAGCGACCTTCTTAAAGGTCTTGTCGATCTCCTGCTGCGTTTTGCGGGACGTCATGGCTGCTGTTCAGGCGAACAGAGTGCCAAGAGACGAGAATTCCACTAATATCAATGCACGTATCCGGAGGGAGAAGGGGAGAGTTCTGGGGGGGGGAGGGAGGGACGGATGGAAGGAAAGAAAAGATGGGTTGCCCAGCAACTTTTTCACAACAAAAATATGTAGTGTGTTAGTGTTAAAAAAAGCCTCTCAAGCCTGTGAATCTCCTGATACTATTTCCGGTGGTCACAACGCTGGGGATGGGAGCCCAGAAGGGAAGGCGGTCACATACCGCCTTGCCTGGCACAGTTTCCGCCAGAGAACTCTATGGTGGGGAATATAATACTCTCCTTTATATCTTTATCTTTTATTTCAGAGGCTTTGAACCCGTGTTTTACTTTGTATATCGCGTGGTTTTCTTGACTCAGTGTTGGTTCTATATCCGCTTCCCCTCCTGGTGGTTACAAGTCAAGACTACCATCGACCCCTCCATGCTTGTCAACACAGTTAACAGATCCTGGTGGCAGGTGTTCACTGTTGACACTTGATCATGAAAGGTTGGTACTCTGATCGAGCCTTGAAATCGATGCTGACTTTCTTAGCCGTTATCCAACGAGTCAAGTCTGCTTCCGTCACGGTTGATGGCGAATTGGTCTCCAAGATTGGCCGCGGACTTCTCGTTCTCGCAGGCGTGGGACGAGATGATACAGAGAGGGACATAGACACCATGATTACCCGGATCCTCAAAGCTAGGCTATTTCCGGGGGACAATGATGCACAGGCAAGGGCTCCAACAACAGGTTAGAGAGTGCTCCTAACCAGACAGCAGTGGAAAAAGAATGTCTCAGATATTGACGGCGAAGTGCTTTGCGGTATGTTCTTACGTCTGTCTGGCCTTAGTATCAGCCAACTGATCGCCCTAGTATCACAATTCACACTCTTCGGCCAACTCAAGAAAGGGAAACAACCCGACTTCCACGAAGCAGCCAAGGCTGAAGTCGCGCGGAGTCTATACGACTATTTCTACCGGCGCCTAAGCGAAACCTACAAACCTGAGCGGGTCAAAAATGGGGTTTTCCAAGCGATGATGGATGTCGAGTTAATAAATGACGGGCCGGTGGGTGTAGATTACCGCAGTGAGGATGCGGCGGTTAGCTATCGCCTCTCCTTCGGCCTTGTTAATATTATATCGGCGTGCTAACAGGACTTCTCTTACGATAGGTCACCATCGAGATTGACACGCAATTACCGAAGAAAGAGAAGATCCCGGGCGATGGGAAAGGGGAGACCTCGACGGAATCCAAGGCAGAAAGGGTTGAGTTCCAATTGCCTGCATCGCTCCTGGAGTAAGACGGACGAATTGTCGTTATGATGATACCCTTCTAACCTGTAGATATGTAGAAATAATGTTTATATAGATTTCGGCCCTTGACGTCTTTCAAGGAGCTAGACTGATGGAAGAATAATATCAACCAATGATCCACAATTGTCTAGAGCGATCATTTTAGCTTCAACGTCTAATTAAAAACCACCACTGGGTAGTTTCAAAAGGTTCAGCCATACAAGATCCCATAATCGATCGATTTGAGAGGGTTCGAGGGTTGTCGTGCGGAGTTTGCAGCAAACCCGTGATGTGATGGAAGCTTCCTGAAGCATCGCAGCGAAAAGCCTCCCTCCTAAGCCCATTTTGGCACTTGGTCTTTTCTTCCCCTCTTATGATCTTCTTCTCCTCCTCCTCCTCCTCCACTTTCTGTCTCCTTTGCTCCCTTCTCGTCTTCCCCCCTCCTCTTCTTTTTCTTCATCAGCTTCCTTTCCACAAGTCTTCGCATCTAAATCCCTTCATAATGGCTGACTCCCAGCGTATGTTGTCATCCTCCCCCGCCATCAGCTCCAACCTTTGATAGATTGCTGATCGCTCCTTCTAGGCCGCCCCCGCGTCTTCTTTGACATTGAGATCGGTAATCAGAAGGCTGGCCGTATTTACCTTGAATTGGTGGGTTTCTATCTCTCATTCCGCTCCGGATCGTTGCGGTAACAGCCCTTGCTAACTACCCCGCCGCCGTCTTAGTTCAACGATGGTATTATTCCTTGATAGCGTGCCTCCCTGCATTTGTTAACATCAGTTTAGTTGTGCCTAAAACCGCAGAGAACTTCCGTGCGCTCTGCACGGGGGAGAAGGGCGTGGGAAAACAGGGAAAGCCCTTAAGTTTCAAGGGTATGACCATTACGGCTCCATTTTTTCGCGCGGCGTTCGAATTTCTGACGGACGTTGCCCACTAGGTTCGATCTTCCACCGAGTGATCAAGCAGTTTATGATCCAAGGTGGTGACTTCACCGCGTTCAATGGCACTGGCGGCGAGTCGATCTACGGCGAAAAATTCCCCGATGAGAACTTTGAACTGAAGCACGACCGTCCCTTCCTGCTTTCTATGGCCAACTCCGGCCCCGGTACCAACGGTAGCCAGTTCTTCATCACCACTGTCCCCACCCCTCATTTGGACGGCAAGCACGTCGTTTTTGGCGAAGTTATCAACGGAAAGAGTGTGGTGCGCCGGATTGAAAACATGTCCACTCAGGCGGACAAGCCGACTTCCGATGTGACCATCACAGACTGCGGTGAAATTGATGGCGAGGAATACGAAAATGCCGACAAGCAAGTTCCCGATGCTACCGGTGACCCATACGAGGATTTTCCAGATGATCACCAAGGCGAACAGCTAAGCGCTCCTGTGTGCTTCAAAATTTCTTCCGAACTCAAGAGCTTTGGAAATGCCGCTTTCAAGGGTGGTAATCTCCAATTGGGCTTGGAAAAGTATCAGAAGGGGTTGCGCTACTTGAATGAGTTCCCGGAGCCGGACGAGGAAGATCCTAAGGAGCTAGGTCCCCAGCTAAAGTCCCTGCGCTTCACTCTCCACTCCAACTCGTCCCTTTTGGCCAATAAACTCGGGCAATTCAGAAACGCCAAGTCCTGGGCCACATATGCCCTGGAAGTGGCCGAGGCTGCTGGTGCCAAAGAGAGTGACAAGGCCAAGGTTTACTACCGTCGTGCTATCGCCCACCGCGGACTTAAAGAAGAGGACGAGGCCCTGAAGGATCTGCAAACTGCCATTGCCATGGCCCCTACCGATGCTGCCATTGCCAATGAAATTACCAAGGCCAAGAAGGCCATTAAGGACCGGGAAGCTCGCGAGAGAGCCACTGCTCAGAAGTTCTTCTCATGAACAGAGCTTCGTCATGATTCATGATTATGACATTCTTTCTGTTCCGTTTATCCCGACCATTTGCATACAAAGTGATGGTATCCTGGGTCAATTCGCAAGGATTCTAGGATCCTCAATCTATCGGTTAATGTGGTGCAGCATTTCCAAAAGCCTTTTATTGTCTTCAGCACTCGCCAGGGTGGAGAATGGAGGCGCACATTATTTGGTCGTATGTTCCATTCTGAAGATCTCAAACCCTCGAGCTCCTTTATGGGTGAGATGTAACTCGAACCCCCACCGAAATAGCCAGGGGACTATTCCTTGGGAAAGAAAGCTTCCCTCATTTGATTATTAGCAATAAATGAAATGTACTCATTACCTATATAGCCTGGATTCTGGCCAACTCCTCGTACACAACTCTTTCTTCGATTTAGAGCGTCCCTGAGTTCTTTAGTTTTGATGCCTAAGGCCAGACATAGCACATCCCCGCAACCCAAAGAGGAAATTATCTCCATCAGAAACATTTCGTCACATCATTCATCACAATGCAATTAACTGCATTCTCCTTTCTGTCTAAGCCTTCAATTAAATGCCCGCGTCAGCGGTAAGAACCAACCTCCGGCCTCTTCCGAGTCATCTCCATGACCTAACTATACGCAGACTCCGTCTCGTCCACCCATCCGCTCCAACACGCGACCCCAGTTTGCCTCCACTCCTCGCTTTCTTCTATCCCAGCGGGCAGCGGGGCCGAGAAAAGAAGCGCCAGATGACATTGATTCTATTCTATCCAGCGATGACGCGACTTCAGACCCTCTCCCAACACCGCGTCCCGCTCCTCCAGCGGGACAATTTAGTCACAGGCCACGTCGAAAGGAGATAATTGAAGACCACGGTGTCGAACCAGACCAGATTACGGACCAAACTGCACCCGGAGATAACACCACCAGCCCCCTAGAAGGCACCACGAAGCTAGACCCGGAGATTGAGGCGCTCTTGGGGCCTACGTCGCATCGCACAAAACGACGCCGAGTCCTTGCAAATACAGTTACCCCATGGATGCAGAGCAGACAGCGACTCGATATCCCCGGTTCATCTCCCCATCAGGAGCCCTCATCTCCTTCCCCGTCATTACCGTATTGCACACCGCACCACACGCGTTCAGCGCCAACCCCGCAGAAGACACCACCACAGCCTCCCCCAACTCCTGCAACTACTAAAGCTTCTGGCCGCAGTATTCCCCGTTTCCTAGTTTCCCCTTTCAATCCACCACCACCACCACCACTCAGCAGCCAGCCGGTGTCACGCATCAAACACCTAACAGAGACACCTCCATCCCAATCACCACCTGCAAGACGGAAACCGGGATTCGTGTTACCACGCTCTCCTTCCCCCTCCCAGACAGAGGACTCAAGCGCTATCCCTACACCGTTTTCGCCTTCCTCGGGTACGCTCCATCGTCGTGGTCGTGGACACTCCTCGGCACCAAGCTATCTCCCAGGGGGTATGGCAGCCGAAGTCCGCAGCTGGATTCTGGAAATGGGAACCAAAAGAGAACAGCCTCCAATGAGTGCCGATACCCGCACGAGATCGGAGCATGGGTTATTCAATATGCAGCGGTATACCTTGGTTCTTCGAATCAATAATGTCCGCCAGTCTGCCCTAGGGAGTTGTGGCCCGATTGCATTTGTCCAGGGCCATCCTGTCACGTCACTAGACGATACCGATGCAAACACCGGTAGATCTAGTGACGACTCTACAGAGAGAAGGAACCTCCTTCTCCTAGGTGCGCCTCGTCCTCGCGCAGACAAGCGACTGCAATTTCGCAGCGCCTCACCCCGTGTCCCGGACTTGAAACATGGCGATTTGGTTGGTGTCTGCTGGGGGTTGGTCTGGGAATTGAACTCTGACAATCAACAAAGTGGTGAACAGAGTACAAACATGGGCTCTGGGGTCAATTATGATCAGGTTCTACGTAGTGAGAGCGCTCGTAGTCCGCACTTGGGCAAGTGGCTTGTTGGTATGGAGTGGGAGTTGATTCCATCGCCGATGATGTGAGAAAGGGGAATGAATCGCTTCTCCAGAGAAAGAAAGATAAGACGAAAGAATAGACAGGTATGAATAATAAATACATACATATATATATATGTATCCAATGTAAAAAGTTAGTAGGGTAAAATGCAATACTTTTCCCGGGTAATCATTTTCCATCCCAATGCTGAACCAATATGCGCCTTGGGTCATATATTAAATATAGACATGTGAACAGACAGACCCCAAGCGCAGCAAAGAAAGAAAGCAGTACAGAAAAGGAAAAAGAGGGAAAGGCATTCTAATCAAAAATCAAAACCCAGCACCCTCACTCTCCACAACCTTCAAAGCATCCACGGCCACCCGGCATCCCCATTTCACCAACTTCAGGTCCTTTTCTGAAGCCACGACATCCGTCTTCGCAACAACCTTACGAATAAAGTATATGCATCCCTTGACGATCTGCGGGGTCTCGCGTGTCCGCATGAAGACATCCACGAGGGCTTTCTCGTCCCGAGTGGAATCTTCGTCCTCGGCCTTACGCTTGGATTTAGATTTCTTCATCTGTTTCTGCTGAGATTGCTGGATGATGCTGATCATGAGGAGTTCGACAAAGGTCTTGGTTTTCGGCTGGAGGTAGGCGAAGTTGAGAGTTTTCAGGATGCCCAGGGTGAGTGTTCCGTCGGCGATGAGGGAGGCGTACATCTTGGCGAGGTTGACGATTGCTTTCATGGCAAGCGAGTTTTGGCTATCTTCGCTGTCGTTGTTGAAGCCGCCGTCGTCGTCGTCGTCATCGTTATCGTCGTCTAGGTCGCCGGTTTCACCCATTCTTTTGAAGGTGTTCCACAGCGTAAACATGAAGGAGACTTTGATGCGCCGGCCGAGCTCGCCGCAGAGGCGCCGGGCGATTAGTGTGTAGTAAGGGTTGTACACGTCTTCCTCCATGGCGCAGTGGGTGAGGACGCGTGGGATCTCGAATTCCTGGGCTCGTTTGAGGCGGAGCTTAAGGAGGCGCACGTGGGCGTCTTGGTAATCTGTGGCGGACATGATGGCCACGAAGATGGAGCGACGCACGTCAGTGTTCATGCGGTGGGCTTTGGCGATGGATGCAAGGTCGGGCTCGCCGTCACTATCGTCGACTGGAGCGGCGGGGTTTTTGCTGTTCAAAGGGAGGTTGGAGAGTTCCTGGCGGGCAGATTCAAGAGGATCTTCTTTCCAGCTGGCGCCGACGAGCCACCATTTGCCCTTCTTCGAAGAGTTATGGATATCGTCCCGCGATATGCTGATGGGTTCGGACGCACGGATGACCCGGGAGTTGTTCAAGGAGCCGAGAATCTTTCGCATCTTGGTAATGTGCTCAGAGGTGACGCTGGAGCCGGCTCCAGCTTTAATGCGGTTGTTCTTGAGATCGGTGATGGTTTCGACCATGAATTTCGTACGTACGGATAATGACGCTTCACCCGCTTTTGCTACGGCCGGTTGAATGAGTAGAACAATGTCCTTCAGGGATGAAGGGTCATCTTGGCGAAGCTGGGGTCCGGAGTCTGATATAGTCAGTAATCATGTTTATATATAAAAGATTGGAGATACGGCGGCGTACTTCTGATGACCTTGAGGAGCAGTTCTGTATTCTCCTCGTTGATATCCTGCAGGAATAGTCGGATATAGTCAAATACCAGGGTGCTTCCGATGACGTGAAAGTTGTACAACTGGGTCAGAAGCGAAATCAAGTTGATGGTCTCTTTTCCTTCAAATTTGCCTCGTTCGTCACCTCCAGCGTCGAATGTCTCGACTATCTTTTGTATAATTTCCGCGCCAAAGTCCATTCCCATCACCTTATAAACAGCCGCAATAAAGCCAGCATGGAGGACGATGAACGTATCTTGGAGAGCAGACCTCTCACAAATCAGTCCAAAGAGTAGGGAAATTAATGTCGAAGTCACATTTTGACGAGGGTATTCGCGGTATAGCTTCTCAAATTCAGCCAGGATGGAAACAAGGTTGGCTTCGGATAACTTGTTTAGGTGACCCTGCGCCTGTCTCCTTAGACGGGTGAGGGATTCAGACTCAGAATTGGACTTTGCGCGTAACGACGGTGGGATATATTTCGCCGGGCGATCCTCACTCGCTGCTGGTGCTGGAGCAACATATGGGTTCTCTCGTTTCTTGGGCTCAGGCTTGTCCTCATCCTCGTCCTCGTCCTCGTCTCCGTCCAGCCCATCCAAGTCCTCATCATCGTCGAAATCTTCCATATCCTCATCGCTTCCTAGATCACTCCCAGACTCCTCCGATTCACTCTCAGGCTCCAGACCCTGCGCCTTTCTCCTTTTATTACGTAGCCACTCATCTGCCTCCCGCTTGCGTTTCCGACCCTCGTCTGCCGATGCGTCATCATCCAATTCACCCAGCAGCTCATCCAGTCCATCCTCCGCAAAGGCCTTTGACAGTTTCTTTCCCTTTTTCAGTCCCAGTTTCTTCTCTAGCGCGGCAATCTCAGCGTCATCCTGGTCCAACTTTTCTTTAACAGTTTTGGATATGTGTTTCCGCGAGGCTTCTGCTGCTGCTTCGTCGTCGTCGTCGTCGTCATCGCTTCCCGAATCGGACACCTGGCCCGTCTTAGTTTTCTTGAGGGTCGCCTTCAGCTTGCTCTCCTTTTCTTTCGCTGGCTTGGACTTAGACGGCGGGGGAATGTTGTTGTCATCAGATTCATCCAAATCCACATCGAAGTCGGAACCCTCGTCGAAATCGCCCAGGTCATCGTCGTCGTCCTCATCGTTGAATTTCCGGCCACCACTCTTCTTGGGAACCGGCCCTCCTTTCTTCTTTCCCACGCGCTCTTCTCGACGGCGATCTTTCCTCGAGACCTGTTCGTTCCGCCTATTCTTCTTCTCACCGTAATGATCCTTGATTCCTAGTTCTGTACGCAGTCCTCTCGGTAAAGAGGTCGTATTATGCCTCGGACGAGGCATGGTCAAGTATCCCCGGATCTATAGCGTAGATATAATAAACACCAGGGAAGAAAAGATAGAAACAATTCTGCTTTAGTAAATATTAAAAAAAAAAAAGACGGCGGAGCGGAAGGCGGTGAGAACTCGGAGTTTCCCCCCACAATCACCACCACCACCGCATTCCAGATCGACTCTCGGATTCCATCACATATTGAAAGTCTCCAATTCACAAGACCCAACCGATCCCAGGGTGCCAAAATGCCAGCGCCTCTCGGTCATGAAGAGGTACGTCTATTCATTTCCCTTTTTTGCTCGCCACAGAACCCAATCCACCAGAAAGAGCTAACAAGAACAACAACAACAACTGTGGCCACAGTTCTTCTCTTCCCTCGCAAACCTCCTCTCCACCACATCCCAAAACTCCCGGGGCTCCGTATACCTAAGCCAGAAACCCCTTCCCTCTTCCACTACCTCCTCCGACGCCGAGAGCCAAAGCCAGCGGCCCTCAATCCTCATCCGCGCCACGGATGGGAACACCAACGCGACCAACCCAAAAACCTACAAGGAGAAGAAATCGCAAAAGAATACCAAATTGAAGCTGTCGACTGTGGTGGCTCCAGAGGACCTGGAGGCTTTCTATGCGCGGTATGCAGAGGTGTGCAAGGCCGGTATGACGGGGTTGAAGAAGAGGGATCGGAAACGGGGGAAAGCGAAGGCGAAGGGTGCGGCCAAGGTTACCAAGGCTTGAATGTGATCTTCTCTTCTCTTCTCTTCTCTTCTCTTATAGTCTATTTATCTTCTTGTCTTGTCTTGTCTTCTCTTGTACTGTCTTGCATGAATGTGGCGCACTGGGTTTCTCTTTTTGCTTTCTTTGGTGTCTTGAAGATATACCTAGCTGTTTATAGTCTTGCCAATAGACCACTATTCAGGTTTCATTCTTGTAGGGGGGGGGGGGGGGGGGGGGAAGGTTGTGCAGTGTTAAATGATGCTCGTGTATAGAAGGGGCGTTGTCATTCATTAATTACTACCTAATGGGTGCTGCTGATATAATATGCTAGAATACAATCAAAACAAAAATTAGGAGATACATATACCATGCAAAACAGGGCCAAAATACACCCATACCCATACCCAGATCCATACCCATACCCATATTAAAAGAAAGTAAGACCAAGAAATTCAACCATGCCAAAGCGTTATCACACAGAAATGGGGTACATAAAAAAGGGGGAGGGGTACAAATTGCATTAGCATGGAACTATTCAAACATTGGTAGGACGTAAAAGTCATTCAGAGAGCCTAGTCCAGCCCCCAAGGGTCTGAACCAGTCGACTGTCCGGAAATAGACGGTTTTCTAGGACAGTCAGGTGCAAGGGGAAGATCGAAATCATCCACCCCTTCGTGGGGGTCAGAGACATGGCATTCGAATTTCCGGTCGAGGCCCCCAATGGTGGTGTTGATAGCGGGACCGATGACGATCCGAGCTGCGATGTGGATCAGGACTATGAGGAGTTGGATTGGAGGGACCAGAACGAGCGTACATGTCTTCTGGATGAGAGAGGTTGCGTCATGTTTCTCTGGGGTTGCGAGGACCAAGGTAGACGCTGGAGGCATTGGAGAGATTTCTCGTTTGCGGGATGCTTTAGAGCGGCGGCGGAATTCGACGCTCATGCTAGAAAGATGGGGATTCGAGTCGGTAGTTTTGGTGCTAGTAGTCCAGGCTAGGTTGGACTCTAGCTCGGAAAATGGGTCTTTTGCTGCGAGTGCAGACACGCGGGGTTGCTCTTCGTCTCCCTGGGGATTGAATAGTTCTTTAGTCTTAGGAGAGGGTGGCTCTTGAGGCTCGGGCTCTGAAATCTTGCTGCTTTCACCTGGTATCTCCTGGACTATCTGATGTGCGTCGTCATGCCCAGAATTAAGTGATTCGGGGGTCAAGTATGGATCCGAGGCATGATAGGGTGAAATGGGGAGCTCGATAGAGTGAAAAGAGTCAACGCTAGAAGAGAGGAGCAGCTCCTGGCTAGCCTCTGGCTCCGGAGTATCCTCAAACCTCGCCAGCAAGGTATGGAAGCTCTGCTGCGTCTCACTCACTGACCGTTGTGGCAGCTCGATGGGCCTCGGAACCTGAAGAGATTCCGAAGAGGGTTCGCTATCGTCTCGGATCGTCTCCAAAATGGTACTGTTGCTACCTCTTGTTGTAAAGCCGCTATCGTCGGTGGCGTCCCCGTCCGTATCTTCACTTGCGCTGAGGGATTCTGGCGTTGCAACGCCCAGTAAACTCCTAGCCTCTTTGCAGTAGGTTGATTGCATGGGCGCACTCTCCCTGCGACCCTTCGGACGCCACGCCTTCCTTCGGCGAGGAGCTTTAGCCTCCTCCGGAATCTCAACGGTAAAGCCTCGCTGAAAAGGACACGGTGTAACCTCATATCGAAGGATCTTTGGCAGCGCATCTTTCATCTGGGCCACAAGCGTCTTGTCCTGCTCGGTTTCGTTCGGAAGTTCGATACGATAGTATGTCAGAGGGCGGATGCGCAGGACAAAGGTGGATTCCCCGTCAACACACCAACACTGCGAGTTTTTGAGGATCGCATGCACGACACTACCGCACTTGAGGAAGACGGTCAAGCCATGGACCTTTTCAAGCCTCAAGGGAGCAAACGCGACCGTTCGTTCGGTGGGGGATTTCCAGGGTAGGGTCTCGACGGTGTCAACGGGGTAGTCAAAATCCGAGGGTGCGCTGCTGGACGGGATCGGCACTACGGCTCGAGGGGCGAAATGGACGACCTTTGCAGACGGATGATAGAAGAGATCATTCTCCGAGGGTTTGAAGGAGTCCGGGCTGCGTTGCCTGGCCGGGTTCAGTTTGGTGGGAAGGGTAAAGGAGCGGCGGATGGGGAGGTGCTGGGGCGGCGGCGCATCCAAAGAATGGGACATGATCGTTCATGTGGATGGAGACTAAAAGACGAGAATGTTCCCATTGAAACCGGGGATCGAGGGATAAAAACGAGTATACAAGACCAACCCGGTGTTGTAGTCCCAGAAACCAAGTAGGGGTTATTATGTCTAGGAACGGAGCGTCATGCTCAGGAAATCGCAATCGAAACGATGATAGATGCGCGAGATGCAGGATGGTTCATGTACTTTGCTGCAGACAACTAGTAGTTACCCAACTAGTGCAATAACGATGGATCAGTTCATGGGTTAGGAAGCAATACAGCAGAAAATAGTGCGATGTTGAATCCAATGATATTTCTTGCCTGAGTGGGGGATGTGGTTAGCCTGAGGCAGACAGGCATCTATGACGGAATGCCTCAGGTTGACCAGGTTCCCTGAAAGACAAAAACATTGAGAAAGAATCACATCTAGAAGAGATATCCTGAATGAAATTTATAGGAAACCATATCCTCCTCCTCCTCCTCCTACTACTCCATGCATATTTTTGACTGACTGAGTATGTTTCAGCTGTGATTAGGTAAGTTACTCCCCTCTAGGCAGCATGTTTCCGTGATAATTAAATGACAGCGAAAAGGCTCCTCCTCTCTTCTCTCTCTCTCTTCTCATCAAAAGGATCTTCTCCCCTCCTCTCCTAATCAAAGCTGTGGAATTGGCTACTCTAAAGCCTACCGCCACGGAGGAGACTACTAGTCATGACGAGTTTCGAGCCAAACGCCGTGATCCGCGGTTTCCAGCTTACACTCGTTGGCAGTGAGTCTCCCCAGGTCGCGTGCTGCAGTGGTCACTAACATCTCAAGCTCTTCGTGCCTTGCGGAATCCAAGTCTATTTAAATATGATCACTTTCGACAAGCTGCTCTTGCGATCCTCGTTGGAATCATCATCCAAGTCATTATCCAGATTCCGGTAGGACCCGGCGTTCTTTTCTATGGCCAAACGACGAGGTCAAGGCTAAAAGATGATCTCTATAGATTATTGGAATCAGGTTCCTTCTTTGGGTGGCATCCTTTGTTATCAATATGGAAAATGTGACATGGGACGATTCCCTTCTCGATGGCCTAGACTTTTTGAACAAGTCGGTCCTTCAAATTCCGTTCTTGCTCATGACCTTGATGCGATATATCACTCCCACTCTTGACGAAATGTAGGTGATCTGCCCCAGATCCAGATATACAGTACTGATGGTGTAGCTTCATGCAATCCTTACAATGGGTCGACATGACCTACGTCACTAAGCACAAAACTGACGACCCCCAAACCCTCCGCGCAATGTATTACCCAAACCTGGTCCATTACTCGACCAAGGGCAAAGCTAGTCCTTCTTCTAAACCATCTCAACCATCTAAACCAGTTCCCCAAGCCCTCATGGCGTTTGCTCGGAGGTATGGACGGAAAGTTGGCATGCTCTTGGGTATCTATATTGCCTCGCTCCTCCCTCTTGTTGGGCGGTTCGTGATGCCTGCTGTCTCGTTCTACACCTTCAAAAGTACCGTTGGAACCACCCCAGCGGCCGTGATTTTTGGAACCGGGATTGTCCTGCCTAAGCGGTACCTTGTGACGTTCCTTCACAGTTACTATGCCTCTCGCAGCTTGATGCGCGAATTGGTGCGTTTGCCTCTTCTGGTCGTGGACGCGGTTGCTAATGGCAGAATAGTTGGAACCGTACTTTTGCCGTGTGAAGTTTACCCCTGAACAGAAGCGTCGCTGGTTCTTGGACCGGGAAGGGGTTCTCTTTGGATTTGCATTTGCCTTTACTTTTGTGTTGAAGACACCGATCATTGGCGTCCTGATGTATGGGGTAGCGCAAGCCTCCACTGCATATCTCGTCACGAAGATCACGGATCCCCCGCCACATCCCACTGCAAGCGACGGATTTGCAGAGACCCAGGTGACGTGGAAGAACAAACATGAGTTCTTGAAGCTGTCGCTAGACAATCTCGATAAACTCAACACTGCTCCTCTTGAGCAGGAAGGATCCAAAACTACTGATCTTCCGGGGCGAAAGTTCACTTGAGGAGAGAACAACTAGGAAATAAGAACTTTATCAACGGTTTACCTGTTTTGGGGGGGGGGGGGGCTAAAAGTATTAACAGATGATGGAAGGTTAGTTTCAAAGCGACAAATATCACATATATGGAAGATCGTCATCATTTACCAGATAGAGAAGGACCTTTATTACAGGTCTGAGGCGCTGGATATCTCAATAAAGGATTCATAAATTAGAGCGCCGTCGCTGATTCGATTCGAAAGGAGAGGGGTTGTCATCAACTATAAATCTAGTCTATCTTCCATTTTCTTTCCCCTCCTCATCCTTCTAGAATCACACCCCAAGCCAGTTCACAACATGGGCAACCAAGGCATTCGTACTGCACTGAAAGTCGACCTAGACAAGCCTGCCTGGGAGCAAAAGGGCCTTCATGTATGTTTCCCATCTTATCAATGAGTTTCCACTAACCCATCAAGAACCGATGGCATCCCGACGGTATGCTATCCACTATTCAAGTCAATAGAAAAAGGAAGAAGAAAGCTCACGATATCTAGTCCCCAGCTGCGGAACCATTGCAAACAATGAAGTCGTCAAGATCGAGTGTCTCGACTGGACTGGCGGCCAAATCAAAAACAACGACTCGGCCGACGATGTCAAGAATGTCGACCTTACTCAGGTCCACTACCTCTCGGGTCCATTCGACATCGAAACCGCAGAGCCAGGGGACGTCCTGCTCGTTGAGATCCAGGATGTCCAGCCATTCCAGGACCAGCCCTGGGGCTTTACCGGTATATTCAGTCGACAGAACGGAGGAGGGTTTCTAGATGAGATCTATCCTAAAGCGTACGTCGTCTGCTGATAACAGCGGGATGGATCTGACGCACGTATAGGGCCAAAGCTATCTGGGATTTTGAGGGGATCTTCTGCTCCTCTCGACATATTCCACATGTCCGTTTCGCCGGTCTCATCCATCCCGGGATTCTGGGGTGTGCGCCGTCCGCAGAGGTTCTAGCGGAATGGAATCGTCGCGAGGGAGAGCTAATTGCAGCCAACACGACGGGACGAGAGGTCGCAAAACCGCCAGAGCCCACGAATGTCCACGCGGGCAGTGCCAACGAGGAGCTCACGACCAAGATTGGACGTGAAGGAGCACGAACCATTCCCGTATGTCTCCTCCCCCCTTGAGTATAAAATCCAGCACACTTCTAAATGCGGATATCCCCAGGGCCGTCCTGAACACGGAGGCAACTGCGACATCAAGAACCTCTCGCGGGGCTCAAAGGTCTACCTCCCTGTCCACGTTCCCGGGGCCAAGTTCTCAGTCGGCGATCTACACTTCTCCCAAGGCGACGGGGAGATTTCCTTCTGTGGCGCCATCGAAATGGCCGGGGTGATCACGATCAAATTCACCGTGATCAAGAGCGGCATGGCCAAGATGGGGATGAAGTCGCCGATCTTCCAGCCGGGCCCGGTAGAGCCGCACTTTGGACCGGGCCGCTACCTGACCTTTGAGGGCTTTTCCGTGGACGAAACGGGCAAGCAGCACTATCTGGATGCGACGGTTGCGTACCGGCAGACGTGTCTCCGGGTGATTGAGTATCTGCGGCGGTATGGGTATAGTGACTATCAGATTTATCTGCTGCTGAGCTGTGCGCCGGTGCAGGGGCATATTGCGGGCCTGGTGGATATTCCGAATGCGTGTACGACTCTGGGAGTGCCGATGGATATCTTTGATTTTGATATTCGGCCTGAGGTGGAGGCGGTGCCGATGGACATGGGAAGTTGTGCCTTTGCTTCTGAGGGATGAAGTATGTTCATATTTATATACAGTCATCATCATAATTCATTCTCATGCCCAATGGGACCCGACCTGAGTCGCTATATATATAAAACTACGCAAAATACTCATCAAATCTCTCCTCCGCCTCCTGTATACAATCAAAGCCATAAATCTCCCTCTGCACCTCCGCATCCGCCCACTTATCCGGCACAGGACCCTGCCCCTGCCTCAGGGCGGCAAACTGCTTATCGCGCTCGGCCTTCGCGGCGCCGTCGCCCAGATGCAAGGCCCTCCCACTGGCCGCGGCCATCTCCACGAGCGCATAGGCGCGGGTCTTGCGCACCTGCTCATAAGCCTTCAGGGCGCGGTGAACACTGGCGGGCTCCGTATTCGGCAGCCTGGCCAACACCACCGCAATCACGGCGCCGTCTTCCACGGCCTGCGCCGCGCCCTGGGCCAAATGCGGCAGGGTCGGATGGCACGCATCCCCAAGCAACGCGACGGACCCCAGCACCCAGGTCGGGAGCGGCTCGTGCACGCGCAGTTTCCACTCGCAGACGTCGCCCTCCGGCACGTAGCTCAGCAGGCGCTGCACGAGCGGGCAGAAGTCGGCGAAGACTTCCCGCATGGCCGCTTTGGACCCGCGCGTCGTGTACGTGGCGTTGGTGGCCGCCGCGAAATTCGAGTCCGGCTGCGTCGTCGACAGATTGTACAGGGTGTGCTGGGACACCGGGTACGCGATGATATGGCGCTTGTGGCCGATCCAGCGGATCACCTGGTTGCTGGCGAGGAGGGCGCGGAGCTCCGCGTCGTGCTTGACTTGGTCCTGGTGGATCATGATGCGGTAGGCCGCTTGCTGGGTGTCCTTGACTGCGACCGCTGCCGTGGCTGCCGTCGTGGGGTCCGCGTCCGCTGCGAGTTCGTCCAGCATCGCTGCGCGCGTGATGGACTTGATGCCGTCCGCGCCGAAGAGCACGTCTGCGGTGACGTCGTGCGCCGGTTGGGATGCATCGCGTGGAGTCACGGTGAAGGTAGGTCGCGGGGAGAAGGTCTGCACTTTGCTCACGGTTGTGGAGAAGTGGAACTTGATGGCGTCCGGATGGCGGAGACAGCCCTGGTATAGGTTTCCGGCGAGTGAGGCGCGATGGCCAACCATGTGTTTGTATCCGTAGGTTTTTTCAATGTATTTCAGATCAACGTGTGCGAGTTCACCATTGGTAGCGCCGACTTTTTTTGATCAGTTAGACACACACACACATACACACACACATATATATATTATATATATATATATATATTTGTTTGAGAAATACCTCTCACACTAGTTTCCTCAATATTCACAGCCTCCGCTTCAATCCCCTGCCACACCCCCAGACGATCCAGCACCCGAGCCATATTCGGCGCCAGTTGGATGCCAGCGCCCACGAAGCCCAAATCCGACGCCGTTTCGTAGACATCGATATACTTGAATCCCTTTTCAGCGAGAGCCAGAGCGGTCGTCAACCCGCCCATTCCTATTCCCCGTTAGCATTCATTCTGGGTCATTTATGATTGATCCGGGGGGACCTACCTGCGCCGAGGATAGCGATTTTCAAGTCTTGCGGGGTAGCCATTGTGTTGGTTTTCTAGTAAAGGATGTGAGCTGTGGAAACCGTGCACTCAGTTGTGATATGGTCTTTTATATAAGGGACCAAGTAAAACGGTGGCGGCTGAAAACTTAGCCGGTTCCCCCCACACTCCCCACGAAATGCCCCACAAACCGGAAGATGATATAGTATCTATATACGGAGTACTGATGGATATGTAGAAGATGGAGAGTGGGAAAGAATATTATCAACATAATTCAATTAAATTTCTGCTATATTATTATTATAAATCAAAAGAATTTATCTTATGTATGATATATTACATGCATGAACATAGGCGAACTCGTTCCCTCGCTTGCATCGGGGAATTACCGGACCATGCACAATTTACAGGTTGTTTCCAACAGTCTCAACAATGTGGCCAACGGGCTGCCCAAGCTCGGGAAGGAGAGAGCCCACAATGTTGGCGACAGAAGGAGCCAGCTGCACCAGCAGAAACTGGCCGTCCTTGCCAACCACCACCAGGAGGTTGTCCGTTTGAGGGCCCAGCTTCTGGAGAAGCTTGGTGACGTCGATGGCAATGTCAATCACGCTGCCGACGATGCCAGACAGGTGCAGGTCGCTCAGGATACCACCGAGGACACCCTCGATCTCGACCAGGAGGTTCTCGTGGTTCATACCGACGAGCTGGAGGACGGTGCTGCCGGCCGCGGGGGCATCCCGGACGCGCAGGCCCAGCGAGCTAACGAGTTCACCCACGGGGTTGGAGACCGAGTTAAGACCGAGAGTAGCGGTGGTGCCGCGGAGCAAGTCGGCCACTTCCGGAGCAAGCTGGATGAGCAGGATCTGAGCGTCCTCGCCGACAACCGTTAGGATGCAGTCAATCACGGGGCCGAGGTCAGCCACGAGCTTGCCAATGTCGGCAGCGTCACCGACAATGTTACCGATCGAGTCGCTCAGGCTGACCTTGCCCTCGAGCAGGTTGTACACGTCCTTGTCGACAGAAACCAGCAGGCTTTCTCCATCCTTGCCGGTCACGGTCAGGAGACGGTCAACCTGAGGGCCAAGGTCCTGGATGATATGGCCGGTGCCGTGGCAGTGGCCCTCCTGGCAGCCACTGGTGGTGGAGGTGGCAGGAGCAGAGGTAGTAGTCGACGTGCTGGTGGTCTCGCTGGAGGGGGCGGTGGTGGTAGTCAGCGTGTTGGTGTTGGTGTTGGTTACAGTGTTTGTAGCAGTGTTGGTAACAGTGTTGGTAACAGTGCTGGTGGAGGTCGCAGTAGACAACGTGTTGGTGTTGGTATTGGTAGCAGTGTTGGTAGCAGTGCTGGTGGAGGTCGCAGGAGCAGAGGTAGTGGTCGACGTGCTGGTGGTCTCGCTGGGGGGAGCAGTGGTGGTAGTCAGCGTGTTGGTGTTGGTGTTGGTGTTGGTGTTGGTAGCAGTGTTGGTTACAGTGTCGGTAACAGTGTTTGTAACAGTGTTGGTAACAGTGTTGGTAGCAGTGTTGGTATTGGTAGCAGTGCTCAACGTGTTGGTGTTAGTATTGGTATTGGTGTTCGTGTTGGTGCTGCTGCTGGGGTTGCTGCCAGTGCTGGTCCCAGCGCTAGGCACAGTTGCAGGTCCTGTGGTAGTATCACAAGGAGTGCTGGTAGGAACCACAATAGAAGGCACACTAGTCAAGACAGGAGGAATGCTGGTCAAAACTGGAGGAACACCGGTCTCAACAGTAGATCCAGGAACACTGGAGGTTCCAGCTGAAGGGCTGGTCTCAACCGGAGGAACGCTGGTCTGGACCGAAGACCCAGGAACACTGGCGGTTCCAGTTGGAGGGCCAGTCTCGACAGTAGATCCAGGAACACTCGAGGTGCCGGTTGCAGGGCTCGTCTCCCCGGGCACAGTGACGGTGACGGTCACAGTGCCACAAATGCAAGTGTCCCCAGCCGGCTCGCGGGCATGAAGCTGGCCGATAGGGCCGGCCAGGGCATAGCTGGCCAAGGCCAAGGCAGTGACAACAGTAGCCTTCATGTTGAAGATCTCTGAAACGCTGAACGACTCAAATGCTGAAAAGAACGGCTGTCAAAGGAGTGACAATAAGCGCAAAGGGAAAAGGCTGCTGGAATGAGTGACAAACTGAACAGACAAGACTCTCCAGCGGCAGAATTGAAGCCATATTTATATTCCTCGAGCGAGCATCGTTCCTCCCCCTCGAAGTCGCCCCTTGAGCACAACTCTCAGCCTTCGGGCCTAGCCTCATGCTATCGAAATGCACCTAGGAGAGACTATTCTCGTTTATTTCCAATGGCTAATCTCCCGCTGACAGGAGCTTGCTGCCATCATCTCAGCCGGTGGGCTGCGTTGCATGCCCTGGGCCAGTGATCTCTCGTACCTGACGCAGGGAGCCTATCAGGAGTTGCATATGGCCAAAAAAAATAAACAAAATAAAATTACTCCTGCATGATAAATTACCATCAGAGCTTCCCGTTTCTGTGTCTTATTAGGCATCTGCAACAAATAATCCAGATACATACCCAGTAGTTCGTCCTGACTCAACAGGACCAGCCCTCGGGGTTCCACAGTCGTCCAAATCTCAATGTGGCTTCCAATGGTTCCTGTGCAAAGGGGCTGGTGGTGCATCTAAATTCAGACCTGGCGCAATCTAGCACTCTACAGGTCACACCATCACACACAGACAGCCCTATTGATCCCATCTTGAAGGTTGAGTTTGGGCAGTTCCTCTGTTTGTAGGATCGACTGTTCGTGGCTGACGCTATTGACGCGGGCGCTCCGTCGATCCCGAGATTAGCTGACGGAGAGTCTTGCCGATGTTTTCATTTGTGACTGGTCGATTTGTGTCTCAATTTCAACTTCGTGTTTGTTTGTCCCCGGGGGAGGGTTTTTTTTTAAACTTGCTTACTCTTTAATCCGCCCTCGTGTTGCACCCCTGAGCAAGACTCGTCACTCATCACAATAACAAAAGACCGTCCTCTGGGAGTTTGCTGCCCAAAGGGTGAATCCTTCCTTCCAGCCGGGCGACGGCTGCTCTGTCTTTCCCAGAGCGTCATAGGGCTTACATATGAGGGAGGGATGTTAGATGAAAGAGGAGTATCATTGGCAAAGGACTCAAGTCTGAAGGAGGGGAAGCGAGTTTAGACTGGGCTAGTATGAATGCTTTCTTTTGCAATCTTCACAAATCCTCGTCGCGGAAGGGAGCGGGCTTCCGCCTGCCAGGGAATCCCCCCCAATATCGAGGCCCATCGCCCTCGAGTTGGGACAGGTCGCGGCACTGCGGATGCTCATAGTCCTCCACAGTCCCCATCGGCCACATTGGGATTACGCACAGCTCATGATCACCGCACCCGGTACACTTCTTCCAGTTGCTCCATGACAGATAGTTGACCAAATCCTGAATTTGTCCCACAGCAGTGGAATGCTCCGTTTGGCGTAGTGTTTCCAGCAGGGTTGCGCAGATGCTACGCGACACAGAGAGAACCGCGTCTCCGGCCACGGTCGTGGTCGGTGCTGAGCGTCGGATGAACTGCATAGAGCAGCGCTCCACCTCCAATGAGGAGTTCCGCGCATCGTAGTCAATAAAGGGCGTTACTAGGCCCTCAATTTCCTCCTGCAGCTCCTCGATGGTGGGGACCTGGCCAGATGCGAGGTACCGCAGCCTCTTCGCATAGCGCTCCACCACCATATCCGCCACAGCTTGCCAGTCAACCGAGCGCTCCGTGGCGTCGTGATTCCAAATCAGGGCATCGAGGTCCTGCCGCATAGGTTCTAGCTTGTGGGCCGAGAGATGCGCTAGTCGAGGCAAGACATGCGACGAATTACTCCTCTCGGTCTCTCCCGCAGCGCCGAACAAATCTAGCCCGTAGACGTACGCAGTTACAAAATGATCGTAATTCAGTATCACCCGGTTTCCCCCAATGCCCCAGTAGCGAGAGGCCACCGCAGGTACCCATGAATTCCCTGTGGGGTTCCTTTCCTTCCCATTTCCCGGAGATCCCGGGGGTCCTCCATTGGGACTTGATTGGACTCGAGTCACCCGCAGCGCATCCATATCCGTGGCCAAATCACACAGGATAATCTCGAACCCGGCTTCCATGCGAATCAGCCCATCCAGCCGGCCGCCCCAGCGGTCGCGAGCCATGCGACAAAATTCCGTGGCGCGCTCCTCTTCCCCCGCCATGCCATTGCCATCGCTGCGCTGATCGTGGAATAGAATTCGATCCTCCGCATCCAGGGTGCCGTTGTTCGTTTTGCCCGCCGACATGCCATCCACGTACAGGAGCCGCAAGTCCTTCTTCGCCGCAAATGTATGCAGGAACCCAGCCTTGTTCCCATCCACAGGGTCCTGCATCACATGCTGAAAGTCCGGGTGGAATCCCGGCGGCGGAGGGCCATGTCCGTCAGGGGGTGGTGGTGGTGGTGGATCATGGCTCCCCGGAGGCGGTCTTCGTCGATGCGCAAAGTTCAAAGCATGCTCGGGCTCAAATGCCACCCATTCGGGGCTTTTCACAGGATCCGAGGAGCCAGAGCCATGATACAGCTGGGTCCCTTCAGGCACGGTGGCCAGGAAGAAAGACATGCCGTTGTGGTTCAGCGAGGAACCCCACTGGCGCATGGACGAGTGGACGGCGTTGAAAATGTGGTTTGCATTTTCGGGAAATGAAGCTGAAGTCGCAGCCGCCGTGGACGCAAGGAGAGCTACCGTGCAGCATCGAAGGTTCGACCAGCGACGACTCATGATGAAACCGCAATAAAGGAGTCGGAGCTGATGCAGGTACTGGTGCTGCTGCAGGTTATGTGAGAAGAGCGATAAATCCGCAAGACATTTCCCCTGAGCTATACTGTAGCCTAGCTTTATTTATTGTAGATGGAGGAGTGGGGGGGAAGGGAAAGGAAGCCGCGTCATCAGGACGGATCTCTAACGATTTTAGTCAATTTAGGCCATGATTGCGTTGAATACATAGCTTCATATCTGATCTGGAGAAGTCGAACTTGAGATTGATGATATTGTGAACTGTGAAGGATTGATTGAAGATGTGATGAGAATACTGTCGTCTGTAATGTAGTTACTCCCAATTCTAACACTTAGTCACTTGACTATACGCACTTACTACCTCTCTTAACTCACACCGATCTCTCCCTCTAATATAGATATATATATATATATATACGAATTAAAACCCTCAACAAGATCAATAAATAGATAATAATGCCTCGTTCCCTTCTTCTCACCCTCGACGCCTTCGGTACCCTCTTCCACCCACGCGCCCCCATCGCAACCCAATACGCGGCGTCCGCAACCTCCTTCAACCTCCCCCCAATCTCCCCAGAACGCCTACATGTCGCGTTCAAAACAGCATTCAAAGCCCAATCAAGTTCCTATCCAAATTACGGCCGCGAGCAGGTCCTCCGCGGCGAATACGCTGGCCCGCGACAATGGTGGGAGGAGGTGATCCGGGGTAGTTTTTCACGAGCCCTTTCCGACCTTCCAGCCACATCGCTGGACATGAACGCGAACACAAAGACAGAAGATCATAATAAGAATAATCCGAATCCTACCGCTAACACCGGTGCTTGTGGCGTTCATATCCCCGACGCACTTATCCAAGATCTCCTCGATCGATTCGCCAGCGCAAGGGGGTACGCTCTTTACGCCGATGTGCGGCCCTTTTTCGACATGGTTCGGTCGTTAAAGCAGCAGCAGCATAGACGCATCCTTATCGGGGTTGTCTCCAACTCTGATGATCGGATCTCTGCTGTGCTGGAGTCCCTGGGTGTATCTGTGAGTCTACCGGGGTTTGAGGAGGACAGGGAAAGTCAACTCTCTCCCTTGCCGAAGGAAGAAAATCCAGGGCATCTGCGTCTGCATGATATCGACTTTGTGGTTACAAGTTACCAGGCTGGAGCAGAGAAACCCGAGAGATTAATTTACGAGGTGGCGCAGCGGCAGGCGCAGTGCGAGTCAGGATCAGAATGGGAATGGGTGCATGTCGGAGATGATTACAGGAAGGATTACCTAGGGGCTTTGGAGGCTGGGGGGGAGGCTTATTTCCTTCCTAGGGATAATACAGCTGGAAAGGCTGCCGGGGACAATGTGAAGACGATTACTTCGTTGTTGGATCTGATTCCGGAGCTACAGAAGTATACCTAGGTATATGAGTCGAGACCATGTAGATAAGAAAGGAGAGCAAGATGTATATACTACTATACTCTGCACTTGAAGTGTAAATAATTTCTTGACTTGTTTTTTTTTTCACTAAATCATAACCCGATGTAGATATGTATGGACACTCCTAACACCATTCCAAACAAAAAGGTATATTCAATCCATAATCGTAACGCCCAAAATCCACACAGACCTGTTCGTTAATCAGTTACTTACTTACATGCTAGTGAACTGGATTCCTGCGGAAATTGAACGACTTTCCCTTTCCGCTTTAGGTCCAACTTGGCGCCGCTTTTTGCTCACTGAGCGGCCCGGAGCGTGGGGGGAGCATAAAAGTGCGTGTCCTGAGCCATCACTGAGCGATCTCAGATTGCTCCGGGAGTAAATATTAGAGGATGTGACCGTTACCCTGAGCCTGTCTGAGCTTACACGTGCTAGTCATCTGACCCAACTAAACTGTGCACGACTAAAGTTATGTATTTCACTTCAGTCCTGCCAGCGGCCCATGATTTTCCTGGCCCTCTGAAAACATTATGCCCCATTTTCATGATCATTTCTTGTATAACCCCAAACTAAATGTGGGCATACTCTCGAGCACCAATAGTGTCAATCCAACTTCTTATCAGCCGGCTTCGCTTACGCGTCATTAATGCTCTATAACCACTAAAGACCTATACTTGTTCTACCTACCGCCCTTTTAGACATCGCTATGTTTTACTGCATCAGGGGCCTTGAAACTTGTCTATGCGTAACATACATTTGATAGGCTATTCTAGAAAAACCTGAAAAACTGAATGTCGCTTGGAGGTACAGGTAGTACAATGCCATTCATAGAGATGCACGTTGATTTACCCATGCTGTAAAAGATGCTTTCATTTTGGTTTCTTGTTTCCTCAAAGAATGCTGATTAGTGTAATTTGGTAGATGCACCATGGTTGTACCTAAAGAATGTCGGAGACATAATCAAACAAGTAATTCATAGGTCTTTGATCTACCTTGGTGGCCAGCAACTATACTCTCGTGGCATTTGCATATTAGTTCCACCTTTAATTCTTCCATATCAGGGATATACAGTCGGTTGCAGTAAAATAGGAGTCCAGAATAGCAGGTATACTTAAATAATATGTTGGAGTGCTGCAATCAATGCAAACAGCACTGCCATTAAGTGAGTAGCAACACATGACTACTCTGTGTATTTAGGCTACTATTTCCTTCTAGATCTTTATACTTCCTCCAAGCATCCTCTTTATCTCTTTATCTCTTAGTTAGACCTAATTAAACCTATTTCAGTCAACTTTCTACTATTATAGTTTGATAACCTCTTATTAGGTTATAAGCCCTTCTTAAGGTTCTAATTTATGCTTCTTAGACCTTGAAAAACTCTTATTAGATCCCTGTACTAGAAAATAATCTACTACCTAATTAGTTAGAGATCCTGGCTATAAAAGGAGCTCTATATAATTACTACTTTAAAGTATTCTATTTAGATATAAATTCTAATTATAAAAGGAAGAGAGTAATAACTTTACTAAAGAAATAATAATTAAAGTATTTTATTTAGATATAAATTCTAGTTATAAAAGGAAAAAAGTAATAACTTTATTAAAAAAGTAATAATTAAAGTATTCTATTTAAATATATTATTTAGCTACTTTAATTAAAGTTTAGTTATAAAATTTAATTACTAAAATAAAGCAAGATTTAACCTAAAGATAACAAGTAAATCTTTAATTATTAATAAAAAAGTAACTATATTAAACAGCCTTTAGAAACCTTTAACTTATACTATTACCTCCTATAAGTATCTTACTAGTAAGGTACTTGAGTATAGGTAGTATTAGTAAAGGAAGCAAAGCTATATAGAGTACAAGGGTAGTAGGAAGGTATTAAAAGTAATAAAATAAAGTACTTGTCTCTTAGTACTTTAAGGGTTATTATATTATTATTTATATTATTTAGTTAAGTTACTAGTATAATATAAATAATTTAAATATTATTATTTTTTTAATTATTTTTAATTATTTAATATATAATTTAGTATATAATTTAGTATATAATTATATATTATATAATTACTATAATAATTATTTTCTCTTTTCTTAATAATATATCTATATATTATATATATTATACCTAATCTAGCTTAATATCCTATTAAGAGGGAGCTAGTCCTAGTTAATATAATATAACCTACTTTTTTATTTAATACTAGAAATAATAATAATATATATAATATTATCTCTATTAATTATATTTTATTAAATAAAATATAAATAATATTATATTTTATTTTAAATAAAATAATAAATAAGAATAAGTAATTTACTAGATATATTAATAATAAATAAAGATATTATTATAATATAAATATTATAGGAAAATACTTCTTTATATATATATTTTCTAGCTTAATCTATATTTTAAAAAGTTCTTTTTAATAAGTTAATATATTATTCTAGATAGGTTATTATTATTTAAGTATTATAATAATAGCTAACTATATTATAGACCTTATATATTATAGTATAGCTATATACCTATCTAGTTAGATTCTATCCTAATTATTTACCTCTACTCCTATATTTAAGCTATATTATCCCTAATCTTATTATAGCTTTTTAAACTATATCTTTATTCTAACCTAATTCTTACCTATTATACCTATATATAAATAGCCTGAATATATACCCTATTATTATCACGGGGAGCAGGCAGGCAGTAGGTGTAGCTAATAGTAGGGTGTATATTCAGGCTATCTGTATATAGGTATAATAGGTAGGGATTAGGTTAGGATAAGGACATAGCTTAAAGAGCTATAATAGGATTAGGGGTAATATAGCTTAAATATAGGAGTAGAGGTAGATAGTTAAGGTAGAATCTAACTAGATAGATATATAGTTATACTATAATAGTATTCCCTTTCTTAGACTAAGCTCTAGTAAAGTATTCCTAAGGTCCAGGCTTTCTAGAGTAATAATAATAATAAGTAATAATATATTTAATAGTATTCTCTAGATAGCTAGTAGAAATTTTAATAATAATAGAATATTTAACCTATTTAATAATATACTTTAAATATAGATAGCTATCTTAGCTATAATAATTCTAGTAAGAATTAATTACTTTCTTAATCTTTTATTTTTTAATACTATTAATTTTAATATATAGGGATTTAATTTTTTCTTATCTAAATAATAGATCTTTAGTAGTTAGATATAATAATTTAATATAAAATACTAGATATATTTTTATACTTTTAAGTAGATTTAGTTTATAAATATAAAGGCTAATAACCCTCTTAATAAAAAAAAAGTTTAGATTTTTCTAGTCTAATTTTTTTTAAAAGTATAGAATTATAATATTCTTAATATTTAATTAAATTAATTAATTCTTAATATAATATCTAATAGAATAATATTTTTAATTAATATAGTATTTATAATAAGCTTAAGTAATAATTATAATAATATAATAATATTTTTATATTTACTTTATAATTAAAGTAAATTAGTAAGTATTATAAATTTATAAATAGTAATTAAGTAAGATAAACTTAAATTTTATATAAGAATTAAAATTATATAGAGTAAAGAATAAGAAATATCTAGTAATTTTAGAATTAATATTATTAGTAGTAAATTTTATTATAAGTAGTTATTTAGCCTAATTATCTTATAAGTAGTTAATATAAACTTATAAATATTATTTTAAAATAATATTTATATATTTAGTTTATTTATTAGTCTTAGAATAATAAATAATAGATAAAAGTAATCTTATTTTTAAAGTATAGTTTAAATATATCTAGAATACTAATATAAACTAAGATCCTTAATTAAATATAATAAACTTAAAGAATTTATAAAATCTCTAAATATAGTTTTAGAATAGGTAGGTAGCTCCCTTAATATTATAAGTATTATTATAGGAAATATAGTATTAAAACTTTATTAACTAGTTAATTATTACTATAATAGTATTAAAGCCTAAGCTTTAGAGTAAATATATAATAAAATTAATAAATATATTTCTTTAAAAATTCTTAAATATAAGTAAAAAATAAAGTACTCTTTAATATTTATTTTAATAAGGTATAGATTATTTATAAGTATAATAATTATAAACTTATTACTTTATAAATTATAATATTCTAGGCTAGTAATATAATTATAATAATAATTTATAAATCTTTAATTTATCTTAATAACTAGTAATTATACTTTTATAATATTTATATATTAGTTCTATCTTTAATTCTTCTATATTAGGGATATATAATTAATTATAGTAAAATAAAAGTCTAGAATAGTAGGTATATTTAAATAATATAATTAATAAATAATAATTATAGCTCTTTTCCAGGCTTTCTAAAATATTATTAGAGGCTAGATCTTATTTATAATCCTTATTTAAGCACTCTCTTAACTATTTAGGGAGCTAGATAGTCTCTTCTTCTTTAGGCTTAGATAGCTAGAAATATACTAACTTTCTTCTAGTAGTAACTTAGAGCTAGATTAATTATAATATTTACTAGCTCTATAACTTCTTTAAATATTTAAATAAAAAGCTTACTAAATTTTCTCTTTTTAATATTATTTAACTCTAATATAGTAAGTATTTATTCTTTTTCTTAGGGAGATTTTATAACCTTCTAATTAAATTATTTAATTTTATTTTATACTTGCCCAGGTAATAATTAATTATAAAATTAAAATAAAATAGGAATTTAAATTATTAAGCTTATTATTAATTTAATATTTTAATTATTATAAAATACTCTAGATTTCTATAATTAGTTATAATCTTAATTAAATATTAATATTCTTTTAATTTTAGGATCTATTCTTCTAAATAATAAATAATTACTAGTAATTCTTTATTATATATCTTATAATTATATTTAATTAGAGTTATTTTTTTTAAGTAAAATCTTATTAAGTATAGAATTTTATTATTATTATATTATAATA